ATGTAAGAGAAGGCGAAGATGATAAAAAATTAAAGATAGAGAAAGGGGAATGATGAAGAAGAAAAACCAAAAAAAATGTAAAGAAAATTAGAAAGTACAAGAAGAATAGTGAGTTGGAGGATATGAAGACGCAAGAAAAGATAAATACCAAAAATTGAAAGAAAAAGAAGAAGAAGAAAAATATAGAAAGAAGAAGGAATAAACTCGAATATGAGAAAAAAAAGAAATCAAACAAGAAAAAAATAGAATATAAAGAGAAAAAAAAAGATAAAAGAAGAAATAAATAAAACTATAATAATGTGATGTAAGAGAAGATGAAGATGATAAAGATAGAGAGAGGGGGAATAATGAAGAAGAAAAATCGAAAAAAAATAATGTAAAGAAAATTAGAAAGTAAAAGACGAATAGTGAGTTGGAGGATATGAAGATACAAGAAAAGATAAAGAACAAAAAATAAAAGAAAAAGATGATAAGAACGAATATGAAATTGAAAGAAAAATAAGAAGATGGAATAATTGGAGAAGAATAAAATGGAGAAGAAAGAAGTGAAATTTTTTTGTATCTCTCTATGCGAATGAAGATGATTTTGTAGAAAAATGAAAAAGATATAATCATAAATTTTACTAATTACGTTATTAAATTTTTTAATTAATTAATGTATTTGAAAAATATTGTGTCCGCACAAGGTGCGGGCCAACCACCTAGTATATATATATTTCGATATAAAGTTTGCAGAATCCACATCCATACGTACACTTGATACCTCAAATTGGAACATGTGAGTTTGCTGCAAACAGTTTATCGCAGCAAAACAGTTTGTACATACAATTGATAATTATTATGCACAGTTAAACTATGTCCCATTTACTATGATTTGAAGTACGTAATTGTAACCGTCACGATCACAAACACACTCTACTTGATCAAATTTAATCCACAATTGAAAAATCCTCATAATCTTGCATTGATTCTTCTTTTTGTTTAACGTGCATTAGTTTTGTCTTGGTTAGATTATAATCTCATACATAAAATGCAAATCATCTCAACATCGTTTGGTCCAAATCAAATAAATAGAAAAGCATGCCATCTAACGACCGACAATTATACATAGAAGGTGTGAAAAGAGTTAAATACAGAGCCTATCTAGTAAGCTCTCTTCTTTAAATAATGAGAACACTCCATGTCGACAAATTGCACGTTATGCTCCAAACTCCAAACACAACGATTATTTAACTAGTTACATCTTGCTAAGAAAAAAATTAATGAAGTGTAACTTAAACTAAACTATCACTTTATTAATAGAATGACAGAGTTGTCTCCTCGTGGTTTCTTCTGTTTGAATTCGAAAGTTGTCTTTAAAATCTTCTGATAATCATTGTTAACAAATTTTATTTACCTTTTTCATGAGTCTCTCTCTGCTCTTCTACACCGAGGAGGGTATGGTGAAACTAAAGATCCAAACCGGTCAGAACCAGAACTTAAACCACATTTTGCAGAGTTGACATACCAAGATGTGTTTTTTTTTACATTTTATTTTCCTTTAACAAAGAATGAAATAAGTATCACAAGATCCACAACAGAGACACTGAAACATGTAAATCATAACCATCAAAGTGACAATTACTGAACAATTATCCACTCTCTCAAGAACTAAGTTCCTCCTGATTGCGAATCCGTAAGCTTATTGCTGAAATCCCAAAGCTTCTTGGCCAATTCATAATCATTGGCAATTGGTAATGGTTTAGCAATGTTGTTATCTAGGAAGTATTCTCCTGTGACTCCTGCCACCTGAGGATGCAATGCCACATAGCATGTTGTTGCTGCCCCCTACAAAAAACCAATACTTTGACATGATTAACCGACAAACCACAGCAAAAGCTAGACCAGTCTATGCAAGAGTGTAATTTAACCGGAGAAACCTTGTGAACAGTTTGTAACTGATTGGTTATCAGTGTGAGGTCTAGAAACTATATACCTGCGGAACAGTCTTGAACATATATTTAGCCACCGCACCAGCAGCCACTGCATCAAGCCGGTGACAGAGAGGATCAGAAAGAAAATCAAAAGTAACCTTATATAAAGCATGAAATGGTGAGAGTTGGAATCAGAGAGAAGAAGTTACCAGCCAAATAGCTGTTGAAGTGGCACCATAGATTTGTCATAATGGCTCCTGGATGAAGTGAGTTTGCTGTTATATTGGCTCCGTCTTCCTGTTTTAAATTCATACCAGAACTGAATCAAGATAGTCACAGAAACAGGTTAATTCTTCAATCGGTAGATCTTTTCATTATGTAGTCACCTTCAGTTGCTTGGCAAGCTCGTTGGCGTGCAATATATTGCAGAGTTTAGACTGACCATAAGCTCGGAAACTACTGTAACTGCAGCAGAAACCAGACCAACAAAGAACGAATAAGTTACTATTTGGAAGAAAAGACATGATGCTATTTGGTTCCACCATTATTACCTTAACTCGTCATTGATCTTATTCTTACCTAAGCGGACTCCTTCGGGGTATGAGTAACGATGAGCTTCTGAAGATACATTAACAATCCTTCCTTCTCTTTTGCTTTCACGTGATGTGTTCTTCATTGTATCCAGCAGAAGTTTCGTCAACAGAAAATGACCTGAAACATATAATTCCATGGCACTGATCAAAAGCTAAAACTAAAGTTAAATGCACTGATCTTAGTATGGATACATCTCACTCACCTAAATGGTTGGTTACAAATTGCAGCTCGATGTTGTCCTTAGAAAGCTTGAAAGGACATGCCATTATCCCAGCGTTGTTGCTTTAAAACATGAGAGAATTCAAATCATTAGCAGTCAAATAATACCATATTGCTACACATAAACCACAATATAATCGAAAGCTTACATCAAGAGGTTGAGTGGAAGACCAGAAGATTTGTAATCAGATGCAAATTTCTTGACAGAATCCATTGAGCTGAGATCTAACTCCATGACATCGACTTTAGCACCAGGGACTTTATTGACAATATCTTCTTTAACTTTAGCACCAGAGGCAGTGTTCCTCACGGCCATGACCACATGCACGCCACGCAGCGCAAGAACACGAGCTGTCTCTACTCCTATACCACTCGATGCTCCTGAAACATATGGACACAAACAAAATACAACTTAAGTAAACAAACAAGTCCAGCAATGCAGGATAGTTCCTTGACAATTCAGTGCCCTGATATGCTAAGAACATTTCATTGCTGCATATGTCTATTGAAAAAGACATATTATGATCAACTAACAATTCAAGATACCAAGTAAAGAAGCAGCACTTCACATACAACACACACACACACAAAATGGCTCAATCGATGTTAGATTCCAGTTTCTGTGCAACTACTTGTGATGTTTTTAACATAAACAACCCTTGTTTAAGCCTTAAAAGGATCCGGTTGTTCTTGATTCAAGGCCTTTTGAAATTGTAATTATAAGTATTTTTTTCCATTGAAAAGAAATTGTATAGATTGTGTGATACACGTATTAACACAAACTACAAGCAGCTGAAACAGAGAGACAAGAGTATATGTAAAAGATTTGACAAAGCACATGTTATGTTGCACATCTCAAGTTGTTTTCCCTTTTGTGGCAAATGGTCCACAAACATGTTGTACTATCCACTGAATTCACCAAACAAAGAAACGATCCAATTCAAAGACAAGCTCTTGAGAAGATTTTTTATTATATTAAAAAAAAGGAGATAATTTTGAAACAGTGGAACAACCTGATCATCAAAAACACCAAAATTGACTCAGTTATGCCTAGTGTATATAAACTATACGATTCGAATATCTTTGACTTACAAGTGAAATCAATTATAAGACAGAATCAGAGATGACCCAGAAAAGTCAAAAATTCAAGGAACCTGTGACTATGGCAGTGAGGCCAGTTCCATCAACTCCATGAGTGACTTCTTCCGCTGTGGAACGAGACGAGAATCCAGATGCTCCTTTCGATCCGAAAAACCACATCTTTTTTTTTTGGAAATTCGAGAAGATGAGGGAAAGAGAAAAAAAATTCACAGACTGTGAGAGAGTTGTTAACGATTTAATTCTCGAGTGGTCGAGCGATTTTGCTTTAGTTCTTATATTAATAGCTTTATATGATTACTATAATGAAAAGGAAAGCTGGAGAGAAAGTGATGATTGAGGAGATTAGAGAAGAAGATTTAGATCTGCAAATGAACGAATAGTCAAAAGTTTCCATTTTTAAGAATCTTTCCAAATCAATTAACAACCTTAAAAATAGCTTCACCAAACGAAACTTCATTTTGACTTTATTGCTAGTCAGCCAGAGCCTGGCTCGGGTCTTCTCACTGAGCTCACATATCCATACAGTCAGGAGACTCAAGGGCCAAGACTATGAACAAATCTAACTGGATATGGCAGGGGCCGCGCGAACGCAGGCCCCCGCTGCCACAAATAATGACGCAGGCTCTCCCACTTGGGGAGACCTTAAGCTAAGCACCCTTCCGTTATGTGCAATGGAAGTCACTAGCTTGGGCCACTCTTCTTCTTGATCAAGATTCGACCCCGTCCAGGTAAGTACCTTTCAAGGCTCGACACTGGTCTTCTTTTATACTAGGCTACAGAGGAGAGTTCCATCGTCAAGCTTCCGATGTGGGAGAAATGACATTTGCAGTCTTTCGTTATCTGACTAGGCCTACTTTTTACATTTGATGGGCCTCACTCGAAGATTATTAATCTTCTGATAATCATTGTTAACAAATTTTATTTACCTTTTCTTGCTTGAGTCTCTCTCTGCTCTTCTACACCGAGGAGGGTTTGGACCGTTTGGTGAAAGTGAAACTAAAAAACCAAACCGGTCAGAACCAAAAGTAAACCACATTTTGCAGTGTTCAAATAACTATAGTAATACATTCCTTTAACAAAGAATGAAATAAGCATCACAAGATCCACAACAGAGACATTGAAACGTGTAAATCATAACCATCAAAGTGACATTTACTGAACAATTATCAACTTTCAAGAGCTAGTTTCTCCGGACTGCGAATCCGTAAGCTTATTGGTGAAATCCCAAAGCTTCTTGGCCAACTCTGAATCTTTGGCAATTGGCAATGGTTTACCAATGTTGTTATCTAGAAAGTATTCTCCTGTAACTCCTGCCACCTGAGGATGCAATGCCACATAGCATGTTGTTGCTGCTCCCTACAAAAACCAATACTTTGACATGATAAACCGACAAACCACATCAACCCCCAAAAAGCTAGACCGGTCTATCCTTTAACCGGAGAAACCGTGTGATCAGTTTGGTTATCAGTGTGAGGTCTAGAAACTATATACGTACCTGCGGAACAGTCTTGAACATATATTTAGCCACTGAAACAACAGCCACTGCATCAAGCCGGTGATAGAGAGGATCAGAAGACAAATCAAAGTAAACTTGTAGAGCCTGAGTGGATGAAACTTATAAAGTAAACTTATAAAACTTACCAGCTAAATAGCTGTTGAGGTGGCGCCAGAGATTTGTCATAATAGCTCCTGGATGAACTGAGTTTGCTGTTATATTGACTCCATCTTCCTATTTTAAGTTCATACCATAACTGAATCAAAATACTCATATAAACATAGATTCTTGATTTTAAAAGATCTTTTCACTATGTAGTTACCTTCAGTTGCTTGGCAAGCTCGTTGGCGTGCAATATATTGCAGAGTTTAGACTGACCATAAGCTCGGTAGTTAATGTAACTACAGTGGAAACCAGACCAGTAAAGAACGAAATATGTTACTCTTTGGAAGAAAAGACATGATGCTATTTGGTTCACCATTATTAATTACCTTGACTCGTCATTGATCTTATCAAAGCGGACTCCTTCAGGGTACGTGTAACGCTGACCTGATGATGAAACATTAACAATCCTTCCTTCTCTTTTGCTTTCACGTGATGTGTTCTTCATTGTGTCTAGCAGAAGTTTCGTCAACAGAAAATGACCTGAAAATATAATTTCATGATTAAATAATAAATACTAATGATGAGGCTAAAACTAAAGTTAAATGTGTTTAGGACAAAGCCATAATATTAGTATGGATTTATATTACTCACCTAAATGGTTGGTTGCAAATTGCATCTCGATGTTGTCCTTAGAGAGCTTGAAAGGACATGCCATTATCCCGGCGTTGTTGCTTACAAAATTGAGAAAATTGAAAACATTAACCATCAAATAATCACAAAACCGATATACATGAACAAACTGTATTAAGAATAACTCACATCAAGAGGTTGAGTGGAAGACCGGTAGATTTGTAGTCAGATGCAAATTTCCTGACAGAATCCATTGAGCTGAGATCTAACTCCATGACATCGACTTTAGCCCCAGGGACTTGGTTCACAATATCTTCTTTAACTTTAGCACCAGAGACAGTGTTCCTCACGGCCATGACCACATGCACGCCACGCAGTGCAAGAACACGTGCTGTTTCGATTCCTATACCACTTGATGCTCCTGCAAACATATGAACACAAAGAATAAACATACAGCTTTAGGAACCAAACAAGTCCAGCAAGCTCAATATCGTTCTTTGCCATTTCAACACCATGATATGTTGATAAAGAACATTCCATTGCTGCGTATGTCTATTGAAAACCACAGATTATGATCAACTAACAACTCAAGATACCAAGAAAAGAAGCAACACAGACACAAAAAATTGGCTCCAATTTATATGCAACTACTTGTGATGTCTTTAACATAAACAGTTCTTTTTTAAGCCTTAAACGGATTCTGTTGTTCTTGATTCAGGACCTTTTGAAAATGTAATCATATTGTGATATATGTATAACACAAACTACAAGCAGTTGAAACAGAGACGAGTATATGTAAAGATTTGACAAAGCACATGTTATGTTGCACATCAAAAGTTGTTTTCCCTTTGTGGCAAATAGTCCCAAACATGTTGTACACTGAATTCACCAAACAAAGTAAGAATCCAACTCAAAGACAAGCTTGTGAGAACAAGTTTTATTATTAAAAAAAAAAACTCTAAAATCGACTCACGGCTATACCAAGTGTATATAAAGTAAACAAACAAGAAAAGTCAAATCCTTTTGACTAGAGGTAGTGAAATCAATTCTAAGACAGAAGCATAGATGACTCAGAAAAGTCAACATGTCAAAAGTGGTGGAATAAGTTGCGATTGAAGCAAACCTGTGACTATGGCAGTGAGGCCAGTGCCATCAACTCCATGTGTGACTTCTTCTGCTGTGGAACGAGACGAGAATCCAGATGCTCCTTTCGATCCAAAAAACCACATCTTTTTTTCTTCTTCAGGAAAGAAAAAAGATAAAAATCAGAGACTGTGAGAGAGTTGTTAACGATTTTGCTTTGGTTAGTATTCTAATGGAAAGGAAAGCTGGAGAGAAAGTGATGATGATTGAGGAGAATTCTCACGTGGTGGAGAAGAAGATTTAGATCTCTGCAAATGAACGCAAAGTCAAAAGTAGTTTCCATTTTTTTAAATTTTCCACACCAAAATTACCTTAGAAACTCGTTTGCCTTTTGGTCTGATTACTTAACAAAGCTTGAAGATGTTTTCAGCTAGCTACTCTGGACTTGTTTCATCTAAACTTAGAAAGATGCATATAGGCTCTTTCTGTCTGATTGGTTTTATAATAAAAGTAGATGGAACAGAGAAGCAGGGGACCTATACCATTTAAGTTAGTAGACAGCCAGAGTCTGAAAATAACATTTTTCACAAAATCAACGTTTTGAATCTTTTGATTGATCCTTTAAAAGGTTATTTAATAAAAATTGAACTGTTAGGTATGGAAGGGGCCGCGCGAACGCAGGCCCCCACTGCCACAAATAATGACGCAGGCTCTCCCACTTGAGGAGACCTTAAGCTAAGCACCCCTCCGTCATGTGCAATGGAGGTCACTAGCTTAGGCCACTCTTCTTCTTGATCAAGAGTCGACCCCGTCCAGGTAAGTACCTTTCAATGTACGACGCTGGTCTTGTTTTATACTATGCTACAGACGAGTGTCTAGTCGGAAAGCTTCCGATGTGGGAGAAATGACACTGTTGGCACTTGGCAGGTTTCGATATTTGACTAGGCTTTGTTTAATACCTTTGATGGGCTTCACTCAGAGGTTGTTGTTATAATATTACAGTCCATATCAAACCGAGTTAACATTGGATTTTGTTTTTATTATAGGAATACTGAGACATTGATATGTGAAAAGTAAAAAGGTTCACTGAATTTATTATCAACTTTCAAGAACTACTTTCTCCTGGTTGCGAATCGGTGAGGTTATTGGTGAAATGCCAAACTTTCTTGGCCAATTCTGAATCTTTGGCGAGTGGTAATGGTTTAGCAATGTTGCTGTCTAAGAAGTATTCCCCTGTAACCCCTGAAACCTGAGGATGCAATGCCACATAGCATGTTGTTGCTGCCCCCTACAAAACAGATTATACTGAACATGAAAACCAATGAACCAAAAATTCAATCCCCAAAAGCTAGACCGGTCTATCCTTTAACCGGAGAAATCTTGTCAACAGTTTGTAACTGATTGGTTATCTATCACTGTGAGGTTTAGAAATTTAGAAGCATACCTGCGGAACGGTCTTGAGAACATGTTTAAGCACTGCACCAACAGCTCCTGCATCAAGCCGGTGATAAAGAAAATGAGAAGAAAAATCAAAAGTAACCTTATAAAGCATGAATTGATAAAAGTGGAATCAGAGAGAAGAAGCTACCAGCTAAATAGCTGTTGAAGTGGCGCCCGAGATTTGTCATAATGGCTCCTGGATGAAGTGAGTTTGCTGTTATGTTGACTCCATCATCCTGTTTTTATTCATACCAGAACTGAATCAAGATAGTCACAGAAAAAAAATTAATTCTTGATCTGATATACAATGTTCTTTTGGTATTTACCTTGAGTTGCTTTGAAAGCTCGTTGGCATGCAATACGTTGCAGAGTTTAGACTGACCATAAGCTCGGAAACTACTGTAACTGCAGTGGTTGAGACCAAACCAAGAAAGTACGAATATGTTATTCTTTGGAAGAAGAGACAGGATTAGAATAATGACTATTTGGTTCACCATTAGTACCTTGACTTGTCATTGATCTTATTCTTATCTAAGCGGACTCCTTCAGGGTAGGAGTACTTGTGAGCTTCTGAAGATAGATTAACAATCCTTCCTTCTCTTTTGCTCTCACGTGATGTGTTCTTCATTGTGTCTAGCAGAAGTTTCGTTAACAGAAAATGACCTGAAACATAATTGGTTCACAAAGGCACTGATTAAAAAAACTAATAGTATACAGATTTAGCACAAAGCCATGAAGTTGGATTAGTTATACTACTCACCTAAATGGTTGGTTGCAAATTGGAGCTCGATGTTGTCCTTAGAGAGCATAAAAGGACATGCCATTATTCCAGCGTTGTTGCTTACAAAATTGAGACAATTCAAAACATTAACAGTCAAAAATAGTCCCAAACGGCGATACATGAAGCACAGTATTTTTGGATAGCTTACATCAAGAGGTTAAGTGGAAGACCGGCAGATTTGAAGTCAGATGCAAATTTCTTGACAGAATCCATTGAGCTGAGATCTAACTCCATGACATCAAGTTTAGCCCCAGGGACTTGGTTCACAATATCTTGTTTAACTTTAGCACCAGAGCCAGTGTTCCTCACAGCCATAACCACGTGGACACCACGCAGTGCAAGAACACGCGCTGTCTCTACTCCTATACCACTCGATGCTCCTGCAAGCATATGAACACAAATGAAAGAACATTCAAAAGAACCAAATACGTCCAGAAAGCTCAATGAAGGATAGTTCTTAGCCAATTCTATACACTAATACAGAACATTTCCTTGCTGGCTTGCTGCCTATGTCTATAAAACACCAATTATGATCAGATAAGATCTTTAGTAAACCAAGAAAATAAGCAAGATTTCACATAGACACAATAAATTTTTGGCTTGGTCGATGTCTTCAACATCAACCAACTCTAATTTATATGCAACTTTTGTGATGTCATCAAGATCACCAACTCTTGTTTAAACCAAAAGGTTTCGACTGTTATTGATTCAAGGGGATTTCGAAAATGATCAAACCTATCAAAAGGATTTCAAGTGTTTTGCTTTTCTTTTCCCTTTTTACACTTGCCAAGAAATCAAATAGATTGTGGTATGTCTAACACAAACTATAGACAGCTGAAACAGAGACGAGAATATATGTAAAATATTTGACAAAGCACATGTTATGTTGCACATCTCAAGTTAAGGCAAATGGTCCCAAACATGTTGTACACTGAATTCACCAAACAAAGGAATAATCCAATTCAATACAAGCTCTTGAGAACTCGTTTTATCATCAAATAAAGAAGTTTAATGAAGGAAGACTGTTTCTTACTGACAAAAAAAAAAGAAGACGACTTTCGAACAGTGAGAAAAAATGATCATAAAAAACACCCGAAATCGATTCAATAATACTAATTCCATAAACAATAAAAGTCAAACCCTTTTGTCTTCCAGGTGAATTCAATTCTGAGACAGAATCAGAGACGACCCAGAAAAGTCAACAATTCACGAGCTGTGAAAACGCATGAATATTTACAGTGAAGATGCGATTAAAGCAAACCTGTAACTATAGCAGTGAGGCCAGTTCCATCAACTCCATGTGTAACTTCCTCTGCTGTGGAACGAGACGAGAATCCAGATGCTCCTTTCGATCCGAAAAACCACATCTTTTTTAGTTTCTTCTGGAAATGCGTGAAGATGATAGGGGAAAGAAAAATTAATACACAACACTGAGAAGAGTGGTTAGCTTTTCAACGTTTTCTTCTCCCAGTGGTCGAGCGATTTTGCATTAATTCTTATTTTAATTAAATTTTAATAACTTTTTGTTCATATGTGAAATGTGATTTACTTTGATGAAAAGGACAGACGGAGAGAGAGTGAGTGATGAGGAGAAGTTATGAAGAATCCTCTCGTGGTCGAAGAAGATTAGATCAGATCTTGAAAGGAGCGAAAGTCAAAAGTTACCACTTGTAAGAAATGTGAGGAAGTTTACAAATGTCTCCTAACCAAATCCAACGTTAGAAAAAGGCTTTCAGAAGAACAGTACAAATGTTTTTTAAGACATAGAAACAAATCTAAGCACCAAATGGGCTTTTAGTTTCGGAAATCCGTCACCATTTTGCTTTCACGTGAGTTTCTGGATTATTCATTATATCGATTCTTGCTCACTCTGTTCCGTTTTACAGAAACACAATAAGAGTCAGTGGCTACGGTTGAAGTTGATCTTTCGAACCACTTTGATAAAAATTGAACTGTTAGGAATGGAGCCGCGCGAACGCAGGCCCCCACAGCCACAAATAATGACGCAGGCTCTCCCACTTGGGGAGACCTTAAGCTAAGCACCCCTTCGTTATGTGCAATGACGGTCACTAGCTTAGGCCACTCTTCTTCTTGATCAAGAGTCGACCCCGTCCAGGTAAGTACCTTTCAATGTTCGACACTGGTCTTCTTTTATACTACGCTACAGAGGAGTGTCCCATCGTCAAGCTTCCGATGTGGGAGAAATGACATTTTCTACTAATAGTATAGGCCGGATTTCGTTATTGGACTAGGCTTAGTTTCATACATTGAATGGGCCTTACTCAAAGGTTATAACAATAGGCCCATATCTACGACGACGAAAGCGCACAATCAGTAAGAGTTAGGAAAATATGTGTACTCTTTAAAATTGTTCTTGTTAAGTTGTTATCGTCGCTCACTCATGAACAAGTAGAGATATATTCTCTGTACGTACTATATGTAAATTGACTTGACCACATCCACTTGACACAATAATAGACTGGACTTGTCCATATGATATCTCACACTTATTTGAATCTTCCAATTAAGCTCCACGAAACCGCGACGAAAAATAGTTTCAAGGCAAGAATCAGTTCCTTCCCTCTTTGGTGAATCACAAAATTGTCAAATTCCAAGTCAATCCATTTTGTTTGTTTGTTTGTTTCCCTCATCTTTTTCTAAGTGTAGTAATTTACAGTTATACTCCCTCCGTTTCTTTGAGATGAATTTTCTAGACATTTTTTGTTGTTTCACAAAGATAAATTTTTTAGCTTTTTGAAATACTTTTTTCAGCTTTCAAAAAACAATAATTGGATTTGTTAGATTTTTATTGGTCTAAATTTATAGAAAGTTGTTTTATTGTCAAAATCTATACACTAATGATTGAAAATCAATTTTTTATTAATATGTGTGAAAAGTCTAGAAAATCCATCTTAAAAAAAACGAAGGGAGTATTTTGGAGTATCTGATACATTTATTTTTTTTATTTTTTGTTTGTTTAACTACAAGAATTATATGATCAAAAACATCTATTTTTCTATTTCTTATTTTTAACAGAAAATCTAAATTACACCAAAAAAAGAAAACTATTCCGCTGAAAAAAATAAGGAAATTTTTGTTGATTAGTTTTTTCTTTTCTTTTTAGACCTTTCATCTTCCTCTTAACACGACTCGCATAAACAGAACAATCTAGAAGAGGAAGATAGCATCGACCCATCCATCTCTATATATACTTTGCTCCTTCGAGGAACAGAACAATCTTGCCCTCTTTCAATTGTATCGTCTATTCGTCTTCTTCTCTGTTTCTCTTCTCAGCTGCTTTAAGGAAACCCAATCGACATGGCTAAGGAACTTGCGTCCAAGGCTCAAGAGGCTTTCGTAGACGACGACTTCGAAATTGCTGTTGACTTGTACTCCAAAGCCATTGACTTGGATCCTAATTGCGCCGATTTCTTCGCCGATCGAGCTCAGGCCAACATCAAACTCCAAAACTTCACTGGTACCTTCTTCGTCCTGTTACCAAAATAAAAGATCGATACTTTATCAAAGAACAACATAAATCTTCGTCTTTGAGCTTTTTGGTTTCTTGTATAGCTGAAAGAAGTTGACTCTGTCTCATACAGTAGTTTCAAGTGCTATAGCTTCTCGTAGCAATTACTGATTTCATTGATTGAGTTTGGTGGTTGTAACTGTGAATCGACATATTGTTTTGTAATCTGAAAGATTTGGCTTACCAATTATGAGAATCAGTTTTCAAAGTTTCAATTTTTTTGCTCAGAGTGATTAGTATTCCTCTGCATTGTGTGGTCGACATAGTGCTTTATAAGTTTACTCGTATTGGGTCTGACTCTGACATGTTTCTTAATGAGCAGAAGCCGTGGCAGATGCGAACAAAGCAATTGAGCTGGATCCTTCATTGACCAAAGCTTACCTAAGAAAGGGGTAATATTATTGCTACTTCATCTTCCTATATCATTGTTACTCGTGTGTATTATAAGCTCGTCAATTAATATTTTGGTTAATGTGTTTGTAGAACTGCTTGTATGAAGCTTGAAGAGTATAAAACTGCTAAAACAGCTCTTGAAAAGGGTGCTTCCATTGCTCCTAGTGATGCCAAGTTTAAGAAGTTGATAGATGAATGCGATCTCCAAATCGCAGGTATATATATTCTCAGTGCTTGTTTCTTTTTTCTTGTCTTAACATTATGATATGTTAAGGTTTTTATTTTATGAAACTCTTTGATTTCTTTGTTCAGAGGAAGAGAAAGATTTGGTCCAGCCTGTGCCAGTATCGGAACTTGATCTTACCCCTGCGCCTGCAGCAGCACCAGCTAAAGCCAAGTTCAGGTAGTTTCATTGTACAAAACAAATGCTGTTTCCAGTTTTTTTCCATCATCAAATAAGCTCATGTTCTTGAGTGTGTAAAACAGACACGAGCACTACCAAAGTCCGGAAGAAGTTGTGGTGACTGTTTTCGCCAAAAAGATCCCCAAGGAGAATGTTAATGTCGAATTCGGTGAACAAATTGTAAGTTTACTCCAATCTAAGAACCACACTTCGATGACGACGCTTATGTATGATTGTGTGTTAATTTGTTATTATGATTATGATTTTGCAGCTGAGTGTTGTCATTGAAGTTCCTGGAGAGGAGACTTATTACCTTCAGCCGAGATTGTTCGCAAAGGTAGTTTATCTTTGAATTTCAATGATTTGGTTTTTTCTCATAACCCTTCTTCATATATATGACTCTCCTTTGTGGTGTGTGTGTGCATTCAGATCATACCAGAGAAGTGCAGATATGAAGTGTTGTCGACCAAAGTTGAGATTCGACTTGCGAAAGCTGATGTAATCACATGGCCTTCCCTTGAACATGGCAAAGGACCAGCTGTTTTGCCAAAGCCTAATGTCTCATCAGGGGTTTCGCAGAGGCCGGCTTATCCATCTTCCAAGAAAGTTAAGGACTGGGACAAGCTGGAAGCTGAATTGAAGAAACAGGTCTTGTCTCTTTATCATACTTAAGCTTGGACCAAACTGTTCTGTTTTTGGTTTTCTCTTTGTTGAATTGTGAGATGATATTTGCAGGAGAAGGATGAGAAGCTGGAAGGAGACGCAGGTTTGAACAAATTCTTCCGTGATATATACCAGAGCTCGGATGAGGACATGAGGAGAGCCATGAGCAAATCATTTGTGAGTATCTTCTTTTTGGTCTTTCTTTTTTCATGGAGAAGAGAAAAAGTTTTGTCCTTTTGACTGATGAGTGTTTTTGAACAATGAACAGGTGGAATCGAATGGGACAGTGCTGTCGACGAACTGGAAAGAGGTTGGGACGAAGACAATCGAGAGCACTCCTCCGGATGGCATGGAGCTCAAGAAATGGGAGATCTGAATACCTAAATCTTAGAAACTGGTCCCTTTCTTCCTGTAATGAGGTTTTGCTTTTGCTAAATATTGGCTTTCTACTTTTGCTAAGTGAATGGTTATGGTCTTGGGACCTTCTTTTGTATTTTGCCTTAGAACTCAACTTCTTCTGATGTCTCGCTCGTCCGAATATTCATAATGTTATCATGGTCACATCAAATCACATCGGTGAAATATGATTAGTCATTTTAGTTGACAATGAGTTTTGAACAAAGCTATAAACGATTCGAAACTTGAGAAAGCTCTCACTTAACTTAAAGTGGATAGCTACATGATAAAGAGAAGACGGTAGGATAAATAATAAGGCGGGAGAGAGATATCATGAAGCTTATTCAAACAAGTTTCTGATCGGATTGAATACGATCTTCTACAGCATACAAACCAAATTTCTTGTAAAAGAAGAAAAGGAAATCAGGGATGGTTTCAAAGTAGAAATTTGGCTACATTACAAGAAACACAAAAGCGAAGCAAAAGTCGCATATTAAATTTCATATGGAGCCACTGTAGTCGCTTTGTCGCAGTAATAGTAACATAGACACATCTCTCCCCTGCATTTACTGATATCAAGTATAACCCTAGCAAATTTATACTTGCAATCATTCTTGCACTGCGCATCACCATAAGCTCCATAACAATACCTAGGACCAGATCCGCCGCATACCCCCTGCGCTGCTGTTCCATATACACTGACTTATTTTTGATCTTGTACAAAAACAAATTTGAATATAACTAAGCAAGTATATAGGTAAAGATGTTAGTTACCTGACGACTGGAGAAGAGAAGAAAGAAGAAGGACTGCGACAACAACTACGGTAAACTTTAAGCTCCCCATCTCTATCTTCTTCTTCTTGTTTTTTCTTGTTCTTGGTATATGTACAGCAGGTGAGTGTATTTATAGCAACCAAGAGGGAACAGTGAGGATAATCTTTCTTTTTATGAATCTCAAAACGTGGTTTATCGTGGGCACATGTCGTCCTACTTTAAACACAACCTCAAACAGTTAACCATTACTTATTAGTTATATCGTAAAATTACTTTGATAACCCAAACAATCACTAATCAACTAATTAATCATGTATGTGGTCTAACAAAAATGTTGATGACGCATCGATGGTATAACATATATTTAACGTGACTAGCGTGCACGTTACGTTAGAGAGAGATGTAATCAATATTCAGAAAAAAAGCGTTGGAGATAAATTTAAAGATCATCTTTTAGTTTAAAACAAAAAACATTTTAGAGCCAAATGTAGTAGCTTAGTTTAGGTGAATCTTTTGGCGGCATTTGCTTAATTTGGACATATTGGGCCAATTTTTAAATATACAAGGTACAAACAAACTCCTGTCAAAAATCAGTTTTACTTTTTACGAAGAAAACAATTAAACACTAATTCGTAATAATCAGAGCGAAGAAGTTAGAAGCTGGGGAGTTATTATCGAAAGAAGAAGACACTAATCGTATATAATTGCCGACACAAGTAGCTTCTCTCAACGTGGTTGAACGTGGATGCTTTAAATAAACACAAGCTCCAACAACTAACTACTCAGTAATCGAATGGGACAGTGCTGTCGACAAACTGGAAAGAGTTTGGGACTAAGACAAACAAGAGCACTCCTCCGGATGGCATGGAACTCAAGAAATGTGAGATCTGATTCCTTCCTTTTGATTCATCATTTGTGGGTTGTACCTATATCTAGACAAATCTTAGAACTTTGTCTCTTTCTTCTTGTAACGAGGATTATAAAGGTTTTGCTTTGGCTAAATATTGGGCTTTTTTACTTTTGCTACGTGAAGGAATATGGTCTTTAGGACCTTCTTTGTACTCAACTTTGTGATGTTTTATCTGAATATTCCCAATTTTCATATGATCGCAATCCTTGCTTGAGATTTTGTTAAAATTTAGTACGATTCATATGTGTAGTTTCCGATGTACTTTAATAAGTGGTTGTGTACGATTCATACAAAAGTTTAATAAAAATTTAATGTTTTATTAATCTGTGTGATGTTTTATCTGAATAATGTTTTATTAATCTGTGTGTACGATTCATAACCAAATTCATATGTAGTTTCCGATGTACGATTAGATATACTCATACATATAAGATCTATTAGATACGACTTGAGGTCCAAGTGATGACAATAAAATAGGCAAAATAATCTTATTTCGATTTGTACGATATCTAATACGGTTTCTACACGAACACCTTTTTGTATAAGTAAGGTAGGAAAACAAATTGAGGCGGTCTCTCACTCTCTCTATATAAACACCCACACATACTCTCACAAATCACAATTCAAATCTACAACAAGCCTTCTCCTACTTTAACAACAACAACAACAAAAACCCTAAAAGCTCTACCGAGCTTCTCTTCGACAATGGCAAGTACTTGCAGAATCAGCTTCATCAGCATCGTGATCCTCTTCTTGCTCTTCATCAATCAATCTACAATTTCTTGTTCTGCACGCATCCGTCTTATGGAAGGCCGAGTTCTAGCTGACGAGAAGCAACACGGTCTCTTAACACTTGATGAGATTAAGAAAGCTGATCGGGACGCACGCCTGGATTTTGCAGAGACGATTGAAGCTGAGACCAATTTTTTTGAAGACGATTCACGCCCGCTTTCCAGGATGGAATTAATTAATAGTAGGTTTTAATTATATTGATGAAGTTGATGATTATATTCTTAGGCCTAGCTACTGAAACATTACATCTTCATGGCTTATTCAGTCGTCGTGATTTTGTTTATTGTAATTCTCCCTATCTTGTTGTACTTTTAATATTAAAAAAATCGAAATATTCAGATAAAAAGAACATAATATCATCGTGATCTAAAAGTTTGCTTTATATGATCTGTTTTTTTGTTTCCCATTGTCAATATTCCTATGTCTCTTGTTCTATAAGATTTAGGTTTTCGATATTGTTGCGTTAGGGTTTCGTTGTAACAAATAAAGTTGGTGTACTTATTAGTTTCCATCAATCTTGTATTTCTAATAGATTCGCATTATCTTGATTTATTTCTACTACTTCAAAAATTAAATTAATGTTAAATTTCTTTTCATTTTTAATAGTTTTCACTTTGGTGTTAAGATGGCGCCATGGTATCTAGAAGATCCACGTTAAATACAAGAATATTGAATTTCCTATTATAATATGTAGTACATTCATATTGTTTTCGAAAGCTAATGTTACGAAAATACATACAGGTCGTGTCCTATAGCTAAAAGCTCAAAAGCATGTTGAATCGACGAGTTTTTTTAATAAAGTTGAATCGACGAGTTCGAGCGAGCACACACACACACACACACCACACTCAGAAGAAAGAAAAGAAAAATCCAAAGGAACCAATAATCAATTATAAGACTCCTATCTACACGAGATAGTGTTGCTAGTTTTTTAGTTTAAAATTGGGCAATAGCAATAACAAACACATGTCCTTCGCTCGAGACAAAAGACAAAAAAAAATAATTAGAAACGTAGGAATCTTTGCTTCTTCTTAGATGCTGATGAGAAATCGACAGAATTATTTTGTTTCTGCTGTACTATAATAAAGGAGAATGCGACTCTACAAGCGAGGGTTGATATATGACATGCATTCAAGATTCAGTTCAAGATTTTAAGTTTGTAATTATGTAAAGCTCTGATCGATACCTGTTCGTTTATTTATTCTAAAACATACAGATCTTTTTGGCATGATGTACCTTTTTGATAAAAATTAACACTAAATGACACTTTAAAAAAAATAGAAACATACTTAGCTTGTAAAACAACAATTATGTTAAAACTTAAAACGGAAATTAGTATTAGCAACTTTGTAATCAATTCAGAAACGGACGACGTACTAGCATGCTGCATGCGGACACACAAGAAGAAGATAAGCTAAAGAAAAAAGAAACTTGGGACACGTAATATTCTTTTGTCCTCTATCTTCATTTTAATTTCCCACGTGAGAATGATACATCAAACCTATAGTAAAATGTGGAAATCATTCCCCAAAAAAGAAAAGTGGTTAGAAATATTTCACTATAAATTCCAACTCGTATAGCAACGAGAGTTTCATCACCCAAAACACAAAATCTAAATAGAGAGAAAGAAGTGAGAAATGGCGACCAACAACAAGTCCATCGACTGGCAGTTCACCGGAAGCGAGGCGGCCAAAGAAGCTGCCGCGACCTCCTTAGGCACCTACACTTCTTCAATCTATGCCTTATGTGATCCTAATGGAAAGCCCATTTTGCCACCGCGAAGCGATAACCTAGAGACCAGCCATACAGCCGAAAAAGCTGTGGTCAAAGCCGTCCTCTGCGGCACAGGAAACGCCTACTCTCCTAGCATTGGCGTCCCCGCCGCCAAACGGTATATATAAACGCCAACGATCTGAACGTTATTATCTTTGTATAGGTTCTTTGACACATGTCATTTTTGCTTCCGTTATTCTTAGTGCCGTAGCTGAGTTTATGAACCAAAAGCTTACAAAGAAGCTGACACCGGACGACGTGTTTATGACCGTTGGATGCAAACAAGCCATCGAGCTCGCGGTAGACATTCTGGCTAAACCTAATGCCAACGTTCTGCTTCCGAGCCCTGGCTTCCCATGGGACGAAGTCCGCTCCATCTACAGAAATCTTGAGGTCCGCCACTATGATTTCCTCCCCAAACAAAACTTTGAAATCGACTTCAAAAGCGTGAGAGAGAAGGTAGACGAGAACACATTTGCCATATTCATAATCAACCCCCACAACCCTAATGGAAACACCTACTCCGAGGCTCATCTCAAACAGGTACAGTATGTATTTACACACACACATATATATATATATATATATATATATATATATATATATATATATATATATATATATAGTCTTAGCAACAATTGAAGTGAGTTTTCTAAAATGTTCTTGGTTAAAAAAAAAAAAAGACTAATTTATGAAAGTTGTGTAAAGACTAATAAAATATGTTCTTGGATAATCTAAATTTCTTATTGTGTAATTCTTGAAACCTCAGCTGGCTGAATTGGCTAAGGAACTTGGGATCATGGTGGTTGCTGACGAGGTTTATAGATGGACCATCTTCGGGAGTAACCCTTTTATTCCCATGGGAACTTTCTCGCATATCGTACCGGTTGTTACACTCGGATCCATATCAAAGGGATGGAATGTCCCTGGATGGCGAACTGGCTGGCTCGCGCTGCACGATCTAGACGGTGTCTTCAAGAACACCAAGGTCCAATCTTTTTCTTTTTCTTTTCGTGATCTCTAAGCAAGCATTATATGTATATAATTAATTCCTAAAGACTATATTTGATATTTGAATTTAAAACTTTTGTCTTTCATTTCTTGGCCTTATTAATTATTTTGTTACGTGTGGACAGATCTTGCAAGCTGCTAGAGAATTTCTAGAGATCAACTCTAAGCCTCCGACTGTTATTCAGGTGAGAGAACGGTTCAACATAAATTTGGTTTATTTTTCTCTCAACTCTTATTGTAAGAGTACACTTTTTGTTAATTACATATATATGGAGTATAATTTCATCATTTAAAATGTATATATATAGGCGGCTATTCCTGACATTTTGGAGAAAACTCCTAAAGAGTTCTTCGATAACAGGGGGGCTTTTCTGAAAGACAAAGTAGAATTTGGATATTCTAAGCTCAAGTACATTCCTGGCCTCACTTGCTACATGAAACCCGAATCATGCACCTTCTTATGGGTATTCTATTATTACATTTTTATGAACACACTTTTTATCTTTCTTCTGTTTTGAGACTATCTTTACACTGAACATTTATTGTTATCGCAGACCGAGCTGGATGTGTCGTCCTTTGTGGACATTGAAGACGATATAGACTTCTGCAAGAAGCTTGCTACGGAAGAAAACCTCGTTGTTTTACCAGGTAACAATTTATAAATCCCCCCTTGCCTAAGAATCTCTAAAGTTTCCTTTATTCAAGTTTAGGGTTTAATTAAGGTTTAAAGCAAAAATATATACTATTCTTTTTTTTTTTCTTTTTTTATAAACATTGTGTGTTTGATTGGTTAGGGATTGCATTCAGTCAGAAGAACTGGTTGAGGCATTCTATTGACATGGAGACTCCGATATTGGAGGATGCATTTGAAAGATTGAAGAGTTTCTGTGACCGCTATTCCAAAGCTTCACTCAAAGTCGTCAACTAAAGGGTCGCTACGTATCTTTGGCCTTGCCTAAGTCTTTTATATAAGCTATAAGCATGTAATAAATAAATGAGTGTTTTATTGATTTGAGATAAATCATGAACACTTTCGTATTTGTAACAAATAAAATTGGTGTACTACTTATCATCATCAATCGTGCAATGGTTTCTCATGATGTATCTACTTTTCGAAAAATAAAAATATTAAAATAAAATTCCAATTTCTATTCATTTGATATGGATTGGTGTGCAATTGCTATTTGTACATACATCTATATTGATCTCTTAAGCACTGAAAAATACATTAGTCGTGTCGTGTAGTATATATGGCTCTAAAGAATGTAGACCAGATCGTTGAGATTAGTCATCGTTTGTCGTATCTTACAAGCTGAACAAATAAAATACATAAAATTCCGAATATGAAAATCAATTGAACATATTTCCAAAAATGAAAAAAAAGGAAAACAAAAATCGTTAAACGGGGATTTTTTTTTTGTAATTAATCATTTTCTAGAACTCTAAGAAGAAAATCAAGTTTGTTTTCTGTCCATCTACAACTTCCACAAAGACTATAATACTATTCATCAAGGTACAAACTCCTGTCAAAATCACTTTACCTTCTATGAAGATTTTTTTTTTTTTTTTTTTTCCATTCTGCTAATTAAACACTAAGCGTAATAATCACCATCAGAGCGAAGAAGTTAGAACATAGAAGCTTCACACACTAAAAATCAACACATACACGGTCCTCTTCGTTTTATTAGTCAAGAGTTCAAACAACAATCGGTCTTTTCAACGATTTTAGATGAGTCCATAGTAACTAGGACAAGATATAATAGGATTTTCTTATCAAAATGATGGGATTATTAATTAACGATGTAAAATATGTTTATGTAATGTAAGCCTCCCACGACCGGAATGGTTTACTTAATTCCTGATTTTCGTGAATCTTGTGTTTACAAGAAAAATAAAATATAGTAATCACTTCATAAATTCAGCTAAATAAACACCAATCTGATCACCAATCACATCCAAATTTTAGAAGCTTCACAATCACAACACTAAAATCAACTCCTCCCACTTTAAAAAAATTCCGTTTTCCAAGTCAATAGTCAACCGTACTTAATTATTTCCAGGCAAACGCGTTCCGGAAACTTACGTCTCCATTACAAATCAAATACTCCTATATATAAACTATACTGTTAATTTATAACCTCCAAAGTTAGTTATACACATAACAAGAAATTTGAGCTCATCCATGGCTGATTCTAAAGAGGATCAAGCTAAGCCTCTAGCCCCACTTTCTCTCACTACCCGAAGCGACCAACCCCTCGAAGATCATCATTATTACCACGACGACCGAACCAAACACTTTCACTCACGGTCACGGACCAGACTGATCTTATGCTGCGGTTTCATCGCATCTCTAACTCTGATAATTGCGTTCACCTTCATCGTCCTCTCTCTCACGGTTTTCCATCTCCATAGCCCAACTCTCACCGTCGATTCCATATCAAACCGAAACGCTACGGTCTCGTTGGAAATTTCCTTGCGCAATCCCAATGCGGCGTCGTTTAAAGTGAGAAACGTTACTTTTTTGCTTCACTACGGTGACTTCGTGGTTGCTGAGGATACTGGTAGAAGAAGTGAAACTATTCCGGCGAAACGGACGGTTAGGATGAATCTGACGGCTGAGATTGTTACAACAAAGCTACCAGCATCTTTAGCAGGAGTGGATTTGAAAAGCAGTGTTGTAGTTAGTGGTAAAGTGAAGATCTTCAAGATTTTCAAGAAATCTGTTCATCTTACAAAAGATTGTTTCATGAAGATGACGATCAACAATTCCTCAAAGCTTACATTTCAATGTTCAAGGACAAGAAATGCTCATGAACAAATCCAAACCTAAATAGAGCAAATTCTTTTTCTCCCTTTCTACGGCTTATTTATAAATGTCTGTAAATAAACTCATGTCAACAAAAATGTATTGTAGATTCAAAAGACAAGAATATTCCGCCGGAAACTAGAACTCTCCGGCAACACTAATAACACACACAAAAAGAACATTTATCCTAGAGGATCTCGAGTCCTATCAAAGATCGATCCATTAACTTTTCTTCATCAACGTTTGAGAAAGAGAAAGAAACAAGTATGCGCAACATTTGGCTGGTTTTGCACCGGAAAATCTCACCGGAGGTTTTATTATTTCTTTTGGTCAGTGACACGTCCTCCGGCGATCTTAACAACAGGTTCGTCTTTGCCCAGTAAAAGCGTTAGCGCCGGATGAACCTTGAGGTCTCCCGTTGCTAGCTTTTGTCCAACGTCCAGTTCGCTGAGATCTACTTCTATATATGGTGGGATTATCTCTGCTGGGCATAGGTACTTTACCGTTCTCTTTATCGTATTCAGAGATCCTCCTGCAATGCAAAATCAAGATCAAGAAACGGTGATGATCTATGCCAAAATCTAGCAAGATTAACATACAAGACACTTAGTGTTATGATCCACTAAACAAGAAAAATGGTAAATGCTTGTTGGAAACTGGGATCGTTCAATACCAACATATATCACTCAAACCGGAAACTATCTCCTAAAGCTTGCTCATTGATTTCACAACAGCTCTGTGTAAAAGTTTCACAATGACATCAAACATAAGGCCATTTTCCATGAATTTGATAAGTGATGCATCAATGTGAAGCCTAGCTAAGTCTTATCCAAGAAAGGGTAACTAAATTCAAGGCTTCTCTACAAGATGGAAGCTCAAAGACTAAACCCCAATCAAGTCATGATTTTTAGTGACTGACCCTAACTAACTAATTCAGTACTCATACATTTAAGAATATACATAATTACTTTATCTCACTTTCTTCTCATTTCTTTGTTGGTGGCAAAATCAATTACAGAGGAAGAAGATATTAAAAATCAGTCAAGGCTTTTGTTACCTTTCTTTAGTCCAGGAGAAACATCATCTCCTATGAACACAAGAGGGACATCGATTTTCAATAAAGCCCCTGGAGGAGCTCTTAAGAGCGTCACATTCATTGGAGCATCTGTTCTCGGGTGAAAACTAATCTGAAACACATTTCATAGCAGAGAGTTATCTCATTACTCAATCCAATCAAACTAAAATCAATATAGCAAGTGAAGATTCATAAACATAGGAGAAAAATGCAATGTTTGTGATTCCATCGATTTTGGAGAGTGAGAAGAGAAAAAGAGGAATTACCAATCTAGGCAAAGCCCGGACTTTCTCGATAATCTCACCGCAGCCTAGCTCAGGCCTGACCTCGACATCGAAGAGTCTGGAGAGGAAGAAAGATAAACCACACTGATTCACAAGCTTCCTGATCTGATTCGTCTCGACTGAGACTAGCCTCTTGTTTCCTCCGTGTTCTCCATCCGCCTGCTCGAATATGATCGAAGGAAGCCGACCGGCTTTACGCTCTAACGCCGCGATTCGTTTCCCGGATTCTGACCTTGGGACGGCCATAATCGTCTCATCGTACTTTGGATCGGGTGTTGGGAATCCAGGGAGGTAAGTTAATTGAGGATATACGATCTCCTCGGAAGCTAATGCGGTGGCCGCCGGAGAGAATAATCGGAGGTTTTGTAGGGTTTTGGGTAGTGCTGTTGCACGACGGAGCAACATTTTGTTAATCCCTTTTACCAGATAGAGAGAGAGGAACGACGACGAAGAGTGGGTTTAGGAACTGTGTTACAGAAATGAGAGGTTTCTCCCAAGATACGCTGTCGTTTTAGAAAAAAAGGTAATGGGCCTAGTTTAAAAGTTTCATGGGCTTAAATTAAGTCATCATAAGTTATTTAGAAGTGCATTTCAAGCCGAAGGCAAAGCTCAACATTTTTAAATCTGATGGCATGATTCATTCAACGGATATTCCATAAAGATCTTCTTTGAATCCATCTACCAAATTTTGTAAATGATCATTTTGCCCTCAGTGTGTGCCAAACGGTTTTATAGTGAGTTTAGTCTGTGAGATTGATATGTAGTGAATCACTAATAAACCAAAACCAAATTATTAGTGATTCACCGAATAAGCGTGAATGATTATGCAATCCAAATGCCAATGAGACAAAAATAAACTGAACCGGACCTAATTAGTGGTCGGTACATCTTTAAACATGGTATAACGGTAAGGCTAAAATCGTCAGGACATAAAACATGGCCTCCATCAACGAATCTATAAGAGCATAAGCTAGTTTTGCTCTCTCGACCCGAGAAAATACACATTTCTATCACGTCTCAAGCCGCCAAGGTAATGTTTTCAGTATCACGATTTTCTTTTTGCTATTAACTTATCATTTGATTCAATATAATCTTATTAGATATTCTGATATAGCATTTATATTATAACTTATAAGTGTTGTGTTTTTCGTTAGTGAAAGAAAAGCTGAAGAAGAATTCATCATTCATAAAGCTTCTCGAGCTCATGAGGATTGAGGACTGTGGAACTTCTACTTTTTCACTTCGTCTTCCATCATGGAAGGTATAATTCTCTGTTTTTTTTTCATTATTGTCCTCAAATCTAAATCAAACGAGTTAGTTATTCGGTTTGAGCATTTTTCGGTTTGCAGTTACGGTTTGGTTCAGGTTCTGGTTTATTGTGATCAATAAATTACAAAAATCCTTTTGTCTTGGGCCGATGAGAAAACTAGTACTGGGCTTAGTAGTTGTAGAGCAAGTCATCATTTGTGCCCTGCTGGGCTCTCTTGTTGTCAGTTGTCACTCCTCTGCGTCACAAGTTTTACACTTATGAGAACCTCATTTAAGAAAAATGAAACTATATTAAGTAGTAACGAAAAATGTTTAGTTTATTTATTTCATGTATATCATAAAACTAATTACCTGTTTATCATAATATGATAATACCGTTTATCAGATACTCCGTACTTAATTATTTAGTGGAAGTACATAAAAAAATCTAAATAAATCAGTATATCATAGATTCATAATCATATATTAATGCTGTTTTAATGGTCCTTATTTGTCGGATACAGAAAGAACGTGACTCATGTACGAATGGCTGAATCTCTCTCCACGTGTCTTACATTCACGAATCCGTTCCTACAACTTATTAATTCAGCCGCGTGACACCTGAACATTACCCAATTACTTAGCTTAAACCTCCGCCACGTAAACATTTCTGGCCGTTAACTCTGACGGCGTCACATCTCGATTCCTTTTTCTGTTCCCGTCGCTTTCCTAATTGGCTTTTTCTTTTTCCCCAAGGTTTGGCTCTCGTTAAGTAAACGAACGTGTCGGCATGGATCCGAACCAACCAACGGCTCGGATCATAACCTTCATTTCAACGGATGAGATTGAGTTTCAATATTCTTTCTTCTATTTTAAGGCTTTTCGAGATATTTCTCTTAGAGGTGTAGAATTGAAAACTGTGCAAAGCAGCTAAAAATACAGTGTATTTTGTTCTTCGATCGGAATCTGAAGCTTTAAGATCTGCGTGAAACTCGATCGGCGACGATGGCGGAAGAGCATAAGCACGAGGAATCTGTGATCGATCCGGAGCCAGCTGTGGAGGTTGTGGAGAGGGAATCGTTGATGGACAAGATATCGGAGAAGATCCACCACGGTGGTTCATCTTCGTCATCTTCATCATCGGATGACGAGGACGACAAGAAGAAGAAGCACCAGAAGCCGTCTTCTCCGTCGTCGATGCAGTCGAAGGTTTACCGCTTGTTCGGAAGGGAGAAGCCCGTGCATAAGGTTCTCGGCGGTGGAAAGCGTACGTTTGCTCCGATCTGGTTTCGTTTTCATCAGCTTTTATATGATTTCGTGTGATATTGCTTGATCTGTTTCTTATGTGTGTTGTTTGGCCGATAGTTTCCATTTAGCGAATCTGTAGGCTTTCTTAAGATTGGGGGTTTTGCTTTCACGACGATGTGTGGTTTGAATCTGGATTTGTACTATACTCGTGGTATCTGCCATTGATCTGGATCCTTCTGGATTTTTTTAGCTCTGCATTGGTTTTGTGGTTTAGTCTTCACAGTTTGGGATTCCATATCTAAATGGCTGGTTTTCATATTTGGAAACGGGGATTTATTGCTTTTTGGAAACTTGATTAATCATCTGCTCTGTTGATTGAGTGATGTCATGACATTATCTGTAGTTAAAATCTTTACATGATATTTGTAGTTTGTGTTTCAAGTTCCATGTTTGCTTAAGTGATTGATTCAATGGATTGTATATGTACTAATGGTTGCTTAACATGATTCTTCTTATTTTCAGCTGCTGATATATTCATGTGGAAGAACAAGAAGATGTCAGGTGGTGTACTTGGTGGTGCTACAGCCGCCTGGGTTCTGTTCGAGTTGATGGAATACCACCTTCTCACTCTGCTCTGCCACGTGATGATTGTTGTTCTTGCTGTGTTGTTTCTATGGTCTAATGCCACCATGTTCATTAACAAGTAAGTTCGTCACCAATCTAAATGAGTGTAAATTTGTGTGTTTGTTCTTTGCACGCGTCCACTCATCAATTTCTTGACGATTGGTTCTCTGTTAGGTCCACACCAAAGATTCCTGAAGTCCACATCCCTGAAGAGCCTATTCTTCAGCTTGCGTCTGGGCTAAGAATCGAGATCAACCGTGCATTCTCTTCTCTGAGGGAGATTGCATCTGAAAGGGACCTCAAGAAGTTCCTCTGTGTAAGTTCAAATGTGCCTGATCAAAAAGGAACAGTTTGTGATTTGTGTTTTCTATATTCATCATGATCTTTGACATCAATAACTATTGGATTGAACAGGCTATTGCCGGATTATGGGTTCTATCGATCTTGGGTGGCTGGTTCAACTTCTTGACATTGGCATACATAGGTAAATACTAAATCTTCCTTAACCGTGTAGTCCTTTCCTTCTCTTGTCGTCAGTGATTTATGATGACTGACTTTAACCTTCTTCTGCTGCAACAGCTCTTGTGCTGCTCTTCACGGTTCCACTTGCGTACGACAAGTATGAAGACAAAGTCGACCCATTAGGTGAGAAAGCAATGATCGAGCTCAAGAAGCAGTACGCAGTGTTGGACGAGAAGGTGTTGAGCAAGATCCCAATGGGCCCCTTGAAGAACAAGAAGAAAGATTAGGGTGTTACTGGAAAAAGGTTGTTTCGTGGATAGCAAAAGGAGTGTTGTGAAATGGCATGGAAGTGTTATGTGTTTAGATCTTTTTAATATGATATTTGTTTTCGGGCGGTTTTTAGGTTGGCTCTTTTGGTTATTGTGAATGAAACTTGGAATTTCCCTGACTTGGTTATGTCTGGTTTGTTTTTGTGCTTTTTGCCATTGTTGGTGGACGTGGAGGGAATCAAAGTAGGTGTTGGTTTTCTGTCTCTATATAACTAAGAATTTCAACATATTTGAATTTTGGCATCTCGTTTTTTAAGATTGTTAATCATGTTGGACGACAGTCGAAGTTGTAGTTTTTCGATCTTCTCCTCTTTTCGTTAGCACTGGAAACACGTCTCCAACGCATTGATTGTAAGATGTTGCAAGAACTCAAAAGGCTTCGAGGCGTTTTTACAGTATCTCGCTACTTACGTCAGGCGTTTGCTCATGGACCAAAACTTACGGTATTCTGAATCTTATTCTATTGTAATTAATTTAAACAGTGGGATGATAAACAAAAGTCAGGGTGGCCGAGTGGTCTAAGGCGCCAGACTCAAGTTCTGGTCCTCGTAAGAGGGCGTGGGTTCAAATCCCACTTCTGACAAAAATCTAATTTTGTTCATATCTTAGTTTTAGCTAATTCAATGAAAGAGAGATCATATCATCATTATTGTGTTTCATTTCTCTTTACAGAACTACAGTTGGCTTTTTCCAATAATGAATATGATTGCCAATTTTGTTTGAACTCTAACCAAGTCGAACTTTACTAAGAAAAATAACAGTCGACTCTTTGTAAACAATACTTATTACAAAAAAAGAACATATGATTTCTTTCACCATATCCAAATTTGTGAAACTCGAAAAAAAATAAACAAATCTCACAGAAATTTTAGTAATCGAAACTCTTTTAACACAACTCACTTACAAGGAATAGTTCATGCCCACCTTAATCAAACAAATGTGAGGAATATTCAACATCACGCCTGGGCTCCTGCAATTCTTCCTCAAGAAGGAGTAAGCCACGTTTATCACCAGCCGCTTCACAAACACCGAGTTCCGTTTCGCCTTGACGTGACCGCTCCCGACAATGTAAGCCACTTCCGCGTCCTTTGCGTTCACCAGATCAAACAGCTCCTCCTTCACCTGCGGTTGCCTGAACTTAGTGTCCATTGGCCTGAACTGAAACATCCTTCTCATGCTCAGCCTCGGAAGCTCTTGCTCATACTCTGCTCTCAGTCTAAGCAGCGCCGGCGATTTGCTGTTTGTCACCGTCGTCTGCGATCTCGAGCTGCCTGCAATATTAGCCTCGGAGATAGACCGAGACAGCCTTGTCCCGAACTTGTTCGAGGCTTTCACAACAGCGAGCCGGCCGTCGATGGAACGGTCAGTGTTTGAGCCGCCGTAGCCTTCGGACTCTAGCTGGATAAACTCAGCTATGCTCATCACGAGCTCGTCTTCAAAGTCGTCTCCATCTTTGTTCACGTCTTTGTAACCGGCTCTGATAATGCATCGATACATCCTGTACGTTTTCGGTCCGATCCGGCCTATAAGGTACCGTTCTTTCTGCGGCACGTACGGGATAGGGACGGTTTTGCAGCAGACGAAGACGACGACTTGGTAGAACGCAGGCAAGTTTGTTAGGAAGTGAGTGAATGTGGCGGGAACGCCGCTGGCGAGCTCGGTGTAGATGAGACCCATCCCGGGGACTTTGATGATCCCGAGGCTCGGGCCGAGGCTTAGGATTTGTTTCATGGGGACCTTGTTGTGCTGGTCGCATAGGTACTTCTTTCTGCTGCCGTAGTGCCATACGTATGTGAGGAAGGTGAAGAAGAGGGAAAGGAAGAGAGTGATCCAGGCACCTTTAGGGATTTTGACCAAGGCTGATGCGACGAAGACGAGTTCTATAGTCCCGAAGAAGAGAATGAAGAGGACGGAGAAAGTGACATGACGGTTCCACACAAAGTTGATGATGAGAGGCATCAACCAAGTTGTCACAAAGGCTAGAGTCATGCATGCGAGCCCTGGAGAAGAAAAGGATTAGTTTTAATGGTAAGAGATGAAATTTTGATGGAGGTTTAAGCTCTTACCGAAAGCGAAAGCTATGTGTCGAGTGTCTTGGAAACAAATGGTGACAGCGAGGGTGAGGAGCATGACAACCCAGTTGATCTCAGGGATGTAGATTTGGCCAAGGACCCATCTTGGTTTGTGAACAATCTTCACTCGCGGGAAGCATCCCAATGCGTAGCATTGCTTGACAATCGAGAACGTGGCAAATATGACTGCTTGGCTTGCGACCATTGCAGCCAGCATAGCCATCATGAGAACCGGCCAGAAAAATGGATCTGAAGAACAAGAGCAAAACACACATGACCATATCACAAACTAAACGAGTAAAGAGGACCATATGAATCAATTCTCATATTTAACATCCTAAAGAATGAAGGTTAAGGTTCATTCATTTAAGAAATTGAAATACTTTTAGTGGAACTATCCAAAATTGCAGGGATTGACCAAATGATTACCTGGAATGGAGGCATAAAAGCTTGTAGGTAGAGCAGAAAAATTCTTTGATAAAAACGCAGCTTGACCCATGTATTGAAGGACCAGGCACGGGTAAACAACACAACAGAACGCAAACTGCATATAACCATGAGATTGCAGAATGTTATTGTTTCTTCGTCTTCATTAGCATAAAACGAGGTTGTAAAATAATTATAACAATAGCCAGATTGTGACTTTTTTTTCAATCCTGGGTCAAGAATACAATCCCCAATATGAGTATGACCAATGGCTTATGGATTCTTTTAGCAATAAAAAAACTTCTAGTAACTGTATGCTAACTATGATGCAATCCTAAAGTATTGCTGAAAAAGAACCAAATAAGTTGCTTAACATACCCTTATAGATGTAGCAGTAAATTGGCCAAGTTCAGCAAAGATAGCCTCAGTTCCTGAAGTTATACAAATTTCCGAGATGAAGCATAATATAGCATACAAACTTGTTGACACTATTTTCAGAACAAAAATGACTTCGTTATAGGTGCAAACACAATATTACCTGTGATGCATAGAAGAATGCCTCCAAGGGATAGCCATCCATCTATTCCCGTGTTTCTAAAGAATACATAGACATAGTAGGGAGATAAAGCTTTGTATACACTGGGGTTCCAAGTCACAACATTGTACAGACCAATAGTTGCAATTGACAACAACCACAGAATCATTATAGGTGCAAACAAGAAGGCAACTTTATTTGTGCCACGGTGCTGCAGAACGAAAAGTCCAACCAGCAAAGCGCATGCTATCATGACCATAGTACCTAGGCAAGCAACACACGGGCAGAGAAATATAAATAACAAAGAAGGAACAATGTAAACGTATGTAAGTATGGAAGATAATAGCAACATTACTTACTGTGCTTCAGATTTGTTTTAGCTGCAAGGCCATCAATAGACGAAGAGACTACAAGAGGATAATGTGAAGATCACAAACCATGGAAAAGATATGGTAACTTAATGTACGACCAGACAACGCTTCTAACTACCTGAAATGGCTGGTGTAAGAACGCCGATGGTAATGACCATGGAAGTTCCCACCAAGACTAAGACAAGCAAAGCTGTTTTCGATCTTTTATTTCGCTCTATAAGGCTTTTGAAAGCAGAATTATGCAAATTTCTACTCGCATCTCCAGGGCCATAGTACGTGGAGATCTCTTCATCAGCCGCTTGCTGATTTGGAAGCAGAGAAAATCTTGCGTGTCTACAGAGCAGAGCATACAAAGCGAAGATCCCTCCTGCAACAGGAATCCAACATTCACATCGTAAACCAAAGTATCATGAAGAAACAAATGGATTCAAGATCCCAATTGGCTGCTCATACCTTCACCATTGTCATCTGCACTTAATACAAAAACCATGTACTTGATGAGTGAAAGGAGAGTTATAGTCCAAAATATCAAGGAGAAAGCGCCGAAGATCGTGTCTTCTGATTGGTGATGCCTCAATCCTCCGTAGAATGTACATTTATACACGTAGAGAGGAGAAATGCTCAAATCTCCAAACACTAATCCAAAACTCTGATATGCTAAAAGGAGGACCTGGTTACACCTGTTTCTCCTATCAGCCTGATTCAAGAGGAGAAGACATCAGCACACTTAATCAATGAACTGCTCAGAAGCCATTGGAGCACCGTGAATCTTACTGAAATGAATCGATTACACTATAATAACTTTCAGGAGTGACATTAATTCGGATTTCAATGCTATGATTGAAACATGAGAATCAAGAGGTAAGTAAATTCAATGAATATTAGAGGAGGTATCGATATCAGTCATTGAAGATTTCTCTCACCACGTTCCATTCACATCAGAGTACAACAAACGTGAATCGGCAATAAGGAAGCTAAGGTTTAAAGATTGCAGACGATTCAAGCTATACGCAGCGATCGAAGGAATGGATAACATACCATGGCTACAGCCGCCGGCGAGTAAGATGCGGCGTCGCTTGAGGAGGAGCTTCAACGATCAGAGAATACACACCGGAGACTGAATTCTGGGAAAATGAATCGGAATCGAATCAAGAGGAAAGCTGTCGACGATCATTTATTGTTTTATCATCGATGGGAACAAAAAAAAAACAAATTCGATCCAGAGCTCGAGGTCCTTCTTCTTCTTCGAGTTTTTTTTTTTTTCAATCTCTTGTTTGTATTCGTTTTTTTTTTCTTTGAGTTATCTGATGATTTCTCGTTAGAAAATGTCATCAACATTATTAACTTTGATCGTAGATTTAAGACTTTTTTATTATTTTATTCAATTCGATCTATTGGATCAATTCAAAATCTCTTCGACGTACCACGGATATACACATAGCTATATTGGCCCTGTTCTTTTCATAAACGCTGCGACCAGCGGCTGCGATAGAAAAGAAGACACTAAAAAGGATTAGGACTATAATTCCAAAATATGCTTCCAAATAAGGATTAGGATTGATTTCAACTTCAAATCATGCACTAATCAATGAATGGACCTGCAAGTAGAATTCTCTCATGAAACAAAACTGCAAATGGCTTTTTAATTCAACGTAGATATGTTGTGTTGATAAAGAGATTGCAGGAAACAAAAGAAATGATTGTAACAAGAGAAAGAAAAGACACAAAGCTAAGTAAGAGTGAGAACCAAAACAAACAAACAACATGAGAAGATCTCTCGTCAGAGAACATAGAGAAAGATTTGTGCTCCTCTTTCTGTGTATTAGCCTCCCAACGTTTTACATATTGACTCTGCGTCGGTTTGTCACCAATTCTGGGTTTCCCTTCTTCATCATCGCTACGAATTCTTCGTAGTTGATTTTTCCGTCCTATACAAGTTAAGAGAGTGTTAGAAAAAAACCAAATGATAATGCATAACAAATATATGAAATGGACCAAAACCAAATATACATACACGATCGGTGTCTACTTCAGCAATGATCTCTTTGATGGATTTGTCATCACCCATGTTGTATTTCTTCATGGCTTGCTCTAGCTCTTCCATTGTTATGTAGCTAAACAACACAAATCAAGATCAAAGAGTGAGACTCTTTATAGCTTTGTTAAAGAGAGAGAGAGAGAGAGTGATAAAAAAGACGTTTTACCCGCTGTTGTCGTTGTCGAAGTATTGAAAAGCTGTGTACAAATGATCCTCACGTTCGATTCTGTTCATATGCATTGTTGCTGATATAAACTCCAAGTAATCAATTGATCCATCTCCATCCATATCAGCCTAACCAAAATCCAACATAAACTTAACATAGATTCGAGATCAAAGTAGCTGATTGTGACAAGAGATTGACTTACGGCTTCCATTAGCTGTTTTATTTCAGCTTCAGAGATCTTAGAGCCGAGTTTTGGGAGACCGGATCTCAGTTCCTCCAAGGTGACTATTCCATTGTTATCAGTGTCTAGAGATTTGAACATCTCTTTCAGACCAATGATCTCTTCTTCAGAAAGGTTCTCCGCAATAACCTGAAAATGTATCAGAAAATCAGAGATTGGCTACACAACAATAAGACATACATAAATGGTTTCTTTTAGTGTTCTTGTTACCTTTAGGGCCATTTTCTTGAGTTTGTTCATTGCTCGGAACTGTTTCATCCTTGATAACACAGCATTGTCAAGCGGTTTGTCTGACGCCTCTCCGTCTTCTCTAATCCACGGATGATCTGCAATATGTATTCAAACATATAAATATCGGATCTTTTCATTAGCTTTAATCACCAAAATATGTTTATGAAAGTGAGTCTTACTTAGCACTTCAGCAGCTGAAAGCCGATCTTTAGCGTCATATTTCAACATTTTCTTGACAAGATCTTTGGCACCATTAGATACCGCCGGCCATGGATCAGCTGAGAAATCAAGCTGCCCTTGAAGAATGGCATCAAATATCCCCGCTTCATTCTCTGCACAGATAGAAAAAGAAAGTATCTCACTATACTATACACATTCATTCAACGGTCCATCATTAAAAACCATGAAGATCAACTCAATACCTCCCCAAAAAGGCGGGACACCGCTGAGAAGAATGAACAGAATCACACCGGCGCTCCAGATATCAGCCTCTGGTCCATAGTTCCGGCGAAGAACCTCTGGAGCAACGTAGTACGCACTTCCAACAAGATCCTTAAACATATCTCCTGCATTAACGGAACAACTTCAGAAATTACACCACAGATGAAGTAATCAAATGGGGAAGCCTTTGTAGGATGTTCTTACCTGGTTTGAAGAAGACTGAGAGACCAAAGTCTGTAGCTTTCAATGCGGAGTTCTCATCTTGACTCAGAAAGAGAAAGTTCTCAGGCTTCAAGTCTCGGTGCATTACACCCATAGAGTGGCAACTATGCACAACCATCACCATCTGCCTGCACAAATCCGCAGCGGCTCTCTCTGAGTAATGACCTTTAGCTATGATCCTATCGAACAGTTCTCCTCCTTCACATAGCTCCATTATGAGATTCACCGAGTGTCTGTCCTCGTAAGCCCCCTTCAAGTCCACTATGTTCCTACAAAATTACAGACCAAACTTGAAAACTAAGGTAAATATGCAAAAAGGGAAGCAAAGATATTAAAACACGTAATCTCCGGTCAGAGCTCAAAAGCCGATTAAATTGGAAACATTTTGTGATTTATTCGAAAGTTTTAAACTTTTTACATAGGACCACCAAATAAACAAGTCCTTTCTTCAAAAGATTTATTTTTTCTAATATGGAAAAAGGAAGACCTTTTTCAATCGTTATCTCATAAGAAACTTGACCATTGTAGATTGAATATCAACAATCCAACAAATATTCTTATTACTATTGGACAACAAAACGCGTTTCAGATTCGATTTTGGAACAATCTCAAAGAAGCAAAACTTACCGGTGGCCGCTGAGGTGGTGCATAATCTGGACTTCACGGCGGACATCTTCAATGTCGTCACGGTGGACGAGGCGGCGCGTCGGGATTGACTTGCAGGCGAAAATTTTCTTTGTCTCCTTGTGAGTGACGAGATAGGTGACGCCGAACTGGCCACGACCCAGCTCGCGACCGAACTCGTAGGTTCTTCTGACGTCCTCCATCGGCCGGCCAAGGATCCGACCATTCTGCTGAGCAGATGTGGTGGAACGGGATCCGCCGGTCCCGGAGCCTGAGGAGGATCCGACGGGTCCGGAAGTGGAACCGGTTGATCCGCGGCGTTCTCCGGCGGGTTTGACGTGGTGGACGACGTTGCCGGCGGAAGCGGAGTGGGACGGAGGAGGATCGGAGGATTTGGATTTGCTGTGTCTGTGTCCCATTGTCGAAGTTTCTCTCTTAGTCAATAAAGTCAATTGAGAGAGACAAAGATCTCTCCGCTTCTTAAGGCTTTTTTTTTATGTCTGAGAGATCGAACACGGGAAATGGGTGACCACGTGTCTTTTTCTCATTGGCGTGTAGCTGGAGCTATTAAACCGCGTATTTTTGGATGATAATAAATCCTCGAAATGTTACCCAATTGGAAAATAATTTAATGAAATGAGAATGGGAAAAATCTTTCATTTATATCCAACATGACACGGCCAATTCAATATTTGGCAATTTGCGATTAAAAATCTTATTTGCATTTTAAAAAATTGGAGGAAAAATTCTGTAATTTACAAATAATTGATACCATTACGAAAGTGTCAACTACTACTATAAGCTAAAGAAAAGTCCAGGAGTTTGCTCATCACTCTGTCCAATTTTGTAGCAGAACCATGTCCTATAGTTCATCCACAAAGTCGCAAAAGTCTACTTCCATTTCTTGATATATAGGTTCCTCATACTACAGAATCAAGAGCAGCTTCATTTTCATTCGTTCACAGAGAGAGAGAGAGAGAGAGTTATCTCTATTGAAATGTTCTTCCAAGTACAACTCCACTAAATATAATAGCACCAAACCACTTGTTCGACACAAATCTGTGCAAGCATCAAAACCAACACAAGTGTTAGTTCTCAAAAGCAAATCACATATTGGCTTGAGACAGAGACCAGAATAAAAAACAAATATTTACACATACTTTCTACTGCAGTCATCTCGAGATGATAAGTCAGCTGTCCCAATTTGCCATCCTAACTGTCCTGATGCAGCGGCCAATGATGCGTAATATTGCCATCCTTTAATCATTGTAGCAAGAAACAAAAAGGTTAAAATCACTGTAAATGGAATTGGGAATCACAAAAGAACCACTGTAAAATTTATTTGAGTACCGAGATCTGCACTGAGTCCAGAGAGTGCAAGAAATCCCATGGATGCTGTCCCAAATCCAGTTAGCCATAGCTTTGTATTCTCACCGAATCTAAGAGCTGTTGACTTAACACCAACCTTCACATCATCGTCTTTGTCCTGGAGACACAATAACAAATTCTATCACACTACCTCATGAACAAACAAAAAAAGCTTCAAGCTAAGACCTCCATAACATCTCAAAGAGTGAAGTGAAATTACACCTGATGTGCATAGATGGTATCATAAACAAGGGTCCAGCAGACTCCTGAGAGATAAAGAGGGAGGACAATAGTTGGCTCTAAGCTTCCTTTAACTGCAGTCCATCCTAACAATGCTCCCCAGTTTATTGTCAAACCTAGAAATGCTTGAGGCTGCAATAACAATAACAGAATGTATATAAAAAAAAGAGCCAGAAGAAAATATAAATCCATCTTAATTTTGAGTAGCCAGGATGGATTTAAATTACCCAAAATGTAAACCTCTTCATGAGTGGGTAGGAGAAGACAAGAAACAAAGACGAAGCCCCTAACACTTTGCTGCAGAATATACAGACTGAAGTTAAGTAAAGGGAAGGCATGACAATATTGTCTTCAGAATTTAGGCCAACTACATCTGGGTGAATCATATATGTTATGTATGTGAATTTATACAAACACTTGCATATACGCGACTTCAGAGCATGCAAAAAGGTTCGGAACAAACCTGTAATTGTTAAGTTGGAGAAGAATCCCTAAGCCTAAAAGCAACTGTACCCCAAGAAACTGAAGTCCTTGAAATGGTGTCAAAAGACCACTGGCAATAGGCCTTAATCTTGTACGATCAACCTGGATACAAAAAGCAATTTCTCAGACAGCATAATCTAAAACAAAACAATCAAATGAAATCTTTAGTAACTATGCTATTTCAAATACTAACTATGCAGAATACTATCATCACCATAGTTACACCTAACATATCCTTAAACTAACATACTAAAGGGATCTATAACTTTGACATTACTTGTCTTTGTTAACAAATGATCTCATTCACATGCCACAAAAACAAACAGACCTTTGTATCTATGTCCTGGTCAAGCAGATCATTTATAGTACAGCCAGCACCTCTAAGAAGTAGAGCTCCGCAGCCGAATAAACCCATCATTTTAAAACTTGGAAGGCCTCCAGGATCAGCAGCCAACGCAATTGACCTATACATTCACAAAACTATTTACTTATCTCTCGAAACAGATCCACAAAGAGAAATGCAATATCCTTAACCACAGTAAAGAGAAGAAAAGCATTTTTTTTTATCCATTTGCTTCAAATGCAAGTCAGACTCACTCAGGTCATCTCAGCCAGGAAAGCACATAACTTTATCATACAAAACTAAGCTACAGTATTCAAAGGAAAAGATAAAACTTACCACATACAGGGCCAAGCAAGCAACCAAGTGCCAATAGGTTTATCCAAGCGAGCAAGCTTAGCATAACCTCTAACTTCTTCTGGCAAATACAAATCAATCCAAGAAGCTTCCTTAACACCAACACCACTCTTCTCCTCATCATCTTTCTTAGGACTACCCTCAGGAGACGACGACGACGACATTCCAGAAACTAATCTGTAATTCCAGCCAACGCCGAGAAACCTCTGCTGATGCAATTCCGTTCCTTTACTCCACACTTCGTAGTTATGATTCCATGAAGTACACTTAGGCAAAGGATTGATGTAATGTGCAGTAGTGACATGTTTCGACGAGTGTATATGTTGCTGAGATTGCAAAACAGAAAACGAAGATGGAGTTGCCGAGACGGATGATTTCAACAACCGTCGAGAAACACGGGACAGTCCCAAAAACGCCATCTTTTGAGAAAAGCTTATTGCCTGCAAGTAACAAAGACTTGAGATTTTTCAAAAACAACAACATTCCTGCTTACGATTGGAAAGGAGACCCAAAACAAACGATTAAACGTAAAGTGCATTCTTACGATCGAATTTCAACTTCTCAAAATTAGGAATGAGAGCTAACTCCTTAAGACTCTAGAACGTCAATGGCGTTTCTAATCACTCTATGCAATAAAGTGATCAAATGAACCGACGAATCTCAGCGACTGATTTCGCTTAGTTAGAGATAATTGAGCTCCTTGTATAGTCACAGAAAACAGAAAAGAAAAAAACAGATATCAAATCGGATTCAATACAAATTTAACCAACTAAGAAGAAGAAGAAGAATGAATGAATGAATGGGAGTGGTAATGTTACCGGCGTGAACGAGCACCTCTCGGAACGAGAGACTTCTCCGTTGACGCAGATAGATCATTAATGGGCCCATAGATTATTGTCCAGGCCCGTCTCAGCCCGTTACTGTTTTAATCTTATCTTTACTAGGAACAAACCGCGGGAATCAACTTCTTTACTACCTATTGTATTTGTTAATATATATTCACTTCATTCATATAAGCACTGACGAATTGACTTTGTAATAATATAAAATGTTGTTATGCTCCTGTAAAATTTCTTTGTTTTAAGTATATGGTGTGTATCCAAATGGTTTATGCCCATCCATTAGCTTTTGAAATTTGCCATTTTTTTTGTAAAGTGCGATTAAATAAAATTTTACTCTGTTTAATATAATGTTAAATATTATTATTCTTTAAAAAGCTGTAAATAACTACAAATGTGTTTAAACTTGAATTAAGAACAAATAAAATCATCGTCAATTATCTTCTTTCTTTTTCTTTGTGGTCTTTTTAAAGCTTGAGTTGCTTCTTCCATTTCATCAATGTCATCTTCTCCTGTCGGCGTTTTGATTAATGGCTTTTGTAGTCCGTTCTCACGTTTTCTCGCAGAAACTGTTAAATCCTTTTTTTTCACTAATCTCTTAGCATTTCTTTTTTTCTTATCAGGAAGGATTCCATTTGAACAATCCACATTGTCATCTTTATATCTTTCTTTTTTTGGTAGACTAAGTGAAACAAGATTCTTTTTTCCATCTTCCATCTCAGCTTCGCTTCCTTTCTTTATGCTTAGTGGCTGTAGAAAAATAAAATATAATTGTATTTTATGATCATATATATTAAGATGAGAAAATTAGAAATAATAATACCTTTATAATATTTATTGGATCACCGTTAATTGATAGAACTGTTAATCCAGCGGACGTGGATTTAAAATTAAATGATGTAACTTTCAAATTGAATTTAAATATTTTTCCAACAAGTTTCTCTGATAGGAACCCTATAATTCCTTCATCTGTTGAATCATTATAGATTTTTTCCTGCATATTTTTTAAAAATAGGTTATTATATTATTTTTGTTAAAATGATGATTAATATACTCACTACAAGAGAAGCGGGATTTAGCGACGGTTTTTATTGTGTTTCACGTCGGTTGTAAAATGACGTGAAAAAATTTGACATCGGTTTGAAAACCGTCGTTACTTCGTGTGACATTAAAATTCATAACGTCGCTTTGAAAACCGACGCTTTCTTTAACGTCACAATTTTAACGTCGGTTCAAATCAATTTTGCGTCAGTTATCATGTGATCCAAAATCAATTTTAACGTCGGTTTAAGTCAATTTTGCGTCGGTTATCATGTGATCCCAAACCAATTGTAACGTCGGTTTAATTCAATTTTGTCGGTTATCATGTGATCCCAGAACCAATTTTCACGTCGGTTTACACAACTAAACCGACGGATATCCAATATTAACCAAAAATCAATTCAATTGATCCAAGAAAAATATTCAATATTAACCAAAAAAATCAATACCAATACAAATATCACTCAACACATTATATGAAAAATACAAATGTCACTATTATATATACTGTTTTCACAATTTCTCTTCGTATACTCTTTCTCTTTCACTTGTTCTTTCTCTTTCACCTGACCTGAAATCAGATGCCAAATTCCAAATATACAATCAATTTACAAAATTAATATACTTTTGGTGATATTCACAAGGAAAGAAAAACCATACCTTAGCTCTTGGTGTGGTCTGAACAACTGGAGATAAATCTTGGTGTTTCCTCTGTTTTTAAAAGCAAACATATTTTCATTATGAAGAAGCTTTCTTAATTAAGTATTGTGACACTCAAAGCATTGTGAATTACCTTATTTGTTGCTTGTTTACGAATGTGACGGATGTTTTCATCTGTTTCACTTGTATCATTCACCTGTAGAAAAGTAAACTCTGATATGAAACTCATATTGAGCTATGTTCTGATGTAGCAACAGCCTAAAACTCAAGACTAACCATCAAGCCAAGACTAACAACAGCCTCGACTTGTGCGTGATGAAGCCAAGATTAACAAGCAAATCATACCTCCATCTGATCTTGTGCGTGATGCAATAAACATTTCTCCTCGACTTGGTTCTACGCCACTCTCTTTTTCCTGCAACATATGCAAAAGCCATGACTAACAAAACCACATTCCAAATTACTAACTAAATCTTACTCTTAATCTTAATCTTAACCACTAAACTTATCATCTCATCAGATCTTCTTGCTATACTCTTTATTCCAAGTGTATGTGGTATCTTTAAGTTGCTTCGGCTTACCTTATTACGCTCTCTTGCTTTTTTCTATTGTTATCGTAATGTAACATATCAATAAGAAGATTACGGACCTGAGACTTGCTTTCCAGGAATATTTTCTTCTGTAATCTTTCCATCATCATCTAAAACCTCATCATCAACAATGAACAAACCTCATAAACGTAAACTCGTTTGTTCAATGAAACTGGTTTGAAAGCGAGCCAGGAAACTAATTTTACCTATAACATGAACTTTCCATTTCCCACCAGCTAATTCTGGTCCAAGAGGAGGCGGAGCAAAGAAATCTGCATTCTGTGGCATTCCTGAATCTGTTCTCGACATCTTTAAACCTGTAACAATTGAAATGAAGATTTATCAGAATATCTACACGGAATATTAATATTAATCAAAAGCACATGAATCAAAGTTAAGAAGAAAAGAGTCTAGCGTAAGCAAAAGCACATGAATCAAAGTTTCTAGCTAATGAACAAATAGAAGACATAACTATACGTTCAATCACAAGCATGTTTTTCATATTCAAATCAAATTCAAGCTAGTGAACAATATTTACCTGGTAAATGAGTTGGAAATTATCGCTTTGAAGCAACACGTTTGTAGGTGACGGAACAATCACCTTCACACGTTTCTGAATAAACCTTTGATACCGAGAAATTCAGGTGTTAAGAATCAAAAATTTGTACAAACTTTGATACAGAATAAAAAACAGAGCAAATAGCTGGAAAAAATCTACGAACCTTCGATGGAGAATGGGTTATGGATTTCTGTAAATCAATGATGTATCTCTTCTTGTGGCTTCAAATTTGAGTCGGAATGAGGAAGATAAGAGGAAATTTGTGTCAATCGAAGAATCTGTGAGCTCAATCTCTCAATATCTTCGGAATGAGGAAGAGGACAAATGGGTTATGGATTTCTGTAAATCAATGTTGTATCTCTTCTTGTGGCTTCAAATTGGAGTCGGAATGAAGAAGATGAGAAGAAATTTGTGTCAATCGAAGAATCTGTGAGCTCAATTTCTCATACAGTGAGCTCAATCGGAGAAGAGGACGAAGAAATCGCATTCATTGCGTGAAAATGAAAGTTATGATTTTAGATCTGTGAAAGTAAAGTTTGTGTTGGGCTTTAGTCTCAATTAAAATATCACATGGGCAAACACGATTTTACACATGACACTTTGTTTTAACGTCATAAAGCTAACGTCCGTTAAATAAGTGATGCTAATTTCCTTCTTTTTTTTTAATTTCATGTCGGTTTTTAAATCGTCACTAATAAAGTGACGTTATTCGTTGTGTTTCTTGTAGTGACTATGGCATACGTACGTGAAAGTTAACCAAATCAGTTGCAGACAAATTCAAAATCCTGGTGACGTCTTTGTTGAATGTTGTTAAAGATGCCGTCTCTGTATCATCTTCTACAATAATTTCGAGTCTATATCTGCATTGTAGAGGTGTTAATATAATGTTAAATGATTAACAAAATCATTCGAAGCATTTGCATTAAATTATATTTTACCTTAAGACGCCAATTATGTCTGGTTTTGCACACTTTTTGCAGATTAGTTTTCCGTCTTGTTTCTGTAACTTTGTGGAACAATTATTACATGACACATAATTCCATCCATTCCTTGAACAAATTTCAGTTATTTTCCCTTCGCATGTAAATTCTCTTTCCTGTTCATTATTTAACTTCATTATTTTAGCAAGAATTTAGGCGGTTGACCATCAAGTGGTAACAAAGACCCAATGCTACGGTAATTTTCGCCATGCACTTTAAAACAAAATGGACCAGCGGAATTTACTGTAGAATAATCTATGTCGGCACCCATAGAGCACATAGAGAGCATTGAATTAAAAACTCTTATGTTTTTCCTGTATTTTGGTTCACAGAGTAGGTTTTTCAATACGTGAGGAGGCTCTTCAATATTAGGTAGTTTTACACGTCCTTGTTTACAACAAATTGTAAATAAGGGACGTCTCGTGATACGATCTTTTTCGGTGCTTTCAGCAGGCCATACTAAAGCATTGCAATCTTCGCACCTCATCAATTTTTTTCGCTCAGTTTTTCTTGACAACTTCATTTTTTTGCCTGTTTAAACAGATTTAAAGATTAAGTTTTAAATTATTTGGCTAGTGTTGAGTTATTATGTAGTAGAAGCGAACATGTACCTTTGCATTTAGATTTTTCATTGCGATCGATGAGTTTTCGCTTTAGTGTACCTATTTTCCCATAATATAAACTGTTAAATTTACTTAAATTTGAGGTTTAATTGCTTAAATTAGCGAGAAGTGAATATCACGCACCAGTGGCTGAAAGGGCTTCGTATCTTTGTTTACCAATTTCTTCAACTCTTTCTATGTCCATTTCCATATTAATAGTTTCTGCAATTGAACATCATAAAAGTTCAATCATCTATTTTTTGTATATTCAATCAATTATAAGTATTTTCAATAAAATTTTGGTGAAATATTACCTGCATCATTTATTTTTAATGGTCGCCCTGTATTTCCAAAAAAAAAAAAAAAAAAAAAAATGAGGAAGAGATCGTAGTAAATTTTAAAATCATAAACGTAAGTTATCAGAACATTTATCATTTCATGTGCGTTTTCCTTTTGGATAGTACAGTTGCATGGGGAGCACGTCGTATAAATCAAAGTTCATAAAAACATCAGCAAGAAAATGTAAAACGTGGCGAGGAAGAACTCATTTTTTTCTTCTTTTCTTTATTTCTCGTCGCATGCATGTCTTTAAAAATACGTACTAATTAAAATCTATTTCTATCTAAGTACCTGAATAGCATTCTATTTAATATTTATTTATTTAATTAGTTGGTTTGGTATTATCACTGACCTCATGATTCGTTATAATTTGTTACTAACAGTGCCCAACAAAAAGTCGTTTATATGCTATATTTTAAACATGTTTTTAATTCCAACAGTTACGTTGTTGGCCACACAAATATTATAGATTATGAAAATTATAAAAACAATTATTGTAGATTAAAATGACAAAATTTAAAAAGATTTTGATACGTATTCTTAAATATAAAGCTGGAAAGTTGATAAATTGAATTGTTAATAATACATACACAACTGTTTAAGGTACACGATGACGACATAAAGGACATACACCGTTCACTTGTAGCCAACTAATTAGACAATTCTCACAAAATGAATGACCACAGGGAATAGTTAAAATATTCTGATCTACGACAAATAATTCTAAATAAATCATGCAAGTAATATCTGCTTGGTCTTGATAATCTTCATTTTCCACGAATCTCTTCCTTTGTAAGGAGTCTATCGAATTTTGAGAAGCAGGTCTCTGGACAACAACGGCGGTATCAAATGATTCCTGAATAGCTTGAACTTCCGCAGTTGTAGAGATAACTTCGGTAATGTGAAGAGATAGATATATATTAATATTACTCACTATCGAATAATTTGTTGAGGACGTTACATTGTAAACGAGAAGAAGAAGATTCCGCAACATCGTATCGGCATCGTTAACTTCAACACCTTCGTTGCGTAATGTTTCGTAGAAGAATACTTTGTCTTCAGACCGTGACTCGTATAAAAAATCACGAACATTGAAGAAAAATGATTTTAGAGTAGGTACTGTAGTGAAGTTGCGATAGATCCTTGACCGTATTATAACGAAGCCTGCCCTATCATCGTCCCATGATGGCCGAAATCGCATATTGAATGTCGTGATAACCTGATTCATGATGTCTTCGTACTGAACGGAACCTTCGCACTGAACGGAACCTACAATTTATGAAGTTAATGAGTGTTGGAATGTAAGAGAACAAGAATAAATATCTGTAAATTTTTGCGACGAGAGTGATCAGGAGTATGAACATACAGAAAATAAACTGATTACCTAAATTATTCGGGATGGGTTATTGAGCAAGAATAATTTTGTAAGCATTATATATAAAAAAAAAAGAAACGCACCTGTTCGGTAAAACGATGCCTGTTGGAGGAGTTCAGATTCCCTAATCTTATATCGATTTATTAATTTATGCTCTACTGTCTATGTTATTCATAACTTATGAATTTTTTCTTCATCAATTAATTTTGTGCATGTAACAGTAGATTTATGTGATCTTTTTAGTAAGATTGTCAATGGGATTTTGAGAACTTGGTGATAATATCATGGGATTTTTCAAGTCTTGACAAGTCAGGGTAATTCATAAGTGAACGATCATATTGCGCGAGCAACAAGTCTATTTCCATAAGTGTATAAGTTTGTAAACTTGCTGCTGTGAAATTAGTCTCTTCTAAGTTGTGAAGTTTTTTATTAGCGTAAACTAAATCTTCACTCAAATTTTCCCAGCATGTATTCCACAGTTGTAATGGACTTGCTACCTCACAATGAACCAACAACAATGTAAATAATTGACGTAACTGTTTAGGGGTCGACCATAATGCAGCTTCTACCATAGTGTCATGCCATACTTTATCTCCGTCAAGTAGTCCACGAGCATCACATGATTCTTTAAATGATTGGTACTTTTTACCACTAACAGTTAAAATATCTTCATAACTTGTTGGTCCTTTTAAGTGAGTAAGTAGAATTCGTAGGTAATATAATTCACCGGAAGAAGGATGAACATTCGCCAGTTTTCCAATGGCTTGACCTTTTTTTCTCTTTGTCCATTTATGATCCAATTTATTCCAAACGTATTTAGAGGGAAACTGAACATATGTTAAGTTTAACATCTGGCCGCTTAGGTAGGTGTAAGCATAGTTTTTGGACAGAACAATTCTGATGATGTATCGCATGTTTAGAATTTCTCCACGTAGATTCGCAAGCGGATACATAGGATATGTCTCTTGCATCAGTACCAGTTTTTTTCATATCTAAATAAGATATAACCACTTTGGAGTTAACAGATGTATTTGGCGAGATACCACAAACGCAAGGGATTTTGGATTCTGAGAAACAAAAAAATTTTGGTTGAAGTTCGGTGGATTAACGGGATGTAGTGAAAGTAAGGAGGGATTGTGGGTGAAACGCTGGAGAACACTCCGATGATGACACGAAAGCAAGCGGCAAATATTTTCGTTTGACTCACACGATTGACACCAAGGAAACCGGTGATAAACTACGAAAGACAACTCTGATAGGGGTGCGAAAAATTAATAACAGAAGTGAGTACGAGAATTACAGATATATAAGTTGTGAAAAGGCACTTTTAAGAAGCGTGACTATAAGCCTTTTGCATGTAGAAAGTAGCAAAAAGACAGACGCGCCGATTTGTGAGTATACCACCAAAAGAGATGATGTTTCGTGTCATCATCTGTATCTACAAATTAAACCTTTCAGTGATATAATAATTAGTTGATTTTCTCTAGATTAGTCGTGCTGTTATGATGAGCTAGAGCATTATATGATTGAGCTAAAACAATACTCCCTCCGTTTTTTAAAGATAAATTTTCTAGTTTTTTCACACAGATTAATAAAAAGTTGATTTTTGCATAGATTTCTGCAATAAAACAACTTTTTATAATTTTAAACCAATAAAAATCCAACAAATATAATCATTGTATCTTGAAAACTGAAAAAGTGCATCAAAAAGGTAAAAATTTTATCTTTGTGAAACAACACATAATGACTAGAAAATTCATTAAAAAAAAACGGAGGGAGTATTTAACTTGCATTGAATTAAGATAATTTAAATTTGTTGACTTAAATAATAAGTGAATCGTTTTATAATTTTCTTGTTATTTATTTTGTAAAAATTTGTATGTGGCCGGCTGAATAAGATCCATTTCCCAATTTTTTCGGTTTATTAAATAATGCTAGAATTAGGTGATGTAAGTAATATGGTTATTTCTTTATTCGGTTCTGTATTTTTAATTATAACTCATACCGTCCATTAAACAACTATTTTTTAAGGTCCTAGACAATGTTAGTGGCAATTTAATGATATTATGTTACATATATTATTTAGGTGATATTTTTTTATCCATTAAGTTGTTGAACAATTATATTAAATACCGGGATTTAATCATTAACGTATATTATATTCATTATTGTTTGTTTGTGGTGAAGAAATTTAAGTTACGAAATTAATAGATTGTACTAATTCGCGTTGTGAATAATTTATATATTTAGCTTTGGTGTATAGAATTTAGTTCTTTACGTTACTAAGCAAATTGGCAAGGAACTAATAAATCGAGATTGCATATTCTTTCAGTTTTTTCGTTTTTCAATTGAATTTTTATATTGGTTTAGCAAAATAATATCACAAAATAATACAAGTTTTATTTTTATTATTTTATATTTTATATTAGTTTTATATTATTTTTATACAAGTTTTATAAAATAATATTATTTTATATCACAGTTTTATATTTTTATTTTTGTCATAATCTAAATAAGACAAGTTTAGCAAAATAATATCACAACAAAAGCTATTAATATTTTATTTACAACTAATTGTTCTAAACAAATAATACAAATGATATCTGCCATGTTGTAATAATCTATTGCATTCGTATATCGTGCTCTGTAGAGAGTTAAACGTATGTAATAAGTAGGTTTTTGTAATGGTGAGTCAATAAAATGAATCTTGTTTATTCAGTTGTAGATTGGACTACATTGAGTAAGGTTTTTTCAGTAGTCATTTGGTATTACTTAGTAAAGGAATTACTGAAATAGAAAACATAAAAAATTTCACATACAAGTAAGCATCAATTCCATGTGATTTTTTAGTTTAGGAGGTGTAACAAATGCAACTGTATCCGACTCTTTTAGTACCTGGTTACATGAAAATAAAGACTGGAAAAAAAAAAATTACTTAAAGTCAATAAGACGTGGATATCTCTAGCAAATCTTTGATAATATCGGGCTGCATCTTCCCGCAAAATTCCAGCCTTCTGCACATGCAAATAAAGAAACACATATCTTTCTAAATCCCATAGGATAAATTTAAACAAAACACGTTCACTAAATAGAACACTATCCATTCTTTTTCTGGGTGCCATTTTTTACAGCAGTAATCTTCGAGTTGTTCGATTTTGTCCGGCTATTGTTGTAGACGGAACAGAAATTGGATATATCTAATTAATAGTATCTGCAAAAGATGGTTAATAGAAATAAATGGAAGTAATCAACTATTTTAATTAGGTTTTCTACTGCGGAGTTCAACTGAGAAATGGTAACTGTTTAGCCGACCAAGGTAAACAATATTATGGTTAAATTAAAATAAGATAACAAACGTTTTCATAGTTGAACATAAGTAATGTTGTTTTAAAAAAAAAACCTAAAAAAAATTTTAGAAATCAAAGATTAGATGTATATGTAAAAGTCATTGTAATTTGTAATTAGCTTTTTAACCTATTAAACATTCTTTTAATTATTTCACAAGTGAAACACTTCTAAAAAAATAATAAACACTCAGAGAATCTTAGGACAATTGGATTTTAATTTTATTTTCGTGAGTTTGAAACAGTTTCCTTAAATAATAAACCGCTCCAATAAAAAAATAGTATTAATTGTACGTCCAAACAGATGTCATAATAGATATACTAAAAATATAAATGTAGTTTAATCATGTACACAACTTGTAAATAAACTTAAACTGTAGTCATTCCTATTAGCAACATGTAACTCAACTTCATCTGTTCTTTATTTCCGGTTTTTCCACTTCAATAGCTTTGGCAGATACTTCCGTTCGTCTCCTCTAAATTCATCAACTACTGACGCTGATCAGCGATGGATGTAACGAGCAAAGTTTCTTCCCCCGCTTGGAAATCAAAAGCTGTTAGGCGAGTCTGGAAAATAAATTGTTTCCCAATAAGTTGTTGTAAGCACTGAGGGAACTCGTTTCCTATGTTAAAGTTCTGTTGGACCTGTGAAATATACATATACAATTCAAATAAAAATTGATCAATTCTCTATTGTTACCCTTTTAAAAAAATAAAAATGGCCACCGGGTTGATACGGTCAATATATAAATTGTACTAACCACTTCTTCAGCCGACATGTTCGTAATTATCCTTGCATCTTTATCAAAGATCATAAATTTAGTTCGATCAGTCTCAACTTCTGCTATGACTTCAAGACGTAACCTGATTGGAGTTAAAATTGCGTAAATACTGGTAAAAGATAAATGCGGAAAGATTTAAAAAATTATATAGTTTTTTGTTTAACATTCACCTGACTTGGCCACCAACTTTGACGGCAAGACAATAGCTGCATATCAATTTATTATCAACCGGTTTGATTTTATTGAGGCAATCTGGACAAGAAATATAGTACCAGCCGTTTCGGGTAACTATTTCGGTTATCTTGGCGGAACAAAAGAACGATCTTTTCGCTGTGTAAAAATAATGCATATCACTATATAAAATGCCCAATTTAAAATTCATTAACAAATATTTGTTTTACCTGAATATCTTCAGTGTCTAGAAATGTTAAAATCTGCGCAATGGTTTTCATTGAAACATCTAATTCATTGATATCCAGAGCTTGGAAAGGAGGTTTAAGATATCCGTTTCTGTGTTGTCTGCATTTACCAAGAAATGGAAATAAAGTTTACATCTTTATTTTGTGCATTATATAATAATGAACGTAGATGGTATTCTCACCTTAGATTCCTAATCTCGTTGACTTCATCGGTGACATAAAATCTGGTAGAGGATGAAGTGTTCAAATAAAGTTCTCCTACAAAAACGAAAAACCAATTAGCCTGAAATTCTTAATGCGTATACTGGTTATATATTGATTATTAATCTTACCTGTAAACAATTTCGGATTGACTGATGTGATAGTAATGACACCTTTAATCCATTGTGTTGCAGAGAGCAACATTCGAAAATCTCGGGCAATGTTGTCCCATATAGAGAGATGAACTTTCCTACCACTGAAAAACAGATGACTGTGATTTAGTTGTTTTGCTATCAATAATAATTTCATTTCTGATAGAATAGTTACTTACTTTCTAAGCAAAAGCGTTGCCATGATCTTATGTTCTGATCCAAGGTTATGGAGCTCAGATCCCCACACATAAGTTATTCTACCAACAACATCTGTTAAAAAATGAAGACTTTATGAATCATAAACTCAAATAGAAATCGAGTGCGGTTGTTAATTGAACTACTATGGTTGTAACATTTTTCTGAACAAGTTAGCTACATTATAAAGGCACGAGAAATTTCTAACTGAACCATAATTTGCAGTTAACATACCTGGTAAAATTTTGTTTTGATTGGCCAGCAGTACCAAGCTATCATGCTCATGGATGTGGAATTTTGATTTTTCGATGTTAGGCACGTCATCTAACAATTCCGCAGCAGTGGTGAGATGAGTGAATTGTATGCAGAACCTGTGGTTTGTCAGTCTTGGTCGACTGATTTCCTCCTCAAGGCAGAAATTGCTGATATAATAAATGCTTCCCTCGTTCAACATGTTATTATGGTAATAAGGGAAGAGGCGATGATTAATAAATGCTTTTATCAGCGATCCCTTTCCAAAGATAAAAGTAAATAGAAGTTATTCAACCGTATGATAACCATGTAAAAGCAAATTGAGTAACAAATATAACTATTACCGTTTCATCCAACAGGAGAAGTTCTTGACTGCGAAAATGATTTCTGTTTCTTCGTTTTAGACAATCCCATTTCCGAATTAGCCGAACAACTATTTCCGGCTTTGCATTATCATTTTCAAGTTCTGACAATGTAGAGTAGAAACGTCCAGTGTTTGCCATAGAAAGCGGTGAGGACGCCGTAGATTAGGCGAAACACCGTTGATATGTAGGGCGTCTGAAAACAATCATCAAAACAAAGTAATCAATTTATAGAACTTTTGAAAAATCTTTTCATGTGAACACTATGTAAGACAAACTTTGACTCGGACAATCAATTTATCAGACTCCCTAGAACACAATCAATTTATCACATTTTCAAGAGCATTTGTTGGAGAAGTTTGCTAGAGTTTTCGATTTTAAAAATTCAAACCTGCTCTATTTTTTAAAAACTTTCTACAAATTAAGTTCTCTAACTAATCTTAACAATCACTATAAAAAGAAGCGGTTTATCACCCGCTTCATTTGGCCGGCTACATGTACGAACGAAACAGAGAAGCGAAGTTCAATTGCCAGGTAACTTAATATGAACTCTATCGGTTAACAGTATCTTCGGGAACAATACGAGACACTTACCTCTAAACGAAGGAGAAGTAGAAAGGTTGAGTTGAAATTGGTGGCGGGATTGGTTGAGAGATGAAAAAGGTATTGAAATCGAACAATGAATCTCTAATTGATGAACTGAAATCGTTGCCGGAATTTGTCGGAGATGAAATAAGGCAACAAGTAATCGATGCTTTAGATGAAAAAAGTTAGCATCGTTATATAATTGTGAGTTGATGCACTCATGCATCTCTAATTGAAAAGATACGTTCCTCCACTGTGAAAAGAGAAGAGGCGACGCTTTGCAACGCAGTCGCCGATAAGCGATGTTTGGTTGATTTTTTCCATCAATCTTAACCATTCGTTGGATTAAATCTACACCGTCTAATATATTTTTCTTTTCCTTCAAATAAATGCTGACGTCATCAAAAACGAAAACTGATTTTTCGAATTAATTAGGACCGTTGATTTAATTAAATAGATCACTTTTAAACCGTTGGATGCAATTTTTTTTCCTACAAAAAAATGCTGACGTCAGCGAGTTCAAAAAGTGACTGCTATTATATATAGATTTTTGCTTTTGCTTAGCTCAACGTCATCTAATTTGTAACAACAACAAAAGTACCATAGAAGAAAAATCACTAAACATATATTTTTTTTAACAAAAAAAAAAATCCAATAAAAATCGTAGGAAAAAGTTGCCAAACCAAAAAAAAAAAAGGAATAATAATCTTTTGGGGATTCAAAATTCGCAAGGATATCGTCCATGAGGATGGGATTGAGACACACATAATATCCTTGTCCGATTCGTGGGGTCAAGTTCTTATAATTCGATAAGAAGTATAATCAATGCGATTGCATAAGAGTAGTTGAATTACTTAAAAAAGCATATAAATGAAATCAACTGCATGTACCATTAATAATTGAACACGTTATACGTAAGAATTTAATAACGATGTACCCGGGACCGGAAAGTCCGATATTGGATGATCTATTTGGTTTGTGGTGCTAGTTACGCTCGTCAACAAATGCATAACTTTTACAATAATGCACATTTGAATCTGGAAAGAGAAAAATAATTATATACACGTTATTGCGGTTATGAAATCAGTTCTTTATGAAGTGTGGAATAGTTAATAGTATCAAATTAATGTCTATTTGTTTTCTTGTTTAATATCGCGATAAGATATCAAAACAAAAGTCTTTTGCCATGATCTCATTACCATATACGTATTAGTCTAGCTAGTTCTTGTTTTTGTCTTGCATATTCTCTACCGATTTTGTGGACAAAACTAGCCAAGGGATTTACTTAAAGCTAGCTTCTCAACGGACTGGTCAACTATTCTACATACTAAACTGGACACATCTTAATCCCGGCTTCCCACCTTTCTTACTATGTATGTGTTAGTTTTTGGAAGTAAGGAAATGCCAAAAAGACATGTCAACAACAATCGTGAAGTTCATTGACGAACAAATTAAATGCGAAATCTAACTATTTAAATCTTAGGGGGACCACAAATGCGAGGAGAGCCTCGAACTATGGTTTGCCACAATAACCTACTAAAATCATGTTTTAGCTAATATTGTTAATGAAATAAAACACCGAAAAATGTAGGTAACATGGTAAATGAACAACGTACATTACTTTTAACCATTACATCGAAGTTCTAACCCGATGATGACCCCCATAACAACATAGTAATATAGTATAGTATGTTCATCTTACGAAACCATACGGTTACATAGAAACGAAACTTAACAAGACACCACTTATTATATCGAAAATACGTTACTTAATAAACCGAGACAGTGGTGATGATGATGATGGTGATGATGATTGTGATGATTAAACTTTGATGATATGGTGGTCCATGTCAGCAACCATGCTCTTGACGAATTTCATGTAGTTGCTTGGTTCGGGGGAGTCATCGTTGCGCTTCTCCCAAACAATGGTGAGTTTGCAGACGCAGTTATCCTCAGATTTTTGAATAAATTGGTAGATGACGTCATAGACCTTGAGCTGCTCCATCACATGGCCCTCTAGTCCTCTTAACGTCAAGGTCATGTTCTCATCGTCTACCTCTCTCTTCTCCTTGAATAACTCCTTCTTTCCATCTTTACACAAAGGTGTTCATTACTTAAATAAGTATACATAGTCATAGAGAGCAAGTATAAGTAAATGTATACGTACCCCATGTGTAGTTCCAGCTCCTGATAGAACCGTGAGAGTCATGTTCACCCTCGTGAACGGTGACATCTTGGATGTGGTGGCTGATGGTGTCAGGGAAGACATGGTTCTCGCTCTTCCACCTCTTGTAGTGTTTCTCCGCCGATCCTTTCAACGGAACCTCAGTCACGTATGTTCCCGACGTCGCCATTTCTCTCTCTCTCTCTCAATAAAAAGCTTCAAGTGTTTTTTGTTTTGGTTGGTGAAATAACACTTGCCCTCGCCATGGTTTATATAGGGATCATTACGGTTAAAAAAATGGTTTCTACCCCTTTTTTTAACAATTTGATACTATGTGCTAGAATCTTCTCTTCTTCTTTCTATTTTAGCCTACGCTATGTAATGAGATGAGCATTAATGGTGTATGCATGTACGATTTTAATTGGTGGACACTAGTTTTCGACCAACGTTATCAATGTGGGTCGTTGGCACATCATCCTTTAGTAGATAATCATGCCCCCATATACATTAAGTATTGGTTATGTCTTCCTTTTTGTGTAATTCCGTGATCCAAATATATTATTCTAATTTTTTTTTTTTTGACAAACTAATTTTCTAATTTTGACTTTTTATATATATTCCTAATTTTAGTAATTATGTATTCACTACTATTGTGGAATGCTAATATTCAGCTTGGATACCTGGATCGAATAAATATAAAATGGATACAGAGAGTATTTTTTAGTTTTAAAAAATCCGGTCTCTCCAATATAGATCTCAAAATTTTAAAAAAATGTATGTAAATTTTTTAACTTAAATTAATATTATTTTTAATCTTAAAATATATTTAAACATTCCATATTGGGATTGTGCAATGTAGATGCCCTTACAGAACGAAAGGGTTACATAGAAACGAAACTCAACAACAACTTTATTATATCGAAATCACTTATTTAATAAACGGAGATAATGGTGATGATGATGGTGGTGGTGATGAATTGATGATGATGATGATGATGATTAAGCTTTGACGACGTGGTGGTTCATGTCAGTAACCAAGCTCTTGACGAATTTCATGTAGTTGCTTGGTTCGGGGGAGTCATCGGTACGCTTCTCCCAAACTATGGTGATTTTGCAAACGCAACTATCATCAGTTTTTGGAATAAATTGGTAGATGACATCATACACCTTGAGCTGGTCCATCACGTGGCCCTCCAATCCTCTTAACGTCAAGGTCATGTTCTCATCGTCTACCTCTCTCTTCTCCTTGAATACCTCCTCCTTTCCATCTTTACACAAAGTTGTTCATTTATTAAATTTCCAACATCCAACATACATTATTATAAGGATAAATTTAATAAGTTATCCACACATGCATGCACTATATATAATTAAACTCAACAGTGTGTCTCTGTGTGTGTGTGCGTTGTGTACCTAAAATGTTAAATTGTTATATTTTTTTATCAAGTGCGCTTTGTTGAATAAATATAGTCATAGAGAGTAAGTATAAGTAACTGTATACGTACCCCATGTGTAGTTCCAGCTCCTGATAGAACCGTGAGAGTCATGTTCACCCTCGTGAACGGTGACATTTTGGATGTGGTGGCCGATGGTGTCAGGGAAGACATGGTTCTCGCTCTTCCACCTCTTGTAGTGTTTTTCCGCCGTTCCTTTCAACGGAACCTCAGTCACGTATGTTCCCGACGTCGCCATTTCTCTCTCTCCCTAAAAAGCTTTCAAGTGTTTTTTTTGTTTTGGTTGATGAAATAACACTTGCCCTCGCCATGGTTTATATAGTGGACGTGACGATTAAAAAATTGGTTTCTACCTCTTTTTTTAATCATTTGATACTATATGCTAGAATCTTCTCTTCTTATTTTTATTTTAGCCTACACTATGTAATGGCCAATAATGGTATATAAATGTACGATTTTAACTGGTGTGCACTAAATTTCGACCACGTTATAAGTGTGGGACTGTGGGTAGTTGGCACATCATCCTTACCTTTAGTAGATAATCATGCCCCCATACACATTAAATATAGGTTATCTCTTCCTTTTTATATAACTCGGTGATCCAAAAATATTCTAATTTCTTTTGGTTAATTTTGACCTTTTCTATATATTCTAGTTTTTTATAATTATTCACTATAATATTGTTGAATTCTAAATATTCGGCTGAATATCTGGATCAGCGGACACCTAACCACCGATCGAATAAATAGTGGAATGGATACGGAGAGTGATGATCCAAGTGGAGTGAAATGGATCACGAATCCTACAATGATATTTTAAATTACTCTGCATCCATCCTTACCAAATAATTGAATGTACGTTTCAACTTTCAAGAGAAGAATAAAAAGAATTTTAAAAATATGTTATTGGTCGAAAATTTTAAAAAATTAAGGCGACAATCGATTAAATACTTTGGAGTATTACCTAACTGATTACATTATAGAAACTTATAAATTATGTTATTGGTCGAAATTTTTTAAATCGTACCAATGTATATTTAAATATTGGTATGCAGATTCATCATTGTTGAAGTTGCATCTGATAAATCCATTCGGTATTGGTATGGAGATTCATCATTGTTGAAATTGCATCTAATAAATCCAATCGAGTGATCGACGAGTCGACACACGAATATATTACTATATACGGCCTTTGTGAACTATCGAATAATTAACAATATCTTTTTTCTTCTTTTTTTATTCCTTGTTTTCATAAACCTTATTTGTTCATCTCACTTCCCCCAAAAGGGGCATCGTTTAGACTTTAGACTTACAACATAGAAGATAATTTGATAACATAAGAAGTGGATGATAAATTACAACATTAGAGCCTATTCGAAACTGATGTGAAGCCGTTTTGAAGCATTTGAAGATGGTCTAAAGGGTAATAAACCGTGAGTCTATTGTTGAAAGAACGTGGACCAGCTGGACAAATAAGACACTGCAGCAGAAGGTGTCGTTGAGGTCGCAGAGGATGACCGAGAAGACTCCACCAAATTTTCGGTCCATCCAAATTAAATAGCTTTGCTTCTCGCGGTCCAGTGATCCAGCTTCTGAAGAGATGACGAGGCTGGTCCTCTGTGAAACTCGATCCCATGTTCCTCTTCCTGATTGTCGAATCGATTCGTGATCAATGATCATACATGAACAAAATAGATCACAATAAATACCACCAAAAATAGTTTTTTTTTTATTAAATATTCGTTTTGTACATATTCTTATTTTTTTTTAATGTTCTTATAGTGCGAAGGTATGCATCTTGTTCATGTTTTTACATTTGAAAATTTGGTTTGACTGAACGCATACCATTCGCAATACAACGCACAATATATTAAGTAAATTTAAATTTCATCCTGCATATTTTAATTTTATAACTATATCTGTTTCTTTCAATTGTTCTTGAAACCATTATATTTATCATCCTTAAGTGTATCTTTGTTGGAAGAGATTTTCCACGTATACAGAAATGAAACTGCACAAGAGACCGATCCCATTTACTACATATCGAATGAGAACCAAACGATACGGTATATATATATATATATAACTGAAAACAACTAAACACACATTTTTTTTGTTTCAGAAACAACTTAACAAACAATTTTTTATTAGCGAAACAAACTTAACAAACATATAGGGATAATGATGGGGATTTTGATGATGATGATGATGATGTGGATTAAGCTTTGAGGACGTGGTCATCCATGTCAGCAACGATGCTCTTGAGAAGCTTCATGTAGTTGCTTGGTTCAGGAATTTCATCGTTGACCTTCTCCCATATCATAGTGATTTTGCAGACGCATCCATCTTCAGACTTGGGAGAAAACTGGAAGATGAGATCATACACCTTGAATTGCTCCATCACGTGACCCTCCAGTCCTCTACTAGTCACCGTTTTATTCTCATCGTCTATCTCCCTCATCTCCTTGTACACCTCCTCCTTTCCATCTTTACATACATGTGTTCATTATTTCATTATTCTAGTTAATTTTTTTTTATCTTGGTCCGATGGCATATTTGAAGTGATTATTAGGCTTTCTAAATACATATATAGAGAGTTAGAGCTTAGAAGGAGTATAAAATAATTGTATACCTAATGTGTAGTTCCAAATCTTGATGCCCCCGTGAGAGTTCCATTCGCCATGATGAACGTCGACACTTTGGATGTGGTGGCCAATGGCGTCAGGGAAGAGATGGTTCTCGTCTCTCCACCTTTTGTAATGTTTCTCCGCGTTTCCTTTCAATGGAACCTCCGTCACGTATGTTCCTGATGTCGCCATTTCTCTCGCTCCCTCTTGTTTTTTAATTTGTTTGATGAAATAACACTTATCGTCGTCTTGGTTTATATAGTGAACGTCGCAGCTAAACATGGTTCCAACCGTTTCTTTTAGTGCATGGTAGCATTACTGGGTACGTCACATAAGTGTATCGTTTTAATTGGTTATCTTATCTCTGACCACGTTAATAACGAGGGTAGTTGGCCCTGACCCATCATATCCTTTACGAAGATATTCATGCCACAAACACACTAATCAAGGAACAGCTGTAGCGTATTTTTAATCGTTTATTATCTTTAGTCAATCATATTGGTTGCAAGTATGGCATGTTACTTGGAATTAAAAGAAGAAGAGATTAATTTTTGATCAATTGACACTTTTCTGATTTTAATTATCTTATAGAATAAATTGAGTATAAATTTAAAAGAAGAAGAAATTGATTTTTACAATTATATTTAATATTTAATAGTATATATCGGATATCCGGTTAAAAAATGTAAATTTCAATGGATATCCAAATAAATAGTAATACCATGCATTTTGCATATTATGTCAACATCTAATGAAGACAAAAAGTAATTTGTTCTTCAACTGCTCCTACTCCTCTCAGGTGGTGATAGGCGATCATCTATAAACCGGCTAAGCTGGATCATATTTCTCGGTGACCTTAACTATGAGGGGAGCTCTCATGTACTCGTCTTCTACAAGAGTTTAAGTATTAGATTATATCTCTTTCAAAAACAATAAAACACTTGATGCAACAAATGATTTGATTGAATGGAATGTTCTATTAATCAAACAAAATATTACATAATGATATAAAATGTCATTTTGATCGAGTAAAAAATGATCACAAGTAACTCATTTATAGTTTGTAATTGTTTGATATAACTCTATAAGTACGTAATTAGTTTGTTAAGTTTCATCGATAATTTTATTATCCATAGTTAAAAAAAGTTAGTGACACTTGTTTTCTTTTTTCATTTTTGATAAAATTATTGACATTTGTTTTTTGTTAAAGGATAAAATTATTGACATTTGTTTCCACTATTGATAGTGTCATGTCGGAAACTCGCATCAACATTACACTTGATCCACCCATTTGGCTGGTGGTGGTGTCCATCGATTTTGTCTGCCTCCATTGGTCTCAGGTCTCAGAATCAAATTGCTTCTTCTTGTCGTTTTGCGTTCGCCAAATTCCATTAAGTTGCATCACGTGGCTTTTTAGCTGTCTCGTCATACGGTTCCTGAGCAATGAAGGAAATTTATGTAGATGCAAGATCCAGTCAGGTGATTGCGTACGGATAATAACAAAAACCGATGTCAAAAAGTCTTCTTTGAAATATATACCACTTATAATCCACCTGAGTAAATTAACTTTACTGATTATTGTTAATGTCGAAATTAAAGTCTGTTTTTTTCCTGTGGTTATAGATATTTCTGGTTATAGATATTTCTTACTTTTTAGCACATAGAGATTAAACTCTTCATGATTGATCTCTTTCCCCTTTTTTATGCGCCTCTCTTCCTCTTTATCATCCCATTCATGAGCGTTTTGTAGTCAAGTCTCAGCTCGGGCACCGTTGATTCATTAATCAACAGAGACTGCATTGTTTCGTTCTTGTCTCTTTAATCTTTTTGAGCTTCACGGGGTAATGGATTTGCACAAGTCTAAACCGTTTCTACTATTAACCTTTTTTATTTGTTTTTAATACATTTCACAAATAAAATAAACCAAGCTAATATATTTGTAAAATCTTTCAACCACTTTCGTACGACGAACTCAAGCCAACATGTTAATTTTCGTTGACAGACTATAAAATATTAGCAACCCTAATCCTATCCGTTGGACTAACTCGGATTAACGAATACCACTAAATGATTACTAATTTAAAAGTTGTAGATCACTGAAAAATGTAGATAAATTAACAACGTGCATTATTACTAAGAATCATTACATCGGACCCGATGATGACCATATAGCAACATAGCAAAGCATAAATCTTACAAAGCCAAAGGGTTTACATAGAAATGACCCCATTTATTATATTGAAAAACGCATATTAAACATATCGAGATAGTGATGATGGTGATGATTAAGCTTTGATGACGTGGTCATCCATGTCAGCAGCCAAGCTCTTGATGAATTTCATGTAGTTGCTTGGATCAGGGAAGTCATCGTTGCGCTTCTCCCATACAAAAGTGATTTTGCAGACGCAACCATCTTCAGATTTGGGAATAAACTGGAAGTTGGCTTCATACACCTTGAGCTGCTCCATCACATGGCCCTCCAATCCTCTAAACGTCACCGTTTGGGTCTCATCATCTAGCTCTCTCCTTTCCTTGAAGACCTCCGGCTTTCCATCTTTACAAATCTTGGTCATATACATTTGTAATGAATTAATGATGTAATATAAGTATATAACTAATTAATGATAATTCATAAACTGGCAATTGACTAATAAAAGGTCAAAAACCCTAGTTTCACACACGGACTATAATTTAACTCAACTATATGCATGTATGTATTAAGTGATGGAAAGGTATATAAGTAAATGTATACCCAATGTGTAGTTCCAAATTTTTATAGCGCCGTGAGAATCCCATTCGCCGTCGTGAACGGTGACACTTTGGATGTGGTGGCCGACGGCGTCAGGGAAGATATGGTTCTCGTTCCTCCACCTCTTGTAGTGTTTCTCCGCCGTTCCCTTTAAAGGAACCTCCGTCACGTATGTTCCCGACGTCGCCATTTCTCTCTCTCCCTCTTGTTTTTTCTTTGTTTTGGTTGATGAGATAATACATGTTGTCTCCTTGGTTTATAACTTTATACAGTATAGTGAACATGACGGTTAAAAACATGGTCTTTACGGTTACTTCTTTTTTTTTTTTTATACTTTGGTAGTGCGTTCTAAAATCTTTTCCTCTCTTTTCTTTGTACACAGTGTAGTAAGCATTAATGTGGGTCACAGAATGTGTTTTTTATTGTTAAACTCTGTACTTTCTCAACCACGTTTAAAAAGTGGCCACATGCAATTGTTTTTGAGGCTAAGAATCATATTCAATTATATATTTTACACAAGAGACTCAGATTCCATAATAATAACTTGTATTTCCTCTGTTTCACTATCAACTAGAGTATTCAAAACGAATCTGTCAATACAGTTTAAAGTAAATATCAAACGTTAAAAAAAATCCCCATGCAGAAGTGAGAGACGTCTTATCTTCTTTCTTAAATTCTTAAGACGTCTCGTAGTGTGATAATAAGTTGATGTAAACATAAGCAAACTGATTGAACTGAATCGGCCCTACATAAGGCCTGGAAATGAGATAAACATTGGTGAAATCAGAGCAAGCATGAGCCAAAGTAAACCAAGCTTGGGCTTGCGCACTCTTGTGTATAAACTAAATTTCGGCCCCAATTTGTGTAGTTTACTCTTTGTTTAGTGGTAATTGGAAGTGTCCTCTTTACTATCCCTACGTGAGTAATTTCTGTTTTTTTAATATCATGTTTCATACCAGCACTCGCACTAACATATCCGACCAGTTCTCTAAACACATGTACAACTCCAAACGCACGAGTTGAAACAAAACACTACCAATAGGATAATGCTCTTGCATATGACACAACATTATGTCATACAAAAGATTCAATCTTTACGATGACTTGAAAATGTTTGAAGCACATATAATACAAGAATCAATTGATGAACAACCAAAATTACGTCTCCGCCGAAGCATAGGGAAAGAAATTTGACATATTAATAAGAGATTTCAGAATATTCTCATGGCAGATTAATGTTTCAAGATTTGCCTCGAGAAGCTAGGTCATTTCACCCATCACATTAGCTTTGCCAAATTGACCAAAAATGTTCAATCGCTTCAAAGAGTGGGTTTGTGACCGCACTAAATTCACACATGATATGTTGACATTGAGGAAGATCGGGTACAACAGCGCAATATCTAAACCTAGTTCTTTCTTCGATGCGGCGAGCAGATCTTTTCTAGTGAAGCACTACAAGGTTTCCGACGAAACTGTACTGCCATCTCCCACAAAACACTAGAAGGTTTCCGACAGCTATATCTGCAAGGAAACAAATTTCAGTTTTTAGCTTTTACATTTATTTGTTTAATTTTGTATTATGTAGTCATGTTACATCCGATTCTAAATTTAGCGGCTCATGAAGGGATTAAATTTGTTGGATACAACATTGATTTTATTGAATTTTATAAATTTATAATTAGTATATTATACATAATGGCAGCTGTGTAAATAAGTAATTTCATTATGGCAATTTGGAATTTTCAAATTTGAAAGTGAAGAACTCCATTCTCAAAAATAATTTGTTTTTGCTTTCAGTTTTTTTTTTTTTGCTTTCACATTTATTTGTTTGATTTTGTATTATGTTGCCATGTTACATAGGTAAATTCTAAAATTGGCGGCTCAGAAAGGGGATTAAATTTTTTAGATACAAATATACAATCGATGATTTTATTGAATTTTATAAATTTATTTTAATATATTATACATTGACAAAACGTAAATAACTAATTTCGGTCATTTGGACTTTGAGAAGTGAAAATGAACGAGAGAACTTCATTCTCAAAAGTCACTTCACAAATAAATGAATAATAGTATAGATGATGTTCAAGAATGTTGCAAACAGATCGAAATTTTATTCTATATTCATTATCTAATTAAAAATAATTCAACTACTGTAATAATAAAAAACTGCATAATACAAATAGTTCAAAACAAATTAATACTAGTGCTTTAAAATATTTAAGCTTGAGTTAAAACAAAACAAAAAATGGCTTAAACATTACTTAAATATACAGTAAAACCTTTATAAGTTAATAACGTCGGAACTATAATATTTTTTTTATTAAAATATTAATTTATCGAGATATTATTTTATCAAGTAGTATTACTTTATAGATTCTAGTATAGTATGTAATTTGTTTGAAGGCTCGGTTTTGTGCTATGATTTGTTCAGTACATACTGTAAAAATAAAACCAACTTCTGAATGTTCTGTGACAATCGAATAATAGTAGTTCCACTATAGAAAAACCCTCAACAACACCAGTCTCGCTCATGAATTTAAATATTTTCACACGATTTTTGATGTTTGTGACAAGTGACGGATCATAGGTGTTAGCCTGTTAGGTATAGTTTTTGTCGTTAGTACTCTTAGGTTATTTATAGCTTCTAGTTACATACATGCATATATATTAAAAATATTTGATATATACAGGCTCTAAAATGCTTTTATCCCAACCAATGAGATATAAATCACTCAAAGATGGTGCAGATAGCAGAAGTGAATGGTACGATCGGGAGGAAATGATAATGGATGGAATATTTTTTGAAAATATTTTTAAAGTCGAAAATTTTGGTTTTTTAAGAAAATAGGAGACGATTGGATTACCTTAGCTTTTCATTGCTTTTTACATACTAGTATTAATTTAGTCGAATTTTCATGTTTTTGTTGTCTAAGCATTATAAGTTAAAACCCATTTTAATTCCATCACAGGCGACGGAGGACCAAAACTGCTGAAGACTATGTTTTCCTTCGATCTCATCTCATCGAAACCTCTAACCACTATTGCTTTTTTTTTTAGTATTCATTCGTGTTTACTTAGAAGGCATGTAAAGTCTTACATTTTAATGTGATATTTTGTGGTGAAAAACAATATTCTGATTTTCATGAAGGCTTCTAACAAATGCCAGAAAACAAGAACTATCAATCAACAACTAAAGAAAATCATACGAAACCGGACAAAACAAAACAAAACAACTTACTTATTAGTAACACATTATCCCTGTGTCAACACAACAATTTTCAAACAAAACACAAATAATTAGCTAGTAACATTCATAGAGCTTAATATCCATCTTAACACGGAAATACTTAGCCCCTTGAAATATATCCGTCACGAAAGTCGCGATCCCACGAGCCATGAAGAAATCACCGGTCCCACCGACGACCGATAGATCTCTTGTCGGCTCCATCATCAGATCCGCACCCATTATGTTCAACGTCCCTTTGTGTTCCGTCGAGTTAAAAACCAACGTGTAGCAAAACCACGAGTTAAAGTCCGTCTTCATGTCATAGAAATAGAAGCCTTGTGCGCGAGCCACGGGTTTCGAAAGATAGTTCTTGTCCATCGTTATGGGGTTGTCAAAGATCACGAACTTACCGAACTTGAAGTTTCCTAGTCCCGGAGGGCTCACGATGGCGGCTGAGGTTGCGTTTGCTACATTGTCGCCGTCGTAGAGGATGTCATGGAAGTAGAAAGAGAATTGTTTGCATGGTTTTTTCTGATCAAATGTTTTGCGGGACGAGAAAACGGTGTCGGAGAGGAGTAAAACTAATAAGAAGAATGAGAAGAGGGCTTTCAAGAATTGTGCCATGGCTAGCTAGAGACTAGTGAGTTGTGTAAAAATGAAGATCGCTTCAACCCTATTTATATAGAAGGATTATTCACTTAATTTAATTCAATGGATAAAATAAAGAATGATAAAACTTTGAGGGACCTGATAAATGGGTTGTTGGTGTTTATGGGCTGTTGATGTTTTGTCAACTTTTATACGATTTAAAATAAAATTCAGAGTGAAAATAGGGTGTTAAGATCATGTAGGGGCCAAAGTGGGATTGATTGTTTCTAAGCAAAGAGTTAAATTCATTTTCTTGAACGATCTAATGATTTAATAGTACTAAACCGTTTGGTGATCAATGGTTGTCCAACTTAAAAGCATAAAGTCGAAGACCAAAAAATCAAATGGAAATAAAATGAAACAAGAAGAAAGTATTAAGCTGAAAATGGAAAACTTTACAATAAATTTTAAAATATCGTTACAAGAAAACCAAAAAAAAAATGTCGTTACAAAATTGCATCAATAGTACAAACGCCATCACTCATGAGTCATGTGCGACCCAAAAGGTCAAAATTAGGTGACTTGTACAATAAATCACCGAGTCATGTTCTACCTTTGCTTCTAAGGTTGCTACTAATTGACAATTTTCATTCTTGAAAGAAATTTGATATTGTTCCAAAATGTTTCTAATTTTGTAAGCGATAGGTTTCTTTAGTATTTCTTAAAGTTTGATCCAGTTAGTTTTAAGAAACTGTAAAGATGTGAAAATGAAACTCCACTCGACATACAATTGAATTGTGGTTGGGCTGTTTCACTAGACTCTCTACACGTATCAAACACATGCGAATAATTAGCAAGAAAAAACATAATGTATATTGTATAGGTTGCTCATATAAGTAGAGGTTGAGTTACTGTTACATAGTTACGAAACTCAAATTAGTCTAAAAATTTTAGTATGAACTGAAAACCAAAATACTTACTTTTGTTACCAAAAAACAATATCTAAAAAACAAACAAGAGATATATAAAAACTTGGATTGTCAACAGAAAAAAACAAAGAGCACGAACTGTACATCATACACCTTTATTCATATATTTACGGACTATTGGATATGATTCAAAAACCAAATCCAAACTATGTATCATAACTGATGGAACAAGATGTAAAATTCACGCGATACGAGTTCTGAGTACAAAACCAAAAGTCAAAACTTAGTATATCGTTTTGCCAGGATAACATCATGAAGATTATTTTTATATCGTTATCGTCTTTTGATCATTACATAAATGTTATAATTATACGTGGGCATGTTACAACAATTATCCCCTCTGTCGCTTTACTTTCGGTGTAAAACTAACATATCCGAGAAATATTGTAATTAACTAATTCATATCTTTTGTCGATCAACTAATTCATTTAGAAAATCGTATTTTCTCATATTTATTTAGAAAGTAGTATGAGTCGACAATATTTGTCACTAACTCTTTCCTAACACATGAAGTAGAAGCAGAAATCTGCAAAAAAGGTCGTACTTCAAAGAGGTTTAGTTGCCTAACTTATCTCTTTTGCCCTTACTTACTTCAAAGTAGACGCTTTTGGTTTATGAAAGACAACATAAAAAACTTCACAAAGACCTTATCCTTAGAAAGCATAAAGCCGGAATACATATGAACATACCATTAATCTAGTTCTTTGGAAATGATAAAACATTATATCTATATGGAGTTGTAGATATCAAATCAAACCGCCATGTCATGAATTTGGCTGTGGAGTCTTTGTTTTACTCTAATTCACTATACCAAAGAAGTCGAGAGCTATGCTGCAAGATTTACCATTGACTCACTTCCGTTGAATCCCCTTTGGTTGTGTGGTTCATGAGTTTGGACACTTGACCTCTTTCTTCCGTTCGATTTATTATCCGGAAGAAACATATCCTTCTTTTCCATTGTTGTTTTGATTAGAGAAAATCCTTTAACAAGAAACATTCTTGTGATTTTAGAGTTAACCATTAAACCCATAAATAAAAAAGATTTACCACTGACTAAGGATGTTCACTGTACAAAGTATATGATTTCTCAGTCAAACTTGCCTAACTAAAAGTCCGCAGTTCTTTATCAAAAAAAAAAAAAAAAAAAGTCCGCAGTTGGTAGCGTTTTGGTGATCCTAATCATAGTTATACACTTATACTGTTATGGTGTGATTAGTTATCGCTAAATTATACGTTAATCAAATCTTACCTATCAAGTTGAAAATGTGGCATGACTATGATATATTTCAAATTAACAAAAATTTCCGTGTTGAAAGATCATGCAAAAGGTAGCAACGCTACTTGTGCTAGTGGATCCAAACAAATTATAGTTTAAACCTTTTGGTAAAAAGTTGGTTATAATTTTTTTTATCCTTATCTTCAAAATCCTATTTTCTCAAATTGACTAGTCTCTTCAAACACACACTATTTTTACTTTTAATTTGTTTCCAAACTAATATTTGCTGCTCAGGAGACACTCCTCCGTGCGCAGGACCACATTCGTAGCTCGTAACAAATGGATCATCCACGGTACGTCAGCACTCGATTTCTTTCTCTCGTCATCAACACGAATCTGATCACCAAACTAAATTGGAAAATCTCCACCTGAATTTAATTTCTTATATATTTTAACTGTAAACATTGGGAAGACTTTGTAACTATATATCGCTCTTTTACTGTCAGTTTAAAAATTAAAAAGGTTACGGAGACCTACGTACCATGTAGAAATCACAAATTCTTTTCTTAAAAAAATCATATAGAAATCATATACAATTCAAACAGATTATTTACAATATGAAGAAGATAGTATACAAGCCGACATTTTTGACCTTTCGAGTCTTGGAATCCCAAAGGTAAAATAAAATTCCCTTAAGGACTCTCGGAGTCCCCAACCGGCGAGTCTTCCACTGTGACGTTCTTCAAAACTCCCACGACCGAAGACTCACGGCTTGCTCTGTACTGTTGCACCACCAACACCGACGCCGACGTCGAAACACTTCCGCTTGACGTTAACAAGTTCCCTACCGGTCCAAGCTCCGGCGTGTCGCTTCTTACCGCGTTTAACCCCGACGCCACCGAACCTTCCGGTGACTTCCCCACCAAGAAAAGGTTGCTTCTTGAATATTCATTCATAACCTCGAAAACTTCCTCACAACATTTCACGATTTTCTCTTCGTAAACGATCTGAGATTCGGAATCCGAATTAGACCGAGAACTTTCTTGTTCTTTGATCTTTGCTCTAAGTTCGGTTATAGCTTCGATATCGGTCAATCTGGTTTCCTCTGAACCTGAACCGGTGTGATCTTCGCTTATCTCGATCTTCACGTTTTCCGGTTTAAATTCCTCGCTAGGAATAAACCGAACAACGGTTAAGCTTATCCCAGGATGTTCCGCCATACGCATCGCAAACGCTAACGCCTCGCGATCATCATTCCCTCCGAAGAACAAAACCGTTATAACCAACGTGAAATCACTAGACGCCACACGTGTCGTACCACCAAGTCCGCGATCAACCAGAATCGCGACGGAACATGGCGATTCCTCCATAACCTTCTTGTTGATCCAACGGTACTCGTTACGAGTCGTCTCCCACGTTCTGTCCAGCCTAACGTGTTTGTGAAACGGAAGAATCACCGTAGCCGCGCGTTTGCGTTCAGCGCTTCGGCATATGTCTTCATGTATAGTCGCCATCGCTGAGATCGCCGTCATGGGACGCACCGAGACACGGCTGAGTCGCTGGAAAGCCTCGAACGCGACCACAACCATGTCGGGAGAAGAACTGTTTCCCGATTTGTCTTTGTTCCAGAAAGGAAGACCGTTTTTCCTGACCTTGTGAGCCATTAGTATAGCAGACGATCTCTCCGAAAGCTCCATGAGATGCATCGCGTAGACGGACAGACTCTCTTTACGGTTCGTGCCTCGGGAGGCTTCGATGAGGTTGACGATGGTGGGGATGTTCATTATGCTCTGGAAACAGAACATAAGACGGAGCGGTTTGTTGGAATGGTTCGTCGCCTCGACCGTTCGGTTCTGGTAATCCCCTTTGGTTAAGGCTCTACCCGGTTTGTACACCGCTAAAACCAGAGGAGTCGTCATGAACGTGGTGAAAATCGCCATTAGAACCATTATAGCAAAAACTTGATCATTCAAAACCTGCAAAGAAACATCAACAGGACAATGAGCAAATGTTTATATAAAATCTGATTTTAGAATTTGGAATGAATGGACTGACTAATTACTTACCCCTCTGTCTTTACCGATGTTGAGGACAATGAGCTCAACAAGACCTTTCGTGTTCATCAAGAAACCGAGAGCTAAAGACTCATCAAGCGGAACTTTGCAGTAGAGTGAAACCGCGACTGTCCCAACGATTTTACCGAAACAAGCATTGAAAATAACCAAAACCAACAGTCCCCAAGACTTGGCTCCTTGGATCGTAGCCACATCCGTCTTTAACCCGCTCGAGACGAAGTAAAGCGGCAAGAAAAGACCTGACACGAGATCCTCGACTTTCTCAACGAGAGAGTTCGCGAAGTTGCCTTCTTTAGGGAATATAACACCGATCACAAACGCACCGAACAACGCGTGGATCCCAATCAAGTCAGTCATGAAGCTAGCCGCAAGAACAATACCTAACGTGAAACACACGTATTGTTCTTTCACTGGTTCTCCATCAGGGCACTGTTTAGCAATCCACTTAAGCCCTGGTTGCACCACATAGACACAGAACAAGACGAAACCAACACCCGCTAGAAACACCCACAGAGAAGTTAGCGGAGAGTTTCCTTCGCCGGAGAGAGCCACCGCTAGAGCAAGAAGAATCCAAGCTGCCACGTCATTGACCGCAGCGGCAGACAGAGCGATCTTTCCGATATCAGTTGTAAGAAGCTTGATCTCAGCGAGAATACGAGCCAAGACGGGGAAAGCTGTGATGGAGAGAGCAACACCCATGAAGACGAGGAACGGAGCTTTGCTGACTCCATCAGCTATGGAGCTTCGCAGAGCAAATGAAGTTCCGATACCGAAGATGAAAGGGAGTGTGATTCCGGCTAAAGCGATCGAGAGCGCCTTTTTTCCGGTTCTCCTGAGGGATTTAGGGTCGAGCTCGAGACCAACGAGGAAGAGGAAGAAGATGAGTCCTAAGTTTGCAAGCGTGTCTAAAACCGTAAGGCTGCTTTTTGGGAAAACTGTGTTGAGAAACTTTGAGCTTTTCCCTAGAGCCGATGGTCCAAGTAATATTCCACCCTAAAATTCAAAGAAACATAAACACAAAATTAATTATGTTTTCAAAAAGAAAAAAAAATAAGCAATGGAGTATATGTTTTGAAGTGTGTTTGCATACTAATCAAAGTTGAAAAATCGTCAAAATTCCAATCTGTTGCAAATGTTGAAATTCACGATTTCCAAAAAGGTGGGAACGTGGAAGTATGAGGATAAGATATGTAACAGATACTCCCAAAGCGTATAACGTGTCGGCGAATTTTGTGGAAGATAAAAATGAATATTCTTGTGAAAGTTCGTAAAATATGCCAAACGACTGATTCAAGCTATATGATTGGAGAGTCAACTAATTAGATTTACAGCTGTATTTTCCAAAAAGTCCTCTTAAATCGTAAGTAATTGAAATAATTGATCAAAATGGCAATCTATTTGACTTTTAGATAGAACCCAAAATGGATGGTAAAATTGGAAATGGCCTTTTTTGATAAAACATGAATCGAAATAATTGAAAAAAAAAAGAAAAAAAAACGTACGACGATCTCGGCGATGACACGTGGCTGCCGGAGAGGACGGAGGAGGAAAGCGAGGACGCGAGTGAGGAGAAGAACGATGCAGATCTGGAGTATGAGAAGAGGCAGAGCGTGATGCAGAGGATTCTCTCCTTGGAAGACTCCATTAGAGGTCGCTTTCATCGGTCCTGGGCATGTTGAATCGTTTGCTCCTCCCATGCCGTTTTTAGATCTGACAATTTTGAAAATTATCAACGAGATTTAGTCATTGCGAAATCCGGCACTTTATTTTCTTGCATTCTCCCGGGAAAAAAAAAATAGCAGATGCGTAACTAACAAATAAAGCGCAGATTTCGATGAATTTTTCTCTGTTTATAACGAAAATCAGAATCAACAGAGGAATTAATGGTTACGTAACGAACAGCTAAAGCACAGATTTCGATAAATTTTTCTCGGGAAAATCAGATCAGATCAATACACGAGAGATATGGATAGATACAGATGCGAAACTCACGGATAGATATCTGGAAACGGAGATTATCGGAAAGAGAAGATTCTTCGATCCTTCGCGATTGATCTAGAAGCTTCGTAAGCGGATTTTCTCGCGAATTTGTTGAAATTGGGATTTTTCTGGGTTTAGAAGAAGAGAAGTGGGAGTGAGAGAGAGAGGTGGATGGATTGAGTATCTGGCGGTTACTGAGGTCGTTTATATAGCCTAAAGTTTAGTAAAATACCGATAATACCCCTGTTTGCGCGGGAAATTATCTTCTTCTATTTTTTTTTATATATAAAAGACAAAGAAAACATTATCTCCATGTAGGGTTGGCAAATTGGCAACTAACTAGCGAAAGTTGATTTTCTGAGGAAATTTTGGTCAGAGAGGCTTACGAAATTGGACGGTCATTTCTTTATATAACTTTGTAATTTATACAGTTTAAGGAATGAGAGTTTTACATTCTTCTCAAACCATTCGAAAAAGGTATAAATTATTCAGGGGGTCTTACTGATGACGATGCGTCTATGTGTCGTTGTGCTCGTGTGATTCGCATTCTTTAACAGTCGATAATTTACCTTTTAACACATATAGAAACCCTATCGAAAACTGGTCGAAAGAAGAAAGAAAACAAAAACACAGAGAAGATTGAATAACGAATTTTACCCAAAAAAAAAAGATTGAATAACGAGTATATAGTATATACCAAATTTGTATTGAAAAGTGAGGAACTTCATGTGGTCATATTTCAAATTGATAAAATAACAAAACCAACAAAAAAAAGCATAGTTAGATGCTATTAAATAAATTAATACTAACAATTATCAAATATGATGACACAGAAGAGGATACTAATGGGAAAAAAATTGCGAGTCTTATTTGTAAACTTGCCAACTTGTAAGATAAGCCAAAATAATAGTCTTTCTTTTTCTGTTTTGGTGTTCATATTTCAGAGCCACCACCTAAAGAAGAAACACAAGTAAATTAATAGTCACGAGTCTTCTTTGTAAATATATAGTCACGAATCACGAGTCTTCTTTGTAAATATCTCAAATGTATTTATCTCTCTCTCTTAACGCCACCATCATCACACACCTTTCAATCGACGTAAAGTTGACCAAAGCTTTCTTGGTCGAGTTTTTTCTTGCTCTTAAACACAGAAGGATTTTACATACACAAACTCACAAAATAAAACGCCGACCACCATTTTTGTGTTCACATATCCCAAAATGAAGGTAAATGGAATTAGGGTCTCCCTATAACACAAATCAATGAATAAGACATTCAGTTACAAAAGATTCTGAGTTGCTTAGCATTCATCAGTGCAATCTATTTGATAGATCAACATATAGAGATTAAATTCACATACTATATCAAAATATATAGAAAAGTTTGTTATAATATTATATCAAAACAGATTATCCATGCGATAACTTAATTAAACAAATTCAATGCTACATGCTTGGAGGGACAGACTGCAAATTCAGAATGTATAGTATCTTTTAAAACGATAATGTCAATGCTTGGTTGATTGAGCATATTAAAAGTGTTGGTTAATTATTGGATGTCTGACGGAATTTGGTAAGGCTAACGGATATAACGAAAATGATACATAAACTATTGTCAAATTATTGTCAAGTCACATATAAAACTATATATTATTACTTGATAGTTTTAAATATATACACAAGTGTTGTAAATTAGAGTGAATCAGCGACATACTTAGACAAAAATAAGTACAAATTTAAAACCTCTACAAAATCTAGTAAACTTTTTTGGTCATTTTGACAACAACGGGTTATCATAAATCTTCGAGTTGCCCAAAAGTTCAGATTGTTCATAAAATCAAACTATGACTCATATGAATATGTAAGAGATCGCAATCAGCAAGCAATTAAGTATGTTATAGATGTTTGAACTTATGGTAAATGGCATACAAAAATCATCATCGCAATACGTTTTGACATACAGTGTATCATACATTAATTTTGTGTTTAAAGTATAAAATATATAATCGTGGAAACGTACTCTTATCTACGCTGCGATTATGCACTGAGCCCTGCACACCTGTACATTTTATGCCTGTCATGTTGTTGAAATGGTAAACCTCTCCAGGTTTAGATAAGAGTGGTTTTCTAATTGGAATCAGGAACAAATATTATCTAATCAAGAAATAATTACGAGACGGCAAAATACAAAAAAAAAAACAAAATCCAGTTACGGACACGTGGGCGAAATAAGATACCCCTGACACGTGGACGTGTAACGTTTCGGCCATACAGAAAGTTCATTTCATCATTAGATATTAAACAACTTTTATTAATAGAATACATACTTGTAAGTCGTATAAATCGCTTTCATCCGATAGAGTCAACCAATAGCCTGATGGTAAAACCTTAGACAAATTATTGTATACGCATCAAACACAATCTTAATTCGTTTTAACTTTCAACTTTAAGTTTCGATAGGATTATCCTATATATGGATAGCATTGTTCAATTCTTTATTTACTTTTTTCAATCATGAGAAAAAGAAAGTAGTCCGTTTTTAATCTTCTCGAATTCTACTATGGTCTATAAGGATTTATATCAACTTTATTCAAATTTTCTGAATTCCTCCTTTTTTCTTCTCTAAATAACATATATAATACTACAATATCCATACCAAAAAATGGTTAATGGGATAAGTAATTTACAGAGAGGTCTTATACCTTTACAAATAGAATTGAAGGCGTTGGTATAGGCCATGTAGAGTATGTTAACACAAACAAAACGAGTCATAAGATATGAGATGGATTGTTCGGATTTATGAAGATGGTGGCTATACCTGAGGAGTGGCTGACTTTCTCAATTTTGCTGGAGAAAGTCACTAAGTGCAAAAACCTGTTTACGACATCTTCCATAGCTCATATTCCATGGACGAAAAACAAGAATATAGATAAGCTAGTACAGAGTACTTGAGATCACCTTCATGAGAGTAACTTCACTACCGGTTTGGATTTCTAAACCGTTCTATATGAAGATGCTGCTGTAAAAAAAAAAAATAATAACATACGTAATACACGCAAAAGCACAATCAAATTTTGCAACACAAACAAAGACTGACGTCTTTTAAGTAATTTTGATACCGATGACGATGTATTTATCAATCATTTTACATTAAACAATGAATATGAACAAAAGAAACATATATGAATGGCCATGGTGATCATATATATTAATACATACATGGACTTTCCTCCAATCAAATATTAGGTAATCATGCATGACGTAATTAAACAAGTCTTGTTTTTTTATACATTTTGGTATTTCATGAACTGGGCGTCTGGGCCCACCTATGAATCTCATTCTTATCCCACATATGACATATGCACGTAGATTAGATTGCGGGTTCAATTGGTGTTTAGTAGAGTAACAAGTAGAAGAAACAAAAAACTGACTAGACTGTGGATGCGAGTAGCGTTTAGCATAGATTTTTTTTTTCTTCCATGAAATGTTTCTAGAGGTATACTGAAATAGAAAATAGAAAAGTAGAAAAGAGAAAAATTTGAATAAAAAAAAGGAGAGAAAACAAAAATAACAAACTATGCTTTCCTTGTTGTTTCATCTATTCTTTCAAATTTTAAATACATAATAATCTTTTATTCTATACTTTTACTGGAAATGAAAAGAAAGAATAAAAGGAGAGAAATTTGAATGAAAACAAACAGATTTTATTCTCCTTATATTATCTGTTTTCCTTTTCCAGGAAAACTATAGGGTAAAATAAAATAAAATTCAAAATACATAATTAATTGGTTCCATAAGATGAAATGTGGAGTTCGGTCAAAAAAAGATTCAAAAAGGATTCTCAAACATAAAACTAGGGGTCAATGGAGTTTGAGCTGGTCTTGAATTTTTTTTTTTTTTAAACAGCATTTTTCCATTAAACTTTTAAAACCCGTTACAAAGGTGGACCATGATCCAAAACTAAAGTCGCGAAGCTATTCTTTGCGATTTTGGCAAGTGAATCGGCACGAACATTTTCCGATCGGGGATGAAACTGAAGCTGATGGATTTGAAGAGAAAGGCGAGAGTTTAAATATCAAAGAGGATTCCGTAAATCTCCTTGATTTGCTTTTGCATGTTTAGAGCTCGGACGAGGGCCTGAGCATCTGATTTGAGGTGGAGATCGGTGATTCCGATGTCCAAAGCGTGGTTGAGTGCTGAGCGGATCGAGATCGCTTCCGCCACAAGCGGCGACGCTACTGATGCTTCCGCTGAGCTTCTGGTGGTTAGGGTTTGACCTGATTCATCCACGAACAGCCATCCCATTCCTCCGATCCGGGTTTCTGCACTCCAAGCTCCATCAGAGAAGCAGGTAACGGTGTTCGGTTTATTTTGTCTTCTGCTTGTGTGGGTGAATTGTTGTTGTGGTTTAGGAATTGATAGTTGGGCTTGTTGCCATTCTCTGGCTTCTCTGACAGCTTTTGTAATGGTTTATGTAGGTGAGAAGGTACGATCGTCGAAGAGGAGGAAGTTCCTGGTCTTCTAGATTGCCCAATAAATTCAGGCGAAAAGAGGTCCCGTTCCCGTTCCGGTTGGAGGTAGACAAATCCAGTCTTTGGATGTCGTAAGGGTCGTTGTGAAGTCTTGGATTTGGAGAGGATTTATAGCGGTGGAGAAAGGGGCTAGGTTCCAGACTTCTCTCGCAAAAACACAATGGAAGAAGAGGTGATTCGTCGTCTCCAAGTCTCCACAGTGGATGCAGTAGGAGCTTTTAAGGATTCCTCTATTTATGAGGTTTTTTCCGATAGGTAAGGCTTTTTGTAGTATCTTCCAGAGGAAGACTTTTATTTTTGGTGAGATTTTTGTGAGCCAAATATCTGAGTTCCAATTGATGTGCAGGAGGTGTTGGTGATGTTGTGGGTCTTCGTTAGCAGCCATGGCAACATGGTAGCCAGTTTTGGCTGGTCTTGAATTAAATATACAAAGCTGTGCAACAAAAAAAGTTGTCCCTTTTTTTAACTTTTCATTCATAGTCTTTCTTCAGTAATTGGATATTTGAGATAACATATGTTTAGACCAATTTTATTATAATGGGCCGCCTTTATAAAAAGTATAATGGGTTTTAGTAGGCCCATGTTCTTATTAGAAAATAGTCTGATCTCTATACACTCTGTTCTTCTGTATGATCGCAAAACTAAAACTGTCCTTAATCTTTCTCCCGTCTTCTTCTCTCTCTCTCTGCATTTTCGCCCCGAAGCAGGTAAATTTCTTCTCTCTCCCACTCCTAGATTTCGGGGTTTAGAATGTTAGATTTAACCATCCAAAAATCCCTGAATTTTCTGATTATTTCATGGGAGAATTTGACGTTGAATTCAGTTTTTTTTTTTAAGATCGTATTTTTGAATATTTCGTCCATTTCTCTGATTGTTTATCGATGGATCGTTCTCATTTCTCAACCAGTTTCTACAATTTCGGTGAACTAGATCTTATTTGATTTCCAATGTCTGATCGAAAACTCGACTTGCTGTGATTCTGATTGCTGAATTAGCTGTTCTGGGAATTTGGTTCCTGTGCTTAACAGATCTGCTTTGACTCTTTTAACAAATTGTGAAATTGTGATTTGATCCAAAATAATGACGATAGCGCATCTCGTGCTTGATCCGATCACCGTTTTTAGATTCATGAGCTAACAATGTCTACACTTTGTAAGATTCTGGGATTCGATTTCTCGTATTGGTTATGGAAATTCACAAACCAAATGACTTGTCCTGTATTTGAAAAAAACAGATTTTTGAGGATTTTGGCAAGAGAACATGGAATCTACCGGTAATCATGGAGGGATCCAGCAACTTCTTGCTGCTGAACACGAAGCTCAGCAAATTGTCAATGCCGCTAGGACCGGTAATCAGTTACAAGCTCTATTCTTTTTTTTTTTTTTTTTTCTAGAAACTCTAGAATCGCTTAAGCTCTTGCATGATTGAGTCTGCTTGGTTTTACTCATCTTTACATGTTCTTATTGACATGTCTTGATACAAAAGCAGTGTTCTTTGTGTACTGTGGATGTTACGTGTCAATTGTGATGATATAGGTGTTATGATCCATAAGAGTAATGATTTTAATGACATAATGGCTTAGTTTGACTAGCATTTGATTGTAACGTAGAGCTTATATAGTTAGCATAATTTAGACGAATTTTCACCAGTTGGCACGAAGCAACTTGTTATTAAGAATGTATGCTTTTTGTTTTCAGCGAAAATGGCTAGACTGAAGCAAGCCAAGGAAGAGGCTGAAACAGAGGTTGCTGAGCACAAAACAAGTACGGAGCATGGATTCCAGAGGAAACTCGAAGAGGTATGGTTTTCAAAACTTGGTTCTTTTTGTACACCCTGGTCCTTTTAAACACTTGTTATTGATGACTGGAACTTGACTGCGAATACAGACCAGTGGAGATTCAGGTGCAAACGTGAAGAGGCTTGAGCAAGAGACTGATGCCAAAATCGAGCAATTGAAGAGCGAAGCTTCGAGAATCTCCAGAGATGTTGTGGAGATGCTTCTGAAACATGTGACCACAGTGAAGAACTGAGATCTATATATACATCACAAGAAAACCATTTTGAGTGTAAGATGGTGTGAAGAGATTTTTTTGAGTGGATTCGTTCATTCGTTTCTTGTACTGTTCTTGTGGATTCTGCATATTTGAGCTATTGATGTTCGCTTTGTGTCTTGAGCTATTGTATTCATCTCTCCAAAACAAGCTTGGGGCACTGTTTGTAATAAAATGGAGAACAAAGAAACCCATTGGATTTTGTTTCATCAAAAAAAAAATTAGAATAAAGTCTTAAAAAATCAGAGGGGACACAGAGAGCCTTAACAATGGAGATATGTGTTTATGCTTTGCCTTAGTGAATTGCATTTGCCAAATGAATCAAATGTGGTGAAGGACGTAATGACGAAACGGTGGAGATGTTGATGAACGTTGACGGTGATCTCGGATTGGAACCTCATGAATGCAATGATCACATTAGTACGTGAATGTCTATTTGTTGATCTTGGTGGCTTTGGACTTTGGTCAATGGTTAAAAGTTCACATCTTATCAAGGTTTGGTAAGTTCTGTCTTCATGAATTAATCGATGAAACTTGTTTTGATCAAATGAAACGTTACAACCATGGATTATATAGTTATAAAACTCAAAAGGTACTCCAAAAACATCTTGCAGTCATTAAAAACTACTACTCAAGAACAATAAATTTGAATATATTTTAAATTAACAGTAAAAGATATATATAAATATTACAACTAATAACACTGAAATTTATAGGACGTTTAACTTTAACATTCTTATTTGTTATTCTGACACAAATTAATTAGATAATTGATTAAATATACTCCTAAAATTATAGACTACTACTAGTAATATAAGCTAGAGAAGAGAGTATCATATCCTTCATAGTCTATGAATAAAAAAATTGTAGATGAGAAAAGGGTACAACCCGGTCGAACCGTCGAAGCCTCTACACATAAAATAATTGCCAGTTTCCTACATTATCTTTGTTTGTGTCCAAGTCCACGTACCAATGAAGTTCAGAAAAATATACAAATATATTTGATATCAATTAGAGAATTTTCTTTATTTCTTTCGTACAGACTTTACCCTAAAAAAATCAAAATCTGAAGCTTATAAAAACCCATCACTACTTTTGCATACATGTATCCATCCATTGTGTATTTCCTCGCATCCATTATTCATTTTCTACGCCTCTCTTTCTCTCTCCCTCTCCATCAAATCATCTTTTCTTCAGTCTCTCTATCTCTCTCATCAATTCTCTCCATACAATACATGCATACATAAATACATACCAATACCATTCTCTTTTCCAAATTCTCTTATCTCTCCCATTCTTTAGCCTACATACTAGTTATTGTTGTCAAAAGATTCATTTAGAACTTGTTATCACTTTGGTGTGAGATCTAGGGTTTCTTTCTTTTCTTTCAAATCTGGCTGCCTATTCTTCAAAATCATGCTTTCTCGCTTGATGGGTTCTAGATCCATGCAAATTAGTGTACATACCCACTTAGACACTGATACATACATCTAGTTTATACAGAGAGTGTATACATACTTGGTATTTTGAAAACAGCATATATAGTATATACTCACCATTACTAACTGATGTAGGAATATATATTGAAAGAGAGCTTCCTTGAGTCCATTCACAGGTCGTGATATGATTCAATTAGCTTCCGACTCATTCATCCAAATACCGAGTTGCTAAATTCATCCTTAACTCGTTAAATGAATGTATGATGCGGTAGACAAATTGGATCATTGATTCTCTTTGATTGGACTGAAGGGAGCTCCCTCTCTTTTTTGGTTTTCCAATTTTCATGAAATCCGTTTTTTCCGGCATAAAAACATGTTAAGACTTGCCATATACATATTGCCACCGAGATATAATTTATTCGTATGTATGTTCCTGATTAAATTATACGTATTTTCTATATTGGATTTCTCTACTGTTCAGATACCGTCTTGAATAGGTGAAGAGTACGACCGAAGATTGGACATTTCATCTGGTATCTTCAACTTTCTTTACATCTCTCTATATTGGCGATGGCAATCTTTCAAAACTTTTTCATCCGGTTAATTAATCATCTTTCCAGGTTAACAATGTTCTGTTTGATGAACCCTAGCGAGTAAATTAGCTTTCGATTTTCTATTCTGTAACCATTTCATTAGTTTACATCTATGTATAACTATCTTTGTGTATTCATAAGTCTATCTTGAATCTCTCGCTCTTGGTCTCTCTTCTCTCTCGGTGTCATTCTTTTGTACTCTGGGAATTAGCGGTTGCAATTTACAAGTAGGGTTTTTGTCTATTATTTTGTTGGCTAGGGTTGAGTGTAATTGAAATATATTAGTTTTAAAAAGATAAAGCTTGACGACAAACTCATGACCTTTGTTTCTCTTGGGGCTTGAAGAGTTAATACTGCAGCAACAAGTTCCCATAATTTTCATTTATTTTGCATTTCCCAATTATGGACCTTCTCCTTCAATGGCATTCTTTAGTTTTATTACATTTTTGGTATTTAAAACTATTTTGTAAAAGCGCTTTGGAAGTTGAAAATGACTTTTTATCTTCACCACGAAATTCATTACGTTTGTGTATTAATATTTTCGTTGTTATCAAATTATTCCATTTCGCAGTTCGAATTTTAAGGTTTGTGTTAGTAACAATTATTGATGTTAATGTGACATAGTTAAATCAGTATATGTGGAGTCACGTAACGGAATTGTATTCACAATTATTATGACGAACAATTCTTCCTATGGTCACATGTTACATTGACATCTACGTGTCGATGTCGGTATGAGTTTTCTGTCAAACTTCACTTCACTTCTTCTTTAACCAGCAATAATTGTTTTATATTAATACCAAATCTTTTTTTGGGAGCACTATCATCTGATTCATATCCTGTCTCTAGAAGGAGAAATTATTATTAAACCAATAAATTCCTTTCTTCTAATAATGATATTTGTCACCACTTTGTTTTAGTTTTTAACACTAGTGTGTTTCTTCCTTTTAATGGTTTTATATTTTTTATTCATAATTTTAAAACTTGACGATTGATATCAGATCGATTTTCTTCCATTAACGCCAAGTAGAATGTCTTAATATTAGAAAGATACTTTACAATATTATAACTTGTAACATTGTGAAGAAAGATATTAGATAGTTGTTAATTTAAAAAAGAAAAAAAAAATCGGTATAATGTTTGTTAATTTTTTTTTGTCATGGTGCCAAGTGAAAGTGGGTAGCTCCTGAAGATTGTTTAAAATGTTAGAGACGCTACTAAGAAGAAAAGCTACTTCATTCGTTTCGTGGAACCGGATGAAAGATGTCGACAAGATTGGCTAGAAAAAGCCGACGTGGAAGGAGCTGTTCTTGAAGGTGGACGTAGACTATTTTAGGGTTTTGCTCGCACTGCAGAAACTGGTCGTATAAATATACGTAGATGAGCATATAAACTGGTCATAACTAATCAGTCTCTTTCATGAGTGATGATAATTGGCAAAAAATGATTTCTTGCAAATTGTCTATGTTTGAGTTCGTTTATATGAGGATCTATTTAGTAAAATATTTGATGTCAAAACGCAAATATTGTAATTGCTCTACCACAAAATCTATATGTTAACCTTTGTCAAAAAAACAAAAAACCCCAATATACCAGGCTTTCATTTGTGTGAATACAAAGAAAAATGTTATCGCTTTTCAATCCCAAAAAAAGAGGAGATAAAGTATCTTCAAAGTCCAAACACAATCTGTATTATATAATTGAACCTTTCTAGAAGAGATTCATGACTTTGGCTGGGTGGCTGCAATTGGTTAATGTCTGGTGAAAAGAAGCCTAATGAGGAACATATTACATAAGTATAACAAATATAGGTAGTTTGATGTGATTAGTGGCTGCCCAATTATTCGTTGTAGGAGCTAAATATGTCGATGTCATTAAGCAATAAGCATCAATCTAAAGAAAGGCTCGTCTAATGGAAATTCTTGCGTGTTGGAATTTATAGATACATTTAGGTAACCCTTTTTTGCTTTTGATTATACCCCATAAAGTCACGCTTTTAGAGAATTTTTTACTCTAGTTTAACTGTTGTGTACACGGAATAACCGATGATTTCTTCAAGAGGTAGTCAGGTAGACATCATCATTTCAGTTTAACCGATAACTGGTATGTTCTTATTGACCATGTGGCTGGTGAGACATTCAAATAAAATCAATACGATGAAACAATAAAACCATATTCAAATTCAGATTAGACTATGGCCATCGATCACACACACACACACACACAAAGAGAAACCTTATACCGAAGTAACATGTTTTTATTACTATTCTTACCGTGTAAAAGTAACTTCTTGTTGGTTAATCAAAGAGTACTTCTAGCATGAACTTAACTGTTAAAATTCTTTAAACTATTATCTTTAACTGTAGAACTATTTCATTCTCTAGTGTTGAAGTAGCTTCGATTTTTTTTTTTAAATTAATTGTCAAAGCCATCACTAACAACTCCATTCACGTGACAAACTAGACCCAAATCAAAACTTGCTTGACCCGACCTGTATGGCCAATACGCAACACGCGAATTTATGAATTTTGAATCACTGTTATTATTTATTATTATGGGAATATATCAATATATACGCGAATTGTAATTCTTTTATACAATTTTTTTTTTAGCAACTTCTTTTATACAAATCTATGGGAATATTATCACATCAGATCTCGGTGGAGAGCCAAAAGTGAAAATATTAGTAATAATGGACATTACTTTCAAAAATAAACCTGGTAGCTTGATTTTGTGTCACAACTTTAACAAAATAAAAAATTTAGTCTGATCAAACTTTTTTCTCATCTGTCCATCGGCACATCTAGTCTCATGGCATTCTTTTCTTCTTTCATCATTTCTTACAGTACAATTGTTTTGTTTTTTTTTTCATTCAATTATACATTTTTTCTTCAGTTTTGCCATATAAAGTACGATTGGTATTTGGTAATCTACAAACGTGGTTAGAAACCAACCGTTCATACTGTTGCTAATTTCTGTAACAGTTGGATTGGATAATTTAGGAGTTTGATTCAAAACAGCTGTATAATCATCATACCTATTCATAGTGAATGTAGATAATAACCTATTCACAGTGACAAGGTCTTAAACTTTTAGTTGCCTAACAGATAATTAGGGGAAAACAGCAAAAAATAGTACTACTATATTTGGACTTTGGAGTTATCAACAACTTAACAGATAGAAAAAACGAACAGTTTTTAAGTCATCTATTTTTCTAGATGCACCTTCTTAGATATAAAAATATTAAAGTACTTTTTATATTATTACACAATTCAAAATTTACTCTCACTGCTCAAACCTAGCCAACCAAATGGATGTTATACCAAGATGTACTAACCGGGTCCGGGAAATTTTCAAGGGGTTGTTGTTCCATAAGATTGCAAGTCTGTGTATGAAACATGACTTGGAGTCAGCAACGTTAAATGTGCTGTTCAGCTAAACTATTCATATTAAAATAAAAGTAATACAGTGTAAAACAGAGAAATTCGTAATGATATTTTATAAGGTAATTGAAAGAGAGACAAAAGGATTCCAATGCCTTTATTGGACATATAGGGTTGTCCCATGATTTGACTCTGTTCTTCTACAGCTGTCTTAATTTATCTTCTGGAATTTTATACTATCTCCTAATATTCAATCTCTCAAATAAAAAATATATACGTATTTTTCAGTTTTCATATAAAATATGTAAGAGATATTGTTAGAGAAAAAGTGAAGCATGGAAGAAACAACAGAAGTGGGAAACAAAACTGCAGAGATTCCATGAGATTCTTGTTACTTGCTTCAGTCTTCTTGTAGTCTTCTCATCATCATATCAGTTGCGACCACAGAAAAAAAGAAAGAATTATTTCCTGAAAAAAACAAATACTGAAATTTTCTTAAGTTCACTGACACCATGAGATGGCAAAATTATTACTTTAAAAAAAATTCAAGGTTGATTTGTTATATGGCAATTTAAAAGATTTCTTCTGTAAGTAATTATATATTTTCGTTTTTTCTAGAAAAAGTTATATTCTCTTTAGGTCCACCGTATATAGCTACTTATGAACATATGTGTAACAAACGTGGTTGCTCTAAGCATAGCTTTTTGCTTCAACTCGATTGTGATCTACACTTTTATTTTTATCGTGACACTAATTGTAATGCGTAACTCTGCAAAAAATATTTCTTACAGCTAGCTTGCTACTCGAAGGTTAACAGATCTCGTGAACCACAATTAGAAACATCTTTCGTCGCAGTGACTACATCCAAACTCAATGGCTAAGAGCACTACTAGTTCCGAATTCCAAATTTCTCATGAAGAAATATATTAGAATCGATTGCCATGATGTCATATTGATGCAGTGCATGACAATGTCAAAATTATAAATAGCACGTGTCTTCTTCGACAAAAAACATTATACAATACCCTTACTAAAGCCTTCCCACAAATTTTATGCTTCAACCTTTTTTTTGGAGAAAGCAAATTATAGAATTCGTTCACATTTCCGAAGATTAAGAAAAACGATAATATGGTCAACTATTCGTTTACCCGGGAAATTTGCTTCACAAGGTACGAGTACGACATAAACGGCATAACCAAAACTTTGGTACGATGATCAAATGCATAAAGTAACAAGTGCGTTTTCGTCGCTGCAACGACACATGAACAAGATCACTATTAGCATCCTATAAATAAAGAGAGGTGTAGCACAATATTTCAATTTGGGTATAGAACGTGAATACCTTTTCGTTGCGGTGAAATGGAAACACAAATCATGGCTAAGCAAACACTCTCTCTCTTACCTGTTTCATTTATTTTGTTGCTTATTTTATTCCAAAAGAGTGAATCCTCAGTTTTCCCCATCACTTGATATGACCATTCAGTAACTTATATACTACTTTATTACCTATCCATCTTTACATTTATACACTTAACAACCTTCAATCTACTTTCAAAGCTAAAATAAAAATAAAAACTGAATGCTTTTCTGTAACTAATGACAGAATTGGGTTTAGTTACTTTTCCTTTGATCGACAATCTTCAAAATGATAGAATTTGCAATGAATATCTGAAACAAAGAAACACAATTTCATACAAAACAGAAGATGATTTTTTGTTTTTCGTTTCAATATGCTGGTTTTATTCATGATACCGCTCGTACATCATATTCAAGTTTCATTAAAAAAAAAAGAATAAAAAAAAACGGAAAAGGCAGGAAATTCAACAAAAACCTGGTTGACCAAAAAAATCAATTGCATGCTTTGGCCCATTCGATATTGTTGGCCCATATACTCCTAGGAGGCTTGTATGCTCAAATCATTGATCCTACAAGCTCAGCATACTACTGTGTAAGTTTTACTTTTGTAATTTGAGTTTTATAGGATTTTGGCTAATGTATCATGATGTATGTGATCGGCTTTGTTAATCACAAAATGAATAAAAAAATCAAATTCCAATTTATGTTGAGTACTACTCCAGATTGCGTACTTCATTTTTCGTGGTCTAAAACAGAACAAAATTTCTTTTTCAATGAAAGTTTAGTTGTGACTTGTGAGTTTGTGATAAAGAAATTGAAAATATCATTTCAAAAAGAGAAGAAAGAGCGCAATCAGCGGCATGAACTCTTTCATTACTTCCAAAGTCAAAAGATAAAGAAAGATTCAACTCTGATGTTTTTTTTCTTTGCATGCGTTTACTTCCTCATCATTCTCTTACTAAATCGTACAGTTTTCAAAAAGATCCTTGAGGGATTAGACAAGTTTCCACTGCAATCAACATATCAAGAGAGTCCAGGTCCAATTTGGCAGTGTTAATTAGATTTATCAAAATAATGAAACCGAGTTTTGATCTGAATGATCTAGTTTTACCCTTTCCATAAGATCTGAAAGTGAGTTTAACAAACTAAACCAAGCCAAAATATACTAATTATATTCTAAGAATTTCATTTTGTTTGAAAATAAAATCCTAAACAAGACTAGATCCACTAATTCGACTTTTTATATTTAGTACATGCAATGATTCACTTATGGCCCTACATTTACATGTCTTTTTTTTCACTTCCTACCTCAAACAATCTCTAACTCTAGGGAACATTTTCCTGAAGACAAAATCAAACACGACAGAGAAATATGAACTCAAAGTCTCTCACTTGTTGTGTTGTGTTCTTACTATACACCAGTTTGTGTTCTTCTGCTTCACCATCCTCTCTCATGCACTCCAGCTCCACAACATCAATCCTTAATGTCACTTTACCACATTCCTTGTCTCAATCTCTTGAAAATTTCGCCCTCAAAACGTTAACCAATCAACATCATACCGGTGCTCTCTACCAAGCTATCTTACCGGACAATCTCTCCGGAATCGAAGTCTCCGTCGTTCGTCTCACCGGGAAGAGTCTTTGGAACAATGGGGCCAAGTTTAGCAACGTGCTTATTCCGGCAAGGTCAGTTTCGGTTCCTCCTGCAAGAAGAGTCGCTATTGTGTACCAAGATCTAGGGAATTGGTCTAACCGTTGGTATCTCGTTCCTGGTTACCGGTTAATCACTTCTGTCTTAGGGTTTCGAGTTTTGGATGTGTCGGATCAAGACAATGTCAAAGAGATCACCCTAAGGATGAATCATCCTGTGGAGATTTCTTTTACGGATTTACGCAATGACTCCGACTCGGGTGAGAAAATGATGTCTAGAGTTAGATGCGTGAGCTTCAAGGCACATCCAGAAGACAAGAAAGCAACTTATATTAGCCGAATGGTTCTCCCGGGCGTGTGTTACGGTTCGAGCCACGGCGATTATTCGGTGATTGAACCCTTAGAGAACGATAAGAAGAAGGTTGAGTTGTGGCAGACCTGGTGGTGGTTATGGATACTCGGATTTGTATTAGGGCTCGGCGTGTTAGGGTTTCTAGGGATTGTGGGTACAATGGGGATTAAGGTACTAAGAGCGAAGAAGATTCAAGTGATGATGGAGAGAGAAGCTAATGATGGTGAAGTGTTTGAGAGCAGATGGGTTGGTGGAAGTAAAATGCCATCAGCGGCTGTAACAAGAACCTTACCAGAGTCCGAATCCGGATTTGAAAGCGGGTCTCGTAGTCATAGATTTGGGCCACCGCACTAAACGAGAACCCAAAGGGCCAAGTCCATTAAGAAAGGCGTGTTGGTACGTGTATTCTCGTTACTGACGACTTTACGCATATGATTAAACTTCGAATTATTGTTATCTACAAATGAATCGCAGCAAAAACCATCTTATTCAGACGTTTTCCAATCCTAGCACGCAAATTTCTCTGCAAAATTACAAGATTGCTACGTGAAAGTAACAACGTTATATTATGATTCTGGTGTAGTGACATTTCTTTATTGAAGTTTTTTTGGCTATATCTATATGATGAACACTTTAACTTTTTACATTTTCAGATTATTACATGAACCCTTTTTCAAGATAACTAAACAAAACTAATGATTATGAAAAACACTACGAATGGGACAACCAACTACGTTTGCAGATGAACATAATTGGCGCATTAAAGATATAATAGGTCGGCATAAAAAGACAAGAACAACTTGCTAATACTTTAATTTTGCACGTTTCGACATAATTTTAGAAAGAAAAAAACTTAGATCAATCTTAGGCTTAGCTATGTAAAGTTCGGCAAAATCAACTTTGGACATCAATCTATAAACACATGCTCGGACCAAAATTGAATTGGCCAATACTGTCTTTAGTAGACCTGTTTAGATAACAAACTCAAATTCACTTTACCAAAATAAAAATCAAACTCAAATTAACTATGATCTCTATTAATTTATTTATGGTAGTGGTCTATTTTGGATTGTTTGGCTTGCACGGACTTCGTCTTTTGAAAATCTTCTTTGTCGAGCTACCTTTTCGTTGTGTACATGTTTTTGTATCTGCTGAAAGGATCGAAAAGCTTAAGAAAACAGTTGACATATTTATCAACTACTATAAAATTATAAAATTCATTAATTAGTAAAACTATTGCGACGACGTTTAAAGTGAAACTATAAAATTCATTAATTTAGCAATTAACGAAAAAATCAACTAAAAATTTCCCTCCAAATCTGAAGAGGTAGTTAATTCCGTTAATCATGGTCGCATGTCAAGATCTACCCATCCCTCACACCTCTATCATCACAACCAGCTGTCCTGCCATCATCTTCTTTGTTTTTTTATTCCCCTGATTTCATTTTATTTTGTTGCAACTAGATCTCATTTTCTTTATTAACTCAGCCAATCAAATTGAAGAGAAAACTTATCCACCAAAAATCTATTCAGCACTAATGAAGAAACTGTTTGACACACACTGTTTACAAATAAAAATTAATCTTTACTGTTAAAAGTTAAAAAAAAAAACGCATAAAAGACAAGTGAAAACTTAACCTTTTTACGAAGAACAAGGTTTAATTGTTTCAAACGCAAGCTTTACATGTGATAATATATCTCAATTCTCAAGACGTTATGGAATCTGGTATATAAATGTAAGAAAAAATATTTCAAATTAGGTAACGTAATACTGTAATTATAAACATTTTCCCAAATAATTTAGAGACGAAACTTAAAAAAACCAATGATATTTATTAGTTTTTGTAACAAGGAATAAAACGACAAAAGTTCTATCAATTACACGACTGAAAGCAGGATTGTGGATATATCACTATCGTAAAGATGAATCATCGTCAATAACTCAGAAAACACTAATCATCTTCTACTTGACAGATGACCACCACGGAGGAGTAGGAACAAAACATTTAAAAGACCACCATTTGCAGTCTTTATTAACCTTTTGAATCTTCGCACCTTTTTCTAACATATTGCCCCTTTTCTCTTACTTCCGTCTTTAAATATTTTTCATGATCTGAATACTTCAGAGATTCTTCTCCCGGGTCAAAAAGGTTGTGCCTTGCTCTATATGGTAATCTCATTTGGGCATCTCAACTGTTAGTTTTTCCGGGAAATCGCGTGTTCAATATTTGAAATTTGGCAAGATATAGCGTTTTTGAATCTCAACCTCACGTCTGTCGTAATCGCGTTTGCCCTTTTATCCTCTGTTAGATTTTTTTTTAATTTGGTGTTTCGTGTGTTGCAGCTTTATCGGTGTGAGAAAGAGACTTAAGCAGTTGAAGTGGTGGTTGGGGTTTCGGTTTCATTTCCACGAGAAAACTTAGGGTTTCTTGTTGATCCTCATTAAAAGTTTCCTCTTTTTCTTCTTGTGATTTCTTCGCCTAATTTTTAGTTTATTTCCCCCGATTTAAAACCGCAAGAGAGAGCAAAGGGAAAAATAATCAAAATCGAAACTTGCTCTTGATTTTTGAGTTTGATTGAAATCTTTGTTGCTTGCTTAACAATGGAAGCATCTGGAGTCGGTGGTGGTGCAGAGAAGAGACCCACCGTTGACTTGGTCAAGGATAAAAATGGAACCGATCAGATTCGTCTCCAGAATCCTAAAGGCGCCTCTGTAAAGGTGATTGCTTTTTTTTTTCATTCTTCCTTTTGTTTCTCCGATGTTTTGATTCAAGATTCCCAATTTGATTCTCGGATTCTGGAAGTAGTGGATAAGATGTTGACTTTAAGCTTTGCCAACCAACTGTTCGATGATTTTCCTCTTCCAAACTCTTCTTTGCTACTAGAAATTCTGAGTTTTAATTTTTTTACTATTCGGATTATTGATTTGGAACTTGATAATCAAAGATTCTTGATTCGGATTGTATTTTGTGTTTGATACATTTGAATTGGTTCAAAAGGTTTGATTTTGATGGGTGAATCAATGAATTTGGTTTCTTAGGATCAGAGCATTTCTAAGCGTGTCCCACTGTTCTGTTTCTATTGGTGATTTGAGCTCTGTTTCTTGGAAGAAACTCTTGAAAAGTTCATGGCTATAGTTCATGGCTATAGCTTCAATACTCTCTTGACAGGAAAAGATTTTGTTTTTGGTTCGTGGAAAGTGGAAACTATGGCTTTTGTGATATTCCTGTTGCATCACATCCACATACATTTTCATTTTGCTTTATTGAGCTAACGGTTTGCTATGGACGATGATGCTTTGTTCTTCAGATCAGTTTACATGGAGGACAAGTCCTTTCTTGGAAGACTGACAAGGGTGATGAATTATTATTCACCAGCGCCAAGGTACCAAAACAACTTCAATCTTTCTTCAACATTTTAGGAAACTTTTTAAGCTTCTTGCTAAATGATGATAATGCTCTGCTTATTTCAGGCTAACTCAAAACCTCCCCATCCTGTACGAGGAGGAATCCCAATCTGCTTCCCTCAGGTACATTGTTATGGTGTTTCCTCAAGATAAAACTCTTTTGATTTTGATCACTTTTCTTATAAAACTGCTTGTTTGCTCTCTCAAATAAAGTTTGGAACTCGAGGATCGCTTGAGCAGCACGGCTTTGCGAGAAACAAGATGTGGCTTTTGGAAAAGGATCCACCCTCTCTTCCTTCGTTTGACTCAACCGGCAAAGCCTTTGTCGATTTGGCACTTAAATCCTCTGACGAAGACATAAGAGTCTGGCCTCACAGGTTTCCAAAGCTTTGATCCTTTGATATGATGATCCGATTCTATTCATTTCAGACTGCTTAATGACTTTGCTCTGTGTTTCAGCTTTGAGTTTCACCTGAGGATTTCATTGGCCTTAGATGGGAACCTAACGTTGATCTCTCGAGTCAGAAACATCAATTCAAAGCCTTTTAGCTTTTCCATTGCTTACCACACTTACTTCTCCATCTCCGATATCAGGTGAGAAACACCGATCTTTCACCTTCTCTAATCTCTCTACCGATCACACAAAACTCAAAATGCTTTCTTTGTTCATCAGTGAAGTGAGAGTTGAAGGGCTTGAAACTCTGGACTATCTTGACAACATGCTCGAGAAAGAGCGGTTTACAGAGCAAGGCGATGCGTTAACCTTCGAATCCGAGATCGATAGAGTCTACTTAAACTCTAAAGACGTGGTTGCGGTCTTCGACCATGAGAGAAAACGCACCTTCCTCATCAAGAAAGAAGGCCTACCTGATGTTGGTAAGATCCCAGAAAACCGAAAACGTTAACCGCCCTTTTTCTTTAAACCGGAATCCAGTTTTGACACTGTTTTGTTGCAGTTGTATGGAATCCATGGGACAAGAAAGCTAAAGCGTTGACTGATTTGGGAGATGAAGAGTACAAGCAGATGTTGTGCGTTGATGGAGCAGCTATTGAGAAACCCATCACTTTGAAACCGGGTGAAGAATGGACCGGGAAATTAAATCTCTCGCTTGTCCTTTCCACCTGAAAACCGGTACTGGTTATCTCAAACCGATTTGATTCTTCTTATTATCTTTTGGGGGTTTATTTTTTCTCCGTATAGTCTTATAGAACATCACAGTGTGTGTGATTCTTCGGTTTCAAATCCGGAATATTAAAAAAGCAAACCGAAAAAAGTCGCCCGCTTTTTTGGAAGTGACGAGATCCTGGTTTTGTGCGAGATTTAACTTGTGTATCAAGATAATGTTTTACATATATGAAGTTTGTATTTGATTTCATTTTTTATTTGGTGAAATCTTCATTACTATCTAAAGCTTTCTCGTTCTCATAATACCATAAGCTAATCTTTCTTGGATGGTTAAAGTAGGAATAAAAGTAAATAAAAATGAAATGAAAAAAGAGTAAATTTTAGTGGCGTTGTACTCTGGATGCCTCTCAATGTTGGAGAAAAAGAAAAGGAATCAACCGAGCGAAAATGGTATTGAAATCATTACGATGAATCAAGTAAGATTTGAAATTATTGCTCTATAATGAGGCACCATAAATTCTTTAATTGAGTCGGTCCAATATTTAATAGGACACCGGAGGGAAAGTAAGATTTATATGACTAAATAAATATTCATGCCAAAAGAATAAAGAAATAAATTAAAATGGTAGAAATCAATATTGCATTGAAGCTTTTGAGATTCATTATGACCGAGAGTATATACAATAACCAAAAACGTATATTTTGTTTGAGATTCATGTGTTTTGGCAAGTTAACTATGTTTTCTTCATTAATAGTTTGCTCTCTCTTCTTTTGTTAGGCATTGACCAATTGACGTTATGTCTTATCATCCGGTTATGCATGTATCATTATCAGTTCATAAAGCTAACCGGGTTCATAAAATTTGTTTAACAAAATAGCTAATCTTCCGATTATACTGGGATACGGGAGCTAATCCAACCATAAACTGACAAAGATCAAATTAAACAATGAAAGTTATAATCATAAAATCGCTGGCACAATAAAATTTCCAGGTACACACACGAAAGCAAATGGTCCCCGGTTCGGTATTTAATAACCGGAACGTACGGCTTTCACAGACTCTCTCACCGGTCACTCGCTTTGTAACAAACGAATAAAAGAGAGTCGCATCAGTATCTTCCCTCGTCATTTTCACCACTTTAATGCCTCTAAAGAAAAAAACTTATATCCGTTGCTGGAATTAACAAAAAAAAACCACAAGCTCTTAACTCCAGTGCTTCAATGGTGGTTCTATAGCCGTTTCTTCACATTATTTTCACCGGGTAAATTAATTTATGAGGTAGTGTCTCTCTCACTTCAAATTTTGACTAATTTTTGTGGAATATTTCAAAAATCCAGAAATTCTCAGAAATTCAGTAATACAAGTCCTGTATTTGTATGAATCCTAATTTTATCATCGATTAAAGTTGCAGACTTGATCGATTCTCGAGAAGAAACGGCGCGCAAGAGCTCTAAAGTTTTAGATCTGGAAAAGTGAAGGTACCAATTCTTTAATTTATAGCTTCAATTTTAATAAATTTAATCCTTTAGTAGAGTTAGGGTTCCACTTTTCATTTCCCAGAAAATTTAGGGTTTCTGATTTGAAGAGTTTAAATTAAAGCTCAAATGTACAAAAAAAAAGGACTTTTTCTTTCGTCATTTTCGAAGTTACAGTCGTCTCTCTCACTCTCTCTCTCTGTCTCCCACTCTTGTTGAGTTTCTGGAATTTTAAATTTGGCATAGAACTTATTCAGATTCCCCTTTTACTTTTGATCCGCAGTCTTCTAGAAATCTGCTCTTTTGTAACCTTTTATTTTAAATTAAAGTGGATCAAAACTTCTCCATTTATATATACTCATCATCGTCTTCAACTGTAAAATTGAGCTAATTGGTTATTCAATTTCTCTCCAGCTTTTTAAAAACAGCTCGTTTTGTTTATTCCAACAATGGAAGCTTGGAGGATTTCTCTATGGATTCTCTCTCTAAGTTTGATTCTCAACGGAGCAAACGCAGATCCAGCGCAAGACAAACGCGCATTGCTCGAGTTCCTAACCATTATGCGACCGACGCGCTCACTCAACTGGAACGAGAGCTCCTCCGTCTGCAGAACCTGGACCGGAGTAACATGCAACCAAGACGGATCTCGAATCGTAGCCGTTAGATTACCAGGCGTCGGACTCAACGGCCAGATTCCACCCAACACTATAAGCCGACTCTCTGCTCTCAGAGTCCTCAGCCTCAGATCCAACCGAATCTCCGGTCATTTCCCGGCGGATTTCTCCGAGCTCAAAGACTTGGCGTTTCTCTACCTTCAGTACAACACCTTCTCCGGTCCTCTGCCTCTGGATTTCTCCGTCTGGAAGAATCTCACCAGTGTCAATCTCTCGAACAACGGATTCAATGGAACGATTCCGGATTCTCTCTCCCGTCTCAACCGTATCATGTCGCTGAATCTCGCTAACAATTCGCTCTCCGGCGACATTCCGGATCTGGGCGGTCTCTCTACTCTGCAGCATATCGATTTGTCCAACAATGATCTCAATGGTCCGATACCGAATTGGCTTCGTAGATTCCCATCGTCGTCTTCTCAAGGCACCGGTGTGATTCCTCCTGGTGACGTCGACCATTTTCGACCACCTCGCGACGAGACTCGTCGGAAGCCGAAAACGCGCTTCTTTGGACTCACCGAGACGGTTTTCCTGCTGATCGTAATCGCGATTTCCATCGTCGTAATCGCGGTTTTGGCGTTTGTGTTCACTGTTTGCTACGTGAGGAGGAAGCTAAGACGCGGCGGCGGTGGGATGGTTTCGGATAATAGTAACAAGATGCAGAAGAAAGGAGGAATGTCGCCGGAGAAGTTCGTTTCGCGGATGGAAGACGCCAACAACCGGTTATCTTTCTTCGAAGGATGCAATTACTCGTTTGATCTGGAGGATCTGTTGAGAGCTTCCGCTGAGGTTCTCGGTAAAGGAACGTTCGGGACGACGTACAAAGCGGTTCTCGAGGACGCGACTTCTGTTGCTGTGAAACGGCTCAAGGACGTCGCGGCTGGGAAACGCGATTTCGAGCAGCAGATGGAGATTATTGGTGGGATTAAGCATGAGAATGTTGTGGAGCTTAAGGCTTACTATTTCTCCAAAGATGAGAAGCTCATGGTTTATGACTATTTCAGCCATGGAAGTGTTGCTTCTTTGCTTCACGGTACGTTTCCTATTCGAATTTACTTGTTCAATAAAGCCTCCTTTACAGTAATAAAACTAAAAGTTAATGGATCTTCTTGCAGGGAACAGAGGAGAAAACCGGATTCCGTTGGACTGGGAAACAAGAATGAGCATTGCGATTGGTGCAGCGAAAGGGATAGCTCGAATCCACAAAGAGAACAATGGGAAGCTCGTCCATGGGAACATCAAATCTTCGAATATATTCTTGAATTCGGAGCGTTACGGATGTGTATCTGATCTTGGTTTAACCGCGGTGATGAGCGCCTTGGCTCCACCTATCTCAAGGCAAGCTGGTTACCGTGCACCGGAAGTAACCGACACGAGGAAGTCTTCACAGCTATCAGATGTTTACAGCTTCGGCGTCGTACTGCTTGAGCTACTCACCGGAAAATCGCCAATTCACACAACCGCAGGTAAAGTTTGAATTCAAAAGAGTAAAGACCAGAGAGTATTTCAACTGTTGAAGATTCCGGTTTAATCTGGTTTTGGAAATTTGCAGGGGATGAGATTATCCATTTGGTTCGTTGGGTACATTCGGTAGTGAGAGAGGAATGGACGGCAGAGGTTTTTGACATCGAGCTTTTGAGGTATGCGAACATTGAAGAAGAGATGGTTGAGATGTTGCAGATCGCGATGTCATGTGTAGTAAAGGTGCCGGACCAGAGGCCGAAGATGTCCGATTTGGTTAGGCTCATGCAGAACGTCGGTAACCGACGAGCCAGTCTTGAGCCGAAACCCAAATCGGAAAATGGAGGAGCCTCCGAGACTTCCACGCCGAGTGAGATTTGAAAAGTGAACACTGTTGATTAATTTATTTGAGGCTGTATACTCTGTATTGATTTCTCTCTTCTTCGGTTAGAACCGTTTCTCGTCCAAACACATATCTGTTTTAGGAGTTCCTGACTTTCAAAATTCGGTTATGAAATGAAATAGATTTGAATTTCCGGTTTAACAATCTCGAATCATACGCAATGAAATCTAATGGCAGATTCGTTCAAAACGTCGACGTTATTGTGTTACAGAAGAAACATCGCGAATTTCGAATAGATGAGAAAAGTGAGAGATCGGATTTACACGGGGCTGAGGAGCTGGAAGAGACTGGGTTTCGGATCGGAATTCATACCGACGAAGACGATGAGAGGGATGAAACCGATATGAGCCACGACTTTCGCCTTCTTCAACGACCAATTTGTCCACTCCTTCGCAATCTGCAACGCCGCCACAAACGTCTTCTCTTCTTCTCCGTCGTTGGATCCTCTCGTCGCTGCTCTCAGCATATCTCCAGACGCCGCCATTGAAATTACTCTCTATCTCTATCTCTCTCCCTTCTTCTCTGGTTTCTCTTCGTGTTTCGAATTCGCTCTCGAGATTTCTAAATTTAACACATAACAAGTAAACACGAAATCTGAAAGCGTATTTAACTGTTCACCGTTCATCGAGTACAAGGAGGAACATGCTTCAGAGCCCAAAATAAAGCCCACTGGGCCTGATAATTATAAGCAACTTCAGTCACTCGTGCGTGAGGCATGTGAGTGTGGGTTTCGAGCCTTTCGATTTATTATTTATATTTTTTTCAAACTAATTCTTCATATTTTGATATTCCTTTTTCTGTCAAAATTTTGATATTCTGATTTACTGAAATAATAACATTTTCAGAGTCAAAGAAAAAGGTTTGTACAATGTTTTGTCGCGATTGTGTTTTGGAGGAGGAACAGGTAGGTGGCAGAGATTACAATAGGAAGGAGACAAATAAGGCAAGTTACAACGTGAATATGATTTGTCTAATTCGAGAAAGTGACGTGTCGTGCTCAGATGCTGCAATAGGCTTCTCCTTCTCCTCCTTCCCAAGTTGCAAAATTAGAAACCTGTATATACGAGAAATGAATCTCAAATATGTATAAATCTGTCAATTTTATGTAAATCCTCAGGTCCCCACGAGATCGTGGAATCAACATGTTATTTGTTTACTTCTCTGTTCTTTTAAAATGTCGGCTTTTCTGGACAATGATGCAGTTAATTAGATCATTTAGTATAATCTCCACTGAGCCAAATTTGAACATGTGTATGTATGTGGCATACAATCGTCTTTGACAAAAAGTAACGTAGCCTACAACGTTTGTTCTTATCAATAATTCACATACAACACTGATATGGCAAAATCCGAATATTGATAAGTGTAATGACATACGTGAAAACTACTAGAGTCAAAGTTTGGATTGTACATAAAAAAAAATTTCCCCCTACAAGTGGTATGATGGTTTAATATTTCTTCTTGTGTTACGATACTCAACTATATATTTCTTGTTTCTTTGTGGTTTTTACTCAAAAATATATCAATTATACTTGTTATTTTCAACATGGTTTTCCTGTATATTGCTGGTTAATTAAACTTAATCGTAATTTTAGAACGAGTAGCAATTCGAATAGAAGTGATGCTGCAATATTTGTTGAAATTTGTACTGGCTACTGAATTACTGATAGAGCGATGAAGGAGACAATTTATCTTCTTTTTCTTTTTATAGTCAACAAAGAAAACCTTTATTTAATTTTAAAAAATAACACGAGAATAGACATAACAGTCAACATCCACTTGCTGCATATGTTCCTCTTTGCCTTTTCTCAGGTCAGAGTCAAAACCTCTTTTAGGTGTTCTGTCGACAAGTTACACAAACGGAGTTAATTTGAATTTAATTTCAGAAGAAATAAACAATGCCTTTGTTGATATGTAATTATCAAAATAGTGACTGTAAAAGGTCAATCTCATGCGTGTACCAAAACAACGATTATAGACCAATGGTTCCAGATTTTCTGGTAAAAATCTGAAAAAGCCTTTTACCCTACTCTCTGGCCTCTATGCTATGAGTTTTCTAACTCCAAAAAGTTTTTGATTTTGTTTCTCTTCTTCTAATGTAGCCAACTTAAAATATAAATTTGCTGTAGTAGTCCCTTAATATACGGATTCAAACTATACATTGTACTGTACCTCATCTAGCTTTAGCTCTTAGTTTAACTTTTTCCTTTGCGGGAAGTTATCAAATATTGTTTTAGAAGGGTGAAACTATACCTTTTTCTAAATAATCATCTTACGTACATATCATCTTGAAATATTGTTCTGTTTATATTTATATGGAGTTCTAGCAGAAAAACCTAAAAAATATTCATACAAGATTTACGTCCCCTTCTTGTAGTGATAAACCATTTCACACGGATTATCTCATAAGTCATATACATTATTTAAATCCAATATGAACCGTTACAGTTCAAACTCCGGATTAATGACACCAAATGTAAAGAAATACAAAATATACATCCACTATTATTTTCATGGGAATGTGTGTAATGTGTCTAAGTTTTTCCACAAATAAAACAATGATATAAATAAAAACTACTATTGTTTACATGAACCATTACGACGCATGTCTACATCTTCTTTAGTCATATCAGTGAACTGGTTACCAGATATCTTTATGACATGAAATCTTGATTATGATCAACACTTTCGTCGACAAGTACGGTTTTAAAACGTTGTTTAACGTAATAAATTTAATTCGTAAGATTAGTTAATGTCATTTATATAATGCAATGCACTTGCAAACCGAGCAGGACTGTATTGAACAGATAAAAAGGATTCAGTGTACATATATAATTGGCCGGCAATAAGGTCGTGAGAAAGTGTTGGAAAGGTGTTCGCGACTCCATAATTTCAGGGTTCCCTAATTAACTTATTAACTAAACATGGTTTTGAGATTTGTCTTCACTACGTGACAAATACGGACAATCACTTGCTAGCTCACCGCCCACCCCACCTCCACTTCTATTTAAATATTTGCAGTTTGTATATCTCATTTTCTAATTAATATGCTTTCAAATTTTGATTGTATATCAAAAGAACGTCCATATTTTATGACACACCATCATCATACATAGTTTCCTTACGTTTTTTGTTTTTTTTTTTCAATTCGACAACATAAGATTTAGATGACTTTAACATTAAGATGACTTCAAAGATCTAACGAGTTGATGAAATCAGTTTTAAAAATCATTTAGTAGTAGTAGCATTGGTTCATCGGCTAAAATGTCATAAGGTTTTCTAGTGATTCGATTCGGAGTATATCATTCAATGGGAATGTGTGTGATGTGTCTAAGTTTTTCCACAAGATAAAACAATAATATAAGCTGTAAAAAAACTAAAAACTGCATAGAGATGTCAGAATCAACTCTCCCAGGTGCACGAGGTACCATGTTAATTATTGTGTGTGTGAGGTAAGCAGTTTCGAAGACTGAACAATTAAAACTTCGACAGTAAAAATGAACAGATAAATCACAAAACAAATTTATGTAAATATTCATATTCACTGCACAGTTAAACGAATTCTTAACTAGCATCCTGTATATCTATTTCATATCTACGTTAAGTCGTTAACACTCTCAGCAATTTGAATTTACTATGATTTATTCCTTGGTTAGCCAACTTAAGCACTGACCTATAAGAAACTACCGTGGTAACATTGTTGCGTCGTCACATATAGGTCTTTTAATATATACGGAGGGACCAATAACCTAAGCACAAATTATTCTATAATCATGAAATACTACAGGAATTTTTTTAATCATTCCTCTCATCATAGTCATATCCTCTTCGTGTTTAACTAATTAAGCTCCTTTTTGCGTAGAGTCTAGTAATGTCTGGTTACACCTTTCCAAATATAATTAACCAATGGGTTAGGCTTATATAAGTAGAACTCCTTATTTATTTTGCTATAACCTAACTCATCAAACTACAAAAAAAACGTATGATTACGCTGCTTTTCTCGAATAGTTATAAGCTAAATTAACCTTAATGTGTTTTTGACCAGCGTCATTGAAGCACTTTCCAGGTACATAACGTACATTCAAGTAGTATAATCGGGTCATAATTGAAACTTTTTATCTTTCCATTTTTAGGCTATTGCCGAATTCTTTTGTCATCTTTCATTATTTTCCCTGTATTAAGGCATACGCTTATCTGTCGGAAGAATTATTTCACCGATCATGTATTATTTTGCTCCCACCAATTTAAGCTTTACAAGTTAAATGCTAATGTCGCTGTAGGAACTATGTAGTTTATTAATGTCTTTTAGAGTAGAGACAATCTCGTTTCAAAGTATTGAGAAATATTTCGTTAATTATCGTAGCTCACAAATAATTCGGCTAATGGATTGTCTTAATCACGGAAACGACACCAGCGTGTGTTCTCTTCCCCAAAAAAATAACTTTAATGTCTTAACGAAAAAAATTGTCTTACAAAAATTTGTATGGGAAGCTAGTTTTGTCGAATCTGTAACTAAATGTTAAAAAGAAAAGTTTTTGGACTTTCCCTTTTTTTTCCTCTGTCACAGTTTACGGGTTTTAATTTTATGATAACCTTTAATAGAAAGAAATGTAATGAAACAGAAAAGTAAAGTAAAGAGAGAAAAAAATAAAATAAGTAAACTGAGAAGAGGACGTCAGCCGTCACATGACGGTAGGAAGTGACCAAGTGGAATGGAAGAAAGAAAAGGCGCGAAAAAAGAGAACGGCGCCGTTAACGGACTAACGGAGAGAGTGAGGAAGGGAGATGGGTCCCACAATGGGCCAGAGTGTACCGTCGTCGGTCCAACGAGTGTTCTTGTATTCTTGGACAAAATATCCGTACGGTCTCGTTTTCTTTGGCTTCCTTCTTTCTTCTTTCTGTTCGGTTACCTCTTGAGGCCATAACCATTCACTCAGCTCCACAACACCATCAATATTATATGTAACACACGTTTTATACATACTTACTCGTATAGTCCCGATTCCCAAATATAATAAATTCACCTAACATAACTAGAAAGAATCTAACACATCAATCTGTTTCATATCATATTTTTGTACGTAAGGATGTTTTACCTAATTGTTCATTTCAAAACTCAATGGATTTTCAAGTTAATCCTCGCAACCAATTAACCATTCATTTTCTTATCGTGTTTTGAATTTTTGATAAACCAAATCAATAGATAGGGACGAAATATTTATGTTACATTTTGCTTTTAAAAATGTGCATGGTGTTTTTTTGTTTTTTTGTTAAAGGGTTTTCTTAATGTGCATGGTGTTAAACAGATTAATTACTGAATAGTATAACAGATAAAATATATAAATGTGATGTTTTCTAGTTCCTAAGTCACAAATATTAGATTATTCTAGTTAAAAGATTTGATACGAAATGAAAAATTTATGCTCAATATACAAAATAAATAAAAGTCTTCGAATATATAAAGAAACTTTAACTTCTCTTTTGTTAAAATGACCCGCCATATGTTTGCTGACAAAAAAAAAATGTTATTCATACGCTTAAATTAGAAAGAATGATCAAATTCAAAACAAAGTGGTCTACCACCAATTTTTGTCCAGTAAAACAAAAATACTCTCGATACGCGAAATTGATGCACATTGAACACTGTGAGATCAAATTTCCATGAACTTATATTGTTGTCACAAGAACTTATGATTGTGTAATGATTATAATTTCGTGGACCAACGCATTTTTCATTTTCTCGATTAATTGTTGCATATTATATAATGAATTTCCACAAACGAAGTTCAATTTGTTGAGAAATGATAATTTATTGTCTTTGTCCTTTTCTAATCACCTATACAAACTTTTTCCCTTCTATTTAAGGGACTACAGGATACGAAAATGTTATGGGATTTCTAAATAATTACATGGCTCGAAGTTAATCTGGTCATGTAGGGTGTGATGCTTAGATTTGACTGGTGACTGGTGTAGTGATATACAATAATCAATTTTACGTTTTTCACTCATTAAAAATCTGAACTGTCCAAGACTTTCTGCCACATTTATTATAACTATATATTTTCCCCGATGTTTAAATTATATGCATATACTTGCTAAAAATATACATCCGCTAATCTTGTTTTTATTTGTTTATGTGATATTTAGTAGCTAAAGAAAGATAGTTTTTTTTTTTCTAAAGAGAACGTATACTTCATATAAAAACAAGACATGCTACCATTAACTGATTTGGACAAAAAATTAGAGTAAGTGCATAACCAACATTAATCCAGTGGGTTTAAATCATAATTTCTGTATTATAGTTTTTTGTATGTTTTTTTTTTCTAACCGGAACTTTTAGATTGGAGAGTTTATTAGATTTAAGTCTGAAATACATATATGAATAATTTGTTTCTGAATGTAGTGTTATATTCCATCTGTTCCAGAATATATGATGTTTTAGGATTTTTCCTTATTTCACAATATAAGATATTTTGAAAATTTTAAGGTACTTTTTCCTAATTAATACTAACATATTACAAATTTCAAGACAAGTTAACTAAAAGTATTTGAATAGTTAAATTGTAATTGGATAAAAGCTATTAAAAAGTGGGTGATGTGAAAAAATAATTTACACATTAAATGTTTATTAATTTTTATAAAAAACCTCAAATATCTTATATTGCGGAAAAGAAGGAGTACTATATAATATGTAGCACATAATTTGGACAAAGACTGTATAGCAAAGAATAGGCAAATAAAAAAAATGAAGGGGAAGACAAGACCAACAAACGGGTGCATGGTTCACATACCCTGCAATGAAAATTGCTGCTTTCTTTGGCAATATAGCATGGGCTTCCAATATCCTCTATAATCTTATTATTATATACAAAAACAAAATTTAATATCATTAACAAAAACAAACTTTAAAAATTAATACACATATATACCAATTTTACTTGAGATGAACATTCTATAAATTTCGTTATATTCGTAAAGTTAATTTCACACTAGGTACCACTAGAAAGTGTTACACGATCGCATCAAAGCATTTAGGATTGGAAGCTCGACCCTACGTTACATAGGAAAGTCGATGCTACATAGTTGACCATTGGTCAAAGTGTTTTAAACTCATTTTTTTTGTTACCAGAGAATGTAATTTAATACAGTAGCTTTCACATTCTCTACCAATTAATTTGCCTCTCAAAGAAATGCCAAATAATGCTTTCCTCTTTAGAAAAAAGCCAGTGAATTAAAGGCACATAAGAAAAATTGCAGAAAAGTGAATTTTAATCTGTAATCAAGAAGTATAATACAATGATTCCAAAAATTACTGTGCATTATATTTGGCGCAACGTCCTAGGTTGTTGTCTGCCACGTTAGCCAACAGCTGTAATAACAGAGACTGGTAAAGGTTAAAACAGTAAAGAACTAGGAGCAGTAACGGTCTCTGAGTTTTACAAGCAACTTGCTCGAATGCAAATGACCAAAACATCCCTGTGGTAAATGGGGAGAGAGCTTCGTACGGAGGTTTTTAGATTAAAGGCTTAAACACCTGCCATTAACTATTGTTAATTATTCTGGTCAAAAGTAGGACTGGCTATGTCTCCGGGTGTCACGTGACCTGAATCTCCAATTACGAGAAACTTTTTAAAAGATTATAACTAATTTAGTAAGATAATTCATGTTTTTTTCTCTTTGTCAGCTGCCAGGGAAAGGGCACGTCCCAGCCGTTGGATTGGACCCAATTCTGTTGTTCCACGTGTCGAAATCCTGCTCATTTGACTTATGCAGCATTCTGGTATTTATCGAGCTCTTTTCCTCGGCGATAATTTTGTCAAATTAGTTTTTGAAATATCAATCATAATCAAGATATAGTGAGTTACTAACTAATTTTCTTTAATTTGTTTCTTGGTCGCCACTTAGCTTTTATTTACATACATTTTTTGTTTTTTCACAAAGAACTGTTAGATGTTATCCTTCTTAATAAATTGTAAACTTAAATGTTCTTTGTCAATTAGTGGTTTTCTGAATAAGAACAGATTTCTAAATTCAAAAATGTATGTATCAAAAGTTTTTGTTTCTTAACACATTGAAAGCTGTAGATATTTTATAGCATTATGTCATAATTGTTGTTTGCGTTACAAAGTGTTAATTATTACTGTCGACACATGTTGTGTGTTCATAGTTATGCTTTTTCTCTAGTCTTCTTCTCTCAGCATTTCAGTTTCTATTAGATGTACGGTTTGACAATTGTCTTCTTTCATTTAAACATCACTACCAATAAGCCAAAGTTCAAAACGCTGTAAGACAAAATTTACACGTTTTCTACTTTCTACATATTTTTTAACAGCTAAGAAATGTATCCCTTTTGCCGTTACAAAAAGAAATGTATTCCTTTTTTTTTTGACAATATGTTTGAAACCCAACATTAAAACCACTAAAAACCAAAGAGTTAAACAAAGTAAGAAAGAGTTAAGCATACAAATGCATGCTTATCTGTTTACTTAAAAAACTAAAAATAATAATTAAAAAGATCTTTTGGTAAAATATTTCCAAACAAAAAAATTGAAATAGCAAAAAAGGAGCCGGAGTAAACACTATATCAGCCGTTTCAAGATCCTATAAAATAGTCTCATTCTCTCTCTCTACTTACATGTGCTCTGCCGCTTTTAAATCCCCTCCTTCTTCCTCGTGTCACTCTTTCTCACACTCTGCACCCGTTTTTCCTTTTCTCTGCACCCAAAATTTTTCCAGGAATATTTCCTAGAAAAAAAAAGCCTTCTACCCAAAAAGGAGCATCTTCCTCTTTATCTTGTTTTTCTCTCTTATCTCTCGATAACCAGACGGTGGGTTTGTGTTGATTCCTGAAGAATATAACCAAAAGCCCTTTAAGATTTTTTTCTCAACTTTCCCGGAAAAATCTTCGCTTTCCTCTTCAAGGTTTCTACCAAAAAAATTTGATAAAACTTTTTTTTTTTGCAGAGGAGCATCACTCTTTTTGCTCTTCTTGTTCAAGTTTCTTCTCCCTTTTTTTTAATAAAAATCCATCTTTATTCTTTGTCTCTTTCCTTTTTCTTCTTTTTGCTTTCAAATGCTTTCCCAGTCTCTCTGAATATAAACAAACACAGTCACAGTCTTTGAGCTAACAGAGAGCGATGAAAATGGAAACAGAGAAGATAACCAAATTCACAGAGCACAAAACCAACAAGACCAGACTCGTAACCGATTTCAACAACCACCACCAGCCAAGGATTCTCCGTATCTCCGTCGCCGACCCGGACGCAACTGATTCCTCCAGCGACGAAGAAGAGCACCAGCGTTTCGTCTCTAAACGCCGTCGTATCAAAAAGTTCGTCAACGAAGTGGTTCTCGACCCTGGCGCTTCCGTCTGTAGTCAAATCGAGCCGAGGAAGAGACGGAAGAGAGCTCTCGCCGTGAAATCGGAGGCTCCGGTTGTCGCAGCGAAGCCGACGACGACGACGACGGAGAAGAAATTCCGAGGAGTGAGACAGCGTCCATGGGGAAGATGGGCGGCGGAGATAAGAGACCCGAGTCGACGTGTACGGCTCTGGCTTGGAACTTTCAACACGGCGGAGGAAGCCGCGTTGGTCTACGACAACGCCGCTATTCAGCTCCGCGGAGCCGACGCGCTCACTAATTTCTCTAATCCTTTGACGGAGAAAATGTCTCCTCCACCGTCGCCGGCGAAGAAGAACGACACAATCAAAGACGTCACCGCTACTTCCTCCGTCAGCAGTAACAGCAACGACTGCCTCTGCTCTCCGGTATCTGTTCTCCCGTCTCCGTTCGCCGCCGACGAATTTTCCGGCAGCTCGTCATCGCCCGCAGCGGTTATCGTCAAGGAAGAGCCTACCCCGACGACGGTGTCGGAGACTTTCTCGGATTTCTCGGCGCCGTTGTTCACAGACGAGGATTTGTTCGATTTCCGGAGCTCGGTTGTTCCCGACTATCTCGGCGGCGACTTATTCGGGGAAGATCTCTTCGCGGATACGTGTATGGATATGAACTTCGGGTTCGATTTCGGATCCGGGTTATCCAACTGGCACGTGGAGGACCATTTTCAAGATATCGGGGATCTATTCGGGTCGGATCCTCTTTTAGCAGTTTGAAATATATTTAAAATAAATATTTTTACCGGCCGTTACTGAACGGAGTCCGGCGAAAGTTTTGTACCGGTGGGATATCTCCGTGATGTTCGTTTTTTTTTTTCAAATCTTTTTTAGTTTTTTTTTTCGTTTATATATTATATTAAATTAAATTGTATTAATGTAGCTAATGGTGTTATTAATTATTAACGTTTTAAAGTTAAAAGTCTGTCTGTTAACGGTATGGAAGGCGAGTTTCTTTGGCTTCACGTGCTCTGCTCTCTTTATCTCTTTTAAATTTTGGTCGTCTGAAAATTCCTTCATTTTCGCTTTTGTTGATATAAAAATCTCTCCTTTTTGTTGTTGTTGGTGAGGCACGTGTGAACGTGTGAATCTCACGTGAGGGGAACAATTGAAAAGCTTGGTTAAAAAAAAATGTTTCTTAAGACTAACTGACTAATCATCATTCTAAAAACAGAACACAAATGAGTATTTATTTATACACACGATTACAAGATAATCTAAAGTAATTTAGTAAGAATTACAAGCATGGAAAATATAATGTGATATGCCAGGTAGATTGAGACTAGATACGAAGGGGAATCTAAAGTTGAATTGAAATGTGGCACATCAGAGAAGCTATGATTTTGGCAGTTTATTCACAAGAAAAACAAAAACTAAAAGATCTCTCTCATGAGGTTTAAATGTAGGAGGCAGTTGGGGTAGTTGATTGTCTAAATCGCCGCACTCTGTTAACAGTTTTATTAAAGTACAGTGCAACTCTGCAGCTACGATTGTATTGTTATGCACGCAAAGATTTATACTTTTATATACCAACCTAAATTGTAGTTGATGGCTTGATGCTTATGATGATTGCATTGATTGGAGTAAATATTGTTAAAAGACAATTTAACGTGTAAGAGAGGGAGTCAATAATCTAATAATTTTAGCATGGATGTCTAGATGTGGACTGGTGTATAAACAAAGCTGGTGTTATTTGCTAACATATATTCCCAACACTTTTCTTGTAGACTTTCGTCAGGATGATATTTGATTATCACTGTATATATGCAGACACTTTTTTGTTCTTTTATCACTGTATACATATGTTCGTAATAACTTTTTGTCTCACAGCTACTTAGCAATGTGTATGTTGCGATGGGCAAAACTGGTCTAGATTAGATTTTGTGACTTGATAGTAGCCTTAACTTTGGCCATCGGATCCAAAGCAAACCAAACTTCTGACAGTTTAACAAGTTCGGTCTTTTTTTTTTTTTTTTTTTTTTTAACAAGTTCGGTCTTGGTTCGAGGCATGTTTTATAAGGGTGGTATTGGACCCAATCTTGGCTTTCCAAAGGATAGAACCAGTCTACGTCAATTATGTACAGATTTATACGGTGTTAACATCGTGTTATGTTTCTTTTTAAATTTTAAGCAAAATGGTTGGGAGCTAAATCTAAAATCTCTTCAAATCGGTGACCAAAGCAGGTTAAATTAATTTCTCCCGTTATTTGTGCTCGAACTCAAGACTTTGACTCGATTTATTTGAGTAGCCAGGTGATTAGAGTGTTGGTCGAGCTTGTATGAACCGAATCTTCTCATGGCGCAATTCTTCAAGAATTGTTGAGGTGCTTCACTTTCTTTGATGTATATGCGCTGCTTGACTTGTTTGTTTATTCGTGCTGTTTCTTGCATTCTCAGGTTACTCTAGATTTACAATTCCAATGAGAAATCAAGGTCTGTCTCGAGGTCCTAAACTCCTTCGAAGCAATAATCGGTGTTGCACCTATACGAATTATGTCAATTGTGTTCATCTTGTTAAGTTGTCATCACTCCCAAATTTTATTTACTGTGTTATATATATATATATATTTTAAAACTTTTCTGGAATATCATTTGCATAAATCCTTTTTTGGACCTTAAGGTTCTGGATGTTTCATAAAAACTTCCATATGTCTTTAGAGTTTTGTTCGAATACTTCATTTAGAATTCTAACATTTTCAGTTTATAATTCTGGATTTTATTGGGACGTTTTAGAAAAGAATTAGCTGAAAACCTGCTGTATAGATATTTAAAAAATCTACATGAACAGTTTTAATCGAAATTTCGGGCAAAGAAAACGTCATAAAAAAAGCAACAACTTACAACCTATACAATTCAAAAACAAATTTATAAATCTAAAAATAAACATTAGAAACAAAAATATTGGAAATACTCAAATACAGAGGTGCAGGAAAAAAAACTGACACGTAGGCTATAGCCGCAACTACTCGAGAAAGAGCAAAGTCGTGTCGCTTTCGCTATATATCCTTTTTTCTGCCCGTAAGAGAGGTTCAGAGGCTACAATTCTCACTTCTCAGTCTCTTTATTTTTCTTTGTATATAAAATATGAATAACATTTATAAGAAATTAAATATTTCCGACAATCACAGAATTAACCATGCAAGTTGATGATTTATAGAGTTAGTATAAGATACTCTGATGCTTTATAAGGAAAAAAAAAAGGGAAGAAAAATGCATCAAATATTTATTACATACACAATTCAAAGACGTACGGTTATTGCAGAATATAGAATGTAGTTGCATACTGTGTAGATACGAAAATATGAAGTATTAAATAGCTGGGGCCGAGTTCTGGTAATGTTCATATGAATTGCGTGATTGTTCATGCATACCATCAATATAATGTGCCCCATTGTATAGAATAATACATACTCATAATTTAAATTTCATAGCTATATCCTTATATTTCCACGGCTGATCAAGACAAAGAGAACAAAAACAACTAGATTAAAAGCTTAAAACTATATATAGAGCATGTAAGTTTATCATGATTTGGTTAAACAGGAATTAATTAATTAGTTAAGCATATATAAAAAGGTTGTAGGTAAGCACTAAATAGATCAACATATATAATTTTCTTGTATCGATTCAAATATTTGTGTCGCATTAATATTCCGTTATATTCAAAAACCAAAAAATAGTAATATCACATGATAACTATCATGTGCCTCTTCCTAATTTCGTAAGGCTTGAAGTTGAAGATGGTCATGGCCTCATGGGCCAAGGATATGCATGCATATACAATCATACATAATACATATACGTATATATATATGTGTCCCCTCATGCAAAGATTTTGTTTGTCACAAAATTCCAGAGCTCTTGCAATAGATTTATCATTTATTCCAAAAGATAAAATGGGGTCTCTTTCATGAGATCTTCTCAGTGATTTTCCAATTACACTAACTGTAGAATCTCATGATAAATCTTTATGATGGCATTCAAAACGTATTTCCGATATTGGTTATTCGAAAACTAGAAAGAAACTAGAACCACAACTTCACATGGAAAAAGCAATCCTAGCCATTCACGTTATCACTCATGACATGATCTAACGGTCTCTACCGAGCATTAACGACCATCTGCGGGACCCATTATGGTGACGCGTCTCAGATATGAAATTGTACGGATTCGGATCACTTGGTCCAGCGAATCCGGACCGTCCATTTGGTGGGCGCGCAAACCTGTTGGGCCATTGGATAAGCTTTTGTCGAATGGTGGAAATGGAACCAGGTGTCTGTTAAATCTCAAGAGACAAGAGTAGTAACCAAACCAACGCCAAAGGTTGGGTTATGTGAAACCAAATTTAAACCAGGAATCTGTTATCTGTGCCGGTCCACGACTGTTTAGGTCAACAAATACAAGGACATGGTTTCAAACTTTCACCGGAAGTATGACTTCTTGCACGTAAATCTCAGTTGACTTTTCCGTATTTATAACGTCTATTTCCGTATTATAATTTGGTTTTCATCAGCCATTATAGTATGTGTTTTGACGTCCATTTTCACTAATTTATAATTCTGTCTAAAAAGGTAAAAAGGAAAAAGGCTGAGAAAGTGAGATTTTAACTGAATTTAGGTAGAGATGTAGATGCGATTATATATGTAGAGATGTATTATTGGCAGCATATTAGTTTAGCGTACATGTGAGTTTTCATTTTGAGTATATCATATCAAACAAAAGATGAATAGATACAGTTCAAAATTGCGATAAGAATAGCATTTTTAAGTTTTGGATGATAATGTTAGCCCTATATGAATATATGATAATGTATAATATTAACTCTTCGTCGAAAATTTAACTTTAGGTGTTTTAAAATCAAAACTTCGAAGTTCGATTTGTACAAGCTGCGTATACATATATGTTTAGTCATTGATTCAACATAAGCCATACCATAAGGAATTCAAAAAGCATGCAGTATAGAAGAATTTCGTAAGGAAAATGTATTTTTTTTTTCTATACGAACCCCATGAAATATATATAGTACGTACGAAGATATAACTACTTTGGGATTTTGGTCCACGGTCCACCGACATTCAAGATATGAAGATATACAATCAAAACATTGACATATATTTATTGGATGTTTTGTACATCTACACGGTCTAGATTTGCATTTTAACCCGTACAAATTAGATACGAGTAAACATTTAGAATGGATACGATAGTAAAAAAAGACATGTGGAAGTGGAAGAGAAGGTGAGTGAGACAGTGTCTCATGAAAAGTGGCAGAGACACATTAATAAATAGCATTAAAAGAAAGGACCAACAAAGAAAATTAAATGATGTCTTTTTAATTTCATATTTCACGTACCATTCTCGTGCTATTCCCATGCACTTAACATGCTTGCTCTGCTTCTCCCTTTTAATTTACTGAACTAACCTTCAATTCCAACTACTTTTTCGGTTATGTTATCTCGCATTTCTCTTCGTAATTCCCTCTCCATAATGCAACCCAACCAAATATAATTTGAGCTTGAAATATTGTACTATTGGTATTATAACGTTACTAGTTTCGTGATGAAGGTGACGGCTTAAGTGACATCATAAAATACCCCTCAGAGTTTGTACTTTCCGCTATGAAGATATCGGTGATCATCTAGCTATTATTAGTCTCTTGATAAAATTTAATGTTAATATGATTGAGAGGTTTGTGTTGCATCTAAATGTTCCATCTATGATTCTAAACAAGTAACACAACATTGTCATTCAGTCAAAACACTTGGATCTCTAAAGGCCAATTAAACCAAAAACCAAAAAAACCTATATTGGCCAAGTGGCTAGAAGTGAACATTATGGGCTAAAAAAATGGTTTGAACAAAGGTTTAAGTGTTTAACTAAGTTAAAAGTGTTATGTTGAATAGTAGCTAAAGTGGGCTTTTGTGGCCCATTAAAGATCTTATTACTTCCCGTGATCGTAGTTGAGACCGTCTCACCAGAAACATCTCTCTTTCTCTCTCTCTCGGCAAAACCCCACACCTCAAGGGTTTAGCTTTTTTTTTCCATGGATAAACAGATTCCCCAAGCAGTTTGCGGCCAAGAGGCTCTCAATCTTCTCAATTGCGCGACGGAGTCTCCTTTCGATCAAGAGAAATGCCTCCGATTCTTGCAATCACTCAGAGAATGCGTTCTCTCCAAGGTTGGTTTTTATTGATCTCAGGAGTAGTCCAGTCTCTTTATTAGCAGTTTGCAGCTTACATCATTATCTCAATATAATTTCGATTCTGGAACACTTACCTTTTAAATTTGTTCCTTCGTCGATAGATCATGTATGCTTTGAGTTAGTTTTGTTGGTGATTATTGAATATACATCTCTCCTATAGAAAACTTTGAGAAGTTAGCACCGTTGTCTATTAATAAATATGTAAAATGCGATGTTCTTGGTGGAGAATTTGGAGCTGCGAAAACTGGATACATCTTTGTTAGTACGTTTTTATGTTTCATATGAGATTATGGAGGCGAGACCTCTGTTTTCATCCTGGTTTCAATATATAAGTAAGGGAAGAAATATTTGTTTCACGGGTGTTGTTAGTATTTCAGTTATGTGATTCTAAATGGCTACAGTTTCTGAGTGATTGTCATAGACACTCACACTATGTTTGAGCTTATAAACCATTACTCTCGTCTCTCGAGAAAGCAGAAACAATGCAATGGTGTGTGATCCTCGAGATTTTCTTGAGGAAGCCATTAGAGAGAATGGTGAAGCTGAATATTATCATCTAAAAGTTTTTAAGAGGTAGACATAAAAGCAGGAGCCAGTTTTGTTTCCATTTTTGGGTAGTCAATGCTTTTGTCATCATTGTTTCCTGATTGGTTTTATAAGTTTATGTTTGATTTCAGATTATTGTTTTCAATACAAACCAGAAAGTGTATTATCCATTGTTGTTTTATGCTTTTGCTTTTGACTTGTGAATGTCACAGAAAGTGAAGAAGTTCGTGATACCGAGTGATTGTGAAGACCATGCCAGTGAGGGAGCAGCTTCAGCTACCAAGAAACCTTCATAACCTTCTTTGTTCGGTTCATTACGTGATATGGTGTAACGCCCCACTCATAATTCGGGCCACCTCACGTTTGGTATATTATGGAGAAATATTTAAAAGAAGAACATAAGTTATAGTACTTTTGATGACTTGCCATCTTATTTTTGGCTGTTTGATTCTCTCCAAATTAGGCAATAGCCTGTTGCAAACTACTCCTACTACTTACAGATTGGTTCCATTTTGTATTGAGACCCATTTCACATTCTCTGCGTAACATATTCAATCAAACACCATAAACAAGCTTTCACTGATCCCTTTTTATTTAACTGCTTACGGAACATTCTGAAAAATAGATTTAGGATGGAAGCTGCCTCTCTTGCAACAATTCACATACCATACAAAAGCTCCTAACTCCGAGCCAAAAAAAACAACAATAATGCATCGGAGATCCATAGCCATTGTTATATTTAAACAACAACAAATTACCAACTTCAAAAGATATAGAACATCCCACAACTTCCTGACTCTTTGCTTCTCCATCTCCTAAACTGATTTCAACTCTTGTTGATCACAGAAAAAATGCAAACTTTGAGCTCTGAGTGTCACCGCGACTTCCATTGCTTTTTCTTTCCTTCTCTTCCTCATCATCGCTAATCTCTATCACACCTGCATAAAGATTTTACCCACATAACATGTTTACTTACACCCATTAGTGAAAACACAAATCAAAGAAACACTTAAATCACCTTTATCCGACACAGCGTTGTTGTTGTCATTCACATTCAGATTCTCAGCAATCGTCGAACTCCCCCCAGAATCCACACCGGTGTCGTCAAGCAACTCCATTTCATCAATAGCTTTCTCCACTTTCTCCAGCTTCATCTGAAGTTCCCCAAACTTCTTCTCCCATTTCTCGATCTCTTTCCTAGACACCACCAGCTCTCCCTGCTTCTTCTCCACATCCTCTACAGTGAATCCATACTTTTCCTCTAGAATCTCCAGGTTTCCGATTAGGGTTTCGTGCTCTCCCAACAGCGTCTCATGTTTCGCAAGTAAAGTTTTGTGCTTTCCCAATAGTCTCTCATGTTCAGCAAGTGGAACACTTTCCATAGATCTGTTGCTCATTCATTTGACATTATAATTAATTTGCTGATTGAAAACCACTAAAACCCAAATCTGAAATGTTGGAAACATAGCAATGGAAGAAAAAACTGAAATGTTAGAGACAATTCATAAAATTCGTTCTTTCGTAGACTCGATTCGTATCAAATTGATGAAAATCTCCCAACATGCAAACCGAAAACAAAAGAAACCGAGAAAAGAAAAGGTGATTTTCCCGAGAAAGTCAAATTCGTCAGATCTCTTACCTGAAGAAGAAACAGCTAATTTACGCGGAGAGGAAGAAGAAGCTGTCGAAGAGGAAAAGGAATCCAGAGAGAAGGAGAAAGTGCCCTAGAAAATACAGAGAGCGGGAAATGCGAAACGGCGAAATACAGAGCGTTATGATTTTGCAGAAGATGAAACGGATACAGTTGCTTTATTCGATTAAATAATATTTATTAAAAATAATAATATATATTTGCCTTTTGCTTGTTTTTTACTCTTAATTATACTTCTTGTCTCCCTTCAACTTTTGCCGTTACAAGAATTAAGAAACGAAAGTTATTGATTTTCTGTGTATTTGGTTTTCTAGTTTAGGCGATCCTTTCATAGAAATGGATTTGTATGCATGAATGAAAGAAAGAACATAAAATTCTGAAGAGAAATGAACTTCTGGTCAAGAAAGAATTTTGGTCCATTTTAGCATTTTCAATATACAGCCAAAAAAATTACTACTTCGGCAAACTTTTCCCTCAATAGGTGAAACCGTTTTTGACTAATAATGATTAAAAAAATAGTCAGTATTCAGTAAGCAAATCGAAACCAAACATTTATTCGGTTATGTCATAACTCCAGTATAGTGAGCTGTGATATAAGCAGATTATTAAATTAACATGTCTTTTTTTTTTTTTTTTTACTATATGGTTCTTTTTTAGCAATAGTCCAATGATTTAATATCAAAGAATAAAGAAAAGGGCGGAGCTTTGGTCGGTCGAATAATAATACACACTTACCCAAAAAAAACAACAATACACTCTGCTGGATATCTTGAGATGAAGCTGAACTGTACTCCTATGTCCATGATTCGTAAGAATGTGTTTCTCATCAAGCTCGTCTCCGCTATTCTGATAACTGGTCTCGCTTTTCATTTCTTCATTTTCCACTTCAGCGACTTGTCTCCAGTATTTGCGTCGGTCACCGGTAAATTCGAAGCACGGCTTCTGCCGCCCAAGGTTTTCGTCCCGGAAAACGAAGATCTAATCCCTCAGGGTAAGATCAGATACCAGAAACACTTCAATGTGAATCATTAATCGTGTGTATGTGTCTACACCTTGTTCTTGAGCTCAATTATGAGATCTATGCGATTTGGAAGATCATGATTCATTTTATCAAAAAAAAAGATCATGATTCTCGATCTGCAAGATCTTAGTCTTCATTTACTGGCTTTAAAGATTGCGGTTTAGGGAAATTGAAAAAAAAAAGGAAGTGTTGGTTTTAAGGATCTTACATGAAAAAACTTCTTGTGATGATTTGAATCATGCTTTTGTTCTGTTCACAATTTAATCTTGTTAGGCCATGTTTTTGATTGTCTGATCTTTAATTAGCTGCAATGTTTTATGATAAACTGACCTTGACTATACTTGCAACATTTTGACTAAAAGTCAATCTCACATTAGAGCTAAAACATTTTGCTTTTGTTACTTGAATCACAGATATTGAAATAGAGAAGTGTGATCTCTTCGCCGGAAAATGGATACCAGACACATCAGGACCAATCTACACAAACAGCTCATGTGGTACGCTCATCGACGGTCACCAAAACTGCGTCACCAACGGCCGTCCCGACTTAGACTTCCTCTACTGGAAATGGAAGCCTCACGACTGTCTTTTACCACGTTTCGACCCTCAAAGGTTTCTTAACCTTATGAGAAACAAATCTTGGGCATTCATTGGTGACTCCATATCCCGTAACCACGTCGAGTCTCTCCTCTGCATGCTCTACACGGTAACAATACATAACTTTTAACAGCTTTCCGCTTCGATTTTTAAACTTTTTAATAAATCCGTTTTTGTTCTTTTTCGATCTCTCAGGTTGAAGAACCGGTCGAAGTGTACCACGACAAAGAGTACAGATCAAAACGATGGCGTTTCCCATTACACAACCTTACCATCTCCAACATTTGGTCGCCGTTTCTCGTTCAAGCCGCGATTTTCGAAGATATGAACGGCGTTTCAACCGCTTCCGTCCAGCTACACGTCGACAAGCTAGATGACACATGGACCGATCTAATGCCGAGCCTCGACTACGCGATCATCTCGACGGGGAAATGGTATCTCAAATCCGCGGTTTACCACGAAAACGCGAAACCCGTCGGGTGTCATAACTGTCCGGAGAAGCTTCGTTTGGAAGAGCTAGGATTCGACTACGCTTACAACGCGTCGCTAAGGAACGTCATGGACTTCTTGGCGGCGGCGGAGACTAACCGTGAAGCCACGGTGTTTTTCCGGACTTCGACTCCGGATCATTTCCAAAACGGGGAGTGGCATAACGGCGGGACGTGTAAGCAGACGGAGCCGGTGAGTGATGATGAGGAGATTGAGATGAAGAATGTGCATAAGATACTTAGAGATGTTGAGATTGGTCAGTTTGAGAGAGCGGTTAGAGAGAAGGGTCAGGACCGTGGTGGGAATCTGAAGCTTTTGGATTTCACCGGAATGTTGCTGACCCGACCCGATGGGCATCCGGGTGCGTACAGACAGTTCAGGCCGTTTGATAAAGACAAAAATGCAAAGGTACAGAACGATTGTCTGCATTGGTGTTTGCCTGGTCCGATTGATTACTTGAATGATGTTATATTGGAGACTATAGTAAATGGTTAAACCGGAAGAACACAGTGTGATTGGTTGGTTTATTGCCAATTGATGAACCCGGGAGAATTATTAACCGGTTCTCTGGGGAAAATTAGACTAATACGACCAAAATTGTGTGAATTGAAAAAAAGGTAGTGAAAATTGTATTATTGGTTCTTGGGAGCTAGCCGGTTGGAGGAAGCAAAACCGGTTTGGTGAAGGAGTTAATTTTTGTTTTTCGACGGTTTGTAAAAACATTATTTATGTGTGTAAAGAAGAACAGAAGATTTCTCAAAATTATACGATCTTTGGTAAGACTAGATTTTTTACTGTAAAGATTCATTAAACTCATGAACAGAAGATTTCTCAAAATTATACGATCTTTGGTAAGATAGCGGTTTTCAACCGATTTGGTATGCAGTAATATTTTAGAATTTCCTGATAAGGAAGAAAATATATTCTTTGGTAAATTTCGATTCCCGAAGTGCCAAGAGTAGAATACAAAAGTTTCCTTAAAAAAAAGAGGGAAATTCAAAAATTCAAAATTCAAAAAGCTTAACAAATCTCCCCATTTGGACGCCAAAAGATTATCAAATCCACAAGATAAAAGTTTTCATTTCGAACTATTAGCCCGTTGGATCTTCCTTCTTATATAAACCCAGAATATAATTGCAGAGGCTCCACATATATTACCTTCCCTAAATTTCGAAATCTCCCTCTCTCTCTTTTGCTCTCGACTTAAACATGGCGACCATCGCAGATCCAGCACCGACGAAGAAACCAAGGAACAGCAGAAAGGCGTTGAAGCAGAAGAACGAGATCGCCGAGACGCCGGCGTCGCCTGTCTCCGCCAAGGCGAAATCAGCGAAGTCGTTCGAGCAAGATCTGGTGGAGATGCAGGCGATGCTGGAGAAGATGAAGATCGAGAAGGATAAGACGGAGGAGTTGCTTAAGGAGAAGGACGAGATTCTGAGGAAGAAGGAGGAGGAGCTAGAGACGCGCGACGCTGAGCAGGAGAAGCTTAAGGTGGAGCTGAAAAAACTCCAGAAGATGAAGGAATTCAAACCTAACATGGTACAATCTCTCGATCTAGCTTTGGCTTCCGATTTCGATGGGTTTTATAATTAGATCTGGAACTTGGTTAAATTTTGATTCTGCAGATATGATTGATCATTTGAGACTTGAGAGATTGGCTTGATAATCGATTTCTAGATCCGGTTTTGGCTTCGATTTACTTAGATTTTTGGATTAGGTTGCAAAATATTTGGTTACATGCTCTTTCGCAGGTGTATTTGATCGCAAATGAGATTTTGGTTTGATTGTTTGATAGAAATTTCGTTATAGGTTTGAGACTAGTATCGAAGTCAGATTCTGGATTAGTATATCTGTGTGATTGATCATTGAAATGCTTGCTTTTGAGGAGGTTGCTGGAAAATACTTAAACACAAACAGTTGCTGATACTTTAATTGAGTGATCAATTATATGATTTTCCTCTGTGTATTTAGCAGAATTCTCTGTTTCTTGTTATTGTTGATGTATATACGACTAGTGTGGTTTCTGAATATTGATTGAAGAGTGTTTTGTGTTGCTTTGCAGACTTTCGCTTGCAGTCAATCTCTCACACAGGCTGAGCAAGAAAAGATGAACAAGAAGAAGAAAAAGGATTGTCCTGAGACAAAGCGTCCATCGTCGTCATACGTTTTGTGGTGCAAGGAACAGTGGAATGAAGTGAAGAAGGAGAACCCTGAGGCTGACTTCAAGGAGACTTCCAACATTCTGGGTGCTAAATGGAAGTCTCTAAGCGCAGAAGATAAGAAGCCTTACGAGGAGAAGTACCAGGTGGAGAAGGAAGCTTACCTCCAGGTTGCTGCTAAAGAGAAACGCGAGAGAGAGGCCATGAAGCTTCTTGAAGATGATCAGAAGCAGAAAAACGCCATGGAGTTGCTTGATCAGTATCTCCAGTTTGTGCAGGAATCTGAACAGGACAACAAGAAGAAGAACAAGTAAGACCTCCCATGACTTAATCATTTAATCATCAATTATTAACTGACTAACACAGCTATTTATGGTTTGCAGGAAGCAGAAGGATCCTCTGAAGCCGAAACATCCCATCTCTGCCTTCCTGGTTTATGCAAACGATAGGAGAGCTGCTCTACGCGAAGAGAACAAGAGCGTTGTGGAGGTAAATTCTTGAAGCTATAACTTTAGTCTCTCTCAAGATCCTCCAACTTTTACTAAATTCTTGAAGCTAACTTATGAGATTGAATTGAATGGTGCTTACAGATTGCAAAGATGACCGGAGAAGAATGGAAGAACTTGTCAGATAAACAAAAGGCACCATTCGAAGAGGTCTGTTTCTGTTTCCATACATACCCCTTGCTTTCATAAACGTTAAAGACTTGGGAGTGAATGAAAATGAGGTGTAATATGTAAACAGGTATCGAAGAAGAACAAGGAGACATACTTGCAAGCAATGGAGGAATACAAGAGGACTAAGGAAGAAGAAGCAATGAGCCAGAAGAAAGAAGAAGACGAACTCTTGAAACTCCATAAACAGGAAGCTCTCCAGCTGCTCAAGAAGAAGGAGAAAACAGATAATCTGATTAAGGTCGCTTCCCTCAAACTTTTGATTCTTTAGCTCAACAAAATTGCATTTATTTACAGAGGCTCATAAGATCTTAACTGTCTATTGCAGAAGAAGAAAGAGATTACCAAGAAGAAGAAGAACGAAAACGTTGACCCTAACAAACCCAAGAAGCCTGCTTCTTCCTACTTTCTCTTCAGGTACGAAACCAACAAGCTAATGATACTTTCTCAGAGTATCCCAAGTATAACAAAGTTTCTAACTGTCGAATGAATATTTGTTTACACAGCAAAGACGCCAGAAAGGCTTTGACAGAAGAACAACGTCCCGGGACAAGCAGCTCTACAGTTACTGCTCTAATCTCAGTCAAATGGAAGGTATGCAAAATTTACAGTCACTGAGTAAATAACACTCATTTGCTACAATCAAACATTTCTTGTTAATTCATCTGAGTAAACAAAATGTCTTCGCAGGAATTGGGTGAAGAAGAGAAGCAAGTTTACAACGAGAAAGCTGCAAAGTTGATGGAAGCATACAAGAAGGAACTTGAAGATTACAACAAGAAGACTGCGGCAACAACCAGTAGCTAGACAAAAAAATCTCTTAGAATTGAAATAATGTTCAAATCCTGTTGAACATTTCTTATGCATTTGTTAGACTCAAATTACCTTTTTTAACTAAAAAAATGGATACAAGTTATCTTTTTATCTCGGTGATTTTGATTTCTCTAAAGGGGTACTAGTATTCTCTTTAACAAATTTCAGTAATAGATTGATTCTGGTAAAAACGTGGGAAACGACGTGTCAATCCCGACCGTTGGATTAAACCAATCAACAGCGTCGAGTAACGGAGAGCTCTCCACGTGGCCGAAGTCGCCGTTCATAGTCCCGTAATCGTAAAACGGCGGCGTATTAGGGAACGAGAAAACGTCGTCGCCGTTGTCAAGCCCGACGGTTCGTACCGTTAAGCTGGTTTTGAGACTCTCGAGAAGGTCATTTGGCTTTTGAGTAGCGGTGGGTTTGGGTCTGGTTTCTAGCTTCTCCGGTGAGGCCGGTGGTGGAGGAGGAGTGATCCCCTGCCGGCAAGTGTGTGTTCCTCTGTATGTAACTTCGAAAACCGTTGGATCACCGTCCGATCTCTGGACTTGCTTCGTTGCCCAACAGTTCTGTGAGCTTCGGTGCGTGCATCTGTAATAGCTCCTGCAAATCAAATCAAATCAATCGAATTAACATCATGATGATAATAATGAATTCGATGGTAATGAATTGATGATGATGATGATGATGATGATGATGTTACCTGGGGAATTTGGCGCCTAAAATGTCTTTCTGGCCGTATTTTCTCCAGCTGAAGACATCATCTTGAGGTCCTTCTAAGCCTCTCTCTGGACTTATTCTCACTTTTTCTGACCATTTTGGCAACATCTTTCTGAGAAAATTCACCAAATTCCAAATTAGTTTATTGAATTCTGTATTTTTTTTTTGCAAAAACAAAAGATCTCCAATTTGTCTTTACCTTTTCTTTGAATTGAAGATGTAATCTTGGCGATGACTCTCGCTGGAACCTCCTCCATCAGCAAAATCTTCACTTCTCGGACTTCCGTTGATCGACGCCGGAGATTCCGGAACTCCGCCGGAATTAGACACCGGAACCGGCGTCGGAATAAGTTGTACGGGTGGTGAGGAGGACCAGTTTAGCATGAGAAGAGACTTCTCGTATGAAGAAAGTATCTGCTTCACGAGGATCTCGTTCGTCTCAGCCGCAAACGCCACCGGAGAAGAAGATGATGACGACGGCGATGGCGATGGGGCTTCTCCGAGCCGCGCCTGAAGCTTTTTCGCCGCCACAAATCCAAGAAGGAGCTCGTTTAGCATTGTCTTCTGCTCCCAACTTAGCATATCTTTACCTTCCATTTTGAATGACTCTCAAAAAGAGTTTTCAAAAATTGTAAATCTTAATTTCGCAAAAACAGTTTGACTTTATGAAATCTTTGTCTGAAACTGAAACAAAAGTATGATGAGAACGGAATATAATGTGTGTATACACTGTAATCAAGAATGGTTTATATAGTAATGAGTTATATTATCTGAAATTGATGGTGAGAATAGATATAGATTGAAGAAGCATATGATAAGAGAATGAGAGTGTTATTGGCTTTGTGGAAAATTGATGAGTGTTGGTTTGGAATATAAAGGGATTGGATTTGAGTATTTGAAATTTTGACCAAATGACGAATCATAAATAAATAATTAATTTTTTTTTTTTTGGTAAAACAGACAAAACTTTCAAAGTAAAGAAAAGTCTTTGGTATAAGGACTATAGAGGGCCAGAGTGTATCTATAAGTGGGGTGGTGGTAGTGAATGAGGGTTACAAGGTCAAAGGCTGACCAATTCAACATTGCAATTTTGTTAGTGTAGTTATAATCAAGTGAGTCATTAATTAAAACATAGTGGTTAACTGAATAATTAGACAACAAGGGGTTAAACAAATGTCGCTTTCAATGTACCCTTTCGAAACTACGACTTTGTACATGTGATTGAGATTCTCCAATTCTTTATTTTCGATATATGTTGTTTAATGCTTTTTAGTATGTGGATAATACTTCAGTTGTTAACTTGTAATGATTTTTAATGTCAACATGGTTAATAATTAAAAATTCTACACTGTGTTTTGTTATACTACTAGAGTATAAGAATCATAACAGATATTAGTGTATTTACAATTGAGCTACTATTTTGATTATAAAGTTAAACTTTATATTGGATGAATCTACTAAGAGTCTAAAACCATTTCTAGCTAAGTTACAAAGGTAAGAAAATAAACTTAAACTACGATGTTGATAATATGAGTGTACAAATTGTAAGATACTTTCTTATAACTTCTCTTTAGTAGTATTAAATAGTATATTATAATATTGTTGTTTGTGTAAATATTTTACGGTAATAAATTTACATATCAATTCTCTACCTCCATGTTTCTACTTACTTATATACTGTACGAGAGCCAAATAAGTTGTCAACTATGTGTAAATAAGAAAATAATAAATTCGACAGCAAGAAAATATTTATGATTTAGATGAGACAAATGGGCATTAGTTTTGAGTTTTGACAAATTTTATTTATAGAGTTATATGTACCACAAATAGAAAAACTCGGTCATTTACAAAAAAAAATCGTGTGATTAATACACCAAGAGATTGGCCTTCCTTTGGTTTTGAAGCAGCTGAATTGCTTTTGTTACTATCAAAGGTTTGAAGATTGGAAAGTTGTGAAAGGAATAATGGAATCAAATAAAGGAGCTAATCTCATTGCTCAAAGTGTCACCAATGATGGCCGTTTACATTCTTATGTGCCGATCAATCATCCTTTTTGGTTAAATGGTGTCTTTGAATGTGAGAGCTTTTTCCTCTTTGTGATGTCTTCATTTTTTTGTTTGATCTTGTCCTGCCTTTTTGGGTGTCCTTGATTAAAATAGGTTCGGGTGAGTTTTGGTATTCCCCGTGCTCTTAGTTTGTGTAGCATAAGGCTTTAGTACTGGCTTTATCTTTGTAATTATCCGTGAAGTTCAATATATCTTTCAGATGACCAAAAAAAAAAAATACACCAAGAGTGTGATAAGGTCTTTTCTGACCAAGTCCACATTCAAAAGCTATCACAAATAGTCAGATAGATATTCCATTCGAACATTCATTTCTTATGATTAATACTTTTAACTTTATATGCCAACCAAAATATTATTTTAATGTATGGACCAATTACATCTTGGGAATACTATTTTCTTTGTAATTAATAACTGTTATATAATTCCCTTTGAACTGCTATCAAAAAGCTCTAGCAAGTTTATTATAGCTAAAGTTGACGCACACATAGACACACAAGTAGAAAGCTCAATAATGACAAGTAAATACCTATGGATTATAGTACAAAATATTTTAGTTTATGTACAGCTTACAAAAGATCGTCATATTTTGAAGTTAAATGTAATTTAGTGACTTGTATCAATATACCAACTACACCACTACATGAATCAAAATTTGACAGAATACATGTTATTTACCTTTTATGTGTAGAATACCAAACTATCTTTTAGTGATCATTGTGTAGAAGGTACATATATAAATGTGAAGAATGAATATACATCACGTTTTTGTAACCAACATTGCATGGTGGGTGGAAACTAGAACAGTTTGAGTTATCTGATAAAAAAACAGAGTAAAATTAACAAAATGTCAGAAAATTCTGAATATGAATTCATAGTCCAAAATATATTAAACTTCATACATATTTTCATTTACTGTAAAATTCGCTTCAACGTAGAACAAACGTAATTGCCATAAATATGAAAATATTCAATAAAAAAAACAAAAATCTGAAAAAAGGATATTCAGAAGATGGCAAGAGACAGGATGAGTCAAGAGGTTGGACCGACGACATTTCAAACCTCTCTACGCGTGAACTTCCCTTTTTCATTCTTTATTGTTTGCTCCTTTTGAAAACAACTTAGAAATGATTTTGATTGGCGTCACTCTTTTTGCGTCATACATTCATTCATCAATCATTCTCATCTCTCTACACAATGCATTTATATCTTCTTTCCTTATCTCAACTCTATGAAACTCTTGTCACAGTAGTCTCCGACTCTCCGTTAGATCATCTAAAATTCTCAATAATCAGCTAAAATATTTTAATCAGTTAGTTCATTTAAAAGTAATTATTATAAATTTTATATCTCTCATTTCTAGTGTATAACTAGTTCAGGTCATATAGTTTGCCAACTTCATTGAGATAATGAGCTCACAATATGACTCAGTTTGATATCCTATCTATGTAATATTATAAACTTTATACGCAGCAGTATTTTTCGTGTGCGTGTGTGTGCGTCAGCGCTACATACGGCAGTATTTCTTAAAAAAATTAGTAGCCAACTTGTAAAATGGACTTATTAAAAAGAGCAATAAATTAATAAAGTAGGAAAAGGCCAATCAGAAGAAAGAAAATGATGTACGGAAAACACCGCTTTCAATTCGTTCGACAGAGTCAACACGAATTCGATACTTTCACACTTGAAATAAACAAAATATATAATTTTAAGTCATTGTTACAAATCTATGTTATTTAACAATGCAAAACTTTATCTTCCTCTTCAAGAAGCGCTAAGAGTTTTACCAAACAAGAAAAAGAATTACCATCTACAGAAATAGGATACATGTTCTGAGAGATTTGTAAAACGTACATTTACGAGCTACTGATTAAGTGAACGACGTGTCCTCCACGTTGATGCGACCGCGCGTCGGATGAGAAGCTGGTTTCGGGATCAACATGCCCATCATCAAAGCCCATACCAAATTTATTTGGGATAAGCCCTCATTTTCTAGAATGAAAACCTAAATCATGAAGAAGTTAATTCTCGAATGTACGAAATTGAAGTTTGAACACACACCATGTAGACTCTCTGAGAAAGAGATTTTTTTGGGAAATGTAAAAAGAAAAATTGTTGAAAGGATCAACTGTTTACTCTTTTGGTCACAAAAACATACATGGCATGCCTATGGATTTTGGTAAATTTAGGACCATAAGTTACTAATATAGTGTCTTTATTATTATTATTTTTCTTTGTTTGTCAACATAGTTCATTAGTATTTCCAAGTTTCTCATCTTCTTAATAAAAGTGTGTGAAAAGTCATATTATTCTATTATTAATAAGAGTGCGTGAAAAATCAATTAAAATAATTTAATTAGGAAATTTATTAGTTTATAATATTATAACCTAGAGAGTGATATTTTCACCTTATACTTATTCTGACTGAGAACAACAATTTATATGGTAATAACTTAATCGGTCATACCAATTGTGGCAAAACAATGGCATATATGAAAAGATCATAATGGCTTATTTTTTTGGTCAACAGTCATAATGATTTATGTATGTACCAAGTGTTCTTCATCTTGCTTTTAAATAGATCAACAAATGTCCCAACAACATACAAACAATAGATAATAAAAAACTAAAACGTGAAGATATGAAGAGGATAACTTCATTTGCATGCCTTGTTAGCTTACTTATCATTTTTGCCTCAGGTTTTATTATATCTTCTATACATCCTTTAACTGTTATGTATATATAACTCATTTGGCACATTTTTATAAAAAAGTTTTGACAGAGCCAAGTGTTGCTAACGTCTGAAAAAAGAAATACTAGTATGATGGTGTACGTGATAATATTTTCATAAAATCAAAATATTTATTTCCATGTTAGATTTAATGATGTATACAATGTTACAGTTGTGGATCAGACTAGAGCAAAGACATGCACCGACTATCTGGGCAATTGCGATAACTGCGACCAATTATGCAAGTCCAAACACGGGCCATCCACCGAAAGCTGGTGCAACCGTACTATTGGGGTGGCAATGTGCTTGTGCTACTATGATTGTACAGAACAACTACTTTCGCCGAGTCCATCAATATCAGTCTAACGATTTTGAACACCTTAAACAAAAGCAAAATTATGTATTTTCATAATTTTTCTAAAATCATAAAAATTGTAAAACCAAAATACAACATTTATAAACTATAAAATAAACCAACTTAAATTTAGGCTTCATAAAATGGTTTACGAGAAAAGATAACAAAATTTGAACTTAGATCGTTGAAGCATAGTTCTGTTTGCATTCATTTAAGCGAGAACTAATTGAACTTGAACTTGAAATATAACAGTAATTAAACAGAAATCAAGTAAATAAAAAATCAGAAGTAAAACAACAAAAACAAATTAGCGGTCTTTTAATGATTTTCTCTCTTGCTCCACATACGTTATCAGTGACTTATAAATTTTGTTTCCGTCGCTTTTTAGAGCGTTGGATACAATTGTCTCAACGAGTGTTGGAGGATAGGTATGCATACAGAATTCGCGCAAAGACATTTCAATTTCTTCCGAAAGTGATGACAGTTCCTCAACGGGGTTTCGAGGGTGACTCAACGTACCCAATCCACACGACCTATCAACTTCTCTACTATATGATGATAGTTCCGATAACAGTTGCTCAACGACCTTAACCGTTTGACTCACCATTTCTGCTATTGACCTGCGAAACATTATATATATGAGACCATGAATAGAGTTTTGGGAGATAAGCAAGATTTAGTGATTTACCCATATTGGCTTGATCGTAATTTAAACATTAAGCCATGTTTTTTGGCGAGATGATACAAAGCTTCCTTCCACACTTCGATTCTACCTTGCTTAGTCGTGTCCTTGATATACTCAACATTTGCATACATTTAGCCTCTCATACTGCATAGTTCTGTGTATAATTGAGTCTCATTTCATAACATTTAGTGTAGCTTTAGTCTACTTAGGATCATTTAGCCTTTAGGATAGCATTTTGCATTTCCATTGCATTTGGGGTGCATTTATCAGGTATTCGGAGCTTATGGCGAAGGAGCAGACCGGAGGTGATGATCGGAGATGGACCAGAAGGAGATCGGAGTAATCGGATGGCAAAACAAGCAAGACGGAACAGAGCCTTGAGCAAAAGGAAACAGAGTGCTTGAGGAAGTTGCTCAAGCTGCGCGCATCTGTGAAGTCAAAGCAAAAATGTTGACCAAAGGATACACTTTTCCCTTCTCTATATAAACCTTTAAGACCTAATTTTTAGGCAATCTTTATCTTGTAACCAGTTTCTCTCCAAGAAAAACAGTTTGTTCTTGGAGATCTTTTGTAAGCTTTTACTTTGAATCTTTTAAGTTTAAGAAGTACTTAGTTTGCTAATCTTGTCTTAATGATGATTTCTAGCTTTCTTTACCTCTTTGCTTTCGGTTCGAGTATGAGTAGCGAGTAGTTCTTTAGAGGTTTCGAGGGTGAGATTAGGAAAGGTCAGAGCTTTAGCTTCCTGTTAACCTCTTCCTTAATCTCCCTTGACCAGCTTTTCTTTAGCTAGAGCTTTATATCTCGGCTTCTTCTTGATCACTTGAAGTCGCGAATCTAGGCTAGTACACCTAGAAGGTGTTTGCGTTAATGCCTAAGAGAGCTAGCGATAGAGAGAAACATTCCCAACCTAAGAGATTGGTTGTTGGGATGTATCTTGTGCACTTTTAGACTAGATCTTGTGAAAGCTTGTAACTTTGAGTCCACTAGCGAGAGCTAGCTTTGGATTCTCAGCTTGCAAAGCGATCTGACCACGAGAGTGGCGGATTTACCCAAAGTCTAAGCACAAAGCTTGAGTCTTGGTGTGTTGAGAAAGGAAGGTTGAGCTCGTTTGATCCCAACTAAATCTCACCCAAGACGCCTCCTTTATCTTTATTGTTAAAGTTTAAATCTTTCTTTCATCTTGTTAGCTTAAAGCATAGATCTTTACAAAACAAAACCCAATCTTTTATCAAAACTTGATCTTTGCCTTTTCTTTATTTCGATAGTTTGAATCTCCACTTGGATTGACATCTCAAGTACTACAATGACATGAGTGGTATGGATTGAGAGTAGTTGATACAAAAATCCTACTTATCAGTCCTCATTGGACAATTTTGTCCATCGAAGATCTTGAAACCTATCATCAAACATTCCAATCTGATCTTTCACTTTGTCTGGCTCAACCATGTAGAAGATTGGGAGTATTAGCAGTTTCCCATGATCAGCATGTTTCTTGATGGCCACCAGCTCCTCGAGGAAGTATGTCGACTCGGCGTAATCTTCAGATAAGATCACCACTGCTATCCATAAGTCCTCCATCACCTCCGAGAATTTTTTAGTTCCCGTAGAGGTTTCCACGTCCCCATAGTTCGCCAAGGAATTAGTTACATGGTTGACGTACTTTCTGCGGATCTCTGGACTCCCAGTGTAACTGATGTACACATGACTTCTCACGACCGGTTTCTAAGGGGACAAGAAGACGCCAAGTTTGGTCGGATCAATATTGAGAAAACATTTTTTGCCACTTAGGTAGAATTAAAACCTCATTTTATTTTAGAGATTTTTTTCTTGTTTTATTTTAATTGATTTTTTCTTAAGTTTCTGTGCAAAAAATTATTGTGATTTAAGTATTTAACTGGTTATGACCATTTATATTATGAAGTAATATTTGTTAATTGGTTTGATTGTTTTTTTTTTAATAATTCATGCAATTTTTACTTGAAAATCTTATAAAATGAGAGAATCAGTTTAATCACTTACATGCGATTCCGTAGGGAAATCCGTCCGAATAATGACGTTTAGCTTTTCCTTGACCTGCTCCGAGATCTTATCAATAAAGTCTGGCTCAGATCTGCCGATCCAGAGATATTAAAAAAAAGTTTATAGATATTTGAGTTATAATGGAAACTTCATGCATGCGAAAAGTTTCAAACTTTACCTAGAACTTCCGTCAATTATGATGCCCATCTTTTCCAAGCTAGAAACCATAGCTTTCATACGTTCCTTGATCATCATAGACATTTTAAAAAACAAGAAAAGATCAAGATCTTAAACTAGTAGAGAAGTTTGGAAAACTCTCTACACACCTCATCCTCATACACTGAGGCGTCAAACGGATGACTTTTTGGCTCCCTTATACTGCCAAACCCACCCTCAATCATGTGCTTTGTGATTGCTTCGATAAATCCGGAATCTAAGCTGCAACAACAGCAACAGCGAAAACCACATAGATATTTTAATTAAAGTCATGTATTTTTAACTATATGTATATATATCATATAAGGACCTATCTCCTGCTTGGTTATATAACTTGAAACCCTTCGTGGCTGTGACAGACACCAAAGCTTCTCTCCACTCCTTGATTCTAACCTCCGTATGAAGCAAGGCCTCCATACTCTTACCAGCAGCTTTTCTACGCTCAGCCTTCTCTAGCTGGCCGAGCAAATATCCGAAATTTCCCTTGTGGTGCACTGCGTCGGACTCATTCATCATGTAGTAGATGAGAATCGTTCTTAGCTTACCTACGTCCATGCGTTTTACGACCAACACTAGAGCGTCTAAGCACTCACCTGATCCTCCGAAGTCATCGGAGAGTATCACTACCACAAACCTGGACACCCTGATCCTCTTCATGATCTTACACCGATCTTTTGCGTCTTCTCTCATCTGAGTGATAACGCTGAAGCTCTTACCTTCCAAGCCGCTTTTCAGATGACTGAGGACAGTGTCTGGCACGTCTTCCCCAGATAGACCGACGTACACCATCTGATGCTCACCTTCCATCGCCTTTTTGTTTTTCTTTTTCCCCTTCACTCAGATCCAAATCAGACTTTCTTTGGAATTTTAGTCAACGGTGAAGTTTATGGAACTATAGTACTGTTCGATGTCAATATAAAATAAAATCCTTCACATGGTGCTATTCATCTATTTTTACAGTTCTTTATTTTATTTTGTTCTTAAAAGAGTATATGGAGTATGATAATAGAAGGTGCAAACATAATGTTTTAATTTTGGTTACAGTCAATTAAAAGCTAGGAAAAACTGGAAAAAGACACTTTGTCCACTATTTTATACATCTAAACACTTTTTTATAAAACTTTGGTGACATATGATTTTTAATTAACTAAAATCCAACTATACCCTTTTTATTTTGAGTTTTTTCCTTTATGATCATTCATCATACTTTTTTCTCTTCAAAACCAAACAAGAAAACAAGTAAATTAAACATACAAAGTTTATTATATAAATAAATTAAATTCAACCAATATATTCTCAATACCTAAAAAATAAGAAAAACTAACTAAGGAGATTGATATGAATATGAGTTTTGTAGAATGCACATTCTAAACATAGTTCCATAGTTTAGATAGAGGGGTTGGATGCATGCAAGAAGGATTACTTGGAAGTTAAAACCGATAAATCCATAATCTAGGATATATATATCGTTCTTCATTGAGCTATGCTCTGTTTTCAAAACTTGTTAAAAATAGCTCTTGTTCTTGATATCTTTTAGTATCGAGACCATAAGTGTCAGCACCTCCCACTTATAGTCTTTTTCTGTAGCAGCTTTCCAGTCATCATCCTGAACACATAAAAGGTGACAAAAATGAATATTGGTTTGATGGTTTCCTTCCTCAAAAGAAAAGATGATAATGACTTTCTTGAGATAGAAAACACTTACCCAACACAAAACGCATTCGGGATGTAGTACAAAGCCACATGGTTTGCATATATAACCAGGAAACATAGGATCACACGCCTTGATACATATCTCACAGTACTTATTACACGCCTCACCCGTGAGTTCATGACTGAGAATCAATGTATGTGCATGCACTCGATGCTTTACATACGTTGGCAATCCAATGCACTCTACATGACAGTAGAAGTTGCATTTTACACAGCCATAGAAGTTTCTGTGGCATGTTATCTTGCAGACATCACAAGTAAGATCATGATGATCGAAGCTACACTCGACATAAGCCATAAAACGGTGGAGGTTATGTTGATGACATTTCTTGAACTTCAACGATGCTTCCACAAACGTTGAGCAATTCACATGGAAGTAGACATCTTTGCATTCAAGACACTTATAGCTGTACGATTTTATTTTGTCTCCGCAGCAACCACAACTGGATCCATGTTTAACTTCATCACAAAGATAAACAGGATGGTAATGGAACGGGTGTTCAACTTTTACTTCAACCTCAAGGCACTGAATGTGGTACGTCTCATTACATTCCAAGCATGATGGAGAGCCTCCACCATATAACTCTTCTCCACAAACACTGCACTGGCGTCTCTCTTCTGATGTACCAAGAACTTGAACTAGGTTATGGCTCTTCCTACATTTTCCTTCCCACCTTATATTATAATGACTTTGGACGCAGGCCTTGTGTCCTGTGTGACGCATTTGATATCAGCGATGTAACCGCAAGTGCGACAAAAGAGATTGAATCCATCGATTGATTTTTGGCAAATGTCACAATCCATTTTTTCCACAGGAGGCAAGGGAAGTAGTATCAAAGGGTGCCTGCTGTGAAACCTACGTCCTACTCTCTGCGCTAGCCCTGCGCATGTTTCGTGTGCTGTAAACTCGCACATCTCACATTCGTACTCGCAGCCAAGCGGTCCTTGTTGACAAATGTTGCATTGTTTATCTCTAGTGTTGCATGATCTCAATAGATGAGTGTGTTTGACATCAACAATCTGCAAATGTTATATATGTATTTAAGAAAATTGGGTTAATCATATATCTCCACATATATAACATCATAATAAAAATGAAAAGGTCTGTACTATAAGTTTGTCTTGGCTAGTTCCAGTAGCCATTTCTCCACTATAGGTTATATCCTTCAAATACATGATCCGCTGTTTTCCCTAACGATTTTGGATGAAAATTAGCTAATTGATACACAAAAAAAAAATCGGATCAAAGCATGTTAATAATATCGGATCAAACCATGTTGAAAATGCATTCGATGTGGGCCTGGAAAACGCATCTGTCGCAGGAATAAGCATAGCTTCCCAAGTTGATGACCGTCTCGCAAACATCGCAGTACTCGTACTCTTCGTTCAAGAACAACTTACACTGAGTGCGATGCGAGTGACGAGACTTGCGGAAAACAAAGTCAGCTATCCTAAGACACTCGAAATGGAAGTTCCAGTCGCACTGGATGCATTTGTAATAACAGTTTTTCCAAATCTTTTGAGGCTCCTCACATATCTTGCAAGGCTTCTCCACGGTGATTGCATGAGCGGCGTTCCTTGGCACGTAAACCAAACCATGCTCGCGATGAGCGTCGTGCTTGAGAGACCGCAACATGGAATCAGCACATCCCATGTGGACTTTGAAATCACAAGCCACACAACCAAACGGGACTCCATGGATCGGTTCTTGGCACGCGTCACACTGGATCTTCCGCTCTTTGTGTTGCACGTAGCTAAGGCGTTTGAGAGTGTGCTGCGAATGCATGGGGTGCTGAATCTCGCTTGGAAGATCAAGACAACGGTCATGTACGAAGCAAAGACAAGCAAGACAACCGTGGCATATCTGCTTGTCCGAATACGGACGCTCACAGATCAAGCACGTGCCGCTGCCGTTTGACCAACCGGGTTTACACCGAGAAAGCACGTGCCTGTGGCTGTAATGGTACGTTTTTGCGTCGTCCCATCTCGTGGTTATCGCTATCGACGCGCACTTGACATCGATCTTGATTTGACAGGTTTTGCATTCGTAGTAAGATCCAGAGGAGATCACGTAGCCGCATCCGCTGCAGATGAAGGAGCTGTAAATGTGATCCGGTTGGTGCTGATGGAACTCGAGCAAGTGTTGAGCGTCCAAAGGGTGAGAGAGCTTCGGAGACAAGTTAAAACAGAGACTGCAAAGACCGAACTTACAAGAATAACAAGTGTATTGGATCGAGGCTTCTTCTCCTTGGCATAAGCTGCAGATTCCTTCCTCCACCGCCGTCGTCTCCGATAAACCCGAATCGCAGTTATGAACAAAGTGCTGAAACGGTTCCATTAACGGAGAAGGTAAAGAGATGATGAAAATGGATATTGCAATGTGTTTTGCTCATACAAAGAATCAAATCAAGAAAAATGTGGATCTAGATCGGCGAGTGCAAGAAAGTAGAAGCTTCAACATTATAATATATATTTGGTAGATCATTGACTTTGGGGTTCTTTGAGCATCCATAAAAAAAACAAAGACTTTACTATAAACTTATTCATTCTAAGGAATACAAACATATATAAACCTTGCTCGGAAGTTTTTGGCTTTTCAGAAAGTGGAAGAGCACGAATAAGACCTGCCGGTAGTTCTGAGCTCCGAACACGGCCAAGGACTGACCTTGAGTGAAGTTCCAATAACATCGGAACACTTCCACGTCCGATACGAATTCAAGCTTCCATGCAGATTAATCTCACTCAAACATATCCCTGTAAAAGGTGAGCCTTTAAGGCCTTGAATGGAGCCAGCGTTTTGAACGTTAACTCCCCAGACGTTCTTGATATGTATCCCCTTAACGACCGGAAGAGCGTTCGGGTTATAATACGCGTCCGGGTGGTCTCCAGTGTCGCCGGCGATCTTGATACCGTACTTTGCGTTTTCGACGTAGACGTTGGAGATCTTGATGTTCTTGATGTATCCTCCACGACCGATGTTCGTCTTGATGTTGACTCCAACGCCCATGTTGTAGAGAGTGATGTGTTCTGCTAAGACGTTCTTGATCCCTCCTGATGTCTCGCTTCCTATCGCGATGCCTGCGAACGGGGACGATCCTGTGACGCGTCGGATGGTTATGTTTGAGCTTGGACGTCCGAAAGCGATTCCGTACTGGTCCCAACCGCTTTTGATGGCGACGAGGTCGTCTCCGGTTGAGATGTACGAGTCTTCTATGCAGACGTTGAAGCTCGAATCTATATGCACACACCATAAAAACATGAGTCAAGTTCGTATCTGGACATGTTTGATTTGTTTCAAGAAGAGCAATGCAAAACCTGGATCGATTCCATCGGTGTTGGGGGAATCTTGTGGAGCTAAGATGGTAACGTGATGGATGACAACGTCGCTGCCAGAGATCAAAAGGAGGAAACAGAGTCAAGAACAGAGGAAGATGAATATATTTCTATATATGATTTGGGAAATGTAGCATTTGTACCTGCAATAGACTGGATGAATGTTCCAGAAAGGTGAGTTTTGGAAAATGACGTTTGAGATTATGATCTCCTTTGAGTTCTTGAGCTCGATTAGGTTCGGTCTAGTGAACTTTAGCGTTCTGCTGCGCCACATGTTCCACCATACTTCTCCTTGACCATCTATTGTCCCGTTTTGTCCTGTTGCAATGTACAATGTCAAAACAGTGTTATCATATGAGAAACATTATGTTCTTGGTAATGCCAAAACAGCTATATAGAGATATAAATGAGATATAAGATGGTCAAATACTAACCGGTGATGACTACATCACGAAGCCCATCACCATGAATAAAGCTTATATACCGACCTCCTGGTAATTCCCTTCCTCTTCCATAAGATGGTAAAGGGTCAACCAATGGCCAGTTCCATGTATCCTGAAGTCAACCATTATAAGGTCACAAAAAAAAATTGACTTGAAAATGTTTATAACTCTCACACACACAGTGATATACACTACAGCGACAGGTACTGTTTTTGTTTTCATACACTTGAAGACAAACCAATCAGAGAATCTCATAGTTTAAAAAAAAAAATTGAATCCGAAGTTGAAGGAGAATCCTACTCGGATAATGTGAGTGAGACTCTCACACTAAACGACGGTAAAACACAAAACTGTCCACATTCATAACGTTAAAACACACTAACCAATTTTTTAACTCTACTTTCTCTTTCGGATATTTTTTATGTACACTAGTGGAAAATATTTAATAAACCAGATTTTGACAAAACGTTGGATAACATGAACGACAAAACTGCCAGCTATCTTTTGGGTCAGCTATTGAAAACATTAGACATAAAAGCAGTACACCACATGCATACAATAACGTTTTAGCCTCCGAACGGTCCCATGATGCTCGGACCTACCCATTACCACTCCCATACCCAATTAGTCACTTTTAATTATTATAATACGTGCATGGTTCCCCAAATCTTCTTTTAAAAATAATTATTACATTTCACTTGATTACAAGATCACCAAAACTTGTTACATTTTCAGAACTCAGATCCAAGCAATCAGCCAAGAAGTAAAAAAAAAACACTTCTATTTTTGGAATACTTTACTTAATAGAAAATTGAAATATCTTTCTAGCAGTAGCAGCCATGAATCATCACTCACAGTACTATCAGTCTATCACCGAACTCAATTCCAGAAAGCAGACAGAGACTAATCACCAAAACATTTATTATATTATATACTGATGAAATTTGAAGTTCAAATCCGAAACTTACAAATCAACATACCAATTTCAAATGACCTCATAGAATCCAAAAATGCAATTAAACAAACAATGTAGCAAACATACTAATGGAAATTTCAAATTTCAAAATCGCAGTGATATTAAAAAAAGCAGAAAATTAAAATTTACCTGAACAGCTCTAATGACAGCGCCTCTAGCCAAGTAGAGAGTCATATGGCTGGTGAGATTGAAGCTCTCCGTCAAAAACACTCCCGGAGGTATATACAGAAGCGTGCCTCCTCTTCTCCTCAGGTGCTGAATCCGGTAAATCGCCGCCCTGAACGCCTTCGTATTCACCGTCCTCCCGTCACCGACGCCGCCGAAGTCAGTTATCGAGATCTTATCGTACCGGTACCGTAATGGGACTATCCCGGAACATGTCGCCTCCGAATAGGCGAAAGAAGAGACGGCGAGGAAAGAAACGGCGAGACACGAGATGATGAAAACTGAGACGGAGATTCGCCACATTTTCGTTTGGGAGAAGGAGATGAGTAGAGATTTGAGCTTTATTTGTAGAGGTTTTCGTTGGGAGAGAGAAAAATCTGGAGAATTGATTTCTTCTTTCCTTTGTAATTATGTTTGTTTAATCGCGAGATAAAGCGCGCAATTAATAATGTGTGGAAGTTTGTGCGTTTGAGAGACAACGTTCAGTAGAAGAAAGCACGTGCCAGCACACGTGTGCCATTACGGGCTGGAAACTTTTAATTTGGGCCATAGGTAGTGAAAATTATCGGCCCAATAAGGATCTTAATAGAAATGCCAGTAGCTGGAGACCAATTTTGTTTTGAGCCTGCCTTGTGTAGCTTGACCAAATTTTATGTTTTTACTTGAACAAATTAGGTTTTTCTTCAGCATTTTTTTATACGTAGTGTTGATGCTTTAGTTTGTAAAGGTGGCTTATCGAAGTTTACTTCTTCAAGTGTGTGAATTGCTTGTTGGGCAATTCTAAGATAAGATTAAACAAAGACATAACCTTGTAATATCGGTGACTAGAGAGATTAAATAAAAACTGAGGAGGTATAAGCAGCAGCAACTTAAGATCAGACTTTTCAAAGGTGGTGGAAATGGAGAAGGAGAGTCCGTTGGTGCGTCTGTGTTTAGAGGAAGCTTGCAAGAGCGGAGAATCGGTGGAGCGATGGCGTCTTCAGCGGCGGAGCCTTGAGAGGCTGCCTCCTCACCTTGCCGATGCTCTCCTCCGCCATCTCCTCGCCCGGCGACTTCTTTTCCCTTCGTTACTCGAGTAAACTCCTAATTTTTTTTGTACAGTTTTTGAATTTCAGGGAAAAGATGAATATTAGTATGAATTTGATTTGAGCTTGTGTTCTTCTGATCTCGTAATGATGTGATATTTATGTTTGGATTTGAGATGTTGAGTGATCGCTTGGGATCTTAGTTTTTGCTGGAGATTTTGATTGGAAATGTTATACTTAAATTGTTAGATCTGGTGGTTCTAGAATCTTGTTGGTCTTACATTGTTAATGTTGAAATTCATTTTATATTAGTCAAAGTTGTGGAAGTTGATTGATTTCATCGACACTGAACTATTGTTGGCTCAATCAAGATTCCCAATTTGGGAAAAAAGACAATAATAACATTCTCTAGTTACTCCTCATATTTCCAAGCATGAACTTTACTTGGTATCAGACCAATAATAAGATTCGAGGAGCAAAGTTCATTTGATTGTGTTTAGAAGTTATAACTCAAACGCTTCTCTTTCATTTGGAATTTTAAGTGGCTACTCTTTCGAGAACATATTTTTGGAAGAAAATATTTGCTTTCATCTCTGTCACAACTAAACAACATCATTTTGGCTGCAGAGTATTCAAACATTCTGTAGAGAAAATAGATTTCAGAGGGGAAAGCTCCATTAACGCAGAATGGATGGCTTACATTGGAGGCTTTCTTAATCTTTCTTCTCTAAATCTTTCAGATTGCCCTAGAATCAACAATTCCACTCTCTGGCCTATCACAGGTATGTCAAATGAAACACTTTTGATTTTGCAATGGAAAATAAATATCAAATGTAAGTTTTTCTAAAAAAATGATATTGGATTTTCAGGACTAACAAGTTTGAAAGAGTTGGATCTTTCAAGATGTTCAAAGGTTACGGATGCTGGTATAAAACACCTCCAGTCTGTGGCAAACCTGGAAAAGTTGTGGATTTCACAGACTGGCGTCACAGAAGCTGGAATCTCTCTTCTTGCTTCACTTAGAAACTTGTGTCTTCTTGATTTGGGTGGCTTACCTGTTACTGATCACAACTTGAGCTCTCTCCAGGTACAACTTGAGTATTTAGTCTTATAAACCCATTATCCATACAAAATGAAGTTCATGTGTATGACCGCAAGTTTTTTTTGTTCCTCAGGCACTGACAAAGCTAGAGTACCTTGACATATGGGGGAGCAACGTAACCAACCAAGGAGCCGTTGGTATTCTCAAATTTCCAAACTTGAGCTTCCTCAATCTCTCCTGGACCAGCGTCACACAAGCTCCAAACGTGCCGCATCTTGAATGCTTACACATGAACAAGTGCACTCTTCTCTCCATAGAAATCACTCACACCTCCGCATCAGCTTCCTTGAAAAAGCTCGTTTTGTCCGGAGCTACGTTCAGTGCCGAAACCGAGACCTTTTTCTTCACCAACAAAAGCTCTGTAACCTACTTGGATGTTTCCAAGACTTCCCTCCAAAACTTCGCCTTCTTAGAAACCATGACGAAGCTGGAACATCTTGATCTGAGCTCCACAGCTTTCGGGGATGATTCTGTCGAGTTTGTAGCATGTGTTGGTGATACTCTGAGGAATCTCAACGTCTCGGACACAAAAATCACTACCGCTGGTGTTGAAATTCTTTCTGGACATGTACCGAAGCTCGAGACGTTATCTCTGTCCCAGACATTTGTTGACGATCTCTCCATCTTATACATCAGCACCATGATGCCTTGCATTAACGCCCTTGACTTGAGTATGACCAGCATCCGAGGTACGTATTTGGCTTTCAAAAATCATTTTTGATCAAAATCTAACTCCATGACTCTCTTTCTTTCTTCCAGGATTCATCCAGCAACAAGAAGAAGAATCAAAAAAATCAAAGCCGTCACTAGCAGCGCTACAGTCTCTTACTTCACTTGGCACACTGAGTCTAGAGCATCCATACCTAAGCGACAATGCTCTCTCCCCACTAAGTAGCTTAACCGGTTTGACACATTTGTCCCTAAGAAGCACTTCACTCACAGATTTCACCCTCCACAACCTCTCCTCTCTCCCAAACCTAGTCAGTCTCGGAGTCCGCGATGCAGTTTTGACCAGCATTGGTCTCGAGAAGTTTAAACCGCCTTTAACCCTGAGAACACTCGACCTCAGAGGCTGTTGGCTTCTAACCAAAGACGCTATCGCTGGTTTCTGCAAAAGGCATCCTCACATCAAAGTGAGGCATGAGTTTGCGCAGGAATCTTCTTCTCTTGACCAAAACCGACTTCTTCCTCGGTCATCTCCTCAGCAGAGTTTCGCAAAGACATCGAGGAGGAAGAGCAACCAGAGGCCGGAGACTTCTGCTGCTGTCTCCAGGAGTTTCATAGGTATGGCTTTTTCACTATTATAACAGTTCATGAAATAAGGAATGAGAGATGATGACATGTGACTGTAAGAGCTAAAAGTTTAAATGTGTGAATATTTTGTGGATGCAGATCAGAGGGTGAAGTATAATAGGGATGAGTTGGTTGCTCTACAGGATTCGCCTTCATCGCGCTTGCTTCCACGGGAAGGAAATTTTGTCAGTGTACCGGAGATTCTAGCTGATTCCGTGATACACATGGTGATTCAGTGATCCATCTGATTTTACACAAACGGTTGAACAAGTTGTACTTTATTTTTAGTAGAGATCTTTAGCTGTCCGTATTGTTTGTTGACAGATGGCCTCATTTTCTCTTCATCGAATTTTATATAGACTTTAAGGATACGAACAGAGCAAGAGTCAAGCAAAGCAGTTTTGTAACTTCATCTCAATATAATTTCTCCACATATGTGATTGTTAAAGTTTTACCAGTTTCGACAAAATCTATAGAAGCATTCACATTCAAGTATTCGACAGGAAAGTGGATTTCGAATATAAAGGACAAAGTGTAGCAGCTCTGCTCTGATGGTATGGAACAAAAAAAAGATTCCAACAGAAATTTGGATTTCAAATAAAGTTGAAGACATAATGTATAGCAGCTCTCTGATCTGATAGTGTGAAAGATCCAAATATTTTACACAGATGACAGGAGCATATTAACAAAGTCTTCGTCATGCAAAATGAGAGACCTAAAGAAAAAAGAAGCAAGAGACCGAGAGTGATGTGATGATACCGCCAGGAGGAATCTACTGCTGTCTGGAAGCTAAGCGTTCGTTTGTGGTCTTGTACATTTCATCGATCACACTCTGTCACATGAAGAGAAGAGATTTTAGGCTTATGTCGCATTTATATGCTTAGATAAGGAATCGAGTTTTTGTATTACCTGGTAGTGTTTCAGCAATTGTGGCCTCTTCTTTTTGAAGGTCGGAGTAAGAAGATCGCGTTCCATGTCAAATGGCACCGGGTCTAGATGAACCGCCTTGATGATCTCGAACCCCTTCATCTGCAAAAATCCAACAAAACAAAATTAAATATGAAATCAAATAGATACAAAAAATCATGAATCCCATAATAGAAACCTCAAATGAAAATCAAGAGAAAGGATAGATAACCTTTTTCTCTTTGCCCATTTTAACAAGCTCTCCGAGTATGAATTCCTTCGCCTTCTCGTTTTGGCAGAGAGCGTCGTAGTCACCGCTCACACCGTTTTCTGCAGCCCACTTTTCAAGAATACGCTGGTTTGGATTGGCGACTGCGATTAGGAACGACTCGAAGCTGTTACCGTACACCCAGACCTAGTAAGTTTAAACGGAAAGAAGAAGAAGATTGTGATTATTAGTAGATGAGAATCTTTTACTAAACCAATGTGTGAGAGAAGCTATACTTACGGAATCAACAGCTTGCACTTCACCGTAGATGTTTTCAATGTTCTCGACCGCAACGTACTCTCCTTGTGAGAGTTTAAAGATATTCTTCTTCCTGTCAATTATCTTCATGGCTCCATTTGGTTGCCACTCACCAACATCACCTGACGTAATGGGGAGATACAGAGAGTTAAAAGAATTCAAAAAAACGATATTCTAACTAGTTTCTAACAAAACTACAGTAATTTTTCTCTTCTTCCTTAATTGAATCAAGGTTTTGGCGAAATAGAATACCTGTGTGCAGCCATCCATCAATGAGAACCTCTTTTGTGAGGTCTTCACGTTTGTAGTATCCAGAGAAAAGGGTCTTTCCCCGGATGCAGATTTCACCACGTGGTTTGCTTGCAAGAGCATCGTATTCCATCTCAGGGACAGATTCAAGGCGTATATCGACGTTTGGGACTGGTGGACCGACTGTGCCGAGCATGTCCAGTTCGTCTGGCAGCGAGACGAAAGTTCCAGCACAGCTTTCGGTCAAACCTACAAAAGAACAATCATGCAACAAAAACAAAACAGTCAACTAATGACATTCTCTGTTGATGTGGGATCAATATACTATAACACTCTTGTACAGACCTTTATATCCTAGCCTGCCTCTAAAAGGCGAAAGCTAACAGCCAAAAGTAGAACCAAAACTTTTACAACCAAAAGATAGTCCAGTTGTTTCTAAAATTCTAGGTGATTAATATGAGCGAGTGACTTTATCGAAAATGGCTACTTTAAGCAGTTCATTTGGATCTAGAGAACTCAATGTTGTGAATGGTACCGTATCCTTGAAGAACGTGACAGCAAGCCACCACTCTTAGAAATGACTCTACGTGACTAGCGAGAGGAGCAGCTCCAGATAGAATAATCCTCACATTGCCTCCGAGCCCTTGTTTAACCTGAGTGAGAAAGCAATGGAATTAATTGCTATGAAGGTTTAAAACGAAGAGTGATAGGCTATTCAGATACCTTGCTGAACACAAGTTTGTCAGATAACGGAGAGGCCTCCACATGAGACTGTCCCTTCTTCATATATCCAAATTTACTGAGGAAATTTGAGTGTGTTAGATCGAATAGCTTAGAGATTAGTGAAACAGATAAGAAAAGAGAAATCTAACTTACTAGGAAAATGCAGAATCAAACAAGAACTTTTTTAAGAATCCACCAGCAGAAAGCTTCTGCTGAAGACCTGTTGGATATAATAGGTCAACGTCATGAATCATGAAAAGTTGTCGAAGAGAAAATACCATATGTATCAATGAAATGAAATCGTTAGAAGAAGAATCAGAGTCTACATAATGGGAAATGAGACACAACCAAAGAAGAAAAGAAGGAAAGCTTATCATAATTACTCCTGTAGAATTGAGAATAATATTTACATTTGGTATATCTATTATCTCATCATCAATTTGTTATAGTTCATGCAGGAGTTGCGTGGTACAAATGTAAAACCTTGATGCAGTTTTTTGGGATAAACAGATGTTACAAGAGCACAACTTAATAACGTGGGGCATTGAAAATACATAGGCATATGATATTTTAAACATCTTACCTGAGTATACTCTGTCTAGGACACGAGGTACAGCGCAAAATATGGTGGGTTTAAGCTCACCAAGGTCTTCTATCAACAATTTGACATCCTGAGGAGACAACACAGAGAAAGTTAAAGAAACAAATTCAAAACAAGTTCAAATAATAAGCTTTGAGTTGTACTGACCCCACGCCAGAAGCCAATTGCAGCACCGTGTTGAATAAAACACTCCTCGATAACTCGGTCAAAGATGTGGGCAAGTGGAAGATAAGAAAGATACACATCTTCCGCAGACAACTATTGATTTGCACAGCCAAAAAAAAAACAATTAAGGGCAGAGCAAGGTACAGGGGAAGCTTAAATATTGCATCATCTTTGTGAAACATAACCCTATGCATTAAAGCACGAAGGAAACTTACGGCTTCGTTAGCGGATTTCAGTAGACGGATAACTCCAGCAATTAGGGTAACAATGCTTTCGTTAGAAATCATCACTCCCTTTGGGTCACCAGTGGTTCCACTAGTATACATAATCGTGCAAATGTCACTTTTCTTTTTGATGGGGAGATCATATTGCTTTCCTTCACCCTGGCAGAATTAATCACAGTGGAAAGTGAAAAAACGGTAAGAATAGTTGTTAGACCAGGGAAAGGCAAAAAGCTAATGAAAAGTCTCATACCAGCTGCAGAAATTCATCCCAAGCATATATAACCAACCCAAATTTTTCAGCTTCTTCTCTCTGTTCAGGTTTGACACCACCGAAGCTCACAACAGCTGCACTTATCATCAACCACAATTGATCATTAGCAACATCATATGTTAAAACCCAAAAGAGCAGAACACAAATAAGAATTACTTACTCTTCATGTACTCTGTCGAGTTTGGGCATGTCTTAAACAACTGATAATCAAAAGGAAAAAGGAAGTGATGAGAAAAAGTTCAACATACAGTAAAATTAGAAAATGGCCATCAATACATGAAGATATATTCAGACTGTACCTCAGAGATCTTCTTCTCCTCCACAAAGACAATTGAAACCTCTGAATGGGTGATAATGAATTCCACAGCACTAGCGCCTAGCGTATCATATAAAGGGACACAATAGAGTCCATGTGCATTGCAGGCCTGCATCAGAAGTGCACTGTCAGTCCTCTTACAAAACACAATTGATGAAACTATCATGATCCAGCAGCAAGATTACCTCCATGCTTATAATCCACTCAGGAGAATTGGCACCATAGATACCACATTTTGCTTCCTACACATACCAGCAAACACAAGATTAAGCCACAGAGTAACCATATTCAAGCGAAAATACGTAGGAAATGATGAGACTGAAGATAAAAATCAGAAAGGAAAAGACGAATCTTACATCCTTAACTCCACAGCTTCGGAGAGAATTTCCAAGTCTTATGACAATGTCGTACACTTCTTGGTAAGTTTGCCAGACATACTTTCCCGGCTGAGAAGAATGAAAATATAAAGTGAATAAATCTGTAAATAACTCGAAACGAAATCACAAAAAAACTCAAAATCCCAAGAAACAATAACAACACCTTTCCGTCCACAATCTCACGGCGGCCGAGCATCCGATTGTTTGGATGTTTCTCAACAGACATGCTGCAAATAGTAGAAAACGGAAGATGTCAAACAAATCCAATTAATATCACCCAAAAAAATGGAGAACATCAACCAAAACAAATGCATGTACTGTAAATCATTCACAATGCTACTCATAAGTTGCCAAATTACTAAGGCAAAATCAATAACCAACAAAAAGTATATATCTATCGATTAGAGCTCTTGAGTACGATCCCGTGAGAAGAAGTGCATCCGCAAAACTAAAAACACATAGAAATCAAGGCCAGATAATAAAAACAGTAGATGAAACTAAGATTCTACGATCCTTACTCACGACTTGAGAATTCAAAAACTCAAAAAACGCAAGTCAGAACAAGTTCCACGATCAGTCAACAGTCAATACTAGATTCACGGATCAAAATCTCAGCACGATTCGGAGAACAGACTCAAGCAAAAACAAACTCCGATCAGTAATTCACAGCAGAGAAGGGAGAATCTCACCGGAAAACATCCCAGCAACTATCCATTCCTTCGATCGGCTCAGGGAATCCATCCTTGGCGAAGATACTGCGGTAAACAGGTCCCACTGAAGGTCTGCCATCGCTACCTTCTTTGCCTTCCTCGACCTGGAAAATGAATTTCTTCTGCTGCGCCATGATCGATCTCTCTTTCTCTCTCTCTGTATAGAACCAGAAACTTCTCTCGTTTTCTCTCTGCTATTTCTAATCGAGCGAAGTGAGAAAATAGGGTCCACACGGCTCTGGCGATCGGAGAGTTAATTAGTGACACCTACTGCGATTGCGATTGGTTGCTCTTCACTAACCATAAATTGTCAAAAAGTCAAATTTCAACATATTCAACACTCTTAATGGGCTCAAAGCTACGTTTCATCATATTGAAAGCCCAATACAGTGAATGTAGTCCTCGACCAAATGAAACTAATCTGGATTGTGATAATTATGGCGTCCATAAATTTATGATGGTTTTTAGGTCAATAGTTTCAGGATTTTGCCATAACTCGATAAATGTTCTTTTTTTTCTAATCAATTTTTGGTAGACAATCTCTAACATTTATGAGGGATTTTTATATGATTTATGAAAATGATTAAAAAGAGTAATGGATAATGTGATGTAAATTCAAACCTAGTAGAAGAGATATATATATATATATATATATATATATATTTATTTATTTTTTTTTTGGTCAACAGTAGAAGAGATATTTTAAAGATGAAGGAAAGAGAGAAAAAAAGTAGCGGAAAATGGGATGGAGGGAAAATGGAAATTCATAGAATTGGGGATTATTGGCGGGAAAATGTCCATAAAGTCCCTGGTTTATAAAAGCTTCGCATTTAAGACCTTTTTTTATTTTTTATTGACTCGCTAGATCCTCCTTTCTCTCCCAAGCCCTTGTGCTTAGCTTCTCAAGGTAAATTTTCCCCCAATTTCTCTCACTGCCTTCGTTTTTCTCTGCCTTGTAAAGCGAAAACCCTTAGTCTTACTCTATCAATTACCTCGTATTTTCCGATTGACATTCCGTTTTCGTGATTAGCGAAGAATCTAGGGTTCCTTCTCATATATTTTCAGGAAATTTAGGGATTCTTCAAATCGCTTTGCTTATATCCAATTTCAATCTCTTGATGATTTCAGGTTTAAAAATTGTGAAGTCTCGGAACTAGTCGGTGATTGCGAAAATGGCATCGGGTGCTTTCGAGGATGAAGCTGAGACTGTATCGATCAACGAATATATCGAAAGCATGGAAGCGGAAGAGCTGGTAATGACTCTCTTTCTCCATCTGAAATCAATTTTATAAGCTAATGTTTCCTGATTCTTACAATAATTGCTTATTTTCGCATTTCCCCATCTTGAGTGATTGACGAAGAAGAGTAATCTATTACCTAATTTTTGATATTTTTTTTTCTAATTATCTCAACGCTTATTGCTAAAGCCTGGAAATTTGAAATTTTGTTTAGGCTACAGTGTAAACAAACATCTAGAGAATGAATTGCTACCTTATATTCACTGTATTTCGGATAGTTATTGTACAGTCTCGAGCTAGCTAGTGGTTATGTGTGTGTCTATCTTCAACTGTTTCTATCAATTGGGTTTTCGTTTTTAAAAGAATCTGTGTTCGTTTGTGTAGTCGTACGTTTATTTGATTTAGCGGTTTAATAACATCTACTGATTTTTTTTTGTGATTGTTGGTGTGAAGGAAGCTGATTTGGTGTTGGGTGGAGATGAGGGAGATGAGTGTACATACCCAAAGGGTTACATGAAAAGACAGGCAATTTTCTCATGCCTTACATGTACTCCAGAGGGGAATGCTGGAGTTTGCACTGCTTGTTGCTTATCTTGTCATGATGGCCATGAGGTAACATAATAGATATATACAAGATTATGTCTATATCTTGTGAGAGATCTGATTCTGATGTGTTAAATTTTGTTCCCTAATGGTTGATACATTGTTCTGGCTATGTAGCTTCTGGAGCTGTGGACTAAGAGAAATTTCCGATGCGATTGTGGGAACTCAAAGTTTGGAGCTTTAGCATGTAAGCTTCTCCCGAGCAAAGATGTAGACAACTCCGAGAATGCTTACAACCATAACTTCAAAGGATTGTACTGCGTTTGCGACAAACCCTACCCTGACCCGAATGTGGAAGAACAAGTGGAGATGATACAGTGTTGTATCTGCGAGGATTGGCTTCACGAGGAGCATCTCGGTCTCAAACCTTCAGAAAGTGTTAGTACACAGAGCTTACCCTTGTGTGTACGATTGACTTACTTTTTTTTTGGCGTTTGGATTTAGTTTGAGTTTCTTATGTGATGTTAACAGATTCCAAGGGATGAGGAAGGAGAGCCTGTCTATGAGGACTTCATTTGTCCAAAGTGTTCCTCAGTTTGTTCGTTTCTCACACTTTATCCAGAGAAATTGTGGGTTGCTGCTCAAGTAGATTCAACTGGCTCTGCTACTGCTTGTTCAGTCACTTCTGAACCTGGCCAGCCTGAGAACAGTACTGAAGTCAAAAAATCTGTTTTGGGAAAATGTTCTGCGAAGATCGAAGATTCTGAATCCGTTCCTGCAACTCTTTGTGCTATTGCTACGGATCTAAACTCGTCTCCTGAGTTTGAGATGAAACCGCTGTTTCTGACCAAAAACTGGAGGAACATCTTATGCAAATGCGAAAAGTGCATTGAGATGTATAAAGAGAGGAAGGTAAGCTATTTACTTGATGTAGAGGACACGATTGTTGAATACGAGAAGAAGGCGAAGGAGAAAAGAACAGAGAAACTGGAGAAACAAGAAGGCGAAGCACTTGAGCTTCTGAATAACCTCGACCATGTAGCTAAAGTTGAGATCCTTCACGGCATCAAAGACTTCAAAGAATCGTTCAAGGGTTTACTGGTATAATATATTGAAATTATTTGATTCCTCACGAGTCTTTTTCTCTGATTCACATCTTAATAAGACTTTGATGATGATCTTTTTTTTTATTTTTTAGGAGGCTGCTGGGCCGTCAAAGGCGATAACGCCTGCAGATATTGAGCAGATGTTTTCAAATCTCAAAAACAAACGCAGAAGGATGGAGTGAGATGAGAGGAGTGATGTTACTAAGTCTTTCTTTCTACATCTCATGTTTTAGAGATGCTGTGTCGTTGGGTTTGAAATGAGGAGTGAGAAGGTTCCTCGTTTCTGTTTAGCTCTCGTCTTGTCTTTAGTTCCTAAGTTTTGCAAACAACTTTGTACCTTAGTGTGTATCGAGTTTGTAGCTTTTGAGTAACAGTTGACTCTTTTAAATAAGCTACTAGTTCTATAACTACTATTTACTTCATAATTTTCAGCTGGTTTTATATTAGCTTTGAAATGAAATTACAAAAATAGTTCCGTTTAGGAGTGTAAGTAAATATCACCTATAACTATAAGCCACCAGATACCAACCACATTAAGCAATATTTTACTGTGAATCGGAGTGTTCATCAACATGCTAATAGAAGAGATAGTACCTTAATATTCTCTTATTTTGGGCCATCCCAAGTACTTGGAGTTGGACTTAGGAAGACCAAATTCATCTTACATCTAAAATATGCCGTTTTCAACAACAACAAAAATGGCATTTCTTTTTGGTTGAGGGGCTATAAGCCTATAACTATAACATTATTTTATGGCAAAAAAATGTTGTCAGAAGTTATAAAAATGAATACTTCCACGTCAGTTATTATTATTTGTTTGTCGGCATCAAGTTATACTGTATTTTTTTCATCGACATGAGTTATTGATTTCTAGGTTAGTTTTGAAAGGAAATAAATAAATGTTGTACACATTTGTAAGCTCGTGAGTTCCTGACCCCATGAGGATGTCGGAATAACGACAGCCCCCGTGACACCGCCACGTACTTGTTGTCCTTACGCAACTTCCACGAAGTTTCTTCTTTCTTGTGATAAGAATTGATGCAACCCAATAATTATGTTACGCGTAGGGCTTAATGATAGGATCATCTGATAAGACCGCTTATTAATGACATTTACGTTAATGAGTACAATATTCTACGAACTAAGTAAAATATGCCGAATTATTTCGTGTTCATATGCACTTTATTATAAGAATAAATGCGGCTATTGTGGTTCTCACTTCACAATCACACTTATTCAGACGATATAGCTAGAGGACAACGGTATAAACTGTATTTATTTGCGCACCGTATATTATACGAGAGTGTTCGATATTCGTCAAATGGCTATAGTTAAGTAGTTGTGATTGAGTTAAGAGATCTTATGTATTAATTTGGTTTTTGGTCCTTAAAATCCGGAGGGAATATTTAGAGAGAATGGGTTTGACATTGTTTGAAACAGATCATACTATGAATTATTGGATTCTATTAATGATTAAATTTCTTATGGAAACGAAGATGAATGTATCTACAAGCTACTAACGTAACATGTCACAACTATTTAATAAGAGTAGATGGGTTTTATATTCGAGTTATAGTATACCTATTGAATCTAACGACGATCAGAAATGAACGAGACAGGTTGGTGGTTGGTATAAATGTGCATTGCCAGGTTTTAACACGGTTTTGGTATGGTTTAAAGACACCACCTAACCGGAAAGAACATGAGCTTGCTTTCTTATGTCTTCTGCAATATCTTTACAAATAATATAAAAAAGGGACGAAAACTACTAGTACTAAAAGAATTAAAGTTTCCACGATACCAAAACTACGTACTACATTCTTATTCAAGATTAGTTACATGTTGATTTGTAATAGAAAATTGATAATTCAAACGAACTCGCATTGAATTTTTACCGAATTTCTTGTTTTTGTTTATTACTCCAGTAATTTAGTATACACTTCGTTGATCAACGTATTTTTTTATGACTTCTTCTTGATGACTTCTAGTTTTTTCTGTATATTTGTTATTCTTTTCTTTCGAGTATAGAGAGCCAAACTTTTTTTAAGATTAACCGACAAGATAGTTTCTATCAAAAATATTATAGCAACTCACAAATGGATTGTAACAATTTATTTAGTTTCATAATCAACGTAAAATGTGTGTGTTGCAAACTCATCGCAAGTTTAGATGAATTAGTCCAGCTATCCGAAGTTGTTGTTAGTGAGATAGAGTACCATTAATTAGTTTTGTTTAGCTTTGCGCTCTATCTTTTGCGAGTCCTTTGTTTAATTAAACTAAATTCAAATTCAATGAGCATCTTCATAACCGAATAACAAACTTTTGTTTGGTTGAATTTATAATAAAAAAAATAACGATAATGTACAATTTTATATTTTATATTCAACAGATCAGCATCCTTCCTATGAATAATGAGTCATCCATCTATCGTTAAGCATACACACTCCACATTATATATAAACTCCATATCACTCATTGATCCATGCAAGTCTCCAGCTTCCATCAAATTGACCCACACAGAACAAAAAGAGAAGAAGAAAGACTTTTTTTCTTGGGCACTTCCAAGTTCTTTTTTCTTCTTCTAATTTTTTGTGTGGGTATTTCCCAAAAAGGAAAACCTAAAAGAACTTTTTGTTTCTAAATTTGCCTTTAAAGTTATAAAGATGGGAAACTGTTTGTATGGAGGAAACAACGTTGAAAGAGTGGTTCCAGAAGAAGAAGAAGTCATCAAGAAAGATTACAAGAGAAAGGATAGGAAAGTGAAGATTGTTCTTAGAAGAGATGAGTTAGAGAAACTCATTCTCTTCCAGTTAAACGCCGGCGGTGACGTCGACGGCAAAGGAGAAACAACTTTGGCTTCTTTTGGCGATTTTCTCAAGGAATTAGAGGCGGAGAGATCTGCCGGAGAAGCAGCTGCGAGAGCCGCGGATGAAGAGGAGGAGTCTCGCCGGAGATGTCGAAAATGGAGGCCGTCGTTGGACAGAATCATTGAATGGCCTGAAGAAACACTTTCGTAATCACCTTTTTAATCCTTTTTTTATTTTTCATTTTAGAGATCATTAAGGTTTAAATGTTCTTTCCTTTATGGGATTTGTTTGTGGGGGAGTTTGCTTTTGCCTGTTTTTTCTTTTCCTTTTTTCCGATGGATTTTTTTCACCTGAGAAATGTTTTATCTCAGAGTGAGTGATCTTCGGTGTTTGAAATTGGCAAAGCCTTGCTTACCCTATAGAAAATCCCACAAAAAAAAAACGAAACTATGTATTTTATTTTCGTCTTTTATGTAAGCTTCAATGTTTCAAGTGTCAACATAAATAAACTAGCAGTTTAGTAGTAGAAATTAGTTTTGTTGCTTTAAAAGTTTTTCTTTATATGATGACAATCGATTTCAATTAACTTAAGTACACCCTTGACCAATGTGGTTTAGGTCAGTTTAGGTTTGTACAAAACAAAAATATAGGGTTTTTTAATAGAAAAAAAGACTTCTACATTAATGTCATGTAGAATTACATAGATATGTTGATAATTTGATGTGGTTTGCCGTTTGTGCACTAAATAACTCTATCAAAATGAACTTGCAGAAAAGGGGTGTACGATTTAGGAGTACTAAATTAAGCTTTTCGTTGAAACCTACCCACAACAAACAACGCATGACTGTAAAATAAAATTAATTAAACAGCACGACTTAAAACAACATTCATCGAAATTCTATCTACCTGCTATTAATGTGCCAGGTCTGTCGTGTCTCGTTGGACATGTGGAAAAAAGAAGAGAGTAGAATCAGTAAATGATCAAAATAATTTTAAAGACAATATTAACCAAGGTATGTTAATTTAACCTAACAATCTTATACTTATTGATAAATTATCGCTAGCTTACCGTGAGGATAAATAACCTAAAACATTCAATTCGATTTAATAGTCGTTTACTCGTTTCTCGCTTGATACTCCAACTTTTCTTTTTTTAGAAAAGAAGAATTTGCATTAGACATATATGCTCGTAACTTCGTACGTACTCTAATTTGTATTAATATCTCACAATCATGATATATCCTAATTACAAGTACCATCGTATTATTTATGAGACAACAAACAAAAAAATATTCCAGCCAGAATATATACACATGGTAGATAATAAATAGATATTACCCTAATACTACAAAATTTCGATAAACAAACCCAAAATGAATTAAAAAAATATTTCAGCTTGGATAACCAGAAGCCATTTCCTTGTCGCACGTTATTAGAACCAACCACAACCACATCGACTTGAAGCTGATGTCTCACAATCATGATATATCCTAATTACAAGTACCATCGTATTATTTATGAGACAACAAACAAAAAAATATTCCAGCCAGAATATATACACATGGTAGATAATAAATAGATATTACCCTAAAACTACAAAAATTCGATAAACAAACCCGAAATTAACTAAAAAATTATTTCAGCTTGGATAACCAAAAGCCATTTCCTTGTCGCTGATTATTAGAACCAACCACAACCACATCGACTTGAAGCTGATGAACCGGGAAGTGTGAAATCTGGTCCACCACATGCTCAAAATCTAAAACGCTGCCGTTTTTGCATGTGGACAATAGCCTTTGAGCTTCTTGCTTTGTCATCTTGAACTTAACCCTCACAACCTCCTCCTTCCCCTCAACCATATTCAAACCCTCTTTGACTTCCAGAGGCTTTTCCTTTGCTTCGACTTCTTGATCAACATCGAAACTCACCGCCTTCTTCGGCTCGAAGATCTTATTATTCTCTAACTGAAACCTCACAACCTTACGTGGTTTGAGACCTTCTTTAGGAGCTAGAGGCTTTGTCATCTCTTCTTCTTCTTCTCCGGCTTCGAACCTCAGGGATTTGTCAATCCTCTTGGCTCTCTCCAAGCACCGAGTCTTTTTGGTGGGTTCTACTGACACCTCTGATCCGTTGAGAGGCAAAGTTATGTCAAAGTCGTCTGGGTATATGGGTTTTGCTTCTAGAACGTGCTCGCACCTTTCTTGAAGTCCGTTGAAGCATTTAGCTAAAGAATCCATCATTCTTTCTTCTTCTTGCGAGAGAGGGAGAGTTCTTGTGTTATATTCTTGCTTTTGTATAATTTTTTCACTATATTTAATTATCGAGAGACAAAGTATATATAGGCGACCAACCAAGTCGAGGATAATAAATTAGACACGTAGTGGAGTGTGCTTTGGGGTATGACGTCACTTTGCCGTGGGGTACTTGATTGGATTTGTTCATTTTTGTTTTTAGTTTAACCCACTTACTATAAAAAAAAAAAAGTGTAATAAGCGTTTGTAAGTATAATCTTATTATGCCTAATCAATACAGAAGAATTGACGAGTTCATTACTTCACAGTCGAGGTTGAGTTACGAGTCGTGAAGGTCAGGTTAAATTGAAGATAACTGATTAAATGTTAAGAGAATGAGGGTAAAAATTAGAGATCATCAATTATGAAAATGGATCATACTATGTACGTGTATATATCTGGGGCTGCTCATTAGTTTGGATGAAAATAATTTTAGTCATGGTCTAAATGGAATCAAGGTAAACGAAGCAAACGTAACATCATCGTAAATCAGTCAAAAGTTCTCTCTCATATTGCGTCTTAAATGACATGAAGTGAACATTTATCAAATGTCGTTATCTATTAGAAAAAATCAACTACTAGACGTTCTTAAAAATTTGAAGATCAAATTTTCCACAAACAAAATGATGCCGTGCCACTGGTGGCATTCAATATAAAATGGTCAATTACATCTCGTTTGAATGAGTCTATTTCTTTATTCTTTTTAACTCAGTAAAACTACTCTAATATTTCAATATTATCTACACACAGCTAACTAATATGAACACATGTGTTTGTCACAGATTCTTTTATGTAATTAATCAAATATCGGTTTAAAAGCTGATTACGATGTCCTGATAAATATCACCACGTATTAAAATAGTATGTTATAGAACGTCGACCAAAATCATCACTATTCACTAGCAAACCTTATCGGAAGACTTGTATATTTTTATAAATTTATACAGAACCGTATGTAGTGTAGAAAGATAAGAAACAAAAAAAATGGTTAATTTAGAAAACGCGTTTTAAAGCTAACCATATTTTGGTGCTTGACGACGACCAACCACCCGAAAAGTGTTTTCTTTTTTCGTGATTGACTAAGTCCTGATATATTCTAACTTTTCCCATCATACACTCATTCTGATATCTCCGAACCACAAATAATAGACCTACTTATCTTAGAGGGAAATATCATTTCATATACCCAAAAATACAAAACTATGGTCTTATAAGTTATAACTAAAAAAATCTTGGAGTCTGTTTGATAAAATATCGTGGTAGAATGATCATGCGATTGTGCATGGTCTTACCAATAAGGCAATAACACTTCGCATGTTCTTACCCAATCATTCCTTTTTTTTTTCTTTTCCTTATTGCAAATTAAATTTATTCATTTTTTCAATATCTGCAAACCTATTTTTATCCAATAAAGCAACAGCATCGAAATCCAAAGACTGAGAGATGACCAATGTCAACGTGGCACTAAGACCCATTGGCCTACAGTAATCTGTGTCAATAAATTTGAACTGGAAATATATAAAGATTTTAGCAACTCTACATATTTTCAGTTGAATCCGAATACTTTACTATTGATATTTACCACAAAAGAAGACATAGTCTAATAGTTTGTGCTAGTGTCTTTATCGTGTCACCACTTAGATTCAAGTATATTATAATGGGTATTATACAACTCTACATGTTATATATCAGAGAATTGCCCTTTATTTTGTCATGCATTTCATTTCATTTTTTGTTTTTAATGATTCCGCCATTATATAGCGTTCTATCAATCGGACTATCGGAGCTTAATTTACCTCATGAACATACGAATATTCGCATGAGAAACATAATAATTGGGAGGCTTCTAAGTGGGCCATATCCTTATATGTGGGCCTATTACCACGAAATGGCCCACGATTGGAGAAAGTTGAAAAATAAAGCCGGAAAGTTCGAAAAGTCTGAAACATAGAAAATTTCCAGTCGCCGTCAACATTCTCTCCTTTGTACGAACGAGACGAAACCGGAGAGAAGGAAAAAGATGAACGTCGTTAACGGGTTGAAGAGGATTCCTCGCATCAAATTCCCTCAACGTCATTTGAAACCTTCAGGTTTTGATTCTCGTCAAATTTCTATGAAGTTTCTTCGTGTTAAGTTCCATCGTTTGTTTAGTTTCGATTTTTCCTGCTCGATTGGAATTTTTTGTGTACCGTTTGATCGACATGAATCAGATATGAGATCGTATCATTTAGGCTTGGATTTATTGCTTCCCGATCTGCTTCGTTTCGAGAAAATCCCCGAATGAATCATTGGACTGAGTGATTGCACTTATATCGTAGATTCCTGGTTGTAGAAAAAGTATTGAGAATCATATAAAACTCTCCGGAGCTTTAACATGGAAGAATTTGAATAAAAATAAGTTCGTTTGTATATGATTCGTCGTCGAGTCTCTGATTGTGATTGCTTTTGCTCCTGAATTTTGGTTGATATAAGAAATCTGATTTTCTCGTTCATAAATCATAACTACACTATGTGGTATCGTAAATTCTCACTTGCGTTTGTTCGTTTCGTGCGGGGAAGAATATGCTTTTCAAATCTATACATTGCCATTTACATTAAGCCTCTTGAGCTTCTCTGTTAGTTATTTGATTCTTCATTTTTTTTCGCCGTTCTGTTTAAAGCTTGAGTTGGTGTATTAGAAACCTGTTTTGTTGATGGCATTAAGAGGTTTTTTACGTTTTGGAATTACAGAGGGAACGAAGCGGGTGGAGAATGAAGCTGATACGTTCTTCTTCGCGAACTTGAACATGCCAAAGACTATAGGAGGCAAGGCATCACTTCAGCCAAAGCGTACGCCAATCTCAAACGAAGAAATGGAAGCCATTTTGGTAAGCAAACTCTTCAATAAAAGTCTTTACTCTTTACCCATTTTAAGATCTTGAGTTTCTTTTTCTCCGTGATGTGATAGTTTTGTTCATTTTCTTACTTGATCTTCTTTAAAAATTGTGACAGTTGGGAGGCTGCATCTGATCATTCAACATAATCTGTCAAGGAGAGATGGTCCACCTCTTCTCTTCCTCGCCATTTACAGAATATACACTCAAGATTCAAGAAACTGATATGGTTGATGTTTACAATATCTGATGAAACCATAAAACAACGCTGTTGCAGTCTTAATTGTGTTTTAACTTCTATACTGATTCACCATTGATTGATTGCATTATTTGAATGCTTTATGGTTAGACTCCATCGTTTATTTTTTGTTTATTATGGTCAGAAAGCTTGTAGCCTAAAAACGCAAAGGTACATATACATTCACAGGGAAAGCAAAAGAGAGTAGAACAAGAATCATCACACTTATGATGGTGGTGCCTCCTTTTGCATCTGTTCAATAAGAGGCTCAAGAACACAAGACTTTGGGTTCTTACCAGGTGGACCTTTCTCTCTTCGTTCGAGCTCTTCAAGCCTGAAAGTTATGAGCCTGTCCCAGTTTCCTCCTTCGAACAAGACACCAGCTTTCCCATCCGTGATCCTCTGCACTATCCCACAGTACATGTGGTACGGATTGTTCGGGTTCTTCACTATAGCGATCATCCCCGGCATGAGAAGAGGCAGCTCCGGCGCTCTCGGTTTCTTCTTATCGCTAGCAGCAAGTGCAGTTACATCGTCTCCTCGTTTCGCAGGCGGCGGCGGAGGTGGCGGTGGTGGGTTTTTCTCGATGAACGTTTGCAGTCCCTTTTCCCCGCCGGGGAATCCTCCGGTGAGACCCATCATCTCTTTATCGAAACCGTCTTCAGGAACTTTAAACGTCGACAAGTTATTGTCATCAGTCGTCTCGTTCTCATCAGCCTTTGGTGTTGTCTCTTGCTCGTCTTCTACGTTCCTCTTGAGCTCCTTTTCAATACCTTTCTCTCCTTTCAATAATCCTCTTCCTCCCATCACTTCCCATAGATTGAACTTAGCCATGGTCTTTACTTGATGAACGTTTGATAGCTGTTTAGGAGGCGGGAAAATCGATCGGTTTGCAGTTGAAAATAGATGGCTCTGGCCGAGAAATTTCGATCTCCGAATCGGAGATTGAATTGTTGGTATAGTGATTGAAGAAGTGGCCATTAAAATTTTGTTTGCCTGAAGAGTAGTTTAAAGGTTACTAAGGAAAAGAATATGAAGAAGAAGAAGAAGAAGAATGATCGGCTTTGTAATAATGACCACATATCATGATTACAGTTAGATGAGTTCTTCTATCTATTTCCACATGTTGGACCTGATCCGGTTTATAGGTAACCGGATGGTTTGTTTCGCATTGTAATTTAGGAGGGATGGCATTTAGGCTTTGTCATATAGGTAACCGGATGGTTTTGTTCTTCTGTATTTTGTTGCAAATCTGAATTAAAAGTGTCGAATGAAGATCATTATAAATGAAGACTAAAGTTACTTAAATTCTCTCACATACACAAATTGAGAAAACATCACACTCTCATATTATGCATACATCATAACTTTTAAGAAGATCCACAATCTATTTTTGTTTTGTTTTAAAAGGTTAAGATTTTTTTTTTTGCTCAGATTTCGCTTATATTATGTTTATTTTGTTCTTAAGTTTTTCTAAAAAAAAGTAAATTTTATTTCGTTTGTTGGCAAAAAATTATGGATGAATAATATCATTTTCAATAATCAATTAAACTAACTTAGACCATGCACTTTTGTCACTGTTCAACCCTTTCTTACTGGTAAGTGTTTTTAGATTATTTACTGTTAAGTGTTCTATTTTAAGACATTTTTAATATAGTAATGATAGGTTTCATTTAATTGTAGATAGCCAACGGGATCTGCTGTTTACTTGTAACACAATTAACAATTGTTGCTATAGTGACAACTTTGACCATCACATTAATCGATTTAGGCGGTTTACGCGTTCCCGTCATTGGCAATATATGTTGCCTTACGAGTATAGTGACGTCCATTTATCCTCTCCTAGATATGGTAAAAGAAAATTTCTTTCTCAATAAATAAATAAATATAAATATATTTACTTTTTGGCAAATTGTAAGTTGTAACTAACATTTTCTTTGAACAAAATACACAGAAAACGGTAATCAAAACCAGAAACGTGAAAACAATAATTTTGGTTTTGTTGACAGAACCAAAATGAGTTAATTACAGTTAGATGAGTTCTTCTATCTATTTCCTTATTTAATTACAGTTACAGTTAATTACAGTAATTACAGGAAGAAGAAGAAGAAGGAAGAAGAAGAATGATCGGCTTTGTAATAATGACCACATATCATGATTACAGTTAGATGAGTTCTTCTATCTATTTCCACATGTTGGACCTGATCCGGTTTATAGGTAACCGGATGGTTTGTTTCGCATTGTGATTTAGGAGGGATGGCTTTTAGGCGGCTTTGTCAAATGAAGATCATTATAAATAAAGACTACAATTACTTAAATCCTCTCACATACACAAATTGAGAAAACATCACACTCTCATATTATGCATACAGCATAATTTTTAAGAAGATCCACAATCTATTTTTGTTTTGTTTTAAAAGTTATTGATTTTTTTTTGCTCAAATTTCGCTTCTATTATGTTTATTTTGTTCTAAGTTTTCTAAAAAGTAAATTTCATGAATTTCATTTCGTTTGTTGGCAAAAATTATTGATGTATAATATCATTTCCAATAATTAATTAAATTAAGAACTATGAAGTAATGGATGTTTGGGGGAAATATATATATATTTTTATGATTGTATTATTTCTTTTACATATACTAAAAAGGTTAGTTTTCAAAATAATGGATTATCTTTCAATATGAGAAAACAAAAAATTCACTCAAAATTATTAATTGTAACCAATGAATTCTGATGAACATTATGCAGTCCGATGTTTGTGAAAATTTGGAAAGAACATTGGGGATCTCCATATATTCACACTTTTAGCAACTCTTGTGAATTGCATGATGTGGTTTATATATGGAATCCCTCCGATTCAATGAGACGAAATTGCGCTATTGATCGTTAACGGGATCGGAATGGCAATTAAAATTGCATTCCTTACTGTTTTCCTGATATTTTGCGATCAGAAAAGGCGGGTGAAATTAATTGCTGTTTTTGTAACACAATTAACAATTGTAGCTACATTTTTTACTCTATAGCGTGATATAGTAGCTCCAGCCTCCAGGTTGTGAGCATACTCGCAGCATTTATGATGCTAAAAACTATTTATTTATTAATGATCATGAGCAAGAGTCAAGACGCTAACAAGAAAACTCAAAACTGTCTTAAACAAATATTAAACGATTGCGATCCATGTATCAAAAAAGAGCCATATGATGCTCATAGTCATTTGTTCTTCTGTATTTTGTTGCAAATCTCAATTAAAAGTGTCATATGTAGAAGATCCACAAACTTTTCTTTTTTTAAGTTTAAGTTTTTTTTATGTTTTGCTCATATTATGCTTATTTTTGTTAATTTTTTTTTAAAAGTAAATTTCAAGAATTTCATTTAGTATGTTAGCAAAATTATGAATATATAATATCATTTTCAATAAGGTAACATATGTTGAAATTAAGCAATCTATTTGACATGAAACTGTAGTGTAGCAGGATCGATAATTGGGGACCAAAAAGATCCGAAATGAAACGTGATCATCAAAACTTCCTCCACTAGCAGTTTTTTTTGGAAAACTCCATTTATTCTGGAGGATTTGATCTACCGGCCTGAACTAACGGTGTTCACTGAATTTGTTAAACTCAGAACATCAACCATATATGTAAAACACGATTTCTCGAAATAGAGTGTCACTTTAATAAAGTAGCCAAAAATCAAAACCCGTTGTTGGGGAAAAAGTGATATGGTTTAGACTAAAATGAATCTCTTTTTCAAAACAAGTTGTGGGTAAGAAACCAAATTGATCATCAATTCCAATTAAATACTGCTCCACACGACTTTTATTGCGATCATTTCAATATAAGTATCTCCATAAGTGCGAATTGAAGGTTATGCTCACCAAAAAACAAGTGCGAAGGTTATTCTCTTGTCACTGTTCAACCCTTTCTTTCTGGTAAGTGTTTTTAGATTATTACCGTTAATTCTTCTATTTTAAGACATTTTTAATATAGTAATGATAATTTTCATTTAATTTGTAGATAGCCAAACGGGATCTGCTGTATACTCGGGTTAATACAGCTGTTATTGTATAGCGTCTTGTGATTTCGTAAAAAAAGAAAAAGAAGATAGCTTACAATATGATTTACAATTTGAAAAATACACTGCTTTTCTTGTTTTTTGTGTGTGGAAACTACAGTTATTTTATATGTAATAATATATAAAATGTTTTGACCTGATTTAAATTATAAATTATAAATTTAAAAATAATATTCCAAGGAAAAAGATCCCAAGTGATATTCTCTCTTCTTTTTCTTTCCTTTCTTCTTCTTTTTTTTGTTTGTTTAAATTCTTTCCTCTCCTTTCTTATTCTTGATCTTCTTTGCATATTCATTGACGTCGACCATGGTGGATCCGACGGGTTTGTACGTAGCACGGTTGTCTCTTGGCGCACTAGGAAGTCTCATCCACATGTTTTTTTTCCTGGTGGACACCTAAGTCCTTCAGACATAGAGTCATGATTTAAAAATCCTTTACAAAAAAACAAGCTACTTCACGGTTTGGTTTACAGTAAACTTTTCCTGAAGGATATAAGTTTGAATTGCACAAAAAAAGATAAATGTCTGAAAAATTTCATCGATAGAAGGGGAAAAATGGAAGAAAGAAAAATACAAAACAAATTAAGTATTTTTTTTTCTTTTTTTTTTAATGATATACTATTCCGCAAACACAATCTACTATATAAATACTATTTTTGATAAATTATATAAATGATCTTTAATTAAATATATTTATATTCTTGAAATGCTATTCCAACATGTAAAATAATATTCTTAAAATTTATATTTTCAAAAAAGTAACAAAAATAAGCATAACATAAGTAAAATATAAGCAAAATATAATAAAAGCCCTAGGCCACTTCAATAACTTGAGCTGGCCATTTGCAAATACAATCTGAGTTCAAAGATGAACTAAATTTAACATAAATGAGTATTTAACGTTCATAACTTGCTCTTAAAAGGTTTAGAAACTCATTTGATTTAAAAAGATTTTATAACCCTATCCACAATAGAACATTTATACATTATCCCTTAACCTAAAAAGGGACAAGACGGGTATGCACGGGAAACACTTGGCGCAATAGGTTTGTTGTACTTAATTAGTTTATACTGTAATATTTTTTTTTACATGGATTAATTTTACAAAATACCACTATCTTGAGTTGGGAATAAAATAATTAGAGTTAGGTTACTTTCCGTTAATTGGAATATCTATTATTAACCGATCAGATTTTGAATATTGATTAGGGTTCATAGAGTCGTGTCTTGATTCGTGTACTTGCTAAGTCATCTATATTTTGAAAAATAAAGAGCTAATTCTTCATCTAATTATTTGTTTTACATATTAAATCACATTGATCGAAAATAATAATCCAACAGCACCCTAATAATAAACCAGGTTTATTGTTTACTTCATGCAACAATGCCCATGTGGGTAGAGCTGGCCGAGGGGTAATACTGTCTTTTCCTACCAATTTTTTAAAGTGTCCGAAAAACCCAACTTGTTGCTGAAGCAGCATCAAAACAAAACCCAATTGGCTCAAAATCACACTTTTCCCTTGGAACCAAAAACAGAAATCATCAGAGTTTCGTGTTTCCCCTTTTTCGGGTTCAAAATCCGTCTTCAACCTCTCTTCTTCAATCAGGAATTTCACGTTCTCGATCTTCTGCTTCGCCCGTTTCTCCAAATTCTCCGAAGGTTATCGTCGTTCAATTCCGACTACAGAGATTCTATTTCTGCTCAACTTTGTTTTTGTGTATTTTAGTTAGGTTTTCTTTGCCTAGTTCTAGTAAATTCGATGCTGTAGATTTTATCTGAGCTTATATAAAAGCTTGTGAAAGTGGGAATTAAGAGTTAGTTTGCTTATATGCAGAGCTTGAACCATTTTTGCAGCTGTTGGATTTCTGAAATGGGATTGTTCAATACGGCGTCGAATTGGTAGAATTAGGGTAATGTCTGATCCTCAGTGAAGAATAAGGATTTCGAGATTCTAATTTCTATGTTTACTTTCTTGTAATGAGAATTCTGGATTAGATCTATGATTAAGAATAAGATAAGACAGAGACTGAAAAATGTCATTTTGGGAGGTCAAGTGTTCATTGCTTCATATCAGAATCTATATTATATCATTGCTCTCAGATGAGAACTCTAATTAGCCATTGCAGGATCTTCTTGCTAAGCTTGTTCTTTTTTCTCCATTGGAAGGTCCTGGAATCGTTCTTGAAAATCCAAAGTTGAGATTCATGGGTGATGGTACACCTAGGAGACTAAACATATTGCCTGACCACTTTAGTGTTCCTAGTCCCACCACGGAAGCTGCTGCTCAAGACGAGTCCCCATCATCTTCTCAGCCAAGAAACGATATTTCTCCAAGGTAACTTTTTTATCACATAGAAACATGCTAGAAAGCTGAATCTTTTTTGAGTGAACATCGATAGTGTTTTTGGTGCTTTTGTTTAGGATAGGTCTCAGACTCATAGCCAGTCACGGACTCGGAGAAAGCTTAAAAAAGCAGCACTTATGTTGAATCTGTTCACTCTTCGCCGTCTGCCTTGGGTCTCAGATGGTCAAGAGAAGGTTCCATTTCTCTCACCTTTCTTGTTTTTGCTTAGTTTGATTGGTTTTGCTTCTGATAACTCAGCACTCACTCACTTATTGGCAGGTAGAGCTAACAGCAGCGGAGTTGGAATCACTAAAATCAGAACTTTCTGAGTTAGAAGAAAGAGAATCTTACCTCAAAGCTCAGTAAGTCATTTGCTCAAACTGTTCCATGCTCAGATCAATGCTGCATCTTCTTTGACGTTTACTCTTACTTAGGCTTGAACATGTGGATGAAGTCTTGCGCTCTGCCCGTTTGTCCGGTTACTTGTTTATCCGAAGCGTAAGCTCTTACTCTAAAACTACTTCTCATTCTTCATCCACAAGACTCACAGAACTTAGAAATTTTCCCCTTTTTATTTGTTTAACTTCAGCGTTGGGCAGCTCTTCCGGGTGAACCACCTCCGCTAGACGATGCAGAAGTAGACGACTGGCTTCCTCGGTTTGTTGTCCTTCAAGGCGCTTGTCTCTTCTTCTATTTGTTATCAACAGGTAACTTAAGCTTCCCTTTTACAATCTTGCCTCAAATGTGTATAATGTCTCTTGTAACTCTCTGTTTCAGACTTGAGCCCTCAAGATTCGACATTGGTAGCGGATGTAGTTGAAGTTGGTTCGTTACCAAGCTACATGAGAGAATTCGATGAGACTCATCATTGCTTTTACATTTTAACCCGTCAAGGCCTTAGATTTGAGTGCTCAAGCACTTCTAAAACACAGGTTAGTCATATAGATATATTCATCTTAACACATATGCTCGTTGATCTTGCTGTTTTTTTTCCTGATTTTAGGTGGATTCTTGGTTGTCGGTATTGCACATTGATTGCAGGCCTGAACCAGAAGAAGAAAGAGTTGCAAATGGATCAGGCCAAAGCGACACAGTAAACTGAAGATTTGTTGTTCACTGCTCTGTATAGTTTTCATTTCTATGTATATAAAAATGCTTCTTTGAGATTTAGTAGAATTCACATCATTGAAAAGTTCTTTTGCTAATATATCATATGTTGCTTTGTTGTGAAATTAGTTGGTGAATTGAACTGATTTTTGCACACGAAGAACTTAACACAGCTTTGGACAAAGAAAAGGAAAAAGTAAATAACAAAGAGTGCGACTCATGGTGTTGTCTTGGGGTTTTGGGCAACAAACATCGTGTCGTCTTGGAATTTCTAACTTTTGTCTATAAATAAATGGTTATACTTTTTTATTTATTTGTGTCATTACTAAATCGTCAAAATTCTTAAATCTTTTTTCTCGTATCAGAAAGCCCACAAACATATATATTATATATAGTCAATATTTAATATTGGTATGTTAATTCATATGTACGAAATGCGTACATGATATGTTGGCGTTGCATGAAACCAAACGGCAATGCAATCAAAACATTCATCACTAATATTTGTTGATTGATACACATAATGCTATTGGATTATTGGATGCAAGCGGAATAAAGATTTTTAAGAACATGTTATATTACTACCAAATCCTTGTTTAGGTAAGAGTAAAAAAAAAAAGTTAAGAACATTTGTAAGATAAGAAGTTAAGAACAATGATATTAGTGAAATGAACCTTTATGAAGGATATGCAGATTGTAAAATCACCCGTAAAAATACTCTTTTTGCCTATACCTATCGTTGGAGACACGAATTGTGTAGTCAACTATGGCAATACTCGTTTTGCCTATGATTGTAGAGATAACTCCTTAAATATACGTTTATTCAACAAACTGTGCATAAAAGTTTTAAAGAAACTGTACTAATGAAACTTCAAAAAACAAATCAACGTTTATGTGCATACGTAACAAGAATCTTTGAAGAAAATCATAGAAATTGTTTGCCATTACAATTGGAGGTCTGTGGGGCTTCTCGGGTTCGCCATTGCAATTGGAGGTCTTAGAACTCATGATTTACTTATTCAAAATTAAATTGAGTGAAGAAAATATGAAAACACACGATCACTGATTAAACCGAATTGGCCGGACGGAACCGAACCGAAACTAGATAAGGTCGAGTTATCCATATTACTCAAATGCTCAAATTTCTAAAATCTTATGACTCAGAATTTCCCAATCCATTAGTTTGTCATGTGTGAGAGTGAGATCAACCAAAAGTCCATGACTCAGAATTTCCCGATCCATTAGTTTGTCATGTGTGAGATTAACCAAAAATCTGACGTAGTGGACTTTTGGTTTTGGTAATGTCAGACTTATGTGATCTCCATTATCAGTGAGGGACTAAATGCTCTGTCTTTGGGCAATCTCAGTAAGACTCATTACGTAGTGGACTTTTTTCTTAAAAAAAACTAATTTAAAACGGCAGGAACATTAATCCATGGAAGTTAGTAAGTGACGGGTACCAGAGACAACAAAAGACGAGATTAGTTTGTGGTTTAAAGAACTCGTTTCTTGATCTAACGGCCACAACTGAACTAATCCTTATTTCTCCCTTTTGCAGCCGTTAGATCAACAATAAAAACAATAATCACACTACTCCGTCGAAGATAACGTGTAAAACGGTTCGCTCGTCCTTATGCATATTGATTACCGGGAAAAAGAATGTTAACTAATAATTTATCCAATGATATTGTGCCACATGGATATTAGTTGCAAACCATTTGGTACGGTGAGACGCATAATACGGACTTGAAATCCGATTAACAAGGCGGTTAGTTTAATTTATCGCTGGTATCCGCCGACTCCATTAATAAAAAATCTCGAATAAAATTTCAGAGAAGTGGTTTATGCTGACGAGTTGACTCGGTACTAACCAGGTCATCGTCTGTTCAGAAAAACTCTCAAGCTTCGACCTCTCCATCGTCGTCGTCTTCTTCTTCGTCACTCTCTTCGCTTGCGCTCGTAGCTTTTACTTCGTAATCGGTAAAGCTTCATCTTTTCAAGAGTTATAATCTATTCTTCACGAGGCACACGAATTTAGGTTTCGTTTGTTTGATTCGTCGTCTCGAACTCTCGATCAGTTTAGTTGTAAATTAGGGATAATTGCTTCTCATGGATTCGGTTGATATAGGCTAATTGTGATTTTATCAATCGATAGCCATGTTCTTATCGGAGTAATTTGTAATTCTCGGAGTAGATTATGGATTTTATCTTCGCTGAGCTCATTTCTTCCCATGTCTCTGAAATCTCTTGAATTTCGTCACTACTGTCTTACAGTTGTAGCGGCGATTTGTTTGATTTCTGCATTTTTGAATGGACTCTGTACAGTTTCATAACAAATCGTGTTAAATTTGTGTTTAGTTGAATGAATTTGCTTCGTTTGTGCAGATGGAGACTGAAACACCACTTTTGGCCGAGGCCATTGCCATCACCGAAAAGAAAGTCGCCATGGCTTTAGGTAGATTTGTGTTTATGTTGCATCTCCGTAGCCTCAATGTTTATTGGTTAAGAATAGCTCATGATAATATGTATATTTTCTTGGCTTAGATGATATTATCAAGCAGTCAAAGAGAAATAGCAGTAGGAATAAGGGCAAAAGATCAAGGAGACAAAAGGTAAAAAACCTCCATCAAGGTCTCTTGGCAAACGTCTATTGTCTCTGTGAGACGTTAATGTCATTGAATAATTAGAATGCAATTTCGTTTTCCTGTGCAGAACAAAAACCAAAACTTCAATGGTGCAGCGAATAATAATACCTCTAAAGTGCGGCATTATGTGAACTCACTTTCTGCAGTTAAACAGGTTAGTTTTGTATTGGTCTCAGTGTATCTGTAGTCTTGGCTTCTTTATCTTGTGATTTGGATCTTGTTTATGCTTTTTGTGGATTTGTCTTGTAACTTATTTTATGATTTTCAGGGTGCTGTTGCTAAGAGAAGGTCTAATTTCCAAGGAAATCAGTATCCTGTTACAGCAAACATTGCTCATAAAGCTGCTACTGCTCCTCCGCTCAGTGTTCGTGGTAGAGCTTTTAATGCGGGAAGGATGACGAGTGCCAATCAGTCAAGGTCTAGATTGCTGGATAATTCTCTTCACCTCTTTGTTAAACTGGCGTCCTTATCATTTCCTCGATTCTTTCTGATTCAAGAAGCTTCTTTTCTAAGCTGGGGAAAGTATCTAGTTTTGTTTTCATGACATGACATGACAGATTTGATGACTGCATGATCATGGTGTAAAAATAATGATCCAGATTTATGTAGTTGAGTATATGTGTTGGTGCTTGGAGGAGTCAGTAAACATTCCTGGATTGGAGTTTTGAGTTAGAGGAAAACATTTCAGAGCATTATGGTTGAGCGTAGACTTAGCTGATGAGTCGCTAGGGTGTTTGTCTCAAGACTGGAAATGACCTTTGAAATGTCCTTAATGGCTAGGATTTTGGCTAGGTTTGAGCATAGACTTCGCTGTTGCTTGAAGGTGGTGTTTTATTGTCAGATTAACAAGTTGTGCAATCTGATTCAGTGGATTCATCTCTGTGTGGGTTGACCTGGAAATCTTTCAAGAGCTGGACTTTCCCTGTGTAGTTAGTTACTGCGGAAATTGGAGTTGTATCAGTGTCTGGGAAGTGAAGTGTGTTGCATTGCTTATAAGAAACGGCCATTGGCCATCCTTTTGTTACTTGGGTTTCGCTTTAGATCCTTTTATGGTAGTAAGAGGTTCAGCTTTTATTGTTTACAACTCGGTATCAGATCATTTAATCTGTTGGTGCCAGTTATATCAAATTTCTCTGCATCTTCTCGGTTCTTAAGCAGTTCTGTATTCTTGTGTGCAGGCTTCTTGCTCCACCAGCTCAGAATATTTCTGTACACGCTAGATTCACCACGAAGGTAAATTCAATGCAGGACCTCTTCCTTGGAGTATTTTGCCATGCTGATATGTTTATAGAGCCCTGAGATATATTCACAGTAGTGCTTTAGAACTTTCTGCATCCGTAGCTATAACTGCCACCTAGAGGTAGAGATGATCTTAAAAGGTCTTGGGATCGATTTTGGGGTGGTTGCAAAATTTTGAACCATTTGGTGGGTAGGATCTGAGTAAGTTTTTACCAGGGATTTGATATTTGGTAAGGAGCTTGATGATTGAGAGCTGTGTATACTAAGATGTTGTTTTAGAGTTTATAACAATGGATGTTTATCTGCAGAGGCATGAAGTAGATCAGAAAGTAGAAAACGGAGGAGGAGGGAAGAGGAAGAAGACACTGGATTCTCGGTTTGCAAGCATCAAACAGCAGAGAAAGAGTAACAACAACAACAACTATGGCGTTGGGGTGCATTTTCCAAGGTTGCCACCATGGGCTAGAGCAACAAGATTTACCTACTGATAAAAACAGATGTAGCTATTATGGTTGTTGGAACTTAGTTTTTGGGTTTTAGATTGTTGTTAAGCACTAAGCAATGCAATTCTTTTGTGAATCTATGACTTACTATGGTATCTTGAAAATGCAACCAATAAAGAAGCAAAAGGTTTGAATCATCTGTACTGTGTTCATTCAGCTTCGCCGCATTTAGATTTCTGTGTCAGGCAGTGACAAGTGACAACTACATGTTTCACCGAGAAAGCCTATTAGCCCTATCAGCCTTATGTAGCAGGAAAAATGCTCTCTCATATTTTGACTCTAATATCCGTATAACATATGAATCATCAAATCGGGGGTGTAGCTCATATGGTAGAGCGCTCGCTTCGCATGCGAGAGGCACGGGGTTCGATTCCCCGCACCTCCACTTTTACGTGTTTCATTTGTTCCTTCTTTTTAATTCGTTTTTTCTGCATTTTCCGTTCCTTGTATTGGGTCTCAGTTAATTCAGGCGAAAGAAAATGGGAACTTTTCTCTATTTCCATTTGCCATTACTAAATTCCACTTTTCTTTCTTTCGAAGAAGTGATTACTTAAGGAAAGTATAAATTTGATTCCCGTATTCCAAAAAATGAAGTCCAAACAAGATATTTACGTTTTTCTCTTAATTGCATACTATTAAATATTTAAATTCTAGCCCCGGGGGCTAAGTATCATCGAGAAGCGGCTAAAGACTTCGGGACGTAACTCCATGTCTCCATGACTCCATCATATAAATATCTTTAGAATTTAGCTTCACGATCATTTTATGGTCCAGCTACTTTAATTAAACTGCTCTTTTTGTATTTAGTTGGACCTAAACGACTTTATTTACAGATTTTACTCAGTATATATTTGTAAATGTCGGTATTCCATTATCCTTGTCGTTTGTATATCGTTTTCATATGGTGAACCCAAAAATTATATAACATGCATTTCGTTTTCATATTTATTGTACGTGTACACTTTGATCACACGTATTGCCGATATTGTATATGGGGATTGGGGACAAAGCAATACATGTTAAAGAAACTTTCGCGATCATCTTATATTAAAGGATGGTAGACTTTTCTTGTGAACCCACGTCACTCCAATCTCTGCTTTACAAGATAACTTTAGCCATATATATTCAGTGGATTAACATTGACTGAATCATCATATTCACAAAGTGGTCGGCTATTGAGTCACTCCGTAGATTAGTCAAGCAGAGCTGCGGAAGTGAACCACACAAATCAGAACTTCTCTATACGGATTATTGTGTATACTTATCCCTAAAAAACTAACTATTAATTCAAACCAGTAACAGCAAAGTTCACTTCCATTATGTCATCAAATATACAAATTCAATTTACTTTCATAGAAAGAAAAAAAGGAGAAATCTGGCTTTCAAACCTGTATGTTGCTTTCTTATAATATTCACGAAAGATGTGTGAGAATTATAAACTGATAACATTATAAGGTGTTCAAGAAATGTTATACTTTCGTGAGGTGACTCAAGTCACGGAAAGTCCTTGGAGAATTTGATGTGAACGGTGCCACCGATCTGTTTGCTTTGATCAAACTAAGATTTAAATTTGTTCACGATTCTAGCAAATTGCATCTACTAGTACGTTGTCACTTTGTTTTGTAGAAATCGTAGCTGTTTTGTTTTCATTTCTGTAGCACATGTGTAAAGAGAGAAACTTGATTCAAATAGAACTAAAGTACGTAGAGATTTAATTTAACTTAAATTATACCTAAAGTACAAACAATGAATTCTGGAAATGCTTAATCTCCTCAAATCTCGTGACCCCGAATTTTCTGGAGAAGCAAGTTATACATTTCAGGAATTTTCCATGAGAGCCACAATCTAATCAACTAAATTGTAAATGAAAACAAAATATACACATAAATACGGATAAATACACAATCTATGACTCTCATGGTAAACTTATCTTGTTTTAGATAGTCAGTAATAGTATTCCTTTTCCAAATGAAGATCAGGAATCTGTTATTGCAGATTCTAAATATAGTCATCAAATCTAGCTTTTTCGAGAAAGCAATTGTCTCTGTCTCATGGTAAACTTATTAAAGTAACCTAAAACATCCTCCTCGTTAGATCTTGAGTAAATACTGAATCTATTGAATTACATAAATTACCAAAAAATAACAACTATAATAAATACATTTCCATACACAAAACATTAAAAAGGGTAATTCAGACAATTCATAGCAAACCGGAATATTCGCACCCATACCAAACTCTGCCACATGTCACGTTTCCTACTCTTCCCCTCTCTCTTTCTCTTTAGAAACGTAGAGAGTCATAGTAAATACACAGTCAAAATTCCCAACACTTCTCTCTATAAATTAAAACCCCTTTTTTGCTCCAATCCAAAAACAAACGCTCTACGATATTTTGATCTGTAACCTCTGCTGATTTTTGTTCAATTCCGTTCACGATGGCGAAGAATATTCTGGTCACCGGCGGCGCTGGTTACATCGGAAGCCATACTGTGCTTCAGCTGCTTAACGATGGTTACTCCGCCGTAGTTGTTGACAATCTCGACAATTCCTCTGCTGTTTCTCTCCAGCGCGTTAAGAAAATCGCCGCCGAAAACGGAGACCGCCTCTCCTTCCACGAGGTTTTTCTTCCTCCCTTTTCTCGGCGAATTTTGATTGTTTATGTTTAAGAAACGTGTGCTTGATGAATTTCGTATCACCATGTTTGATTAGTTTTCGATTTCTGAGATTTGAAATTACCGTTTACTCTACGAACGATTGATAAATTTGATTAACGACGGTGAAGGTGTTTTGATTAAGGGGCTCTGATTAATTATCTGTACACCATGTGGCTAATTTTGTGTGTGTGTGTACATAATCCCAAATTAATACTAAAAAATTGAGAATAAAGCATAAACGCCATGTGAAAGAGTATACTATAATATTATCCAAGGTGCTATATTTTATTATATACTGACACAGTTGATCTGTCTGGAATTGGGATGTTTCTTCAAGCAGCCGAATCAGAATTTTAACCAATAATAAATTTAGAGCCTGCCAATTTCTGAAATCAGAATCTCTTGTGTCAATTTTGGTTTCTTAAAACTCTGTTTTTTTGTTTCTTACTTGCAGGTGGATCTCCGTGACAGGCCTGCGCTTGAGAAGATTTTCTCAGAAACCAAGTATGATAGAAAATGATTTTTTTTTTTAGAAAAATGATTAGACTGTTCATATAATTGGTTTTGATGAAACGTGGGAATTATTAACAGGTTTGACGCAGTGATACACTTTGCTGGACTTAAAGCAGTAGGTGAGAGTGTGGAGAAGCCTTTGCTGTATTATAATAATAACCTTGTTGGGACTATTACGCTTTTTGAGGTTATGGCTCAATACGGCTGCAAAAACGTAAATATTCTTCCTCTTTCATTTTGCCAATTGTCACCACATGGCAATGGCATTTCCCTTTTTTTTTAAGATTCTTTCCTTCGTTTGATCTCATGATTAGCTTTTACTACTCTGTTTCCAGCTTGTGTTTTCATCATCAGCTACTGTCTACGGCTGGCCAAAAGAGGTTCCTTGCACAGAGGAGTCCCCAATTTCTGCTACCAACCCTTATGGCCGCACAAAGGTAGTTATGTTAGCTCATCTTGTGATAGTGATGATGATAATATTCAGGAAATGACTCTGACTGAGATTCTTTGGTTGTTTGTTATGTAAAGCTATACATTGAAGAAATCTGCCGGGATGTGCATCGTTCTGACCCTGAATGGAAGATCATATTGCTGAGATACTTCAACCCTGTTGGTGCGCATCCTAGTGGTTACATTGGTGAAGATCCCCTTGGTGTTCCGAACAATCTCATGCCTTATGTCCAACAAGTCGCAGTTGGCCGGAGACCTCACCTCACCGTCTTTGGAACCGACTACAATACAAAGGATGGTACAGGGGTATGTATTGTTTACTTGATACCACGCGTAGAGATTAACGATCTCATCATTTGGCTATCTTAACACAGACTTTGTGTGTTTTTTTTCGTTTCAGGTTAGAGATTACATTCATGTAATTGATTTAGCAGATGGACATATAGCTGCTCTGCGCAAGCTAGATGATCTCAAAATCAGTAAGGATTTATACTCTTTTTATAATTCTCCTCACTTTATGATTTCTTATTGGATTTTAGCTCATTTTTTGGAAAAAATGTGTCAGATTGTGAGGTATACAATCTTGGAACGGGTAATGGAACATCGGTCCTAGAAATGGTTGCTGCCTTTGAAAAGGCATCAGGGAAGGTAAAACATCGATTGGTTTGTTTATTAGCCTTTTAGTACCCAAATTTCAATCATTGAGCTCTGAACTTTTTGATTTGTTCTTTCTCATTAGAAAATCCCATTGGTGTTGGCCGGACGACGTCCCGGAGACGCTGAAGTTGTTTACGCATCAACGGAAAAAGCAGAACGTGAACTAAACTGGAAGTAAGTTCATTTACATTGTCAACCATATTACAAACATATTTTAAGTTTAGTTATTGATTTGTTTGGTATGAATAATGAATGCAGGGCTAAGAATGGGATCGAGGAGATGTGTAGGGATCTATGGAATTGGGCAAGCAATAACCCTTACGGCTACGCTTCCTCCTCCAATGGCTCCTCTTCTTAATTCTCTTTTCTGTTTTTTTTTTTGGTTTTTTGCATTAACTATTCTTATAAACAGATGACAGAGATGGCTGATAAGATACCCAAATTTTATTAGAAAAACTGGGAAATCCGTGTACTATTATAGAAACTATTTTTATTTGAATCTTCACTTCATACATTTCACCAGTTAAAATTTGTTCTCTTCTTATTTTTCTTTGTTATCGTTTTCCGTTTACAAGTTGATGTTGAGTGCAAGTACAAAATCTGAAAGTACCACATTTACACGACTATGGTGAGTACAAAATCTTTGTATTTATATTTGCATGTTTCTAACTCAAGGATTCAGACAAGAACACAAGAGGGGTTTACACAGTGTGTACATATTAAAAAGAACATTCTTACATTTTTGTTTGTTTGCTATATCAACAACGGACGGCTACAATCGACCCATCACTCGTGGAAATCGCTATCCTGCAATTGGATTTTGCTGCGATCCGGTGACTAAACAGACCGAGAACCCGAACCCGACCCGCCATCTCCAGCTTCGACTCTATTTCCACTGTAGACCCGGCCCGGTTAACCGCCTCCGCTAACCCGGTTCCAGAGCGCTGAAAATCGGCGGCGGATATTTGAGAATTAGAAAGTGGAAACGACTGCACTGAGAAAGTGGCGAACATGCGCTTTGTTCGACGCGATTCGATCTCACCAGCCGGTATAAACGTGGAACCGATCCGGTTACCGTAGTAGAAGAGCTGGATTTTGTTGTTGTAGTGAGAGAAAGCTGCGCGGTTTGGATTTCTAACGGCGGAGAATTGAGAGAAGGTGAAGCTGACGGAGCTGTTGGCGACGGAGAATGACGGGACTTTGACGTTGGTGACGGAGATCTCTGGATCTCTCGGTCTAAAGACTGTGAGGTAAACGGTAACGGCGGCGATGATAAGGAAGACGATGAAGACAGTTGCGACGGCGCATGAAGCGAGGTTTGTTCGGCCCCCAGAGGAAGAAGAATGTTTCGCCATCTCGGGGAGGAGATGTTTGGCAGCTATGATTTAACTGTTCTCCGGTAGGGATAAGAGTTTTAACTTAGGAAAAAGGGAAAGAGAGTGGTGTGTAAAGCAAAAGGATATTTGTTTGGACATGAGGATAATGTTACAACGGAAACGGACAGAAGTGTGGATGCAACTATGCAAGGAAAGTCTACCACTAGAAAAAGAATTAACACAACTTATAGAAAACAATTAAGCAACTAAAATCCTTTTCTGCTTTTTCTTTTTGGTTTCACCAACCGATTAAGTTATATACTACGTTAACAAACTTTTAACGCTAAGAAAGAACGATAAGTGGTGACGCAGGTAGTTAAAAAAATGAAAAAATGGTAGGGGACGCAATACCATCAGTGGCGAATCTAGAAAATATTTTTACTGGTGTCATATAGAGACTTAACTCATAATTATAGGGGGTCAAAGGAAGAATTTTGCTATTAATCTAATAAAATCAATGACATTTTAGCTACAAAACAGGTTATATATAAAATCTTACGGTGTCAATTGACACCCTATAGCTCTTAGTGCATTCACCACTGAATACCATCATAAAGTTAGCAAAACTTGACTGTGATTTTGTTCCCTTGATGTGATAAGGAGATGGAGCCTATGTAAAACTCATTTTGAAACGTATTTGATTGTTGGATCGTTCTCAAAGAGGCCCAAAACATTTGTCATGACCAAAAGTTTAATTTGTGTCTCATGTATGAATTTGATGTTGGGATATGCTTATGGACATATGGATTTGACGTAGTATATATACAAATTCAAACGGAAAATGAAATTTTGTGGCTAGAGTGGATTAAAAAACAGTTGTATCGTTTAGTTGTTCAAAGACTACCGATGTACGCCACCTTTGAGATCTCAGATCCTCCCAAAACCATCATCGTCCTTGTGATTTGGGATTCAAAGTGTTGGTTATGACTCCATCTCCGATGTCGATGGGGAAGGGATTAACCATAACAGGGTGGTGCCGCTTTGCGGATGTGTTGGGAGGAGCCGGACTCTGGTCGGATGTCTAAACTGGTTGTTTGAAGCTTCTTCTCTCTCATTTTTTACGTCACAATTCAAATCAAAGTAACTAATTACTAGGTTTTCAATAAACTAGTAAAGAAGAGTAAAACAAAACAAAACAAATATGAGCTTGGGCCTCATCTGCTCAAATCTCGCACAAATGAAACACTCTAGAGGGAAATATGGTAAAAGATATCAGTCCAAGACTAGAGGGAAACAATACCATCATAAATAAAGTTAACAAAACTTGACTGTGATTTTGTTCGCTTGGCGTGATCCGAATGAGATGGAGGATATGTAAAACTCATTTTGAAACGTATTTGATTGTGGAATCGTTCTCAAAGAGGCCCCAAACGTTTGTTATGAGTCATATGACCAAAAGTTTAATTTGTCTCTCATGTATGAATTGATTTCTTCCCTTTTAATAGCCAAATTTTAATGTTGGCTATGCTTATGGACTTGTGAACTTATGGATTTGATCGTACATGCTTTAAACGGAAAATAAAATGCTGTGGCGGGTTTTTACGTCACAATTCAAAGTAACTAATTTCTAATTTTACAGTCGGGTCAACTCGACCCGGAGCATAAACCCGTTTATGAGTCGGACCGGATAAAACGCAAGGAAGCGAAATTTTGCAGTTAGTGTGGCCGTGGAGCTAATAAACTAAACAGAACAAAAACCTCTGATTCAGTAAACCCCTGATTGATTTCTCTTCTTATCCAAAACAATTTGGGAAATTCGAAATTCGCAATGCGATTACATCTCACGAGATTCACTTGGTGAAGCTTTTTTTTTCATTTTGTTTATCCTGTAGATGGTCGTCGTCGTAAAATGTCTTCTATAGACACTGTCTTCTCACTCGGAATTCGTTTCCCGGAAAATCCCAAGAAATCGATCTGGAAACACTCGAATCCATCGAGTTTCGCCGCGAAAACCAAATGGAGAGCTCCAATTCTCCGTCGCTCGTTTACAGTTCTCTGCGAATTGAAATCTGGGCCGTCTCGGTCCGGCGAGGCGAACAATCCCGCCGCTGATGATTTCGTGACTAGGGTTCTAAAGGAGAATCCTAGCCAAGTGGAAACTCGTTACCGAGTTGGAGATAAATTGTATAATCTGAAGGAGCGAGAGGATTTGAGCAAAGGCGGCGGCAATGCGACGGTTGCGTTTGAATTTATCAAAAGGAAGTTTGATTCGAAGACGAAAGAGAGCAGCGAAATTGGAAATGAGTCTGTTTACTTGAGTGATCTTCTGAGGGAATACAAGGGGAAGCTCTATGTCCCCGAGCAAGTCTTTGGGCCAGCGTTATCCGAGGAAGAAGAGTTTGAGAAAAATGTGAAGGACTTGCCAAAGATGAGCCTGGAAGATTTTAGAAAAGCTATGAAGAATGATAAACTCAAGCTTCTGACATCGAAGGAAGAAGCTTCTGGCGTTCCTTACACGAACGCCTCTAGAGATTTCATTGTTGATCTTAAGGAAATTCCTGGAGTCAAGAGCTTACAGAGAACCAAATGGTGAGATTACTAAAGCTAAAACGAACAAAAAAGTTTATTTTTGATGTATTTCTTATTGTTCTGCTTCTTGATAGGTCAATGAAGCTTGAAGCTGGAGAAGCTCAAGCTCTTCTCAAAGAGTACACGGGTCCTCAGTACGAAATAGAAAGGCACATGACGGTGATCAATCTTTTTGTTCATTGGATCTTGTTTACTAGATTATGATCTAAAGGAATTTTTTTTAGAATTTGTTCTGTAGGGTGGAATTTAGATTGTCTATGTAGATAGAGATTGAGTAACAGAGGTATTGTGCCCAGTTATTGACTTGGTTGTTATGCTATTGCATGTTAATTTGCAGTCATGGGTTGGAAAAGGTGTGGACTTCCCAAACCCAGTGGCGTCATCTATTTCAAGTAGAGTGATGGTTGAGCTGGGAGTGGTGACAGCAGTTATTGCGGCAGCTGCAGCTGTGGTTGGAGGATTCTTAGCCTCGGCTGTTTTTGCGGTCACTAGTTTCGCCTATTTCACTACAGTTTATGTTGTTTGGCCTATAGTAAAGCCATTCCTCAAACTGTTTGTTGGCGTCTTCCTTGGTGCTATTGAAAAATCGTGGGAGTACCTTGTTGATGTTCTCGCCGATGGAGGGATCTTCTCGAGGATTTCTGATTTCTACACATTTGGTGGAGTATCATCAAGCCTTGAGATGCTCAAACCAATCCTGCTTGTTGTCATGACTATGGTTCTTCTTGTTCGTTTCACACTGTCACGGAGACCAAAGAATTTTAGGAAATGGGTATAATACTTGTAAACTTATAAATCCATGCTTTTACATGTTCTCAGTGATATTGCGTTTGCTCTTAATCACTTTAAAACCTTTTTTTTTTTTTTTTTGCAGGATTTATGGCAAGGGATTGCTTTTTCTCAGTCTAAAGCAGAAGCTCGTGTTGATGTAAGTTTTTAACCTTTTTACTCCTTTATGCACAATTCTCTTCAATTTTAATACCTTTTTGGTAGAGTATGAAATCGAATGATTATGGTACAGGGTTCGACTGGCGTTAAATTTGGTGATGTTGCAGGGATCGATGAAGCAGTTGACGAACTTCAAGAGGTATCTCTTGGCCAAGTTTCTAGCAAAACTACTTGTGTTATATCTTCTGAGAACATGAACATTCATCAAATAACTCAGAGTTTGTTTATGCAAGAAGCTTGTTTATATTAAATGAGTAATCTATAGGCACTTGCTGATCCTGGTTCACATTCTTGGTCAGAATTTTGTTACCTTTTCCTCTTAATATTTACATTTAGATTTCTTAGTCTCTAAAATCCCTTACCATTACGGCTTACTGTACGCCATCAACTACAAAGTTGCATGACATTATTTTCTTTAAAATTTTGGAAGCTGGAGAGAAACCGGAAAATGAAGATTACTAACCTCTTATTATCGTTGTAATTGTCTTAATAGCTTGTAAAGTACTTGAAGAATCCTGACCTCTTTGATAAAATGGGAATTAAACCTCCTCATGGAGTTCTTCTGGAGGGTCCTCCGGGTTGTGGCAAGGTATGGGTAACCATCTATGTTAATGACAAGCTCAAAGAATAACTGTTGTAAGTTAGTGGAAAGCTTTCTGTAGCTACACGCATGATACTTTATAATACTAAGAAATTTTATAGAAATATTTGATAATCCAACCTGCAGCTGCAAATGTTGAGATCTATGCTGCGTGTTTGGCAATTTCAGAATTTGGTTATAATGCTAGAACGATCTATCATCATTACAGCTCCAACTTAAACCTAAAACCTGTCTGAACAAAGTTTTGAATGTTTAGATGCTTTTATCAAGTTTAACCCTGACCTGATTTTCTTTTGCAGACACTCGTTGCAAAGGCCATTGCAGGGGAAGCTGGTGTGCCGTTTTACCAAATGGCAGGATCTGAGTTCGTCGAAGTTCTTGTTGGGGTTGGTTCAGCTCGTATCAGAGATCTGTTCAAAAGAGCTAAGGTGATTGGATAGATGTGTATTTAAGAATTTCTGTGCAGAGATGTTCAATAGTATGTGATCATATTCATGTCCTTGTGCAGGTAAACAAGCCATCCGTCATTTTCATCGATGAAATCGATGCCTTAGCAACTCGGTATGCACATTTTTTTCCCCTTGTATCTAGTTGTTGATATAATTACGTGAGGTGAAGTTTAACTATTTTCAAATTTTGGTATTTGTTAGACGTCAAGGGACTTTCAAGGAAAACTCAGACCAGTCGTACAATGCAGCCACTCAAGAGAGAGAAACCACATTGAACCAGCTTCTCATTGAGCTCGATGGTTTTGACACCGGCAAAGGTGTGATTTTTCTGGGTGCCACCAATCGTCGAGATTTGTTAGACCCTGCTCTTCTACGTCCAGGTCGATTTGATCGAAAGGTTGGTTGATTAAGACAATCCAGGCACAAATTCTTAGTTTTATCTTGAATTAGTTTAGTAGACTCGAAATTTCTCAAAGACTAATAAAAACAATCTTCTTATCAGATAAGGATCCGTCCACCTAATGCGAAAGGGAGATTGGATATTCTGAAGATTCACGCCAGCAAAGTCAAGATGTCGAATACTGTTGACTTGTCATCGTATGCTAGTAACTTACCAGGTATAATATCTACAAATTGATGCTCACAATGATTTGGTTTGTTTGTACAAAAACTTTGATTCGAGTAATGGTTTATATAGGATGGTCCGGAGCAAAACTGGCACAGTTGGTTCAAGAGGCTGCTCTCGTAGCAGTCAGGAAAACGCACAGCTCGATTCTTCAATCAGACATGGACGACGCTGTTGACCGACTCACTGTTGGTCCAACACGCGTCGGTTTAGAATTGGGACATGAAGGTCAGTGTCGTCGAGCCACAACGGAAGTCGGAGTTGCAATCACTTCACATCTCTTAATGCGGTATGAGAATGCAAAGATTGAGCGGTGCGATCGCATTTCCATCATCCCTCGTGGTCAGACACTGTCTCAAGTCGTGTTTCATCGGCTTGATGATGAATCCTACATGTTTGGTCGTCGTCCACAACTGCTTCATCGTCTTCAGGTGCTGCTCGGAGGAAGAGCTGCAGAAGAAGTGATCTACGGCTCAGATACGTCAAAGGCATCAGTGAATTATCTCTCCGACGCCTCATGGCTAGCTCGTAAAATCTTAACCATGTGAGCTCAGTTTTTCACATTTTCACATTCCAATTTTTGAAGTAAAAGTTCTCAAGACTTGTGTTTGGTTATTCAGATGGAACTTGGAGAACCCAATGGTGATACATGGCGAGCCACCACCGTGGAGGAAGAGAGCTCAGTTCGTCGGACCACGGTTAGACTTCGAAGGATCTCTCTACGACGATTACGACCTCGTAGAACCACCGGTTAACTTCAACATGGACGATGAAGTTGCACAGAGAAGTGAAGAGCTCATTAGCCAGATGTATAACAAAACCGTTGCTCTCCTCACGCAAAACCAAACCGCTCTCCTCAAAACCGTTAAGGTAAAATGTAATTTCTACATTTTTTACCCGCGAAATTTGTGGTTAGTTTTGTTTTTCTTACTCTTCTTCCTCTGTTTTATATTTGTTGTGTGTAGGTTCTACTGAATCAGAAAGAGATAAGTGGAGAAGCAATAGATTTCATACTTGACCATTATCCTCCTCAGACTCCGTTGAACTCTCTCTTACAAGAGCAGAATCCAGGAAGTCTTCCTTTCGTCCCTGAGCATCTCCGGCGTGAATCCGGCGAATTCGTCCTCCTTAACCACTCTACCGATGTGAATGCTCCGACATAACATCCCATAACTATTCTTTAACCGGCGTTGTAACTTTTAGGCTCTCAAAACTCTGAAAATTTCGGATTAGTTAAAATAAAAGTTAAAAGAAACATTGGTCAAAGACTTTGGTTAATTTGCTAACAATAGAGTAAAAGTTAAAAACTAGGAAAAGAAAAAGAGAAAATTAAAAGTTCATTAAATTCCTAAGAAATCGGTCTCTGGACGGACAAATGTTAGGTTCGTCTTTCAAACCACACATCAACACACCTCGTCATGCTCTCTCTCTCTTTCTCCTTGTTCTTCGTTTTCGTCTTTTTTCTTCTTCCTCGTGCCATCTTCTCCGTTTCTTTAGATATAAGTCATAAGTCATAACGAACGACCTCTCATCTCTCCATCTGTGTAGAGAGATCTCTCTGCTCTGCTTAGAGATGGTGAGGCGCGGAAGTTGTTCGACGTTATGCCTCAATGAGAAACTTCCTTGGCAAAACAAAGGTTTCAGGTTTCGGATTTCCCAAAAGGCTGATACTAGTTCAAGAAGTGGCAGCTTCTTTGAGCGATCTATCTCTCTCGTTCTCTTACTCTGGTGTTTCCTCTTCCTCGTCTACTCCAAGCTTGGCCTTAGCCATAATCATGGAGGTAACTTTACCTTTCCCTTAATCTTCTAATAGCAAATGTGTTTGTTGGTTTCTCAAAATGTAGACAGATACCATAATCATTTCAGATGTTAATTAAGGAAAGTTTGATCTTTTAATCTATCATTGATATTACATATCTGGAATCATTTCAGAACAGGTTTTAAAAATGGAAACTTTGTACATTCTAGAGATTGATTTACTCTGCTGCATTGTGATCCCTTTCTCATTCCAATTTCCAAAGAAACCCATTTCATTTTTGTAGATAGAATTGGGAATTACACTGAGAGATCAGTCTCGAAGATCCTAAACTCCACCATTTCTGAAGATTCTTCCTTCACTCAAGCCACTGGGAAAGAAAGAAACTATTGCCTCCTGAGAAACGGCCAGTTAAAAGATGTGTACCAACACGTTCTTGGGAACAACGCTCTGTTGATCTGCAAAGTTGTGCTACAAGAAGGAAGAAGAAAGCGCAAGACTTTGGAAGCTCGCGATCGCGGATATGTCAATCTTGAACACAAATCTCTCAAAGTGAATGGCTCAGGCGTGCCATCGCAGCTTGCGAATGCGACTCATTATAGGTTAGAGCCAGATGGGACTGGGTTTAACTACGCTTCTGCTATGAAGGGAGCTAAAGTAGTTGAACACAACAAAGAAGCCAAAGGAGCTAGCAATGTGCTTGGCAAAGACCATGACAAGTATCTAAGAAACCCTTGTTCGGTGTCGAATAAGTATGTTGTGATTGAGCTCGCGGAGGAGACGCTGGTTGACACGGTGAGGGTTGCGAATTTGGAGCATTACTCTTCGAATCTCAAAGAGTTTAGCTTGTCAGGGAGTTTGACTTACCCAACGGAGAAGTGGACGCCCGCAGGGAGTTTTGTGGCTGCAAATGTTAAGCAGATACAGACGTTCAGGCTAATGGAGCCTAAATGGTTGAGATATCTTAAACTGAACTTGATTAGTCACTACGGTTCTGAGTTTTACTGTACTCTGAGTGTTGTGGAGGTTTTTGGGATTGATGCTCTTGAGCAAATGCTTGAAGATCTGTTTGTTGGATCAGAGACTCTTCCTCCCAGTAAACCAGCTATGCTGGAGCTGAATCATGAAGTGAAAACCGCAGATGAGAAACAAGATGTGGAAGTGAAGAAGAAAAGCAATAGGACGGATCAGGTTGGGAAGGAAAGTGAGTCTCAAAGTAAGAAGGATGATGTTGTGAGGACGATGAATGTCATGGGAGAGAAGAAATATGAAGTCAGGGAGAAGCATAACGTTTTGAAGCTGTTGATGCAGAAAGTGAAACTGATTGAGATGAATTTGTCGGTGCTTGAGGACTCTGTTAAGGGAATGAAGGAGAAGCAGCCAGAGGTTAGCTTGGAGATGAAGAGGACGCTTATGCTTGTGGAGAAAAGCAAAGCTGAGATCAGAGAGATCACAAATTGGAAAGGGAAAATGGTAAACTTGATTCTCTTCCTCTTTCGTTTACCGGGTTTTGTCTGTTAGAAATGAGAATTTGATATTCTTTGAGCAGGAAAAGGAGCTTAGAGACTTAGAGCTATGGAAAACTCTTGTAGTTTCCCGTGTAGAATCGTTGGCCAGAGGAAACAATGCACTGAGGTCAGTACTTTTTTGCATTCCAACATGTAGAGAGGCCAAAGATTTGAAATCTACCTCATGACTTGACTGCATTTCTCTTCTTGTTTCTTGAAATCAGATTGGACGTAGAGAAGATTGAGAGAGAGCAAGCAAATCTCGAGAGCAAAGAGGTTGGAGTTTTGTTGATAAGTCTGTTTTTTGTGGTCTTAGCAACGATCCGGTTAGTCTCAACGCGACTTTGGGCGTTTCTGGGGATGTCTTTTACGGATAAAGTGCGATCGTTGTGGCCTGATAGCGGTTGGGTGATGATACTTCTAAGCAGCAGCATCATGATTTTCATTACTTTGCTCTCTTAGCTGGTAATAATATAGGAGTTCGGCTTAGTGTTTTTTTTTTTTTTTTCTGTAACAGTAAGTGACTTGATATTCACGGTTTGTATTTGTAGCTCTAGTAGGATTAGGATTAGAGAGGAATTTTCATTTGGAAAATCTGCTTAAGGAATCAGTGATAAGCTGCTTTTCTGTAGAACTTAGGAGTTAGAACTTAACCGTGTTATGGTGTAACCAACAAGAAACGAGATACTATTTTACATTTGAGATAAATTACTGACTCATTACAGCCACAATTGTTATCTTGCCAAAAACCAAACAGTATCTCCTATAATCAACGGATATTGCAAGAAGGCATTTATATTCCGTTTCTATCTCATTCAAATTTTCAAAAGGAATCAAAAGTTGTTTCCAAAACTTTTCTTAAAATTGAAAGAAAGATTAAAAATATATAATAAGGGCCCAACCGGGTTCGAACCGGTGACCTCTTGATCTGCAGTCAAATGCTCTACCACTGAGCTATGGACCCTTTTTGTTTAAGTTGATCCTTTTATATGAATTAAACTCAATAATATTTTATACTGATTGAATCATGTTTTTCTTTTCTTGCTTTTAGTTGTTCTTGATGGAGATTTAAGATCCACATATTCAACACTTTTATCTAAAAATGCAAAGTATTTGTTAAACCACCAAAATGATAGTGAAACGAAGCTGTTGACTCGTATAATGGCGTTTTTGTAATTGCAGCAGATTCGGGACGATGAGATTCCAAGGTTTCGGACTTACGAATCTGACGGACTTAAAAGACTAACAAAAAGATCCTACGGCTAGGGGAATCTCAGAGAGTAAGTCAAAGAAAGTCAACATCATTTGGGGGAAACGTGAGGAACAAAGATCCCACTTAACCCGGAAGTTTTTGTATTGTAGTCCGTCCAATAATCAACTAGTTTACTCATTATAATATGGTTTACATCAACGACCAATAACATTTTCATGTATAAGTTTATTTATCCGGCTGCTTTAATCAGTATAAAATATGTGGTCCCTTGCTTTTCATTTTACAATACTCTTTATAAGTTGGTAATTTGATTTAAATATTCGTTATAAAACTATTTAGTTTATTTTAAACCCGTTAATAATTATGACTAATTTGGATTATTTAATTATTACTATATAAAAATAAGAAAAAAGTGTCCCTCTCAAAATTCGGATTGTTTGTTTTAACACTAAAAAAATTATATGTTCCCGTTGGAAATGCCTTCACGTGGAATCCAAACGGATATGCTTCTTTAATTAGTTTTATTTTCCTATCATTAGTTTCCAAATTTACGTATTTTGTTTTAATTTTTTTTTAAACACTAGATGGTAATTTGACAAAAATAAGTATGCATAACTTGATTTACACCATCTATAGACCAAAATCAATGAAACCATTGCTAGCTTAAGTGATAAGCTATGTTTATTAACCTTGGGATAATATTCAAATGTTGGATAAAATTAAATCCTCGCATTTTATAACTTTCAAACTTTCTTTTAAGATCGTAATCATAAATCTCTATCCTAATAAAAATGACTAACATATAATGTCTATGTTTTATAATTTCATATAAAATGTTAGTTTATGTTATGAATCTTATTGTAGTCTAAATTGCGATTAGAGTGTATGTAACATAGTTTATGTAATAAATCCACTCGTTAATAAATAAAAGGTGTCGATATACGTAAGCCATGAAACATTCAAATAGTTGGTCTCCACATGGGTGCGCAAACTCTATCTTTATCCAGCCAATCATAGTACTATGTATCTTTTCCTATTTTCTGTCTTTATTCCTTTTATTTTGATTGTATACATTACATGTATGTATTAAGTTTTAAATTCTTCGTAGAAAATTATCTTCCTTGTATAGCTAACGTGTGCAGAAAAGCAAGGTAGATAACGAAATTTTTCATTTTGCTATATAAATCTAGCTATAGTTAGAGTGTTGTTGTTCACACGTATATAAAACTTACTAAATTGTTTCTATCTTATTCCAGTCTTATATAAGCATCTTCGAATCCTCATTTATTAATGACTAAACATTTTATATATGTATTACCAAAAAAAAGTATAATTTACGGCAGATTACTTGTTCAACCACACTATATCAATATCAAAATTATTTACTAATGCCAAATGTGACCCTTGACTCTTTAGAGGGCTAAGGGACACTTTGATTAAATAACATCAGTCTTTTAAAAAGTCCAAAAATAAACAAACATACACACGAGCATATACATATTATAAAGTAAAGTCCATCATTATGTAAGATAACAGGTGTCAAGCAATAAAGCTATTTATACAAAATTCTATTTCCAACCATTGTGGCGCAATAATGAGTAATGACTAGTGTAAAGACAATCGTTCACACAAATCCTTACTTTGATTGGCATTTTCTCTCCTTTTTGTGCAATTTTATTATCTACTAGTATAAGAGAACTCTAATTTGATTTGCGACATATTTAAAAGCGAAACTATAGATGTGTAAACCCTGCTTGTCCTCCCCACTATCTTCCTTTGTGGTTTTTATGTGTATGTGTACGTACGAATCCTACTATCATTCCTTTTGCGTAGCCACCACTTATAGGACATGAATAATTTAAATTTCTAACTATACGAAGATTTTCAAGTTTTTGTACGTGTGATAATAATAATAACTCCACTCTTTGTGAATTTCCTCACACCAGGCAGTACATAAAGTTCTGAAGAAAAACTCCACTCTCAATCTACAATTTTCGAAAATGGAGGATTTATTAACAAAGCTTGTTTTTGATAATGTTGACCTAATTTTCATTGTTTTCTGATCACTAATCTTTGGCAATATGCAAAACGTATAGCAAATAGTATATAAAAAATTCATTTATCAAGCATATCAAACACAATATAAAACAAAAATAAAACAATTGTACATGCTAAATTTATAGATTTAAGAAATCAAATGATTTTTAGTCGTTGCTTCGAGTAAAAAAGTCTATGTTTTCGTGATTATCATGTAAGGAAATTTATCATTTTTTACAAATTTTAAGATGAAACTGTTTCTACGAGCATATTCTATGTTTTCAGCTCTTTGGCTTTCTGCGACATGTTTTTTTCTTATAGATGTGGAAGCAAGGAATATGCTATCAAAGAGAAGATTCATTGACTTGTTATTCAAGAAATCATCTTCTTGCGTACGAATCACCAAGTCAATGTCGATGAATTTGAAGACAAATAAAAAAGACAATAATTGTACTTGTTATCTTTTCCCCTAAATAAGCAAATGAAATCGAATAATAAAGAAGATATTTCTTAAAATCCTTTACAAAACACATGACCGATTGAAATCGTACAAAGAAGAAATCATCTTAATAAAGAAGAAATCATCTTCTTGCGTACGAATCACCAAGTCAATGTCGACGAATTTGAAGACAAATAAAAAAGACAATAATTATACTTGTTATCTTTTCCCCTAAATAAGCAAATGAAATCGAATAATAAAGAAGATATTTCTTAAAATCCTTTACAAAACACATGACCGATTGAAATCGTTGAGGCATGAATAAGTGGTTTGCCGTATACTATAGAACAACTACAATAGAAACTCTATAAATTAATAAAGTTGGGACTTTAATATTTTATTAATTTATAGAGTTATTAAATTATCGATCTTGAGTAAAATAGTTTTTTTATAAAAAGATTTAAATAAAATAAATATTAAATTAAATAAAAATAGTTAAGTTTTAAAAATTTATTGTATTTTGTATAGGTTCATTCTAAAATTAGGGATAAATTTTAAATATATTTGAGTTTTAGTAAGAAAGAAGTGAAAATTATACTTATATTTTAATATATTATCATAGATATGTATTTACATAAAATTATTTATGGTAATTATTAATTTATGATATTAATGGGACCATATATTTACATAGGAGTTTCAAAAATATTATTATCTTATTATTTTATCGAATTTTGCTAATCTTTACACTGGCCAGACTTAGGACCGGAGAAAATTATTATTTTATAGAGTTTATTAATTTACCGAGTATCAATTTATAGAGTTTCTACTGTATATCGATTGTATATGGGGTTAAAAGTTAAAATCAAAGAAAATATAGATGAATAACGGAATTCACCTTATAAATATATATATATATATATATAGACTATATAGTACTACAAAATTGACTAAAACTAGTAAATGAATCGAACTCATTTGAGACCAAACATGTGGGAATTATATGGGAATCTCTATAAATAAATTATGACATTTTGCTTACTAATTATGAGATTCGTTTGAATAAGCTCTGCGAATATACGGGGACAGGATACCAAGTTATTATTAAAAAAAATAGTATTTTAATTAAAATATACTAATAAGATAGTCTAAAATGAGAAAGAGAAAATCCGGAGATGGTGGTGGTGGGTTTGAAGGCATCTTGTTTATTTATATCCTTAAAGGGAACACAAGTTGTCAAAAAATAAAACGTCATAAGTGACGTTTTGATACATTTTAGTGATAAATTAATCATACTAAAACAGAACAAAACAGTAAAGTAAGTAATATATTGGTAAATAAAAAGATGGACTATGGATTATAGGCTTTTCATTTTCTCTATTTTGCATTTGAAAAAGAAAGAAAATTTGGCATTATTCATCGCCAAATGACTGATTTTGTTGCAAAAAATTAATAAATTAACTGATCATCTAAACTCCAAAGAGTACTTTAGTTATACGAATAGCAATGCAATGCAATAGGAATTAAAGTTATTTGCCAGATATTATATTTTCGAGTTTGGCTACATCCACTATCTTATGAAGTTTAAATTAAATTTCGACGTTTTAATTTAGTAAATTATGGAGTTGGACAAGAGTCTTTTGCAAGGGTTAATTGGTGAAACCGTGAAAAGGAAAAATCAGAGATCCAACACTTCCCACATGCTTATGAATTATGATGATCCCACCTTAGTGGCAGAAAAGTAATTTAAGAAAAAGACGGATGTCAAAGCCTGACTCTGCTTTCCAACTCTAAGCCAGTCTTGTTGCCTGCGTTGGAACAGACGTTGAAAGTGACGGAATCTTAACGATGACGGACGGCTGTTTTAACCTCTTCTGGTCGACTTTCGTTACCGTAACGGCACGGCACGCGCCCTCACGCTCCGTACCAGCCTTAATAGCCAACACATTTATGAATTTATCCAGTAATTACTTTTCTTCATCCACGAACGCAATTACATTTAAGGAATTGTTTAGTACGTTTAGAAAAGTAAAATTTAGTAAAAAATTAAAAATAGAAAAAGTAACAAAACTACGTATAGTAAAAATCCTGCTTTAGTAATTACTCGAATTATTCAAGTATAGATAAAAGACTATTTATCCAAATTTTTGATAAAGTTATTATACTACAATATACAATTACTAAAGAGTAAAGAGTAACCAAATTATTTTGACAGTTAAGTAATAGTTAAGTAATGTATTGTATTTCTATTATGTTGAAATTTTTTTTTGGGAGGAAATATTATGTTTTAAAATTAAATAATCTACTTTGACATATTCACTTTTTTCCATTAGGTACGAAAACTATAACAGTAAAATGTGAAGAAAGATTGTCACTAAATTTTCTTAATGATAAAATTTATTGTAAATATATTTGTTTAGCAGCAATAGAGTAAGAATAACTGTAGTACAAATTATTTCGGTTAGTGTAAGTCGAAATTACCAAGATTACTTTTTATATTTAAAAATAAATTTCCAATTGGATATACTTTTATACAACTCATAATTATAATTTGGCGTCGACAAAAAAATGTGGTCCAAATTTAAGACATAATAAATAAATTAGATTAAAGTAATAAATCTTTTTAGGTGAGAGACAGTGAAACGGAGATAAAAAGCAACGAAGGTGTGTGGCCGTAACATAAGACGCGCTTCTAAACGGGTTTTTAGAGCGAGTGAGATTCTTTCTGTAACGGCGTCCTTTTGACGAAGAGAGACATCCAGCTTTTCTTCCTTTGGAGCCCGAAGATAAAACCGGTTTTCTGGGAGATAGAGAGAGAGAGAGGTTACAGTTACAACTTACAAGTTACAGAGCAGTCAAGTAATATTGGTGGTGATTTCGTTGCGTTACGACTCGGATCTCGCGATCGTTACATGCAGAAGAGGAGAGAGAGAGAATCGTGGGAGACGGAATTCAAGGCTCGTGTGCTTTCTCTAATTCAATTCCGCATTTAGGGCACTTTAATTCCGACTGTTTATCGGAGAGAGAAGGAGAAGAAGAAGAAGAGTGTGTGCTGCTGATTGAGAGCATATTTTTAATCAGCTTAATTCTGGATTTGGAATTTGACTTTGGCGGCTGGAGCGGCGGTTGGTTTAAAAGCTAGAGCTAATGGCGAATCACGGAGGTATGTGTTTGCTATCTCGCCGGTATTTCGATTTTTTCCGGCGACATTTTCTAAGAATTTGGCATTGCTTCACAGGTTGCGGCGGCGGTGAACATATGTACGATGAGTTATGGAAATTATGCGCGGGACCTCTGGTTGATGTTCCTCAACCTGGGGAAAGAGTTTTTTACTTTCCTCAAGGTCACATGGAGCAAGTAAGCTCTCTCTCTTCTATGTGATTTTTATAGATCGGTATTCGAATTTATTTCTGAAAAATGTTTCTATTTTTGGTGGCAATTTTTTTATTCAGCTCGAAGCGTCGACGCAAAAGGACTTGAATACGATGAAGCCGCTTTTCGATCTTACTCCAAAGATTCTCTGCAGCGTCATGAACGTCCGTCTTCAGGTTTGTAGTTCTTGAAATTTCACTTTCTTCCTGATAAAACATAGAACCACGGACCAAGTAGGTACAAATTTAACCAGCCATTATTGACTATGTTGGGACCTTTTGGGTTCTCTAGCCATAACTGCCCAATTTAGCTAGAGGGAAATGACCTGATGGTGTGTTATTCTTGTAGAAAATGAATTTTATTTTACTATAATAAGCTAGAAGGATGGTTACTTTGTTTGACTTCTTCATAGAATGCTCTGTTTTAAACAAAAGTTTGATGACTGATCAGCGCAAACTTTATCGCTTGTGTTTGTTGCCAGGCGGAGAAAGATACGGATGATGTATATGCCCAGATTACTTTGATCCCTGAAGGAACAGTGAGTGACAATTCAGTTTATTTTTTCTTTTAAGTTGCTGCAACTTTCTCAAATCCAATGAGTAGTACTTTCTCTAAAATGGTTTTTGAATTTATAAAACTGCAGCAACTTGATGAACCTACGAGTCCTGATCCCTCTCCTCCTGAGTCGCAAAGGCCAAAAGTTCACTCTTTCAGCAAGGTTTTGACAGCGTCTGATACAAGCACGCACGGTGGATTCTCTGTTTTGAGGAAGCATGCGACGGAATGCCTTCCTCCGCTGGTATGAGGACATCTTGAAAATTTGTTGCTTAGTTTCTTACCAAAATGGCTTCACATTTGACTTGAATTTAAGCCTTCAATATGAATATCATTTGTTATCCTTTAGGATATGACGCAGCAAACCCCGACTCAAGAGTTAGTAGCCGAAGATGTGCACGGTTATCAGTGGAAATTCAAGCATATCTTTAGAGGTAATGATTCCATTTCCAGATTTCCTCTTGGCTGTATCCACAAGATACGCTCATGTGACTAATTAGGTTGCGAGTACTAATCTTGTTTTTTATCCTAAACAGGCCAACCGCGGAGACATCTTTTAACGACAGGGTGGAGCACGTTTGTCACATCAAAGAGATTGGTTGCTGGGGACACCTTTGTATTCCTGAGGTACATTATGATACCTTGCTTTGTTTCTTTTGTTTGTCCATTGGTAGATTTTGAACTTACATTTTCCAAAATATACTATATTTGTCCAGAGGGGAGAACGGAGAGTTGCGTGTTGGTATCAGACGTGCTAATCGTCAACAGAACAGTATGCCTTCATCTGTCATATCGAGTCATAGCATGCATCTTGGAGTGCTTGCTACTGCTTGCCATGCTACTCAAACCCGAACCATGTTCACCGTATACTACAAGCCAAGGTATACAGTTATGACTACTCTATGGGAACATCTATGATAAGTTTCTTCTACACTCTGCTTATATTTATTTAATCTTGGTTTTGAGCAGGACAAGCCAGTTCATCATCAGCTTGAACAAATACCTAGAAGCCATGAACAATAAGTTCTCTGTAGGGGTGAGATTTAAGATGCGGTTTGAGGGAGACGATTCACCTGAGAGAAGGTAGTCTGATTTTTTTGTTCTTTGTTGTGTACTTTGCAATTTCTTTGTCCACAGAGCTGTTCTCTAAACACATTTTTTTTTCTTTTCAAAGATATTCTGGCACGGTTGTTGGCCTTAAAGACTGCTCCCCTCATTGGAAAGACTCAAAGTGGCGATGCCTAGAAGTAAAAACTCCTTCCACTTCTATATACACTTCGTAAAAATGTTTTCTCAAAGGGTAAAAACTCAAACCAGTCTGCTACATTATTGTGTAGGTTCATTGGGATGAGCCTGCATCGATTTCAAGACCCGATAAGGTTTCACCATGGGAAATCGAGCCGTTTTCAGCTTCAGAAAATGTTCCTCAGTCAGTGATGATGAAAAACAAAAGGCCCCGTCAAGTTAGTGAAGTATCTGCACTTGGTGAGGCACAATCTAATCGTCATTTTATCCCTTGCTAGTATTAAGCTCAAGCTTCCTTGCTACATATCTCACTCACACATTATGTCTTTTTAGATGTAGGCATGACAACTTCAAACCTTTGGAGTTCTGTAATGACGCAACCCCATGAGTTTGCACAATCGTGCATCACCTCACAGAGGACTTCTCCTCACCAATATCATCGTGATGCAACTGAGGATACGAAGAATTCTGATTGGCGAATGAGCTCTTTCTCGGTGTCCAATGCGTCAAAAGAGTCAACACTGAACGACCAAATGGTCTTCCCAGTCGATCAGAAGAAACCAGAGACGACCGCTAGTTATAGATTATTTGGAATTGATCTGATGAGTCCCCCTTTACCTGCTTCCGAGGAGAAAACTGCACCCATCCGACCAATCAACATAACCAAACCGACTCTAGAGAGCAACTCAGATCCAAAATCCGAGATTTCGAAAGCATCAGAAGAGAAGAAGCAGGAACCTGCGCAGGCATCACCAAAAGAGGTCCAGAGCAAGCAAAGCAGTTCTACAAGAAGCCGTACCAAAGTATGTAATCAACACTTGTTATGCACATACGTCTCGTTTTACAAGATAGAACACGATTCTGATTCTGTGAATTGGTGAACAGGTGCAGATGCAAGGCATACCAGTGGGCAGGGCTGTGGATTTAACAGTACTAAGTGGGTACAGTGAGCTTATAGACGACCTTGAGAAGCTGTTTGACATAAAAGGCGAACTGCAGAGTCGTAATCATTGGGAAATAGTGTTCACAGACGATGAGGGAGATATGATGCTTGTCGGTGATGACCCATGGCCGTAAGTAACACACACTCTCTCTCTGACTCAATCGGATCACTACACAAAACTCATACATGTCGATAAGAAAGTTAAAATGGGTAGAGTTGGCTTAATTTTTTTTATGGTGCAGTGAGTTCTGCAACATGGTGAAGAGAATATTCATATGGTCAAAGGAGGAAGTGAAGAAGATGACGCCGGGAAACAAACTCCGGATGCTATTAACGGAAGTTGAAACAACATTAACAACGACAACAACAACCTTAAAAACAGATAACCACTCCAACTAGTATGCTTATCTACTTTGCATTCTTTGTCTCCGTCTTATCTGCATTGTCTTCTGTCTGTTATTTATCGGGCGGGACGAACAAAAATGGCTTAAAGAGGAAACCACGTTCCCCTTGTCACAAGAAAAGTGAAGGCTGAAAAAAAAATATGGCTCGTTTTTTTTTGAGCCTCTTGTGGAGAAAGAGGGTTTACGGGGAGAGAGATATTCAACTTTCAAAGTAGGCTTTTGGAAGTTTTATTTTTCTTTACATTATTAGAAGAAACTTGTGTGTGTAAGAGATACGAAGATGTAACGAAGAGAAAAGGAGGAAAAATGATTTGTGAATAACTGGGGAAAGACTTTTGGGACGTACGTTTGGTTTAGCTTTTTTTATCTTCTTTTATTTATTTGATTTTGTTATTTTCTACGCCAGTGCCATTGTACATTATATATGTTGTAAAAACAAAACTTCAAACCCGAGCTTTCCTTTTCTCCACATCGGTCTGAAGAACAGACAATGATACAAGTACAACAAATGTCAAGATATTTGGCCCGGGAGTTCAAAGAACGTAATAGGAAAATATTTTAGGTATAAAACTTCTTCTAGTTCGATGCAATAAAGCTGGCCATTCCTCTTCTTATTAATCATCTTCTTAAGTTGGGGAGCAATCTTGTTTTGAAAACCATTAGATTAAAAACCTTCATGATATACATTTTTCAGAGCCAAAAGAAGAGCTTCAGATTCGGCATGTAGCGGGGACAGCATCCTTCAACAGGTTTAGTTGTGCTTTCCTAAGTCAAGATAAACCGACATTTCGAAATAGTTGTCTTCCACGTGCCAGTCATAACACGTCGATTTGGCATTTGTGAGTAATAAATGATGGAATTACGTCCATCCTTTCTTCTTGTTCTAGCACAATTTCTAGCGTACTTGCCACTTGGCTTCCCAGTTCGTTGCTTCATGGATCGCTACTTGTATTGTCTTTTGCGTGGAAATTTCCTTTCTAATTCAACACTTTTTCGTTCCTCGCTCTCTAAATGTATTAACATATCCAAGGGAAACTCTCAACCTTTTTTTATCTTTTAGAGAATACAATTACACTCCATATATTTAGCAAAAAAAAAAAAAAAAATTACAGTCAATATAAAAGACTCATAGATTTTATGTCTAATAATTATAAAAAAGGACTAAGATGGTAATATAAAATCAAATAAAATACTGTGAACAGTTAATGAAATGACATTGATTTATGTCAAATCAGTGTGTGACCTAAACATTCAAATCCAACTGTCTGGGCGAGATATCTAGATAGACTCTTAACCACGTAAAATGCTTTTGAAATTCTCCTTATTGATTTTTGATAGTTACGTTGCATACATTTCTATACTCTTTCATTTATGACCCATTTGATTGATTTTTGATACTTTTATGGTTGTTTGACTAGTTGTAGATTGAAATGTCTATCACCTAACTATGGATGGAAGTATGGAACTGGAAACAGGAATATATTCAGTTAAAGTAAATGTCTATGAGTTTGTACTATTCATTAAAAAAAAAATCAATAAGGTAAAAAATTGTCGTGTGTAAAACTATTTTTCCAAACGCAATCGTTTATAAATATCAACAATTTATTAGTGGTGAGAGAGTAAAACGATGGCGCCTCTTAAAAATAATTCCGTCGGCGGCACTACCCTCCACACTTGTCAAACGTGCCGGCGCACCATTCCATACAGAATCTACGCCGTTATCCACATTTTTGGTATCGTAGCGCTAATGTATCACCATGTACACTCACTTCTCACAGCAGACAAAACTCTGATAACATCTCTGCTTCTCCTCTCCGATGTTGTTCTGGCTTTCATGTGGGCCACCTCAGCTGCCCTCCGGTGTAACCCGGTTCACCGGTCCGAGTACCCTGAGAGATACGTAGCTAAACCGGTGGAGGACTTTCCGAAGCTGGACGTGTTCATATGCACGGCTGATCCATACAAGGAGCCTCCGATAATGGTGGCTAACACCGCTTTATCTGTGATGGCTTATGATTATCCGTCGGATAAGATATCGGTCTATGTATCGGACGATGGAGGATCTTCGTTGACGTTTTTTGCTTTGATGGAGGCTGCTAAGTTCTCTAAGCATTGGTTGCCTTTTTGCAAGAGGAACAATATTCAAGATCGGTCCCCTGAAGTTTATTTCTCATCAAAGTCACATTCTTGGAGTGATGAAGCTCAAAATCTGAAGGTATTTCTTGTTTTTTATTTACTACTAGTCACTTATATATAGTTAAGCTCGTATGATATTTAAATCTTGATTTCAACAAATTCGCAGAAATTAGGTCAACAAAATTCGTACCGTATTAACATTTACTAAACCGTCACGACCATTCTAAGATATTGTTTGTTAACCCTTTTTTTGTTGACTATGATTTCATTTAAAAAGTTCATTAGGGCAATATAAGGGGCTCAGAGCTTAAGCCCATTACAGTTACCAACAAAATTTTTGCCATTTAATCGGAAAAGAAAAACCGAACTGAGTTGGAAAAAAATCCTTTTTTTGAGAGAGAGAAAACGAGAATGAAAACCCTTAATTATTGTTAACATTTAATATCGTAATGAAGAGTTATTGTGGTGCCGAAGAGTCAATCCCACAGAACCTTATCTTATCTTGTCGTTGATAATGCGGCTTCGGTCCATGTTTATGATCCCCATATCTTGGATGACTGTGACAGCACTTTATTGTCAGTATCACAATTTATTTGTCCTACACGATAAGTCGATAAGACAAGTTGTAACCTAAACGATAGGAGTAATAGTTTCCTGAACTAGAGGAGTTTTAATTGTTTTTTTGTGGTTATATTTTGTCTCGAGAGTTTATTATATTTTCATTAATTATACTTTTTTTTTCTTTTGTTAATCGCATTATTATACTTGAATCGAACAGTTCCTGGACACTATAAGAATTTCTTTACGGAATATATCATTTTTCGCGACTTTTTTTACAACAAAGAATGGAAAATCTTGTTGATTAAAACAAAATGGAGAGATTAGATATATACGTAACCAAACATGCTCAATTCGATACTATGAATTTTTACGATCAATAATGGACAAAGTTAATGCTACAACTACAAGCAACCTCAGAGTAGTCTGAGTCTAATAAATAATAAGAGACAAAAAAAACAATTAAGTTATATACTAACAAAATTGTATATGTGATGTGATTATTATGCGGTGGAGCAGGTGATGTACGAAGACATGAAGTGTAGGGTAGAACATGTCGTTGAAAGTGGAAAGGTTGAGGCTGAGTTTATCACATGTGATGAATATCGTGGAGTATTCGATTTGTGGACACACAAATTCACTCGTCACGACCATGCCACTATTATTCAGGTAATTAATTTTCAAAAACTTGTATACAATCCTTTTTCACGGCTATATACCAATAACAACACGACATAAAAATGACTCTTTAACAAGAAAACAAAATATATGTATTCTTCGTAATATAATATTTTTTAATATGTTTCTCTTTATATATGTAACAAATTCTCGATTGTGATTAATTTGACAGGTGCTACAAAATAGCGAGACTGATATGGACGAGACCAAAGATTACACAATGCCAAACCTAATCTATGTTTCAAGAGAGAAGAGTAAAGTTTCACCACATCACTTCAAAGCCGGTGCTCTTAATACTTTGGTAATCCACTCAAGAACCTTAATACATTTCGGTTTGGTTAACTAGCATTTCGGTTTAGTTAATTTTCCTTCACTATTTTTAATGTAGTTGCGAGTGTCTGCGGTGCTTACAAACTCACCGGTCATTCTAACACTAGACTGTGACATGTACTCGAACGATCCTACAACCCCGATTCGTGCCTTGTGTTATTTAACAGATACTCAAATCAAGTCTACTCTAGGTTTTGTGCAGTTTCCTCAGAAATTTCAAGGAATAAGTAAGAATGATATTTATGCATGCGAGTACAAACGCCTCTTCGATATCAATATGGTTGGATTTGATGGGCTAATGGGGCCAAATCACGTGGGGACTGGGTGTTTTTTCAATCGTAGAGTTTTCTATGGACCTCCATCTAGTTTGATTTTTTCTGACATAGACGAGCTTAGCCCTAATCAGACTGCGCATAAGTCCATCAATGCCAAAGATGTTTTGGAATTGGCACATAATGTAGCTGGATGTGTCTATGAGCATAACACCAACTGGGGATCCAAGGTAAGACAAAACCAACCCTCGTAAACTTTGATCTAGTTTTTACTTCTAACTTCTAAGTTAATCGATTAGAAGTAGCTTCTTGTTTAACACGCAAATTAGTTACAAAATAATTAATGATGTAGCTAAACTTTGAAAACGAAGTTTAGTTTCTTGATTTATATGAAGCGTCTTTCATATCAAATAGACTAGATATATCCTCTTTTAGACATTCATAATTTATTTATTATCATGCAGATTGGATTTAGATATGGATCTTTAGTAGAAGACTACTACACAGGGTATAAGCTCCATTGTGAAGGATGGAGATCAGTTTTTTGCAGTCCCAAAAGAGCCGCATTTTGCGGAGATGTCCCCAAAAGTCTAATTGATGTAGTGAGCCAACAAAAAAGATGGGCCATTGGACTTCTTGAAGTTTCCCTTTCAAAGTATAGCCCCATTACCTACGGAGTCAAATCAATGGGTTTGCTAACGGGTGTGGGATATTGTCAATACGCATTTTGGGCGTTTTGGTCAATTCCTCTAATCATCTATGGATTGTTGCCGCAACTAGCCCTCTTGTATGGAGTTAGCATTTTCCCCAAGGCATCTGATTCATGGTTTTGGCTTTACATCGTTTTATTCATGGGTGCATATACACAAGATCTACTAGACTTCGTATTAGAAGGAGGAACTTCTGGCGGATGGTGGAACGATCAAAGAATGTGGATGATAAGAGGATTCACTTCATTCTTCTTTGGCTTCATAGAGTTTACTCTTAAAACCCTAAATCTCTCCACACATGGATTTAACCTCACTAGTAAAACCAACGACGATGCCGAACAGAGCAAGAGGTATGAGCAAGAGATCTTTGATTTTGGAAACTCCTCGTCCATGTTCTTGCCCATGACTATAGCAGCGGTCGTAAATCTCATTGCTTTTGTCTGGGGGCTGTATGGTCTTTTTGCTTGGGGAGAAAGACTCGTCCTTGAGTTGATGCTGGCCAGTTTTGCGGTGGTAAATTGCTTACCAATCTACGAAGCTATGGTGTTGAGAAAAGATGATGGGAAATTACCTAAAAACATTTGCTTTTTAGCTGGGATCTTCGCATTTGCTTTTATTGTGGCAGGCTACTTCGCCTTGAAGTAATTGTATCCATTAGGGTTACATACGTAGTTTCATTTACAATAACATAATGAATGGAATGTGGTAAACTGTAAGCAAGAAATAGTAATATGCTGATTTCCCTATATCTCTCACCCAAGCCAACCTCGCCAACCACTCTTCACAAATTAACTTAATGCTTATTACTAAAAACGATGCAACAGTTAAAGAATCAAACCTCGAGTTAAGCTGTCCCGTATCGTGTATTATAACCAAATACAGAAATCTATATATTTTTCATCCACATGATGTTGTTTGCCACTTTGCACTTTTTCGTCTTGTCTCTCGCTGATATTTGTGAAGGCTGTGGCCTGTGGCTCAACGAACCATATCTCATCCACGTGATAATGTTTTTCCGTTTCTCCAACATATTGGGAAATTAAAAAAAAAAAAAAATTCTACCGTCAACTCACAAAACACCACATTTTAATGACGAGCATGTCAACATACTTTACAAGAATTTATAATTTCGGGAATATTACTAAAACTGATACTCATAGGCAAATATTGGTGTAACACACACACACACACACACACACACACTTTCTTCAAAATAGATTTATGATCAATCAAGAGGAAAAATTAAGTTTATGCTAAAAGCCAAATCAGAGTGGTCTGGATTTAATAAATAATAAGAGACAAAAACATTGTTTATATGATTATGCGGTAAACATTGTATATATGAATATATATTAGCGGTGGAGCAGATGATGTACGGGGATATGAGGAGTAGGGTAGAACATGTGGTTGAAAGCGGAAAAGTTGAGGCTGAGTTTATCACATGTGATGAATATCGTGGAGTATTCGATTTGTGGACGCACAAATCCACTCGTCACGACCATCCCACTATTATTCAGGTATTTAATTTTCAAAAACTTGTATACAATCCTTTTTCACGGCTATATACCAATAACACCACATAGAAATGATTCTTGTTTTTTAACAAGAAAACAAAATATAGGTATTCTTCATAAATCGTAATATAATATTTTTTGATATTGTAATAAATTCTCTTTATATATGTAACAAATTATCGATTGTGATTAATTTGACAGGTGCTACAAAATAGCGAGACTGATATGGACGATACCAAAGAATATACAGTGCCAAACCTAATCTATGTTTCAAGAGAGAAAACTATAGTTTCACCACACACAATTTTTTACTGGTAAGTGTCAAAAAAGAGTAACTTTCTTCAATGACACTCGCCTATAAGTATCAACAATCTATTAGTGGTAGTTTTGCTACTCAACAATCTTCTCCAAAACTTTTGGTAATAAACAAGAAAAAAAAACGTGACATCCGATGGAGTCTCATGTAAAGCATTCGGTCGGCGGCTCAAGCCTACACACGTATCATCCGTGCCGGCGCAACGTTCCATTCAGAATCTACGCCGTTATCCACATTTGTGGCATTGTAGCCCTCATGTATCACCATGTGCACTCACTTGTCACAGCAGACAAGCCTCTAGTAACATCTATGCTTTTCATCGCCGATGTTGTTTTGGCTTTATTTTGGGCCGGCACAGCTGCCCTCCGGTTTAACCCGGTTCACCGGTCAGAGTACCCTGAGAAATACGTAGCTAAACCGGTGGTGGACTTTCCGAAGCTGGACGTGTTTATATGCACGGCTGATCCATACAAGGAGCCTCCCATGATGGTGGTTAACACCGCTTTATCTGTGATGGCTTATGATTATCCGTCCGATAAGATCTCGGTCTATATATCGGACGATGGAGGATCGTCGTTGACTTTGTTTGCTTTGATGGAGGCTGCTAAGTTCTCTAAACATTGGTTGCCCTTTTGCAAGAGGAACAATATTCTTGATCGGTCCCCTGAAGTTTATTTCTCATCAAAGTCGCATTCTTGGAGTGATGAAGCTCAAAATCTTAAGGTGCTTCTTATATTAATTATTTACTAGGCATTTTTCTGTTTGAAAACTGATCTTAATATGGTTAAGAAAATCTTCTTTATTACCTGAATATGAGAACACAGAAATCTCAATATACTACCATGAAATGTTCATCTAAAATTATAATCTCATAGAATTCTTTTACGCATAATTACGTAACCAAATATTTTCAATTCGATAAAATGTCTTTCACTGATAAAAGAACAAAGCGTACGCTACTAATCAGAGTACACTCTATCACTCAAGAAGTTAAAGATTTTGAGTCCTGTTTTCAAGAAATGATATGAGGATAAAAAAATAACCGTATACTAACAAAATTGTATATGTGACTATTATACGGTGGAACAGATCATGTACAAAGATATGAAAAACAGAGTAGAACATGTCGTTGAAAGTGGAAAAGTCGAGGCTGAGTTTATCACATGTGATAAATCTCGTGGAGTATTCGATTTGTGGAGCGACAAATTCACTCGTCATGACCATCCCTCTATTATTCAGGTAAAAATTCCTTTCTCAGTTCTGCTTAATATCATTTAAATGCCTTTTAGATATAGTTTCTAACGAATAATAGTTTGCCACGTAAGATTCTCAACAATAATTAATTTGAGGACAGGTGCTACAAAATAATGAGACTGATATGGACGACACCAACACATTTAAAATGCCAAACCTAATCTATGTTTCAAGAGAGAAGAGTAAAGTTTCACCACATCATTTCAAAGCCGGTGCTCTTAATACTTTGGTATCCACTTAAAAACCTTAAAATATTTCGGTTTGGTTAACTAGCATTTCCGTTTAGTTAATTTTCCTTAACTTTTTGTTTTGTTTTAATGTAGTTGCGAGTATCTGCGGTCATTACAAACTCACCGATCATTTTAACAGTAGATTGCGATGTGTACTCGAACGATCCTGTGACACCAGTTCGTGCCTTGTGCTACTTCACAGATCCTAAAATCAAATCTACTTTAGGTTTTGTGCAGTTTCCTCAAAGGTTTCAAGGACTAAGCAAGAATGATATTTATGCATGCGAATGCAAACGCATCTTTGTGATCATGATGATTGGGTTTGATGGGCTTCTGGGTCCAAATTATCATGGAACAGGGTGTTTCTTTAATCGACGAGTTTTCTTCGGGTCTCCATCTAATTTAATTTTGCCAGAGATCGATGAACTTAGACCCGATCGGATTGCGGATAAGTCCGTCAATAGCCAAGAAGTTTTGGCATTGGCACACAAAGTAGCAGGATGTAATTACGAGCGCAACACCAATTGGGGATCTAAGGTAAAGATAAACCAGTCTTCATTATTAATTACCTTGATTTTCACTAAATGCTAGGATTCCACATTACTTACCGTTAATAGATTAGTAAATATATTTATTTCATAGTTTGTTATACTATATAACTCCAGTTTATCATTCAAATTTGTGCAGATTGGAATTAGATATGGATCTTTAGTAGAAGACTACTACACAGGATATAGATTCCATTGTGAAGGATGGAGATCGGTTTTACCCACTCCAAAAAGAGCTGCATTTTATGGAGATTTCCCAAAAAGCTTAATTGATGTAATGAACCAACAAAAGAGATGGGCATTTGGACACCTTGAAATTGCTTTTTCAAAGTATAGCCCCATTACTTATGGGATCAAATCTTTAGGGCTACTAATGGGTTTAGGCTATGCTCAAAGTCCATTTTGGGGTCTCTGGTCAATTCCTCTCATCATCTATGGATTATTACCCCAACTTTCCCTACTCTGTGGAGTTAGCGTCTTCCCCAAGACATCAGATCCATGGTTTTGGCTTTACATCTTCTTGTTCTTTGGTGCATATACGCAAGATCTACTAGATTTTGTATTTGAAGGAGGAAGTTATCGCAGATGGTGGAACGATCAAAGAATGTGGTTGATAAGAGGACTCACATCCTTCCTTTTTGCCCTAATAGAGTTCACTCTCAAAAATCTAAACCTTTCGACCTTTGGTTTCAACGTCACCAGCAAAGCCGATGATGAAGAAGTAAACAAGAGGTATGAGCAAGATATATTTGATTTCGGATCCTCATCATATATGTTATTGCCCGTGACAACGATCGCGATCGTGAACCTCCTTGCCCTCGTCTGGGGGCTTTATATTCTTTTCGCTGGGAGAGAAGATTTCGTTCTTGAATTGATGCTGGCGAGCTTCGCGGTGGTAAATTGTCTGCCGATCTATGAATCTATAGCACTGAGGAAAGATGACGGAAAATTACCAAACATGGTATGTTTCTCAGCTGGGACCGTGACATTTGTTCTTATTGTATCAGGTTACTTCCTCTTCAAGTAACTGCATCCATTTGGATGAAGCCTGTTTCATTTACAATTAACATTATGTCTGGAATGTTGTAAACTATAAGAAATAAATGATTATGTGATGAAAGCCCATCTGATCATCACATCGTACGTAAACAATACATGGGATATATTGTGTTACCTCAAAACTTTTGAACACAATTTTCTTTATATGGTATCTTTACCCCAAAAATGAAGAAAATTGAGTATAAAGAACAAAACAACCATATATAGTACTCTCAAGAAGAAGAAAAACTGATTAGAGACCAAAATAACATTAACTAAAAAAAAAATTGTATTCCAGAAATCCAGAATTATCTTTTTGTCTTGATGGAATAGTTGAAGGATGTAAAATCATACGAATTGTTAGAAAAAAGCAATATATTTAGCAAATCCTGACAGGCTGTGCCAAAAAACGAAAAAAGAAGTCCTGACATTATCTCCTTAGTTTTCTAAAGGTGACAGTGACACAAGTTGACTATTAATTTTGTTTTTTCACTGAAAAATGAATTTCCAATAAGTTCAAAGAACCAAGCGATCCAAAGGTATTCAGAAACCAGAAACAAGCTCAAAAAGAAGAGCAACCAAAGTAGCCAAAAGAGACTATGCACGAAAGGTTGGTTACACCATACACATTACAATTTGTAATGCTCTACATTAAGGTTACTAATCAAAGCCAACTTTTCAGTAGACGTTGCAAATCCTGACATTGTCTCATTAGTTTTCTAAAGGTCACCCAAGCCAACTCCGCCAACCACTCTTCAGAAATTAACTGCGCATAATGCTTATTACTAAAACCGATGCAACAGCATACAGATAAAGAATCAAACCACGTGTTAAGCTGTCCTGTGTCGTGTATTATACACAAATACAGAAATCTATATATTCTTCATCCACGTGAATTGCGCTTGATGCTATGTGTCTCTCGCTGAAAATTGTGAACGCTCTGCAGTGGCTCTCAGTCTCTCGCGAACTTCATCCACGTGATATATTTCCGTTTCTCCAAAAGAATAGGGAAATTTAATGTCAACTTTCCACTGAAAACTCACAAAATACCATGTTTAAAAGGGGACCACGTCAAAATATCATAAGTAAGAGTGTAAGACTCCACTTGAGTACTCCCTCCGTTAATAAAACGTTAAGTTGACAAAAGTTTTCTTCATACAATTACAGAAATCTATATATGTGATATTGTTTGCCACTTTGCACTCTTTCGTCCTCTTATCTCTCGCTGATATATGTGAAGGCTGTGGCTCCACGAACCATATCTCATCCACGTTATTTTTTTCCGTTTATCCAGAAGATGGGGAAATTTAAAATTATTTTTTCCACCGCCAACTCACCAAATACCACATTTTGATAACGAAACATGCATGTCAACATACTTTTCAAGAATTTCTATTTGTGGAAAATCTTATTAAAACTGATAATCATAGGCTTTCAGTTTCTCTAAAAGCCAATATAAGTAAAAACCTCAAATATAGATACTCTAATGGCGATGAACTAAGAACTTCAAAAACTAATGATTGAAATACTTGAACTTATTAAATAATTATTAGTTATGATTTATGAAAGATTGTTTAGCATAAAAAAAAATTCCCAAGTAAGCATTTTTTTTCTTTGATATGTATAAAAAGTCTTAAAAAAACATATTATTCAGATAAGGAGGGAGTAAAACTTGTAAGTGCTTAAATTTAAGAAAGTTTTTAAAAATGATGTATACACTATTTAAGTTACATAGATGTAATCGTTCATTTTATTAATTTACACTGTTCATATAAGTGGCATATTTTAAAAATCTTTTTTTTTTTTATATCTTAAAATTGTCGTGTAACACACACTTACACTTCTTCAGCGAATCTCGCTTATAAGTATCAACAATCTACTAGTGATACGTTTTGCTCTCAAACCAAGAAATTGTAACTTTCTTCAAAGAAACTCGCCTATAAGATTAGTGGTAGTTTTGTCTACTCAACAATCTTCTCCGATGGAATCTCATATAAAGCATTCGGTCGGCGGCTCAACACTCCACACGTATCATCCGTGCCGGCGCAACGTTCCATACAGAATCTACGCCGTTATACACATTTGTGGCATCGTAGCCCTCATGTATCACCATGCACACTCACTTGTCACAGCAGACAAACCTCTAATAACATCACTTCTTCTCCTCGCCGATGTTGTTCTGGCTTTCATGTGGGCCACCTCAGCTGCCCTCCGGTTTAACCCGGTTCACCGGTCCGAGTACCCGGAGAGATACGTAGCTAAACCCGTGGAGGACTTTCCAAAGCTGGACGTGTTTATATGCACGGCTGATCCATACAAGGAGCCTCCGATGATAGTGGTTAACACCGCTTTATCTGTCATGGCTTATGATTATCCGTCGGATAAGATCTCGGTCTATATATCGGACGACGGAGGATCGTCGTTGACTTTGTTTGCTTTGATGGAGGCTGCTAAGTTCTCTAAACATTGGTTGCCCTTCTGCAAGGGGAACAATATTCAAGATCGGTCCCCTGAAATTTATTTCTCATCAAAGTCATATTCTGCGAGTGGCGAAGCTCAAAATCTGAAGGTACTTCTTATATTAATTATTTACTAGGCATTTTTCTGTTTGATAACTGATCTTAATATGGTTAAGAAAATCTTCCTTATTACCTGACTATGAGAACACATCTCAATATACTACCATGAAATGTTCATCTAAAAATTACAATCTCATAGAATTCTTATTTTATTCTTTCAGTGATGCATAACCTATATTTTCAAACCTATATTTTCCAAGTGTCTTTTCAATTAATACATATGCTTTTCTTTGTCTCTATCAGTAATCTTTCAACTAATGTTACAATTGAAATTCATTTTAATTAGTTGAAATATGGGAATAATATCATTATCAAAAAAAAAATGAAGAAAATGCTCTTTACGACTTTTATCAAAAGAAATCAGAAAAACTATAATTAAAAATAAGACAACAAAAATACAATGATTGCAAACGGACAAAACCTAAACAATAATGTAGAGTCATTGTTGTGCGGAAGGGCCAATCATACAGAACCAAATCGTATCTTTCCGACGATATTAATGTCCTTTGAGTCCTCTTTTTAAGAAATGATATGAGAATTACAAGAAAAAATATATTACTAACAGAATTGTATATGTAATTATTATGCGGTGGGACAGATAATGTATAAAGATATGAAAAACAGAGTAGAACATGTCGTTGAAAGTGGAAAGGTTGAGGCTGAGTTTATCACATGTAATGAATCTCGTGGAGTATTCGATTTGTGGAGCGACAAATTCACTCGTCATGACCATCCCTCTATTATTCAGGTAAATTCTCATCAAAAATTTGCAAAACTTCCTTTCTCATTGCTCAAAATTATTTAAATGCCTTTTAAATATAATTTCTTACGAGTTACGAATAATAGTTTGTCACTTGTTACTCATTATATAACAAAATCTCAACTATAATAATGTGAGGCAGGTGCTACAAAATAGCGAGACAGATATGGACGTGACTAATGAATTTAAGATGCCAAACCTAATCTATGTTTCAAGAGAGAAGAGTAAAGTTTCACCACATCATTTCAAAGCCGGCGCTCTTAATACTTTGGTATCTACTAAAGAACCTTAACCCATATAGTTTGGTTAACTAGCATTTCGGTTTAGTTAGTTAATTTTCGTTAATGTTGTTTTGGTTTCTAATGTAGTTGCGCGTATCTGCGGCCATTACAAACTCACCGATCATTCTAACACTAGATTGCGACATGTACTCGAACGATCCTGTGACACCAGTTCGTGCCTTGTGCTACCTAACAGATCCTAAAATCAAATCTGGTTTAGGTTTTGTCCAATTTCCTCAGAGGTTTCAAGGAGTAAGCAAGAATGATATTTATGCATGCGAATACAAACGCCTCTTTGTAATCAATATGATTGGGTTTGATGGGCTTATGGGTCCAAATTATCATGGAACGGGATGTTTCTTTAATCGACGAGTTTTCTTCGGGCCTCCATCTAATTTAATTTTGCCGGAGATCAATGAACTTAGGCCTGATCGGATTATTGATAAGTCAGTCAAGACCCAAGAAGTTTTGGCATTGGCACACAAAGTAGCAGGATGTAATTACGAGCAAAACACCAATTGGGGATCTAAGGTAAGATAGACCAATCTTCATTATTATTATTACCTTAATTTAGTCTTGATTTTCACTAAATGCTAGGAATCCACCTTACTTTCTCACATTACCTACCATTCAAGATTAGTAAATATATTTATTTCATAGTTTGTTAAACTATATAATTCAGTTTTATCATTCAAATTTTGTGCAGATTGGATTCAGATATGGATCGTTAGTAGAAGACTACTACTCAGGATATAGATTCCAATGTGAAGGTTGGAGATCGGTTTTTTGCACTCCCAAAAGAGCAGCATTTTATGGAGATGTCCCAAAAAGCTTAACTGATATAGTGAACCAACAAAAGAGATGGTGTATTGGACTTCTTGAAATGGCCTTTTCAAGGTATAGCCCCATTACTTATGGGATCAAATCAATAGGGCTGCTAATGGCCGCAGGCTATTGTCAAAATCCATTTTGGGGTTTCTGGTCAATTCCTCTCATCGTCTATGGATTATTACCGCAACTTTCCCTATTCTGTGGAGTTAGCGTCTTCCCCAAGACATCGGATCCATGGTTTTGGCTTTACATCTTCTTGTTCTTTGGTGCATATACGCAAGATCTACTAGATTTTGTATTTGAAGGAGGAAGTTATCGCAGATGGTGGAACGATCAAAGAATGTGGTTGATAAGAGGACTCACATCCTTCCTTTTTGCCCTAATAGAGTTCACTCTCAAAAATCTAAACCTTTCGACCTTTGGTTTCAACGTCACCAGCAAAACCGATGATGAAGAACTAAACAAGAGGTATGAGCAAGAGGTTTTTCATTTCGGATCCTCTTCATATATGTTCTTGCCAGTTACAACGGTCGCGATCGTGAACCTCCTTGCCCTCGTCTGGGGGCTTTATTGTCTTCTCGCTCGGAGAGAAGAATGCGTCCTTGAATTGATGCTGGCGAGCTTCGCGGTGGTGAATTATTTGCCGATCTATGAATCTATAATATCGAGGAAAGATGACGGAAAAATTCCAAACATGGTATGTTTCTTAGCTGGGACCGTGACATTTGCTCTTATTGTATCAGGTTACTTCCTTTTCACGTAACTGCATCCATTTGGATGAAGTCTGTTTCATTTACTGTAGCATTATGTTTGGAATGTGGTAAACTAGAAGAAATCAATAATAATCTGATATAAGGCCATCAGATCATCACATCGTAAAGTATACATTTTTCGGGTATCTTGAACCAGCAAAATTTACCAAGTTAAAGAGAGAGGTAGTATATTTTGTTACCTCAAAAAATTTTAACACAATTTTGAATTTTCTTTGTGGTATCTTTACCCAAAAAAAAAAAGAAGAAGAAGAAAATGAGTATAAAGAATAAAAAAAAACAACATATGGTACTCTCAAAAAGAAAAGTTGATTAGAGACCAAAATAGCATTAATTAATTAAAAAAAGTTTGTGTTCCAAAAATAGAGAATTGTCTTTTCTCTTAGACGTAAGTAGTTTTGATGGAGTAGTTGAAGGATGTAAAATCATACGAATTGTAAGAAAAAGCAATAGATTAGCAAATCCTGACAGGCTGTGCCAAAAAACGAAAAAAGAAGTCCTGACATTATCTCATTGTTTTTCTAAAGGCGATAATGACACAAGATGACTTTAATGATTTCTTTCACTGAAAATGAATTTCCAAGAAGCTCAAAGAAGAAAGCGATCCAAAGGTATTCACTATTCAGAAACCAGAAACAAGCTCAAAAATAAGAGCAACCAAAGTAGCCAAAAGAGAGATGAGAGACCCCCCTTATACACCACAGAAGTCGGTTTCTCTTTATCAAGTAATTCTTTCAGCCATCGAGAAGCTCCATAAATGAAATTGAAATTGACTCTTCACAAACAAAATTTCGCTTGATGCTTATTATTAAAAATAAAACCAAAATGGAAGCAACAGATAAAGAATCAAACCACGTTACGTTGTCCTGTATCGTGTACCATACCAATGCAAAAATCTTCATCCACGTGAATCGTGATATTGTTTATATATATATATATATATATATTTTTTTTTTTTGTCGTCTCTCGCTTATATCAAAAGTCTATCAATGGTGAGTTTTGCTCTACTCACCAAATCTTCTCCAACACTATTTTTAACTTTTGGCAAACAAGAAGTGTAAAACGATGGAGTCTCATATAAAGCATTCGGTCGGAGGCTCAACCCTACACACGTATCATCCGTGCCGGCGCACCGTTCCATATAGAATCTACGCCGTTATCCATATTTGTGGCATCGTAGCGCTCATGTATCATCATGTACACTCACTTATCAAATCAGACAAACCTCTAATAACATCTCTGCTCTTCATCGCCGATCTTGTTCTGGCTTTCATGTGGGCCACCTCAGCTGCCGTCCGGTTTAACCCGGTTCACCGGTCCGAGTACCCTGAGAGATACGTAGCTAAACCGGAGGAGGACTGTCCGAAGCTGGACGTGTTTATATGCACGGCTGATCCATACAAGGAGCCTCCCATGATAGTGGTTAACACCGCTTTATCTGTGATGGCTTATGATTATCCGTCGGATAAGATCTCGGTCTATATATCGGACGACGGAGGATCGTCGTTGACTTTATTTGCTTTGATGGAGGCTGCAAAGTTCTCTAAGCATTGGTTGCCCTTTTGCAAGAAGAACAATATTCAAGATCGGTCCCCTGAAGTTTATTTCTCATCAAAGTCACATTCTTCGTGTGATGAAGCTCAAAATCTGAAGGTATCTTTTACTAGTTACTTATACTTGGGTTAGGTTTAGTATGTTTTTCATATCTTAATTTCGACAAATTTCGCATAGGAGCACTGTATTTAAGAAATGATATATAAAAAGAAAAAACATAACTATAAACTAAGAAAATTGTATGTGATTATTATGCGGTGGACCAGATTATGTACAAAGATATGAAAAACAGAGTAGAACATGTCGCTGAAAGTGGAAAGGTTGAGGCTGAGTTTATCACATGTGATGAATTTCGTGGAGTATTCGATTTGTGGACCGACAAATTCACTCGTCATGACCATCCCTCTATTATTCAGGTATTTATTTATCAAAAATTATTTTCTTACTACTTTAGTTGTATCTATCACTTAAAAATCGAATATTATTTAGTTCGTCATGTGTTATTCATTAAATAACAAAATCACAACTATAATTAATTTGAGGACAGGTGCTACAGAATAACGAGACAGAAATGGACGAGACCAACACATTTAAGATGCCAAACCTAATCTATGTTTCAAGAGAGAAGAGTAAAGTTTCAACACATCACTTCAAAGCCGGTGCTCTTAATACTTTGGTATCCACTTAATTAAAAACCTTAACACATTTCGGTTTGGTTAACTAGCATTTCCGTTTAGTTATTTTTCCTTAACTATTTTTAATGTAGCTGCGAGTATCTGCGGTGCTTACAAACTCACCGGTCATTCTAGTACTAGACTGCGACATGTACTCGAACGATCCTGTGACACTAGTGCGTGCCTTATGCTACTTAACAGATCCTAAAATCAAATCCGGTTTAGGTTTTGTGCAGTTTCCTCAGAAGTTTCAAGGAATAAGCAAAAATGATATCTATGCATGCGAATACAAACGCATTTTCGAAATCAATATGGTTGGGTTTGATGGGCTTATGGGACCAAATTTTTTTGGAACTGGATGTTTCTTCAATCGAAGAGTTTTCTACGGACCTCCATCTAATTTAATTTTGCATGAGATAGATGAACTTGGACCTAATCATATTGTGGATAAACCCATCAAATCCAAAGATGTTTTGGCACTAGCACACAAAGTAGCAGGATGTATCTACGAGCATAACACCAATTGGGGATCCAAGGTAAAAAATAGATTGCAAATAGTTTTTTGTTTAACTGTATGAACTAATTAAAATTACTTTATCTACTCTTATAGATGTTCATTAAAAAAAAGGTTGTGATTTCTTAACTGATATATGAAACATAATTGTCATTTTTGATAAAGAACCCTAAACGTAAGTAGATCTTTCTAGAACAAAATTAGATATCTTTCGACGTTAGTAAACTTTGTTATTCTCTAGTTTGTATTACTATATAACTTCAGTTTATCGTTGAAACTTGTACAGATTGGATTCAGATATGGGTCTTTAGTAGAGGACTACTACACAGGACTAATGATCCACGGTTTAGGATGGAGAACAGTTTTTTGTTGTCCCAAAAGAGCTGCATTTTATGGAGATGCCCCAAAAACCTTATTTGATGTAGTGAACCAACAAAAGAGATGGTGTATTGGACTTCTCGAAATGGTTTTTTCAAAGCATAGTCCCGTTACTTATGGGATCAAAACAGTGGGATTACTAGTTGGTCTAGCCTATTGTCAAAGTGCATTTTGGGCATTTTGGACAATTCCTCTCATCGTCTATGGATTATTGCCCCAACTTGCCCTCTTACATGGAGTTAGCGTCTTTCCCAAGACATCAGATCCATGGTTTTGGCTTCACATCTTCTTGTTCCTTGGTGCATATGTGCAGGATCTGCTAGATTTTGTATTAGAAGGATCAAGTTGTCGCAAATGGTGGAACGATCAACGAATGTGGTTAATTAGAGGATTCACTTCATTCTTCTTTGGCTACATAGAGTTCATTCTAAAAACTCTAGACCTCTCCACGAATAGATTCAACATCACCAGCAAAGCCAACGATGATGAAGAGCAAAGCAAGAGGTACGAGCAAGAGATCTTTAATTTCGGGCCCTATTCATCTATGTTCTTGCTCATGACTACAGCTGCGATCTTGAATCTCGTTACCCTCGTCTGGGGGATTTATTGTCTTTTCACTTCGAGAGAAGTACTCGTCCTTGAACTGATGCTGGCGAGCTTTGCGGTTGTGAATTGTTTGCCGATCTATGAAGCTATGATATTGAGGAAAGATGATGGAAAATTGCCAAAAACGGTATGTTTCTCAGCTGGGATCCTCACATTTGCTTTTATTGTGTCAGGTTACTTCTTCTTCAAGTAACTACATCCAATACGATTATGTAGTTTCATTTACTTTTTTTTTATAAAGGGTTTATGTAGTTTCATTTACTATAACATTATGGCTGGAATGTGGTAAACTAGTAAAAAATGATGAAAGCCCATTTGTCATTTGGGAACGTACATTTTTTTGTATCTTGAATCAATAAATAAGTTGGAGAAAGAAATGTTGGGTTTATACCCAAATAATTCTTACAAGTGTATTGACCTTTTCTCTACCGCAATTTTATAAATTTGTTCCCATTGGGATGTTTTAAGCTAGATCTGGATATTATTAAGTTACGTGATGAAAAAAATCAGATTTTGTATTTTTAATCATGATAGTTAAAAATATCAATTTATTTAATATTGTGAATTTCACCTCTCTTTTTCAAGGTGGAGAATTTTAAAATAACTTCTCCACTGAAAAGTCACCAAACAGTCAAACACTATCTTTGAAAATCACCAAATACAAAACTGAGGTGCGTTAGACACACGTCATTATGTATTACATGTCGTACTAAAAAGCTTGTCGAAAACTACTCTAAGAAAATAAAAGAAATATCTTTGTTTTAAGATAATCGCCTATAAGTAATTAAGTACTATATATTAATGCCGGAAAAAAGTACTACTATATATTAATGATATATGTGGTCATTATTAATTTCACCAAAATCATTTGTTTTGATAACAAAGATGAGACCTCAGAGAAAAGACTCGACAACTCTCCACACATGCCGTCCGTGCCTGCGCACCGTTCCATACAGAATCTACGCCGTAATTCACACGTGTGCGATCGGAGCTCTCATGTACCACCATGCACACTCACTTGTCACAGAAAACACAACTCTAATAACATCTCTTCTTCTCCTCTCCGATGTTGTTCTAGCCTTCATGTGGGCCACCACAACGTCCCTCCGGTTATACCCGGTTCACCGGTTTGAGTACCCTGAGAGATACGTAGCTGAACCGGAAGGAGGACAGTTTCCGAAGCTGGACGTGTTTATATGCACGGCTGATCCGTACAAGGAGCCTCCCATGATGGTTGTCAACACCGCTTTATCTGTGATGGCTTATGATTATCCGTCGGATAAGATCTCAGTGTACGTGTCGGACGATGGAGGATCGATGTTGACTTTGTTCGCTCTGATAGAGGCTGCCAAGTTCTGTAAGCATTGGTTGCCTTTTTGCAAGAAGAATAATGTTCAAGATCGGTCCCCTGAAGTTTTTTTTTCAGCAAAGTCATCAAATTCTTGGATGGATGAAGCTGAAAATCTTAAGGTACTTGTTATAAATTACATAGCCACTAATTCGTATAATTTAATAAATGTGATATGTACGTCAATACTTGTTAGAAACTTATACTAGAAGAACTCTATGTATATGTTGCTCAAATAAATCACAAACCCAAAAAATAATCATTGTACGGTGAAACAGATGATGTATGGAGATATGAAGAAAAGAGTTGAAGATGTGGTGAATAGTGGCAAAGTTAATGATCATCATGAGTCTATCAAATCTGGTCAATTTTGTGGGGTCTTCGATTTGTGGGCCGACAAATTCACTCGTCATGACCATCCTACTATGATCAAGGTACCGTATTTGTTACTCAAATTTAATTTCTTATACTATGTTATCATCAATAAAAAAAATGCCATGTAATATACTACGTTTTTTTAACCAGAGGTCGTCTTTCTATTAATTTGGGTAGGTGCTACAAGACAACGATACAAAGATAATGCCAAACCTAATCTATGTTTCAAGAGAGAAAAGAAGATCTTCACCACATCATTTCAAAGGCGGTGCTCTTAATACCTTGGTCGGTATCAACTAAACCCTACGTTAACAAGCACTTAATTTGACTCAATATTCCATTAACGACGAGTTTTATTTCATTGTAGTTACGAGTATCTTCGGTGATGACAAACGCACCAATCATCCTCACACTAGACTGTGACATGTACTCAAACAATCCCTCAACACCGCTTCATGCTTTATGCTATTTGTCAGACCCTAAGATCAGTTCTTGTTTAGGATTTGTGCAATTTCCTCAGAAATTTCAAGAAATAAACAGAAACGATAATTATGCATCCGAGCACAAACGCGCCTTTGACATTAATATGGTCGGGTATGATGGGCTTATGGGTCCCATTCACGTGGGCACTGGTTGTTTCTTCAATCGACGAGTTTTTTATGGGCCTCCTGATAATTTGATCTTGCCTGAGATAGACGAGCTTGGCTCCAATCATATTGCCGATAAGCCCATTTTGACTCGAGATGTTTTGGCATTGGCACATGATGTAGCAGGATGTAACTATGAGCAGAAGACCAATTGGGGATCCAAGGTAAGATATTATAACATTCGATGTATTATTTTTGTTTGTTGCTTATAGTATTATAATGGTAATATCAATCTATTGTTTAAACCTATACAGATTGGGTTTAGGTATGGATCATTAGTAGAAGACTATTACACAGGATTTAACCTCCACTGTGAAGGATGGAGATCGGTTTTTTGCAGCCCCAAAAGAGTTGCATTTGTTGGAGATTCTCCAAAATGCCTAACTGATGTATTGGTGCAACAAATGCGATGGTCTGTTGGGCTTCTTGAAATGCTCTTCTTAAAGTATAGTCCGTTGACCTACGGGTTCAAATCATTGGGTCTGCTCATGGGTTTAGGATATTGTCACTATGTGCTTTGGCCCTTTCGCTCGATTCCTCTGATCGTCTATGGACTTTTACCCCAACTTGCCATGCTCTATGGAGTTAGCGTCTTTCCCAAGACATTAGATCCATGGTTTTGGCTTTACATCTTCTTGTTCTTTGGTGCATATGCGCAAGATTTATCAGACTTTTTACTGGAAGGAGGAACGTATCGGAAATGGTGGAATGATCAAAGAATGTGGATGATAAAAGGACTCTCTTCATTCGTCTTTGGTTGTATAGAGTTCACGCTCAATATCCTAAACCTCTCCACACCCGAGTTCAATTTGACCAGTAAAGCCAACGATGATGACGAACAGAGGAAGAGGTACGAGGAAGAGATCTTTGATTTCAGTTCCTCTTCGTCCATGTTCTTGCCCTTGACCACTGTGGCGATCATGAATCTACTTGCCTTTGTCTGGGGGCTTTATAGCCTTTTCTTATGCGGAGGAGGACTCGGCATTGAGCTGATGCTTGCTGGCTTTGCGGTGGTGAATTGCTTGCCGATCTATGAGGCTATGGTGTTGAGGAAAGATGATGGAAAGTTACCAAAAAGGGTTTGCTTCTCAGCTGGAATCCTCACGCTTGTTCTTATTGTGTCAGGTTACTTCTTCCTCAAGTAACTTAACCCCTTAGGGTTAAAATAATACATTTGGCTCAAGCAGAAGGCAGAGATAATAATGTGGTTCGGAATGTGTGTAATCTCAAATATGTGATGTGATGGTATACATTTTGATCTCTTAAATCAGCAAAAATTAAGATTTACATTTTGTATTAAGATCTACTCACTAACAAAACTTGTATCTGCTTATTTCTCTTTCGGGTTAGTGTGTCAAACCGGTGAAGTTTGAGAAGAATCTGGATGGTCGTCGTCGTTGTCGTCCACAGAGGTTTTGGTCGACGAGATGAAGACAGAGGAGCGACAGAGAGGGCAAGTGGTGTGAGAATAAAGCCAAAGATGAATGCAATCGAGATGAAATATGTGTTTACACAAAGGGATCTCCACCAACTCTTCCTTTAACTCGAATTCTCCCAAACATACGCAACATCTGCACCAAATTTCATTGTCATACCAAATCAGTCAAAACTTTCAATCCACCAAAGAGATCATACCGGACGTGAATATATATAATATTTAAATTAGGATATGAAATTCTACTAGACTCGTAATAGATTTTTGAGATTGGTATTGAGGACAAAAAGGCATATGTTGTCTAAAATCTTGGTTTTGGTCTTATCTGGAATTGAAACTTTCCGTCTTTACTTTATAATATTCTTCAGCTCTAAGCAACGGCCTAAAAACACTTATGAGCAAAGAGCATCTCAATTCGTATATTTCTTCAACTTTCAAGAGGATCATTCTTAGACATCTCAACTCTTATATTGACACTGTTAATAGAACTGTCTAGACGAATCTTGACAATTAGAATTCAAGCTCATGAAAATTCACAGATATTAAGATATTGGGAAGAACTAATAGGTTTCTGTTTAAGTGAATTTTTTTACAGAAGTGGTATTCTTTTGTGGGGATAAGTTTTCTCTAAAAAGAAAAATTCTCTACAGATATTTCATCAAAATCTTTTATGAGAGAAGCAGAGGTAACTTACAGAGAATCTCTTGTTCCTAGTTCTTCATTGTACCACACGACATGAAGCTTGTCTTTGAGCTCTACTTTCACATCTACCAAACAAACCTGCATAATAAAACATAATTCAATCTCAACACTCTTTCTTCATTTAACTTTCTATAACAGTACGGCAGAGAAAGAAGACAAACATTCCCTGATACCATAATCATATCACATAAACATATCTTTAGTAACCTCACAACCCATGAAAAACAAGACCATAGTTCTACTATCTCTTGATGTGAGTGATTCAATACTTTTGCATATATATACAGAGACATTGGGACACTTACCGAGGGAAGATGAGAAGATAGCTGATGAGTCGAAGAAACAGGAAGAATCACAGGGGAAGAAGAGGTAAGAGAAGAGGCTCTTCTCTTGAGGTAAAAGAGATAGAACAAGAGGAAGAGAATGATGGAGAACAAGATGGGAATGGAGAAGATGAAGGCTTGGTAGAGTTTGAGTTGAATTGCTTGTGGGTATAGATGAGGTGGGATTGGTGATTGAGGATCAAACATAACTTAAATTCTTTTGAAATCAAATCCAACAAAAAAAAATGAAAGGAAAAACACAAATGAGAAATGAGGTTTTTGATGGAAGTTGAAGAGGTACAAGAGAAGGCGTATATATATAGATATCATGTGTATGTGTATATGTAGCCCAAATCAGGTAACTGTACAACCATCTTGGATTTGGACTCATGAGATTCTATTATGATATAAAATATCTAAATTTTTCTAGTAAAGCAAAAGTAACTTGTACACTATTGGAATGCATGCTTATATACCAAAACTGCAAGTGATTTCCTTGCAACCAAATGTAACCATTTCACTTTTAGATAGGAAATTTTACTTCTTTAAAATGCAAAATTCAACATTTATCCTGATAACGGGCACATATGATGACATAAGATATTTAAACTGTATACACATCACATGATGTGAGTACATGTCTATGTATATCATCACTCATCAGTAAGGAAAAGTGGTGGAGAAAATAAAGAGCCTTTTGTGTATATAAAAATACAAGAGTATATATTCCTTATGGCTTATTTAATCTTATATTATAAGGAGGGAAGTGAGTAAGCAAGTGATGAGGAGGTTCCACTAAACAAAGATGAATAGTGCTTAAGGATTAGATTCAGGTGTCTCAATCCTCACTAACATGGGACCTATATAATCATAACCCATCATTACATTTGCTGACTCAGTTTGATTATTAGATTATTTGTCACTTGCTAAGCATCAATCATAAGTTTTGATAGCAAGATCTAGAATTCGTAATGATCAAGTCTATACGATCAGTGAAAAAATCGATCAGCAACTTCAACCAATAGACTAAAAGCCATCGGAATACAACCACTTTGTTATCTTCTATAAGCATTTCAGTTATTTTATTCTTCTCTTTTACTTTCTGAGAGTGGTGATTACTTAAATGAAGATATAGCTATATACACTTCAATTGGATTAGGACAAGATTCTGTACCCAAATCTAAGAATTTACAGTTTATTAAATAAGATTCGAAACAAGTCAACAACCTACCAGTATATATCTTATTTACAGAGATTATATGATTTTAGCTTAGCAAAATTTTCACATTTCATCCAAAAAAACAGGATTTCCTAGTGAACTACTGAACTCAACCAGTAACTTCATTTCTCAAATATGTTAATTTTAGAGAAAATAGATAATAATGTGTGTATCTTTTCTGAAAAATTAGTTTTTCACTACCAGCAAAAGCAGAAAAGTTTTTGACATCTTCTAGTAAAGTGACACATGAACTTACCAAGATGATTGTGCCTAGGACCCCAAAAAAATATCTTGATATAGGATTTGATTTGTGACCCCACATTGAATACTTGTTTTTCCCTTTTTTCTTTAGTGATAGACTGCTTTTTGTATTTTTCACGTTTGTTTAGAACAACTTGACCCTTTTTCATCACTGACATATTTTATTTAGGCATATATTTTGGCTTATATCGTTGAAGTGTTTTATCGAATTAGCTACAACTTCTCATATCATTCCAATAGAATATCTGGTGTGGAAAAGAACACATCTACGCACACAGAGACTAAGATAAGCTTACTATTGATGTTATCATAATAGTATCTTTAATCTCACTAGGCTCCATGGACTAAATTATACATATTTTTTGCATCACTGGTGTTAGTGGATCCTGAGGAGTGACCTCCCTCTCTCATAGTGGGAATGATGAAAAAGATATCACTAACTTAGATTCTAAATAGATAAGTTTACGGATTATAAAACAACTTTGTAAACTTTTGCTAAAAAATACAAAATATAAAGACCCATGAACTTTTTCAAATCGTTTTAAAGATCTTGGTAGGAGAAGACACAAACTAGCTTTAAGGTTCAGTTGTGTTCTTCTTACGATTACTGGCTAACTCTACTCTCCTGTTTCGTCTACACTGCATTTTATTTCTAACCTCATAAAGAGAAAAATAGTTTGATGTCTAATATAACACATCAGAACGCATATAACTTCCTATGTATTCATCAGAACTACATATATTTCATCATACCCTTTTTGTTTTTTTACAGAATTTTCTCTAGATTGGGAGACCAAAATAGACCTTCTAGGCAGATTTAAGCAATCAAAGAAATTCCTAGTCACTAATCTTCTATTTTGATTGACAATAAATAATTTCGAGATGTTAAAGTCATGGAAAGAATCAGGTAAAAAAGGCGAAAAATTACCTTTCTAGGTGGAAATGTGATTGATGTTGATGATTGCTTAAAGTGAAGGTCAGACGTCGGAGGTTGGTGCAGATGTGTCTTCGAGCCATCTTTTGTGCCAGCAAAAGAGCTTTCATGCACCATAAACTGTTGGGGTAAACAACTTTAAAAAAGTTAGCAGAGGCCAAAAACAAGTCACACTATATAACAATAAGTATATGGAAAAGCTGACTTCTAGGACCTCTAAAGAATTTGTGAAGGCTGTAACATGGGACAGTTTCTGATCTTTAGATGCTGTTTTCGAACAAACATAAGCCAGTGGATATGAGTAACACATGTTTTTTTTGGTGGACCCCAAATTTTGGTCAGATTGTGAACTCAGTTTTCACATGTAAGTTATCACCAAATGAGATATAACATATATCTTTTGATCAGGAGATCAGACAGTAATCAATGGTTTACAGTTGTAGCTCAGCCTTACGAAAATTGTACTTGATTCTATTCAATCTTCACCAATTTAATTCCGTACTGACCTCTTGATGAAACGGACTCTACTGGCATCAGATTCTGATGGTGCTTTTGTTGAGGATAGTGACCTTTTAGGCTTCTTATCAGAACATGTTCCCTGCCATGGTCGGTCTCTTAAGAATGAAAAGTATCTAAATGACTGCAAAGAGAAAATAAAGAAGTTTCATGTCTGTTCTAGAGAGGTTTCCTGAATATAATAGTATGAAGAAAAATTGAGATATATCAAAGACACTGAATCACAGTTGAATAAGGGATTATTTGTTAAATCTGCACATAGAAGAGAGATAGAGATACAGAACCTAAATGACCTTTTTGGTGATAAGAATGGCCTAATGAAATAGAGATATAGATGCAAGTTCGTTGACATGTAGATTATTGTTACTAACTAAATTGCAATTGTGAACCAATATCACAAATATGCTAGAAGAAACATATGTAGCTCTGTTGTATGTATATGTACGAGGCCAAAATATTCTGGATTAATAGGTTGCTTTCAGCCAGAAGTGAATAGATACGTCATTTTGCTAGTCACTATCTCTAATAATAGCTTCAGAAACATATCAAAGAAAAAAGGGATAAGGAGAGGAAGCATGCGCACAAACCTCTTTTGTTGTTGGGTTTTACTGTGTCTGGACTTAGTGGCTCCGTACTTATGCAATTATCTCTTTTCAAATTATTGAAACTGCAAAAGGAAACACATAACAAAAAAAAAAAAAAAAACCTGAAGTGATTGCTCTTCACTTTTCCACAGCCAATACAAAAAATCAATAGTCAAGAATTCATCATAACAAGTTCTTGATAAGAAGATAAAAAGAAATCATGGCTTTACTAAGACTTTCTACCGGAAATTTATTCACCAAGTTAAATAGTCAGTTCTATTTGAGAAATGAATTCAGAAAAAAAAAATCAGTATGTAAATAAACCATATCGCAAAGCTCCATATGAGCTCAAAGTCAGATTCGTTACCTAAAACTCACTTGGCAACCAAATCAAAGTATGGCACAATTAAATGAAAATTCAGCTCAGTTTGAGTCATTTACAATTTTAACTCATTATTCAGAAACCAAGACGAATCCACAACGACCCCAAAATAAGCTTAATTAGTACGAGATTAATTCGGGAAAATTCTCCGGAGAGAAATGCGACTACGAGAGTTAACACTACACTATATTCGGCATAATTCTGAGTATTGCAAATGAATGTCACAGTAAATGGACGAAAACCTGGAGATCTGCTAGTCCAGAGAACTGGTACTTGTAGACATTTTCTCTTCTTCGCCGCGATTTTCAACTTTCGTCCGGTGGTGAGAGATGAGAAGAAAAATTGGTTGCGTTTTGCCACTTTGCTAATTTGAATTTCCGAAATGGGCCACCAAAAGGTTGTGGCCCATTAGTGTCCGCGTAATTTTAACTGTAAACTATTTTTACTCGAAACCATTCCATTTCCACCAGTCAAAATTATAGTACGGTGATAACTGATAAGAGAAAAGGAAAGAAAATAGGTACGTGCATGTATGTTCAAAAGAAAAGTGGAACATTCGATTATGTTCTGTGATCAAAGACGATTATCGAACTTTCGATAGTGCTCCGATGATCAAACTGGAATTCTGATGTTTTTGTTTATCTAACTAGTTAAGAATAGTGTTGATTTACAACTGTTTCAACAATTGTTGGGGTTTGTAGGCCATAGTATTTGAAAGGTACATTTCACTGATGTGTTTATGATTTGTAAGAAGAAATATTGGTCTTTAATTTGGAATTGTAGTTTGTATATTCATGAGTTGGTCAAACGTTTACCATTATAGTATTAAGATGCAATCGTGTTGGAGGTTTTTATAAAAAAATTGTTGTTACAGGAGATTTTTATCTAACACTTGAGAAAAGTCATATAGTAAGCTTCTTACGTTGATTTTTTAATGTTAATGAGATATTATCTTTTGGGGATGATTAGATCGATAACTTCAAATCGTCTAGACCTTGTCCGTTTTCTTGACGCAATTTGCTACTGCCTATCTACAAGTTGACCCCGTTAGTTTGGAAATGTAGGCTCCGTTGACATTTTTAAAAAGATTTTTCAGTTTTAATCTGTTTTTTCTTTGTTAGTCAACTATTATTTTTTAATGGATTTGCCTATTCTCCTCGCTTTTAAATTAACTTCACTTTTCTAATTATGTTTATTTAGTAGGCACTAGAATTTTAACAAATCCCTCCTATACGAGTGGTTAACATAATGGTTCTTGCGGCGTCGGTAGCTCTTTGTGGACATGTTCAACATGGATCATTAATTTTTTACGTAGGAAATGTGATGTCTGTTTCTTACAACAGGACATGTGATATCTATATTAATATTATGATTTTCTTATTTCATTTTAAGCACATTAAAGCTTAGTCTGTAATATTATAAAAAAGATTCGTTTAAAGGAAAAGTAAGTATATATTGCTCTTTGACGTCGTCAAACCCACTGAATAAAGTAATTTTACTTGCGACAAAAAGACAATGTATTTGATTGTATCTTTGTTATTTTATATAGCCGACCATCCATAATGATTACTCTTAAAATGTAAATTCTTGTGTTAGTGACACCACTGCTTGTCGTTTTATTGTAAAACTATATGACTAAAAGAAATTAAATCTAGCGTTTTAGTCATATTGGTGTGTTTCCACTCTCCCTCTGTTTCATACGATAGCAACATAATTACGGTTTACTTGAGATCAAAACCATCCCGGTATGGGTTACTTCTAAAGAAATATCCAACATTTTGTACTTCATTTTAGAAATAAACCTCGGGTCAACTCACAAACCTCGATTTGAACTCATTTACATGGTTAAACCAAGATTTTGGTTAAAGTCGAGCTGAGCAAAAATCGTCCAACAAGCATTGTGGGTAGTGATAAAAACAGGTATATATATGTGGTCGATGTATAATATGTATAGCTGCTTTTTAAATACGGTAGATAGCCACCTCGGACACAAGGTCAAATGTTGCTTAGAAGCTGTAAATGATTCTCAAGTAGCTGCTTACACAACTACTGAACCTAACACGATGAATGACGCAGAGGTTAGCATTGTTGTTACGGTTGATGTTTCCTATACGATGTCTCCTTGAAATCTTTCATGCCAGAACGACTTATACTCAGTCCGCAAGTTTATGACCCTAATTTATAAGTTATCCATTCAAAGATTCCGATTATATGAATATTTGAAAGAAATCAAGACAATAATTTCCAGATCATGTGATGGATCTCATATAACTTCCCGACCACTACTTTTGGACATTAAATTTTGTATGATATACAAACGCCAAAGGGAATGGTGAGGATGACATTATTTTGCTAAACTAATTCATTTAATTATCATGTTTCACTATAATTTTCAAATATGGCATGTTCGTCAACTAAAAATAAGTAGATATAATAGTGGGTTTTCCTTACATTTTTAATCATTTTGTGGTTGAACTATATGATTTCCATGATCATAAGATACAAACTATCGATAGTGGAACCCGTATCACGATTTTTTCCTTTATTTTATTCGTTGGGTGTTAAGATTAGAAGAGGACTAAATGATACTTGCCTGTCTATGGTCATGTTTTATTGACGTGTTTTAGTAAATCCCCCTCATGGTCATGTTTATGATTACTATTTGATTCTACCTTTAAAAGGAAAATTAAAAAATAAACGCAACCCATAACAGTAATCATTCAAATGAGGAAACCTGATAATATCTGAGGAAGTGTACAAATGTTATGTGGCGTTATTCAAAGATAAAAAGAAATGTCAACAAATCTAAAATATATAAGAAATTTAGAGAGAAGAAATTAGACGATTAATTAAACGGTTCTTCTCTCTAAATTTCTTCTATATTTTGGTCTGTATTCTTCTATAAATTTATGTAATGGTTTTGGTCTGTATTTAGATAAAAAGCGACTTTTACTTCAAATACACCAAAACTAACTGTTTATACAAAAAGACTTTTAGCACAATCTCATTGGCTGTTATGTTTTTCGATATCAACACACCAGCTTCTCTGGTAATTAAGTGACTGCAATCTGGTCAAGTAGAAATTGAGCCAACTATATAAAACTACGTTCCATCTCTAAACTAAATTTGTAGTTGAGGTAGTATTTGTTTATGTTTTATTTGTCTGCTAGTGTGCTTTTCTTAATTTGTTAGCAAACTATGATGTGAAGTTTTAAAGTAAGTCAACAAATCTTAGATCAAATGAATTTTATTGCTACCACTAATGTTTTAGAGCATTTATACATTTAATTTTTTTTTTCTATGTTAATTTCATTATTTCAGACATTATATTTTTAAGCATGGTTCAATAAAATTAATTCGGTACAGGAAAAGAATATAATTAGCTAAACTCCATGTAAATATGGGTTCAAACCCGAGAGTCTAGCTACTCTTGTAATTCACTTTGTCATTATTAATTATCAAGTTGACATTCGTAGTGACAAAAGATTCTAGAACAGTTCCCTAATCATTTGTACTAGTTTTATCATATTGTGGTAAAACGAAGTTTTTAGAATTTTTGACTCATAATTTTTTCGAATCAAGTATCAGAAGATATAAATAAATCTCTTATAACTGCAAAAATAATTGATTTTTTGGAACAAGTCACCTTTATAAAATAGATGCCTACTAATTGACGCAATGAATGTCTTTTTAGATATCGATTAACTTAATATATCACTTACCCAAATTTCGAATCAAAATGTCTTTAAAAAAATATTCAATAGAAGGAAAACCAAGATAGTATTATAAAGTAGTAAAGTACTCATGGTCATATAGCTACCATCATACGTGATTTATATGGTTTTCTCTAAGATAACCATAAACAAAATTTAGGTTTGAATACATAAAACATGATTAGTATATCACCAATTTCCGCAAGTTGATGGTTTTTAATATAAAACTTGAATACAAGTATACAACAAATTAAGAGACTTCTGTTTCAGAAATAAAAGAAAAGAAAAACAAATTAAGAGACTAAAGAAATCCGACAAAATAAAAACTAGTGAATCGCACTAGTTCTAAAAAGAATCAAGTGGGGCCAGGATTTGTCTTTTCTCCACTGCTCAATTACCATTAATAAATAATCCCGGAAAGGCATTACGTAATAAATTGATTTTGCGCTGTAGTAAACATTTCAAAGTTTTACAAATTTTGGACTTTTAAATAATTAAGGAAAAAAGTGGATTATCATTTGATTGGTGCATTCCCACCACGAGTACGCTGAACGTGTCGTTAATTGCAGCCGTCGGACTTGACATTTAAAGCTACATGAGCTAATTATTTATTATTCTGATGATGTAATAAATCTTCTTTTTACCATAAACCAGAATATTATTCTTTGTACGTCAAATGCTCTTTTTTATTATTTTCTACCTGTCCAAATTACGATATACATTGGGAAAAATAATTTTAGTGAATAAAATCTCAAGGAATATTAAAGAAAATAAAATCTAGAGGAATAATAATATTTTATATATTGGGGGCACAGTTGTATTGTGTGAAGCAGAGAATCGGTTCCAATATATTATCCAAAAATTTGTTTTTATTTATTAATTTTTGTTTGATTCTCGCGATATTATGGAATCACACTCTGCCAATTTGACCTTTCTCCTTCTCTCTCTCTTTCTCTATCCAATCGAAATCAGATCAACCAAGATAACTCGCAGACGAAAACTTTCCCGGGAAAGTTCCAGAAAAAAAAATGTGCGAGCCCGATGATAATACCGCCAGAAACGGCGTCACTCCTCCATCGTCGAGGTCAAGAGAGCTTCTGATGGATGTCGATGACTTGGATCTCGACGGCTCATGGCCTCTGGATCAAATCCCTTACCTATCCTCATCTAACCGCATGATATCTCCGATTTTCGTCACGTCTTCCTCTGAGCAGCCTTGCTCGCCTCTCTGGGCTTTCTCCGACGGTGGAGTAAACGCCAACCACGAGACCGCCGGTGGCGACGATGAGAAGATCAGCTCCGCCGCCTCCGCCGGTGTTCCTTCTTTCCGTCTCTCCGACTATCCTATCTTTCTCCCTTGTTAGTCTCCCCGAACTCTCAGCTTTTGAATTTTGAATATCATTTCCTCTGGAAATTAATTGAAATTTTCGAAAAATCTTGATCGCAGACTCGAATTTTGAATTTTGTTATCCTAATGGAATGCTTTAAACTTGAATTTAAATACTTGATTATGGATTTCGCTGAGGTTTTGGTTGATTGATTGATTGATTTCGCGTTTGACTTTGTTTGTCTCTGTTCAACTTCAATTTCTGAAAATTTTGGATTTGAGTGTTTTGAAATTTCTCGTTCCCATTTATGATTTTGACTTTGTTGCTAGTTCAAATCAATATGCTCGAGTTTATTTTTTTGGTAAAACGATAAGATTTCTAAAAATAGATGATTTCTCCAAAAGTAGTAAGCAAGAATTGGCGCTAAGTATTTTGGTCACTGATAATTTTGCAGACGCTTCTTCTCCATCAGTGACTGAAAACACAACAGAGAAGCAAAGCAGTTTCCATTTCCCATCTCCACTGATGAGCCTAGTCCCGCCGGAGAACACAGACAACTACTGCTTAATCAAAGAGAGGATGACTCAGGCGCTACGCTACTTCAAAGAATCAACGGAGCAGCATGTCTTGGCTCAGGTCTGGGCTCCCGTGAGAAAGAACGGTCGTGATTTGCTGACGACTTTGGGTCAACCTTTTGTTCTTAACCCTAACGGTAATGGGCTTAATCAATACAGGATGATCTCTCTCACATATATGTTTTCTGTGGATAGTGAAAGTGACATTGAGCTCGGGCTCCCGGGTCGGGTTTTCCGTCAGAAACTCCCCGAGTGGACTCCCAACGTTCAGTACTATTCCAGCAAAGAGTTCTCTCGCCTTGACCACGCCTTGCACTATAACGTGCGCGGCACGCTTGCCCTGCCCGTCTTTAACCGCTCTGGTCAGTCCTGCATTGGTGTCGTCGAACTCATCATGACCTCTGAGAAGATTCACTATGCTCCTGAAGTTGACAGAGTTTGCAAAGCCCTTGAGGCTGTGAATCTGAAAAGCTCAGAGATACTTGATCACCAAACCACTCAGGTTTGCTACAAGTATCAATTATGTGATTTGATGGATAGTAATTCCTCCGTTTCATATTAGTTGTCGTTTTGAGAAAATGTATCTGAATGTATTAAACTCAAAACACATCCACATACATTAGAAATACACTTTCTTAGAACGACAATTAATATGAAACCGAGTGAGTACCATTTAGGTACTTCCTTTTTCTCAATGTATTCAGCTTTTTTTGGTGTTTGTAGATATGCAACGAGAGTCGTCAAAACGCGCTTGCTGAGATTCTAGAAGTGCTTACAGTTGTATGCGAGACTCATAACTTGCCTCTGGCTCAGACTTGGGTGCCATGTCAGCACGGGAGCGTTCTTGCCAACGGTGGAGGACTAAAGAAAAACTGCACCAGCTTCGACGGGAGCTGCATGGGGCAAGTGTGCATGTCTACAACCGACATGGCATGCTACGTCGTGGACGCTCACGTCTGGGGATTCAGAGATGCGTGTCTTGAACACCATCTCCAGAAAGGTCAGGGAGTCGCTGGACGAGCTTTCCTCAACGGCGGATCCTGTTTCTGCAGAGACATTACAAAGTTCTGCAAAACGCAGTACCCGCTGGTGCATTACGCGCTCATGTTCAAGCTAACCACTTGCTTTGCGATCTCTCTTCAGAGCTCTTACACTGGCGACGACAGTTACATTCTTGAATTCTTTCTTCCCTCGAGTATAACAGACGAGCAAGAGCAAGATTCGCTGCTGGCTTCGCTTTTGGTGACGATGAAAGAACATTTTCAGAGCTTGAGGGTTGCTTCTGGGGTTGACTTTGGTTTAGATGACGACAAGTTGTCTTTCGAGATCATTTATGCATTACCAGACAAAAAGATTCATTCGAAAATAGAATCCATTGTTGTTCCCTTCTCTGGCTTCAAGTCAAATCCAACAGAGCCTCTGTGTATTCCTCCTCAGCCTCCGGTTAATAAGTCTTCTGATCCGGTAAACGAGAAACTCAACGTGGCGAATGGTAATGGTGTGGTTAAGGAGAAGAAGAAAACAGAGAAAAAGCGCGGGAAGACTGAGAAAACGATCAGTCTCGATGTGCTTCAGCAGTATTTCACCGGAAGTCTCAAAGACGCTGCAAAGAGCTTAGGAGGTAACTTATATAATCATGTTTTTGGTTTAGTTTAGTGTCTACAGATAATTTCAACTGAGCTCTCTATTATTGTTCTTGTCTCAGTTTGTCCAACGACGATGAAGAGAATCTGCAGACAGCACGGAATCTCGCGGTGGCCATCAAGGAAGATCAAGAAAGTGAACCGTTCAATCACAAAGCTGAAACGCGTCATCGAGTCTGTTCAAGGCACTGATGGAGGACTCGATTTGACTTCCATGGCGGTTAGTTCCATCCCTTGGACACACGGCCAAACAGCAGCAGCGCAGCAGCTTCACTCACCCACCGGTTCCAAACCGCCTGATCTACCACCAAACACCAATAACATCTCACCTAACCACTGGTCAAGTGATCACAGTCCACACGAGCAAAACGGTTCTCCCGAGTTACCACCAAGCAACGGTCACAAGCGGTCACGAACAGCGGACGAGAGCGCCGGGACACCGACCTCTCACGGCTCGTGTGACGGTAACCAGTTAGACGAAACAAAAGTCCAGAACCAAGATCCGCTCTTCACCGTCGGTGGATCACCGGGTCTCTTTTTCCCACCTTACTCTAGAGACCATGATGTATCCGCCGCATCGTTTTCAATGCAGAACAGGCTTCTCGGTACTATAGACCATTTCCGAGGAATGCCTATTGAAGACGCTGGAAGCTCAAAAGATCTGCGAAACCTCTGCTCCTCTGCGGCGTTCGACGATAAGTTTCCGGAATCAAACTGGATGAACAATGACAATAACAGCATCAACAACAACAACAACCTATACGCACCTCCAAATGAAGAGGCCGTTGCAAATATCACACGAGAACCATCAGGCTCGGAGATGAGAACGGTGACGATCAAAGCAAGTTACAAAGAAGACATAATACGGTTCAGGATATCTTCTGGTTCGGGTATAATGGAATTGAAGGATGAAGTGGCGAAGAGGCTGAAACTTGACGCTGGTACCTTCGATATCAAGTATCTTGACGATGATAACGAATGGGTTTTGATAGCTTGTGATGCTGATCTTCAAGAATGTCTCGAGATCCCTAGATCATCACGTACTAATATAGTGCGGCTCCTGGTTCATGATGCAACGACGAACCTCGGGAGCTCCTGCGAGAGCACGGGAGAGTTGTGACCGGAGGTGGTTTTTGGGCTGTTATTGTAATTTGTAAATAAAATTTTTGAATTTCTTTTTACTGTTTAGGGTTTGTTTTTTAATTTGTTCTTGGGTTTCGAGTGAGGAACAAGCAAGAATGTGTATTGGAGACAAAGTTGTAAGAAAAAACATTTGTTTGTAACTTGTAACTGTAAGAGGAAGAGTGATGTTAGAAGTAAATTTTAGTTGTAAACTAATTCCAAATATGTGTTTTTATATCTGAAATTGAAAGCAGGAATCAAATTGTACTAACGGAAAAACAAATTACTTCAAATATTATATCGGCTATTCTTTAGACTTCCAAGGAACAAGCAAGAGTGTGTGAGTTACCTTTTGTAATAAAAACTTTAAATTTGTTCATTTTAGAGAATTTTCCTAAAAATTTAGATAACGCTAGAACTACACCGATGCTGGAAACTGTCTATACGCGAAATCGATAAAATTCTAGAATGTTTTTTTTTTTAAATTCTTATTCAACTGTATATAAAAAAATATATATATATTTAACTTTTGTAGTCAACTGCGTATTTCCATGTATTTCTGGAAACTTCAATAAAAGAATTAATACAGTAGGTGTAATAATGGAACTTAAAACAATTCTTTTTGGAATAATCTTAACCAATCATATTATTGAAATCTACATTTAAAGAAAGTAATAATATTTACTCTTTTAACTTGTTTATTATTCTATGTCTTTGACATATTAAATTATGTTCTTAAAACTGACAAAATATAGACGAAAAAAAGAAAAACATATGCATAACATAAGCATATTATAAGAAATTTATAAGCAAAAAACATTACTTTTGTTATTACATTAAAACATAACATTAGTCTGGCCCCTACATAGGCCTATCTGAATTATCAAAAAAAAAATCAAAAAATTACATTTGTATTATCGTAAACATTTAATGAACGAGATAAAATGCTAATAGCTTACCATGATAATAAGCAGTGAGTATGCACTCGTCATGATGGTGACGGTGCAGCAAAGGAGTCCAATTACTAGCGTCCGGATGGAGGTTGATTGAGTAAATGTTAAAGGCATGATGGCTATTGCCACGACGACCAAAACCTCAATAATATAAACCATAACTACAGCAAGTTTTGAATTGTTGCACAATATATGGTATATATTATTATGTATGTAGTTTTGATAATGAGCCCTATTCCATTAACGTAAGGATGATGGTGTTGTAGGGATGGAACTGTGGGATTACATAGAGGAACCATACAAGGCAGCTCATGAGAGCAACCATGTATGGAGTTGGAGAACAGTCTTCTACCGTTTTTGTCTCTATTTCAACTTTTTGTTACTTTTAAATATTGTAATTTGTTTTTGCAATTTTGTGTTTTATGACCATAAAAGACTTTTAAGACTTTAAAAAAAACCCAGAAAAGTCTGACTGAGTAAAAAAAAAAAATGAAAACTGTCATAAATTTTATAACCATCACGTATCAGTGACAATTAAAATCTAGATTTGTAGAATGAAATGAAGAAAATGTTGATAAATATATTTAAAATAATAATCTTTGTAATAAGAGAAAGATAAATTAAATTTAAAAATTGTAAAAAAAAACTAAATAATTAAAATATAATCTCAAATAAATGTAAACACAATATTACAAATAATATTAATTTTGGTTTTAATTTTTATATACAAGAAAATATAGTTGTTAACTAAAATAAGGTAAAAAGGCTCTTTTTTACGTTTAAAATATATTTTTCAAAATTAATAAACACAGTATATTTTTTATTTTAAATTAAAATGAAAATGTTTCCTAAATATCCCGTTTTAAAAAACAAAACAAAAAAATGCGCATCCAGGGAATCGAACCCTGGTCAGTACCGTGGGAGGGTACTATGATACCACTACACCAGATGCGCTTCTCTGCTATTTCGTCATCGTATTTAAAATATATCTACAAGTAACTAAATTACCATCACAAATACGTCTGCATTTTCGAATCGACAAAACAAACCCAATTTGTTCTCCGCTACTCGAAATCGAATCACACCCAACGATATTGAATCTTCTGAAACCTTAATCGGATCGGTGAGGGCCATGGACAAAAGCATCAGCATAAGCACCAGCGCCTCTATCACCTCCAACGCAAGTACGACTTCCATGGAGAAAATCGATCAGGCGGCGAGCTGGGTCAGCGCCACCGTAATCTCCGCTTTCTTCACCTCCCTCGAGCGCTGCGCCTGCGTCAATCTCTCCACCTCCCATGACGACGAAGACGACGACGCCGATGAGGAATCCCACCACCGTCCCCTTGCTCTATCCGCCGCGCCTCATCCAAACGACAACGTTTAGCTCCGTTTTGACCGCCGGTAATTATTATTAAACCTTTCGTGTTTGGCTTCTTCTGCTAATCGATGGTGTGGATTCGTAGCTATGGAATTTGAAAATATGTCTGCAGTGTGTGTAATGCTATCGAAATTTCAGACCTTTTTGAATTGTAAATGCCAGACTTTTGTAACTTTCTCTTGTTCTGATTCTCAAATGATTATACTTGGATTTGAATGATGTACATATATGTTTGATGTTTTGAGTTTGAAAAATTCAGTGAAGATAATTTCTTTCGAAGATCACATTTCGTTTCCTATCTTCTTTGTTCCCCAATTATTGAACTTGGTTACACTTACAGGTTCATGTCACTTAGATTGCATAATTTCAAAATCGACAAAATGTCTTTATTGATATTGTCTCAGTTGTGAGGACCAGTTTAAGGGTAAACGTCGTGTTTAATTGGAATTGCCCAATTTGTTTCCTTATCTTAATTCCATGGTTTCATCCATACAGAGAAAACATTTGTTTAAGCGTCTTTGTCAAGTAAATGTATATCATAGGACCATACGAGTTTCTCTCTTGCACCTTTTAGTTCATTGAATCTCAATTGAGATCTAGAAGACTAGAACAAAACTTTTGGATTTCTTTAAGATTCTTCAAGTGAATCTTCTAATGTTTAAGTCATAGTTCCAATTGTCAAATAATTATCATGTCGAATCAACAATGACTCTGAAGAGGTTCACAATATCTCTTTCTTTGTGATCACAATATCTCCTGTCTTGCGTCGTTTCGTTTTAAGGTTTAGGAAACAAAAGATAGCATAACTAACTTGCTTTTACTCAGTTTGCATTTGAAAAAGTATTGATTAACAATGTTCATTCCGCAGCTAAAAGCAGAGCACGCATTCACATTTATATTAAGTTTCATTTCTTTTCAGTTTAATCATTTATATTAAACGAGGAAAAGGTTAAACTTATGGACGGTTTGGCATGCTTCCTCTAATTAACAACAAAGTAAGCTCTTGGGATGTGTATATTTTAACTATAACCTCTCTATCTTTCAATTATTAAGGCCACTGACAACAACTTGTTTTCTCAAAGAGATTCATTTTAATTTTAATGTTAAGCATGTCACTTTTTCCCCGTGATCACTTCTTAAAACAGCGAGTTTTGATTTTTGGCTACTTTGTTAAAGTCACGTTCTATTTCAAGAAATCATATTTTCCTGATAACGTCGTATTGTAATTGACCTCTTTGGCTTCTTTTTAAAGAAATATCCCAATTTCCCTCAAAATCTTATCAAAAGAAATTTAAACCGATCTCATCCTTTGACAGCCAATCGGAATGATCCATCTGAGTCAGCCAGAAGGTTTAGTAGTATATATTTCTAAACAAAAAATTCTCTTTCCTTTTAGGTTTGCGTTTTTCTTAAAAAAAGTCAAATTCAAACATTTGGCAATGAATCCACACAAACGTAATTGTTATATTCCAATCTCCAAACTCTTCTTAACCTCTTCATCTTCTTATAAATCGTTCCCCTCTTCGCCTCTCTTTGCTACCTACCTTAAACGACAACGTATGATCAATCATCTCCTCTTTTTCTTCTTCCTCCTCTCTTTGTCTTTCACTACGACCATGGCCGTCTCGGACTCAGGTCCTGTCGTCAACACAACCCCGCTCGTCACTCTCCTCGAGCGCGTGCAGATCACGGCACTACGATCCTACCCGAAAAAACAAAGCCCTGACCCCAAATTCTACATTGATCTGTCCCTCAAGCTCCCTCACAATCTCTCCACCGTCGAATCAGCCTTCAACGATCTCACGAGCGGATCACGTGACCTCTCAGTGCCGGTGGAGAAGCTGAAAACGTTCGTCGACCAATACTTCGACGGCGCAGGAGAAGATCTGCTGCACCACGAGCCAGAGGACTTCGTCTCAGATCCCTCCGAGTTTCTCCTAAACGTGGAGAACAAACAAGTCAGAGACTGGGCGCGTGAGGTCCACGGTCTCTGGAAAACACTTAGCCGCAAGGTCTCTGACTCCGTGAGAGAGTTTCCTGAACGGCACACGCTTCTACCGTTGCCGGAACCGGTTATCATTCCCGGTTCGAGATTCAGAGAGGTCTATTACTGGGATTCTTACTGGGTCATCAAGTCAGTGTTTTTTTCTTCTCGCAAGTTTCAAATCACAAAATTAAATAATTGGTTCTTTTACGTGTTGACTACGGAACACGAGCTCACGTGTCACCGTCTTATTATGTGGGTTTTTGCACGTGCAGAGGACTTATGACGAGTAAAATGTTCACTACCGCCAAAGGTTTAGTGACGAATCTGATGTCACTGGTTGAGACTTACGGTTACGCTTTGAATGGTGCCAGAGCTTATTACACTAACCGAAGGTAACCAAATATTGATATTTGTTTCTTGGAGAAATTAAAATGTTATGTTTATGCAAGAGAACGTAAAATTTGATTTCTTGTGTCTTGATTGTTACAAAGCCAACCACCTCTGTTGAGCTCAATGGTCTATGAGATTTATAATGTAACCAAAGATGAGGAACTTGTGAGGAAAGCTATCCCTGTGCTTCTCAAAGAGTACGAATTTTGGAACTCAGGTTAGTCAGCTAGTTATGTCTAGTGATTTAGCTAATCACAACGATTTAGTTAATAAATTTACAACGGTTTAGCTTATAATATAAACGAACTTAGTTCTTAGATTTAATTCTTGGTTTATGTTTTCTTCTTTGTAGGAAAACATAAGGTGGTTATTAGAGACGCTAGTGGTGCTGATCACATTTTGAGCCGTTACTACGCCATGTGGAACATGCCAAGACCTGAATCCGCTGTTTTCGTATGTTTCTTTGTCTCTTTGCGGCAAGTAAACACTTTATTTTAGTTTGCATGAAGAAATCTATTGACCTTCTCTTTCTATGTGTACCACAGGATCAAGAATCTGCTTCGGGGTTCTCTAATACGTTAGAGAAACAACGGTTCCATCGAGATATTGCTACAGCTGCTGAATCAGGATGCGATTTCAGCACGCGATGGATGAGGTTAACCAATTAACAGAAAAAAACTGCAGTTAGATTAGTTAATGTGAATGTAACTCTTAATTAAGCTTTAAAACATTTTTTTATAGGAATCCGCCTAATTTCTCTACAATGGCTACAACATCAGTTGTACCGGTGGATCTAAATGTCTTTCTTTTCAAGGTATTCAACTTTCTTGATCATAAGTACTCTCTTTGGTTACGGTTTCTTGTCAAATATAAGCTAATGTGCTCTCTAGTAACCACTGAATGTGATCGGTTTGTCTTAGATGGAACTCGATTTAGCCTTCATGATGGAGATTATTGGGGATGCAAATGGTAAAGACCGTTTTACAAAAGCGGCGAAAGCGAGAGAGAGAGCTTTTGAAGCCGTGTTTTGGAACGAAAAAGCAGGACAGTGGCTAGATTACTGGCTTTCCTTCGATGGTGATGTAAGTTGGCAGAATCTTGAGTGAACATTTAGTATTCTTGATGAGAAATTATTACGAGCGCGTGTCTATGTCTTTTAGGAGCCTGAGACATGGAAAGCTGAAAACCAGAACACCAATGTCTTTGCATCTAACTTTGCTCCAATGTGGATTAGTTCCTTCAATTCAGGTAAATCATGTTTACTTGTATATATGTTTATATGTGAATTTCAGAATTTCTTTGTATATTGAACGTTTTGTTCGTGTAACATGTAGATGAGAATCTTGTCAAGAAAGTTGTGAAAGCTCTTGAAAACTCAGGGCTCATAGCTCCTGCTGGAATCTTAACCTCTTTGACAAATTCGGGACAGCAATGGTAAATGAAACTTGTGGTTCAAGTTTTCCACTTTGAATCCTTAAAATTTCTTGATGAAACATTTTGTAACTTAGAGACTTGGTTGCATTGGAACAGGGATTCTCCGAATGGATGGGCACCGCAACAAGAGATGATCGTGACAGGGCTCGCGAGATCAGGGCTAAAGGAAGCTAAAGAGATGGCAGAGGAGATTGCAAGGAGATGGGTCAAAAGCAACTATGCTGTTTACAAGACAAGTGGGACTATTCATGAGAAGCTCGATGTTTCAAAAATTGGTGAATATGGTGGTGGTGGAGAGTATAAGCCACAGGTAAACAAACAAACATTCTTCTTTTAGCTCATCTTCTTCAGTTTCTTTTGATTTCATGAGTCTTAGGGGTCTAAAATTCACAAACATAAACGTCAAGACTATATTGCAATGTGAGTTTTAGATATTTGATGTTTCAAGTTGTTGACTTATTTTGTTTATCTTTGTTGCAAAAACATGCAGACGGGATTTGGATGGTCAAACGGGGTTATATTAACATTCTTGGAGGAGTTTGGATGGCCCTCTGACCTCAGCATCGAACCTTAGATTTACTTCTTTTTTCTTAAACAATAAAGAAAGGAACTAGAGCCCATTTTTATTTGATAAGAACTTTGCGATAGCAAAATTTGATCGTAGCTTAATTTTTAAACATTAATATTAAACGATTCCGACTCTCCCCTGAAATATGTTAAGTAACACCAGCATAAACATAGAGTACATAACATAAAAAAAGGTAAAACAAATCAGATAGTAAATCAACAATGAAACCGTTTATTACTTGTTGGTATGACAGAGTCTCTCCAACAAATGTATTCCCTACCAACTCTCGAGCCAGATTCTCAACCTCTTCCTCTGTCACCTTAGATATCAATAAACTTAAGAAAATCACATTAAGTTGTGACTATAAAACTATGGAATCTAACACTTAATTTGGTGTTATTATTTGAGTTGTTGGATTGAAATGGGTGAGTGGGAGCTGAATAATTTATACAAGCTACATATATTAGTGATCAATGGACTAATCAGTGATAAAAGGTGGATTATTAGTCAAATATAGCTGGCAGACAAATAAATTTATATAGTTTATGGTTTTTGTGTAATCAGTAGTTAATTTAAGTTAGGAAAGGGTGATCATAAACAGAATCTCCCCTTTGGATGAATCAGATTGAATGTACCATACGAATCGCAATAGAAAAGTTGCAGCTTGTATAGTTAATTATTAAACTCATATATTATTATAAAAAGAACCCTTTAGTTATATTTGTTAGTTATTATCTAGGATAGTAGTACGTTTAGCTTTGTGTTGGGCATGTTGGCAACTTGGCATTACGTGTTACTAGCGTTAAAACTAATGATAAATGAAGAAAGTTAGTATTTGAATTCCCTTTGTAAAGTGGACCGACTAGTATTCTTTAAAATCTTACTAATGATTAATATACAAACTGAAATAAACTAGTTCATCACTAAACAGCCAATTTCCCGACGAACTAGACTACAACACAAGTGTTATAAAACGTGATTTTAGATTATATGGCGGTCGTTTAAGAAAAACAGGAGATCATAATTTAGATGGCCGTTAAATATAATTTTGGAATCAGGAACACAAGTTGCAATGCTATTAAAATCTAAGCTATACACTTAAAATCAAATAAAAAACACAAATAGGGTGGAAAAATAATGGTTACTCGTTTAGATTATGCCAACGGATTATTCATAGAGAATCTTCCGTCCAAGTAGGGATTGGTTTAATTTACTGCTGGTCAAATCCATTTGTTTCCCCCAAACCCCATGTGCACTTTCTCATTAGTCAAACAAACTGAAAATGTTACTCCCTCCGTTTCAAATTAGTTGTCGTTTTGGCAAAATATAGCTGCAAATATTTGGACGTATCTGCAATGCAAAATATGTCCAGATACGTCTAAATATTTGCAGATACATTTTGCCAAAACGACAACTAATTTGAAACGGAGGAAGTATAAGTTTGGATCTCTTAAAGCATTTTTTAACGTCGGAAATAAAGAAGCAACTTTCTTTATTAACCGTATCCGTATGTAATATTATAAGGACTGTTCTGTTACGAACATACGATTTGTTTCGTTGCCGTTTTACTTTAACATGGCTGCATTCTTTTGATAGTTTTTTTTCTTTGTTTTCAGTTTGTCTTGGTCATATACTTTTGCTTACATCTTAAAAAGCATGTTGCTACTTAGAAATCATTATGTCTATCACTCTATCTAATGAAACCCATGGAGTAATTGTATTTGTTGCTATCAAACAATCAACCTCCCATAATCAGAGGGTTTCGGTTTTCTTGGATATGGAAAGCATCTAACCAGCATTAAGGATGGAGAAGGTATTTGGATTGTGGGTGCCTTCGTAGAAACATGGAATTATTGTGGTAAGCTGTTTCCCTTCCTCCCCGTTGTAATTTACGATTTCATGATTACATAATCATATTGAGATATGATCATTTATATGATATCAAAGCTCAAATAGCTAATGTTAATCATTACATTAAAAAAAAAAACACACATGTAAGTGTGAAGAAATGGTACGTAACATCGATTCTCCTTTATGGATATTGTATAAATGTATTTGGGACTATATATAAAAGTAGATTTCTTCTTAATGATTTTATTAATTTTCTACAACTACTTAAGCAACTTATGTAGTGTCAGCTTTGTGCGGTATATGATTGATTTATGTAAGCCACAAATTGTCCCATGACACCTTTTCGCTTGGTAAGGAAGACGCCATTCCATTCGCTATGATGAGGAACTTTACCTTTTTTCTAATTATAACAAAAGAAAGAGAAACGCATAAGCCAGAAAAGAATATCCACGATACATAATAGAACAAGATAAAAAGGTACTTTTAAACTCGGTAGAATATATGTCATGTTGATAACTATAAAGATAACTGTGAATTTTGAATTATTTATCAACATCACTCTAAAGAGAGGTACATTGAGAAGAATATTGAAAGTGACGAAATAATTCTCAACAACCAATTTTCCGGGGGAAAATGTAGAGATAATTTAAAGTGGTATATTTTGGTTACGTAATAAATACTAATCGACCTTCGCAAAAAAAAAAGAAAAAGGTGATACAATGAAGACGTGATATGTATAAATGGCCCTAATAAAATGAAACTGAGTCCCTAGTTTCGTTGGCGCTAGCGAAATATAAAAGTGCTCCAAAAAGCTGATTTTCCATCATCTTTTATTTTTCTAGTTTTTTTCTTTGTTTCTAACCGAAAGTTTTTTTTATTTAGTTTAATTCCTCAGCCATCTGGATCACTGAAATTATAGATTACTCTTAAGTTCGCTCTTGCACATATGTAACTCGTGTATGTGGGTGGGTATTGCTGGACATAACATCACATATTATAAATAGAAAGTTGACATAACAAAGCAAAGTGTCTCCTATTGATAAAGTCTCTGACAAAACCAGAGTACTCGAAGACACTTGATCCAAATGAATACTTTCAACACAATGTCTCAAGAAAAGGTGGGTAAAGGACACTCTAGGTTGGAAGTAATCAGTGTTCAAAATTCACCCAACTTCACCTTTGGATAAGCTTAATCGAACTACCAACATGGCAATGAGCTGGAATATAGTACTCAAGAGACAACAAGGACAATACGAAAAAAGAATCTATATACCTTATTATCTCTTGTCGTGTGTGAGAAACAAGTAAGAAAAGCTAGTGTTTACGTGGTTTTCTGAATGTGTTAGAAGGTGAATTTGGGAATGAACCAAATGGCAGGTTACACACAAGAAAAATAAATGGAATATGAAAGTGAAGGAAATATATTCATCTCACATATTCTTCCACAGTATTTTCAAATCTCTATTTTGGAGTAATTGTTTTCAACTAGTTCATTTTCAATATACAAGAAATATTTTTTATTAACTTTCGTTGTAAGTGGTTACGTTAGAACGGAATAGCGATAACTGTCATATTCAGAGCCGTCCCTGAGTATATGTGGGCCGCAAACCCAAAAATAATATGGGCCGATTTCTTTAAAATAAAAAAAAAGTTAAAGGTATTATAGGGGAATCGAACCCACGGCAGCTGAAGTCATATAAGACGGACGATTACCAGTAGGCTACAAGAGGTTTTTGTCAAAAGTAGGGCCGAAAATATACATATCTAAATCTGGGCCGCAAGCAGCTGCTTGCTCTACTTGCTCCCAGGACCGGCACCGGTCATATTCAATTCAATTTTTATTTCTCTAAAAACACAAGCAATTACGTACAGCCGTAAGCATTACTACTCCGGTCATATGAATTTGGTAAACATTCCGTCTTTCTTTATATTTTAAGCTCTCTTTTTTCTAGTAAATATGCTTTCATTCATGAGAGGTGCATGTGAACTTTGTATTCAACAAATTTTCCGAACGTAATCATTGGCTGAATCCTCACAAAAACTAATGCTAACAAAATTAACAAATTTAGATGCCTTGTAAAAATGGTATTGGATGTTACGGAGACATGAACATTAAATTATTGAAAACTGATTGTTCGCCATCAACTAATAACCAAACTAATTAGTGAACAAAATTAAATAAATTATCGGTGACCGTGTTCCAAGGGAGAGAAGGAGCGATCCAGCAAGCAATTTGTAACCATCACGTGCGTTAACCTTGTTGCAAGATTCTTCGTTTATGTCTGTAAATCGTATTTATCCACAATGCCTCTCCTGTCATTATTTACCCTTCAACTTATCGTTCGTTGTCTTAAATAACTTTCGTTTTACTTAAAGAACAAATGTGCTGATTTACATTTTAATATGTACGTATCTTCTTGTAAACTATACTAGTTCACATAGTTTGTTAAAAAAAAAAAAAAACTATACTAGTTCGCATAGTTCCATAATTTTTAATTGTCATTTAAAAACTGTTTCCGTTAGTCCCAAGACCGGCGTTTATTCCGAGATTGATATAGGAATTAACTACACACATTAAGAAAATGCAATTATTATTTGTTTAATTGAGGATTAGTAAACGAGGATAGAATAATGAGTTAATGAGTGACACCAAGTATACAACTAATACGTCATGATTGTATAATTGTCCCCTACAAGTGAGTCAAACCTTAGGCCTTTTGACCGTTAATATTTGCCTTCGACGACAATCTTTCCCGTTTTAATTTGATTTGCTTCAATGGATTTTTTTGCTATACAAAATAAGCGTTGGTAATTGATTTTAGTAAACTCTCGCCAATATTGAGTTCCTTATGATCAATGATGCAAAATAGGAAACAGTGTCATTTTCATAGTTCCAATCAGAGACTGTCAGCTGTTCGATTAATTTGAACACTAAATATTTAATTAGGTTTGACCCAAATGGCTTGATAAAGTATTCATCGATTCAATCCACTAAGTCACACAATTTAAAAACTGATAATTACCAAAAGTCACATGATTTCTCTCTAAGTATAGAGATACAAAAAGTTGATGATTTGTTTCCCATTACACATTGATATGTTTTAATTTCCGTTGAATAGTTGAGATTTCGTTTCCAATTTTAGTTAATAGTTTTCTTATTCCTTTAACCCTCATATGAAAATACATTAAATTAAAATTTATATAGATCTCACTAGACCTACCACTGCAAAAGTAATTTAAAACATGGAAGAGAGTACAAGAACGATAAATTAATTTTGTTTTCACCGATTCTACTGATAAAAAGTAATCTACTTTTTTACCTCATCAATCAAAGTTGACTATAAATAACACATTACTATGTCCTCTCATATTTCTCTCCCCCTTGCCAGGCGGCGTTGCCTACAAAAACCTGACAAGAGAAGAGAAACAGAGTTTTCTCAGAATTATCTGATTTTACCGTTATACCCTCCTAACTGAAAACGGCAAATTACGTTCCTTCTCATTTGTTTTCTTCTTCCTTCTCTTTCTGTGGCTTTCAATTTTTCAAAAAAATAAATCGATCGTCACTCAATAACACTCGCCGGTTAACAGAAAAACTCCGATGATTGAGACTGGAAAATACCTTTTCGGCGCCGCCGGTGCTAGCGGCTTCGGCTCTAAATCCACCGCCGATGAGGTAACCGAGAACTGCGACCTCCGTTCCACCACTGCGATTATCACCGGTGAGTTTTTTTTCCCCACTTTATTCGCTCCTCTGCTTTCGAGTTTTCCGGTGAGTCTCGAATCGTCTGGTTTTCTCATTGTGAAGGCGCGACGTCGGGGATCGGAGCAGAGACGGCGAGAGTGCTGGCGAAACGAGGAGCGAGGTTGGTTTTTCCGGCGAGGAACGTGAAAGCGGCGGAGGAAGCGAAAGAGAGAATCGTCTCTGAGTTTCCGGAGACGGAGATCGTCGTAATGGAGCTTGATCTCAGCTCAATATCGTCCGTACGGAGCTTCGTCGCCGATTTCGAGTCGCTCGATCTTCCACTTAATCTTCTCATGTAAGTCAAATACCGTTAAAACCGCTTAACCACTAATCTTTTTTTTTTCGAAATTTCTTTTAAAATATTTGTGTCTATCTGATATAATCGCTTAATAGAAATGTCAAAAAAAAATAATTAACCAAAGTCTAATTTCATCATTTTATTGCATCTTTGCTTAAATTTTCCCTGAAAACCAAATCAATCTTATATGCATGTATATTTCTTTATACACACACATACGTGCGTCTGCTTTTTTTTTGGGAATGTATGTGAACAGTAACATAAGATCAGTTCTTAATTTTCTTTGAATCGGATTTTATTTAAATATAATAGTCTTTAATATCTTATTGTATACAAATGTCGAATCAGAAACAACGCAGGCAGATTTGCACATGAACATGCAATATCCGAAGACGGGATCGAGATGACATTTGCCACTAATTATTTAGGTAATATTTTCTTAATACGATTCCCCTCAGTCTTATGACAGATCTTAATTACTCGATATTTTCTCTTATTGTTAATCACGTTCTTAAATTTTTTTATTGTCAGGCCATTTTCTGTTGACCAATATGTTGCTGAAGAAAATGATACAAACGGCAGAAGAAACAGGAGTTCAAGGGAGGATCGTCAACGTCACGTCGGGAATTCACGGCTGGTTTTCCGGCGACTTGATCGAATATCTCCGGCTGATTTCCAAACCCAAGTGGTAAGTTTCTTTTCTTTCCTTTTTCTGTCATCATCAAAGAGGCGTAAATGTTCCATAGAAAATGTTCCCTAAAACATTAACATTTTTAAACTGCAAATGAAAAAGTAAATATGCAACCACAGCTAATAGCTAGAAGTATAAATGAGAGAGTAGGATTCATGTTCTTGAGAGGTGAAAAATTGTTGAGGAAGTTACTTTCTTTTACCAAAAGGATAAAGCTGCGTAGTTGTTGATTTTTTTGACTGATGAGTGACAGACAGTAAGTTGATAGAAGGGTAATAAATGGGAAAACGAAGTAAAAGGATTTTGACCTTTTGGAAGTGTAATAACTTCGTGTTTTTTTTGATCGATTAGTCAATTCGATGCGACACGTGCGTATGCTCTCTCGAAGCTTGCCAACGTTTTGCATACCAAGGAGCTCTCTTCTAGACTCCAGGTCTCTTTCTCTCCCTACACACTCTCTCTTATTTACATTTACATCCCAATTAATTACTCACCCCCAAAAATTAATTATTCCATAGAAAAAGCCAGAAGCATTGTGGTAGAAAATTTAATAACGTGTCATAAGAATGGTCCAATTTTCTGAAACCCCCTGTTTTGTTGATTTTACTCTCTTTTTTTTTCTGAGAAGAGTGAAAGGTATGGGAAGGAGACAACAAGAAACCTAGATAACTAGGATTTGTATTCTAACCAAATATATGAAAAAAAGTTAGTTAAGCCACGCACTACAATTTTATTTGACTATTGACCATACTTAGGATTAAGACAAGCATGTGGGTCTTTAAACTAAAGTGATTAAAAATTTATACTAGTATATAGAAAGATGATTTAATGTGAAAAGAAAATGCAGAAAATTGGAGCGAACGTGACGATAAACTGCGTACACCCAGGGGTTGTTAGGACCCGGTTAACGAGAGACCGAGAAGGATTATTGACAGGTTTAGTTTATCTTAAATTATTATTCATAATTAAGATTCCTAATGATGTCTTATATGATTTCTCTTTGTCTCTTCTTCCTAACTCAGATCTCGCCTTCTTCCTTGCTTCCAAGCTCCTTAAGACCGTCCCTCAAGTAATAATTTGTTTTTTTTCTTTAATTACAAAACTTATAACATAATCTGTGGTGGATAAGTTATATCCTTTCTAGAGACTATTGGATTTATGTGCTACTTTTGTTTATTTTGGCAATGGGATTAGGCAGCAGCAACGACGTGTTACGTGGCAACAAATCCAAGGTTGGTGAACGTATCGGGAAAATACTTTACGGACTGCAATGAAACGACAGCGTCCGGACTCGGAACTAACTCCTCCGAAGCTACCAAATTATGGGCTGCTTCTGAGATTCTGGTAACTCAACACTCCAAGGCCGGTTTCAACCCATTTAGCTAAAGAAACAGAAATCAAAGAAAGTAATAATTAGATGAGAAAAATATTATAGAGTTTAGTTAATCCCCCGAAGTTATACATGTTATCAAGAGATTTATAAAGATATATTTAGATGATATATACAATTAGTATTCTATTACTATAGTACGAGTGCGAAGCTGATGTACTTTCTAGTCTTTGTTTATGCTTTATACTTAGTTATAGTATTATACAATATGATAATGGATAAATTTAAGCTTTTTTCTTATATATATACTTCATTTCTAATTAGATTATAAAAATATGAAGTATATATGATGTATAATTGTAAAGGCAAAGTTGGACTATTACGCTAAACTAAGAGTATACTCCTTTTAATATTAAAACTTAAGTGGGAAATCATAATGTCAATCATTAGTTTCGAAAGTGCTTCGAAGTTATGCTCATCTTTTAGTAATTCTTTTGATTAACTCATTTGGACTGATCTGTTAAGATCTATCTCCCCCTCTCTCTTATCGTTTTTTTTATATTTTCTTTCTTAAATAACCTTTTGGACATTGACTATTCATATGTCCATGTGAGAGATCAAAAAGAAGTTCTGGCTTTCCATCACTGTTTTGTTATTACGTGTGATGCTATTTGGAAGTCTTTTCTTTTAAATAATGAGTTTGGAGTTTGCATTGATTAGTTAGCCTTTTGCTTTAGTTTACTGTTTAAACCAGTGCACGTAATTTTATGTCAAATAAATTAATACAAACTGATATTCTGTCTTTCTGCAAGTGTTAATTTAAGATAAATAAGAAATAGTATAGCAAAGATATAAACTAAAAATATGGATGTGGTTGATGAAAGAAATTCAAATAAAGGGAATATAAAGATAGATAGGGGACTTTAAGATTTAGGACCATATAAAATGGCGCATGATAATACTTTTGCGCATGGGTCATTTCTTTTTCTTTTTTATTGAAGGGACCCTACTAACATGCGCCAGGGGTTTTCACTTCCTAAAAAGAACTCTCGTCCGCCATCAGTCTGCTCCGTCCTAATGGAAATTTTAATCATTACAAGAAAGAAGAAAAGTGGGGGAGAAGGTTGGGGCAAATAAGCAAGCAACAATGCACACTCTCTTTTAAGAGCACTTTAGTGTTATAACAATCTTAGCATGTTAAGTAAAATAGTTCATACATTCACACGTGCTATTCATTGATCATTGATAAACTAGTCTTATAGCATCGAGACTTTAGTTACTTGCCAAATTAGACTTTGGGGCGGTCTCAATACAACAACGTGTTTAGGCCTATTACGAGGGATCACTTAATGGACCTATCTCTTACATAAAGCCCATATGTATTGAGGCCTCCAAAGTCCGTAATGCGAGTTCTTTTTATTTGTGTAGGATGCGATGTTTTTAACTCTGAAGCAAAAAACTATGTAGTGCTGCTACTTACTGTTTGGTTCTCCATGTTAGAGTAAGTAAATCGTGAAATGATAAGAAAATTCAAACTATCTAAGAGTTGAGTTATGGCTCATGAGGTCCATGCCTCATGTACGCCATAATAATTTTCAAATGGTGATGTTTGATGATGCTATTTAACCTTAAACCGAAAAGAAGCAGACCCAATAAGACCACTAGTTTTAAGTTAGCCCATCAGTAGACACTACACATAATAACTAAATAGAACCAATCATTTAAATCGAAATATTTAGCCACCCAAACTAATAAACTAGCCAGCTAAACCCTTCGTTTAAAAGATGAAAGGTTATGTACTGTCCGGGCCATAACAGTACGGAGTCACCAAACGAATCAAACTTTTAGGCCTTTTGGTCGTTAATATATGCCTCCTAGGACATTTCTAAACTTTTTTCCAAAGACAAATTAGCAAATTAAACTAAAATGACAAGTAATATAACTATTTTCAATAATGTTTTCGTCCTATCGTATTAGTTATTTAATTCACAGACGAGAAAAATACACCATTTATTTATGGTTTTGTCACCATTTTATCTTGAGAAATTACAACACATCAATGAAAACTTGTTTGCATTTTGGGAAGAGGATGCATGATGGTGGTGGCAAGTTGTTAAGGTGCGGGTTTGTCCACACACGCTGACATGGACCGCAACTTCAAAAGATGCTATCCACGCACTACGTGGGACCCACAAACAAATCTAACGGCCCAGATTCAGTGGACCTTTTCTTAGGCGAGAATTATCAGACCAGGCACGCGCATGAGGAAATGTGGGACCCAACTTCACCGGCCACAAGCTGTAGTAACCGTTCATTAATCTCTCTGGTCAACTCAAATTACGACATTTGTCTTCGTCTCAGACACCGATTTGTTGTAGTGATTTTAAGAAATGCAGATTGATAACTAGAGCATCAAAAATTAAAAACTGAATGAAGTATGACTATTCAAAAATTTAACACCAAATCTGATGAATAAAGTTAATTTTCCATGCGCTTTGTGCTAGATATATTTATTTTTATATCTGCAAAAATATTATTTTATGCATTTGGTGACTTCATTGGTGATAAGAAGATAACTAATGAGAGAGCGTGGCACGTGGAGTGAAGGAAAATTAGGTGTTCCTGAGCTGTTTTGTACACTAAGATAGCTCACGTGGCGATGACACATAGGCCATGTTAAATCTGGGGCCCACGCTAATCGAACCAGCGTCATGATTACCGTCCTTGGATATCCTGAGTCAGATCTCGACCGTCCAATGAAATCAGATTAAGCTCGTGCGATACAGTTAATTACTAGCCTAATTGGAATCTTAAGCCACACGTGAAAGACGGATAAGTGTATGAGTAAGTGATGAATAACAGATGAGTTTTTTTTTTTCTTTTTTTCTTTTGTAATTTCGGGGCATATGGACCTTTAAGGGTGTGTTTGGCTCTCTCTTCTTAACATTTTACATGTAATGTTTCAAACATATAATCGTATACGTGTAAATAAATGCCAAGAAACATGTTTGACAAAATGTATGAATGTTTTCAGTTTTGTTTTTATTTGATTTAAAAAATAAAACAGGTCGACCAAGTAAGAGAGAATATAAGAGGTCAATTCGTCAATGGATGGTCAACTTATAAGGTACCTGAATTTAATTCCTCCGTACAAATATGATACTAATAATATATTTTTATATCGTGAAAAGTATTGAATTTCTGTCATTCTGTAAATTATTACAAATATCCATTTGCATAATTATATATCTGCTGATAATATATTTTGTATAAGCATGGCCTGATAACTTTCTAAAAACCATAATAACGAAATTGTTGGGTAAAGATCCCACTTTCCGTCATTTTACTATGAAAAGAGCAGTCGACTTTTGAAACAAAAGAAGAGAACTATCTACTTTTAAGCTCAGGCATTTAAATCAAACTAGGAAATTTTTGATGTACAACATATTTTGAAATTTCAGTCTAAACATAATTGAAATCGTTGTGGACGTTAAGACTTAGATATCAAATACCTAACTAATGACCAAAAATTCTATCCAGCTAGGATTTTCAAACTTTCAAATTCTCTTGAATTGACAAACAACAATTTAAGTATGTAAAATAACTAGAAATTGATAGTTGATGAAATAAGAAAACATTGGCATAGTCAAAATGTTTCCAAAAGCCAAAAGCAGAAGCACTATATGTTGCAAATATAACTTGTTTTATGAGTAAACGTGTTGAAACTGATTGTTATTACAAAAACCCTTTACGATAAGACTGTTTTAAATTATGTTTAGAATTTTTTTCTTTCTTTGAGGAATGTTAGAAATGTTAAGTATGCAAATTTTCGTGTGAATCAAGTACTAAAAAGGGTAATTTATACATTACTAATCATAAAACCGTAAGTAAGCCAGTAAGTAAACCGTAAGTCTGTAAATTAAGAAGTAATAGCATGTTACAACTAAACTTGTCAACTTCAAACTTTTTTCTTCTTCTATCAATTAGTGTAAACGATCATCTAAATTATAATTTAGAATATTAGAACCTCAACAAGAAAACGAATTTTCCAATGTTAAACTTCAAAGCTCAAAGCGTTTAGCCACGACATATTTTGTTCTTCTTTCACAAACGCGTCTTTGTATAATTTTTTTTTGCTGTTGTTAATGCATTAACTTAAAACACAACAATATCATCAATCTATTTATATTTTTCTTTGTTTACTAAAAAGTTTCCGGATCCATATCTTGTCAACAAAATATGTCGCTGATACTAGTATACATCCTACATTTTTCAAGAATCATTATCCAAATATCATAGATAATATGTATCTGTGTGTGTGTTTAAAGTTTAAACTATGAAAAGTTTAAATTATGTAGAACCCTATAATAGAAGCCCATACATACATGCATATACTATTCATGGACGCATATTAAAGTATTTGTTCATTTTCAGTACGACAAAGATTCCCACTCGGAATGTTTTAATAATCTTATATTGTACAATTTGCGCTCTCTCTCTCTATCTCTCTACCATAAAGCAAATGTGATCAGACAAGCTTACAAAGAAGTTCCTCATTCAAAAAAGATTTCTCAGCCTTCAAAATTTCCCTTCTCTCCATTCAACAAAAAAAAAGTTTTTTTTCTTACAATTCTATAATTAAATTAATTGAGTAAAAGAAATCAGATTTTGTTTCTGCTGATCTGATTAGGAAGTTCATCTATGGATACGGCTCAATGGCCACAGGTATAAACAAACATATTTATACATGTTTACAATATATATACCTATATTTTTGCAACTCAATACGTATGTGTTGATGTAGTCTAGATCGTTTGATTCATCTTGGCCTTGGAGTTCTAATTTGTTTTTTTTTTTCTCTTTTTCTTGAAAAAGGAGTTTAAAGTGTTGGATCTTCTTCTTTTGAATGTTTCTCTTCTCTTCATTAGTTTTTCTTAAAATTATTTATTACATATATGGTTTTTCACTTTACCCTTTATTAATTTGCTTTTTCTTTATGTTTTTAGTGTAAAGCCTTTCTCAAGTTTCCTAATCATTTTATCTTGATGAAGAATCTGTTTATTTGTTCATAAATACATATATGTTATAATAATTTCTTTACATGTATTTATATATAGGTATAGTTGATTGTGTTGATTGTTGAACGAGTTGCTTTGTAATTTTGATGACTAGGAGATTGTAGTGAAGCCCTTGGAAGAAATAGTAACGAACACATGCCCAAAGCCACAACCGCCCAAGCCACAGCAGCCACCAGCGGTTGGAGCGGCGGGTGGAGCTGAGAGGAAGGCAAGACCAGAAAAAGACCAAGCTGTAAACTGCCCAAGATGTAATTCAATCAACACAAAGTTTTGCTACTACAACAATTATAGCTTGACGCAGCCAAGATTCTTCTGCAAAGGTTGTAGAAGGTACTGGACTGAAGGTGGTTCGCTTAGGAACATTCCCGTTGGTGGTGGCTCAAGAAAGAACAAGAGATCTCACTCAACTTCAATTTCTTCTGATATTAGTAACAATCACTCGGATTCTACACAACCAGCTACAAAGAAGCATCTCTCTGATCATCATCACCACCACCTCATGAGCATGTCTCAACAAGGTTTGACCGGTCAAAACCCTAAATTCAATGAGACGACCCAACAAGATCTCAATTTAGGTTTTCCACCGCATGGGTTGATCAGGACCAACTTCACTGACCTCATACACAACATTGGGAACAGCAGCAATACCAACAAGGGCACTAACAATCCATTGCTTGGTTCTTCATGTTCTGCCACATCAGCTATGGCAGCTTCTTCTTTGGATCTCATAAGAAACCATAGGAATAATGGGAATTCTTCAAATTCTTCATTTATGGGATTTCCAGTTCATAATCAAGATCCGACATCTGGAGGGTTTTCAATGCAAGATCATTACAAGCCTTGCAATACAAACACAACGCTGCTAGGGTTTTCATTGGATCATCATCATAATAACGGATTCCACGGAGGAGAAGAAGGAGGAGAAGGTGGTGGTGATGTGAATGGAAGACACTTGTTTCCTTTTGAGGATTTGAAATTGCCAGTTTCTTCTTCATCGCCATCAAGTAATGTCGACGTTAATGATCATCAGAAGCGAGGAAGTAGTGGTGACGCAGCTGCAACTTCTGCTGGATATTGGACTGGGATGTTGAGTGGAGGATCTTGGTGCTAGTTTTCTCAGTTTGATGATGAAGATAGTACAATTAATGGTTAATTATTGTTATTTATTTAATTAATCAGTATGTTCTTAATTTCACTTTGAGTTTTCTTATTGGCGGTTTTTTCTTTGGTTTATTTGGATTTAAGGATATTATTGGGGGTGCATGCATATTGAATGACTTTAATTTGTTTTGAACTTTGTTATGGCTCGCTAACACAGATTATAAATGATACATTGGTTGGTCTTTTGATGTTCCTTCTCTTTCTATTTTCATGTCTTTTTCCCCAATAGTTTCAGATTACATGATCAAAAAACTAATGCCGAATATGCTGTATATATATACAATATAGTGAGTAATTATATGCATCATCATAGTATGTTTTTTAATTGTCACGCAACGCATGGATGTTATTTTGTTAAAAAGAAAACAGGTACATATTTTAAAGAAAATAATTAGAAGAGACAGGTAAGCTCTGATGACTTTCACATGATCCTCACTAAATACACTTATCTATTATTTATTGCCAGACACTGGTTTAAGCCCTACCATCCCAATTAATTAATAAAACCATATTCCATCTAATTTATATCAAAAGTTTATTAATGGATTCGTTCCTGACCTGAAACAATTGATTGGGTTCGTTTACAATAACTAGGAAAGGTGCCTAATTAAATTGATGCACTATGATTATATGGCATGAGTGAATTTGGAAAATGTGAAATTCATGGTTTCGTTCTAGATAGTTTTGGTTAGAAAAAACAATTTGAAATGAAATAATGTGTGTTTTCGATGTGTAGACTAAAGAGGCAACCATTTTTTTTTAAACAATTTTGAATATAAAGAGAGGGAAGAATAATGTGAGAGACAAGTCACAAGTCTAAGGATTAAAAAAGAAAGGGGCCCACAAAAACATTCTCCTTGAAATCTGTGTGTTTGAAATTATACATCCCACTATGGTTTCAGCTTCATCAATCTAGATCTTGACCCTTGCTCTTTGTTTTTGTTTATTTAACTGCTAGATTTTGGTATTCCATATAGAACTTTAAATATCACATCGGGTTAATAGCAGTTGAAATATACTCCAACTATCGATACAACATATATTAGCTGCCTATAAAGCACGAGAGAATTAGCAATTTACCCCAGATTGAAAGATTTCTTGTCCCTTTATACCTATTTTGACTTTGGTCATTATTGATCAAAATTGCCCTTCAATTTATTTATAAACTCATACAAAATGTTTTTTAAAGTGAAAACAAATTCCATAATTCCTAAAAATTATTTCAGCACTGTGTAAAATATTTGAATATTTCTGAAAATGCTTATGATATTTAAAAAAATATTATAAGTTTCGTTCTACAAATCTAAAATAACAAAGTAGACTACGTTTTCTACAAGATATTTGTTGGTCTAACCTCCGTAGAACATAATATCTACAACTTATACATACTTCTTCCGGATGTAGAAGTTGATATCTACCAAGCCTTATAGGCTCTACCATTTTGTAGAATTCGCACCAAATATATTCTACACAATCAAGTATCTTCTACTACTCGTAGATTTTACGTTCTACGCGAAACACTGCTATCTACAAGAAATAGTTTTCGTATTCTACGTGTTTTTGTCTAATCTACATCCCGCAGAAGTAGTGTTCTACTAAAACCATGTTTTCTACGATCCGTAGTACTCGTGTTTCTAGTACACAATCTAGCAAAATTAGTGTCGTCTACGGTTTTGTAGAATTCATCTTCTGCGAAGATCGAGAAAATATTGCAACTGAATATTTTTCAAATCTTTCTTTCCTTTCTTTCTTGTTCGTTTTTTTATTTATTTATTAAATTTTAATTTTAAAAATGAAAATGTTAACAAAACATTATCCAATTAAAAGGAAGGGCAAAAATGAGAAAAATGCAAAAAAAAAAAGGTAATGGGACAAGATACAAATGTGAAAGGTGTAAAGGGACAAAAACACTTTCAATATGGGGTAAATTGCCAATTCTCCATATATTAAACTTTATTTGTAAGGGATTGATATCTTCACAGATTAGACATAACTTCGTCTCTCCCTAAACAAGGCTGAAGTTTAGTTAGATGCAATTGCAACCACATGATCATTATCTAATCAAAGCCACCAATTCAGTAACAATTAGATAATCCCAAAAACTCTTAGAAATGATTCATTTGTTTCTAATTTAAGCGAAATGATTCATTTGTTTCTAATTTAAGCTTTTATACTCGGATGTAGTTTTGTTCGCTCATGAGTGTGTAAGACAATTCCGGGTGAAACGAACGCCAAACTGATTTGTTCTAAATTTTACCACACTCATACCAAAATAGATTTTGATTTTCGCTTTGGTCTCAAATGCAGCTCAATTATAGCGTGAAAAGAAACGATTCTGAGGATGTTAGTACAAGCACGTAAATTTTATATTTTAGCTTAACTAAAACACTTTTTAAGGGAACAAAATAAAAAATTAATGAGATTGGTGTCGAACAACATAGACATCGAGGTCAAAAGACTATATGTGGTGTGTAATGGTGGCCACTATATAAAAAGGAAGAAAAAGAATCCGACCAACGTTAAAAAAATTTGTCTAAAAGTGACAGTGACTCGACGTAGAGAACATACTTCTACACTAAGTTTTTTTAGTTCGGTGTGTCAACTTATGTCTGATGGAAAATCATTTTGAATTTCTAATTGAAGTAGAAGACTTCTACTGAATAATTCAACCCTTTATTCTTAGTATATTGTTTGGTGAGAAAAAAGGGAAGAAAAATGGGTATTTTTCCAAGCGCTACCATCTAAATCCAAAGGATACTTAAAAGGGATAAATCAATAATTCACTGTGATTTTATCCCAAAAAAAAACGAAAATTAATTCACTATGATAACGTGGTTGATGATGGTCACAATGTCACATAATAGACATGGACATGACAATTAGAAAGAATCGCAAAAGAACCCTTCTGAATTCTGGCCGAATCCATTCAGTTTTTGTACACCTTTTATATTATTCTTTTCTTTCTATTTTTAGAACTTTCGAATTCATAAAAAAACAAGGTTTAATTCTTTGAAAGTCAAAACAGCGTAACTTTTTTGAGGTGGAGTAGTTGATTGAAACATTGCGTTTTCATGTCTTAAATAGCATTGTGTTTGTGTATACTTAATCGTTGCATGACACGTTTCTAAGAAAATTCCAACTTTTGACAGACTGAGATATTGTGATGAAAACCTTAACATGACATATCCACGAGTTTGTTGTAGCGAAAGACTTTCGCAGCGAAACTACTGTTAAACTTATAACAGTACATCTTTAAGTTATAATCGCAATTCAAAAACGCGATATCCTTCTTCTTCATGATATGCGAATCATTCAACACAAAAGAAACATTTATCCTTTCATTACTATATATGACACTATATATGTGGTATGAGTTTGCCTAAATTAAACATCATGGTGTAAGTATTTATTTTACAAAAAAATAATGATTTTTGACAGGCTTCAGAGCATAGCCACAACAAAAACACAAATTTAGAAAAAATAAAGATGGTCAACTCAAGCCCATCCGAAAACTTGTGGTCCGTTTTCATGTCCGTCGACTTCAACTAAGAGCTTCATCTGTCAAGTTTCCACTTTGAACTTTGGTCTGAATTACTTTTGTTCAAGAGGTTTCTAACTAAATCAAAGATTAGTTTAGTTACAGTAAAACTCCAAATCTTCAAATTTAGTGATTGGTTGTGTAGATTTGCATATGTACCATAGAGCGCCGTTAAAGCCCAAGTCCATCATCACTATTGGGTCGGTGTCAAACGACGTGTTGTGGTCCGGCCAATATCACAGCCAGGGCCTATTTGATTTGAGCTTAGCAATCGCGTGATTTGAGTACACTCAATTCTCTTATGTTCTTACTTTCGTTTATACACTGAAAATCTTGAGCTTAGGTTGGAATATTGTAGATTTGGTCGTCATTTTAAATTTCTTCTGTTAGATCATACAGATTATCTTCCCTGATATAACGCCCTTTCATTATAAATATGTAAACTACTACTAATCATGTAAACACTGCAACGTTTGACAAAATCAATTGAAATAACATTTAAACATGTAAAACAGAGTTATGATACCATAGTCTTTGGTTAGGTAGATTGTAAGCATACGATATTTAATACTTTTTAAGTGTGAAGTGACCTGGTGCGCTATATGATATTTAATGGGAGAAAAATCCCCAAATCAAGCCGACACAAAAATCCCCAAATCAAAATTATATAGACCCACGAAAACCCTGAATTTGAAGTAGGTCGAGTGTTAATCTTTTGAATTTCCAGATGATGCAGGGTCAACTTTTTTAAGGTGGTTAGTTGCTTATTTTGTGTCTTTGTTTATGTTTTTTTTTAATTTAAAATAAGAAGAACATGTGGTGGATTTTGTGTATGTTTCTTAGATTGTTTTTGGTTGTGCCTTGTGACTTAAATTAGTGTTAGATAACAGAATCGTAATTGATGAAATGTTTTTTCCCCTTAAACATTCTTCAGTCTAGTTGTGATCTCAATGAAAGTTAATAAACATCTGTTCTCTTTTTTTTTTTGGTCAAGAAAACATCTGTGCCGTTCAAAAAAAAAAAAAAATGTCAAGAAAACATCTGTTCTCTTTATCTCATTTTGCAGGCAAAACTGAATCGATTCAACGGTCTCAGTAGAAGCTGTGTTTCAGAGCCAACAACTGCCACAATTGTGATCAGCTTCAATTAAATTTGTGTTCTGGTTTAGTCGGTTTACTGTTGGTTGGTAAAAGAAAACCAGTTTGATTGAGATCCAAAACAGTTTAATAAATGGTTAACTCATATTTAAGGCTTCTCTTCTTTCTCTTCCAGTTGTCAGTCGAAATAGCATCAGGTTCTTCCATTTCTCAACCCCGAAAACCCCTGAAATCGCGTCTCCGAGACGGAGAGAAGCTTTACGGTCTATTCCTTCTCTCTTTCTCACCGGAGTTGGCGGAGATAGCTGCACTTTCCGGGTACGACTTCATCATCGTCGATCTCGAGCACGGCGCCGGCGGGATCCCGGAGGCGCTCAACTGCATTCGTGCAATAGAAGCCGGCGGTTCCTCAGCCGTCCTCCGCGTCCCTGACATTAGTCAGGCCTGGACGAAGAAGGCGTTAGATCTGGGACCGGAGGGAATTATGTTTCCGATGGTTGAAACCGGAAAATCTGCCTCCGAGGCGGTCTCGTTTTGCCGGTATCGTCCCGGCGGTGTCCGCGGATGTGCTTACTCCATCGTCAGAGACTCCAAATTCGGCTTCGATGATGCTTATCTTGCTAATTACGCAGATAAGCTTCTCGTCATGTGTCAGGTTCGATTTCTCCCCCTTTTTACATTTCGCACAAAATTGAGAATTTGGTCAATTAGGGATTTTAGCGTAGAGATCACGTGGAAATCACTTCACTTGAGCTGTTTTAGGGGAAATGAAATGTTTACTCGAAATCTCTTCAATTTGTAAAATTTCATAAGGTGGAAGTAAAAATCATGAATGGTTTTTATATTTAATTCTTGAGTTTGCAATTGCAGATAGAATCTGAGGAAGGTGTGAGGAATGTTAACGAGATCGCAGCCGTTGATGGGGTGGATTGTGTGATGATGGGTCCTAGGGATTTGAGCGCGAGTTTGGGGCTTCTTCACGACCCAGGAAACCCGAAGGTGAAGTCGGCCATGAGGACGGCGGAGACGGCGGTGCTTGCTTCGGATCCGGAAAAGGGGGGAACTTACTTGGCTGGGATGGCCACGGCTCAGGATAAGGCGGTGGATCTCCGAGGACGTGGATATCACGTTGTGCTTGGATCAGCTGACTTGTCCCTCTTCAAGAAGGCGGCCGTTGATGATGTCAACGGTTTTAAGATGCTTTAAGTCAACTTTTATTGAGTTAAAAAATAAAAAAGCAGAGAAGAGTCCACGGTAGTAGACCAAAAAGAAACTTGAGATTAGGTCATTTAGGAGTTTGGTTTGGTCTGTTTTTCTGTTTTCAGTTAACTAAACAATGCCGCAACCATGTTGTGCCCATATTAGCGAAGTTTGGTGGCTCGTGATCGCTGCATAGTTTATTAACTACTCTATCGTTAAATGATTAAAGTCTGTCACTAAGTCAATTTTACAATGCATTGTGAACAAAACATTGCTAATAATTAGTTTCATCACTAAACCATTGTCAATGATACAATAGGCATAATAAATATATGTTTTGAATTAATACACTTGACTACGGATTTCTCGACACATCCAGACATCAGTTTGGATATCATTTGCCAATTTAAGTGCAAACCATAGGTCCATAACATGAGTCCAATGCACTGGTTTGAAAAATTAGAATGCATGTCGTTCGGACACTTCAGGACCTAAAGTAATGTCGTTTGTGTTTTTACAAAAAGCCTGCTGTTTTTTTTTCACGTGCCGTTTTAGTGGCCATTTTTCACTCCAACTTTTTCTGCTTTTGTTTTCTTTTTCAAAATGCTCGCTTCAAAGGAAATTGACTTCAATGATGCTTTCAGTGTCTTCCGTGAGTTCTCCAAGAGTTATATGTCCGGTATTGTCGGAAATCAAGTGGAGGAGCCTGTTGAGCAGAGAAGAGAACAGATTTTTGCTTGATGGTCTAGGAAAAAGCTTCGACGAGGGTGGAGATAGCGAAGAGAGAGCTTGCAGTCGCAGATTTAGAGAGGCAAGAAATCGAGGCGTTTATAAGCTTGAATCAAGAGCCTGAAAGGTGAATTTTTTTTTTTTTTGGAGCCGTGTAAATATATGATATGATGAAACATTTTAGTCTTTTGAGCTTTGGAATTTGAGATTTTATAGACTAGTTACATCGAGAATGATTTGTTCATACTCATTCAATTCCATAGATAACATTGCAGGTGACACTGGTTATATTTCAATGGAATAGTGAATTTGTTCATGGTGGTGAGGGTAGGTTCAAAGTTGTTCCAGTTCCAGAATTTCAAACCACTACCTACGGTGTTGCTTTTATGCTTGAAACCTGGAAATGGTAAGTTTCATTAGATAAGTTAACTGAAAACATTGTGTGAATATAATCCATTAGATAAGTTTACAAAAACATGGATTTGGTAGCATTCTGAGTTTTCATTATTGTTTCCAAGCAAGTCTTTAGTTTGTTTTCGTTATAAAAAATGGTAGTTCAAATTTTTCTACCATCAAATTCCTTGAAATGTAAACTACTCTGTGTTTGTTACTTTATAACAAAAGAGACAGAACATGTTCATCTTATTCAATTATATCTGATTCAAGACCGCAGTTCCTTGTCCCTAGCCGAAACTGAGATTGTAGCATTCTGAGTTTTCATTATTGTTTCCAAGCAAGTCTTTAGTTTGTTTTCGTTATAAAAAATGGTAGTTCAAATTTTTCTACCATCAAATTCCTTGAAATGTAAACTACTCTGTGTTTGTTACTTTATAACAAAAGAGACAGAACATGTTCATCTTATTCAATTATATCTGATTCAAGACCGCAGTTCCTTGTCCCTAGCCGAAACTGAGATTGCTAGTGGAAGTTCCGAAAACTGAGATCCGCATCGATTTAACAAATAATAGTATAAAACTTAATTAAGTCAAAATACTTAGGAAATAATTTTTAGTCCACGCTTTGATTTAACTAATAATTTACGAGGATCCATCCTTAAACCTTTTGACGTCATCAACCACTGCTTTCTTAAACAAACCCACGTCAGCAGCTCCAAGTATCATCTGATATCCACGTGATCGAAGATCCACGGGTTTGTCGTTAGGCGTGGCCATCCCGGCCAAGTAAGCTCCGCCGTTCGCCGGATCAGAACCTAGCACAGCCGTCTCAGCCGTCCTCATCACCGACTTCAGCTTCGGGTTTCCCGGTTCGTGGAGGATCCCCAAACTCGCACTCAGATCTCTCGGCCCCATCATCACACAATCCATCCCATCAACGGCTGCGATCTCCTTCACATTCTTCACACCTTCCTCAGATTCTATCTGCATACTCAAGAATTAAATAAAAAATAATTTCAAAAAAATATTTATTAGCTAACCAATGAAAGAGCGAAACCTGGCACATGATGAGAGTCTGATCGGTGTAATTACGCAAATACCCCTCGTCGAAGCCGTATCTTGAATCTCTGACGATCGCGTAAGCGCAGCCGCGGAGTCCTCCAGGTCGGTACCGGCAGTACGAGACGGCGTCGGAAGCGGCTTTTCCGGTCTCGATCATCGGAAACATGATCCCGTCTGGGCCGAGATCCAGAGCCTTTTTGGCCCACGCTTGACAATTATCCGGGACACGGAGCACGGTGGAAGATCCGGCTGCCTGGATTGCACGGATGCAGTTGAGAGCCTCTCTGATTCCGCCGGGACCGTGCTCCATGTCGACGACGATGAAGTCGTAGCCGGATAATGCAGCGATCTCTGCCATATCGGGAGAGAACGAGAGGAGGAATAAGCCGTACAGATTTTCTTCTTCTCTGAGGCGTGATTTTAGAGTAGACCTCTGAGAAGAGAAGAAGGCCGTGGAGGAGACTGAGTTGGTTGGTAAAGGTTGTACTTTGTGAAGCACCGAGGTCGGATTCAGATTTGGGATCGTAGACGGGAAGCGCCTGAGAATCCGAGAAAGCATTTTTCCAAGGGAATTGAAACAGAGAAAAATATTTTCAGAAAAATTAAAAGGAGAGGAAGAAGACAAGTAGGAGCGGTAGGTGAGTGACTTTAGTGAGATTAGGGTTACTACACTTTTTATTACACAGATTCTCCTTTGTCAAATAAATTTTTACTATCTCAAGCTAATTGACTTACCACTGTTTACTACTAGTATGGTGGTAAGTGGTAACTTTCAGTGCAAACATATGATCTGGAAATAAAGGAGCTTTTACTAATTTTTTAGTTTCCAAACTGAAAATAATGATACGTACGTACTACTCTAGAGTCTCTAATCCAGTTTACTATTTTGACTTTTTATCATTCACTTTTAACTTTTAAGATTTCTGAGAAATGGAATGATGTATGTGGATTAGTATATTTTAGCATTTAAAAAAAAACTATACATTTCTACATGTTTTCCATAACTATATTTCGTAATATATGAGAAAATATGACAAAATAGGGAATATGACAAGATCCTTTCCTACATTTTTTTTAGATTGCCCAATTTCTGCAATGGTTGAAAAAGTTTAAAATATGGTATTTAAAAATACACACACAGTTCCTTTCCTTTCTGTAAATTAGCGTATGGTATTTGAGGCAGTCTAGATCCCACACTCAAATACTTATTCCTGCTCGAATAGAGGATTTTATTTTACAACAAGTTTTAGGCCACAGAAATCGTAAATTTTGAAAGAAATTATAGAGGCTACAGATTATGAGCAGCAGCTTCCTATAGAGGCCACATACTACTCTATTCCAAATATGCAGTCATTTCCTTTCTCGCTCCCGTGCTTTATACGCAGTTTTCCATGACAAAAAAAGGAATATGACAAAATAGGAAACAACAATATATATGATATATTAATATTATAGACACAATCTTCCAAGGTATTTTAATAAGGGTGATATTTAGGACATCTAGCGAATATCCTAGATTTTAGTGGGATCCGTACAAAAAAGGAACATCGTATTTTTAATTACTTTTATATCTCTTGCAACTTATTATTTTATTAGTTCTTTCCTATTTATATCACCACTCCAGTCGGACCGACCATTACTATCGTATATCGTACTTACTATATATAGTGAACCAATGTTGAAATCATTAATAGTATATACTATATAGTTACCCAATACTATTAGTGACTCAATAGTTGAATCGTATATCGTAATAAACTATATAGTCACCTAATACTAATGTAACCATCTTAAATCCGGAGCCGTATATCCTTTGTCTTCGTCAAAGGTAACAGATTTGATTACTGAAGTCGTCGGTAACGAGAGCGAGGGAGGTTGTAGAGAAAAATAGAGAGCTAAAGAGGAGAGAACAAGGAAAGTAAACCCACAAAAACAAAGTTGATAACCTCGGTGGAACTGTAGGATCAAATCCCAAGCAAATACATACTACATTTTAATTCTTTTACGTACCGTTGCTTCTTTCCCGTAGAATTTAACGCTATATTTTGATTTTCTACAACCTTGAATGAATTATTTTATTTCGCATATATTTACGGTCACACTCGTGGTGTTTTGTTTCTTAGGAACAGAGATACAATAATTTACGCTGCATGCTCTCAGCCTATCACTCTCCTCTTTCAACGATGATCTAGTGTTGAGCGTATTTCATGGACCACTTCATTCACAGCCGTTCGCATATCCATCCAGTGAAGAGCTTATCTTCACGTTCTGAGCGTATCTTCATCGTCTAGTGAGCGTATCCATGGTCTAATTCACATATTTAAAACGATGACCCTTTCGTGGTCCCAAGAACCAGGTCGGTATAATGTGGTAAAAAACACTACTGTTTAACACAGCTGGCTCTTGGGCTCTTCCATTTCTCATTTGAATACAACAAAAACTAACGTGATATTTCTATTTAAGGCCTCTTCTTCTTCTGTATTTTTATACTTCCTTATACTCAAAGTCAGTCGATATGGCATCGTATGGCTCTTCCATTCCTCAACCTATTCACTCACGAAAACCCCTGAAGTTGCGTCTCCGAAACGGAGAGAAGCTTTACGGTCTCTTTTTTCGCTCTTTCTCCCCGGACTTGGCGGAGATCGCTGCACTCGCCGGATACGACTTCGTAATCATCGATATGGAGCACGGCGCCGGTGGGATTCCGGAGGCTCTCAGCTGCATTCGCGCTTTAGGATCCACCGGTTGCGCAGCCGTTGTCCGCGTCCCTGAGATTAGTGAGGCCTGGGCGAAGAAAGCGTTAGATCTCGGAGTGGACGGCATAATGTTCCCGATGGTTGAAAGCGGAAGATCTGCCTCCGAGGCGGTTTCCTTTTGCCGGTATCCTCCACACGGTGTCCGCGGAAATGCTGTAGGTCTCGTGAGGGACTCCAAGTTCGGGTTTGACAAGGCTTATCTAGCTAATTTTGCAGATAAGCTTTTCGTCATGGCTCAGGTTCGATGATTTCTCCATCCATTTAAAAATTTTGCACGTTGAGTAACTTGAGTTTCAATATACGAGAATTTTGGTAAATTAGGGTTTCCAAGGATAGAGGATGACGTGGTAAACACTTCACTTACACTTACCCTGCATTCGGAGGGAATCGTTAGACTATAATAAAATGTTTATTCGAAATCTCTTCAATTTGTAAAGCTTCATAATTCATGAATGGTTTATTTAATTCTTGCAGATAGAATCTGAGGAAGGTGTGAAGAACGCAAAGGAGATTGTAGCCGTTGATGGGGTGGATTGTGTGATGATTGGCCCTAGGGATCTGAGCGCGAGTTTAGGGTTTATTCACGACCAATCAAACCCAAAGGTGAAGTCCGCCATGAAGACGGTGGAGAAGGCGGTGCTGGCTTCCGAGCCGGCGAATGGTGGAGCTTACTTGGCTGGGATAGCCACGCCTCAGAATAAGGTGGTGGATCTCCGAGCACGTGGATATCAAGTTGTTCTCGGATCCGCTGACCTGAACCTCTTTCAGAAGGCGGTTGTTGACGACGTCAACAATTTTAAGCTGCGTAGCCTACTTTAGGGCAACTCCTTTTTCATACAAGAAACAACTAGATGATTGTTGTTTGTTTATAATATTTTTTTCCGAAAATTTATATTTCTTGAGTCTTGGTGTTATTTTGTGGACACTCATGCTGAGGTTTGTCATTCATATTTGTTATACATGTTTTTGTTTGTAACCGTGCTATTCATCCAATACGAAATAAAAGCTACAGCCTAGTCCATGCAGATGCTTTTCGGGTCTTATACCCATTACAAAAAGAGCACAACCCCAAAACTAATTAGAATTCGATTTAAATTTTGCCCATTACACAAAAGAAGAAGTCAACTGATCAGCGTAGATTTTTGTCCATGCATGTGTTCTAAATCAGAGAAGATGGAGTTCGCAACGAATTAGCACAAAAACAAAAAACCAAGACATGCAGAAAGCTATGTCGAGAGATTCCTCCATTTATCTCTCTATAGTAAATCGAGTTTTCTATTTCCCATTCATAAAAGTCTTCATTTTCTGTGAGGAAAACAATAGTTAGGTATGTAAATCGTAACTCTAATCAGACCCAGTATTTAAAATCTTATATCGTACGTACTATATTGTGATTAGTGAACCGATACTATTAGTGACTCAATACTTAAATCGTATATCGTATATATATAGGGCGAATTGCCAAATATAGTGCACAATTTGATTTTAAATGCAAAACTAGACCCTATATTGCATTTAGAGCAAAACTAGTCTTCTGGGCATGTAGAATTACAAATCAAGCCCTTATGAACAAAGAAAAAAACGCTAGCCACAATGTCTGTTTTACCCTGTTTAAAGTCTATTCATGAAGTCTACGGTATGTTAGTCTATTCATAAAGTCTAATTCCTAATACAACTCAAATTTAATTTATAAAATTATAGGAAATTGTTTTGATCAAAGAAAATTATACATAAACAAGATTAGAACATTTGGCATCCAAGAAAATAAACTTGCATAAAAATGACTCCATTTAACTCAAGTAAGAGAAATTATGTTTGTAACCTATAAACTGCGTGAAGTCTATTCCCGAAGTCTAATATATAGCAAAATCGTAAATTTTAAGTTTGAAATCTTTTAAAAATATTTTGATGAAGGTATTTACACATAAGTTAAAAAAGACAAGTACTATCCATGAAAAATAAATTTGCATATAAATTGATCAATTTAAAATCGGTAATACAAATTATGGTATAATCCAAAAAATATTGTGTGAAGTCTACTGAAGAAGTCTACCAAATAACAAAATCTTAAATTTAAAGTTTAAAATCTATAAAAAATATTTAGGCTTAAAAAAATTATAAATAATCTAAATGAAAACAAATCCTATCTATGTAAAATAAAATTTTATGGAAATTAATCAGTTTATAAGTTTCATGAGTAAACCAATCATCAAGCTTAGTGTTTGAGGTACAATGTATAGTGTTTATGAGTATGATTGTTAGGGTTTAGAGAATTTTGACATAAAAAATTGTTTGCGGTTTGTTTAACGATTTAAAGCTAATGAATTTATAGTTTATAATGTAAATTGTGATTATATATTCATAATTGATGTTTTCTATAGCTTTGATCTCAAAAATTCGATTTAGGGTTTAGGGTAAGTCAGACTTCATCGGTAGACTTCATAGTTAGACTTTGCTATGAAGTCTTTATTCAAAAAACGAGTGGGAAACGAAATATTTTGGGCGGGAAACGAAATATTTTGGGCGAATAAATTTCTCATTAAAAGTTCAATTTGTAGACTTCACGAGTAGACTTTGTACATCAATTCCGGTTTTTGCTTAGAACCGGTCGAGGAAATTCTAATGTTTGTTGTAATTGGGTTTAACCAAAGTTAACCGGCCATAATCGAAAGTGAGAAACCCAAAATCAGGGTTTCACTTTCACATTTCACTTTCGCAAACCCAAGTCCGTTCCGTTCTCTCTCTTTGTCGGATAGGCGATTGCATGTTCTCTCCGCCCACCGTCGCCGTCGAAGAAGAAAGACAGACCCACTATCGTCGCCGCCGCCTTTTCCCCTTCCTCCTCCGAAGTATACTTCTGTAAGTCATATTCATATATCAGTGATATACGTGTCTGTGTCTGTTTCCCTCTACTGTCGTTATACTCACAGTGGAATCTTCATTTGAACCCTTCCGCCACCGTGGCTTGCCGCCGTGTTGCCGTTGTCCGTTTAGGATTCAAAAATTATAAATAATCTAAATGAAGACAAATCCTATCTATGTAAATAAAATTTTATGGAAATGAATTAATTTATAAATTTCATGAGTAAACCAATCATCAAGCTTAGTGTTTGAGGTATAATGTATAGGGTATATGAGTGTCATTGTTAGGGTTTAGAGAATTTTGACAAAAAAAATTGTTTGCGGTTTGATTAACGATTTAAAGTTAATGAATTCATAGTTTATAATGTAAATTGTGATTATGTATATATAACTGATGTTTTCTATACTTTTGATCTAAAAAATTTGATTTAGGGTTTAGGGTAAGTTAGACTTCATCCGTAGACTTCATTGTTAGACTTTGCTATGAAGTATGTTATTCATAAAATTGTGAGCGGGAAACGAAATATTTTAGGGGAAATTAGCGGGAAACAAAATATATTGAAACAAAATTTTGATACAATATGTCGGTTTAGGAGACTTTGGGAATAGACTTCTTTCCTAAACTTCATAATAAAGTCTATTTAACCGGAAATTTTTTCACTAACCGAATTTTTTTTTCACCTAACCCGAAAATTGACCTAGATACATATAGAAATAACCTAATTTTGTGGAAGAAAAATCTGTAACTCAGCGGCGTCTCTCTCTCGCTGGTCTCTCTCTCTCTCGTCATCTCTCCGTGAACCTCCGCCGCTTTTCTCGCTTGAGCGAAGCCACTCGCCGTCAACCGTCGCCGTTTCTTACCGCCTGAGCGAATGGCAGCTCTCTCTCTGCTCCAATGGATCTACGCGCTTCTGCTCGCCTGAGCAAAGCTACTCACCGTTAACCTTTTCCGCCTCTCACTCGCCATTCACCACCGTCTCCTCTCTCTTATCTTTCACCATTCTCACCTGATAAACCATGTTTTTCTCTTCATAACAGATCGATGAACGTGATGGCGGAGGTCTCTTAATCATATACTGCTTAATATTCTTGATGTCACTTCATTTTTATTTTTCTTATCAAATATCTTGTTTCTTGCTTTTCTCCTAACAAGTAATTTTGAATTCTGTATATGCAGGAGATGATGGAGGAGTCTAGGGAGAAGACAAAGAGGAAGGAGAAGAATAAAAGACCACAAAATCTCTTCCTGTTTTCGTAGTAGTAAGCCCTCTGTTTTCTTCTTCCTCTGTGTTCATATCTCTAGTTTGTAAGATAATTTATTGTTTCTGACATGATTCTGCTTGATGATTCTGCTAACCTCTGGATTTGAATTTTTTAGGTTTCTCAAAGTTCTTGTTTTGATACAGACGAGTTGTAGATGGTAAGTGAATGATTTTTCTTGGGAAAGTCAAATATTGTGAATTGTTTTTGCTTTAAGAGAGACCCTTTTCCTCACATATATAAGTTTTTTCAGGGAGAGTTACGAACGATTCGTGAAGATCACACGAAGATCTCCTTCTCATCTTGGTACCGTTGGAAAGATCTCCTTCTCATCTTTCCAGAACATCCAAGATCACGGTAATCAGAGATATATTTTGAGAGATACGTCCATTTGTTTTTTGAGAAGTCAAAGCAGTTTTAAGATTTAAAATCTTCTTTTCTAGTCAGGTTTTGTGAAGCGATTTCCTGGCAATAAGTAAGGAACCAGTAGTCGATCTACCTACGGTTTTGAAGATCTCGAATCCAGCTTTTCAGATATTCTTTCCGTTGTCAAATCCGAGGTATAGTCCATCTGCAAATTTGTTCCAAAGATGATAAAAAATCTCTGTTTTCTGTTTCCAGAAAATTGCAGGTTTTCGATTTTACTACAAAGCTTAGTCAAAGCCTGCATTAAGCTTTGAGAGGTGTTGCTAATCCTCTTAGAATAAGGGTTTGTTTCTCCATCTTGTATCAGATTTTGATTTCTTCCCTAGTGAAACTGATTTAGGTCTTTGTGTGTGCGATCTTGATTTCACTTCATTTTAATTTTTATGATCACATATCTTGTTTCTTGCTTTTCTCCTAACATTGTTCTGGCCTCATGATATTGGGGGTTTTTTCTCAGGAACTTGGAGAGAAGAAAAGAAGATGAGGACGAAAAGAAGGAGAAAGAAGAATGCTGAACAAAAGGCGTTAGTAGAAGAGGCAGCAAAGAGATGTGTGCATTGCTGAGGTCACTCGAGACAGTGAGCTGATACAGGAAAATGGACTTCAGGCTGGACTTTGTGGATTTTTTTGGCTGGTTTAGGAAGCAGAAATCGATGTCAATTTTTTTATGGGATCATATGCGTTTTGTTACTATTTTCTGATACAAGTTTTGGTACAATTTTATTATATTATCCAAAGAGTTCTTGTCGCATTACAGTTATAAACAAGTTGTTAGATATAAACCACTTGACTTATGCATAAAGTTTTTTGTTGTTATCTATCACTTACCATTTTGGCTTATACAAAAGTAATGCACGACCATATTTCATAAACTTGTCATAAACTTCTAAGCTAAAATGGATCAACTTTAAATTGAGAGGAAGATTCTTTAGTAAACTTTAGTAGACTTTACAGATTTATAGTAAAAACTCAAATTCAAACATTTTAGATGCATTTTACTTAGCTAAAACGGACCAAATTCAATCATATAGTTAAACTTCTTATATAAATTTCAGTAGTAGGCTTCACAGAAAAGTCTACTTGGTAATGTTTAAGTGCTAATCAAACATAAAAACATTTTCACTTTGTATATAACGAATAAACATGTCAAACTAACACATAAACAACTAAATAGACTAATACAAATAATGTTTCCAGAAAATCTTAAAATTTGTTATACATTTTTCAAAAATGCGTTTGAAAAAAAACATATTATAGTAGACTTCATGTGTAGACTTCACAGATAGACTTCACGACGAAGTCTACCTAGTAATGTATAATATGCTAACCAAACAAGAAAACCGTTTTCACGAAATATATAACGAATAAGCATGTCAAACTAACACACAAGCAACTAAACAGACTAAATCAACTAATTGTTCAAGAAAATCTTAAAAATTCGTTATATATTTTCCAAAAAAGCGTTTTCAAATAAACACTAAATAGTAGACTTCCCCGTGAAGTCTAATAGACTAGTTTTGCAATTTTTCAAATTACAATTTTTTTATGAAGTCTACACGTGAAGTCTACCGAAAAAAAAGACTAGTTTTGCAATTGACCAAGCTTTGACTTTTCAAATAGACTTCATTATCGTGAATAGGCTAAAAATGAAGTCTAACTCGAAAATGAAGTCTACCCGGTGAAGTCTACAACCGGAATTAGACTTCATAGAGATTAGTTTTGCAATTGATCGAATTTTTGAATTTGAAAATAGACTTCATCGTGAAGTCTACTCCGATAAACGTTGACTATTAGACTTCACCAAGAAGTCTATCAAGAATTAGGCTTCGAAATGAAGTCTAACCCTTTATTAGACTTCGCAATGAAGTCTAACGATATTAGACTTTGAATGAAGCCTAATACAACATTAATAGACTTTAGGGGTAGACTTCACGATAAAACAAACTACTTAAAGTTTGCAAAACTAGTCTTTTATTCAAGCAGACTTCACAGATAGACTTTCATAAAAAGTTTTTATTCTGTCAATTGCAAAACTAATCTGTTTCGAGTAGACTTCATTCTGAAGCTACGCCATATTTTTTTGTTTTCAAAGGAATATGGGTAGACTTCATTGTGAAGTCTACTCTCTAAATTTTTTGAAAACAATTGCAAAACTAGTTTGTTAGACTTCGCTATGAAGTCTAAGGACCTGCAAAAATATGAAATTCACTCAGATCTACCGGAATTTTACCTTGCCGTGATCTTAAGTTTCGTTGACGGCCTATAACTTCGATTTAGAGCTTCAGCAAACTTCCCCAACCGTTATAATGATCTCCCACACCAAAAATGGGAAGATCTAAGAACATAAACTTTGAAAAGATGAAAATGTGTGTTCTTGGGGTGAAAATTGAGAAGAAATTGACGAATACAAGTTTATGAGATGATATAATGAGTTTATATATATGTTTGAAGAGTAAATATGCATTCAAAGCTTGATTTCGGTTGAGAATGGTTGTTGGACGAATTGATGGTGATGGCATTTTCGTGAATAAATGAAGAAGATGAGGTTTCTTTGGACTTTTTATTTTCGTATTAGACTTCACGGTTAGACTTCAAGGACGAAAGTAATGGCATTTTCGTTATTATCACAAATATGTGAGGATAAACAAGGAAAAAAAAAGGTGAACTACTTTTGCATTTGACCTCAATTTTTGAACTAAAAGTGAAAACAGCCCATATATATACTATATAGCCACCCAATACTTAAATCGTAAGCATATACTAGTAGCTTAATTCTCAGTGAAGAAGAAGAGATTTGAAAATTGGAATTGTGGGGTGTAGAATTTTCGGTCGCTACCACTAATACGATATAATGGTGAGACTATTTGTTTATTTATTAGAAAACAAGATTTTTATACATAGTATGTTATGTACGTCAATTGATATTTGGTTAATACGTCAATTGTACGTGTCTTTTCTAGTGAGCGTATTCATGGTCCACTTAATTCACAGCCGTCCGAATATCCATCCATATGTAAAACGATGACCCTTTCGTTGTCCCCAGAACCCAGCCGGTAACGTGGGGGGGAACACACATTTTAAAATCAAACATACGAAACAAACAGAGAGAAATATCAACTATATGATTGTGATTGTGATTGCGATTGTGAATATTATATTTTTTTCCTTCTCGTATCAACCAGCTTATTTTTGTGTGTTCATCCTAATTCCTCAACAAACGTTTTATAGGATTGCATATATAATGTGCATTACACATAATTTACCCTACATAAATAATGAATATTTATATACATATTTCAAATTTGACCAAAAATTGAGTATTTATTTTTTTGTTAAAGAAAATTGAGTATTTATTATCAATCAGAAATCAAATTTGTTGGTGGGTTCTTCCATTTTTTTCTCTTCTTTAGAGCATTGCCAGTAGTTCTTCAAATTAATTCTTCAAAAAATGAAGTTTCTTCTAAAATAAAGAAAGAATGAAGCAACTTTCTCTTGATTTGCTTCAATTATTTATTCAAAACAATATTTTCAATATATTTAATCATAATTTTACCATTAATTTTTAAATTACCATTACTTATTTATTTATTATTCTGCATCCACTTCTTTTATTTTTAACAATTATTCTGTTCCGCTCAATTTGATTTTCTTTGCCTCTCGATTTTTCTTGTTCTCTTCCCTACTTTTACTCTACTACACACACGGTCACATCCATATTCTATCTTTCATCGGTTCCTAATTAAGCCCACCCATAAATTATTGAGCATATACGAGCAACCCATAAATAATTGACCATATAAGAACATCCGTGTTTATAACGTGGGTACGTATTAGTGTATTACATTTGCATGTACACAAAGAATAACTAATTTCTCTACATTCTTCTAGAAGTGTAGTGACCCTCTGCTGATATTTGCAGGTTTTCCACACTTGAACTATGCACAGCTTAGCTAGTAGATTGGTACCGTTTCGTATTCTTTAATCTTCAAATTATCACTCTTGACAAATCATCGTTTAAAAGTTTAAGTTTGCTAGGGTTACTTCCTCAACACTCACAATGGATGTGCTATATTTAAAATAATAAGGAAACATGCTCAATACTTTGATTGCATACGTATTTTTCGTCTGACCATGCAACACAAACTAACATACTCAGCACAAGTAGATTGAGAGAGAGAAGATGAAAGTCAGAGGAGAAGCATGCAGAGTCCGAGCAATATTTTCAACCATGTATTCTTAGCTCACTAAATATCGTCTCTAACCTTCAGCTGATCTATATCCCCAAATTTTCTTGACACCTGTCTCTTTATAGATCCAGCTATATCGGTCTTTGTTCGATGTGACCTTTCCGGTGCGAGCGGTTGTGGTGTATCATAAGAGCTTGTGACAAGGCTTTTGCCATCTACATTAAACTTTCCTTCTCTCAAAATTCGGGCGGTTCATCAGTATGATAGCTTATCTCAAGAAATAGCGTCAGTCACATTGTCACAATATTTTAGTGTCTTTACTGACACTTCTTTCCCGTAGAATTTAACACTATATTTTAATTTTCTAAATCCTTATTGTATTTCGCATATATTTAGGGCCATGCTCGTGCTTTTTCGGTTTCTTAGAAACAATATAATTACCCTCGTACCTCGTACTGGTCCACTTAATTCACATCCATCTCATCATTAGGAAAAACGATAACCCTTTTGTGGCCCCTAACGCAATCGGCAACGTGTGAAATTAATACATGTTAGACAGAGCAAACAAACAGAAAAAGACCTAATAATTCAATCTATATGATCTACACAATTCATCATATTTTTTCTCATCAAAAAAATCTACAAAAATTTACACATTGTCATCTCTATATTAAGTCGAACTTTCCTACTAGAACTTACAACAACAACAAAAGAAACATAAAACAATTTCCCTCCTCTAGTGATCGAACTAACACTAACTGTAGATCGGAAGAGTCTCTACAAATGGTGAGTCTCGCTCTCCGTTCTGTCTCAACCTCCGCTTCTTCATCAGCCTTTTCATCTGTGCTAAAGCCAAAAATGAACCCCAAGTCAATTACTCTTTCTCATCCCTCAAATTTCGGTGGCTTGAAACTCACGTTTCCTTCCATGCGGTCTTTCCCTTGTTACTCGCTGCCCAAGATCCGCCAAACAATTTGCAACTCTTCAACCAAACCTTCGTTGAAGACTCGTCTGAGCCGTGGAGAGAAGCTCAAAGGGATGTTCCTTTTCACGGCCTCGCCCACTATGGCCGAAATAGCGGCGTTGGCTGGATATGACTTCATTATTGTGGATCTAGAGCATGGACCTGCTGATTTTTCAGCTGCTCTAGGCTGCATTAGGGCAGCGGAAACTTCGGGATGCACAACTGTGATCAGAGTGCCTGAAATCTCTCCTACGTACGCAAAGAAAGCTCTTGACTTGGGTCCTGAGGGGATAATGTTTCCCAAAGTGGAAACCACAAAAGATGCGGTCCAAGCCGTCTCTTACTGCCATTACCCTCCTTATGGTGTCCGGGGATGCGCTTATTCACTGGTCAGAGACTCTGATTTCGGATTTGACAACACCTACCTGAGAAACTACCGGGAAGATAGGCTCGTAATGTGCCAGGTGACCTAATTAAAGAAATTGCCATAAAGAAATTAATGACAAAACAAAGAAAACATGTAAATATAATACCGGACGCAAGACACGAATAGTGCTTATATAATATTTGATCTAGGCTTAATACGTTTCTTTCAAGGCCCGAGGGATTTTTTGAAGTCATTTAATGATTATAGTTGATCTAGCACAAGGCTTGAGATTATGTTTTGTGCTTTACTCTTCTTATATGGGTTGAATGATTCAAGGCTATTATTGCTTATCACTTTCTTTTTGTTTGGACTAATGTTTTTGTTTATGTTAAATGCAGGTGGAGACCGCGAAAGGTGTGAGAAACATTCAAGATATCATGGGTGTTGATGGAGTGGATTGCATCACCACTGGGCCAAGGGACCTGAGCGCCTCCCTCGGGCTCCTCCATGACCCGGGGAACCCGAAGGTGAAAGAGGTTATGTCACGGTTGGAGACGGCTGTTCTTGAGTCGGATCCGGAGGAAGGTGGAGCATTTCTTGCGGGATTGGCCACCCCTCAAGATAGAGCTGTTGATCTCAAGAAAAGAGGATACCATATGGTGATCTCCGGTTCGGACATTGCCCTCTTTAGCAAGGCAGCCATCCAGGACATCAAGACCTTCGATGGCTTTGTTATGATTAATGCTAACTAACAAAAAAGTTATATTTCTCTATTTGGTTTACTGTTTATATCCGCAATGCTTGTCTATTTGGTTTAAAACATTTATGTGTGGGATTTCAGTATATGTCTTGTTTCACAATGTCTGTTTATAAATTACGCGTACGTTTTAGAGAAATTTGACCTATGACACAATTTTTTTTGCCGTATTAAACGAGGAACATAACGAGGAAAGTTAGTTGTAACCACAGGTCCACAACAGAAGTCAAATGCACTACTGAAACATTAGAATGCATGTCGTTCAGACACTTCAGGACCTAAAGTACTGTCGTTTTGTTTTTTAAAAAGCCTGCCGTTTTTCACTTGCCGTTTTAGTGGCTGGCCATTTTTCATATCGGATCAAACCAGATAGAAGAAGATAGAAACTCAGAGAGTTGTTTATTTTTCTCAAAATGCAATATTTATCTCTACAATCGCTTCAATGGAAATCAAATTCAGTGATGTTATCGGAAATTAATGTTTTGAATCCCAAACCATTGAATTGTCAAGTGTATCCCCTGAATTCTCCGTATCGAAGAACTCGAAACTGGAAAATCAGAAGTTCACCGGAAGCGAATGCAGCAAATTCGAGTGACGGCGGAGATTTGAAGAATTCTCTCTCCGGTATTGTTGGAAATCAGGTTGAGGATCTGTTGAGCAGAGAAGAGAACAGGAGTTTGCTCGATGATCTGGAAAAAGCTTCGACGAGGGTGGAGTTAGCGAAGAGAGAGCTCGCAGAGATAGAGCGGCAAGAAATCGAGGCGAAGCTGCTACAGGATTATGTTAATAAACTCGAATCAAGAGCCTCCGAGGTGATATATTTTTTTCTGTTAACCGTGTAGATATATGAAATGATGAAAAGTTTGATTATTTTGCGCTTTAAATTCTGAGATTTTGGGAGGTTTCGTAGAGCAGTTACATGGAGAATGATTTGGTTCATATTTATTCAATTCCATTAACTAGGAACAAATATGAACCAATCATTCTCTTAAATTGGTTACAAGGAAACATTGATTATGTTGCAATGGAATAGTGAATTTGTGCATTGTGTGCTGACAATAGGTTCAAGTTGTTCCAGAGCTTCAATCACTATACATATGTGGTGTTGCTTTTATACTTGAAACCTGGAAATGAGCTTTCTGTTAGTTTGTGTGAATATAAATTCATTAGATAAGGTTACTGAAAACATGAACTTGGTAGCATTTTGTGTTACTTTATAACAAGAGAGACAGAACATGTTCATCTGATTCAATTATATTCTGATTCAAAGATCGCAGAGTGCCAGCAGGAGATTGTGGCAGCAAGATCAATGGTTGAGGAAGCAGAACGTTCCTTGTCCTTTGCAGAAACCGATCTAGCTAATGGGAATTCAGAAAACGGTTATTCGATTGATAAAGACAAAGAGAGATTAGAATCAGCAAAAGCGGCAGCGGTTGCAGCTGCGGTTGGTACCGTTGCAGAAATCCCATTCGCTCTTTCTCAGGTCTCCAGCATCGAGCAGCTTGTTCTCCCCCTTGGAGTAGCGTTTGCAAGCTGTGCATTGTTTGGAGTCACGTTCAGGTATGCAGTCAGGAGAGACCTTGATGATAGTCATCTTAAATCCGGAGCCGTTGCCGCCTTTGGCTTTGTCAAAGGTAACACTTTTGAGTTTGTCAAAACGTCTGCGTTTCTGATTGAATTGTGTGTATTAACAAGCTCAAGTTTTGTATATAGTTAAAGAAACAGACTTTCTTTGTCTTGTTTATATTCTGTGGAAGTGTGAGCTGGAAAAACTGCCAGTAATAATAGAATACTAATCAGCGATTTGATTGATTTTAAAATGATTTAATGCTGGAATAATTGATGTGTTGATTATTTAACCTCTGACCTGTATTATTTTGGATCTGTTTTTTTGTGTGTGTGTTGATAGGACTTGGTATGTTGAGCAGAGGACCTCCATTGGAGCTGAGCTGGGAAAGCTTGGCTTCACATGGCATAGACGGCGCCGTCTTGGTGTCTCAGAGCGTCTTGATTTTTGCGTTTGCGTCTATAGCTTTGGACTATTGTTTCAAGATGAAGTTATTAAGACCATTTCCAAGCTCTGCTAAGATGTAGAAGAAGAAGCAATCATTAAAAAATGTAGAGAAATTATCAAATCATTTTTATATTTTCTTTGAAGACTCTCATGTATTTGTTGGAGTATTAATTAATTAATTGGTTTGAAATGGTAAATTTTCATCTTTTCATACAGCATATCATGTTAAATTCTTAAGATTTGATCCCAAAAGAATGTTTTGATTCGAATGATGGACAATAAAAAGTGAATCAGATTTTTGAGATGATTACATAACCGTTTTACTTTTGTCTTCAAAAAGATTTATCCTCTTTCAACATATATCATTTTTCAACGAAACCATCAAAGTCACTTGTGAACTTAGCCAAAGAGGGTAGATGGGACCAAGCTCATTCCCAGCCATCCAATTTTATACTTAGTCCACGTGTAATAATCTTAGAAGCTTCTTACTTTACCACGTCAGCACAACAAGCTCTTCTTGTCGTGGCGGTCAACTGATCAGAAATATAGCAGCGAAAGTGAATAAAACCATAAAAAATAAAATAAAAGAGAAGAGAGAAGCTGAATTATTTTTTGATTTAACCGAATTAAAAAAATCAGTATCCAATCGAATTTCAATGGGATTTCGACTTGTTCTCGAGTAAACTACTAGTCTCTCTCCCGCTCCAGATTTTTTTTTGTTTCATTTTCTGTTATCCCTTTGATTTCTGTGATGGAGGATTACCGGTTTTGATTTGGTGGTATTCAGGGCGGTTTTCGGTGCCAGGCGGCGGAAGAAGATGGCCGGAGGTGGTAGTAGTAACGCTGTGATTCGCGGCGGCGGTGGTGGTAGTGGTAGTGGTAAGCAGAGAGGTGGTTTCTCTCTGAATCAAAAGGACTACAAACTTATGGAAGAAGTCGGTCATGGAGCTAGCGCCGTCGTGTATCGAGCGATCTTTCTCCCGACTAATCAAGTCGTCGCCATCAAATGTTTGGATCTCGATCGTTGCAATAGCAATCTGGTTCGTTTAAATTTTGACATCGGTGGTTAATTTGTGTTGGATCTCTTTAATTATATGAATTAATGTCTTTTTTTTTTTTTGTTTAGGATGATATAAGGAGGGAATCTCAGACGATGAGTTTGATAGACCATCCAAACGTGATAAAGTCGTTTTGTTCGTTTTCTGTCGACCACAGTCTTTGGGTCGTGATGCCTTTCATGGCACAGGGCTCTTGTTTGCATCTTATGAAGACTGCTTATTCAGACGGGTTTGAAGAGTCTGCTATTTGTTGTGTACTGAAAGAAACACTCAAGGCTCTTGATTATCTTCATAAACAAGGCCATATCCATCGTGATGTTAAGGTTGGTTAAAAGTGAAAACTTTGTGATTGTGATCTCACTGGACTTTTATAATGCATTCAAGTTTTTTTTTTTTTTTTTTTTTTTTTTCTTTTAATCTTAGGCTGGAAACATACTTCTTGATGACAATGGGGAGATTAAGCTTGGGGATTTTGGTGTCTCTGCTTGCTTGTTTGATAACGGTGATAGGCAACGTGCAAGAAACACATTTGTTGGTACTCCTTGCTGGTCGGTTAATTGTAATTCTTTCTTTTTTTCTACTTTGCCATCACTCTATATTCAATCAGTGGTTTACATTTAAACTCTTGTTTCTAATTTGCAGGATGGCACCGGAGGTTTTGCAGCCGGGAAATGGATACAATTCCAAGTGAGTTTATACTTTTAGCTCAAATATAAACCACTGTCATTTTCTGCTTGTTTCCTTCTCTAGTAGCTCACTTTGGTGTGACACATGAAGACAACTTGTAATAATGTTGGCTTGGTGATGCATATTAAATACTGTTTAAATTGTGTGGAATAAAGATATACAATAGTAGCTTATTGGTTGTTTCTTCTGTTTTTGACATTTGTTAACAGGGCTGATATATGGTCATTTGGTATAACCGCGCTTGAATTGGCCCATGGTCATGCACCTTTCTCTAAATATCCTCCCATGAAGGTCTGCAATATTTCTCTTTTTTTTTCTTTTCCGGATTATGTATGTGTTTTGCATCTATTAAAACAGTTTTGATTCTTTTGTGGATGATCCAGGTGCTTCTAATGACTATTCAAAACGCACCTCCAGGACTTGATTATGATCGTGATAAGAAATTTTCAAAGGTACTCGTGTTCTTTCTAGGTGTATACTCTTAGGTTGTTATAGTGTTGTTAGGATATTTATTTTTCATTTGCAAATTTATATTTCTACTAAACTAATTAGAGGACTTTCAGTTGTGCCCAGTCTTTTAAAGAAATGGTTGCAATGTGTCTGGTGAAAGATCAAACAAAAAGGCCAACCGCTGAAAAGCTGCTGAAACACTCTTGTTTCAAGAACACAAAGCCTCCTGAGCTTTCTGTGAAGAAGCTGTTTTCCGAATTACCACCTCTTTGGACGCGTGTAAAATCTCTTCAGGTTAGCCTCATGTTCTTGTTGTGTTTCTGCTTGTTTCTTGAAACTATCATGTTCTTACTTTATTGATTGATTGGCTTGTTGTGTGACAGGCCAAGGATGCTGCACAGCTTGCATTGAAGAGAATGGCCACTGCTGACGAGGAAGCTATATCAATGGTGACAAACGCCTTAAGTTTGACATTATCACCTGAAAAATTTATGAGTGGACATAAAACAATTTTTTTGCTTATCTAATGTGCAGAGTGAATACCAAAGAGGAGTGAGCGCTTGGAATTTTGACGTCAAAGACTTGAAAACACAAGCATCTTTAGTAAGTAATTCTGTAATTGCACTGTCCTTAACTTCTGTTCATTGGTTCCATTACATAATCTCTGTTTTGTATATTTTTTGTCTGTGTAAATAGATAATTGATGAAGATGAGGATGAAGAAATATTCCGCTCACGGTTTCATACTGAGGTGGAAGAGCCAACCAACGAAGAGAAATTCACTTTCGTTACCAATGCTTCTTCTGTAGAACAAACGACACCAAGTCCAGAGCATGACGTTCCCGAGGCCAAGGTTAACCCAGTAGTAAGACGACAAAGTCAGAGTGGACCACTTAATAGCAGGACTGTGTTAAGCCACTCTGCTTCAGAGAAAGGTCATATGTTTGAAAGGTTCGACATTGTCCTAATTACTGCTTGTCCTTTTATAAAGAAAACTTTCAAACAATCCAACTTTGTAATTTCTACTCTGCTAGATCCGAGAGTGAACACCAACAGACAACATCATCAGTCCGAAGAGCACCGAGCTTTAGTGGTCCTTTGAATCTATCAACTCGTGCTTCTTCAAACAGTTTGTCAGCTCCTATGAAGTACTCAGGAGGTGAGAGCAAGTGACATTAGCAATCTTCTTGCAGCTGCTTAGTGTTTTGTATTGATTCTCTTACAGTTTAGTTAAAGAGTGTTTTCTCTCTTCTCCAATTTAAATAGGATTCCGTGACTCTCTGGATGAGAAGTCAAAGGCTAATCTTGTTCAGAAAGGACGGTTTTCAGTAACATCAGGAAATATAGATCTTGCAAAGGTTGGTTATTTGAAATTTTGTTCACTGCTATTTGTTTTCCCCTACTTATTTCGACAGTAACTAACCATACAATAACAATCTACTCTAGGATGTTCCATTAAGCATAGTCCCTCGTCGATCTCCACAGGTTTGTTTCTACTTTCAACTCTTTGCTTTATAAGTGTAGACACTAGACAGATGATTTTTGATTGATTTACCTGATAAAAATCCAGGCAACCCCTCTGAGAAAATCTGCAAGTGTGGGTAACTGGATACTTGAGCCTAAGATGGTCAGTTTTTGCCACCACAAAGAGTCCTTCAAGTCATAAAATTTGTTTCTTATTCTTGATTTTTTTTTTCCCCATCGTGCAGCCAACAGCTCAGCCTCAGACCATCAAGGAGTTAAGTAGCCATCCTACGTCTCCCTCACTCATCATGCCTCAACTTCAACATTTATTCCAGCAAACCTCGATACAACAGGTTGAAAATAAGTTCCATAGAGTGATCTCTCCTATGATATAATAAGCATTGATTTTAACTACCGAAACTGAACATCACTGCAGGATCTTATTATGAATATACTAAACAGCGTACAGCCTTCAGAGACCACAGATGGTAAGATTTGAGAAATTATTGTTCAATCTGCTGTGACGTTACTATGATGGAGTCTGTTACACTAATGGTACCTTCTTCATCTTTCTTATAGGTTCTCAATCTGGAAAGTTACCACCTTTGCCTCGTTCAGACAGTACTAGTAATGGAAGTGTAAGTGTGGTTTCTCAACGAAAAGCTTCTAGTTTCTATCATAAATATTCGGTTATGTGACTTTTGTTCCTACAGGTTGAACACGTGGCTTCAGAGAGGGAGAGGTTACTACTTAGCAGTATCTCTGAGCTCCGGACCAGGTTAGTCCTCTTCTTCAAGCAAAGCTTGTGTTTATAGAGAATGATGTAGTGTGCACTCTTTCTAACTGCATCTTTAACCTCCAATTTTTTTTTCAGGCTGAACGATTTAACAGAGGAGCTAGATACAGAGAAATCAAAATACAGCCAAGTAAGTTAAACACCACTTTTTTTAACTCGTTAACAACGCTTGTGTGTGTTCCGTGCCATCAAGTTAATCTTTTGTTTATGTATGACTACAGCTACAGCAGAAACTGAAAGCATTCACTGGGCGGGAACATATGTAAGCAGAAGGGAAAGTGACACTGGAAACACTGAGCTGTACAGAACCTGTAGGAGAAACGAGTGAAGTCTCTTTTGGTTCATTTCAAGAACCAGACAAGATTGTTCAACAAAGCCTAGAGACAGTGAAGCAAAAGAGCGTATCAATTTTCTCCAGTTGGGTTCTCTGTGGGATTTGAGAAGATGATGACGAAAACAAGATACGATCAATGTGTAAACTAACAGTTGAAGACAGCAGACACGAATACAGAAATAAGAAGGAGAGGAAAAAGCTCCTTTGGGGTCTCAACCCCAACATATTTGCTTATTTACTATTATCACACGTTTTGATCAATTATTTTTTGTATCTATTATTGTTATTATGAGAAACGAGAAAGCTCTGGATCATTTTGTGTATTGTGTGATGTGTAAATGCAACTTGATTGACCTAATTGTATGTACTCTTATCAGTTTCTTGAAGTGGATCATAACTTCTGTTTTTAAGTATTTTGGATTAAAATGAACTCTTGTAATAATCAAGATCATGGCTTTTTAACAGTATGATTACATTTGTTGTATTATGTTAGAATGTTATTGAACAGTTTAACTTGATTGATTACAAACAAACATTTAAAAGAAAGTTCTTGTTCTTCGTCTTCTACCACTTCTCAAGGTTTTGGTAGACACCAAATAACCAACACCCAAACACATAACCCAAATCCCTAAATCAACGGCCCATCCCATTCCCTCAGCCTCAGACTCCATCTCAGCCGTCCATTCCAAGGACTCCCACTCTCCCTCTCCGTCGTCAGATCCTCCACCGCTGCACGTGCAAAAACACACGCCGTCGTCCATTTCCCTCCCCTCCCCTCTCTCCTCCGGTATCTCCTCCAGACACTCAAACCCAACCCTATGCTTCCTCCTCCTATGTTTCCTAGCCATCGTTGACGTAGCCACGTGTCCCTCAGCCGCTACAACAACCTCAGCAGCTCCTTCCTCTTCCATCTCACACTCGCACTCGAGCTTCCACTCGTCTCCTTCGTCTTTTCTGAAGATACCTTTCACGACCCTCTCCTCACTCATGTACACCTCGAACCGGATCCCTTCCCAGACCCGAACCCGTTCTCTAGACCCGTAAACGGCGTCTCCTCCCTTGACGACCCTGTGGAGCGTCACGAAGGCTGGGGAATCGGGTCGGATCTTGGACCCTTCGAGCTCGAAAGCAGCTTCGTTGATACGTGGCGGGTAGAGAAGAGTGAGAGAGTCAGGTAAGAACTCTCGGGTGGGTAAACCGGTGAACCGGACGTAGAAAGCTTTAACCTTTAAGCTCTCTTTCTCAACATACCGATCGAAATCCGTCGATCTACACATTTCTCTCTTCTTGGGTTCTTCTAAAAATCTCTCCTTTTCTTTGTTTAACTATTATGGCTTTTACTTGTGAAACACGATCGGCTCTTTTAAGAGGGAAACATAAGAGAAAGGTGGCGAGTTGCGACTTCGGTTTTGTTTTAGATTCTAGGGGTTGGGGCACGCGGTTTGGCTGCTGATGTGGACGTCTCGACGAAATACCTTTTGTTGTTTTTTTGGTTTTGTGTGGTCAAACATTATGGTAACGTGTGGATTTGATCACGGTGGCATGATTTGCATCGTTTAAAATACCAACAGCGAGTTGTTTTTGGCCTGAACGTGGTTTGGTGTCTCTTGAGTTGCACAATTGTTTGCAGACAATGGTTTTGTCTTCTATTCCACTGTCCATGCTTGTCTTCTTCCTATGCATTTCCTTTGTTGTTTGATTCGGTTCGTGGACACATCAAAGCCGGGACTAAAAGAATTTTAAATTGTCTTTCTTTTTTCATAATTGAAGCTAATCAGTCAAGGCCTTTTAAATAAAAAATTCTCTACATTTGTTTTACTAAACATGTGAAAAAGTGTGATTTTTTATAAAAGATCATTTAAAATATTTACAGTGATTGGCTATAACAAAAATCGTATTTAATTTGTTGTTAAATATAGTTTAGTCAAAGACTTGTATTCAAAACAACAGATTGAAGATAACATGTGGTTAGTTTAGTCAATTGATTGGTAATTGTTTGATGATAGTTGATAAGATATGATTAAACCATAGCTTATAAACTAAACAAATGTAACGATATAATACATTTAGTCAAAGAACTTCATTATTCATTTTACATGTATGTATATTGACTTTTCTTTTTCTCATCAAAATACTTCTATAAGTTATGATTGAGGTCCACAGGATGGGTCTTCACTCTTCAGCCCCTGGTTTTGGCCTTTTCAACTCTTGATTTGATTTCAAGTATAAACATTTAACACATAAATATAATATTTATTAAATAGAATTGTCCATAATGGGCCGGGCTATTACGATTTGAGACTTGGTTCGTAAATGTCAAGTAGTTCAATCATTGCCCAGATTCGCCCATGATACGACGGATATCCACAAAGGCAAATGCAAAGCGCACAAAAACGATCTAAAAGTCTAACACAAGGCCAAAAGTTTTTTTAGAATAAAACCATAGCACAAAAAACAAAAAAGTATAGTTTACAAAAGACCATGAGCACAGTTTATGTCGAATTATTCCTTTTCATCCCTGCCCTATACGATTAAACCAAAATGAAAACGAACAAAAAACATGTGTGAATAAAACCTACTTTGATCGTTTGTAAATTCTTGACGTATTTTGTTAGGAAACTAAACATGTGAGGAACTAATATTAAAATCAAGAACTAACCAAAACTAAACAAATTGGTATCTCATATGGCACACGATATAATTTAAACACTCGATTTTATGGTTTTTGCTTTCCATATCGTTTTCTATAATCATTCATCCGTTTCGAACACTACACACTGGACTTTTTATTCTAACACTAAACCACGTATCCTGTAGATAGGCCAACCATAATTTCGTGTTAAACATATATTGGATTTAAAAACCGACTATACATAGTTCAACACACACAAACTTATTTGTTTATTACTAATAAAAGATCTCGCCAGCTACTAGAAATAGAAACGAGACGGGCCTGTGACTAATATTTTAAGCTCATTGTATGTGTATGGGTTGATAGTGATAAATTAATTTAGAGTAACATGGGCATGTAAGTAAGAAAATTGTCGTTTCTCTCAATCTCTTTTTTTTTCCTCCAACTAGTCATTAACATGTACAAAAGGTAGCCTTACAACCGAACAAAGACTTAGGGTAACATGACAATGAAAGTAACGAATATAGTACTCGTTGATAAACGCTATCCATATAAGCGGTTTGGACGCAAACGCAGAAGTTGGAGGAAAAAGGAAATAGGTGTGTAAAAAGTCTTTGTCATCATTTGGGGTCAATGTAGGGCAGTAGGAGGATAAGTTGTGACTTTAAGAGTGAATGAGATTCTCTTTCAAATGAATGGTGTCAAGGAGTAGTATTCATTTTCTTCTTCTTTTGTCTCCATCCATCTATCGACATCCCCACTCTAGAGTGTTTTGTTGTTTTCCCTCAATTTTTGATAATAACTCGGCGAATCTAATCCCTACTAGGCCTAATAATCCTTATTCAGTGCACGCAAATTAGTTCAGATTAGAAAGCAACATGTTAGTTGAAAAGTTTAAAGTGTTTTTGGTTTCAACTTTGTACCCACTATCTGATGTTAATTCTAAGTTCAATGACTCATTTATCGTTTTTTTTAGAAATGGTTCAGGGTTTAACTTCCAAACGAAACGTGAAAGTTTTTATTTGTAGATCTTAAATCTGAAGTGTTTTTTACGTTGTTATATGTAATAGGTGAGATATTGTAACATAGTTTTAGTTAACTAAACTCATTGTAAAAACCGTTAAATAGATCTATAACATTAGCTCTGGACGTCACTAGAAGTTAAAAAAAAACACAAAATAAAATTCAGCACTTTCAAAGCTGGATTTTTTTGTTTTCTCGTGAAAATATGGCCACATGGATTTCGTAGAATAATTGAGAATAAGGATTGCGTAGAAAAGGAAACGAAACAAAAAAGAAGAAAGAGCATTGTCTTGGTCGTGATAGGTGGTGGTATCGGTCTTATGGTCCATTGAGCCACACTCATTTAGAATCTGACTACTTTCATCATATTCACATCTATACACGATTATACCATCTATAATAATATATAAACATTTCTTTTACAAATATTCTGCAATTCTGAGTTTTGGATATTCATGTCTTATAATCATAAAATGTTGTAATTCTCCTAAACAAATATCAAATCTGGAATATGTTTTAAGGTTATTGGCATATATGTATGTTTAATATATCTCATAGTTTCTTAATGTTGAGTTTGTAGTTTTGTACCGTTTAAGATTAACTTCAAAGATTTAACAAAAAAAAATTATTAATTTCAAAGATTTTTTTTTTCTGAACCTTATGTTTTTTGTTCACAGTTTAAATTAACTTTGATTCAATATAATTTTATTTTTAAACTAGCAAACTTTCATCAAAATAGGAGACTATTCAAATCATGAGGTTGAATATATACCCACAACGGAACAAGATGACTAATCTAACCTATTCTTATCTCCGAAATTAAGAGACTATATACACCTAAAATGCAATATTTCTTGGGTAAGAAATGAAAAGCTACATACGATATAATCTTTTTTTTTGATAGATGAATAACACCTTCTAGTTATTTAATCAACTTTTTTTTTATCACCAAATTAAACTCTGAATTTGGAAACCGAGTAACTAAGTCTTTCTTTGTTAATAACCATCGATTTTTCATCTAAATGAACTATCTATCCTCGATATCTTATGTATGGTTTCAGTGGCTATTTGCATGATCTAAACAAACCTAGGCCCGGGACGAAACTCGAAAGTTTGTACTCAAAAGTCAAATATACCTACAAGTGATATCTTTGACAATTTCAAATCCAGCAAGAGTGGAATTCTACACGTAATGCTGTACGAGACATTTAATTATGGCGATGTGATTGCCGAATTTGTTATTTTCAAACCTTTGATTAAAAAGGGCAAGTAAATCATTACACCAAAACGAACCACACATTATCATTTGGCTGTAGATAAAGATCGAAGATTCTTACAAAAACAAGTGAAATGTCATTCAGTGTCCTTTAGAACAAGATGCCAACAACAATCTCCTTGGCCACTTGGCTTGTGTACCAAATCTCTCCCAACTCTTTACCTTTTTTTTTATTCACACAAATTGCGTTTGCAACTTTTGCGTTTGAAGTTTTTGACGGATTCGTCTACGTTGGATAATGCGTGTGTCGGACATGCGCACTTAAGAGGGTAGAGACAAGGAGTTCTTTAGCTTTCTTTTCACTCTCTTCAAACAAAAAAAAAAGTATTTTTTGTAACACATAATTGAAAAGAGATTTTCATATATTCCTAAAAATTCTGGTATATATAAGTATCAAAGATATAACCAACCATAAAAGAATTTTCAATTCCAAAGCTCAAATCTTTTTTCTTCTTGTTCAGTTTCCATGGAAATAGAGCAGAGAAAGAACATGAAGAGAGAAGATGATGAAGAAGACGAAAACAACAACAATCAAATGTCACTACAAGAAGAAGAACAAGAAACAGAGGAAGAGATGTCTGGGAGGACGATCGAACCGTGGACGAAGCAGATAACGGTGAGAGGAGTGTTAGTGAGCATAGTGATCGGAGTTGTGTTCAGTGTGATAGCTCAGAAGCTAAACCTGACGACAGGGATTGTTCCCAATCTCAACAGCTCTGCTGCTTTACTGGCTTTTGTCTTCGTCCAGACATGGACCAAGATTCTCAAGAAATCAGGATTTGTCGCCAAGCCATTCACAAGACAAGAGAATACTATGATCCAAACATCCGCTGTTGCTTGTTACGGCATTGCCGTCGGAGGTTAAGAACAAACATTTAATTCTTCTTCTTTTTCTTCCTTAATAATATAATCTTATTTTTTTCTTCTTGTCAAACAATCAAAGATTCAATGAAAAGTATATCAATAAAACAGTTCCAAACATATTGAGAAAATATCAACTTTATGAAAACTTTTGGGTTTGGTAAGTCACAACAAAAGGGTTGATGTTGCTTTTGCTTTTGACGGTGTATATAATATAAAATCAAATTCCGGAATTTAGACTGATGTGTGTTTAAAAAAAAATTCAGGTGGGTTTGCTTCATATCTTCTGGGGTTAAACCATAAGACATATGAGTTATCTGGTGCGAACATGGAAGGAAACTCCGAGAAGAGTGTGAAAGAGCCAGGCCTTGGTTGGATGACTGCTTATCTCTTTGCCGTCTGTTTCATCGGTCTTTTCGTCTTAATCCCTCTCCGGAAGGTTATGATTATTGACCTTAAGCTAACATATCCGAGTGGCTTAGCTACTGCTGTGCTCATCAATGGCTTCCACTCACAAGGAGATGCACAGGCCAAGTAAGCTAAATAACCTATTTTACAAGAAGTGATCATAACCTAAGTTTCCTATTAATCATCTTTAAATGGAATTGATTTGCAGGAAACAAGTGCGCGGTTTCATGAAATACTTCTCATTTAGTTTCTTGTGGGGATTTTTCCAGTGGTTTTTCTCTGGCATAGAAGGTTGTGGGTTTTCTCAATTCCCAACCTTTGGCTTGAAAGCTTGGAAACAAACGTGAGCATCACTCTTACGTAACAAGCACGCCTTGTTTTTTAGTTAAATCGAGTTCTTGAAATTGAGACCCTTTTGGTTTTGCAGGTTCTTCTTTGACTTCAGCATGACATTTGTAGGAGCAGGAATGATCTGTTCACATTTGGTTAACATATCTTTGCTTCTTGGAGCTATCCTCTCTTATGGCTTAATGTGGCCTCTTCTTGATAAAGCCAAAGGCTCTTGGTTCCCTGAGAACCTCGACGAACACAACATGAAGAGCATATACGGTTACAAAGTCTTCTTATCCGTAGCTCTAATCCTTGGAGACGGTCTCTACACTTTCGTTAAGATCATCTTTATAACCATTATCAGTATAAACGCAAGAATGAAGAACAAATCTAATGTTCTTGATGACGTGGGTGACAAGAAACAACGGAAATTTCTCAAGGAAGATGAGAATTTCCTCAGGGATAAAATCCCGATGTGGATTGGAGTCGCCGGATATCTCACCTTCGCTGCGGTATCAACCGTCGTGGTTCCTCTGATATTTCCTCAGCTGAAATGGTATTACGTCATTGTAGCTTACATTTTCGCGCCATGTATTGCTTTCTGTAACGCCTATGGAGCTGGACTTACAGACATTAACATGGCTTATAACTACGGGAAGATCGGTCTTTTCGTTCTCGCGGCAGTGACGGGAAAAGAGAACGGCGTTGTGGCCGGACTTGCCGGGTGTGGACTGATCAAATCGGTTGTTTCGGTTTCTTGTATTTTGATGCAAGATTTCAAGACGGCTCACTACACGATGACGTCACCTAAGGCCATGTTTGTTAGCCAAATGATAGGGACGATCGTTGGATGCATCGTAACGCCGTTAAGCTTCTTCTTGTTCTACAGAGCGTTCGACATCGGAAACCCTAACGGCGAGTTCAAGGCTCCTTACGCTTTGATCTACAGAAACATGGCGATTCTTGGGGTGCAAGGCTTCTCTGCTCTGCCTCTACACTGTCTCCAAATGTGTTACGGGTTTTTCGGGTTTGCGGTTTTGGTCAACGTCGTTAGGGATCTTACTCCGGCGAAGGTGGGGAGGTTCATGCCGCTTCCGACGGCGATGGCGGTTCCGTTTCTTGTCGGAGCTTATTTCGCGATTGACATGTGTGTTGGGACTTTGATTGTGTTTATTTGGCAGAAGATAAACCGGAAGAAAGCAGAGTTTATGGTTCCGGCTGTCGCTTCAGGGCTGATTTGCGGCGAAGGGCTTTGGACTTTACCGGCGGCGATACTTGCACTCGCTGGAATAAAACCTCCAATATGTATGAAGTTTTTAGCTTCATAGGATGAGTTATGAAGATAGAAGAAGTCAAGGATGTCATAATCATCCGATTCTTAGAATAATAAGAACACTTGTGAACAAGAACATCTCTTTTTTTCTTTTTATTGTAGGAACTAGTGTAAAATCTACTTGCATGGAATCGTTGTTAAAATACTTAAATCAAAATAAGTTTTTTTTTTTTGTTGTTCGTCAAAGATCTTGTTCTGTTCCATTTCCTGTTATCATCACTTATCAGCATATTTACAGGCTTGTTCATCTTATATTGGGCTGGACAAAACAGTTATGGCCCATAAATCTAAACAGTGGTGGTCCATCTACTTTCAAATTGATGATATAATTCTACAAAATTGTTCTTTTGTCATACTTTAAATGTGAATCAGTTCTATGTCCAAATCACACCTTACAACAAAAGCAGACTAAATACAGTACTAGCCAAAACGTGGCAGATTTTTTACTATAATTTATATAAATTTTAACAAAAGTGTGAAGATTTATTACTTCAAAATACAAGACAAATCTTTAAAAAAAATATCCTACTCATTTGGAAATTCTTATCAAAATCCAATAAAATCACTTTTCCTATAAAGAAATATTTAAATTCTTATCACAATCCAGTGAAATCACTTTTCCTTTACAGAAATATTTATTTCCTTTTGATTTTTATTTAGATTTTCCTATAAAGAAATGTTTATTCCCTTTTATTTCTTTAAAATTACTATATTTTTGGGCAATTAGGTGACCAAACAAAAACCACACGAAAGTAACAAGAGAGAGATTTTGGAAAACTACAAATAAATGACTCACACAACCGACCGTTCAACCACCTACTCCCCCCTCTTCTAATATCTTCCCTTCTTCTTCTCTTTTATTTCCTCTAAATTATTTATATATTCCAAAAGCCTCACCAAACCATCTTATCTTTATTCCTCTTCATATTTGAAGAAAACATAAAACTGTTTCTTGTAGAATTCTAATCTCGTGAATCAAATGGCGAGCCAGGATGTCGTTGTGGCCGGAGGGGAGAGAGAAGGAGCTGAGATCGTGTACGGTGCGGAGGAGTGTTACAAGCAATCGGTGGAGCTTCTAGAGGAGCTAGGGTTTCCAAAAGGAGTGATGCCTTTGAAGGATCTCGTGGAGTGTGGAAGGGTTAGAGCCACGGGTTTCGTGTGGATGAAGCAAAACACTCCTTACGAACATTTCTTCGAAGCCACCAACACTCGCGTCTCCTACGGTCTCGAGGTCACCGCCTATGTCGAGAAGTGTTGTATGAAGAAGATGACAGGTACGTAATATTAATGCTATAATAATTCAGTTAATTAGTAGTTAAATATATTTATGATATGTATGGATTCATTTGTGTGTATATGAATTTATGTTTGTATAGGAGTGAAGAGTAAGCAGATGTTTTTGTGGGTACCGATTTCGGAGATGAGCATGGAGGAACCAAAAAGCAAGAAGATTTACTTCAAGACTCCTATGGGACTTGGAAAGGCTTTTCCGGTTACCGCATTCATGGACGAGGAAGAGAAACGCAACTATTACTTGGAGAATCCCAAAAATTAATCCCATTTAATGATTTATTATGGGTTGCATTTGTTTCTCTTTTTCTATTTGAACTCTTGTAAGGGTTGCTTCTATGCCGTTACTGAATTTTTATTTTTATGATAATAAAAGTGAAGTAATATTTGATTTCTGATGCATTAAAATTTAATATTGAATCGGTGAGGACAATTTTTCATCTGATAAAATTTATAAATTACAGTTTATACGAAATAGGATGAGGGGTTGGTATTGAGTTGAAGCACAAACATGGACTTGCGATGCTTACTTTGACATGAATATTTTACAAATCAAAACGCTTTCCTTTTTAAAAAGGTGCAAAATAGTCCGTATTTTTTTTTTTTTTTTTGGTTTACAGTTTTTATAAATTGAGGACCAGTTATGAGAATGACATTTCATTTCACATTAAGTTGGAGAGACCTGATCGTGCAGTGGGCAATGAAGATTGGCACCACGATTTTTCCCACACTATTGTGGAGTATCTGAAGCTCTGGGGCTCAGACCATCGGCCGATTTTGACTTAGATAAGAATGAACGATAACAGACCAAAGCGCTCCTTTAAGTTTGATAAACGCTGGATTGGGAAAGATGGCCTTAAAGAAGCAATTAAGACAGGCTGGGGTACGAAAGTCTCCACTGAATCAGCACAGCTGTTCACAAGGATTGCAAATTGCCGTGATTCTATTTCACAATGGAGAAAGAACAATCCAACGAACTCTGCCAAGATGATTGAAGCTGTAAAAACCCAGTTAGAAAGAGCACAAACCGACGACAACATCCCAAACGAGGAAGTCTTTGAGCTCAAATGGCAACTGTGCTCAGCGCTTAGGGAAGAAGAATTGTTTTGGAAGCAAAAGAGTAGAGCCAACTGGCTCAGAGAAGGGGACAAGAATACAAAGTTTTTCTATGTAACTACAAAACAGAGAAGAGTTCGTAATAAGATTATCAAACTTAAAGACGGAGATGGCAGCTGGGTAGAAAATGAAGATAAGATAGAACAGGTAGCATCAGCATATTTCCAGAATCTGTTCACCTCTTCAAATCCCTCGAATTATGAGGAGGCACTGAAGTATATAGCCCCAAAGGTTACACAGGAGATAAACACAGAGCTTACTACTATCCCATCTGATATGGAGATCAAAGAAGCTATATTCTCCATAAATTCTGACAAAGCCCCGGGTCCTGACGGAATGACAAGCCTTTTCTACCAAAGATTCTGGAAGACAACATCAACAGATATCACAAAAGCCGTGAGAGACTTCTTTGAGACGGGTGTCTTCGATGAGAGGCTCAACCAGACAAACATCTGTCTTATCCCGAAGAATGAACGACCTCGAGAAATGTCGGAATATAGACCGATCAGCCTCTGTAATGTATGCTACAAGATCATATCAAAAATCTTATGCGCACGACTGAGAAAATTCCTCCCAAGGCTTATATCTGAGACCCAATCAGCCTTTGTGGCTCGAAGATTAATAACGGACAATGTCCTAGTTGCACAGGAGATGTTCCACGCCCTACGTACTAATATGAGCTGTAAGAAACAATTCATGGCAGTCAAGACTGACATGAGTAAAGCGTACGATAGAGTAGAGTGGAAGTTCTTGGAAACACTAATGCTTAAGCTCGGTTTCTCGGAAAAATGGGTCTCATGGATCATGTGGTCAATTTCATCGGTTTCCTACAAAGTTTTGATTAATGGAGACGCTAAAGGACATGTGATACCATCACGAGGACTCAGGCAGGGAGACCCCTTATCTCCATTCCTTTTTATCATATGTACAGAAGCACTCATAAGCCTCCTACGTGGAGCAGAAGATGAAGGAAGAATCACAGGGCTAAAGATAGCCAGAGGAAGCCCCGCGGTTTCTCACCTCCTGTTTGCAGATGATAGCTTATTTTTTTGTAAAACAGATATCCTGCAATGTGCAGAGCTCATGAAGATTCTAGATATCTATGGCAAAGCTTCGGGACAACTCCTCAACTGTACAAAATCTTCCATTTTCTTTGGTAGTAAAGTTCCACAAGAGGTGAAAGCAAATGTCAAGACGGCTCTGAGGATCACGAAAGAAGGGGGAATGGGCACATACTTAGGCATTCCAGAGCAGCTGAGTGGCTCTAAAAACCAAGTGTTTGCATACATCCAAGAACGGCTACATAATAAAGTGAACTCCTGGTCGGCAAAACTCCTTTCTAAAGGTGGTAAGGAAGTCCAAATCAAAGCGGTGGCGCAAGCACTCCCAACATATGTCATGTCATGTTTCTTACTGCCTCTAGGTATCATAAAAAAGATCCGTAGTGCTATTGCGAGATTCTGGTGGAGTTCTAAAATAGAGAGCAAAGGTCTCCACTGGATTGCATGGGAGAAAATATGTATCTCAAAAGACGAAGGCGGACTGGGCTTTAGAGATATGCAAAATTTTAACTTAGCTCTCCTTGCTAAGCAACTTTGGAGACTTCTTAGATATCCGTCTTCACTCCTGGCGAGAGTCCTCAAAGGACGCTATTTCCGCTATACGAGCCCGTTAGAGACAGCAAAGGCAAATGCTCCATCCTATGGCTGGAGAAGCATCATAGCGGCGAAAGATCTTCTTCAAAAGGGTCTTAGAAGATCGATAAAATCCGGCTTTGATACTAAAGTCTGGACTGATCCCTGGCTTCCTACAATCCCGGCACGTCCGGCGCTTGACAATGGTAATGGACGCAACCCTCATCTATATGTTAACCATCTCATCGATTTCAATACCAAAGAGTGGAAAATGGATACGATTAAGGAACTCATTCATCCAACGGATATCCCGCTCATCACAAGCCTAAGACCAAGTAGAGTCTTTGATTGTGATGGATATGTTTGGAGCCATTCCACCTCCGGACAATATACGGTGAGATCAGGTTACGCCCTTGCAATGGAGCTAAAGGCACAACAAACCACTCAGGCGGTGCTCGAACCTAGCATAACTACGATGAAACGACAAATCTGGAAAGTGAAAACAACCGGAAAACTGAAGCATTTCATGTGGCAAGTTGTTTCCGGGTTTGTAGCTTCTTGTAGCAAATTAGTTGAACGACACTGTGGGACGGACCGTAGTTGTCCGAGATGTGGTGCTGACGAGGAAACTATAAATCATATTTTCTTCGAGTGCCCACCGGCCATACAAACTTGGGCTCTATCGCCGGTACCGACTTCTCCGGGTGAATTCCCGTGTAATTCCATATACAAGAATTTTGACTACTTGCTCTGGCGAGTGAAAGAAATGGGAGCAAATGAAGAACAGATTGAATCCTTCCCATGGATAATCTGGTTTATTTGGAAGGCTAGAAACGAAAAAGCCTTTAACGGTGAAAAAGTTTCGGCTCTCGATACTGCCCAATGGGCTTTGAGCGAGACCGAATGTTGGAAGATGGCACAAGTGGTGCAATCTACCTTAGACAGCGACGAGGATACAGAACCAACGGCCGAAGCGAAAAGAGGAAACCGATGGCCCATATGTAACACGGATGCATCCTGGGACAAGAATGCTAAATGTGCAGGTCTGAGTTTCGTTCTAAGGAATGAAGACGGTTCATGTCTGTACGGAGCAAAGGCCTGCGCCAATACACAATCAGCGACTCATGCTGAACTTGAAGCAATCATATGGGCCCTGAAAAACGCCACAGAAATCGGGTATACAGATTTATATCTGCAAACCGACTGCCAACAAGTCCTAAAGATGATCAAAGAAGAAGAAGAATGGCCGGCCTTTTCTGCAAAGATCGAAGACATCCTTCGCCTCAAACTCAGTTTTACTTGTTTTGATATTTCTTTCGTATCACGCAATCTAAATGTCCGTGCGGACTCCTTAGCCAAAGGAGCACGTTCACGAGGGTTCTGTTTTGATTATGTAAACTCGTTGTCACAAAACGAGCTGCCTCTTGAGGTATGCCCGATTGCGATAACGTCTTAATAAAAGTTCGTATGTTTTGCCGGCAAAAAAAAAAAGTTGGAGAGACCTCACATTGTGGACGGTGAACACAATGTTAGTAATTCACCAATTCGCAAGATATATGCTAAAGGAAGTGTACTATCATATTCACATCAGAGCAGATTAGTTAACAAAAATTATACTCTCACCCAACCAAAGAAAAACACTAAATGATTCCTTTTGAAGGAAGTCTGAGATATTTTTTTCCCTGAAACTATAGATACTTTAAATTTTACTAATTCAAAAAAATGTGCGATGATAAACTATATAGCTAGAAGTAAAACACTGAAGAAGAGGAACTCGATATTCTTTTCTTCTTGAAAATTGAAGGACTTAACGTCCGTTACTGATGGTGAGGGTACGGATATATATCATATATAGAACGAGTGCCCAATCATCTCGTTAACTTTTATAAACTGAATCACATTCATTGACTATATACAGTAGATATGCATGTTGAGCTTTAAGGTAAAGAAGAATGTGGTTGGGTTGGGGCCAAGACATTCATTAATATTGGTAAATTTGTCCAATCAACCTGACCCACTTCCAGCACATCATCGCCTAACCCTTCACATGCCATTGAGAAAATACATCGCAAAAAGGAAAATAGTAGTAATTCTTTCGAGACTAGCAACTCTTAAGCATCTAACAAGATTTGACAATTTAACAATAAAAGTACATTTATGGTTTTTGTTTCCATATCGCAAACTGATAATCGTATTGCCGTCGATCTATCAAAAGCATCGTCAACTTGTTGGGTTGTGTTCGGCTAAGCTCATTGGGCTTTGAGTAAAATTGCTGTCCAAACAAAAAGTCCTCTTTTCAAGTAGCAGCAGCTTCCTAGAGTACATAATCATTTTTATGCTAAAGTTCCCATATAATCTCTCTAATATTATACATGTGTGATCTATGTGTGTGTTAAGCGACGGCCAATTCAAAAAAGGGTCTGAAAAAAGAAGACATACAAAGTCACACCTTGTCTATTGATATGGATCATATATAATAAATGTACTTTTTTTTATAAAATAACAAAATGTACTTCTTACTTCACTTACTAACAGCAACAACAGTAATGAGTCATAGAGTTTGCATGGCAGATGTAACCTATTACTATACTGATACTTAATTTAACTTGGTATTTATTTTGTGTTGAATTTTGATATAATATTTTTAGTGAAGAAATTCAAAGTGATTGGTTTTGGACACGAACTCATCTAGTAGCGCTATTTATCGGATGAACTTTGATTCCATTTTCCTTAATTATTTATTTTGGAAGGGTTGGTTGGTTTGGTAGGACGAGAGCATTATTTCTAACTATGTAGTTTACTTAAGAAACCAATAAAGCAGAAACTAGAAACTATGGAACATAGTCGTCAATAGACATGAAACTGAAATAGGTCGATCAGACAACCAACCTAGACATTTCAAAAGTACAAATCACTTAAAATTTCTCCAACTAACTACACATAGTCATTTATTATTAGTACTTGGCTAGAATTTTAAAATTAAGCGTAGGTCTAGAGTTTAGGTAGGTTGCCTATAAGTCTCCATCTTTGTAGGAGGCCCCCCTCCAGTGAACGGAGGCATACTGGCATGTCAAAACACGTGGCTTTCTATATTTGGATTCTCCATCTTTGTAGGAGGCCCCCCTCCAGTGAACGGAGGCATACTGGCATGTCAAAACACGTGGCTTTCTATATTTGGATACTTGATATAACTTGTGGATCAAGTAACACCACGAAGAGTTGTACTTTATCTATAATTTGTATATAAGTTATGGTTTGTATATAAGTTATGGAGTAAGTATAATCGTAGAGTGAGTAGACACTAACTAGCCAGCGACCAGATAGGCAGATACGGCTTCGAATTAAATTTGTAAGTAGATTTAGCCCATTGATGGTGGTAGTTTGGTAACTAATGACAGCAAGTCAGCAACTAACTAGCTCATCAACCCTCAGATGTTTGCTATCAATCGAATATAATTCTAAGCTTGTGATAAAACAGAAAAGCTAGGTTCCAAGTTTAGACTAATTCTAACTTTTTAGATCACTAAATTTTCAGTATATTCCAAACAAACCAATACAAGATCCACCAACATTAATTTGACCCACATATATGTCATTAGTATTTGGAGCTGCGGTTTGATCTTAAACGCTCTGAACTAATTAAGTAGGACACGTTTTTAAAAAATCTTAAACCTATAATAGTTTCTGGAAAATTTCCAGAGTCTAGAGAGTATTTTTGATAAATGAGTTCCTCTCCAGATATACAAGTTGAGTTTTGTTGGGCGAATTGATAAAACTGAGAAATCTTTGTTCACAAAGAAATAAATGAAAGAAATCTTTGATAGAAAATTAAATACCTGTTATTACGGGTGAAAAGGTTGGCCAGGAATTGCCAAATTCGGTGGTTTTTGCAGATGAGGAGACAAATGGTACGGCTAATGTGTTCATACCAACAAGCCATCGACGCTCCTAAAGCTATTGGCGGCCAAACTTTCCTTGGGGCCACCTTCTTCATCACGTACTGCCTCGGCTTCGCTTCTCCCGCCGGTACCGGATAGTACGGCTGCCCACACATACACATGCACACTTGTTTGTATTAGTCCTACCTCACATATCTTCTTTACAACGTACATGTTGTGTCAAACCAATATTTTTTTTTACTTGCATTTAAATCAAACAATTTTCTTTTTAAAAAATTAATAAACTCGAAACCATAAACGTAATTAAAAAACAAAAACAATAGGATATTATGCTTTCCTTAAATATAAAAAAATAATACGTAGAAAGAAATAAAAAATTGAGCCTAAATGAGTGACCCTCAAAACATTTCTAGTGTAAATTATGAATAAATTTATAATATGCATGTTCAAAAACTAATTTACTCACCGGAGCAAGGAGGGTGAGCGACTTGATTAAGTCGCCGTGTCTAGCGGCGAGGCCAAGTGCCAAAATGCATCCCAAAGAGTGAGCCACGATGTGGAAAGACTTCACATTGTGTTTGTGTAAGACCGATTTCTCGATCATCTCTACGTGTTCTCGCAATGTGTAGAGTGAATCGGCAGGCTTAGGGCTCTTCCCGAATCCTAGAAGATCCACCGCGAAGAGTCTATAAGCCGAGGAGGAAGCCAGCAAGCTTGGAAACACCGTTTCCGTCCAAAACGCCGATGAAGATATGAAACCATGTATGAATAGAACATCCTCTTTTGCTGTTACCCCTGTTGTAATAAATCCAATAACGCAAAGAAAAAATTGAGTGTTTCGTAGTCAAAATATTAAAATAATGATTTTTGCTTGTATCAAAAATTGGAAATATCTTTTTGTCTTGCGTTTCGTGTTTGCATTTGATAAATTGTGTGTGTGTGTGTGTGTGTGTGTGTTTTTTTTTCTAATAATAAATGAACACACACAATCTTTATATACGTGAAAAGCTTTGCTACTAAAATTAATTAGCATGAACATGTAAAACCAAATAAACGCAAACACAGAAAAGAAAATCGAATCTTTTATTAAATTTGTCAATCATATTTACCTCAAATAAAGATGTAAACCCTTACCATTTGGGATTTGAGTTTTGACAAAGAGGCAATGATTTTTGTCCGTAGTGGAGGCCCAAGATGTACATAACCCACAATCACAATCCGACCATCGAGAGACATCGTGGCTCAAATTCTGCGGTCTGATCTTTCCCCTAAGCATCTCAACGACCGTGAAGTTCACCTTCAAGCTTGACTTCGTCTTTGATTTCCTCCTTTTGTTCTTAACCTTCTCATGATGGTCGCTACATTTGGAGTCGGATCGAGTAACCTTAACGAGTCGCTTATTGAGCTCGTTAACAGAGAGATTATAGAGGTCGGATAGAACAGAAGGACGTGTGTATAGGGTCTCGGAGATATCCTCCAGCACAATCTTGGAACGTCCGCTACAAGAAATACAAAGCATATTCATTGGAAATTTTCAACTCCTAGTAAAAATTTTAGTTCCAGTAATAATTTGAATTTAATAGAACTACAAAAGACATAATATGAGTCGGTTATGTATAATGGTCAGCACTACTACTATTTTACACGTAAAAATTGATAGTGAATATGGAATATGAAATGGGCTTTTTTGGGAAAAACCGGAACACCACATTTAATGATGTAAACACAAGTATCATATGATATAATCATTATAACTTTGTATTAGACGGAAACATTCTTAATATTTTGAAATATTGAGGTAAATAAATAAATAAAATCTTTTAAAAGACTTTTGTTTTGTTTTGTAAAGTAACACATTTTTGGATTGGTGCATTTCTCATTAGTTAACAAAAAAAAGTAAAGATTACCTGAGTTCTTGAAGCGGAGAAAGAGTGAGGATCTTGGACTCGCCATTATTGTGAGACACGAGGTTCTTTCCTCTAGTCGCCGTGATGGGTTCCTTGGCTGACAAGCAATAGCAAGGCTTCCACTCCGATTCTAAGAGATAGTCTGCTGCTTTGTAGATGAGACAAAGCAATGAATCGACGATGTCGAAGAGACAGAACACGACGAAGCTAACAGCTTCGTTGAGCCACGTCCCTGCTATGGTCGCTGCTTTTCTTGTCATAGCCATAGATCAACAAACTTGGAGATGTATAAAAACTTATAAGATTGATACAAACTCTTCGTTTTATTTTGCGAGTTTAAAGAGAAAGATCTATGGACGAAGTCGACTTGTGTTTTTTTTTGGTTTTAAAGTCGACTTATGTTGTAGTAAGTATAATTGTGTATTGTGTTTATATAGTAGATAGCCTCCATCTCTCTCTATCTCTTTCTCTCTTTCTCTGTACTTTTTAGCATAGGACGCAAGAAAGTGAACAACAAACAAAAGTATTACCATGCGATGAAGGTGAAACTGCTGTCACGTTGCGTCTTAAATGCCAACGACGATGATGGTGATGACCCTTGTGTCTTGGTGGTGGAATGCGGCTTGGGTTGGGGGCAAAAGCTGAAAATGGAAAGAAAATGACCACTGAATACTCCTTGGCAGAAACATGACTACACTAGAATACTTGCCTAGACCATAAGACTAAAAGGAGTTACTTTGCTGACCTGGTGAAGCTGCAGGAGCAACAGCTGGATTATAATGAGGATGAAAAAAATGCATTGGATGCGATTTTGATCGGGCGAATGGCAAGCTCATAGGAAATAGCCGAGCTGCAAATGATAAGAGTGCAAGCTGATAAGTCATCCACAGACAATTTCTTTGTATAGATGTCGAATATTCATAGCACCAAATAGTTCCAAAGTAATCGGAGGTATCTACTATCTACAACTATACGTGCTGCATCCTCTTTTGGGAATGAAAGTGCCATGCCTATGTTAAATAATACAATCCCCCGCCAAGAGAATGTCTTGCTATATCGACATTTCCTCAACATACTTAGAAAAATAAGAAGTAAGCCATTTTTAACAAGCTCTTTAAAGTTGGGTGCCAAATAAGGCACACAACGTGGGGATTCATCGTCACTCTCACGCTTCACAATCACAGATTCCAAACTTAATGAATCTAAATCGTACAACTAAAAACCCTTTTACAACTCTCCGTCCTATGCTAACAACATTCTGGAATATGTATAACAAATGATGAATCAATTAGCATACATAAAAATATGTGAACATTATTATTTGATACGCCATTGTCTGTTTTTCTTCTTCTCATGGCTAAATACATAAGGATTTCCTTAATTTATAAAAATTTCAAGAATGTAGTATATCGACCCATTACATAGAACAATTGATGATCAATCATAAGGTTTCATAGAGCACACTTTTAGCAAGATGAAGTCGTCCAAATCTCTTGGAGCTCTCTGGCGAACTCATCCTGTCTACCAACAACCATGGTGATATGATCTTTTTTCTCAATAACATTAACTCGTGCTCGAGGAATCCGCTGTTTAACGTTGTAGCTACACTCGATGGGGATGAGTTCGTCGTGTCCTCCGTGGAAGATGGTCACGTTGCACTTGAGCTTATCTCGTACGATGTCTAGGTACGTATCGAGTTTGCTTCCTGTCCCACATATAATGTTGTGTAGAGTGTGCCACGCTGCGTTGTGCGTGTGACACATGAAACCTTCTATTAAAAAGTTTACTGTCCTGGATAGAGAAAATCATTCATTAGTATACAATAGATGATATAGACAGCAAAATGTACTTTTTTTAATAAAATAACAAAATGTACTTCTTACTTCACTTACTAAACCACAACAATAATGAGTCATAGAGATTGCATGGCAGATGTAACCTATTACAATACTGATACTTAATATAACTTGGTATTTTGTGTTGAATTTTGATTCAATATTTTTAGTGAAGAAATTCAAAGTGATTGGTTTTGGACACGAACTCATCTAGTAGCGCTATTTATCGGATGAACTTGATTCCATTTTCCTTAATTATTTATTTTGGAAGGGTTGGTTGGTTTGGTAGGACGAGAGCATTATTTCTAACTATGTATTTTACTTAAGATACCAATAAAGCAGAAACTAGAAACTATGGAACATAGTCGTATATAGACATGAAACTGAAATAGGTCGATCAGACAACCAACCTAGACATTTCAAAAGTAAATCACTTAAAATTTCTCCAACTAACTACACAGTCATTTATTATTAGTACTTAGCTGGAATTTTAAAATCAAGCGTAGGTCTAGAGTTAAGGTAGGTTGCCTATAAGTCTCCATCTTTGTAGGAGCCCCCCTCCAGTGAACGGAGACATACTGGCATGTCAAAACACGTGGCTTTCTATATTTGGATATTTGATATAACTTGTGGATCAACTAACACCACGAAGAGTTGTACTTTATCTATAATTTGTATATAAGTTATGGAGTAAGTAATAATCGTAGAGTGAGTAGACACTAACTAGCCAGCGACCAGATACGGCTTCGAATTAAATTTGTAAGTAGATTTAGCCCATTGATGGTGGTAGTTTGGTAACTAATGACAGCAAGTCAGCAACTAACTAGCTACATCAACCCTCAGATGTTTGCTATCAATCGAATATAATTCTAAGCTTGTGATAAAACAGAAAAGCTAGGTTCCAAGTTTAGACTAATTCTAACTTTTTAGATCACTAAATTTTCAGTATATTCCAAACAAACCAATACAAGATCCACCAACATTAATTTGACCCACATATATGTCCTTAGTATTTGGAGCTGCGGTTTGATCTTAAACGCTCTGAACTAATTAAGTAGGACATTTTTTTTTTAATCTTAAACCTATAATAGTTTCTGGAAAATTTCCAGAGTCTAGAGAGTATTTTTGATAAATGAGTTCCTCTCCAGATATACAAGTTAAGTTTTGTTGGGCGAATTGATAAAAATGAGAAATCTTTGTTCACAAAGAAATAAATGAAAGAAATCTTTGATAGAAAATTAAATACCTGTTATTACGGGTGAAAAGGTTGGCCAGGAATTGCCAAATTCGGTGGTTTTTGCAGATGAGGAGACAAATGGTACGGCTAATGTGTTCATACCAACAAGCCATCGACGCTCCTAAAGCTATTGGCGGCCAAACTTTCCTTGGGGCCACCTTCTTCATCACGTACTGCCTCGGCTTCGCTTCTCCCGCCGGTACCGGATAGTACGGCTGCCCACACATACACATGCACACTTGTTTGTATTAGTCCTACCTCACATATCTTCTTTACAACGTACATGTTGTGTCAAACCAAGATTTTTTTTTACTTGCATTAAAATCAAACAATTTTCTTTTAAAAAAATTAATAAACTCGAAACCATAAACGTAATTAAAAAACAAAAACCCTAGGATATTATGCTTTCCTTAAATATAAAATAATAATACGTAGAAAGAAATAAAAAATTGAGCCAAAATGAGTGACCCTCAAAACATTTCTAGTGTAAATTATGAATAAATTTATAATATGCATGTTCAAAAACTAATTTACTCACCGGAGCAAGGAGGGTGAGCGACTTGATTAAGTCGCCGTGTCTAGCGGCGAGGCCAAGTGCCAAAATGCATCCCAAAGAGTGAGCCACGATGTGGAAAGACTTCACATTGTGTTTGTGTATGACCGATTTCTCGATCATCTCTATGTGTTCTCGCAATGTGTAGAGTGAATCAGCAGGCTTAGGGCTCTTCCCGAATCCTAGAAGATCCACCGCGAAGAGTCTATAAGCCGAGGAGGAAGCCAACAAGCTTGGAAACACCGTTTCCGTCCAAAACGCTGATGAAGATATGAAACCATGTATGAACAAGACATCCTCTTTTGCTATTACCCCTGTTGTAATAAATCCAAAAACGCAAAAAAAAAAAAATGAGTGTTGCATAGTTAAAACATTAAAATAATGATTTTTGTTTGTCTCAAAAATTGGAAATGTCTTTTTGTTTTGCGTTTCGTGTTTGCATTTATACATATTACTTCCGAAGATGTTTGATATATAAATTGTGTGTGTGTCTGTGTTTTTACTTTTTTTTTGTAATAATAAATGAACACCACAATATATACGTGAAAAGCTTTGCTAAGATTAGTTAGCATGAAAATGTAAAAACAAACAAACGCAAACACATAAAAGAAAATCGAATCTTTTATTAAATTTGTCAATCATATTTACTTCAAATAAAGATGTAAACCCTTACCATTTGGGATTTGAGTTTTGACAAAGAGGGAATGATTTTTGTCCGTAGTGGAGGCCCAAGATGTACATATCCCACAATCACAATCCGACCATCGAGAGACATCGTGGCTCAAATTCTGCGGTCTGATCTTTCCCCGAAGCATCTCAACGACCGTGAAGTTCACCGTCAAGCTTGACTTCGTCTTTGACTTCCTCCTTTTGTTCTTAACCTTCTCATGATTGTCGCTACATTTGGAGTCGGATCGAGTAACCTTAACGATCCGCTTATTGAGCTCGTTAACGGAGACATTAGAGAGGTCGGATAGAACAGAAGGACGTGTGTATAGAGTCTCGGAGATATCCTCCAGCACAATCTTGGAACGTCCGCTACAAGAAATACAAAGCACATTCATCGGAAATTTTCGACTCCAGGTGAAAATTTTAGTTCCAGTAATAATTTGAAATTAATAGAATTACAAAGACATATTATGAGTCGGTTATGTATAATGCTCAGCATTTATATCACTTTTATAGTGAATATGGAATATGATATATGCTTTTTTGGGCAAAACAGGAACAGCACATGTAATGATGTAAACACAGATGTCATATGATATAATCATTATAACTTTGTATTAGACGGAAAACATTCGTAATATTTTGAAATGTTGAGGTTAATAAATAAATAAAATCTATTAAAAGACTTTTGTTTTGTTTTGTAAATTAACACATTTTTGGATTGGTCATTTCTCATTAGTTAACAAAAAAAGAAAAGAAAAAATACGTAAAGATTACCTGAGTTCTTGAAGCGGAGAAAGAGTGAGGATCTTGGACTCGCCATTATTGTGAGACACCAGGATCTTTCCTCGAGTCGCCGTGATGGGTTCCTTGGCCGACAAGCAATAGCAAGGCTTCCACTCCGATTCTAAGAGATAGTCTGCTGCTTTGTAGATGAGACAAAGCAATGAATCGACGATGTCAAAGAGACAGAACACGACAAAGCTAACAGCTTCGTTGAGCCACGTCCCTGCTATTGTCGCTGCTCTTCTTGTCTTCATCATAGCCATAGATCAACAAACCTTGGAGATGTATAAAAACTTATAAGATTTATACACTCTTCGTTATATTTTGCGAGTTTAAAAGGAGAGATCCATGGACGAAGTCGGCTTGTTTTGTATAATTGTGTTTATATAGTAGATATGGCCTCTCTATCTGTCTATGTCTATCTCTCTCTCTCTCTCTCTCTCTCTCTCTCTCTCTGTCTCTCTCTCTCTCTCTCTCTCTCTCTCTCTCTCTCTCTCTCTCTCTCTCTTAAAGAGTTGAGAAGAGGATTATAGCGAAACAAGAATCTGAGGATTGTGTGAATGTATATAGTCTATATATGATACGTGATTAATATATAATATGATGTCATAAGGTGAGAAATTGTTCAAGACACTCGAAAATGACTGTTTAGGGGTCACGGATCCACCGGTTTGACCGTCCGGTATTAAAAACACTTGCTAAATAACATGTGGCTGTGAGATAATTTTAGACAGTCCACATATGGGTTGTCGAGAATTCTATGTATATTGATCGGAACATGGTGACTTAATCGAAATTAACCTTATTTTTCATATATACAGAAATGGAAGATAAATATATTGGGAGACTTTTTTGCAGCGTGTAAGAGAAACTATGTGAATGAAGTTGGGAGTGACAAATTGGGCATTCTTTTTTTAATCCTATATGCATGGATAAGGAACATAATTTTACCACATATAGTTATCCTCTCTCTCTACATATATATATGAAATTCTTTTTATCAAATATTTATATATCCACACATACACGTACGTAATGTTGTCTGCGAAAATTCTTGAATGTAATAAGTGCAAAAAAATTCAGGTGGACAATACTTACTACGGAAAAGACAAAAGAACTGAGAAAATTTGGAAGATAAAAGAAATAGATAACCAAATAAAATTAAAACACAAAATTAAAAGTGTATAAAAAGAGAAATGTGGGTTGTGTCATTAAACGCCCAAAGAAAAAGAGGTGCGTGGTGGTTGAACCATCCTGTGAAACAGCATAACCAGTCTATGACTTGGCTTTATCAAATGATCATGCACAAAGCCATATTTCAATAAATCTTTCTCTTTATTTAGACTATTAAACGTCACATTATTTTCCATTTCAATAATCATTTCTTGTTCCGCTAAAACTTGCTAATCCAATTTTTCTTATCCAACTCGGTAGAACTTTTTTCCTTTGTTCCATGACACGCAATTATGTGTATTTTCAGACCAACATTGCAATTAACAATTAATATGATAATATCACCTTTTCGTTTTATATATTAGTTTTCAACTTTCAAGTTGAGACCCTTTAACACACACAAAAAAAAAAAAAAAAAAAAAAAACTTTCAATTCAACTGATTGATTACTATGAATCATGTTCATTCACCTTTGTCGAAAAAGGGTTGTACAATTTAGTATGCTTCTTTCCACAATACACATTCCTTAAAAGGCATGTGGAAAACCATGGTACTACGTAAATGTAATTCCATTCATACAAACAAATGATTGTTGGCGGCGTATTTACTGCGGATTTGGTGCATATGCATTTGTATGCAAGCTTATCATGAAACTCCTCGAACTAACATATATGATATTTTTCGGACAACCAAAACATTTAGAATATTTAATCTATAATCTCCTCGAACCCAAAACCATATAAAGTAAAACTCTAGTTCTCTCCCCAACATCGGAATTATATTTAGGCTGCATTACTAAGATTTGGAGTGGTCCTCCGAGAGAAAAATCCTCTCTTCTCTCCCACACCATAACCAAGTATTTGTTTAGTAATTATATACGGGTCGTCGGCTGGTAAATATAGTATTCATGCATTCATTATCGATCCCATTATATTTGCAACGCACACATACACTATATCAAGATTCCTAACATTTCGGTGCTAAATAATCAAATACATATCTAACTGTCAAACGGTACGGAACACGTAGGTTAAGAAAAGGACATGCATGAAGTATGATATTAGGGGTTCGATGTCTTTCTGTCAAATTATATTTATTTCCTTCAATTCCGCATTTTTCAATTTTGACGCAAGATATTGTATCAATTTGAAAATTTGGTTACCGTGTGTACTCACATACATTTTCAGTGATTTCCAGTAAAGAAATAATTATTTGCCTTGGCTTTCAATATTTCGTTTCGATAAGGTTTATATTTACATATACTAAAATACAAACGTGCATTCAAATTCAGTTTCCTTTTAAAAGTTGTCTCAGTTTTTGTTTTTTTCTCTCATAATCATACTTCGGTGGGAAATTACAAAACTTGTACGCCAATTCTACAAATAGGAGAAGGTGTACTTTGATACTTTTAAGAAAATGGTTTAAATAATTACTGCATTTGATGGCTGAATTATCGCCTAAGTTACTCATTCAGTCACTTGACATACAAACATGTACATTTGTTCTGTATATTCCATTAATTTTTTCTTCGTACTATATATATAATTATATTATATATTAAATTATTACATTTCAATTATATTTCACTAACTCGTTAGCGCTTTCTATAAAAATAGATGGTTTTTTTGTGTTTTGGAAAAATTTATTGCGTATAGACTGACTTTTCTATATGATTTCTTTTTTTTTTTAAATATAAAATGACATAGCTTGAGATGGCAAAGCCGGATCTCTATCTGGTTTTTCATGCCATGACACAAAAATACATATCACATTTAATTGACTATTTATGACTCCACGATTACATGTCACATGATTACTACGTCTCAGACTTATCTCCGGTACAACTGGAAAATCGCCTCTCTCATTCAAATATTTCTTATTGTTGTTTGTATATAACATTTATTAATTTCTAACAAGTCTTCCTTCCAAGTGACTGTTCACTCGAGTGCTTCTTTTTCGGTTTCCCCTAATTGCTTATGCGATCTTGAAGGATGTCACGAGTCTGAACAGTTCTATAATTTACGCTAATTACGCTAATTAATTAGCTCGCTTGTTTTCTTGCAATCAATTGCCGGATCCTAAGGCGAGTAATTCTGCCATCGGACGACTTTTCGGCCGAGCCACAGTCTTATAGATTAACAGAACCAAGCGATTTCGAATCAATTCAATGATGCATCACGTCTCATTGTATACAGTATAGTTGGATTAGTTGCTTCTTCTAATGGTAATACAAACGCTAGCTGTTGTTGTATTCATCTGATTTTACAGTAGAAAAGTAAAATCTACTATAAATCCCAAAACAAAAAAACTTTAAAAGTTCGTATCTAAAATTAGAAGTCGTAAATAACAACAATGTATTTCGTATGGGTAACTATGGAACAAAAAAAAAAAAAAGGGCTTTCTTGTAATGGGCCATTCATGTGCTAATATACTATTACAGTGGCCCACTCTAGTTGCCCATTTGAGCCTGAGACGATCGTATCTCACTTGACTACTTTCTTTCTAAGTAATATGATGCTGCTAATTGCTCAGTAACGAGTTTTATGATTTTATCATGAATTATTTCTTCTTTTCTTTTCAACTGAAAAAAAGTAATCTAGATTTGGTTAATTCGACTGCTAATATGTTCTCCCACTAACTCCAAACAGTCCAATATTTATATGTTTTATTATGGTTCTTGAGACATTCCTATCTAGCTTTAGCACCACCTATGTTTTGTTTTCTATAAAGCTACTTGCCTTTCGATTGATTTGAGTTCCAAAGTTCTATCATTATTTCTATGCTTCAGAATGTCTTCTCAACATCTACATATAGACACGTAGCACATTGTCTCCTAATATACTCGATGCCAAGATCTGCTCGAAACAGGTTACATCGACTCTGAAAACAGAGGATATTTTTTTTTAATCCCTTGGGAGGTTATATTCTCGTTCCTAGGCAACAATAAAAACATATCTTAGAGTTGCTTCCAAATTACTGAATGAATCTGTATAAAAATTGGAATATGTAACCAAATCCTGACATAAAACTTCACGAGTTTATATAACTGGACTGATTACCGGATTTCAAAAAGAAAATGGGTTTATTTTGGTTTCTTAAAAAGATTGATCCTTTTTTGGTAAGAAACCATGTTCTTATCAAGAGTAACCACCGATTATATCACTTACGGACAATGACCTTAATACGATTCATAATTTATGACATTTGAACTTTAGTGAGTGGTCCTATATCTCCAGTAACTTAGAATTAGCGTATACGACAAACAACACACACGAATTAGCGTATTACAAAAGGATATGTATAAATCTTTTCTTTTCAGATCATTTTTTTGTGTCACCCAATAATTTATGGCTTTATCTTCTTCCTCTAATAATTTGTCTTTACTATACCTACAAAAGAGGGAACCTAGCTAAATCAGAAAAAATGTAAAAATCAAGAGTAGTAATGGAGACATGAAAGTAGTGGGGTCGAAAAGAGAAAGAAGAAAAGAAAAGGGGTGAAAAATAAATAAAATCTAAGCAAGTGACCAAAGATGGTAAAAGAGAGATAAATTAGTTAGAGCATCACATCCCCTCTGGTCCCCTATGAGAAGCTCTCACGGAAACGAGTTGTGGGTCCCATTTTTCTTAACACACATCTCCAAGCACCACCGTTCTCTCCGTTAACTTTAAACGGAACTTAATCCTCTTTTTTTTTCCGATAAATCAATAAATGGTACGATGAAGTTTGGGAAGAAGACAAAGATAAAGACGTTACCTAAGGTCGAAGTAAAAAGATCGAAAGAAGCGGTGTGGGTGAGAGAGTTAACGGCGTTAGTGAAGAAAACGACAACGTGGGATGCTGTCTGTGTCAGGGTGAAGAGAGAGAGAGAGAGAGAGAGAGAGAGAGAGTAGTAGCTGACAGTTAATGAAGACATTTGTCTCTATTCTGAAACGAGGTCGAATGTTGGAGACTAAGGAAACAAAAATTGCTCTGTGGCTCACCGTTCCTCTCCCCTCACTCGTTTTAAAACCCAATTCCCCAATTTCTCTCCCCATCCTCTCATCTTTTAAGTGGCACTCTCTGAGAGAGAGAGAGAGACAAAATAAAATTAAAAAAGATGGAGCCTTTTTGTGTTCTTGTGGATATGTTCCGGGCTTTAGGCTAAGAGAAAAAGGCTCTCTGTTTCTCCTCTGTTTTTTTTTTTTTTTTGTTTTCTTTCTTTCTTTGATTTTTGGGTGTTGTTTCTGTTTAAAGGATAAAGCTTTTGAGTTTCTCCAAGGTTTCCATTACAGAGACAAAGGGGAAATTCAAGTTTCTGTTTCTCTTTTTGGATGTTGTTGAGCTTTTTAATCGGTTTTTATAAAGGTTGTGTTTTTGGTAAAAGTTGAGACTTTTTGAGTGGATATCACTGTGAGGGTGATTTTAGCATAATGGGAACAAGAGCAGAGCGTAATAAGGAAGATTTTGCTGTTGGTGGGTTTGGATTTGGAGTTGTAGAAAATTCGCATAGAGACGTTATGGTAATACCTCACCATCATCACCATCCATCATATCCATCGCCTTCCTCTTCTTCCTTGTGTTACTGTCCTGCTGGTGTTACCGATCCCATGTTCTCTGCTTCAAGCAATCAGGCATACACTTCTTCCCTCGGTGAAATGTTCTCCCTCGCCGGCTCTGGTTCTGGTGCTGTTTCCGTAGCAGATCCTTTCTTCACCTTGAGCTCTTCAGGTTCCAAGTTCTCACCTTTTATGACTTATGAGCTATGAAAAAAAAATGAAATTTTGTATGTTGATTTTAATGTGAAATTGGTGGATAAAAATCCAGGGGAGATGGGAAGAAGTGCTAGTGAAAAGGAAAGTGCAGCTTTCAGTGAAGCTCAATGGCAGGAGCTTGAGAGACAGAGGAACATATACAAGTACATGATGGCCTCTGTTCCTGTTCCTTCTGAGCTTCTCTCACCTTTCCCCAAGAACCCACCAAACACTAACAATCAAGATGGTAAAAATCTCCATAGCTTTCACTTGAAACAACTTCTGTAGGTTCCTGTTTCTTGGTTACATGTGTTCTTTGTTATCATCTGTTTATGCAACTAAGATCCATTACAAGTTTCAAGAAGCTTTACCTCTTAGTTGATGCATAGGAATTGAATGTTTGGTACCTTAGACTGAATACAAGAGTTTGCTGTGTTCTTTGTGGGTTTTAGTGACAGTGGCAGTGGCGAAAGGAGGCTCATTGAAGCTAGGGATAGCTTCAAACGCAAGCAACAACGCGTCTGATCTGGAGCCATGGAGGTGCAAGAGAACAGACGGGAAGAAATGGAGGTGCTCCAGAAACGTGATCCCTGATCAGAAATACTGTGAGAGGCACACACACAAGAGCCGTCCTCGTTCAAGAAAGCATGTGGAATCATCTCACCACAACGACACTCGTACCACTACTACTAAGAACGACACCAACAACAACCAGATCGCTAGAACTTACCCTCAGTTTTACGGACATCCCGTAAGCCAGTTCCCAGTTCCTCCTGCTGTTCCGTCTGCTTCCTCTTCATATGACCATAACAGGTGCGTGTGTTTACTTAACATTCTCTTTTCTTGAAATAATTTGTAAAGAAATGAAACTTATTGGTTGATATTGTGTGAAGAGAGCTGAGGTGGTTTATGAAAGAAGGTGAGACCATAGCAACTCTAAGCCCTGAGATTCACGAGGCTGTTCCGCTGAAGGTTGGATCAAGCAGAGAGGCTCTCAAACGCGGATTCGATTACGATCTGAATTTCAGGGAGAAGGAGCCATTAGTAGACCAAGGCTTTGGAGCATTGCAGGGACTGCTGAGTCTAAACCAGACACCACATAACAACCAAGAGACGAGGCGGTTTTTCTTGGAAGGGGAGCAAGAAGATGAAGCAATGGGAAGCTCTCTGTCACTGTCAATGGCAGGAGGAGGCATGGAGGAAGCAGAGGGAACGAACCAGCACCACCAGTGGATTAGCCATGAAGGGCCATCGTGGCTATGCTCAACAACACCAGGTGGACCATTGGCTGAAGCACTGTGTCTTGGTGTCTCCATCAATCCGAGTACTAGTACTACTACTAGTAGCTGCAGCAGAAGCTCAAGCTGAAGAAAATTTGACTTGAAATTGTGTTGTTTTTTTACAAGTCAATAAACCGGTTTAGTGATTAGAAATCAAAACTCTCTTTAAGATTAAGAAATCGTTCTCAGTCATTTGTTAGGAAAAAACTGAGACTTTTTAGCTTTTGTTGGTTGTTTGGCGGTTGAATTTTGCAGAAGCTCAAACCACTACTCTATGATGGATAAATGTGTTTGAAATAAACGGTTTAGTTGAACCACTGGAGAACCGATTCAAGATCTCTTTAGCGAAGCTATTAATGTGACCACGGTTTAGACTATAGACTTTAGAGATCTCATTACATTTGATCTCAAGTGAGTAGCACACTGATGAGTAAACAAGAATAATTTGATTATGGGTTCAAAACATTAACGGTTAAAGTAAACCGGTTTTGGTCTCTCGACTACTGTATCAATTTGAATGAGGAAGGTGATAGAGGAATTACCTTATTTATTGAGCTTCCAATTGAAGCCATAAGTAATTTTAGCAACTTCTGTATCTGAATTACTTTTGCATTAATATCGGTGGTATCCCATCAAAATCATTTCACAAGATAATACTGTTGTTAATTTCCATATCAGTCCTAATCTAAGTTTATTCACTTTAATTTCTCAACTATTTGACTAATTTAATTTTGTTTGTTCAACTTCAACGCGGAGAGGTCAAATTTTGGCTACGCGGAAGCTTCTTCTCTTGGTGTGCAAGAGACGTGACGTTGGCAATGACGTAGGAATCATCAAGCAGAGAGCATATCCTTTAGCGGCTTCGCAGCAAAACCTCTCGTCTCGTCTTTGAACAAATTTGGATAATTTTAACTTTAAGAAAATAGTAAACGAAAAATCTCGATTTCCTTGATTCGTGGAATTTTTCGTCGATTTGATTTGATTGTATGAGCTTGAACCGTTTCCGGTTAAGAATGGCGGAGGAAATCTCGAAGACGAAGCTCGGATCTTCTTCTACTGCTGCGGTCGCCGATTCTGCTGCTGCGGCGGCTGCTACCAATGCGGCGAAATCCAGATGGAAAATGTTGTGGCCTAATTCTCTCCGTTGGGTCCCTACCTCCACCGATTACATCATCGCCGCCGAGAAACGTCTTCTCTCCATCCTCAAGTACACATCTCTCTCTCAATTACACAGATTGAATTGAAAATCCTCATAGATTCTTTGATTTGGTTTGATTAACTCTGTTTCTGCGACATTGTTTCGTTATCAAAACTCGCCTTCGTTTCCATGGATTCCCAATTTCAAACCTATATCTTGTTTAGATTGCATTTCGAAGCTGGATTTTTCGTTTTCATAGAGCACGAAATGTTAAAAGGAGAATTCAATCTAGTTTTTAACTCTTTTTTGTGCTGAACAAAATCTCAGGACGCCTTATGTGCAAGAGCAAGTGAATATTGGCTCAGGACCACCAGGATCCAAAATCAGGTGGTTTCGTTCTTCGAGCGATGAGAATCGTTACATCAACACTGTTACATTTGATGCCAAGGAGGGCTCTCCCACTCTGGTGATGGTTCATGGATACGGTGCTTCTCAAGGTTTCTTCTTTCGTAATTTTGATGCTCTTGCCAGTCGATTTAGAGTCATCGCTATTGATCAGCTCGGGTGAGCAACTTTGGCATCATGCAGAGTTTGTTGGTTTCTATAGGATTCAATCAAATCTTGCCTTTTTCCTGAAATATTAGTCATTGTGACTGTAGAATAAGGTAGTTTCTCTTCTTTTTTTTGTTCTTCCTAGGTGGGGTGGATCAAGTAGGCCTGATTTTACGTGTAAAAGCACAGAAGGTATTCATTGGAACTCTTTCTTAATGACTTGTGTTGTGTATATGGAGTTGGTATAGTAGTAATGGAACTGAAATGTTCCTTTCTTTGATCATGCAGAAACAGAGGCATGGTTTATCGAATCCTTTGAGGAGTGGCGTAAATCCAAGAATCTGAGTAACTTTATTCTATTAGGACATTCTTTTGGAGGTTATGTTGCTGCTAAATACGCGCTTAAGGTGAATTCTCATCCTTCGGTATAACTTAATGAGTAAAAAGGTGACAGTTTTTGGTTTTATGATTTCTGACTTTTCATTGGGCGTATTTCTGGATCTTTTCAGCATCCTGAGCATGTTCAACACTTGGTTCTGGTGGGATCTGCTGGCTTCTCAGCAGAAGCAGATGCCAAATCTGAATGGCTCACTAAATTTAGAGCAACATGGAAAGGTGCAGTCTTAAATCATTTATGGGAGTCGAATTTCACTCCTCAGAAGCTGGTTAGGTATGTTCTTGTAATGTTGTCTAATTCACCAATAGGTTGATTAGATGCTCATTTCATTGGTACAAATTTATTGCACTCAACTGAACCCATTTGATGAGCTAGTGATGAAGTTAGTTAGCAGGACTACTAGATTGACTATGTTTTTCTAATTTCTGGGTGCAGAGGATTAGGTCCTTGGGGTCCGGGTCTTGTAAACCGGTATACAAGTGCAAGATTTGGTGCACATTCGGTAGGAACGGTGCTAACAGATGAGGAATCCAGATTGCTAACCGGTGAGTAAATTCTTTCTTGTGAGTTCCATAGAATTTACAGAGGATGATGATGCATAGCATAGCTGATAGTGATGGTTTGTTTTGCATCGTAGATTATGTGTATCATACTTTGGCTGCAAAGGCAAGTGGAGAGTTGTGCTTGAAATACATCTTTTCATTCGGAGCATTTGCTCGGAAGCCCCTCCTACAAAGGTTTGTCTATCAAACCAAGTTTATGAGCACATTGTAACTAGATGGAGCTTTGACATAACTCAAATTCGATGATTTTCTTTTGTGTGCAGTGCATCAGAGTGGAAAGTGCCAACAACTTTTATCTACGGAATGAATGATTGGATGAACTATCAAGGCGCAGTGGAAGCGCGGAAAAGCATGAAGGTCCCTTGCGAAATCATTCGTGTTCCACAGGTCAAATCTCTAAAACAGATATGCGTTTGTTTTCATAATTAAGAAGAAAATATAGAGAAGAAGAAGAAGAAGAAGAAGATGCTAATGTGAGATTTGTTTGTGCAGGGTGGCCATTTTGTGTTCATAGACAACCCAGCTGGTTTTCATTCTGCAGTGCTTTATGCTTGCCGTAAGTATATCTCTCAAGACTCCTCTCATCAAGAAGTCATCCCTGATGGTTTACAATTGGTTTAGTCGCACACTATGTTGCTCCTTTGTCTTTCAAAATGTACAAAAGAATATATAAAGAGAACATACAAAAGAAGGGTCCTTTTTATTTATTCTTTTCCATTTTGGTTGTGTTCCAAGACCTTTCTCCAATCTGTATTTAGCGTTCTTGATTTCTCTCTGAAGTCTACCTAGTGTTCCAAAATGTGATCTCACTATTAAGACATTCTAATGTAATAATCTTTTAGTAATCCAAAATATTCCATTTTCGTACAAGTGCTTATGGAACAAAACGATCCATTCAAATCTATATGCTTGAAATGGGAACCATTGGGTATGGTCAATGCTTGTTTTGGAACTTTTACCCTTGGGGTTTAATTGTTTTTAATTTCATATGATGGTTTCTTAACTTGTTTATCAACATAAGGTTAACTTTCCTTGTACAGCAAGGAAATCGTGTAATTACCGTAACGGGAAGGGTAAAAGAGGTTATAATTGATAACATTCTTATTTTAGTTAGTGAGACATGGTGGTCGAAACATTTCCAATGGCCATGCCGACATGTTACAGCTCAATAAGAAAAACAAGAAACTTACAGAGGGGTTTCTGACTCAAGAAGTTTTCTCTCATCTTATTATTTTGGCTGACTCATTCTTCTCCTCATCTCCCAACAACTTTTCGTTAAGCTTTGTCTATATCATATATTTTGGATAGTTTTATTCAAATCAAAACTCTTCTCTTATTACTTTAATCTCTGACAATCGAAAAACATGCCTTTCTCTTAATTTGCAGCAAGCCGGTGAGGATCAAGAGGTGAGCTGAGTCTTAAACATGTCATTTGGTTTTGAACTTTTTGGTCAATGACAAGCAATGGACAGTTTGAAAAATTCTGCATTTGGAAAACTGCGTTTCTGATAATTTTACCTTGATCAGATGATTGATCAGCATCGTCCTTCTACGGTTTGGTTATGAATTGAAGATATAGAGAGGAAGAAACAAGAAAAATGGCGGCTGGAGAAGAGAAGATATTGGTGTCGGTGAGGGTTAGGCCATTAAACGAGAAAGAAAAGACAAGAAATGATGGATGTGATTGGGAATGCGTCAACAACACCACAATCATCTGCAAGTCCCATAACTTGTCTGATAAGCCTTCCTATACATTTGGTAAATATTTGAATGATTTGCATCTCTAAAATGTCAAATTGTAATTTGAGGTGTTACTATAACTCCATCATCGATCATCAATATAATGTGTTATATACAGACAAGGTGTTTGGATTCGAATGCCCCACAAAGCAAGTGTATGATGATGGAGCCAGAGAGGTTGCACTTTGTGTCCTCTCCGGAATTAACTGTAAGAAAATGGATCTCTTCTGATAAATCCATCATTTTTATATATGTACTAATGGAGACAAATCTTGTGTTGCAGCGAGCATCTTTGCGTATGGACAGACAAGTAGTGGTAAAACGTATACAATGAGTGGAATCACTGAATTTGCAATCGACGACATCTTTGTTTACATTAACAAGGTTATTATCAAGATCTTCTCACTCTTTCTTTCTTGTTTTTTTTTTTGAACCTATATTTCAGTCTCTGAGAATATCCTATGTTGTTTCCTTTTAGCATAAACAAGAAAGAAAATTCACTCTAAAATTCTCAGCGATGGAGATCTACAATGAAGCTGTGAGGGATCTCCTTTGTGAAGATCATAATACTCCACTTAGGGTTCTTGATGATCCAGAGGTCACTTATCTCATCTTCTTATCCACGCAATCAATTAATACTCTCATATATCATCCTTAGCTACTTAATCTTATTGTTTTCAACTTTTATAGAGAGGAACAGTCGTTGAGAAACTTAAAGAAGAAACTCTCACAGACAGAAACCATCTAGCAGAACTCCTTTCTATATGCGAGAGTAATTAATCATACTCACTTCTTTCTTCATATATTATCAACACATAGATAACATATTGATTCTTTGATGTTTCTACAGCTCAGAGGAAGATTGGAGAGACGTCTTTAAATGAGGCTAGCTCAAGATCTCATCAGATTCTTCGACTGGTACTCTCTCATTTTCATCTTTCTTTTTTTGCAATTATAATGAAAACATTAATGCTTGTTTCTTCATGCAGACAATCGAAAGCTCAAACCGAGAGATGAGTTCTTCAGAGAGCTCAGCGACTCTTGCAGCATCAGTATGCTTTGTGGATCTAGCAGGAAGTGAGCGTGCTTCTCAGACATTATCTGCTGGTTCAAGACTCAAAGAAGGATGCCACATTAATAGAAGTTTACTTACTCTCGGAACTGTCATCCGAAAACTCAGGTCACTTCCGCAACTAACTTAAACTGTTTATCCACAAAGTTTCATTGATTATATTACTATTTACGAACCAAGTTTCACGTATTACAGCAAAGGGAAGAATGGGCACATACCATATAGAGACTCAAAGCTAACTCGTATACTTCAGAACTCACTGGGAGGAAACGCAAGAACGGCTATCATATGTACAATGAGCCCTGCTCATAGTCATCTTGAACAATCAAGAAACACACTTCTCTTTGCAACTTGTGCTAAAGACGTGACCACAAACGCTCAAGTCAATATGGTTGTGTCTGAGAAAGCTTTGGTGAAGCAGCTGCAACGAGAACTTGCGAGGATGGAGAATGAGTTGAAGAATCTTGGACCTTCCTCAACTTCTGATGAGTTTTATGCATTGCTCAAACAGAAAGAAGAGTTGATCGAAAAGGTTTGTTGAAATGCTGCTTCTTTTACGTTTTTGGTTATTTAAGAAATATTAGTCATTTCTTGTGAAACAATGCAGATGGAGGAACAGATTCAAAAACTTAAATGGCAACGAGATGTAGCTCAATCTCGGGTAGAGAATTTGCTTAAATCAACAGCGGAAGATCGATCATCTTCAAGTTCAATGGAGAACAGCAGAAGAAAAAGCTACGATTCAAGGGATCTTGATGAGCCTCGTATGCTAAATAACTTGGGAAAGAGTAACTTATACTCTCCTGATGAAGATGGCTTCCTGCTAGAAGATACAGCTCCTCAGTTTTCAGGTCATGACCTCTACGTTAAGTGGGAAGAGATGGCTGAAAGAGCCACCCAAGAACCAGAAGATGCTTGCAAAGAAGTTAGATGCATTGAAGAAAACAGTGGAGTAGCAGAAAAGTTTAAATTCCAAGACTCACAAGAGGACATTGTTGAAAAGAAAGCTGAGTCATATGAAGAACAGAACAAAGCTGAGAATGAAGCTATGGAGTCAAAAAAGGAAGATGATGATTCATCTTTGAAAACAACAGATGTGAAGTTGAGTTTACATGCTAAACTTGAAGCTGAAGATAAGCTAACTATAAAGAAGTTAGTACAAGAAGTCCAAGAAACAGAGCAATATGTGGAGGAACAAAGGCAATCTCCAAAGAAAGAAGATATGGAAGAGAGTTTGTCTAAGGATCAGTCATATTTGGGATACAAACAAAACTACAAATCTCTTATAGAAGATGAGACTGAAGCTATGGAGTTAGAAAAAGTAGATACTAATTCATCTGTAAAGAAGATAGATATGGAGTTGATGAGTTTACATCCTAAACTTGAAGCTGAAGATAAGCTAACTATAAACAAGTTAGTACAAGAAGACCAAGAAACAGTGATACCTATGAACGACAAATATTTTGTGGCCAATGAGAAAGCTGAGAATGAAGCTATACATTCAGAAATGGAAGATGTTGATTCATCTTTACATGCTGAACTTGAAGCAGAAGATGATTTAAGTGTAAACATGTTAGAAGAATCGCAAGAGACTGAGGAATCTGTGGAGAAAGAAGAAGCAAAAGAGTATGGAGATTCTGATAAAGATGACAATACATATGAGGCTCTGAAGAACAAGGTGAAGGAAATGCAGAAGACAATCGAATACTTTATGAGTATGCAATCAGCAGAAGAGAAACAATCTCCCTCTTTCAGTACAATAGATGACAACACGAGTCCAGGAGGAGATTACTTCAACAACAACAAGATGAGAAGAAGCAGAAGTTGCAGAGAGAATCTCTTGTTTACAAACGCTGTTGCAGCTGCTGCTACTGGACGCTTCACATTCAAGACCTCTACTAACACTTCCTTTGATGCACAGAGCACTAAAGATTCAGATACAGAGACTAGCAGCTTCCATGAGTTTATAGCAGGACTTAAAGAAAGAACAATGCAGCATCATTCCACGCCTGAAACGAATAAGATGAAGACACAGAAAAGAGAAGATAGCGGAGAGAGAGCAGAGTTTGAGAGACAGCAGAGTCAAATCATTGAGCTTTGGGAAGTGTGTAATGTACCTCTTGTTCACAGAACATACTTCTTCTTGCTCTTCAGAGGCGATCCAACGGACTTTGTTTACATGGAAGTGGAGCTTAGGAGGCTTTCTTTCCTGAAGGATTCGCCGGAGACATCGAGGAAACAAAGTGCTAAAGCAGTAGCACGTGAGAGAGACTGGTTAGCTAAGCAAATACCGAAGAAGTTTGGGAAGAAGGAAAGAGAAGAAGTTTACAAGAAATGGGGTGTTGAATTGAGCTCAAAGCAGAGGAGCTTGCAAGTGACTCACAAACTATGGATCAATGCTAAAGATATTGAGCAATGCAGAGAGAGTGCTTCTCTTGTGGCTACTTTGGTTGGTTTTGTTGACTCAAATCTGATTCCAAAGGAAATGTTTGGACTTAGCTTCTCGCCTACAACACCACTCAACGTTAAATCCTCTGGCTGGAGTTTTTCCAACTCTTTCTCTCGTATTAGCTTGACTTAATGATAACAAAAACAAATTTAACAAAGAAAAAAAAAACAGTTCGTGTGTGTATGTATGTGTACTATAAACACAGTTTAAGTGAAGTTGTGGAAGATGTGTAAGGAAGAATCTAACTTAGTTTCAATTGGTATTTGATTTGCTTTGGCTTGTAGCACTTTGAACATTTTGTGCATTAAATCACTAAATTATTCGAAAAGAAGGGAAAAAGTACAAATAATTTCTCAACTTTTTAAAATTATTTTTATTTATAAAATGTCGATTTCACGATTAATTGCTCAACCTATTGATGATTGTCTTCATCTAGTTAGGCGTTAACCACAATTAAACCTCTTAGACCTCGGAGCTTTCTTATTGATTGGTCTATGGTTGACGTGGAGTTTTGATTTCTAAGAGGTTAAGGGCTTGATGTCTAAGAGGGTTTAATTAACGGATTCAGTTTCCGGTTTAATTGTAGTTAACGCCTCTAATTAAAGAAAATCGTCAATAGGTTTGAGGAATTAATTGTGAAATAGACAGTTCATGAATAAAACATTCAATTTTAAAAGTTGATTAATTATTTATGCCTTTTCCTGGAAAAAGAATAGAGAAACAAAACTGTATTTTTACAAAAGTTTATTTAAGGTATTATTTGATTTTTTTTTATTTACAAATTTTGTAAACCAATTTTCCCTAAAACAGAGTAAAAGAAGGAAGAAAACTGAATAGAGAAAAGAAAAGGCTTTGTCTTTTACAGTGCAGTAGATACTAGATAGGACCTCCCGACATCGGATAGATTGCCGGAGCTTCCATGGCGCAATTTATACGACCGATAAGGCAATTGTCGCCGCAATGTAATCACCATTTTCGAAATGTCCTTCATTTGTTCTCCAAAAAGCTTCCGCAACACCACCCACCTTCTTCTATCCCGACTCTTCTTTTCTCCCCGTCTTTCTCCACCGCCAGGTCTCCACCTCGTCGGCGAATTCGTCGTCCCGCTCCACCGGAAGCTCTCACTCCAACTCTAATTGCTGAAGACGATAGTGATAGCGATGGCGGCGAGTCTGAAACGTCGAAGAGCCGGAACCAGCGGAAGCGTGACGCTCGCCGAGCCGTACGTTGGGGTATGGAACTCTCTTCCTTCTCTAGTGATCAGATTAAGCGGATTATGAGGTAAGCGTCTCAAATCGGAAAAAACAAAAAAAGCTCACTTTTTTATTTTGTGTCGGAGTTTCTGGTTTTGAAATTAGCTCCCTTTCATGTTATAGAGCGGCGTCGCTTGGTGAAGAGGTTTATGATGCATTGATGCTTGCAAAGGTAATCACTTTGAGTGCTCTATAAGCTTCTCTACTGTAATCTGGGACAATGCACGTAAGGTGTTTGATATTTTGTCTCAGAAACTTGGTTCGGATGTTCGAGAAGGGAAACGAAGACATTTCAACTATATCGGTAAGAAACTATTAAGGGAAATTTCAATTAGCGTAAAGGTTTGCTTTTTAGCTAATGTGGTTATTATGCTGTCAGGGAAATTGCTGCGTGATGTTGAACCTGATTTGATGGACACTCTGATTAATGCCACTAATCAAGGTGACCACACGAAGCTGCAGGCTCTGATTAGTTTAGCCAAGGATGCTGCAGATGAGGCTGGAGAGAGCATGGATGATGTTACAGAAACAGAGTCGGAAGATGATGTAGAGGTAAGTGTAAGCCAGTCACTCAATGTTAGCACAAAATACAGATTTCGTGATTTAGACAATTGTATAGTTTAGATTCCATCTTCAGGATAGTTACAGACTTGCAATAAGTGAACTGGAGACAGAAAAATTGTCTCCTTGATTATATAGTGTCTAAACTCAACTGATTTTCGAGAGATGATCTTAGGGCTCAGAAGAATATGTGGCTATAGCAGCGAGATGGTTTGATGGACTGATCAGTCAAAATGTGGAACTCACTAAAGAAGTTTATTCTCTTCGGAGTGTTGATTTCGATCGACAGGTTAGTCAAATATGAGCTCCATAAGGGAATGAGATGTGTATGGCTTGTTTGATGATGTGATATTTAACTTGCAATTTTATCCTATTGTTTTGTTGATAGGAATTGCGTAAGCTTGTTCGGAAAGTACAGTTGGTTCACGAGCAGAGAAAAAGCATCACCGAGGAGGAGAAGCAGAAAGAAGTCGATGCTGCATTAAGGACTGCCGAAAAGTCTCTGAATCGATTTCTCCATTCCATGGCCAAACAAATGCAGAGTGAGCAGACCGGTTTGTACTAATGAATCATGTTAAATCAAATTTATAACCTTTAACCGGATCCAAACCGAATTACCGATATTTATTTAGCTTATTTATCTTCATGATGATCTTCTTTTTATCTCTTGCTTTCTGATATTTCTCTTTTTCCTCCCTTTTTGGTTCTTTCTTTACATGTCTGGTCATCTCTCCATCAATGTAATCCTAATAGGACACATCTTACATCATCAAACCAAAAAAAAAACTTAATACAGACATTCTTGTATCAAATAAGTTTTTCCACTTAGTTGTACTTGTATTTTATGACTCAGTTGTGACGAGACAACTCTGGAATCTGGATATATTGCAACTACTTTACAACTGAAATGTGCAATAACGCGACAGCAAACTTTATACATAACAGTAGCATAATGTTATGTGCTGATTTGCGACTAAAAATATTCATCGTCTCATATTCTTTGCATTTGGTTACGATATTCCGACTAAAAATACTCGACTAATTTATTTCCATCTTAACATCTAATTTGCGACGGAATTTAGCGCTAGTATCCTACCAAATGGTCATTGTTTTGTAGTAGTGCTTCCAAAAATTAAATCAACAATGTGGTTAAATGTTCATCAATGTACAATACAGCATGAAACATAAAAATGTAATATGATGCAGAATATACACCCGAAAATGAGAAAAATATCAAAATTCTCGGAGAAGAAAAGAAAAATGCTAAAGATGAGTAAATATTGGGAAGATTCCTGAATCTTCGAGGAGTGTGAACTGAAAACATCGGACAACCACGTCGATAATGGCGACGATGAGCTTTCTGCCAATCCACCGCCTTCTCTCCACCCATTCGCTGCAGATTTTTGGCTGTACATTATTCCAACTTTAGTCAGTATTTTAATTTTTTAACAATATGGAAGAATAAAAAGAATAACAATAATCTATTTGTGCTACGCGTTTCATAATGGTAGGCCTATTGTATGTTTATCTTAACCTTTTTTGTTTTCCTTTTCTGTGATGGAATGACTATTATATATTCCTTTATTACGTGTAAAAAAAAAAAGAGAATCAACCTCTTTTTCAGAAATGGCTCAAGCCAATCACAACACTTTGCTAGCTAAGGTCGTCGTGTGCACACTAAAAAGTTTAAGTGTCGGAGAAAAAAATATATGAAAACAAGAAATGAAATAAAATACTTTGAAGTTAACCTACCTAGGCAAGGAAGGGCAAAGAGTGATGGTGTAATCTGCAGAAGTACATGTAAACGTACTCGAGGCATCGTCGAACGCGTAGCTATACGATCTTGGACACGCTGATTTGAATATCTCCGAGTAAACCGACGGTTTACACACTGTGGGTGAAGCGTACGCGCCACTGCAACAATATTCAGGACTACCAAACGCCTCGCACGCGCTTTTGCACGCTGACCCGGATCCGAACCGGAGCTCCGTTGGACATTTCTGGTTTAGATCCGCTACGCATCCGGTCGTCAAGCAACTACCTTCTGATCCTCCACTAGCTTCCACAACCATGGGAACGTTGTAACCGTCCACGAGGCTCACGTCGTAGAAGTCTTGCTTTCGGGATGGGTCTTCTGGACCTGACCCGATTGTGAATTCGGCTAGTGTAGCTGGCGGTTTGGCTCCGGAGCCGTTACATTCGACTTGGTTAGAGCCGCAGTCTCCGGTTAAGCACGATCCTTGTCCTGTGTCTGAGTCAAAACTGCAACCGGTTCTTGCCCAAAACCGACCCGACCAGCTAGCCGGAGCTTGGAACGAACGTGAACCACCGGAGACGAGCTCAAAACCGGTGGTTCCTACGCTGCCGCTTCCGGAGTTGGCCAAAACTCCCGGCCAGACAGTGAAGCTGCATCGGTTTACGATAGTGATTGTAGCACCATTACTTCCTACGCAAGTCAAATCAAATGCAATGCTTAATACGAATATTGATAGTATAAATATAAGATACCATGTATGAATATTACCATTGATGAAGAGTAAACTAAGGACGATGATGAAATAGAATGAGACAGGAGAATTGAGTGTTATGATCATCATTGTTTTTTTTTCTCTCTTTTGAAAAGAAAAGTATTTTCGGTGGAGAAGTCAAGTTTTGAATATTGGGGATAACAGAACGAGAGAGAAAATGAAACAAAGAGATAGAGTTTAAAGAGCATTTACGATGACATCAACACCTCTATATATACCTTCTCTCAAGGGTCAAGATCCGTGTGATCTCACAAAGAAAAAAAGTATGACCATCTTCCTTTATGTTTTAAAGTTGATACAAGAGAAAACAATATGTTGGAAAAGATATTTTATCACGAATTGATTAAAGTCTTTTTCTTTCTCAAATAAAATCTATGCTTTTACATGTTTTAAAATGTAACTTAATCTTCAAAAACCATAACTTTTCAAAACTTAGTTCTGTGGAAATAACCCCCAGTAGATATGCATTCTAGGTGGCTAACACTACAGAAAGCTACGAGGATAACTTCGGATAACTAACCAACAAAACATTACGTGTTTGTGTAAGGAGTTTAGTGATAGGTTTGATCGTTCTGCAATTGAGGAGTTATAGGAGAAAATATGAAATTCGGATTGGTCTGATCTCTAGAATCCAACTTGTGATTTTACATAATCCATCAAAAACAACTTAACAATGTAAAACTAATCTTGAGATTCGAGTAAAACGATCTTCTGCTTTTTTTTAACTAAGGGAGCAGAGAAACACACAAGAGAAGAAAAACATGAGATGTGAAACATCTACAATTCGTCCTTGGTTTCTTCGTGTTCCTCAGCAGGTTCGGCTTCAATGTTTAGACCACCACCAGGCAAGTCTTTTGATTTGGTCTCAGCAGCCTCCTCACTGGTCTCTGTTTCCTCTGCCTCGACTTCCTCGTCTGCTACTGCATCAGGGCTGATCTTCAGGCTGCTCTTCACGGAGTTGTAAATACGTCCCGCAAAGTCTTTCGGGTCGCTGAGTATAAATCCACTCTCGATCAAAGCCGTCTGGTACATGAGCTGTGCTGTTTCTTTCACACTCTCATCCTGAGACAAATTTTGATATGTTGGAATATTTCTCAAACAGACAGAAAAAAAGAAAGAATTGATGGGTCTTATGTTTGTTTACCTCTGGGTCGCTAGCAATTCTCTCCTTGAGTTCTTTGATGATAGGGTGTCGTGGGTTGATCTCGAGGACACGCTTTCCACGCATGTAAGCTTGCTTGTTTGCATCGGAGAGAGTTTGGGACTGCATGATCCTCTCCATGTTCGCACTCCATCCGAACTTGGACGTCACAACTACACAGGGAGTGTTGGCCAACCGGTTGCTGATTTTAACATCGTCCACGTTCTCGGTTGCGAGGTTCTCTTTCCACCACTTGGTTAGCTCCTTAAATGCTTCCTTGAGCTCCTTCACCTTTGAATCCTTCCCAACCTTTAGTCCTTCTTTTGACACATTCTGAAACTTCTTGTCCTCGTAATCCATCAGGTATTGCATCAAGTATTCGTCGACTGGGTCTGTGAAGAAGATGACCTGGGAACACAAGAAAGTAACTGGAACGTGAGATGTGGATTTGGGAATGGATAAAGAAGAATTGTTTCGTGTTAGATGCAAACCTCATAGCCCTTTTTGATGAGTCGCTCCAGGAATGGAGATTTCTCCAGCTGTTCCTTGCTGCTTCCTGTAATGTAAAATACGTCCTTTTGCCCCTTTTTCATTCTCTTAATGTATTGATCGAGGGATGTCAGTTTCCCATCGGACTTTGTTCTGGAATAGCAAACAATGAATCTTTAGCCTGCTGGTGCTAACAAGTAGACAGATGTGTATAAAAAAAGGTAACGAAAGCAGCACATACGTCTCAAAACGAAGAAGTTTCGCCAGACGGTTTCTGTTAGAAGCATCCTCAATGATACCGAGTTTAATCGATTTGCCAAACTCATTCCAGAATTTGGTGTATTGACCCTTCATCTCATTATTCTCACCAGACTTCTCCACATCTGTGTACCAGCAATTCAATGAGTTTATTAGACCAGGTTTCAGACAGATGAAACTACCATGGTAAGAAAAACCAGGAACAGTCAAAGTGATTTGATACCAAGACGCTTGTTATATGTAAATACCTTTTTTGTCATCATCGTGGACCTCATCAGGGTCTTCTTCAGCAAGCTTGCGGATCATATCAAGGGCCTTACGGATAAGCTTCTTCTTAATTGTCTTTAAACTGCTGTGTTGTTGAAGCATTTCTCGTGATACATTCAGAGGCAATGTGTCAGAGTCAACAAGACCCTACAGAAGAAGTAACTCACGTTAGAGACTTAGCCCAGAATTTGAATTGAAAGCACACATTAGTTATCTTCATATCAGTTACCTTCAAGAAACTCAAATATTTAGGCAGAAGCTCATCAAATTCATCCGAGATGAAGACTCTCCTGACATAGAGCTTCAAGTTCGCCTTGTTGCTGTTGTAGTAGCTCTCGTATAGATCATGGGGAGCTTTTGGAGGAACATACAACACAGCCTTGAATTCAACATCTCCCTCAGCATTGAAGTGACTCCAAGACATTGGCTTCTCGTCGGTAAAATCCTGCACAGAAACTGGGGGTCAGAAAAAATCCACACAAGAATCTTACACCTAGAGTGAGTAACTTTTTGTAACGCACGGTTATCACCTTTGAGAGAGAGTGGTAAAATTTAGTGTACTCTTCCTCCGTCACCTCCTTTGGACTTCTCAGCCATATAGCCTTAACATCATTCAGAAGCTCCCATTCATAAACTGTTTCTTTCACCTTCTTGGTTTTCTGCTTTTTCTCACTGTCTTCTTCCTCAGCATCTTCTTCCTTATCTTCCTCAGTAGTGGTAGTTTCTGAAGTGAAGTACCATCAATAAAATTAAGGGTCGCCTGACTGGTAGGAAAAAAGACACATAAAATCATGATGTGGTGTTTCATTATTACTCACCAGTCTCCTCTTCAGTTGATTCATCTTCCTCAACTGGGACCTCGGTTTCAACCTCCTTGCTAGCCCAGAGAGAGATAGGGAAGTTAATGAATTCAGAATATCTCTTCACCAATTCCTGTAGAAGACAACGATGATCATGAGCAACCACCATGAGACAATAAACAGAAATAAGCAGTGACTGGTTCGTATCTTTATTTGAGAAATAAACGAGGGATTTACTTCCAAACTGATAAATATACTACTCACCTTAAGTTTACTCTCTTCTAGGTACTCGCCAGCTTCATCTCTAAGATGTAATCTAATCTCAGTTCCACGTCCAAGAGGCTCATTCCATGTATCCTCAGAAACAGCAAATTTACCATCAGCCTTTGATTCCCATACATACCTGAATATGGAAAAGAAGTTATCAGAAAAGCTTTTCAAATGATTTTACATGCATACAAGCATATTTCCAAACAAAAACCGCTCTGAAATCAACTTACTGGCTGTCATCATTGTGCTTGCTAATAACTTCAATGTAGTCAGCAACAAGATAGGCAGAGTAGAATCCAACTCCAAATTGTCCAATAAGGTTCAAATCCCCGCTTGATTGCATTTTCTCAACAAAAGCTGCAAAAGGCAAGATCTTGGATAAAGGGAATTTTCTTCATCCGGACGATTACGCAGGACAACGTATCACCAAATAAGCAACGTACCTGACGTCCCAGACTTCGCTATGGTACCAAGGTTCTTGATCAGGTCTTCTTTAGTCATACCAATACCCCGGTCCCGAATAGAAAGAATTTTCTTGGCTTTGTCTAGCTTAATCTGCATATCATCGCAATATTAAAGAAGTTAAAGAGAGAAAGAAAGCTTCCACTAGACACAGTTCAACAGTACAAACAAATCTATAAAATTTCTATCTCCAACTCTCTCAAGTTCAATGTACATATCACATACTATATTCTATAAGAATACAATTATTGGGAAAGATGTAACCAACCTGGATCTCAAGCTTAGCAGTGTCACCTTCACCCAAAACGTCTTTGTCAGTGAGTGCAAGGAACCTAATTTTGTCCAGTGCCTGAGAGAATTACAAACACAGCACACTTATTAGCTCCCTAATCAAACGAGCTTTCCAAAAAGCAATAACCATGATAAACACGCGGCTTACATCAGAAGCATTGGAGATCAACTCTCTAAGGAAAATGTCCTTGTTACTGTAGAGAGAGTTGATAATAATGTCCATAAGCCGAGAAACCTCAGCCTGGAACTCAAACTTCTCCGCGTTACTGCGAAGTGACTTCTTTGAAATCGACTCAGACTCTCTGTCAAATAAACGAATTCGAATTAAGCGAGATTTATGCAACTGAATCGAAAGCTGTAGCGTAAAACTAAGAGGATACTAACCTATGAACAACATCGGAATCCGTCGACAAACCGCCGTGACCACCGATTGGCTCTTCCACCTTCGGTGGATCTGTAACTTCATCGGAACTATCTTCCGCATTCGCGTGTAGCTTTCTCCCTATAACACATACCACAGACACATCGCCATCATCAGCATAGAGATCCCAAGCGACACTTATGTACTCAAATCAAGCAATATGATACCAAAGTAGCAAATGCGATTAGATCGTACCTTGATCTGGGAGGAGAAAGAGAAGTGAGAAAAGGAACAAAAGGGACACGATCGTCCTCTTCCTCATGGTTAAGATCGTCGAATAGCCTCCGATACCTCTCAGACTCGCTCGCTAGCTATGAGGTTTATTCACTCACTGATGAAGTTTTGAGCTCCAACAGATCCGTAAAATAGGAAATGATTCAGTGATGCGTGAACTGTGTAAGTGCGTACACTTCGGTTTATCGTGACTCGCGGGCTTCGTCTTGATTTGTTAACGTGGCAGATCCAACGCCTCAGTGTTACTGAGATATCCACGTGGTGGTTTTGTATTGGAGCAAGGTTTTGTACTTGACGTGGATCGACGTGGATTTCGGGTTGTAGCGTGGATCAGTGGGTGGACGACTTGAATAATCAAAGAATGCTACGTCGACGGTGATACACGTGTTCGGCCTTGTTGGACGATCGGACGGCTATATTTACTTTTCTTACACGTGGCAAGAGGCTATTGGATGTTAGCTTTTTATTGACGTCGGACTCCAATGCTAAAATGTTTTGTTCTGGATGCTTCTATTTAACCCACGGTTCTTTTCTTATTTTGCCAATCCCTCGAGGTTTTGTCATTTCTTGTTACTTTTGCATGTAGTCTCTGTTTCACATGAAATTACCTCCTCGGAATGTAAAATTTATATTTACAGGTGAAAAAACTGAGATTTAGTTTCCATTTGGTGTTTTACTCCAACTTGTTTTCAGAGTTTCTTTTTCTTTTTCGGGTTGAGCTCTTGTTTCTCACACATCTTTAGTGTCGCTTGAAATCCTGTTTCTAGGAACCATTGTTCCTTGGTCAGTTTGACTTATGTAGCATGTATGTGGTTCGAAATTGATAGTGCCTATTGTCGTAGTATCTTCACCATACGAGTAAAACATACCTTCGTTGCTTTCTTCTTTATATGAAACATACATTCAGAAATGAAAGAATCGCAAACAAACATAACACTTTCTTTCTTGAGTTTTGATACGCAGAAGAGAAAACCATAAAAATCAAACCACTAGGATCGTTGCTGTATCTTATAACTATATATATTTATTAATGGAGAAAAACCCAACAAGGTTAAAAAAGAAGCTTGACATATACCAATGTTTGAACTAATCCTCCTATATATGTTATGAAATAAAATAAAAAGCCTGAGAAGGGGGAAAAATGACGGAAAAAAGAAGAAGAAAAAGTTCAGCAAGCCAAATTATAAGTTACCTCAACACTAGTCATTCTTTGACCAATCAACCAATCCCATTCACCTATCCAAGAACACAACCCATCACCACCATTCGTAAATCACTTCACCTCCATGAAGGAAACTCCCAACGTGTCTCCGGCTCTTTCCTCTTACCACCAACGCTCGCAGAAGAACTCGACGAGGGCTCTACATTTGCTCCCGAATGCTCTCCCAGTGCCCCGCTTTGTTCCGGTGATAGAAACTGCCTCAAACTTAACGACTCTCTGTTTCCCATCTCAACCCCAAACCCAGAGCTCTGATCATAGTGTGGCCGCACTGATCCATTCATACTAGCCGATCCACCCGCCAAGCTCATGAACATGTGTTGCGGAGGGAATGGTGGCTGCGCGTATGGGGACGAGCCCATCATCTGAGGCATCATCATTGGTGCACCCCTTGAGTCCACCATGTATGGAATAGCTGTTCCAGGAACATACATGGGAGATGACGACATTGACAAACCAGGAGGACCAGTCAAACCGTTGTAGCCATACATAGGAGCTGGAGAAAAGGAGACACCAGGAGATAAACCCAAAGAGTTTCCGGTTCTTCCCATGTATAGTCCCGGTGCGGGCTCGAGGGACTTACCGTTGGACAAGAACGAAGCCATTTGGGAGACAGAGTCTTTTCTGTCAACGTCCACTTTTGTACCCAAGATGGAAATACCTGGCTCTTCCAACTTGTGACCTCCATAGGGAGCTGTGATCCATGGGTGATGTCCATGGTAGGGACCCTGATCACGTGAGTCGATGAAAAACTGTGGCCTGTCATTCAAATCAAAGCTTACTTCCTTGCCTGATTGCTGAGCAACGGACTGTGAGGAGACGGGTGATGCACTTTGCTGACCACTGTGACTTAGAAACAATCTTGTTTCCATCTTCGAAGAGGGTGGAGGCATGTCGTCGTCGTCGTTTGTACAGTTCAAATCCAGGTTGAACCTGCCTGATCCTCTGAGATTAGCTTCATGTGAAGACTCTCCTCCACCCCTCGAGTTCGATGAGGCGAAATGAAACTGTTTCCAGGGACTTACTTCTTCAACATGATCATCTCCTACCTCAGCCACATTCAGATCGATACCACGGGAAACCACCTGCTTTTCTCTTGAATCCCCACTAGGAACTTTATGAGGTAAGGCTGGGTGAAATACACTAGAAGCAGCCGATCTTTCGAACTGTAACGGTGCTGCTGCAGGCATTCCAGAATGTGAAACAGACATAATAGTAGCGGTGGGCGTCGTATCGGATATGGAGGACATAATGACATCTGTATCATCGGGGCAAATATCATCATTGAGATCGAAACCACATGGGCTTTTCTCTCTGCCTACTTCAGATTTGGCAGCTGCTTCTATGTGCTTTTCTTCAACATCATCACTATCCATCATCCCATTTTCAAGTTTGTTATTCTCCTCATCCATTACATCGTCATCCCCAACATGTTTGTTCTCAGAGGAATGGCCTTCACCCACTGATAATCCCTTGGATGGAGAACCTGTGTGTAGATCATCATTGCGAGAGTCTTGTGAACCAGACTGCCCGCTTTCATCAGATAGTTCTCCTGAAGAACTGCGAGAAGATTCTTCAGAGTCCACTTCTCTTGCGACTTCCTGTGCGACTTTGGTAGCGACCTCCAAGGCATCCAAAATACCAAGGTCTATATCAGCTGTTGTTTTGTCAATTGCTCCAAGGCGCTGGGATATGGTCATTGACCTGCGGTTTTTTCTCCGTTTTACTCTTCTCTCTCTGTTAGAAAGGCCCTTATCATCTTTTTGTTCTTCATTGTCAGCATGAGCAGTCATATTGTCACTCTCAACTTTGCTATTTCTACCATGGCCACCTGATAATCTTGATGAATTGTCAGAATCCTGATTGTCCGTTACATGAGACAAGGAAGGCACATCTTTGCTATTATGGGCTATGTTCACATCATGTGACCCACATATCGTCTCAGATGCATTCCTGCTCACCTCATTTGAATCAAGACTACTCTGCAAAACACTATTTCTCTCCAACTCCATACTGGCAATAACAGAATCAGAAGACACGGCTACATGTCCTGCTGAACTGGATGTCACTGCTACTGCTCCACCCACTTTTCCAGCATCTACTGGAGCATTTGATGGGCCTTCAACACTAGCGCGCTCTGAATCAAGAAGGCTACTAGGACCAGTAGGCATATTACCAAAAAATGCCGGACCAATTGTCTCCTCCGTAGAGCTTTTTTCCTGCAGAGAAATATTTTCTTCAACTTCTTTCATGATATCATCGGTAGAAGAGCCATTTAAAGTTTCAACCATCGTATCAGAGCTTTGGGAATTCACTTTCGAGCCAACCTCAACCTTGTCGTCTTGCAGTTCCACACCCTTCTCTTGATCTGGGTTGTTTTCTTCTGAGCCTCCTGACAGCATGGCTTCATCTGCTACTTCAGGACTAGGTTTTTCATTATCACCTTGCGTTGAACAAAGAGTAGCAGCGGATTTTAGGTCACTGCTCTCCCCGCTCGCTGCTACAACTCTCATCTCATCTTCATGAGCTTTGCTGCAGCTTTCAGTGTCACGTTCAGACTGGCCATGAGCTTCCTTATCATTCCAGCTACCAAAGAGCTTTCTCGCCTGATCCTGAACCCGAGAGCTACCATGGTCAACAAGTTTCTCGACAGCAACCAATATCCCAGAAGAAACTAACCTCGAACTGTCTACACCTAGGTTTCCAAGAGCTTCTAACAAAGCAAGAATCGACTCCTCTACAGAACTGTCAATCGAATCGTTAGCCAACGCCTGAGCTTCAGCTAGCCAGCTACTTAAGTATTGGAGTCCATCTAAATTTACAAAAACATCAAGACATTCTCTGTTCTTTGTGGCCGCAATTGTGCTTGCAACAGCTGTCCACTGCCTAGAAGCATCGCCAGCGTTCTTCAGAACTGAATCTTTATCACTCTGCATGGCAGAAACGAGCTCTTTGACACGAGAAGTGGTCGTGAATCCATCTTTTATTTCTGTTAGGGTAAAGAAATCCTCAAGCGCCATAATTTCTTTACATATAACAACAACTCCAACAATGTTGAACACTCTTAGAAGGCAAAAAGGCTCCTTCTACCATTTGACAAGGTCCTGAGACAAACAAACCATAAAAGGATATTAGTATTCAAGTATGAACAAAGAGAGCCACTAGAAAGTTCCGATTCATATGCAAGAAATCAAACAAAACTAAGCAAAATCAGAAATCAAAGATCAGTCCATTTTCGAGAAAAAATCATATAACTTTGGCATTTAGCACGAGGAAGAAGAATTAATATACATCTGGCAGTTAGCAGGACAGCTACGAGATACCTCCTGTGACTGTAACCAATATTAACGGCAACGCAGCCAATTTCAAATTGATCGCAGTGATACAGAGAAGAAAAAAACATTGAAAAATCGCCCATTTTCATTTCAATATACTCCCAATCAAATCCGAGAATTTAGAATAACTATCAAAATTCAACACTGGCAGAGAAAATGAGATTAAGCCAATTCAGTGAACGAGATTCCTATGATCAATACACAGAGAATCAAAATTAATAAAAAAAATGAAGACAGACAATTGAATGAAAGACCACTAATAAACCCTAAGCGAATTTTGAGCTAAGCATCATTGTAAAAAAGAGGGAAACAGAGAATTGACGTCTCACCACGGAGCACAAGGAAGAGGAAACCCTAGGTCAAGCGAGTTAGCCGTTCCGAAGAAACCGATGCGCACTCTCGCATCTCCCAAATCCCTTCGTCTCCCTCTGTTTATGTATATATCTATACACTGTTAGAAATATTTCACCGCTTAATCTCCGGGCAACGACGGTTAGCCGCTCTGAGAGAAAACCTCGTTCTTCTTCTTCTTCTTCCGAGGAAAAGTTCTCGCGGAAACGAGAGAGAAGGAAAAACAAAAAGGCTTTTACCGATTATTCTTTGGTTAATAGAAATATTTAATGACTTAACTTAAGCGATTGGTGAAATACTTGACTGACATACTTCTCTTTCTCAATTTGGTGTTTGATGAAATTTTGCACGTGCGAAGCGTGTGGGGGGGGGGGGGGGGGAGGAGCCGGTAGGGACTCACGGCCCGGTTTATTTATGTACCAACTTGTCCAGTCAACATTCAATAGGAAGGAACCCATTCGGTTCAATGGAACCTGACACAAAGTTCACGGAAATCTATAGGGAAATAAAATCTCGTTATTCAACAGCTGAGATTTTTAAGATGATGATATTGTTGTTTAATCCAACGGTTGTGATGCTTTTGTTTCTAAAAGTGATGTCCTTTTTTCTGGAAAATGTCGTTATCTTCCTTTTTCTGCTCAAAGTCGTTGCTTGAAGAGGTACAAACAAAAGCATTACAAATCAACCGTTTTTTTTCCTATACTGAGAGATGGAAATATTAGCTTTTGGATATGAGAGGAAAGAATCAAAACTTTGTAAGACCTACGGATGTTAGCTTTTGTGGTGAATTTATCTTTGTGGGTTTTGGGTTTAGCATAACTCCTATCACTACCCTTGGTGAAATGTGAATGCTAATCAATAGTACAAATGCAAAAATGTTATACGTTTTGTTCGTATTGTTTTCTTAATATTTTGTTTCAGATCTCGGAAATGACCAAGATGTCCTGAAAGCATTGTTGTATTTCTCGATTATGTTTTCATACTCATAAAACGTATCAGAAAACAATTGTGGAATGTTGACAGTGGGTTTCCTTGGAAGGCCAAAAAGGAAAGAAATAGAGATCAAGGGATGTGACTTTCTTGACATTTGAATCTTTAAGCTCTTTGTTATGTCTTTTGCTATTCTTCTATTGTTGTGCTAAGATGCTACTCCATGATTGCTAAACGAGTCCTTAGATTTCATTAAAATCATGGTATTTGTAAAGTTGATTTCACTAGTTGTGCCGCCAAACAATATTTGGATGTATCCGTGAAGCTCTAAAATATTGCTTCATTAATTCATGATTCTTTGTAACAACGAAACTTGAAGGACTAAAAAAGGACGATTCGCTCATCTAAAAGACTAATTTTCATGCTGTAGACAAAAACAAAGATCAATGTTCTTTTAAATGATTGTAGTGAGAAGATCAGCACACAGACGATTAAAAACCAATTCTTGGAATGTCACGAGACAAAATGGTGGTTAGGAAAAGCAACAACGTTTAAGGCCTCACGAGTAATTTCTTAGATTTGCGTATTACCCTCCGGCAAATCGGACACACCTTATTTTCTTCCGACAAGATCCTCTGAGCACAGCCACGACAAGTGGCAGAGTGTCCGCACGGTACGAAGAAACAGTTTCTCCGTTCCTCAAAACATATGACACACAATGTCGAGTAGTCCACATCATCCAACGAGCTAAACGACGCCGACTCTAAATCTTTGTTCCATGTAACTTCCGACGGCTCGTTGACCAACGGCGTCCTCCAAACGGCGACTTCTTCTTGTCCTCCCACTGCCATTGGTAGCCTCTCCGTCTCATCCTCCATGTCCCATTCGCTCAGGAATTTCAATATCAAAAATATAAAGAGCATTACAGTCCCTAAGAATTACAATAACAAAAAGAATTATAAGTTTTTTTTTAACAAAGGCTTAAAAAGAACATTAAGTTAATTCTGCTTTTAATATAATCTAGTAGATTATGTTATATAAATATATAATAATGGGAGATTGTACCCAGAAATGTAACATAAACCACCACTCTAGTTGTCATGGGTAGCTCCAAGTACCATTGACTGAATTCATCCTGCAAAACGTTGAAGAACATACATCTTGAGATCCTTGCAATGAGCATCTTCGAGAGATAAGGGTGACTCAGTGAAGATAAAATTATTTGTATCTCATCTGAAGTTATATCGGTGGTCTTCTTGTTTGTTGAAAGAGCAATAAACAAGTGAATTATTGATTAGTTCCAAGCATTGTTATAGTTTTGACAGTACTTATAGATTGTGTCAAAGAGACTCGTCGTGCAATCCATATATTAATTTGATCAGAAAAAGAGGGACAATACAAATTGCTGACACACAGCTAGAGAAAGAAAAGAAAAAAGAAGTAGATAATTTCCAAAGTGATAATATTGTTTTTTTTTAAAGAACAGATCAAGTGGAGATTGAAAAAGTCCCAAGATGATTCACTCCGTTTACTCCTAAGGTACTTGATGCTTAATTGTTAGTAGTTGGCAATCAAATTAGAAATATCCATTAGTTTCATCCACAGTTCCTATCGCAACACGTCTCTTATGGAAATTTAGATGAGCACTCGTTTAAAAAAACAACAACTATGTTTATGTTCATGTACCATGTTCAAGGTCTTGAGACGTTTCTTGTTGTGATTGAGTATAATTTAACAAAAAAAATATAACTAAAATTCGGTAACAGCATGAGTAAACTTCTTACAAAAAGAACTACACGAATTTTGTATTTTCTGTATAGATACATGATCCTGTATGGATACATGATTCTTTGAAAAAACTATATGATTTTTAATTTTATCTTTTTGCGTTGTACAGTTGTGATTAGGGGTGTTTTTGGGTTTAACCCAATGGATTTACCCATACCATGAATTCTCGTAGAGTGTTTTAACTCACTAAAAAAAATTGGGTTTAAGTTGGGGAGTGTTTTTACCCGTAGAATTATATATGGTTATCCCATCTATTAAAAAAACGTCGTTTTTTGCCAAGTTAGAAATCTCAAAATCGAGACACGTCGATGTTTTTGATGATTTAGAAAGTTTTTAACATAAGAACAAACCTAAATAGATTTGGGGATTTTTGCTAATTCGGGAATTGTGTTAGTTAAACCTTTGCTAATTAGCGAATTGAAGGTAATAGTGTCTTCGCCTTCAAATCGTTTCCACTGTGTTTAGTTCTTCTGGTTTTATGAATTGACATCAATTCAAGATTTGGTGACAAATATAAACACGGCTTTGGTTCAAGAGAATGTGAAAATTCCTGAATCGACATCAACTCAAGATTTGATGACAAATATAAACACAGACTTTAGCTCAACTTGGGATCTACGTCAAATGGTTGTCAATGTCGTTACTGAAAAGAAAAAAAAAAAAAAAAAAAAAAAAAAGTTGTTGACAAAATTGTGTAGTATAAGAGAAATTTTGTCTAGAACAATTTAGTCAGTGTGCAAGCAAAAACAGTGAACGATTTGTTAAAAGAAATGTTAGAACTTATAGCTAAAATCATTATTATATTTGAAGACAATTTATGAACACAAAACCGACCCCTGAGGGTAAACACGTCACTCCCATGAAAAAAAAAGCAACCGAAGAGTACTCATTTTTTTCTTCTTTGTCGTCTTCGATAAAACTCAAAGACAAAAAAAGCAAGGCCCCTCTAGGCTCCAAAGCACATAACCCAATCTCTCTAATCTCTATCTTCTTCTTCAATTCAACACTTTTTTATCATCTCTCCTCTCAAACAAGATCTTCCGTAATCGATTCCTCATGAAGCGCTGCGCTTCAAACTCTATTATAGACAGTGATGCGAGAAACGATAAAAAGAAGATGAAATCCACAGAGGAACCAGAAATCGGATTCGCGAATCTAGACGAGAATCTAGTGTACGAGGTCTTGAAGCACGTTGACGCGAGGACCTTAGCGGTATCTGCTTGCGTCAGCAAGATCTGGCACAAGACGGTACAAGACGAGCGGCTCTGGGAGCTGATCTGCACGCGCCACTGGGCTAACCTCGGTTGCAGCAGTCTCCAGCTCAGATCTGTCGTCTTGGCCCTCGGCGGCTTCCGACAACTCCACTCGCTATACCTCTGGCCTCTCTCGAGCCCTAATCCACATGCTAGATTGGGTAAAGACGAGCTCAAACTCTCCCTCTCTCTCCTCTCGATTCAATACTACGGGAAGATGAGTTTCACTAAGAGAGTTTGATTAGCTCTCCGACTACAATTATCTAAATTTCCAGCATTTTCTTAGGCCTTTTTTGAATAATCTTAAGAATCTTTGTAAAATGTGGTTTGTATTTGTTCTGATTGGTAATGATATTAGTACTCTACACCTATTTTTTGTCCGGTTTTCATCATTTTGTTTTTGGAATCTGTTGATTGGTTAAATTTATTTTGTCAACATTGATTGATAAATTAGGTATCTAATTTTGGATTGTGAATGATGCTCAAAGCTGGCAAATATATTGTTCTGTCCATAGCCAGAGTGTCTGTCAGTAACAGTCAGTCTGCAATAATAGAGGCTGGTGAGAATATTAATACGATTGGTCGAATCGATAGTCCTATCGAAATGGAAATATGATTCCATTTTTAAAAATATAGAGCCCTATCGTGAAGATAAGTTGGAGTTGGACAATGGTTCTATTCGTGATCCAGTTTCATAAGATTATGAACGATCGTTTTCAATAAAACTACTTGAATTGAAGCAACAAATATTGTAACAAAGAACTCCTCGACGTTCAAATAATTTTCTTTCTGTTAATTATCCATTTTACACGAATTTTATAAAAGAAGCTCGAATTATGATGAACTGTTAAACATTTGTATGGCAGAGCCATACTAAAATTAACAAAAGTTTATGTACTCATGTAGTTTTGTGAAGTAATGTTTTTGTAGATTTCTGTTTTTTTTCTCGTGTCGACATGGTTTTTTTTGTAAGATTTATAAAGGACGTTTTAATCATGACTCACGAGATATATTCTTTTACAAATGGCAGTTAAAATGCTAAAAGACAAACCACACACGGCTCTGTACAGCAATAAAAATGACTTGCTTAACCGCGACTAGAAACAGCTCATAGCCTCTAAAATCAGATTACCTTCGTCTTCCTTCTTCCTTCTTCCTTCTTCCTTCTTCGTCACCGATTTGATCGAGAAATGAGTTGGTGGTGGGCTGGCGCCATCGGAGCTGCCAAGGTAAATTCAACTCAATCCCTTAATCATCCATCCATTTTCCTACTCCGATCTTCATCTTCTCCTTCGTAATCTTAACTCACTGATTTCATAACCATCCCTATCTCTTTTCCATTTTCGCAGAAGAAATTCGACGACGATGAGCCGACGCAAAGCTACGAGAGCGTCGCCCTCATCATCGGCGTCACCGGAATCGTCGGAAACAGCCTGGCGGAGATTCTCCCTCTCTCCGACACCCCAGGCGGTCCCTGGAAAGTCTACGGCCTCGCTCGCCGTCCTCGTCCAAGCTGGAACGCCGATCATCCAATCGATTACATCCAGTGCGACGTCTCCGACGCAGAAGAAGCCCGATCCAAGCTTTCCCCTCTAACCGACGTCACACACGTCTTCTACGTCACCTGGACCAACCGCTCCTCCGAGAGCGAGAACTGCGAGGCCAACGGCTCCATGCTCCGCAACGTCCTCGGAGCGATCGTCCCGAACGCGCCGAATCTCCGCCACGTCTGTCTCCAGACGGGGACTAAGCACTACCTCGGCCCATTCGACAGCGCCGGCGACGAATCCGTTCACCGTCACGAATCGCCGTTCACGGAGGACATGCCGAGACTGCAGATCCCGAATTTCTACTACGCTCTTGAGGATATTCTGTTTGAAGAGATCAAGAAGAAGGAAGGCGTGACTTGGTCTATACATAGACCCAACACCATCTTCGGATTCTCTCCGTATAGCTTGATGAACATTGTTGGGACTCTCTGCGTCTACGCAGCGATCTGCAAGCACGAGGGGTCTCCTCTGATTTTCCCAGGGAGCAAGAAGGCGTGGGAAGGTTTCACGACGGCCTCCGACGCGGATTTGGTAGCTGAGCAGCAGATTTGGGCTGCGGTTGATGAGTTCGCAAAGGACCAGGCGTTTAACTGCAACAACGCGGATATCTTCAAGTGGAAGCATCTGTGGAAGGTTCTTGCTGAGCAGTTCGGGATCGAGGAGTATGGGTTCGAGGAAGGGAAGAATGTTGGGTTGGTGGAGATGATGAAAGGGAAAGAGAGAGTGTGGGAGGAGATGGTGAAGGAGAATGAGCTGCAGGAGAAGAAGCTTGAGGAGGTTGGTGTGCGGTGGTTTGCTGATGTTATACTTGGTGTTGATGGAATGATTGACAGTATGAACAAGAGCAAAGAACATGGCTTCCTTGGGTTTAGGAACTCCAACAACTCTTTTGTATCTTGGATTGACAAGTACAAGGCTTTCAAGATCGTTCCTTGATTCCAATCTTTCCTGGAAAAACGTACTTGGATTGGATTGGATTGTTTCGTTTGTTTCTTCTTCGTTTCATGTTTATGTTTATTCCCAAATCTCTCTGTTCTTTGTTTCTTGCAAAAAAAAACATAAAAATAAATGCGGATTTGCTGTTTTCTTTATGTTGATGGGTTTAGCTATAATTGGGCCTTTAGCTAAATGTGACTTGGAAACAAACCAAAGGCAATTGCGAGGATGATATTAAGTTCGCTTGCTTGATTCATAGGTCTTAGGATTATGTACACAGTATAAATCAGTCAATCCACTCACACACAGAAATAATTAAGTGATTTTGCTTGCTTCAACTCCTTCAACCAAAAGGAGTGAATGAAAAGCCTAAACCATTGGGGGAAGATAACGAGTTATGTAGACACTACGCAAACCAAGCTGCACCAAATGATCTATTTAGTGCAGTTTCTACAATGAGAAACATATTTATATGCAAAAGAATAGATTCGTCGTTGCTTTCCCAAAGACCCTCCCTTCAAGCATGGCCTGCTTAAACACTGTTTTCCCCTGAGACTATTTGTAAGACAAGTTAGCTTGCAGCTAGGAAAATGAATAGATTATTTGGGTGTGGGAAGTAAAGTTACTAGTAATCTTCACACAAAGACATCATTTTTTAGGGAAATTACTAGGAGTCTTACCAATTTTGCGACCAGTTGTGCCTATGGTGTTCTGATCTTCTAATGATCCTGAATTAGAAGGTGAGACCACTGAGTTTTCCATTTCTGGAATCTTCGCCACCTGTAAAGAGAGAATAAGTCAAAGTTTGTCAGACCTCAAAAGCCACTAAAGGCCATCTAGATAAAATTCAAATCCTCCCAAGATCTAAAAACTCACAGTATGACTAGTATTGATGAAAGCAGGGATCTCCTTTGAAAGAAGTGCAAGATACTTCTCCATTGCCTCCTCTTGACTCATGTTTCCAAGTTTTTGCCAAGCATTCCTTGAACAAAGGTTAAGCACTGTTTGTCACTCGCACATATATAGTAGTTGTTGAAAAATGCTATAAAGCAACCATTCTACACCATACCATACACCAATGCTTTAAGTTCGGTTATTTTTTAATCCAAATAATTGCTGACTCTGTCCTAACTATATGATCAGGTTAGGTATCTTTTATTGCTTCAACCCTCCTAATTTCATGTATATGGACTTCCCTCTCATTAGACTCTACAATATGGACATGTACCTAACCGAGCTACACAAATGACCACCTAACCATTTTCAGTCTTAACACTCACAAAGTTCTTCCTCCAAAAAAACTGAAAGCTACCATTCAGAAACATGGAAAATTTGTGGTACCATTTTGCACGAGCAGAGACCATGAGGGCCATCGGTTGTGCCTCTCGGCATGACCCTTCAGTGGCGATCTTGTGCAGGCCGTACAACTCCATCTTAGCCTCACCACCAACTTCTTCCGCTTTCCCTGACTCTTCCAAGAAATTTACAGCAGCCGCAAAGGCTCTCTCAAGTTCACTCCTCTCGATTCCCTCCCAATCATCATCTTCTTCAATACTCACCTCATCTTTCTCTTCTTCATTATCCAACTCCATCTTACTTTCACTCTCTTCCACCGTATTAGTCTCTTCAACTTGAACCTCCTCAGATTCAGCAACTACGACATCTCCAATATTATCGTTTTCAACACTTGGACTTGTTCCTTCTGCTCCTCGAATCATAATCTCCTCTGCTACCACGTTTTCCGGCGAAATAGAAGCACTGGACTCAGCTCTCGTGGTTAAAACAATCAACTCTTCGCGTTGATCTCCACTGACATCTTCCCCTGAGTCTCTCCGTTCGTCCTCTCCACCAACTATAATATTTTCCGGCGAGGATTCAGCTTCCGCAGTTGGAACCGCCGATTCTTCGCCTTTAGCCGCTTCCTGGAGTTCAACAACTCGATCAGCTTCGCTTCCGAACCGATCCACAGCTTCCACATTCTCATCAACAACTTGGAAACTCCTCACGCTACCGATCACTGGAGCATCCAGTTTCATACCAAAACGAAGCTCTTCCGCATCACCGACACCGATCTCGGGGTTCTCAGCCTGATCGGAACTCGGATCGTTTCCTCTGTTCTCCGCCGTAACCACAGATACGAGCTTCGCTACAAGGAATGAAAACAAAAAGGCAACAGCCGCCGTGCGAAGCATCTCTAGGAAAAACTCCATGATTGATCACAGCAGAAAGAGGAAAGTAAGATACTTGAGGATCTGAGAAGCAAGGAGATAAGGAAAAGAATGTTGAGAGATTTTAGAGAGGAAAAAAAAAAGGAAAAGGGAAAGAAGAAATAAGGAATAAATGAGAAGGAAGAAGAAAGCATATTCGTGGAGGCTGGGGGCTTTATGCGACAAAGGCGGGTCCGTCAATTACAAAACAGAACAGACTTCTCAACACCTAACCGCTATTAATGCTGACTTGGCTGTTACGGTTTACGCTTATCTTCTCCACCTACATTGGCTCCTTTATGCAGCGCGCCGCTTTTTTTATTTTATTTTCATTTTTTTGTTTTCACATATTTTATTTTCATTTTGTTTCCTCTGCATAAGTGGATTTTTGTTTTTTTTATGAACTACTGTAGGTTAGGTACTGAAAAACACTTAATGAAGCCTAGATTCGGACTATGTTATAGGTTTTCAATGGTACAGTAAAAAACAAGAGGAAAAAACAGAGATTCATTTAAGGTTCTCACTAGTTAAGGCTTGGAGAAATATAATTTGAATTTAGTGTCTATCATTAAAATCACACTTTTTGTTTTTTTTTTTTGCATTGGAAACTTTTTTTGTTAATTGTAAACACAAAAACACAAATGTATTTGAAAAAAAAAATCAAATGTTCTACATCTTTTAACATGTCCTTAGCTCTATGGGTTTAAAAAATGCTGCACCAAGAAAAAAAATCAAGCAAACAAACAACTTTCTCTTCAATTAAGTTATTTTTTGCATGTCATGTGCAGCATGTGCTTCCATATTATGTAAATAGACATTATCCACTGTGATAGTGAACACTTTGTCATCCTCCAAAAGAGCAAACATTTATCTAGTGTTCGTCCAACCTTCCAAACCATATTTCCTTGATGGTTTAAATTTGGCTTAAATTAAGCGTTTGTATGTGTTTCAAACGGTTTTAGATTCCTAGTCATAGTCAATGAAATTAAGCGTTTGTATTTGAATGTGTTTATGATGAAAAATACACTTCAACAAATCTTTTCCTGTTTTTCTTTTTTTTTTTGTTTCTCCTAAACAAAGTATAAATCATCGTTGTAACACCTTATTTTTTTGAATCGCATCCTTGTAATACTTTTTAAAACCTCCTTGGTCCATAAATTAACCAGAACGGTTAATCTTTTATTATCATCCATCTCACAATTACAAAAAGGAGGGAACAACATTTCGATCAAGGAAAATTGGGAAGTTGATCCTAAACCAAGAGAATAGAAATACGCTTTTTGGCAAAATAAATAAACAAATATAAATACGCTTTTCCCCTTATCATCCCCAATTATGTAGCTACACAAAAAAAGCTAAGGGAGAGAGATAAGATAACACACACTCAACAGAATGCAGACAAAATTCAAAACGGCAGTGTTTTAGCTATGGTAGAAGAGATAAAGCAGCGATGGGCCAATATAGTCAAGCAAAGTGGAGAACAGGCCCAATAAGCCCATCGCTGACCATCTACAATTCTACATATACAAAAAGAGGGAACAACATTTCTATATATAAAAAAGGGAAATTTGATCATAAAGACCAAGAAAACATATTAGAATCTTTCCCTTACTCATGCACTAAACAAACTTCCGTCAGAAAGAGTTGATATCCCGTGGAAGCCCCTTAGCCACTGGTTAAAGAGATTTTTACACTAGGAGATCTGGATTTGGTGCACGTGGAGCCGTCCGCCGGAATCCTTTAAAGACAGCCTTTAAAGACAGTAAAATCATCTGTTGGAGAATTGTCTTGTAACCGTTCTCATATTTGTATATTAGATTAGTCAATCCAGTGTTAAAAAAAAAAAAGTTGATATCCGAACGTTTGTAAAACCGGTAAACTTTACTATACTTGTCACAAAACATATCGAATATCTTAGATATATCGAAATCAAACTAAAGTTTTCAACGAATATATGTTTTCTCAGCTCTCCACTCACTGGATCCATGTTAAAAAAATAATTGACGTTGAGAGTGTCAAATGCTTGACAAAATGGTCACACGTGTAGATCTATCAGTGGTAGTCTATTTGACTGAAGCACTATCTATCTCCTCCAATCTCTTTCTTTTATTAGTAAAGAGAGAGAGAGAGAGAGAAACGCATTGAGTTGAGTTGACTCGCCCTTTCATTTCCTTTTTCTTTTCCCCTTTTTACTCGGTGCTTCTTCAATCATCATCATCATTCATCAATCTTTAAACAACACCAAACAAGGGAATATTACAGGAAATTTATTTAAACTCTGTGTGTCTCTCTCTTTGTGTATTTACACAGTTTTGACTTTTTTGAGTGGTGTTTGGTGAGAGATATGGCGGTGGAGCTGATGATGAGCAGCTACGGTGGTGGTGGTGGTGGTGGGAGAGTCAAAGGAGGAGGAGACGACTTTTCTTCAAAAATGGAAGACACCGCACTGAGAGAAGCGGCGTCTGCTGGGATTCACGGCGTGGAGGAGTTTCTTAAACTAATCGGTCAAAGTCAACCGACGGAGGAGAACCAGACGGAGTTAACTGCTGTGACGGACGTCGCCGTCAACAGCTTCAAGAAGGTGATTTCTCTCCTCGGCAGATCTAGAACCGGACACGCGAGATTCAGACGAGCCCCGACCACGCCGAAAACAGAAGAAGATCGAGGTGACTGTAAAACGGAGGAGGAGAAGCCAGAAACCACCACCACCACCACCACCACCACCGTGATTAACAGACAGAAAACAGAGCAGCACGGCGGATCTGCGTTTAGAGTTTACTGTCCGACTCCGATTCACCGCCGTCCTCCTTTATCAAACAGCCAGAATCATACAAAGAACGGTTCGTCTTCTTCTCACGGGAAACCCCAAGAGCCGCCGCCGCCTCCGCCGCCGTCGTCAACGATAAACTTTGCGCCGTCTCCACCTGTCTCTGCGGCGAACTCGTTCATGTCGTCTCATAGATGTGATACAGACAGTAACCAGATGTCGTCAGGATTCGAGTTCACAAACCCATCGTCTCAGGTCTCGGGCTCGAGAGGCAAACCTCCATTATCATCAGTTTCGTTGAAGAGAAGATGTAACTCCGCTACTTCCAGTCGTTGCCATTGTACCAAGAAAAGGTTTGAAGATCTCCAAATTTAGTTTTATCTTAGATCTAAAGATTCACTGTGATTTAAAAAATTTAAATGGTTTGGTAAAAACAGGAAATCAAGAGTGAAGAGAGTGATAAGAGTTCCTGCGGTAAGCAGCAAGATGGCTGATATTCCTTCTGACGAGTTTTCATGGAGAAAATACGGTCAAAAACCAATCAAAGGCTCTCCTCATCCCAGGTTTGTTCCATTAACACATAAACATCACTGCTTCACTATAATCACTTCAATGGAAAAAAATAGAAAATTGATCAACTTGTGTATTGTCAAATCTTACCTGATGAGAAAAAAAAGTATATTTTATTTCTATATTGGTTGTACCAAACGTGTCGTCTAGTAGTAGTGGGTTCACGCTCTTTTTGACTTGTTGTTTGTTCTTCTTCCCTATAAAATTTTGAATTTTTTTTTAATAATACATTTAGCTGAGTTGACTCGTGTTTATTTATAAAGATAAACTAAAACTCGTTGTTAATGGACTCGGTCGCGCAGGGGATATTACAAGTGCAGCAGCGTGAGAGGATGTCCGGCGCGTAAGCATGTGGAGCGTGCACTCGACGATGCGATGATGCTTATCGTGACGTACGAAGGAGACCACAACCACGGTTTGGTGCTCGAGACTAGTTCGCCGCTTCCTGACAAAGCTCTTTAAATTCGGTCGTTGCCGGCGTGTAACCTGAGCCGTTCGATCTGAGAAGGAAGTGACCCTACTGTTGTTTGTCTGTCCGAAATCCAGATTAGTCAACGACAGAGTTGGGCCTACACTGCACTTTATATTCCTTCTTTTTAAAAAAATTGCTTTATTTTATTTTTTCCTTTTAATTGGAGAGAATAGAGAGCAAGGATAAAGACGAGAGGAACGTTGTGGATCTGGTGGAAGTTGAATCATGTGAAAGTCATTTTCCGTTTTTCTTTTTTTTGGACAATAGTACTATATAATTCAAATTTGTTTGACTATATATAATTCAGATTTTAGTTTAAAAACAAAATTCTGCAGAAAGCATAGTTGCAGATCTGTTATAAAAATGGTACTAGTAGATTAACGCTTTTTAGTTTACAATCAATGGTAGTTTTAGATTTTGAGTTGACAAAATCGTTTATTTAAAGCAATCAAGATTTCATTAAAGTCAACAGCTATTTATCATCGTGCTTGTTAGTTATTTATATCAGCTAACAAGTTAACGTTACAGAATTCGAATCGCTGTTGACTTTTGTTAACAATTTTTTTTTATTTAATAATAAATGATGCTTCCTAAACTTGTGTTTGTTAACGTTCCAGTGTTGTTCATTGTCGAACAAGTCAATAACACAATCTTTTGATGAGAGCTCTTATTGGATTACGACATAAATTGCAACTTTTTAAGGGTCTTCACATTCCAATTCCATAACTTGGACGTTAAAAGATTCAGGAATCGCAGGTTGTATCTCCATCCTACGACTCTCGCTCGTGGATTCGCCTTTGTTCCTCGTATCTTCCAGCCATACTTCTAGCGTGGACTGTACCATATCGTCGAATATCCCTTTCTTGAATTTGCTTCCCATCTTTTAAAATCAAACAACAATTGATTCAAATTTTGTTAACTAGTGTATGTATATATATAGTACCTAGGCATGTGGATGTGGTTATATAAATACACTGACCTGTGTAACAATGACATATAGTGGTAATGTGCTGTAACTGCAAAGCACTTGGACTAACACTCTGTATAAATAAAAGAGTCTATAAGATCAAACCAAAATATTGATGATTTTTTCATTAGATTTAAAAATGTAGATGCTATTACCCCATGACGAGTCGTGGAATAAGGAAGCCTAGTCTCTCCATGATACACGAACGTATTCCGTATGTGAACTGATGATACGATGGAGAAATCATAAACAAGATTGCGATTTTTCTTGAGTACTAACAAAAGTAACATGGAAGAAGAGGAAGTGAAGCTAAGAGTACCAAAATCCAGAAGAAGAAGGCAATCTCAAATGAATTTTGAAAGAGAATGAAGTGGATGAGTTGGAGAACAATCTCTGGCCTATGGAACCAAAATAGTTCATCAGAAGGTGTGATTACTGCTTCTTCCGCACGGTCTCGCTTCTCGCAAACATCCAGAGCTAAGCTACTTATTATGTTTTCCAATTTGGCCCCAACCAGTAGTAACAGCTGCAGTTTTGAAAACACTTTTTAAGTAACCATTCAAAAAGATAAAAAAATAGTTGAATATGTAAAAAAAAAACGATTAAAATTGCCAACTAAAAGAACTTACGATTAAAGGCAAGAAAGACAACCAGAAGTAAGTATTCCATCCTCCTACATTCAACAGCAAAAAGACGACGACAAAGAGCCAGAGATACCAACTTTATGTTTATATGACCACATCAACAAAATTAAAAATACGTCAGACAAATTAAACCGATGAAGCCATTGGTGTGTGTGTGTTTATCTGAAGAGTAAATCGATTCATTTACCTTATGCTCACAACTTTCTTGAAATCTATCTCCAGTGTTCTTAACATGTACTTGTGGAAATTAAACGATGGGTTTGTGCGGCAATGAGTCTGGCAAGGTGAAGGATATATATATATATATATATATATCAGATTTGGTATAATGAAAGACATGATATGTTGGTTAAAAGAAAGTAAAGTAAGAACCATGATGAACCCTTGTCGCAGAGCTATATATTCTGATTTGGTGACAGAACCATAAAACTGCTTGAAGAATGATCTCTGCAAGAACAATATATACACGTTGGCTAATTAGAAATGAAGTAAGATCTTAATTTTGATTAGTGTGGTATCTAGCTATAACTCACCAGCCAGCTGATGACAACAGATCTTCTCCAGAATCCTCCAGCATGCGTCTCAAAGAACTCGTGATTTGCGTTAAACATCTCATGAAGAGCATGAGCGTGAGCGTGAGCATGACCACGCTTTGATGCGCCTGCAACATTATTCTTATTTTACTTTGTGTGTTTAAGCCGCAAGAAATCAGAACAATTGTCAATTCTCACCTTTTTGAGACGGATGTTTCTTGAACCTATCCTCCCAGTGCTTCCATTGTTTTATCTAAAATGTAATTTCAAATCTATGAATTACTAATCGGAGCAAGAAAAAAAGAGGCTTTGACTAAACAATTTCAAGGTTAACTTGTGCAAAAAGTTACATTACCCTGGCTCCTCCAAGAACCATGGTTGTGGCACAGAAGATAACGTGAAAAACCGCAAGAACGAAGATGAAGATATGGAGTTGATGCAACGCTTCCACAGATACTAATGGAACCTGCCCCTGCAATCAAAGCAAGAGATGGTTAATAGAAAATGATCCATGTAAGATATGAGGTTTAAGGAAATGAGAGAAAAAAAAGAAGAAGAGAAATTGCCTTGGCAGCACAACTGTTTGGACTTTCTCCTGTTGAAAGAAGATGTCTTGCATTGATGAGAGAATGAGATGATTCTGGAGCATGATGCTTCTCCAATGGCTTCTTGCAAGGGAACATGTTGTTTACAAGAGCTGGTGGGACACAAATATGCCTAATTGCGGCCTGAGATACCGTTAACATAAGGGAGATAAATCCGAGAAGCATCAGCTCTGTGAAGACATCAACTTGGTCAGATAATCAGGTGTAATTAATCAACCGAGTTCATGTTTGAGATTGCAGAGGAACGTTGAAGGAAGAAAGAAACCTTCTTTAAGTTTCTGCAAGGCCTCGAACAAGGCATCTTGTCGTCTACGCTTCAGACACTGTGGAACACAAAGAATGAAGAGAGCTTATAAATGACTTGAGCTCAAGATTTTTACAGAGAGAGAGAGTGATGTACCTTTCCAAGATGATGAAGACCACGTTCGGCGAGAAGGGATAAGAGAACGATGATGAAACAGATAAACGCGACGACCCATGTGGGTGTATATTCAAGAGAACCAGACTCCTCCTCTTCTGCCATTTTCAGCACCTCAAGATGGAGACAAGCCTTATTATTATTTATTAATATATAAAGCGAAGAATAAGAAATGGAAGACGCTGAGGGCAAAGAATAGAGAGAAGAAGCAATGTATAGGTTATCTATCTTCTCCAGTAAAAAGCACAGAAAACTTATGTCTCACGCAACTACTAAAAAATTTGGAAACAAAGAATATACCTAAAGCTATTCATATGAATATATACACTGTATACCTACCTCACAAAACCCTGAGAACAATCTTTGGTTTCTCAGACCACGTTTTACGTAATAAGCCAATTCTTTTTCTTTTTTAGCAACTTGAAAATACTCTTCTTTTCATTTGTGTTTATTTAGGCAAAAAAAAATAGATGACTTATTATACTCATAGTTTTTGTTTTTGCTTTCTCTCTAAAGACTAAGGATGCCAAGGAGCTGGAGGAGGCGGTGTGTCAGGGCCCAACGGACGTACGGCTGAGAATATAGTGTTCTTGTCAATAGCTCGAGACGTTTTTGCTCCTGACAAAGCCACAAGAGCCGCGACCAGACCCGCATTGCCGGCTATAGTCGGCTCTGTGTAGTTGTAGTTTGCACGAACGTCGTGGAATCCGTCATGCTTGTCAGGTCCAGCAACCATAGCTCCAACAATCGTGTTCGGGTTTCCTTTCTTGGTGTCTCTCCATTTCCATCCTCCTTTGCAGCTTTCTTTCTTCACACTCTTTGGTATTGAAGCTCCTCTGTGATGTACATGTTTGGGGTAATGGTGTCCAAAACCAACAACATAACTCATCTTCCGAGGGTTTTTACCGAGAATATAATCAATCTGCCATACACAAACACAAGATTTGATCAGATAAGGTCTTCTTTTGGTTTCCTTCATTTGTGGTTTTATAGGACACATACCTGCGATCTGGCAAAGTCTCTTAGGACATCAGTAGGATAGAAAGTAGGACCACAGTACCATCCAGGAGTATCAGCAGCATCTAGATAATCACTGAATAGCGTCGCCAAGAAAGCTGCGTTTGCAGCATACTGTAGAGGCTGTGGATCTCCATGGTTCAACTGAATCAGCCCTCCTGTATAGATGATATCAAAGGTTATAAACATTTCCAAGTCCACAAAAAAAAGAAAATGAAGGTAACAATCATAGACAACTCACCATTGGTTCTGTTGAATTTGTGGAAATACGGCAAATAGGAGCACATAACTATGCTTGTTTGATTATGAAATGTTCTCAAAATGTCTTCATATGGATATCCAGGGCTTAGAAACAGCCTCAACCGAGTCAACAGCAACTAAAAAAAAAACATATGAATCCAGACAGTAAGCGTATCAGTTTGTGTAAGAGTCATAAACAAACATAACTCTCATAGATTAACTAACCTGAGCCCCGGGAAGCTTGTTGTCCCAGCTAAACACGCCATAGTAAGAGCTATTTCCAAAGGCACCAGCACGTGTGGCCAACTTGTGACTTGTGACTAGCTCAAGATAGGTTACATTTCCAGTAGCATAATACAACCAAGCACCTCCCCAAAGAATCTCATCCCAGAAGAGGGTCGACTTGTAGAACTCGCTAGACTCTTTACTGCGTTTAGCGTGACTCCATTTATTAGCGTATGCAAACTTGTAGAGCGTCTTAGCACCGTGAACAAGCTTCTCCGAGTAGACTCTGTTGTCTTTGAACACAATGGATGCAGAGGCCAGAGCAGCCGCCATCTCTGCAGCAAGATTCGGACAGGAAGAGTAACATTTCGCAGCGTTCCTTTGGTAATCAATGTCCTCCGGACGCATCCAGCATGAATGGTCGTTACGCACCTTACTTCCTTTACCTGTAACCCCAGAACCAACCTGAGATCACACACACACACACAAAAATCAAACGTGTTCACAACAGATCACAGAAACATGATTAAAAACATAGATTTTTGTTCTTACCTGTTCAACCATCACATAGATTGTGTCCGCACTACTGTTGAATGTCTTGAGGAAATAGTCTGTTCCCCATTTGATGACTTCTTTGACATGATTAAGCTCACCAGCAGCTTCGTATTTAGCACTGTACTCAATCACACTCCAGCTCAAGAGCGTCATAGCGTAAGACATTGGGAAGTTGAATTTGATGGCATCTCCAGCATCGTAGTAACCTCCTACCAAATCTTTGTAGAACTCTCCTGGTTCTCCTTTCCCATCTTGCATACATGAATTACCTCTCCATGTCACGTTATTGTCCTTTGGCAGTTTCCCAGCTATCATTAGCATAAACAAAACCAGATTCAGACATGACAATGTTCTGCTTCAAATTTAAGACAAAACTAAACCGAATGTATGTAATAAAGATTGTTAACAGAGTGTTAAATAAGGAAAAAACTATAATTTCCACATTGTAGAGTGATTTAGAGATATAATCAGTTAATTAAGGAAGTGAAAAAAATGCATTTTGGAGCTTACATTTCTGAGCATTGAAGAACATGAGAGCCTTATGGAGAGCGACTGTGTAATTGTCCGGTTGTGGTGGCTTTGGTTTGTGGTGTGGCATGATTTTGGAGATGGTTGTTATGGATCCGGCGAGGAACGCGGTGACGACGAACGTTCCGAGAGTCCAGAGGAAGATTTTGCGGCTGACTAGTAGACAGCCGAGATCGACGTACTTCTTCTTCTTCGTCTCGGCGGGTCCGAGTAGCCAGCTCTGCTGCGTGGCGTCGAGTGGGCGAGAGAGAACCGCACGGTCGAGTTCTTGGAGGTTTCGGCTGCGATCGTCGTCAGTGACGGAATCAGCCGCATTGATCTCTAAAGGACCGCCCCATGGATCACGTCCGTACATTGTGATGGGGCCCGATTAGATCTGCTGGAATTGATGAGTGTGGAGGAAGAAGAAGAGGGTTTTAGGGTGTGATGTGGAAAGTGAAAGTGTGAAGTGAAGAAGAAAGTGAAGCTTTATTCATTATTTTGACACGTGAGATTCGGTCATGCTTCGGATTCTATGCTTTTTTTTTTGTAACGTCTTTTTGATTATTTTCTTTCTTTTTGTTTTGGCCTTTTAAGTTTTAACAACTTGCGAAGTTGTCTTTTGGTTGGAAACGTCTTTGGGAATGTCTTCTTGACATTAAAACATTGGAGTATAATGAAAACTGAAAAGGACGACTATAGTCGTTTTTGTCTGTATGAATAGTATATTGGCTTTGGATATTCATTTATTAATCGGTGTTCCGTGTTCGTGTTGCTGATTTGGTTGTTGTTTTTTAGTTTTGCGGCTTTTGCCAATATATGCAGGACCGGCGTTAAGCATGTGTGACACGTGTCCAAACACACTACACATTTGTTTTTACTAATTTTTCTTTACTATTTTGGGGCCCTAAATTCTTTAATATTTGCAAAACAGGGCCCATAATTTGGAGAAAAAAAAATCTTTGACAGACTGCATAGTATGTGGCTTGTAGGCGTATTATATTGTGAGTAAAGTGTCAAATCTGAAATATCAAAGTTATTCACAATTCAAGAATTTTCGGACAGTGAGTTAAGCTTCTTCCAATCAGGTTTTGTAATCACAATCCCCCAACAAGTTGCTATCGTCTGAGCAAATAGCTGTAAAGTGTCCATACGTGAATCCGATTCAATTATTTGTACTCTTATTTGTATCCGTAAAGTGTCCCTACCATTTTTTGTATTTTCTTTACAACTCAGTGTATTTCATAACTGAATAGTAAAACCTTATCGAATAGCGAGCATGTCAATATAAACATATCACGCAGTTTTAAGACGCACACCGCATGCAAATGCAAACGCATATACAAAATTGGTTATTAAATGTGAAATAACTAGGACTTAATTAAGAAATGTGAAGGGGTGATAAAAGTGATGATGATGTAATATGAAGATACAAACATAACATTTTAAATTTTAATTATTAGAGCATCTCCAATCCTATGCTAAATATAACATATATGCTATTTTGCCATAGCATTTGCTCCAACCCTATTGTATATGCTATTGCAAAATAGCATGCTTCTATATTTGGCATGAGATTATGCAATATGCTATTTTGCCATAGCACTTTTTTATTTGTAAAACAGTCCTTCAATTTGTGAATACTTTTAATTTAACAGTTTAATTATTTTGATTATGATTTATTTAAATAAATAAGCAATATTCATAACATTTTCAAAATATAAATAATATGTATTTCATATAAAATATAAAAACATAATCATAATAAACTTAAAAGTCAGAGACGATGACACTGAGTTTGAAAACTTTCTTGCTCGTTTTAGAAAAATCAAAGATAAAGACGCTTATATTTTACTTCGAGATCCCTTAATTGATCATTTATGGGGAAAAATATTCAAATGGGGATAATTAAATTAAAATATTTATTTTCTATAATTTTTATGTAATGTGATGTATTTTGTTTTAATCTTATAATAATAAAAAATAAAAATATTATAATTGTGGATCTTTTTGCAAGAAAGAAAAACAGGTGATTCACTTTGTAAAATTTGAAGAAATCAAATAGTTTTAATAATTAATAATAAGTTGGAAAAAATTATAGCATGATATATGACATGAGGGGTTGGAGAGAAATCCAATGCTATTGCTATATTTTTGCCATTTGCAATAACATATGGCATGAGGGGTTGGAGATGGTCTTATGCTCCCAAATCGGTTTTATTAATTGCTAAAACACTTGAAGAAACAACGAGCTACAGTTGAACTTAACTCGATAACACAACCAAATATTCCCACTGATCTCTTCTTGGCTGGAGCTGCATCTACAATGGGAACACCAAAACTTGGATTGGGGACCATGTACTGCTGATAAGACCGTTCTAAGCGAAGATCAGACGCTTGAGACAACGGTTTTATCTCCTCAATGGTTTCTTCTTGTTCGTGAGGCAGCTGAGTATTCCAAGGAAATGCTGATGACTCTGCCGCACAAAAACTCTGAGTCTCATCGAACCAAAACGGCAGAGGAGGCGCTGTGGGCTCAACCGGTGAGGCCACGGAGGAGTAGTCACAAGAGCATTGGTGAGACTGAGATGGGCAAGTTTGCTTACGTTTCCTCTTCTTTCTTGACCAGAACTTAAGCTTCTTCATCGCTTTCATAACCTTCATTGGGTTTTCTGCTTAATGCTTAAGAAAATGGTCACTGCCTTTTGTATCTAAAGGAGAGACTACTAGTGTGTAACCGTTGAACAAAAAGTCAAAAGAGAGATCACTTCTCATTTCACTTCTTGATCTTCTTTTAGCTTTTTGGATTTTTCAAACTTTGTGACCGTTTAATTAGCACAAATCTTGCAGAGGCCCCACCGTCTCTCTGCCACTAGTAACATGACATCTTTTTTTTTCTAAATGTTACTGTATGTCAATACAAGAAATGACAATAAAAAAATTCTGATGAACTCTTGCATGTAAAGGTTGCTTCGGAAATACATAAAAAGTTATTGAGCATTGCCTAATTATCTCGAAAGAAAGAGTAGCAGAAGCGATAATATCAGTCTACAACATAAAGATCTTCAGAGTGTTAAGTAGAACAAGACAAGAGTTCACTAAGCAAACGCCTCACTTTTTAAGGAACATATTCCTGAACTCGTCATTTGATTTCGGCGTCTCATCTGCGCTGGGTTTGGGTGTTGTGTAGCCGAGTGGTTTCACATTTCTTGGGACAGCGAACGTGTTCTTACCCTTCACCTCCACTTCATTTCCTCGCCTTTCACCATCAGTTTCTCCACCAACGGGTGCTTTCGCCTTCTCAGAAGTCTGGGACGTGTCCTTTGAGTTCCCAGAGCCTTCTATGGAAGCAATCATCATACCAGATTAGAATATTTGCACCAAAAGTAGCTACATATCCATTCAATACATGGCTACATTATGAGGAAAACAAGAAAAGAGAGATAAGATTCTCACCATTTCCACGCCAAGTTGATTCCTTTTTACCCCTCTTTGGATTTGACCGTGCTATACTGATCTTCTTACCCATAAACATCTTTTTGGTCTTTGCTATAGCTGATGCAAGGTGTTCATCATCCACGAAATCAACATATGCCAGTCCCTGAGAGACACAAGAGCATCGAGCATATTAATCCACCATACTTGCATAAGTCACTAGAACAGAAACTAGCAGCAGCTAGTCATCATCTAAACATGATCATGCGGAAACTAGGATATCTTCAGATTCATTAACAGTAACAGTAAAAAATGACATAACAATGAATGAAGGTGTGTGTGAGAGAGAGACCCTTGGTTTTCCAGTGTGTTTGTCATGAAGAATGCGAATGGAAGCAACACCACCAGAATCGCCAAAGAATTTACGTATATCTTCCTCTTGTGCCTGCAACAACAATATACGCTTGTATAAGAAAATGCCACATTTTATTTTTAAAGGTCGTGTTTGTAAATTTGACATGAAGCCCATATATTTACCTTGACACTGAGATTTGAAAGAAAAGCTGTACACTCGTCTGTATAAATTTTCGGCTTCCCTGGTTTCGCGTCTTCTGTCTCTTCTTTATTTGAAACAGCTCCTTTTCCAGTCTCTGCTTTAACGTTTTTTGTGTTTGATACAGTTGCACTCTTCCCTTCTGCATCCACATCATTCATTTTCTGGCCCTTACTCTTCTGCCGTTTAGCCGAAGACTCTTCTTCTGCATTCGGTCCTGCTTTTCTCTTTTCACGTGTACTCTTTTGTGGGTTATTCTCTTTCGGGACGGCTGGCGGTTTGACTGGTGTAGACTCCTGCTGTAACCTAATCAATCGTAGCTCTTCCAAGCGTGGCGTAACCTAAGGAACAAAAACCAAGCAAATCGTATAATTTACAGCTTCCACGATTATTCTACATGTCTTTTTAGCACGGAATGCATTGCTACTAAATAAGAACATCAAAGTCAAATACGTATAGGGAAACTGAATTTTGGAAGCCAAGCGCAGTGCGGTAAACATGAATCTAATCTTAATTTAAGAGAGTAATGTTGATGTAGTTATCACATCACAGCTAGCAAAAATATCCAAAACCAGCAAAATTGTCTGAAATTACCCAACGACAGTAAACAATAGTACCTTTTGAACTGCATGGTCCCAATCTTCCAAAGTTCCATGCTCCCTTTCAAAGCGCAACCATCCATGGCATATATCCTGGAAGATCATCCTTCTTAGGAAATGAATATAGCCGTATATAAATTAGACATGACAACTTAGGCATACGGTGCACTCATATTTCAAGAACGTGTCACATGAAGAGTCGATACAAATCTTCATTATACTACCAAGATAGATGTTTCAGTTGCAAGTGAAGCTAAATAATGTCTTTTCAGAGCAAATATCCCTAATTCGATAACAAAACATAAGTACGAGTAACACATAAAACAAGAGGGAATAGAGTGCATACTTCTGAGCCAGTCCCATCAAACTTTCTTGTATAGCACCTCCGGTAAATAGACCTAGCTTCCTTTATATGCCCCAAATGCACTTCCATATCAATGTATGCATGCCAGGCTGCTAGCATCCCACCACTGGAGAGAAGCAAGTACGATGAATCATAATGAACCAGATTGCCTTATTCTGACAAATGTGTAATCTGCTTGGATTATTTAAATTTTAGATCTCTAATAAATCAAATATAAAAGATATAGCTTGCAAACCTCTTCTTCAGTAAGCTATCCCAAACACCCCGTGCTGCAGCAAGATCTTTTCCAATATTCAGTTCCAAGTTAGCCCAATAAGCATGCAAACGCAGCAAACTGTCTGTATTTTGCATGTGAGGCGCTAGGTAATCTGATGCTTGCTGTCAGGAAAAAAATATTGAGTTAACTCAAGTGATGCAGAAGAGGTCCAAATCAGGAGAAAAGCTATTCAGAACAAAACTATTTTTACAAAAAAAAAGGGAAGCTTAGATAGCCTCTTAGAATATACAAAGATCTTGAAAGATGGGAGCAAGAATTTTAGGATACTATTGATGGTAAAAGCAGCAGACAAACCTGAAAAGTTTCTCTTATCATAGAATAATCCAAAGTCTCTACCATCTTCGTTGATAACATTCTTCTTCTCAGGCCATCTACTCGAGTGAGGTATAACTCCAGGTACTGGTGAGGAACATCTCATAAGATATACATGGATAGAGTGAATGGAAACATGCTATAAAATGGATAAGAAAATCAAAGAAGCCAAAGTTGTACCTCCTCAAAGGAGGAAAATGTGCACTGCAATGACTTCTCAAAGACCTGTATAAACAATTTGAATAACAGGAAATTTCTCAGTATAACTTTCTGAAAATCCCATTACGCAGGGGATAAGGTAGGAGGAATATAACAGAGATAAATGTAGACATAGGTAAGTATCCTTTCCTACAATATTATTTCTTTTGGTTTTCAATTGAAAAATTGAGACTTACGGCATAAATCTCTTCCTCGGACGCAGAACCACGCTCTAAAGCAAGCAAGTACCGTGCCCAAAGATCTCCAGTCCATGGGCAACTTCTAGTCGCCCTAGAATAGGCATGCGTTATAGCTTTTCCAACCTGAGGCAGGAAGCCCATAAAACAAATGAAGCAGGACTTGTTAATACAAAAAGTCACCATAAAAAAAATTAGAATAAGGGATAGACAGATTAGGAAACGCCTAAAAGAAGCTATAACAAGTTCTTCACGAAGCTTTAATAAAAAATGAAACACCTTCAAAGTTTTATCAAGATAGCAGGTGTAGTCTATCCACAAGTCACTTGAAACCGGGTATTCAGCGACAGCACGTTCATATATAGCTTGAACTCGGGTAGGATCTCCAGAAGTCTGCTCAAATTTTATGTAATTCTGCAAAAAATAGTTATAATCATCAGTTTCCAAATAGATAATTTATTTTAATTGATCAAGCCAATCACAAGAAAGAAAAGGGAGGAACAGTTTAGAAAAAAAGATAGAACAGTAGCAATAACGTGCCCAAGTCTGCAGCTTCAAATACATTTTATGAAAAATATCAACTGCACGATAAGCCATACATACCATGAATTGCTGAAACTTTTCGATATCAGATAAACCTTTCTTAGATATGTTTTCTTCAAGATGGGCACGTTCACTATACATCTGCTGTGCCTTCTTGTTTGCAACAGCAACCTGAGGAGAAACCTTACTCAAATCATCAGATCCAATATCAAGGTTCATGCCCTGCTCCAACTCCCAAGTCTTATAAGCAATTAGGGTGGAGCTCAAGTTTTCCAGCGGAACAGACAGGTGACGGTGGAATATGCTTCGGATCCTTTGTATCTGCTTATTTCTCTCCTGTAAAATAAAACTAGTCATTACTAAATTCGTGATGCCCAAAGAACTATTAATAGACGTAACTTTAGGAAACAAAGCGATTCACACATGTAATTTTTTAAAATATACTAAAAGGTGGTTAGTTGTTCAGAAAACAGTGTCCCCAAAATGTAACCAATATCACCAATGTTTTTGCAGTATCCCTCTAAGTGATGGAAACTTGTAGGAAATTTTAACCCTTAAAAGTGATCATACTTTTGATTATGACATGAATTAACAGGTAAGTTACTTGATAAGTAGGTTTTTAAAAACAAATTACATACATGTAAATTAGTGAACAGAACTATCAAAGAAGTTTTCATAAAACAGTCTGATGAATTATATCGATTTTCGTAAATTTGATAACTGAAAATCTTTCCGAGTTTTTTTATCACGAAATACATTTAGTTTAGTTTAACTTAGAACCTAGTGACCAAAGTCTATTTCCATAGCAACCATTAGCTCTCGTTTATTACAAGGTGCTATTTCTTCCCACTGAAAACATAACAGAAATTTGATCTACCAATTCTATTCTCAGTTCATATAGTAATCATCCTAGGACATAAACCTAGCTAGCATGCTGTTAGACTGTGGTGAACAAAATGTAGATGAACAAAATCAAGAAAATGGATCCTACCTCAACGTCATCCTTGTCAATAGTGGCTAAGATGCCTTGCTCAAATTCTCTATATCCTTCCCATATTCTATTGCCTTCAGTAACATGGAAGCCCGCAGCCGGAATAGCACGTTCAAAAAGACTCCTCATTTTTGAAATACCTTCAGATGTATATCCTTGTAGTGATGGATCATATTCTAAAAAAAAGTTCAGGTAGTCACACCAAAGAGATACAGACTGCATAAAAGAACAGGTATTAGTTTATTAATTCAATGTGGAATAAATACAGTCGACTGATCATAAAGTGGCCTTGAAAAGAGACAGGTCGTCCCACAAATTCTCACTACCTTATAATCAATAGCAGAATTTTTTTGAGGTACTAATATATACAAGATGAAGTAAACTGTTGGTGAAGCTAATAGAACTAAAATTCGAAAGAGCATACGAAAGTATTTCTTCAGTCAGTCTATGTAACAAAACACTACCAACAAAACGGTAACAACATATATGACTACTAAAGCCTTTATTCCAGCAACTGTTTCCAGTAAACAAGAGAACATACCTGATAATCAGAAAGTCCCCGTTCATAAAGCTTCACAATTTCAGGCACATTATCACTGCAGAAGAGAGAGATATAAAACAAATATGTCAAAGGAAAGCAACTGAATCCAACCATGAAATCAGAAGTATGAACAATAGATCATTTAAGAGCCAAAGAACCGCAGGATATCTATTTACCTAGAGGCTAGAGATGCTTCATCCTTTGCCCATTCAAGCCACAAGGAAGGACTCAATGGAAATATGGCACTCATAGCTTTCCTTGCTTGTCTTAGCTTTTCAAGGTTCGCTGTTTTCCTGAGAAGCTTTATATACTGAAATTAAGAAAGCAACAAAGTTAGAACAAACGTAACCCGAAAAAACCATCCATCTCCAACAAGATGAAGAAAATGCACAATTCAAAGTTTCTCAAACAGACGAGCTATAACATGAACGTAACCGATTGTTCGTTTCATATCATCCCTATGAAAATTTTAGTAAGTAGCAGCGAAATCTGCTTTGCTCTCAGATTCTGAGTGAGCTGAAACACATTGTGTGCCAAAAGCGAAGGTAGAGGGTGATTCTTACTTGGACATAAGCATCGTAGTTGTAAGGATTGGCGGAGAGCTCGGACTCGAGGGTTTCAATCTGATGATTCGACTCAGCCTCATCCTCCGAATCGGAATCAGAGTCGCCGGAATCATCCGACGAGTGGGTAACAGCTATGGCATCAGCAGGACTTTCGGTTGAAGCGTCCTCCATCTTCTGTTCGCTGCTACTGAGAATTTCAGTATCATCCATCTTCTGATGTTTCCGAGCTGTAGCTTTTTTGGGTTTAGGGTTTAAAATATGCGGATTCTTTTCTCCGTCACCAAAGTAGCCGACTCTCCTCCGTCGTCGAGGCTTTAACCACGCCAAATCAATTTGTGATTTTCAAATCAAAATCTAGGTGAACCGGTCCAAAGAAGTCTCAGATTCCACTAAAATCAAATTGGTCAACTCCTTTGACCTCTAATTGATTTTCTTCAAACCGGTCCCTCTACAACCTTGTATCGTAGACCAATTTGGAATTCAAGTCTCGCATGTATCTAGTTCTACCGGTAAACCGGTATAATTACTCAATTGAATCCTGGAGTTGATTATGGATCCTAATCTCTTAACTAATTTCAAAAGGATTGCTTTGATCCACGTTAGAGAAAATAATACTCCTACCAAGTTGCAACTAGACAATATTATGAGAAAAATTAGACTAAAGTCAAACATGATGTACAAATCCTGGTATTGAATGGTCTCAACTATAGCAAGCTCCTTAAGCAAAAAAAAGTTTATACGTACCAAAGTTTCCAACAAAGCAGATTCATCATGTTGGTCGACATGGGTGCATATGAAATGCACCAAATCTTGAAGTGAACACATAATTGAAAAAAATCGAATCCAAAAATTGCAAGTTAAGATTTGAATGATGAAAATAAAAAAAAACAATATAAACTCACATAGTCCAAAAGTATAAGTATTTAAACAGTCTGCTTTTTGTCTCCCAATTATTTACTTTAATTGATAAAATTATTTGATACAAGAAGTATGAATGCAATATTGGTGTAATGCCAAACATTTGCATATGAAATGCACCAAATCTTGAAGTGAACACATAATTGAAAAAAATCGAATCCAAAAATTGCAAGTTAAGATTTGAATGATGAAAATAAAAAAACAATATAAACTCACATAGTCCAAAAGTATAAGTATTTAAACAGTCTGCTTTTTGTCTCCCAATTATTTACTTTAATTGATAAAATTATTTGATACAAGAAGTATGAATGCAATATTGGTGTAATGCCAAACATTTGCCAGACAACTGCACATGTCCAGTGTAAAAAAAAAATGTTAATAAATTACAATCTCCACCAGCTGTAATATTTGAATGGATCTCATTCTCATGGTTATTAAAATTACATGATTTATCCACCTCGACACATCTATAAATGGCATACAATAGCTAGAGTCCATCCATTATCACAAAACAGAACAACAAAGAAGAAATATTAAAAACTTCATGAGTGGCTATTCCAAAATGGATTCAACAGTCCAGACACCCGACCCGGTCGATCCCCAGACCCAGAAGGCTGATCCAGAACCGATTGAAATGAAAGTGAGGCTGAGCAGGAACCGGTCAGTGTCTGCATCAAGGCAAGCAGCTCCCTCAAAGACTGCTATGTCAATGAGAAGATCTTCGTCTGTCTCTGAGCGCTACTGTAGAATCTATGACCAGAGCTCTGCCGCGTGGCCTCTTCCTTTCCAAGAAGATGAAGACGAAGCAGATGGTAAAGAGAAGGTGCAGAAGCAAAAGAAGAGCAGCAACATCAAGAAAAAGGCATTTCTTAAGGCTTGTAAGCGTTTTTTTGGGATCTCTTGATTAAATTTTCTTTTTCTCATATCATATACTAATATATAGATCTGTTTGTTGTTGACCAAAAAAAAAAATAATAGATCTGTTTGTTATCTTTTCGTTTAGAGCCGATCGCTTTTATGAAACGTTTAATACAAGAAAATGTTCCTTATTTTGAATATTCGATCAGTAGTTTAACGTATTTTGCTTCCTTCCTCCGTGAGATTGTACCATTCATATTGAAACTCAGAACATTCTATTGCGCATATATAAAACCGTTGTTTTAGTAGGTTCATATCTGTCTAAAGATCAACCGGAAAAGAAACCACTGTATTTATACAAGATATCATACAGCCAAGAGGATGAATAAACTAAATATTGCTGGTTTGGAAGAAGAAGATGGCCCTTGACTGCAAGATTGTCCTATAGTGTAAATCACGAGAAGGAATCGTCGACCCCGATGCACTTGCACATGGAGCTCGATTTCTTGTTCCCGTTTTTCTTATAATATATTCATCATTTTCTAAGAGCACAATAAATTTAGAGTACATTTTATACTTACAAAAACAAAATCTTATATAGTTTTTTTTTTGGTCGGAACTAAATCCTATGTAGTTAAGATTAAACATGTTACATGTGTACTAGTTATTTGACCGAAAAGTCAATACATTCTGTGCCATCAAAGTCCACTTTAATTTGTGGCTTTCAAAATCATGAAGTAAAAAAAAAAAAAAATGCAATTTAGACCAATGAATTGATGGTAAGATAATATTAGACATTTTTCATTACTGATCTGAAATGTGTATGGTAAAATAATTAGTTAGGCGTATAATAAGATGCTATTGTAGTCTTATGTAAAGATAACTCAGAAGAAGTTGCGTTCACAAACATCATCTACGTGTGGAGCTTTCCAACTTTCCTTTTTGGAGGCCAAACAAGTATTTCCGCACGTTGAAAAATTTGTTACCGCAACCGCAATTGTTTGAGATGTCAAACTCAAACCGGATCTCTCTCTAAAAATATCTACAAAAACCATCGTATAAAAAACTTAGCAAACCACCAATCGAAAACCAAATATTCACTTGCGTGGATAAGATCCACCACACCCAAAATCGTTTAAAACACACACACATGTGGGACACAAGCTCCAAAATGACATACTGCTCAATTCTTACCACGGATATAGGCATGAGCGATGAGCCTTTTTTCTTTCTTCCCTTGCTTCTTCTTGATCTCTTTGTTTTGTTTATTCTTTTTACCAATTTTCTCTTAGTCCACTTTCTGATCTCTTTGTTCCCTTGCTCATTTTTGCGTTTTCCTAATATTTTGAGTGACGCGTCGCGTTTGAGAACATATGTGTGGGCTTTAGTGAAATTCTGGATGTTTCTAAGATACATCTAGCGTGGCCTATCAAAGCCCATCCATCCATCTTCACTCTCCTTCCGGAAACTTCAAGTAGGTCCCCCATTTTTCTCCTTCGTCTCCACCTTCCGCTTATCTTCTTCTATATCTCTTCCTCCTTCCTTCCTTAGGGTTTCCCGTCAAACTCTCCTTCTCTTCATTTCTCACTCTCTCCATTTCCCGTTCGATATACTTCTCTCTAGCTCCCACTATCACTGTTAATTTCTTATTAAGCTCGAAAAATGGCTTCATCCGCCGCCCAAATTCACGTTCTTGGCGGAATCGGATTCGCTTCTTCTTCATCTTCCAAGAGAAATCTCAATGGCAAATCCAGTTTTATGCCGAGAAGCGCCTTCTTCGGCACACGAACCGGTCCTTTCTCTACCCCAGCTTCTGCCTTCCTCCGAATGGGGAGTAGAAATGGCGGCGCCTCTAGATATTCGGTAGGTCCAGTGAGAGTCGTCAACGAGAAAGTTGTTGGAATTGATTTGGGCACGACTAACTCCGCCGTAGCTGCCATGGAAGGAGGCAAGCCTACGATTGTCACCAACGCTGAAGGTCAGAGGACGACTCCGTCTGTGGTGGCTTACACGAAGAGCGGTGACCGGCTTGTCGGTCAGATTGCGAAGAGGCAAGCGGTTGTTAATCCGGAGAACACTTTCTTCTCGGTGAAGAGGTTTATTGGTAGGAGGATGAACGAGGTCGCTGAGGAGTCTAAGCAAGTTTCCTATAGAGTAGTTAAGGACGAGAACGGAAATGTCAAGCTGGAGTGCCCTGCAATCGGAAAACAATTTGCCGCTGAGGAGATTTCAGCTCAGGTATTGAAATTTGTCTATTTACTCATTTCTGGAATTTCAAATTGAGAGTGAACAGTGTGGCTCGATTGTAGGTGATCATTTGTACGGTTGAGTTTTTCAATTCTTTCTTATGGGTTTGTGTTTGGTGTAGGTTTTGAGGAAACTCATAGATGATGCCTCTAGATTCTTGAACGACAAAGTGACCAAGGCTGTCATCACTGTGCCTGCTTACTTCAACGACTCACAGAGAACAGCTACGAAAGATGCTGGTCGTATTGCTGGGGTGGAAGTTCTTCGTATTATCAATGAGCCCACAGCTGCATCACTGGCTTATGGTTTTGAGAGAAAAAGCAACGAAACAATCCTAGTCTTTGATCTTGGTGGTGGTACCTTCGATGTCTCAGGTAATTGGCTTTATACTCATGCTAAAATGCTCCATATATCTTTCTGTGAATTGTTTTTTAAAGACTTATATTGTCTTTTGATGTATTAACACCATCTTATATGTATATGTTATTTTCTTTATTATGTAGTACTTGAGGTTGGTGATGGTGTGTTTGAAGTGCTTTCCACTTCTGGTGATACACATTTGGGTGGTGACGACTTTGACAAGGTGAGTTTAGTGCAATCATTTATGTTAAAGTCCTTGGTAAAAGAGCTTTGAATCTGATAGATTTAAGTTTTGCAATGCAGAGAGTTGTTGATTGGCTTGCTTCAAACTTCAAGAAAGATGAAGGCATTGATCTTCTGAAAGACAAGCAAGCACTTCAGAGGTTAACAGAGGCAGCAGAGAAAGCTAAAATTGAGCTTTCCTCGCTGACTCAGACAAACATGAGGTACAAGTAGTTTTCTCGCTCGAACTTTTGACTTGGTACTTTCACAAGCATGTGGATTCTGATTGATATGAATACTGTACCCAGCTTGCCATTTATCACGGCCACAGCTGATGGACCTAAACACATCGAAACCACTCTCACGCGTGCCAAGTTCGAAGAATTGTGTTCAGATTTACTTGACAGGTAATTTTACTTACAGTTTTCTGTGGCTGATTTTGATAGCAATGAGGAGGCCTAAGAGTCTTATGCGCTGTATCTGTCTGATAGGTGTAAGACTCCCGTTGAGAATTCCCTAAGGGATGCAAAGCTCAGCTTCAATGATATTGATGAAGTGATCCTTGTTGGTGGATCTACACGTATTCCTGCTGTTCAGGAAGTCGTCAGGAAGCTAACTGGAAAAGAACCTAATGTCACAGTGAATCCTGATGAGGTTGTAGCTCTTGGTGCTGCAGTCCAGGTTTGTTCTCGTGAACTTGTAACTTGCACCTTATTTACTGCTACGAGTTCTCACCAAGTGCCATTATTTCTTGATTTCAGGCTGGTGTTCTTGCTGGAGATGTGAGCGACATAGTGCTTCTCGATGTCACACCTCTTTCGATTGGTTTGGAAACCCTTGGTGGTGTCATGACGAAGATTATTCCAAGGAACACTACTCTGCCTACTTCTAAATCAGAAGTCTTTTCAACCGCTGCTGATGGACAGACAAGCGTTGAGATCAATGTGCTTCAGGGTGAGAGGGAGTTTGTCAGGGATAACAAGTCTCTTGGCAGTTTCCGTCTAGATGGTATTCCACCAGCACCACGTGGAGTTCCACAAATCGAAGTCAAATTTGACATTGACGCCAACGGTATTCTATCAGTCAGTGCTAGTGACAAAGGCACCGGAAAGAAACAAGACATCACCATTACTGGTGCCAGTACATTGCCCAAGGACGAGGTGCGTACAGTTTCCATATCAGACAACATTGCTTCAGTTATCAACTTATGTTCTTATAGTTCCATCCATGAAGTTTATTGGCCATTTTTTAGTGATTCTGAATATGGTAGCCATATTGGAAGTATAGGTAGCTATGATTGTTGCTTTCTCCATAATGATCTTAGAGCCTTTGTGATTCTCTTTTCACTAATATATATGTTCTTGGTAACAAATTGGGTCTGAATGAATGTTACAGGTAGACCAAATGGTCCAAGAAGCAGAGAGGTTTGCGAAGGATGACAAGGAGAAGAGAGACGCAATTGACACAAAGAACCAAGCAGATTCGGTAGTGTACCAGACGGAGAAGCAACTCAAAGAACTGGGAGAGAAGATTCCAGGTGAAGTGAAAGAGAAGGTGGAGGCCAAACTACAAGAGCTGAAGGATAAGATAGGAAGCGGATCAACCCAGGAGATCAAGGACACCATGGCTGCGCTCAACCAAGAAGTGATGCAGATTGGTCAGTCTCTTTACAACCAGTCTGGAGCAGGAGGTGCAGGTGCAGGTCCTTCCCCTGGAGGAGAAGGTGGTCCATCAGCAGATTCATCGTCAAGTAAAGATGGAGATGATGTGATCGATGCCGACTTCACAGACAGCAAATGAGAAAACGAATATAGGATGGGCTTTGAATTCATACATCCCAAGCAGTGGGTGTGTAATGATTTTGTAGGTTTTGGATTGAAGACCCAAATGATTTAAGCAATGCTTGTGAACAACACTTATTTGTCGTTCTATGGAAAGCAGTGTTTTTACAGAGTATGTTTAATCCATAATAACAAAACTGCCTTAAAATCGTACTCGTATGATTTACCAACGGAGAATCACATAAACAAAACTGCATGAAAATCATAGAACTAATTAAAAGAAAGTGACAATTTCACTTAAAAGGCTAAAACAAAGCATCTCATTAGAAAGCCCATCCATCTTTCAGTCTCCTTCTGGAAACTTCCGACTGGGTCCCACAGTTTTCTCCGCCCTCTCCACCGAACCTCTTATCTTCTTCTATACCTCTTCTTCCTCCTCCACCTACCAACCTTAGGGTTTCTCTTCAAACTCTCCTTCTCGTGTCTCCCTCTGTTCACTTCCCTCGCTACCTTTGCTTCCTCCGTCACTATTCTCTACTATTAAGCTCGAAAATGGCTTCATCCGCCGCCCAGATTCACGTTCTCGGCGGAATTGGATTCGCTAGTTCTTCTTCCAAGAGAAATCTCAATGGCAAAAGTAGTAGTTTCATGCCGAGAAGCGCCTTCTTCGGCACACGAACCGGTCCTTTCTCTACCCCAGCTTCTGCCTTCCTCCGAATGGGGAGTAGAAATGGCGGCGCCTCTAGATATTCGGTAGGTCCAGTGAGAGTCGTCAACGAGAAAGTTGTTGGAATTGATTTGGGTACGACTAACTCCGCCGTAGCTGCCATGGAAGGAGGCAAGCCTACGATTGTCACCAACGCTGAGGGTCAGAGGACCACTCCGTCTGTGGTGGCGTACACGAAGAGCGGTGACAGGCTTGTCGGGCAGATTGCGAAGAGGCAAGCCGTCGTTAATCCGGAGAACACTTTCTTCTCGGTGAAGAGGTTTATTGGTAGGAGGATGAACGAGGTTGCTGAGGAGTCTAAGCAGGTTTCTTATAGAGTAATTAAGGACGAGAACGGAAATGTTAAGCTGGAGTGCCCTGCAATCGGAAAACAGTTTGCCGCGGAGGAGATTTCAGCTCAGGTATTACAGTTTATCCATTCACTCACTACCGTAGAATCTTAATCGATGTAGGTAGTTTGTTTAGCTGGTTGGAGTTTCGTTGAGCTCAGTTTTTGGGTGATGAATTTGCAATTAAGATAGTGTGATGATTACCTGAAACTAAAGTAAGGATTTTTCTTCACTCTTCATGGTTGATAGTTGAGTGACTCCGATCTTTCACTTTCTGTTTACTGATATCTGCAATTGAAATAACTTTCTTTGGTTTCTAACTTTAGAATTCCACTCTCTCTTTGTCATCTTCAGCTTGTCATTCTGGAATTTCCGATTGGATGTGAATCGTGTTTGTGTTTATGGTTGGTCTATTCTAGTTGATCGTTCGTCTGTTAAATTCTCGTGGAGGTTTTTTTGTTGTAGATGGTCTCTTTCTTATGGGTTTGTGTTTGGTGTAGGTTTTGAGGAAACTCGTGGATGATGCCTCGAGATTCTTAAATGAAAAAGTAACCAAGGCTGTTGTCACTGTGCCTGCTTACTTCAACGACTCACAGAGGACAGCTACCAAAGATGCTGGTCGTATTGCTGGTTTGGAAGTTCTTCGTATTATCAACGAGCCCACAGCTGCTTCATTGGCTTATGGTTTTGAGAGAAAAAGCAACGAAACAATTCTAGTCTTTGATCTTGGTGGTGGTACCTTCGATGTCTCAGGTACTTCACATTAGACTTTTGAGAAGTTTCTTTGTATTACCGTTTCGGCTTCTACCGTCTTTTGATGTATTAGTATTGGTATTAGCATTATCTAATATGCGTTTTTATGTTTCTTATTGTGCAGTGCTTGAGGTTGGTGATGGTGTGTTTGAAGTGCTTTCCACTTCTGGTGACACACACTTGGGTGGTGATGATTTTGACAAGGTGAGTTAAATTAATCTTAAAGTCCTTTAATCAAAGAGCTTTAAATCTGTTTGCTCTTTCTTCTGTGCTTTTTTTGATAGATTCGTGTTTTGCAATGCAGAGAGTTGTTGACTGGCTTGCTTCAAACTTCAAGAAAGATGAAGGCATTGATCTTCTGAAAGACAAGCAAGCACTTCAGAGGTTAACAGAGGCAGCAGAAAAAGCGAAAATTGAGCTTTCCTCGCTGACTCAGACAAACATGAGGTACAATTACTTTTCTCGCCAAAATTTTGACTTCGTAATTCAATAGCATTTGGATTTAGATTCTGATTGCTTTGAATTCTGTGCCCAGCTTGCCATTTATCACGGCCACAGCTGATGGACCTAAACACATTGAAACCACTCTCACGCGTGCCAAGTTTGAAGAATTGTGTTCAGATTTACTTGACCGGTAACTTTACTACCGTTTTTATGGCTGATATTAGTAGCCCGAGAAGTAATCATGGATGCGAAAGATTCTTATGCAAGTATCTATCTTTTATAGGTGTAAGACTCCCGTTGAGAATTCCCTGAGGGATGCAAAGCTCAGCTTCAAAGATATCGATGAAGTGATCCTTGTTGGTGGATCTACACGTATTCCTGCTGTTCAGGAGGTCGTGAGGAAGCTGACTGGGAAAGAACCTAATGTCACAGTGAATCCTGATGAGGTCGTAGCTCTTGGTGCTGCAGTCCAGGTGTGTTCTTGTGAATATGTAACTTTCACTCTATTTACTGCTGAGTTCTCATAAAGTGCCATTCTACTTTTTAATTCCAGGCTGGTGTTTTGGCTGGAGATGTGAGCGACATTGTGCTTCTTGATGTGACACCGCTTTCGATTGGTTTGGAAACCCTTGGTGGTGTTATGACTAAGATTATTCCAAGGAACTCTACATTGCCTACTTCCAAATCAGAAGTCTTCTCTACTGCTGCTGATGGACAGACAAGCGTTGAGATCAATGTGTTGCAGGGTGAGAGGGAGTTCGTCAGGGATAACAAGTCTCTTGGCAGTTTCCGTCTAGATGGTATTCCACCAGCACCACGTGGAGTTCCTCAAATCGAAGTCAAATTTGACATTGACGCCAACGGTATTCTATCAGTCAGTGCTAGTGACAAAGGCACCGGAAAGAAACAAGATATCACCATTACTGGTGCCAGTACATTGCCCAAGGATGAGGTGCGTACACTTTTGTAGACGGTTTTGTCATTGCCATTTTCTACTGATTATGCAAAATGGCAGCCATATCTTATGTTATTCGGAGGCATTTTCTTCTATCGTTGTTGCAATAGCTTAAAGTGGGAGTAGCTATGTTCATGATCATAGGGCCTTTGTTAGGAGTGGTTCGTTTTCGTTATTTCATGGTAACAATGTGGATGTTAATGATCGTTGCAGGTAGAGCAAATGGTCCAAGAAGCTGAAAGGTTTGCGAAAGATGACAAGGAGAAGAGAGACGCAATTGACACAAAGAACCAGGCGGATTCAGTGGTGTACCAGACAGAGAAGCAACTCAAAGAACTGGGAGAGAAGATTCCAGGTGAAGTGAAAGAGAAGGTGGAGGCCAAGCTACAGGAGCTCAAGGACAAGATAGGAAGCGGATCAACTCAAGAGATCAAAGACACCATGGCTGCCCTGAACCAAGAAGTTATGCAGATTGGTCAGTCTCTGTACAACCAGCCCGGAGCTGGAGCAGGAGGTGCAGGTGCAGGTCCTTCCCCTGGAGGTGAAGGTGGTCCATCAGCAGATTCGTCGTCGGATAAAGGTGGAGATGATGTGATCGATGCTGACTTCACAGACAGCAAATGAGGAAACAAGCTAGGACGAGTATGAATTGAATTTCTTACATGCGATGCAGTGGGTGTGTTAAATACACATGATTTTGTAGGTTGGATAATATGTGGGTTGAGACACACATAAATTAAGCAATGCTTGTGGAGATGATTTATTTGAGGTAATGTTGGTTACAGAGGATGTTTTATACATAATAATTTGTTCCAGCCTTCTCTGTCCCACGATAGTTATCCAGTCAAAAGAACACAGTAAAATTTTAATTATCATACAGGGAAAAGAAAGTAAAAAGATAGATAGCAATCAGTTGAGACCAAGAATTTTAAGAACCTCTTGCTGTCCTGATGAGACCAAGAACTTAAGCGACAAGAAGCTCGAATCCTGTTGATCTCTTACTTCCTTGACGGTTACGCTACCAAGTCACTGCAATACCTTTTGCTTCTCTCGTGCTTCCTTCACCAATATTATTCCTGCTAAGCTCGGAAATGGCTTCATCCGCCGCCCAGATTCAAGTCCTCTGCGGAAATGGAATCGTCACTTGTTCCTCCAAGAGGAATCTCAATGCCAAAGGTAGATTCATGCCAAGAAGCGCCTTCTCCGTCACAAGAAATGCCCCAAATTCTGCCTTAATGAGAAAGAATAACGAGAAGGTCGTCGGAATCGATTTAGGTACGACTAACTCCGCCGTGGCTGCAATGGAAGGAGGCAAGCCTACGATTGTGAAGAACGCTGAGGGCCAGAGAACGACTCCGTCTGTGGTGGCCTTCACGAAGAACGGTGAGCGGCTTGTGGGGGTAGTTGCAAAGCGGCAAGCCGTTATTAATCCGGAGAACACTTTCTTCTCGGTGAAGAGGTTTCTCGGTAGAACGATGGAGGAGGTAGCCGAGGAGTCTAAGCAGGTTTCCTATAGAGTTGTTGAGGATAAGAACGGAAATGTCAAGCTGGAGTGTCCTGCCATTGGCAAACAATTTGCTGCTGAGGAGATCTCAGCTCAGGTTATTGTAGTTTATTTATTCACTCACTTCTCTTCTTGTGGATGGTCTGGCTCTTATGTGGTTGTGTTTGGTGTAGATCTTGAGGAAACTCGTTGATGATGCCTCAAGATTCTTGAGCGTTAATGTAACCAAGGCAGTCATCACTGTGCCTGCTTACTTCAACGACTCGCAGAGGACAGCTACAAAAGATGCTGGTCGCATTGCTGGTTTGGAAGTTCTTCGTATTATCAATGAGCCCACAGCTGCTTCATTGGCTTATGGGCTTGAGAGAAAAAGCAATGAAACGATTCTAGTCTTTGATCTTGGTGGTGGTACCTTTGATGTCTCTGGTACTTGACTTTAAACTTTTGCTCAAATGCTCCATATATGATATGTCTTCCTGAGACTATATTTCTTTACAAGGCTTGTATCGTCTCTTTGATGTATTAGCACCAATGCACCGTCTAAATGTATTTGTTCTGTGTCTTATTATGCAGTGCTTGAAGTTGGCAATGGTGTGTTTGAAGTGCTTGCTACTTCTGGTGACACACATTTGGGTGGTGATGATTTTGACAAGGTGCGTTTAGTGCGCACATTATTGACCTTTGAAGTCCTTACTCCTTAATTAATAAAGAAGTTTGAATCTGTTTACTCTTTGCTTATGTGGTTTACTTGATGGACTCGAGTTTTACAATGCAGAAAGTTGTTGCATGGCTTGCTTCAAAATTCAAGAAAGAAAATAAAGGCATTGATCTTCTAAAAGACAAGCAAGCACTCCAGAGATTAATAGAGGCAGCAGAGAAAGCTAAAATTGAGCTCTCCTCGCTGTCGCAGACAAATATTAGGTACATTAATTAGTTTTCTCCCTCAAGTTTTTGACTTGGTATATATTTGGATACTGATCGATATGTATTATGTTCTCAGCTTGCCATTTATCACGGCCACAGCTGATGGACCTAAACACATCGAAACATCTCTCACGCGTGCAAAGTTTGAAGAATTGTGCTCAGATTTACTTGACAGGTGATTCTTAGTAGCCCTAAAATGTAAACATGGAGGCTTAAGCTTCTTACGCAAGTATCTATCTTTATAGGTGTAAGACTCCCGTTGAGAATTCACTGAGGGATGCGAAGCTCAGGTTTAAAGATATTGATGAAGTGATCCTTGTTGGTGGATCCACACGTATTCCTGCTGTTCAGGAAGTTGTGAGGAAGCTGACTGGTAAAAAACCTAACGTCACAGTAAATCCTGATGAGGTTGTAGCTTTAGGTGCTGCTGTCCAGGTGTGCTCTCTCGTCAACTTTAGGCATGTTCTTGATAATTTTCTGTCAAAGAAATTCTCATAAAGTGCCAATTCTTGATTTGATTCAAGGCTGGTGTTTTGGGAGGAGATGTGAGTGGCATTGTGCTTCTTGATGTGACACCACTTTCGCTTGGCACGGACAAAATTGGTGGTCTTATGGTTAAGATTATTCCAAGGAACTCTACACTGCCTGCTCGTAAATCAAAATCTTTTACCACTGTTGAGGATGGACAGACAAGTGTTACGATTAAGGTGCTGCAAGGTGAGAGGGAGTTGGTTAGAGACAACAAGTCTCTTGGCCGCTTCATTCTAGATGGTATCTCACCAGCACCACGTGGAGTTCCAAGCATCCAGGTCACATTTCACATTGATGCCAATGGGATTCTATCTGTCACTGCTCTTGACAAAGCCACTGGTAACAAACAAGACATCACTATTACTGGTGCCAGTATATTGCCCAAAGATGAGGTGAGTCACATCTTTATCTTTATATTATTAATTGAGAAGTACATTCTAATGTTTGGATACAAGAATTAGAGAAACATCTATTTGGATAGAAGAATAAATGGAAACAAAAGTTGTTTGGATATAAGAATAAGAGAAAAATCTATTTGGATAGAAGAATAAATGGAAAAAATTGTTTGGATACAAGAATAATAACTTAAAATAAACCGATGGTTTAGAAAACTTCCGTTTTCCATCTCTTAAAAATCTGCAAAAAAAAAACTTAACATAATCTAACGATAATTCCAAATCAATAGAATATGCTTTTTGGATTTTCGGGTTTTTATAGACAAGTTCGGGTTTGGGTGAAAATCTGAGACATAATTTTATAGAGATATAGAAATTGTTCGGGTTTCTTTGAAAATTTCTGTTCGGGTTAGGTTCAATTTTTTTTTCAGTTTAGGGTTTTCCGGATTTTTTAGATTTCTGGTTTTCGGGTTTAGATATATTAAAAAAATTGAGTATTTTAAAATTTTGATTAGGTATTGGGGTCGGGTTCCGGGTGAAAAAGTTTCCAGATTTTTTTTGTTCAGTCAGGGTTTTCGGGATTTTTTTGATTTCGGATTTTCATGTTTAGACCTATTAAAAAAGTTTGGGTTTTTAAATTTTTTGATTAGGGTTTTTTGTCGGGTTCGGATTTAGGGTTTAAATTTTCTACACAAAACAACAACGTCACACCGCACAAACGTGCGGGTACTCTACTAGTTATTATATTATTAATTGAGAAGTACATTCTAATGTTTGGATACAAGAATAAGAGAATCACCTATCCAAAAGAATAAATGGAAAAAAAGTTGTTTGGATATAAGAATAAGAGAATAATCTATTTGGATAGAAGAATAAATGGAAAAAATTGTTTGGATACAAAAATAATAACTTAAAATAAACCGATGGTTTAGACACCTCTTAAAAAATTGGCAAAAAAGAAAAATTAACATAATCTATCGATAATACCAAATTCGAATGATATTTGCAAAACTGTGGATTTCGAATTTAGAAATTTTGAAAATATCATAAATTTTTGAGTCGGGCTCAGATTTTGAATTTAGATTTTATTCACAAAACCGCAACGTCACACCGCGCGTTTGCGCGGGTCCTCTACTAGTTTTTTACAAAACAAAACCATATTGCCTTTGATGAATTACTTTATTTACTTTTATTTTACTGATTATGAAAATGGTTGCTATATCTTACTAATTACTATGGCTGATGCAATTGCTTAGTTTGGGAGTTGTTATCTCCATGATGATCATATAGGGACTTTGTAGAAAGAATGGTTACTTTTCAGTAGCTAATACATATATGTGTTCATATGGTAACAAGTGTGAATGAACGAACGTTACAGGTAGACCAAATGGTCAAAGAAGCAGAAAGGTTTGCCAAGGATGACAAGGAGATGAGAGAGGCAATTGACAATAAGAATAAGGCGGATGGGGTTGTGTATCAGACGGAAAAGCAACTTAGAGAATTTGGAGAGAAGATTTCAGGTGAAGTGAAAGAGAAGGTGGAGGCTAAGGTGCAAAAGCTGAAAGTCAAGATACAAACCGGATCGACCCAAGAAATCAAGGACGCCATGGCAGCTCTTGAAGAAGAAGTGATGCAGATGGGTCAGTATGTGTACAATTAGCTTGGAGTTGATAATCTACATGTACACATACTAAAACACATATAAGTTGAAGTAATTTGTTACTTCGTGATGCAATTTTTTTTTCAGTATGTGTACAATTCGTTTCTTCTTAATTCCCCATATAGACTGGTTCTAGCGCTGAGGTTAGTGCATCGGTGAGGCTGAGAGTAATTAAATCACTAATCTGTAATGTAAAACTTATTATATCTGTAAAGCAGATCACCTATATTACATAATACAACATTAAAAACTTCACAATATTAGTTCAACCAAAATGTTCTCATGATAGTAATGATAGGGCACCAAATCACCTCGATCTTTCAATATGAGATCGTCCATAACCTTGTAGACTTGGGGGAATCAAATAACTTTGATCATTCCCACATTTTATTATCATAAGTAAAGACTTGGGAATCAAAATAAAATCTTGAGCTATTCGATAAAATCTTTATCAAAATGTGGTAACTTTGTAAATATGTTTTCTAAATCGTAAATGAAGTATGAAAATCTGAAAAATACAAAGTATGGATTTTTTATTGCTGCTGGTGCTGAGGTTAGGGCATCTACAAGAATAATGAAAATTGAGTGTGCTCCCAAATTTTTTATTTTAACACTAATTGACAAATCTAATACACACATTTTCTTACTTTAGTTCAACCAAATTTACCATAGTATATCCAAAAGTTAAAAAGATCCATATGTGTATTTTTATTTGGATTTGGAATTCAAACCAAACCTTGAGCTATATAGGTCATCCATATAAAAAAATCACATTATTCTACATGTTTTTTCCCTTAAATCCTAAATACTTGTATACAAAACTAATAAACATGCTCAATAGTTTAAGTTTTTCTCCATTTCCCATGCAACTTCGTAAAATTGTCACATCTCACCTTTTAGTAGATCTCTCTTTGATTTCGAGCAAGAGAATATTTTGATTGTTGTTTTGTTTGTCACCCATCATTGTTATGGCTGCTTTTTGACTAAAATTCCTTTTCCTTTATTAAAAAAAAACAATTAAAAAAACCACAGCGAAGCATGTAAATAATGTAACAGCCTGTTGTTATACGATTCATAAAATATAAAAATAAGAAAATAGAACAAGGAAGAAGAGTAAAGAGAGAAGACAAGAAAATCAATGGCCACACACAATTCCCTATCCTTTGACCAACAGTTGACTTTTCTTCCTCTTTAACACAAAAACCAAAAACACTTTTGTATTCTTTCTCAATTCTCACCTGTTACTATCCCACCTTCTCACTAATTAGTTTTTTCTTAATCACATTTTGATTAAGCTTTGTTTTTAGTTTTTTTTTTACATAATCAAACCTAATTTACCGCTCCTCAAATTGAGGGGTTTCTTCCTCCTTCCTCCCCTCGATCGACCTCCAAACCTCTGCAATCCTACTCCATCTCGATTGAAGGATTCTTCTCAGCATTCGTTTAGATCTTGGGTTTGTTTGAGCTTCGGATTCTCGTCAAGTCATATGCTTGAAAACGTACTTGAGCTGCAGCTTCTTCTTCTTCTTCACTGTATGAATTTGTCCTCTTCTTCTTCTTTTAAAGGTCTAAGATTTTCAAGTCCTACAATTTAATTTTGCGCGTCTGCCTGAATGATTTTCGAGTCATTTGGACTTGGTCGTTTGTCTAAGCTTGATGATACCTAATTGGTCAGATTTGATGGGTCTCTGTTTGACAATAAATAGAATGTTTTCAAACTTTTATCAACATTTTTCTTTAGAGCTTTGATTGTGTTTGTCTGCTCATTCTGGAAATTAATCATCTTTCTTTGATTTTGTGTGTTTGTTTTGTTTGGATTAAAGAAGCTTTTGCACAGTGAAGCATCATCATGGCACTTAGGCTACCAGCTTCTAAAGCAGCTGAAGTAGCGATAGGATCAATTGGCTGCGGTTATGATTTAGCTATTGATATACGGTTGAAGTATTGCAAAGGAGGCTCTAAAAATTCACGTTTGCTTGACATCAAAGACGGTGATGACAGTTGCGAGATCGTTTTGCCTGGTGGTATCTCAATTCCTAATGTTTCAAAGTCTATCAAATGCGATAAAGGCGAGCGCATGCGGTTTAGGTCTGATGTTCTTCCTTTCCAACAGGTAAAAGAAAGTTTCTTTTTTTTTGTATTGTACAATCAAAAGTCGGTCCATCAAGTATTGGTTCTTGCTGTTGTAGGTTTTGAAGTAGATAAGAGAGCTATATGCTGAAACCTTTAGTTAGTTTCCTTGTACATTGCTCCTCTTAGCAATGCTCTAGAGAAAGAATTTGCTATATAGCGTTGTGGATGCTTAGTTGTTTATGTATTTGATTTTCTTTTCTTGTGGTTTCTCTAGATGGCAGAGCAGTTCAATCAAGAACTATCTTTGGCTGGTAAAATACCGTCAGGTCTCTTCAACGCGATGTTTGAGTTCTCGAGCTGTTGGCAGAAAGATGCTGCGTATACCAAAAACCTTGCCTTTGATGGGATATTCATCTCCTTGTACACGGTTGCTTTGGACAAATCTCAAATGTTACTCCGTGACCATGTAAAGCAGGCTGTCCCATCAACTTGGGACCCTGCTGCTTTGGCAAGGTGATGTGCCGTTTTCATATTAAAGATTTTATAATTCATGGTTGTATATATGTAAATCCAATGGAAAGTTACTTTCATCTCCACTTCTTCTGTGAAATATTTTGATAGTTTGGCAATAAAATGGCAAGAATCTATATTTAGATAGATAGAATTTTGGTTCCGCAACCATTTATGTAATTCTTACTTGTTACTGGCATTGTTTCATTAGTAACAATGCTTTATTATTCTGAGGGCATGGATTTGTAACTAACACTTAGTGGGATGTTTCTTTACCAGGTTTATAGAACTTTATGGGACACATATAATAGTTGGTGTTAAGATGGGAGGGAAGGATGTGGTTTATGCGAAACAGCAACACTCGTCGAAACTTCCTCTTGATGATCTGCAGAAAAGGTTAAAAGAGGTGGCAGATAAGAGGTTTGTGGAAGCTAGCGGAGCGCAGAATATGGCTTCAGATAGAATACATCCAAGTAATAAGGTCTGTGACACAGTTTCTGATGTTTTTTGGTTCCCCATCATCTATACTTTCTTATTTGACGTCTGTAATTCATGTCTTTTATCTCTTGTTGCAGGTGGAAACAAAGGAGCAACGCCTGAGATTTGCAGATACCACTTCGTTGGGGTCTTATGCAAATAAAGAGGTGATTACTATTGGTACCAATGTACCATAGTCGATCTTAAAAGACATTTATCATGTGCGTTTGCTTCTTTTCTCATGAGTTACATGTATTTGCAGGACGTTGTCTTTATGGGCAAAAGGCGAGGTGGAAATGATAATAGAAATCTAATGCATAATGAATGGCTGCAAACAGTTCAGATGGAGCCTGATGTTATCTCAATGTCCTTTATTCCAATCACATCTTTGCTTAATGGAGTTCCAGGAAGTGGATTCTTGAGCCACGCCATAAATCTGTATCTAAGATGTAAGCCTACCTATCGTTCTCGCTGTGTCCATTTTTATTCTTTATTCAGTTATCCTTCATAGTAGTTTCTTTTACGTTTGGACTAGAAGTTTGAAATAGGTAAGGTTGAAAATAGGTGCAGTAGTTTATAGTTCTCGTGCTTTTATAGGTCCAAGATATTGATAATTCTGCCACTTGTTATGGTTTGGAAAAACTGAAAGATTCAAGAAAAGAAAAGCCTCTTGTTTAACCAACATAATTTGAGTTTTGTTATTTTTTTGTAGATAAGCCACCAATTGAAGAGCTACATCAGTTTTTAGAGTTTCAGCTACCAAGGCAATGGGCTCCAGTGTTTAGTGAACTTCCTCTTGGTCCACAACGGAAGCAACAAAGTTGTGCGTCTCTGCAATTCAATTTCTTCGGACCTAAGCTTTATGTGAATACAACTCCGGTATGAATTTTCTTCATCCCTAAATATATAGCTTGTTAGGATTGGTCATGTACCATTCTGCAGGCAGTTTGGTTCAGATTTTGTTTGGTCCTCAAGTCTTGAGATGTTTGTTTCCCGTTTATCTGGTTTCAGGTCGATGTTGGTAAGAGGCCAGTCACTGGCTTACGTCTCTACCTAGAAGGTAGAAGAAGCAACCGTCTGGCAATTCATCTGCAACACCTTTCCTCTCTTCCCAAAATATTCCAGCTCGAAGATGATCCAAACAAAACTATGCGACCAGAGTCCCACGATCGTCGATACTATGAGAAAGTAAACTGGAAGAACTACTCTCACGTCTGCACAGCACCCGTGGAATCAGAAGATGAGCTCTCGGTAGTAACAGGCGCGCAGCTACATGTAGAGAGCCACGGATTCAAGAACGTGCTCTTCTTGCGCCTCTGTTTCTCCAAAGTCATAGGAACCACACTCGTAAAGAACTCTGAATGGGACGAAGCGGTTGGCTTCGCTCCAAAGTCAGGACTCATCTCAACGCTGATAAGCCATCACTTCACCGCAGCGCAAAAGCCACCACCACGACCGGCGGATGTTAACATAAACTCTGCTATCTACCCTGGTGGACCACCAGTGCCAGTGCAAGCTCCCAAGCTTCTGAAATTTGTGGATACGAGCGAGATGACAAGAGGACCGCAAGAATCACCGGGGTATTGGGTTGTGTCCGGTGCAAGATTGTTGGTGGAGAAAGGCAAAATCTCACTGAAGGTGAAGTATTCCTTATTGACTGCCATAGTTGAAGATGAAGTGACAGAGGAACCCTATGAAGGTTGAGAGAGATGGTGTCTTGTTTGTTTGTGTGCGTATGTGTGTGTACATTCTTCAGCCTGTAATGTAATGTAACGATGTGTGACTATGTGGGTGTGATAGGAATGCATGTCTTGTTCATTTCCTATCTTTGGACGAAAGATTTTTGCTCGGATGAAAAAAGAAAGTTGCTCACTGTACTAATAACTTTATATTCCACTTGAAATCTAATATACATGAGTGGTTGGCTTTATGGTTTATGGATCATTTACTGCATAATGGACACAACCATATTTTAAGTTTTGTTTATGATAATAATAGTTAAAGACTTTGTGACTAAATTTTTCATAATGAGAGTCAAAGTAAGGTTAATACAACTTGCACGCAAATATTGGCGATGAAGTGTTGGGCATATTTTTATTTACAAGTTGTGAGGGACAAGAAAGAAAGAGAGTAATAATCAAACTTTTGGAAGTCTAATTAAGACAGAGAACTAAGAATGAGTCTAACGAGACTTTTGATCACGTCAACAACACTTAATAATCTCACGTTCTATTTAACTTCATTATTCCGTATCATTTCTTTCTCAACGCAAAAGAAAGAGAAAAATGTCAACTTCTTCTTCCCTGACGCAGAGAATCCCGATTAGTTCGCAGCCGAATGGAGCCGAGCAAGAGCAGTCGGAGTCTCTTCCTCCTCCACAGCTAAAGAGACAATACTCGAGATCTCAACATGCCGTGTCACAGACAATGACGTCAGCTGCAAACTTGGCTAATCTTCTTCCGACCGGAACGCTCTTAGCTTTCCAGCTCTTAATGCCGGTCTTCACGTCAAACGGCTCGTGCGATTACCCGACGCGCGTTTTAACCGCGATTCTACTAACGCTTCTCTCCATCTCTTGCTTCCTCAGCTCATTTACAGACAGCGTCAAGGCTGAAGACGGTAACGTGTACTACGGGTTTGCTACTCTCAAGGGTATGTGGGTTTTTGACTACCCTGACCCGTCCGGTTCGGGTTTGCCCGACCTCAGTAAATACCGGCTTCGGATCGTGGACTGGATCCACGGGGTTTTGTCTGTGCTTGTGTTCGTTGCGGTGGCTCTGAGGGACAAGAACGCCGTGACCTGTTTTTACCCGGCGCCGGAGCAAGGAACCAAGAAGGTTTTGGATATTGTTCCGATGGGTGTTGGGGTTATTTGCGGCTTGTTGTTCATTGTTTTCCCGGCGAGAAGACACGGTGTCGGATATCCGGTCACCGGAAACGGAGACGGACGTCGCAGTTAGATTCGTTATTTATTTATCTCCTAATGCCTTAATAAACAATTGTTTCGCTCCTTTTTTAAACTAAAAAGTTTGGTTGACAAATTCATTTATGTGATCATTTCGTGTTAGAATCATTTATGTGTATTCCTTCTTCTCATCTACTTCCTGTTTTGATAAATGGTTTTATACAAAGCTTGTGAAGATGGTGAAATTAATTTACGCAAGCAAACTTATAATACACTCAAGTCCGATATAACAAATATCGATAATTAGCTCTCGTCACTGAGTGCATTCAATTTCACCATCTTCACAAGCTTTGATTGCTCTCTTTCGTTGCTTGCTTCTCTCAATCCCATGAACATAGTCTCGTTTCTTTCCCCTCCCCGATTTGCTCATAAGATAAACGTACCTATGTCTCATCCCCATCAGCGGATGCCTCTCAAGCAAGAACTGTTTATGATAACCTTCCCTCAGGACAACAGTCTGAGTCCGAATCTTGTGTGACATGTAAAATATTCCCGGATGGTGCACCAAAGCCTTCTTAAACCTCATCCCAAACCCCAAATACTCTCCCAAGCAAAGCACATTGTCTGTCTCGGTCTTCTTCGACACTAAGAGACACAGAAGCTCGTGAAGCACCGCGACAGTCCACTTCTCAGCCTGATCGCTACTCGACCCCAAGTGAAATGCGTTTTCGTAAGGTGAGATGTAAGGAAGGTTTTGCCATTGCTCCACCCAATTCTTCACCCTTTTCTCCAAAGCGTAACCTTTGGGGAAATTCATCGAATACCTTATGCGCAACCCTTTAATCAAAGACCCGTTAGTGTAAGCTTCTCTTCTCTCCATTTCCGACACGGCGAGGTTGTTCCGCGGCGAGGAAAGCGTCAAAGCAAGCGTCTTTTCACCGGTCAACCGATCGTTGATCTCCGTTACTTCAAAGTAATCCGGGTAATCGCTGATTAGCGAGGTGATGTAATCGTGAGGGAGACCGAGATCGAACCTGAAACGATCGACGACATTCAAAGGGAGACTTCGTGCTCCTGTTAGCAACAAGAATTTCGTCAACCGTTGGACGGTGACGTTGCGGTGAGGCGGCGAGAGATGAGTCGTCTCTTCTTCTTTGTGGAGGGTGAGAGCTTCCGGAGTGAGCCGAACGTGGAGTGGATGAGAAGGGGAAGGCTGAAAAGTGGTGAACACAGAAGAGTATTTCTGGCAAAAGTTTGCGACGGTTATGGGGAGATCGACGAGAGGCTTGAGGAGTGAGAGGGAAGAGAGAGGGAGTGATTTCGACGGAGACGATACGATTCGATCCTTGAGAGAGAGAAGCTGCTTGAGGTTTTTCTCTCGCTGAACAGCTTCGTCGAGGTACGGATCACCGACCCATTTGACTCTGGCGTTAACGAAGGTGCGTCTTTGTTGCAGACTTCTCCCCAGCTTGGTGGCTGCAGCTGCCATTAGAGCTCAGTGCAAAGTTCTGTAATTTTTCGCCAGGAGAGTATATAAGTAGGAACAAAGTTTTGACTTTTGACTTTGCATTAACGAAAGTGACGTTTTTGTGAACACGAAAGGCCTATAACTTCAAAGCTCCAATTATAATTCAAAGAGGTCTCAGAGAGTTGCCACTATAAAGTAATTCGTAATCGTAAATTAACTGCAAGTAGAGAGATTCATGAAAGTAAGAAAAAGATCTAATCGAAAGGACTAACAATGGAGTAGGAAGAAATAAGCTATTCCAATGGCAAACAAGAGACTCTGTGACCTTAGAGAGATGTCTCTATGTGGCTTGAGTGTTCGTTCTAATGACCACGGCTCATCTTAACTTTTGGCATTGATTTTTTCATCTGGCGTGCACGTTCTTTCGCCTCTTTCTTCCTTAGAGCCTCGGCGCTAAGCTTTGCCTCCGCTTCCTCCAATATTTTCTTCTTTTCGGCTTTCTTTCTCTGCAATGCCTCTTGCCTCACGTTCTGAAGTTCCTTGTACGCTTCCTGAGCTGCCTTCTGCCTAGCACCATCAGTTTTGTTCCTTGCCTGCACACAGAATTTTAATATTATTATTCAACCTGTCACACAAATAGAGGTAAAAACGGCGAGTGATAATAAGTTTGACCCTATACCTGGGGGCTGAGCTTGTAGCGTCCGATTAAGTCAATGTAATACGGAATTAGCGCTACCAACCGAACCATATCATCCATGTGTTTAGTTTCTGGGATGGCAAACTTGAAAAGCAGCATCTTCCTGTGTTTGCCTGGATGTTGGTCTGAGAAATGCATTGAGATGAAATACTTCCCAAACTTTTCGAATGACTTGTCGCCAAAAACCTACAGAGCCGCAAATTGCATCATTGAGGTCTGATTAGTATAACAGATGAATTTTAGGAGATTCAAAAACCACACATCAATAAGCAAAGATCAACAGTCTAAGTTCAATAAACTTCAGATCCATTTTCCACATCAACAGTACATATGCAAAGCAACTGTGTCACTACTGAGTTGACATATAAAATTGGGATATATATTCCAAATATACGACAATGAAACACTAGCCAAACCAGAGCAACAGCATTGATTCACACCACAAAAAGAAGCTGGTATGGTTCTTAGCACAGGGAACTTGCCAGCTACACTTACAAACTAACTATCACAGCAATTCTTACTCTGATCAAGCACGTCCCTTTGGTGTAAAAATAGCTCATTTCTCTTATTCAAAATGATTATAGAAAATCTATGTCTGGTTAATATAGAGAAATGGAGTAAACTAAGCTAAACTGCTATCATTCTCAAATTGTCAAACAACGAGAGAAGCCAAGAGTTTTAGCATCTGACCTGATCAAGTGCAATCTCTGTGATCATATCCCCAGCTACCTCCTTAGACTCAGAAACCACAGATAACTCCTCCGATACCCACTTCCTCCCGCCGGGATTAGGCACTATCCCTCCGAATCTCTGCAGATCCCTCAGCTCCTTCTGCATCGCTTTCGCCGCCTTCTTCCTCGCCATCGCGAACACGATGTGATCCATGGCCTCATCGTTCATATACACCTCGAAACTGATCTCATCTTTACAAGGTACCACCGCGTTGAACAGCCTCGAGATCAGATCGTGTCTGCTCTTGAGCTCCATCGTCGCCAGCAATCCATGGCAGTACCTACGCCCGCTAGCGTAGAACTTGAACACGTTCGTCGCTTCTTTCAGCAACAACGGCGAGTCCTCTCCTTCACCAACTCCCACCAAACTGAAGTTTTTCCCGAATATCGTATCCGGGAGACCGAATTTCGAGGCCCAGGCCAAGGCCATGTTCTCGTTCTCGCGTTTTCCGGTGAAGTAGTTGATCGCGTAAGCAATCAGGATAGAGACGCAGACGATCTCCACAGTGTACGACTGCTTCTTCTTCGGAATGCTACTGTCTGGATTCTCCGAAGCAGACTCCGGATCTGGCGTCTGTGGATCGGCAGGTGAGGCCTTATCGGAAACAACCGGAGAATCCGCCGGTTTTTCCTCCACGGGCAATCCCTCGAACTCGTCCTCATCCCAGAAATCGAACGAGATGGAGGAGGAAGGTTTCCGGGAACCAGTCTGAGCCGGAGGGTCCGATTCGGAAATCGGAGTGGAATCGGATTCGGGGGATGGTTCCAGATCCAGAACCGTTGACTCAGACTGAGTCACAAGTGGTGGACGGAGCGAGTGGTGAAGATCAGTGGATTCCTCCTCCAAGAGCTCGTCGTCTTCAGCATCGAAACCTTCGAAGTGGGAAGATGCGAGAACACGGTGATGGAAGAAGAGGAGAGCGATCAGAGCGACGGAGAGGAGAAGAAAGGGACGATTCATTGTGGGATCCGGAGAGGACTCAGCTCCGAAGAAGAGTTAAAATTAGCTGGAAAGAGTTGAGTCGTGCTCGCCTACTTGTGCACCCAAAATGTATATACCAGATCTTTATTTCTTACCCAGAAAAATCAAAAGATTTATCGAAATAATTTATGGAATTTATTAAGCGAGAAAAAAAAACTAAAAATAAAAATTTGAGAATATTAGCTCAGATGTTAAAACTTCAAAGCTTAATCCAAGAATTTACCGCGGGATCTACGGTGATCTAATTTTTACAACAAATCAAAGGTTTATAAAAGAAAACAAATCAAAGGTTTATAAAAGAAATATCAGTTATCAGTTTAAAACAAATAAATAGAGGTGGATAAGTTCAAAACATAAACAAAGGCAATACAAATGCTTAACGGAGGCAAAATGTCAATGGGCTACAAAATGAGGCCATGATTAGGAAAGAGATACAAGTTACATCATGGAATGCAAAATGATTAACAATTGAGTTAGCTGGAGAATCTACTATAGTTATAGTGAATATAGTACCACAACTCGCTCTTTTGAACTTGATCATCAATTAAATCATAAAGCCATGAATATAGTACCACAACTCTAGTCTCTAAGTTAAGATCTCTACTCACTAAACATAACAGAAATGGCAATAGAAAGTGTAGAGTAGCTTAAACAACTATAAAAGTAATTTATACAATGGACAAATAAAGGAATCTCTGTGTGGAAAAGATTTCCATCTCACACATATATGCAATGATCTTTTAAAAAGTTTTTCAAAGGTTCTGATTGTAACATGTTCAAGAAGGGCGGAGCTAGAAAAAATATATAACAGGGTCAAAATTTGGAAACTCATAATTAGTAGGGGTCAAAACCATTAAAAACTAACCAAATCAATCTATATTATATTTATATGTCTAAAGTCAACAAAATTTAAGAATTAGTGGGGGTCATTTGACCACCTTACTTCTTTACTGCATCCCCCCTTGTTCAAGTACTTCAATACTATCGAACAAGTGCACAGTGAGAATAGATCGATAGCATATAGGCTGTCCACTCCACAAAGACCACAAAAGTTGCATACTGGAATTCGGTAAATGGAACTAAATAACGGTAGACCATTTGGACTTTTCTTGCTTTTAATTAAACTTTATCTAAACCTAAGAAATATATAAACAAGGTAACTGAACTCGAGCATGCATGAGTAATCAAGAAAATAAAAGAAAAATGTATTTTTTTGTTACCTAAGCGAAAATAAAACCACCTTTGTTTGTATTTCATGATCTATAGGTTTTTGTAGAGCATGAATCACTAAAATAATTATATTAATTTCTGCAATTTGTTTCGCAAGTACTAAGTAGTACTACTATTTTCAAAATGAGCAGGGAATGATGTATTTTGTGAGTTATACCTGCTTAATTTACAATGTTTTTGCAAATCCTCTACATTTTATTGGTCCCTGTTTTCATTGTTAGTTCACATCGTATAACTTCAATATTAAAAAATTGAAACGCGTAACTGTCCCGAATATATAAAGATTACTAGTTCATTAAAATAATAATAACGAAACGAGAATCACGTGGAAAGAAGACTATGATTTGAGTTTCTGCTCATGCTAGGCTTGTAGAGGTTGGACTTGGAAATGGATGCTATTACTATAAATGCGTAGACATGAGCTGGGACTTTGGATATCAAACCCACCAATCAAATTATTCAAATGGCTTCCCTGGACCACATTCTTTGTCTTCTTCCTCTGCTCTTCACCATCATCATTTCTTCCTTACACGTTTTGCATGCTTCAGCCACAACTTCACAGAAATGGAAATCCGCCATTACCATCAGAAAAGTCAACCGTAGAGGACCTTACATCGGTCTCGTGACGGTCTTTGAGACCGAAGAGGTTGCTTTTCTTGGCAGTGTCGATTTCAGACCCGATCCTACTCATCCCTTCCTTGATCTCTCTGGTATCTACCAAGTTTATTACCATTTAATCGATTTACTATGTTGAGAGAGTCTTTTGTTTCGTATATATATATATATATATATATATATATATATATATATATATATATATATATGTAAGTAAGTCCCTTTGAGATGTAAATGTAAATATTTCATGAGTAAATGAATGCAGGAAGACGTTTTCGGATTGGGAAGATTCATGGAAAGAAGGTTTTGTATGTTAGATGCGGGATAGGAATGGTGAGTAACTACTACAACATATAACAAAACGAGATTATTAATATAGAAAAATGTAAATGTTAATAAGCAAACATGTGCAGGTCAACGCAGCAGCAGCAACACAACAAATGATAGATGTGTTCAATGTGAAAGGGATCATACATTTTGGAATAGCAGGAAATATAAACAACTCAATGTCCATTGGAGATGTGAGCATTCCTAAGCAAATCACGAATGCTGGCTTGTGGGACTGGCTGGTAATTATTAATTAATACTAGTTTGATATTGATATATATGAAATGAATTGCTTCTTCTTCGTATATATTGTGTGATGATTTGGTTATGTACGTGTAAAACAGAATCCAGAGAAAGAAAAGGGAGATGGGTATGCAGCGTACTTAGATGTCGGGAACTATAATGTTCCACAGGGAGATGGCAACAATATGTTAGGAAAGATTGGATACAGTTACGAGGAACTATATTCAGTCAATGGTCACATTAATTCACCTCAGAAAGTTTTCTGGATTAATACAACTCGAGAGTGGCTTCATCTTGCAGCTGATCTAGAGGTTGTTAAGAATGCTATATTGTATTAAATGTAAAAACCAAAAGAATGGTTCCCTTGTTAATCCACATGTAATTCATTTATGGGTGCAGAGGATGGAGCTTTTGCAGTGTGTGAATGCAACTTTGTGTCTTCCACAGAAACCAAAACTTGTCGTTGGATTAAAGGCAGCCACTGCAAACATATTTGTGGATAATGCAGCCTATAGAAACTTCTTATACGATACTTTTGGGGTTTCCTCCTCTGATATGGAGAGTTCCGCTGTGGCTATGGTAATTATTATTCAACGTCTATACATAACACTTTACACTCTTAATCACTAATCATTAATTTCCACTATTTTGTTTTTGTTCTGTTTTAAAATTCATCAGACGTGCGTGTCAAATGGGTATCCAGTAATTGTGATAAGGGGATTATCAGATATAGCTGGAGCTCAAACAGGAGATAATGCTGTTCGAAAGTTTGGATCTTTGGCTGCCACTAACACTGCGAAAGCTGTCTTGGAGTTCATTAAGAAGCTCCCACCGACGACCTACACTCCTAATTACTACGTTGATTGATCCTATTATTATGAATGTTTGACTCTGTGTTTTACTTTTCTTTTCTTTTTATCAAACACGTGTCCATTATTTCAGCAAATCATGAAAAAAACTTTTCATGTCCTTATATGCAATGATCTTAAACATAATAAAATGATCTCTTTTCTCTTATAAAGTCTTTCAAAAGTTCTGATTTTAACATGTTTTGTTAGTACTTGAATACTATCTCACAAGTGCTCCGTTAGAACTTAGAATGCGTAGTCGATAGCATATAGGCTGTTGACTCCATAAAGACCAAACGCTGCATATATACTTGAAATTGGCAAATAGAACTAACCTAACGCTGACTAGAATATCTGATTTTTTTTTTCCTTTTAGATTTTATAGCTAGGCATAAGAAAATAGACAAGGTAAATAAAGTTCAACATGCAAGAGTAATCAAGAAAAATAAAGTAAAAGACAACTTATAACCTAAGCGAAAATGAAAGCAATAAAATTACAAAAATGTAAACGGATTTATGATAAGGAAATGATGCAAGGTAGTTTATGAAACACAATCAAGGTGATGCAAAAAAATAGTTAATTAGGTTTTAAAGAGCTTGAATCACGTATGAGTATGCCTTAAAGTAATCACCTATATAACAATATTAAGCATAAAACAGTTGGATATAATTTTGGCAGTTTGTACATTAATTTCCTAACTATTTTTGAAAATGAGCAGTGTATGATGTTTTTCAATTTGATGGGTCATACATAAATTTGAAGTGTTTTTGGAAATCCCCTAAATGCTATTGGTCACTGTTTTGATAGTTTAAATCTTATAACATGTAGCCGTATATATATAAAGATTACATAGTTCTTTCTAAAAAAAAAACTAACGAAGCGAGAAACAGTGGAAAAAAGGACAGCATATTAGTTTGTGCTCATGCTAGTAGAATTGTCAAGATTGGACTTGGATGAGGTTACTATAAATGCGTAGACACGAGCAGAGAATTTGGACCTCAAACCCACCAATTGAATGGCTTCCCTGGACCACACTCTCTGTCTTCTTCCTCTGCTCTTCATCATCATCATCTCTTCCTTACACGTTTTGCCTGCCTCAGCCACACCTTCGCACAAACGAAAATCCGCCAGTACCATCAGAAAGGTCAACCGCAGAGGACCTTACATCGGTCTCGTGACGGTCATTGAGACCGAAGAAGATGCCTTTCTTCGCAGTGTCGATTTTAGACCAGATCCTACTCATCCTTTCTTGGATCTCTCTGGTATCTTTATTACCATCGATTTCTTTTCAGCTTTTCTATGTTGAGAGAGAGAGAGTCTTTTGTTCCGTATGAGTGGAAGTAAGTCCATTTGAGATGTTTATGTTAATAGTTCATGAGTGAATAAAATGAATGCAGGAAGACGTTTTCGGAATGGGAAGATTCATGGAAAGAAGGTTTTGTATGTCAGATGTGGGTTAGGAATGGTTAGTAACTTAAATATATATTAAAAAGAGAGATACTAACATACTGTACATATATATTCATGTTATTGTTTATACAAACAAGAATGTAAATGTTAGTAAGGGAAACATGTGCAGGTCAACGCAGCAGCAGCAACACAACAAATGATAGATGTGTTCAATGTGAAAGGGATCGTACATTTTGGTATTGCAGGAAATATAAACAACTCAATGTCCATTGGAGATGTTACCATTCCTAAGCAAATCACGCATGCTGGCTTGTTGGATTGGCTGGTAATTATAAAGGCAATTTTTTTATTTATTTTAAAGAATGTAAAGGGAATATACGAGTTTGGTATTATTGTTGTCTGATGACTTGCACTTCTGAGTAAAACAGAATCCAGAGAAAGGAAACAGAGATGAGTATGTAGCGTACTTAGATGTCGGGAACTATAATACTCCACAAGGAGATGGCAACAATATGTTAGGGAGTATTGGATACAATTACGAGAAACTATATTCAGTCACTGGTCAAACCAATTCACCTCAGAAAGTGTTTTGGATTAACACAACTCGAGAGTGGCTTCATCTTGCAGCTGATCTAGAGGTTGTTAAAAAATGCTTTATTGTGTCGGAAATTAAATTTATGTTAAAACAAAAGAAATGGTTTCATTGTTAATCTAATCCCATGTTCTCCATTTATGTTAGCAGAAGATGGAGCTGTTGCAGTGTGTGAATTCAAGTTTGTGTCTTCCACAGAAACCAAAACTTGTCGTTGGATTAAAGGCAGCCACTGCAAACATATTTGTGGATAATGCAGCCTACAGAAACTTCTTATTCGATACTTTTGGGGTTTCCTCCTCTGATATGGAGAGTTCTGCTGTAGCTATGGTAAAATTATTATTCATTACATACATTTTACACTCTTGAACATTACTTTTTACTGTAGTAATATATTTTGTCTGTTGTCCTGTTTGGAATTTAACAGACGTGCGTGTCAAATGGGTATCCAGTAATTGTGATAAGGGGATTATCAGATCTAGCTGGAGCTCAGACAGGAGACAATGCTGTTCGAAAGTTTGGATCTTTGGCTGCCATTAACACTGCCAAAGCTGTCTCGGAGTTCATTAAGAAGCTCCCACCGACGATCTAAACACCTAATTCCTACGTGGAACCAATTGTTATAAATGTTTGAATCTGTGTTTTCTTTCGATTTTTTTTTTTACCAAACAATATCCATTATTTCAGCTTCTTGCATGGAACACTTTAATCTCAGCCTTCAAAACATGCAAGACTCGCATTAGATAGTTCATATTAACAAACCCATCAACTCGATTAGAGGATCAGATCCAATGCCTTAATTTCGATCACATTAAAAGATTTTGACTGCAAATTCCAGAGATTGGGGTGATACAGATTTAAACTCAATTTTGCGACAGAGTGGTTTCAACAACTGTAACTAAAAGGATGTATATACCTTACAAGGAAGAAAAGTCAAGACTTGTTATAATTAGCGTTTGCCATTTCTCGTTGAACCATTGTCGTCATCAACTTCATCATCGTTATCAGAACTCTGGTTGTCATCGTCATCATCAGAGGGAGGAGAAGGATCGAGACGCGCGGCGTCTATAGCCCACTGGATCAGCTTCTCCACCTCAGCATCTTCTCCGATTTCATCACCATCCTCTCCGACTGCATCCGGATGAACAACTGACGGCGAAACAGAGGACGACGACGAGGAGGGGAGAGTACTCTTCAGAGCCGCGAATCTGAGCATGATATCGTCTGGAGTTTCTTCAACATCCTTTGATTTGGGCGGCGGAGATCTCGGCCGCGGTTTCTGTGGCTTCTGATCCTTCTTCTTCTGAGATCTGAGAGCGAGAAATCTGGAGTGGAGATCCGGATCGAGGTAATCGGGTTTGGAGCTAGAGGCATGAGAATTGACGGAGAGCTTGAGAATCATCTCGTCTTGAGCAGCTTGAAGCAACTGTTCAACTTCGTCGTCTTCCTTGCCTCTCCTCATCGGCATTCTCTTTTCACCCTTTCCGTCTCTACTACTCTGTCTTCTTCAATCAATTTTTGAACCGGATTGACTTATGATACTTGAAAATTCCGGTTTAATAAACCGGTTCGATTGTATTGACCGACGCCGGCCAAATTTTGCTGGCAACGATGTCGTTTCCCACGCGGGTACTCCGAATTTCCGTGAGATGAGACTCAATCTTGACCGTCCGTTAGAAAATTCTGGTCGTAACTAATGTTTTCCAGCCGTCGATTTTCCACCAACATTCGCCAACCAATCAGGTAGCCCAAAACCTGAATTTCTCAATCAAAATGAACTATTTCCCATGTGCGATGAATGATATAAAAGGTAAATTATATATGATCCAATGTGGACCACGATTACTACTCAAATAAGAGACTACACAGCTTATAAAGAAGGGGCAAGGCAAAGGGGACGAAACCAAATTAACAAAGAAATTGTTGAATTGTTTTGTGAGCAGAAATGGGAAGCGAAGGATCGATTGTGAGGAAGCCAAGGTTTCTGTGTCTCCATGGATTCCGTACGAGCGCAGAGATTATGAAGATACAGCTTCACAAATGGCCTCAATCTGTTATTGACCGACTCGATCTCGTCTTCCTCGACGCGCCTTTTCCTTGTCAAGGCAAATCCGATGTCGAAGGCATCTTCGATCCTCCTTATTACGAGTGGTTTCAGTTTAACAAGGTATTTTACTCTTATCATTATTGACGATGAAGATTCGTGATTCACGTTGGGATTTTTAAAATTCAGGAATTCACGGAGTATACGAATTTCGAGAAATGTTTGGAGTTCCTGGAGGATCGTATGATCGAGCTTGGTCCCTTTGATGGTCTCATTGGGTTTTCCCAGGTAACAATCTTCAATTGTTCTGCTTTTTACGCTCATAAAAACTCCAAATTTTATTTTTTGGTTCTGTTTGTAATTTTTGCAGGGAGCAATTTTGTCTGGGGGCTTACCAGGACTGCAAGCTAAGGTAACGTCGCTAATGTTGCTTTTGTTTGGAAATGTTTGATCATATTACTGATTATTATATTCAAAATTTTTGCAGGGAATTGCACTCCAGAAAGTGCCAAAGATTAAGTTTGTCATAATAATTGGAGGGGCTAAGTTCAAAGAAACCAAAGTGGCGGAGAATGCGTATTCGTCGTCCTTGGAAACTCTCTCCCTCCACTTTTTAGGTAAACTCATGATCCTTCAAATGCTTTTGCGATTCTTCAAAAAGCTCAACTGATGACTGAAACTGGAAAAATGGTTTGTTGCGTTGCAGGAGAGACAGATTTCTTGAAACCTTACGGGATTCAGCTGATAGACTCGTTCAAGAATCCAGTGGTCGTCCATCATCCCAAAGGCCATACCGTCCCGAGGCTTGATGAGAAAAGCTTGGTCAAAGTTAATGGTTTCATCGACACCATTGAACAACTCGTGACGGAGGAAGACAAGAACGGTGAAGCAAATACTTGTAAGCCTAAATAGATCAGCGTATACATTGTTATGCATAACGAATAATTCTTCGCGAAATGGCTGTAAATAGAATCTGGTACTGTTTGCGAAGAAACTATCCATTGTTACTACACAAAAGATAATAGACGTTTTCATTCTTTAATTCTTCCTTGGAGCTACCAAATCAAATGATAAAAAACAATCATGCAGTCTATCTTAATGAAGAACTTACAGTTACAAACACATTCCCTTAGTCACACCAAAGTTTTTCTTCATAAAATTGTTACAAACTTTGGAGCATCCTTCCTTGGACCATCAAGGGACCGATACATGTACAACGTCTCAACATAATCCGCATTGTCATCATCATCACCACCACCATCACCATCTGACTCAAATACTTCCACCACTACACTAGGCAGAGCATGAGCAACATCCCTGCAGCCTCCCCGGGATAAAGAACACGACGACATCCAAACAAACCGCATATTATGATACCTATCCATACCAGACCGCAATCCAACATCCCCAAACGGACTGTCCCTGATTTCAAGCTTTTGCAGCTTAGGACACCCCTCAAGAACATACCTAAGAGCCATGTCACTGTCTCCAGCAAAAGCCACAGACAACGTACGGATCAGTTTCCCATACTCTCCTATAAGGCTAAAAGCTTCGTCTGTCAGTAACCCCGACACTGCAAGCCGGGTTAGCTTCTTGCAGTTTTTAACAATGGCGCCAAACCCATCGTCCATTGGCTTCCCTGTCACGTGGTCAGGCCTATGTCGACCCATTATGCAAAGCCTAAACACTCTAAGCTGGGGACAGTTCTCAGACATGGCTGTCACAGCTCTATTAGTCATCCGCTGGCAAAAGTAGAGGATCGATTCCAGTTTCCTACACCCCACTGAGATCGCCTGGAGGCCTACGCCCGAGACAGGACCTTCACTGTCTTCACGAGCATCGTAAGGGAACACCCGAAGCTCACGAAGCTCCTTGCACGTTGCAGCCACTGCCTCTAGTCCTTCATCGCATATCGAGTCAAGAGCCTGCATTAAGATATGATCACAACACATGCAGCAATGTAGATGAAGAAGGATACAATACAATACAAAAACATACCCAGAAGACTCGGATATTGTGACAGTGGCGTATGAATGGCCTGAGCATGTCAGGGGAAATGTTAGCGTAACTGAAGTTAAGAGAGGTGAGATTAGCACAGACCGGAGAGATCGCCGGGAGGTACTCCGGGGTGAACTCCCTGAAGCCAGAGAGACAAACAATGGATTTGCAAGCACGGAACGCAGCTGCGTAATCCGGTTCTTGCTCACCCTGAAGCACGATATCGGGACTAAACGAGCCCGTCCCGAGGCTCGTCAACTGCGACGCCGCTCGAACCACTAATCGATGCAGCTCTTGAAGAGAGACGAACCTGTTGGTTCTAAGTCTCTTCAAGAACGGTGACCTAGCCACAACCCCTTCCAACGCGTTGAAATTGATGGGAGATTCAACACATTCGAATGATAAAGACTCCAGATTCGTTTCACCTTCAGGAAAACAAGAAATCCAATCCATTTCGTCGTCTGAGACCTCTGACTCTATCAGATCGAGTACTCTTAGCTTTCTGAAACAAATTCCAATTCTGATAAGAATCTCTCAAGAATGAATGAAAGAGAACAGATCTATGATGAAATTTACCTGCACTTGTTAGCAACAATGGCGATCCCGCTGGTCCCAAAACCTTCACAGCAGAGCAAAGTAAGCTCCTTGAAGACAGGAAACGACTCAGCGAGAAGCGCTAAATCGTCGTCAGTGACGAGCATCCGCTTCAAACTGACCTTCTCGAGCCAGGGGTAAGCTTTGGCTGTCGCGGAAACCCAAGGCGCGAATTGAGCTCCCCAATCGGGAGGGATGAGGTTGAAATCGGCGAACCTAGGTTTCCCTTTAAGCACCAGCGAGTTGACGCGCTTGAACCGGTGAGTGAGCCGGGAGGGGGAGAGCGAGTAGCAGTTGCCGATGAAGACCTCGAATCGGGTCTGGGCCTCGACGAGGTACCACGATCTGCATACTAGCGAGACGGCGTTGCGATCGAATCTGGAGGTGAGGAACTGAAGCACGTTCTCTAGGACGTTCTCGAGGACGTGGTCTGGAGGACACGGCGGTTGTGTTGCCGGATTAGAGGATTTGAAGCCCCGGGACTTGTTCGCCGGGGAAGAAGAGGAGGAAGGTGGATCTAGGTGCAGATATCGCTCTACATCCTCCGCCATTTCCGAGCGATCTTCTGTCATATAAGTAACTGATCAAAATCACTACTTTCTCTATGCAGCTATGCTCTTATCTTTCTTTCTTCATCATCCAAACTAGGATACAGATAAAGAACAGATATGGAAAAAAGGAGCTGGTTTTGGTTTTGGAGTTTGGACTCTCTCTCTCTCTTCACTTGACCTTCATTATTTGGGAGACTATTTCCCCATTTTAAGTAAAATAAAGTTTCTAATGGTTTTCTTGTAGCTTTGATTCAACAGTAATTAGTTTGATGAATGAAAAAGAGCAAACATGTTTCTATTTTAAAGCTTCGTCCTTTCTATTTTAAGCTGTGAGTCTGTGACAAGTGACATGTTTAGAGTTAAACTGATAATCATGTAAACTTGTCTGAACATAATTAGAAGAGTTTAATTGTTTTGTGCTTGTAAGGTTTGATAAAGTGTTAATTGGGTGGATGGTATAAGACCGTCACTATTCACACTCACTTTTTTTCCTTTTTGGGTATGAATGATTGTTTTCTTTTTATTTTCTGAGAAAGGGCGAGGTGTGAATGATTGTTTTAATGCATTTAGATGGAATTTAAAGCTTTTACAGATTAGACAAGAACATATCTCTATTGAGACTCAAGAGGGATTCTCTATGTCTTTGGTCGTTTATGTTCATCTTAAGATGAATTTAGCCTTTGTAATTGTGTGAGATCGGGAGGTCGAACTGTGTTCTTGAGATAAATCCAAACAGAAACACAAAATGATAGAAACAGAGACAACTTTATTTGCAATGGTTGATCTAAAGCGAGGAGCTGGGCTGAATTGGGCTTTGTATTTGGGCCTGATATATTTGGACTTTGTAATTGGGCCTGCTATATCTGCAAAGATTAACAAAGATTAAATGTCCCATAACAAAGATTAAAGGTATTATCGTGTTTACTTTAGTGCTATCAAATCAACTTTGTTGATCTTCATTTAATATGGTTGAAGACTTGAAGATATGTATCTGTCTGTTTTATAAAATTTTGCAGAAGTCAAATTGTTATGAAATAGATCATTTCAACTATGCTTATTAAAATTTTCAAAAGGCAAAAGTGTTGGAATATGGATCTTTCAAATATGCTCCTTACAATTACTCAAGACAATTGATAAAATATGGGTCATTAAGTCTCTAATGGCGACGTTTTGGAAAGTGGCGTTAGTATTTCAAAAATCCACGAGTCGTAATGTGTGTGAAATTATGGTATGTAAAGTCTGACCTTAAAATGGCTGACGTGTAAACCAACAAAAAGAAAATGGCAAGTAGTCGCCGAACACGTCTCTTCGTCAAAGTCAATTTTCTCCGGAGTTTGGTGTGTGTGTGACTCTGTGTGTCGTTCGCTCAAGCTCATAGACACGAGCACCACACGAGCCACATTCACAATCAGATTTCGCTTTCCCATTTGCAATTAAGAATATTAATAACTAACCTCTTTTCCCAAATTTGGGACATTCGTATTGATTAATCTTTAAAGCTTCTTAATTAAATTTCCATGTTCTATCTACTCTCTCTCTCTATCTGTCCTCATAATTTTAATTCAAAAATTCGAAACGAATCATCAACGCTACTTTTTTGTGCCTTCTTCTTCTTTCCTCTTTCTCTCTCTCTATCTCCACTAGAGACTTTAAGAAATGCAGTGAGATTGATTTTTGAGAGAGTTGGGAGCAGATATGGTGGTGAGGAAAGTGGGCAAGTATGAATTAGGTAGGACAATCGGCGAAGGCACCTTCGCCAAAGTGAAGTTCGCTCAGAACACGGAGACCGGTGAGAGCGTCGCCATGAAAATCGTGGATCGTAGCACCATCATCAAGCGGAAGATGGTCGATCAGGTTCTGTGTTTTTCAATCTCTCTCTCGCTATTCTTACTACTACTCTCTTTGATTTGAATTGTGGATGAGATGATAATTAGATTGTTACTCCGTTTTGCGTTAGCAGATTAAGAGAGAGATCTCGATAATGAAGCTTGTTCGTCATCCTTGTGTTGTTCGTCTCTACGAGGCAAGTGTTTGTTTGCTCTCCTTTTTGCTTAATAGTCTTGCTTCGTATAGAATTTGATTTTTTGCTCCTCATTAGGTTCTAGCAAGCCGTACGAAGATTTACATAATTCTGGAGTACATTACAGGCGGTGAATTGTTTGATAAAATCGTGAGTACCTCAACTATCAAGTATGAATTTAGGCGTTTTGATCTCTGGAAGACATTATTAATCATTTTTGTTTCTTGCTACAGGTTCGTAATGGACGTCTAAGTGAAGCAGAAGCTAGGACATACTTTCAGCAGCTTATTGATGGAGTTGATTACTGCCATAGTAAAGGGGTCTACCACAGAGATTTAAAGGTGATTGCTTGCTGAGAAATGAGAATCAACGAAGTTTATAAACCTTTCCAATGATCTTACTGATTTGTTTTGTGTCATTTGTAGCCGGAAAATCTTCTGCTTGATTCTCAAGGGAATCTGAAGATATCTGATTTTGGCCTCAGTGCATTACCTGAACCAGTAATGGAGGCTCCCACTTTCATAAATCTCGAAAATTAGTTTGTCTTCTTTTTGTTTATCAACTAATTTATCTTACTTTGATCTGAAGGGAGTTACGATCCTAAAGACAACATGTGGAACTCCAAATTATGTTGCTCCTGAGGTGAATCAAATATCTTGATATTTTGAAATATAATGATGTTTTTGTAACGTAGCTCATAAGATCTTCTTTGTTTTGGTTTAGGTTCTGAGTCACAAGGGCTACAATGGTGCTGTGGCAGACGTATGGTCATGTGGGGTTATCCTCTATGTTCTTATGGCAGGATATCTTCCATTTGATGAACTTGATCTCCCGACTTTATACAGTAAGGCATGAGCTCTGCTTCTGTTGCTTCGTGATTATTTATATTTTGATGAAATCTTACCTGTTATGTGCTTGCAAGTGATATCTTCTGATATGGTTTCCTTTTCTTCTTTTTGCTTTTCCAACATTTTGCAGATCGACAAAGCAGAGTTCGCTTGCCCCTCATATTTTGCCTTGGGAGCGAAGTCCTTGATTCGTAGAATTTTGGATCCAAATCCTGAAACTGTAAGTTTTGGGAATCTTTTATAACCACAGCTGCTGTATTTGAGAGAACAGCAGCTTGAAAGAACAGATATCTAGATTACTCTGTACTCTTTGACCAGGTCCAGTTAAATCATACTAGAGAAGCATAATTTTTTATCATTGTCCTGTATCACTTGGAAGGTCTATACAATATGGATAAATTGCCAATTCACAGTTTAAAGCCTTACATCTCATAATTGTCAAATGAAGTTGTTCATGGTTACTCTTTTCATCTGAAGCTGCAAAATGTGCCAATTGTAGTCTTTGCTCTCTTTTTTTTGCAGCGAATTACAATTGCTGAGATAAGGAAAGATGAGTGGTTCGTAAAGGATTACACTCCTGTACAACTTATAGATTACGAACATGTAAACCTGGATGATGTATATGCTGCTTTTGATGATCCGGAGGTAGGAGTTACTTGCTTGGTGTTGAGCATTGTGTATAATAATAAAGCATGCTTTTGATGTTCAGTATAATATAATACGTTGCAGGAACAAAAAGGTGCACAGGAGGAAACAGGAGACACCGGTCCACTGACTCTAAATGCGTTTGACCTAATAATTTTATCTCAGGGCCTGAACCTCGCAACTCTTTTTGACCGTGGAAAGGTAAAATGCTGGGCATGATCCGCTGTTTGCATTCCTCTTCCTTGTTCAGTTGTTCTCTATCATTTCTCTATGTTATACAATTTATTGCGTTAATCTTTCAAGTGTATTGACAGGACTCAATGAAGCATCAGACAAGGTTCATTTCACACAAACCAGCAAACGTTGTTCTTTCAAGCATGGAAGTTGTGTCGCAGTCCATGGGATTTAAGACGCATATCCGCAATTACAAGGTAAGAAAGTGGAGTAAGATTGGTTTGACATTCTCATCGGTTGCAATTGCTTCATTTTTTTTGGCTCCTTAAGGACCCAAGCAACTGGTGTTAACAACCAACTTCAATTTTCAGATGAGAGTGGAAGGATTATCTGCAAATAAGACGTCTCATTTCTCCGTCATTCTAGAAGTAATTTCTCATACATCTCTTAAATCCATCCTTTTACTTTTGGTCTCTCTGTGTTTGACGAATCATTTTCAAATCTGCAGGTCTTCAAAGTTGCACCATCATTTCTCATGGTAGACATTCAAAATGCAGCAGGAGACGCAGAAGAATACCTTAAGGTTAGTTGCAAAAGTATATCATAAGGTTGACCTTTGTGTGTGTGACTCATGTCAGAAGATTAAAGCCAGTTTTATGTTTTGCAGTTCTACAAGACATTTTGTAGTAAGCTTGATGATATCATCTGGAAGCCACCAGATGGATCATCTGTGAGAAATCGAGCCACTAAACCCAAGAGTAAAAGACGTTGAAATCCATGTGTTATTCAAGCAGAGCTCTCTGTGTTCTTTAACTGCTTTAGACGAATGATTATGTACAGGCTTGTTAATTTCGTTTTACTTTATGAATATATAGAAGATTGTACTAAACTCTTGTGATACCAAAAACTATATTGTTAAATATAGAGAAAACTGCCGACAGTTTCTCCTGGGTAATGTATGCTTCTTTGATCTGCTTCTTATATACTGCAAATCTGTGCAAACATCCATTAGTAAACCAAGACCTTGCACCATTTTTTTGTCTGGTAAAGATTCTTTCATCATTTGCCCTCGTCAAATTCATGCAGCTCTTAGAAAAATGTATCTTCTTAGCGACCTAACAATAATCATCACAAAATGCAAATACATTTTTGATCATGGATGATTTCTTCAGTGCCTTGACATGTCACAAAATTGTTAGCATCTACGCAGGGCCAACCCTAAGCCCATGCGAAACTATTGGGCTCTCGAGGCCTTGGTTCAAATATACATTTTAGAGGCAGCTACAGTTTTAGAATATCTTTGTAGTCTTGTGTTGATATGAAGCTGATTCTTACCATCTTCCATTTCCATATCCATTAAATTTTACTATTTCCCAAATACGTTTTTCATTTTTTATGGTTTCGATATATGTATTAGGTTGAACCAAGTGTATAGCACTGATAATATTCAGTAAACTAGTAAGTTATTCTTTATGAAAAGATATGTATCTCTCCAGAGATATATAGGTACAAAAATGCGCCGAACATATTCTCTAAGAAATGAGGATCCATGTACACAAAAATGTACTTAAACTCGTCCTTCGGGTGCATCTGGTGCACTCCTTTCACTTCCGGTACCTCGCATAATCCACACGAATATTGTTCCACTCGCAGCCACTACCAAGGAAGCTTTGATTTTTCAATCACACACATAAACTTTAAAGAGACTCCCGAAACTCATGTCATGTTCTAGTCATCTTTCTGAACAGGTCGAGCTGAGTCTTTCAACCATCCAACGTATCTCGCAGAATTTGTCCTTAACTATTTTTCATTCGGGTTTGAACAATAATATTCGTCGACCATGATCACTGCTCAGTATCATTAAAAATGATATTGGGTTTGACATTTCATTATTCCTTAATTAATATGAGTATCGTTCACTTAATTAGGCCTGAATAATGTTATTCGTCAACCATGATATAAAGTTAAAAATCATATTGAGTTTGACATTTTCTTATTCCTTAGTGTGAGAATAGTAATAATTAATCTCTGACTTTAGCATATAATGTTTTCGACACTGGAATCAAATCTTTCACTATATATTTTACCGAGTCTTGCATGTGTTCGTCAGATGCGAACCAAACATATTGTAATCTCAGCTATCATTTCGAACCCTGGTATGTATATAGATCTATCATATTTTTAGATTTAAAACATGCATTTTAGTGACTTGAGTTCATTGGCTTAATGGTGGTCAAATCCTTAGTATGTCACCCGACCCAGACTAGGTTATATCTTATAAGTTATAACCAAAAACTAGCTCTACACTATCATCTTTATATGTTTTGTCAAATTAATGAATTATAATAGAATTTAACTATCATATATGCATATCATCGTCTTCGTATATAATTATATGGATTGACCATTAACTTAAAGTGGTCACGGCTCTTCCAACTTCACAAATCCAAAATTGTTCATGAGTCTATGACTTGGGGTTGGGAAAAGACGAGTACAAGTTGATCCAAAAACACCATAAACATATAACCAAGTAGCAACTTGGTACTTCATGCTTAGTACTATATATCTATATACTATACATTGCTTTTGTTTCTCTTGATAGTGACGAAATTCGATGGCAGTATAACAGTTTGAACTTTTGTTTCATTACGTAAACTAGTACAAGTTACAACACATCTTTCTATGATTCGGTTCTTGAAGGTTCCATATTGCTTTTAATTTTTTTAAATAAACTATAATATTTTATAAATTATTAACAATGATATACTAATCCATCAAGGCATCAACTAACTCCACTCTTGTATATGTGGGTGATTCTTTACAAATTGATATAGCAAGTTGCTTCATTTATTTACTAATGAATATTTGGTTTAAACAGTGGCCAAAGAGGCCACCAACACGTCCCATATGTATAAAACCATTAGAGCACATGTGCATATAGACCAGTAGAGCATACTGTGGTTGATGTACACCACACTGTTACAACTTACTTCGTTACTAAGCAAATGTTGATAGTATACAAATGGACAGAAGATGTATATATTAGATAAACAAGACTGATACAGTTCCAAAATTTCGCCAAACGAAATAATTCAGGATCAATCTAAAACCTTTTTCTCAAGCGTAAGTTACTTTTACCCTCAAATAATAAAACACATGCATGTGTTTTTAGGGGCTGGAGTATTCAATTAAACCACCTTGTGTATTAAAAATATTACTCCCTCTGTTTTTTTTTTAATGAATTTTTTAGCCATGTTGTTTCACAAAGATAAAATTTTTACCTTTTTGATGCACTTTTTCAGTTTTCAAGATACAATGATTATATTTGTTGGATTTTTATTGGTTTAAAATTATAAAAAGTTGTTTTATTGCAGAAATCTATGTACTAATGATCGAAAATCAACTTTTTCTTAATTTATGTGAAAAAACTAGAAAATTTATCTTAAAAAAAATGGAGGGAGTATTTGGTTAAGCATAAAATAGCAATTTTAAAAATATATTTCTAGAAGCTCCTAAATTTTGTGGCTACTTTTTAAGAATCGATAAAATGAACACCTTTACAATGAGTGAATCTTTCAAGTCGATATCAGCCTCAGGATTAGTTTAGTAGAATAAACATATGCTAAAAAGGTTAATTAACTGGCCCGACATACTTTTACTTATTTAGTCAGTAAACTAAACTGTGAGATACTGAAATTACACCGAATTCAGTTAGATAATTCTTTGCCATTTAAATTTTAACAATTCCTTAACTCTAACATTTATAGATAAAGTCCGTTTTAAATTACAGATTTCACAGCACACTATTTGGATTCTACAATAGACTATGATAGCAGAAAATAAAGAGAAAAAGGATTAAAAAAAAAAGGAGGAGGCTGACAGATCCGGAAAGAGCTAGAAAAGAAACGTGACAATTTTGTATTCATTCAAGGAGACAACTAGTTAAAGCTTTAACTGTACTTGGTCCTAATGGTCAACTTGTAGCTGGACATGTGTCGTTTTCCACTTTTTCTTCTTCCTTCGCGATACTTCTCTTCTCTTCTTTTCTTTTTCTCTATTTTAAAATTCAGGTTCACATTATAAATAAGTAAAATTCAGTATCAGCCTGCCGGCTTGGCCGACATACCCTAATTTCTTTTCATTTCTTTTCTTTTTTTGCAAACTGGAAAAAAGGACATCCACAAAGATAAAAAGTGTTAATGGTTTATTTATTTTTTCCGATGTCTATAATATGCTATAATATAAAAAAATTTCTGATCACTTGAATCTTTACCAAAATTGTAGCTTAACATTTTTGTTGAAATTTTTAGTTAAGGATGCTGTTTATCTACTAAGTTTACTGTTTGTAGAAACATGTAAATCACCCTACGTAAACATAGTGTGAAATTTTGGTGAGAAAAAGAAAATGATAACTAGAAAAAGATACTAGTATGGACTCTTATTTTCACTTTCAGCTCATTTGAATATCCATGAGATAATCTCCGTCATTTCATATGTTTAAGATAATCTAAATTATTATAAAAAACAGAATTTAGATATGGTAAAAATAAATAACTAAATTCACTATCTATAATTTTTTAAAAAGATACACAGAGTTCCATTGTATACCTCTACAAATATTGAAACAATGGACAAATATCTATACCATTGGTAATAATCATAAAAAAGTGCTCAATATGATATTCTGGCTACTGACCAAGTGTACACTATCGGAGCTAAAGAAATGGAGCGATTATAGAGGAAGCATGAGCCGCTTCAGCAGCAGCTTTATGCGAGAAATCGAATTGTCTCAACTAAATTATAATCTAATGAAATCTGATTAACGCACTAATCACAATATCTCAAAGTTTTTAAATTAAGCTTACATTACTTATATAAAAACCCTCTCCCCTTCCTTAGTTTTCTCCGTGCGCTCTCCTCCCTCCGCTCTCATTCCCTCTCTCTTGCCCTAGCTAACCTCCCTCTTCTTCTCGGTCACCTACAAATCATCATCCTCTTCTTCTTCTTCCGACTGTTCTTCGGCGATTTTTCAGTGGGATCTCTTGACTGAGCAATCGCCATTTTCAAGAACAGCCGCGTCTCTTCCGTAGCTTCCATTATTTCACCGGTGAGTCTGATTCCGTGTATTTCGTTGCTTTTAGCTTGCAATTTTATTTTGCATGCAACTTTTTGTTGAATTGTTTTATCAAATCCGTGAGAAGGTAGTTTGAGAAGTCGGAGTTATTAATGGTGTTCATCATTTGATAGATTAGCTGCATGAGGTTTATATATGAGAATTTATCACCTGCGGATCCAATTTTACTGTTCCAATAACAATGATGGGATGCTTTTTTGTTTATCGCAATGTATTAAATTTGGTTTGCATGTGCAGATTGTATGGTAATTAGTCATTAGTGAGAGCTTTCTCAATCTTAAAGTGGACCTGTCTCCTGTTTTCAGGTTTGGTTTCTCATTGATTTCCCACTATTGATCATACTTCTTTTGTCTTTTTTTTGTGTGTATAAAATATCTGACTTTTCTTTTTCTAAGGTGATAATCACATAATTATGCATATACATATCATTCTACAAAGAATTGTGATAGTTGTCATTAATTTGTTGATTGCTACTTAGTTAGTCTTTGTTCCTTTTTCTTATGAACAGCTTTATTGGTTATGAACATAAAATAAAAGCAAATGAAAGACCAACGAAATGGATCTTAAGAAAGCGAATTGACTCTCTAGTGGGTTTTGATATCATTTTCTTGCACCTTCTTTTGTCTTTATCTAAAAAT